TCGGACGATGTGGCAAACTGGTTCCACTCAAGGATTTCTCTCGCGGTTCTCACGTCGGATTTTTGCATACGCCGACCGGGGCCGCGAGTCACCTCGAGCCAGTTCGCCACTCCCGGTTCCCACGAATTTCTCCGGAGAACGCGTTGGACGGAAACGCGGAAATTCTTTCCGGATCGCTGGCCGTCGGGACTCTCGGTGAAAGGGAAATCATTTTTCCGATTCCTTTTTCGGCGACCCGACCCGACTTTATCGCGGTAAACGCGGCGCGGACGTCACCGAGGAAAAAAGTGTCATCGACCCCAAGAGACACTTTTTCAAACGGGAGCAAAGTACATATTCGATTAATTCAAGGAATACCTATTTCCCTCAAGTACATTCCAATCAATTTAATGGGATATTTCCACCGAATTATGACAATTTATTTCCAGAGAAATAATTCTTCTTCGATTTAACTGGACTTTTTATGGGGACCGTTCGAAGAAATATTTCCATGGTTCGATGAATTCATTTCCTCGGCGTCCCGCGTGCGTCTCGATTCGACGTAATCCTGCCTGCCCTGCGTCGGTGCGAGTAACCGGAGCCGAAGGGGAGCGAAAACGCGCACGTAACGCGCGCGTTTTCCCCCACGTCCCGTCGCGACGTCGGCCAAGAGTCGTAACGGCGGAACCGCGTCACTCCGCGTGGTCCCGGTGACGTCACGGTTCCACGTAAGAATTGGCAAGCGCGGCTCTCTCGCGCTTTCGGCTCTCCCACGGAGCAAGGTTCCTCGTCGAGACGCGACAGCATTTCGCAATTTTCTCCAATCCGCCCGAACGAGGGATCGATGCCTCGAAATCGAAGATGGCTCTCGGTATCTCGCCCCCTGGACGCCCGATCGGGTCCGGACCGAAGGACGCGATAACGCCGAGAACTCGATAAGACGGCTGACAAAAGACGCCTCTCCTTATCCTGGAGGAGATCCGAACAAAGTATCTCCCCCTCGCCTCATACCCGGACCGAGGGGCAAAGAGGAGAGAAGGACCGAGGAAACCCGCTCGCCCTGGCTTCCAGCCGTTCGAGAGTGGCGCGTCTTTTATTTCGATTCCGAAGAAAGAGAAAAGAATAAGGAACGTCCAAGTTTGACGATTTGCGGCTTTCGAGGGGTCCGAGATACGGGAGAACGGCCGATTACGCGGCTCCGGATAGAGAGGGACGAGAGTCGTTCCTGCGGCCATTGATATTTAAATTTAGAGGACATTGGGAGCGAGCGCAAAAGATACTCCCGAGGCGAGGGAATACCAAGGAGAAACGGAGCGGAAGATATTTCGAGGACAATGACCCAGTTGAGAAAGAGTCGTGAAAATTTACGGGATTACGGGAGATCGCCCTTTCTTCTCTGGGGCCTCCGAAAGGAAGCTCGACCTCCCGGGATAAAGTTACGGCCCGAGCTCCTCGACGCCTCCTCGAAAAGCTCATGTCTTTCCACGCGTTCGAGTCTCCCTCGCGCGGCCCCGGTGTCGGTGACTAATGACGATTGCTCGCCGATTCCGGGAATGCGCATCTTCCGGAACGAGGGCGCAAACATCCGCCAGGTGACGAGGATCGCGACGTCGAGGAGGATATCGTCATCGAGGCGATGCCGGCGATGCCGGCCGGGAGTCGGTCGTAAATAGCCGGGACGTCATCGGCGATGACGGAGCGGAGGGAAGCGCGACAGGTAATTACCGCTTTCCAGTTTACGTTACGCGTATACACCCCCGAGCTAGCCGGCGATCGGACGAGGAAAGTCCTTTATCTCCGGCGTGCTCCGATCGTAACGTAAACGGAGTTTATGTCGGGCCTTCCGGCCACGCGCTCTCGTAAAACTGCTCGTTTCGAGGTTTCTCGAGCGCGTTCCATCGAATCGTGCACCGGATTCCCAAGAACGCCCCCCTGGGTTACGGATTGGAGTCAAAGTTTCGTTTCGATCCCATTCCTCCCCCGCGCGTAGCGTCAATGGCGATTGACATCGGAACGGGGCCGCAGGGGACGGTCGTTCTTTTATCCGGTCGAGGTCCTTTCAGAAAGTCTGAAAGACCGGAGAAATTCCTCGGCGCGCCCAAAGGGCAGGTATGGCCAGGCAAGGGAGGAACCTCCGGCTTCCAGTCGTCGTCGAAGGCGTCGGCGATTCCTGGGACGCTCTCGAGCGTCTTCGAGACGCTTCCGGCTCGCTTCCGGCTCGCTTCCGGCTCGCTTCCGGCTCCTCTCGAGTTCCAAGATGGCCGCTCGAGCCAGGAAGGAACTCGGTCGAGTCTCGGGGAGGCCGAACGTAAGATGTATTTTTACGGCGACCACGGTGGAGGAAGCCGAAGGCGACAGCGCTTCAGCCGAAAGCCAACGGTTAGGGACTCGCCACGGCACTGGCTCGCCGCTTTCGCAAAGGCACCTTCTCAAAATAGACCACCCAAATAATTTGCCTCGGATTACGCGCTCCGCCGTGTGTTTTCGTCCGCGAGCGGACCTCTCGGGCCGGATTCTTCGAGATTTCCCGGATCGATCGCCTCCGATTGGTCCAGACCCGGCCGAGCGGGCGTTCCGAAAATCCCCGCTCTCCACGGACGCCGCTTGAAATCGGAGATTAACGTCGGCGGGCCGGCTCGCATCGTAAATATCCCGACGAATCGTAAGAAAGGAAATGAAAAGAGAAACCCGACAATTCGACTCGAAAGGCAGGGGAGAAGGGCGACGATCTGGCACGGATTCATCGAGAATTAAGGGCGAGCAAATTCTTGGAGCAAACGATGCCTCGGTACCCCAAACGCGCATCCTTGACCCGATTCCGTTAACGCGATTTAGAATTCAACCTAGCCCCGAGTGTAATGGACTTTATTATAGCCGCGACCGCTAAACGCTTCAAAGTGGCGGCCTTAATTTATGGAAGCGTCTCGGCGTGTTCGACGATCGACCCGGGGCGATGGATCTCGTCGATCGCGCATCGACGGGTCGACCCCGCACCGCTGATCGCGATCCAGGGCTAGGTTTGCCGATTTTTTTTTTTTTTTTTCTACGGACCCCTGGCAATTTTTTAGTCCGACGGACGCTCGACCGCCCCCACGGGACGCCTTCGGGACGACTCCGGAACCCTCCGGATGCGGCGGGAACGTCTCGCGGATATCACGAGGGGTATATGGGCTGTAAATTAATCCGGGCTCGCGTTCCGCATCCGCAAGTGCCGCGGTCGAGCATCGGCACGGACCTGTCTCGAATTACCCTTCCTCGCCAAAACCGCTCGGCCGCGACGCGAGCGTACACGCGTTTTAACGTTAGCGTTCGTTCCGCGCGAGCGAGCATCGCTACGGTCAATCGTCCGTCAAAAGAGGCGCGAAAACGGCGAAAAAGAAAAGAAGAAAAAAAAAGAAGAAATCAAAGGGACGGTCCCTTCGAGGCCGCTCCGGTTTTAATTTTAGCGCTTTTGCGGAGAATATAGGATTTACCGAGACTCCGTGCCAGCCCGAGGCATATTTAAGAAGCTCGGATGCAGAAACTTCTCCGCCGGGTGTCATCGTTCCTCCTACGTGCCCGTCGTTGCGAAGTTCGGCTTCCTTGGCCGTTCCATTTATTTTCTCGACCTTGGCAGTTGACAACGACCTATTAACAGCGTGGCCTGCATGATTTATCGACCCGTTATCGTCATCGCTGGCTCGACTTCTCCGCGGAAACAGACTTTTTGGCTCTCCGGTTTCTCCTTATCGGCACCCGATGATTCCACTTCTCGCGAGGGACAAGGCGCGCATTGTCCGCGAGGATTTTTCTCGAGATAAGTCCGACGTCCGGGACGTCGCGGCGCTCGTACCTCGACGCCCCGTAAACCTCTCTCTCGGGTCGTATTATAATTTATGAATTTTACGAGCGGCTCCATTTTCGCGGGTCAAGGCGTCCGAAATGCCGAGCGCGAACCTCCGAGTCCTCTCGTCGCGACGCTGGGCGCCTCGGCGAGGCCCACCTTCGCTTTCCTTTATTTCCCGACATTGGCAGCCGGTGTCGGCCCATTAGCGGCTTAAGGTGCGCATGATTTATCGGCATATAATTGCCTCGGCGTCTGGCTCCCCCGGCAGTTACGGCCTTGGAGAAAAAATGACTCCCCGGCTCCGAGAAGATGACGGAGACTCGGGTTTTCGCTTACAAAGAGCCTTACGCATCGAACGCGCCTGCCTCCCGATAAATAAATTAATGGCGAGCACCCCGGGCCGCGTTCCTTCCCCGGGCACAAAGGGGTCACGCTTCTCGGGGTAAAAAGTAAAATCGAATACCCGCCCACGTGCGCGCCCCATCGGCCGTATCCCTCGCAAAGGGTCGACCCGTAAATCTCTTTGCAAGGGCGCCCGGAGATATTCTCCGGCGAAATCGACGCCGATGGGGGGTCCGAGGGAAACGTCCGGGACCGTTGATACCGCCAGGCGGTGGGCGTAAACGCTAAAAACTGCAAAGCAATCGGGTCGGGCGTTAAAAATGACGAAGGCATCCCACCTGGATACTTAGCGGGCCTCGTAAACTCGTTACCAGGTTGGCGAGCCGTCGAGTACCTCGGGATACCCTCCTCGCCGTCGGGAATTTTCGGAAACCGACCGCGAATGTCGCGATCCTCTACCGTCCGATATTTCTCGCCGACGAGCGTTCTCGACGTTCCCAGGATTTTTTTCTTACGTAGAAAAACCTACCTCGAATCCCGGGCTCGTGCGAGCCGCGTCGCGTCGAGGCTAGACGATAACGCGCTTATCGGCGGACTTCGCGCTTCGGAAAAGGAAACGCGAGTCGTGCCGGCAACCCTGACGTCACCGCTCAAATTCCGAAATTCTTCGCCTCGGATCATCGGACACGCCGAGGACGCTCCTTTCCCGTCCGGAGTAATTTTCCACGAGTCCCACGATCTTCTGCGCGATCGTCTCGAATCGACGTGCACTTCGACGAGTCGAATCGACATCCGACGTCTTCGTCGGGGCGAAAGCCGAGAGAAAGCGTCGACCTCGAAAGGTCCGACTTACCTTCTGCACGATGAGAGGCGTCCCGAAGTCCTTGCCTCCCTGAAGCCGGAAGCCCCAGGGCGAGCCGTCGAATCGGGACAGCTTGACGCCGATCAGCTGCGCCATGGTCGAGGACCGAAAACCCCTGGAGGAATACCTCTGCGACTCTTCCTGGTCCGGGGTCGCGCGAGGACGAATCGGCCGAATCGACTTCGGGCGAGCGAGTGCGTCGCGTGCTCCGGGGCTCGCGATAGGCGGGCGTCGACGGCGGGGCCGAGTCTGCGGCAGCGCGCCGTTCCCGAATAACTAGAGCCCGGAGAACGCGAACGCCGAGGCGAGGCAGAGTCCCGAGAGAGAGGAAGAGAGAGAGAGAGGCCGGTCAGTCGGGCAGCGGGCTTTCCATGGATCGGGCCGGGACGGTCTGCCCCCTCTTTCGACCCAAGAGAGGCCCGAGAGGGGTCCGAGAGGGGCCCGAGAGGGGTCCGAGAGGGGCCCGTTCCTCTTCCTCCTAGGCGCGCCGACGCATCGCGACGCTCGGTGCACCGGTTCGCGGTATGGGGTTCGGCGTTTCGGTTCGATTCCACGGGGGCTTCCCGATGCTCGTCCTCGAGGGGTCCCTCGACGACGAGAGTCGGAACGAAAGGACAATGGCTCTCGCCTCTCTCCCCGATTCCTCGTGCCGGATCGACCGTCGCCTCCTCGACGTCGTACCGGATCCGTCGAGCGTGACCTCTCCTTGACCGGCGCGTGCCCCACGTAGCCCACCCAACGACGCCATAAGCCCCCCGTTTTGGCCCTCTGCGGCCGACCGCATTCCTCGCCCGTGGCGGTCACGAGAGCGTCGACTAGTTCGTGAATCATCCCCGGAGTGCTTTACATAAATTGCTCCAGGGTAACGTCACGGGTTCGCGGCGAGGCGAGGGGCCCGAGGGAGCCGGACCGCTCCGGGCTGCTCCGAATCCCCGCAGACGGTCCCGGACCCTTTGGAGCTTCTCCACGCGACTCGATCCCACCGCCGCGTTCCGGGATGCTCCCGTGTACTCTTCTCTATCGCCCTAACTCGATTTGTCCGACTCATCGACGCGTCCGCCTCGATTCGGGTTATCGAGACGGATCTCGACAGTCGGTCATCGGGGAAGAATTTCTCCTATCCGGAAACGGATCCTCCGAACGTAAATGCTTTCCCGTATCCCGAGAACCCGGTATGTAAATACCCGACGTATATGTGATGCGTAATCAACGAGCCGAGGAGATCCACTCGTAGAGAAATTCGGAGTTTCTCCGGAATCCGATCTCCTCCCTCCGACCGTGAAAGCAGCGTCGGAGAAAGAAACCGTGAACGCGTCCCGAGGTGTGAAATTCAAGTCGGTCCGGGTCCGAGGCCAACTATCGATATTCTTTCAATTCGTCCAATGACGCGGACGGTCGGCCGATAAAACCATCCCGAATGAAATTCCGGATCGATCGGGGGTCGTTCGTCTTCGATTACCGCGTATCGATAACTCCCCGTCGACTCGGTGGAGTCGCGAGAAATTATCGGGAGCTGCACTTTCGCCGAGACGCATCGCCGATGATCGATGCTCGCATTCGTCCGTGTATGCGGACGGAAAACGCGCCCTAGGAAATAGGCGCGCTCCTCTCCGTGGGACCGAAACCGAATGCTTAAAATTAGCAATGTCCGACGCGAGTTACGTCAAACCGAGACCGAGCTTCGCTGCCGGTCCCTGGGCTAAAAGCACAACCGGATGTTCGTCGTTAGGCCGCTGTCGATACAGGATCCGCGATCCGTGGATCCTAAAAGGTGGACGGATTTACGACTCGGAAAGAGTCCAAGCCATTTCCGCGCGGTTAGCACGCCCGATTAGAAACACGCAATGGAAGCTGTGACTTGGCAATCCTCCTTTTCGATTTACCAACCGAAGCGTACGAAATGAAGAGCGGAATTTCGGCACAATATTTTTATTCACTTTTCGTGTACACGCTTTTACAATTAGTCGAATACGTTCCGTCGCATGTCCCGACCTCGACCTCGGTTCTTGGGTCACCTACGCGCACCTCGTGGTCCGACTTACAAAAGCCCCTCAGGTTTTTTCGCATGAGGAAAATCGGACCCATTTGCGCTAAGATTTTTCTCGTTAAATTCTAGCTCGGTTTATTCCATAAATTTACGATATCGAGTAATATTATTAATGGCTGACGCTTCGGTTGCTCGCATCGTCGGTCACGCTCAACGCCGGGGACTTCTGAAACGGATAATCAGAGATAGGGTCCATTAGGCGAATAATTCGGCCGTAAATCGTCGGCCTTCCTGGATATTTCAACGAGAAAGCTCCCGAGGATAAATCGATTCTATTGGATTACCACTCGTTCGAGGATGTCTTCGGCGGCGTTAACTTTCGGCGGCCTCGCGGGAATCCCCTTCGAGGGCTCCTTTTCCATCTTGTGAATCATCTTGTAGACGCTCGAGTTCATCAGGTGGTCGTAGTTGGGCAGGTGGGTCTTCTCGAACTTCTTGAAGTTGACCCTGAAAAAGAAGCGGTATAATTAGAGAAATTATTTATACGCCTCGCGGGCGAGGGAGGCCGATATTTCGAAACCGCAGGAAGAGCCGACCTCGTCGAACGCGATCGATCCCCGATCGGTCAATGTCGCGATCGTCATTTCGCAAACAGGTATCTACTTTTGTTAGGCTAGAATTAAACCCGCTAATTATTGGCTCGTTAAATCCTTTCCTGCCGTTCACGAGATTAGCCCCGATCGAGACGAGACGAGACGCGGAAATAAAACGAACTCCGGCCGTTTTAAATTATCCTCGGTATTTTTGTACCCCAGCGTCCTGCCACGGATGACTTCTGCCTGCGATGACAAGACCTCGGCGATCATCTCGTCGTTGAAAAAGTCATTGGGACATCTCCATCTCCTGCCTTGAGTCAGCTCGAGCTGCCTAGCCTGCGGCCACAATTCCTGAGAGGGTTTCCTGCCTTTCTTCTTGTGCTGGAAAATCATTCGAGTCCGTTAGATGACAAACGAGGAGTAATCGAGTCATCGAGACCGATCCACTTGCAATTGCGGTACATAGTAATTCGTGCAAGACCACGGCGTCTTCTTCGGGGATCACGTGCGAACAATGCCAACCAGTGATGGGCTCTTGGAAAGAAACGTCTCGTGACAAGATGCACCGATCTTCTTTCCTCGTTCGTGCGGTTATTTTTTAAGAGATCTAATTTATTTTTCGGGAAAAAAAAAAATTATTCGGGACAAAATCTAACAAATGTAGACACTTCGCAGGCGGGGAATCCTGAAACGGGAGGAAAACATGCCGAAGAGATAAAAAACCATTCGGATAACGTCTTGATTACCCCTCGGTACCTTTAATTCCTGAATAACTTGGTCTCTTGGTGCCAGGTTTGGATCTGGTTCAAAACTTCCTAAAATACACCGCACCGCACATTTTAGTGAGACATCCTCTTAGAGTTGCGTACTTCCTGGCGCTTGCCGGCGCGATTAATCATTTTCACGTGTAGCAATTTATGTTTGGAAAATATTCCGATTTGGGGCGTTATTAAATATGGGAAGGCTCGATACTTACTGTCCGAAATCGCAGGACTCGCCGTCCTGGACCCGATGACCTGAGACTCGTAAGAGACGATGAACTTCTTCACCCTGCTTCCCTCCTCGTCGGAACCCTTCACCTGGATTTCCAGCTCCTGGGGCTCCGACAGGCGATCCTGCTCGGGCTCGACGATCTCCGGGATCTCGTTCTCCAAAAGACGTTCCTCGGAACTGCCGATCCGGCTCCAAGTCCGAGTCTCCTCTATCGCCTCTTCGACGTCTTCCTCGACGAGCGTTTCGGCCTCCCGGACTTCTTCTTGCCTCCGAGTTTCCGTTTTGGTCTCCTCCGTCACCGTCTGCCATTGGTCTAGGGGACACCAACACATTTGAAAACGTACAGATGTCCTCGTTGTATGCAAATTTCAGAATTTTCAGGACCCTAAGTTACATCCACGCTTCTCCCAAAATATTCTTTTCCACGGCGGAAGTTCTTCTTACAGGGCGAGAGGTGCGAAGGTTACAAAAATACAAAATAAAAATTATCCAATATCTTCATCGAGTTTGGTTATTTCGTTTTTCTCTTTTCGTTGCATACAATCCCCTTAATAGAAAACTTTATAACGAGTACAATTGTTTAAAAAAAAACGATTACTTCTACTGGAGTATACCTGATCGACCCGCGTCGATCCTACTTCCGTTCTGAACACCGCTCAGCTCCATTATTTTATACAACTGCTCCGAAACGATCCTGAGGTGGTTCTCGATCTCGCTGGGTAATTGTTTCAGGGCCATCAGCTGGTTCTGAACGTTCTCCAATTGCTTCTCCAGGCTGATCTCCGTCGACACCAATTCCCGGATTTTCTCCTTGTCGACTTGGGGCGACTCTCGTTTCTCGCAGTACTTCTCCTCCACGTATTCCTCGAAAACGACGGTTTTCTTGCCCATCGTGTCCTCTTCTTCCTCCTGTTGCTCTTCGGTTATTTCGACAACTTCTTCGACCTTCGATTCCAAATCCGAATCGGGTTTCGATGGTTCCGGAGTTGGGGCTGGGGTGACCTTCTGCCAGTTTTGAAAAAGAAACCGATTTTTCATTATTTACCCAAAGCTCTCTAAAGTATGATATCACGCTTTGCACAGAGAAGGTAACTAAAATCTTCGAAAATTAAATCAACCTTAATTCAAATCGGTCACGATATCAGTTTCCCCCGAAATATTAATTTCCGTGACGATGAGAAAGATGGCGGTTTTTAGAGATGTTAAAATCTTCGACCTTCCTCGTGTTAATTTTTTTTAATTTCAATTAACGAATCTCTGTGCGCGGCGTGGCGACGTAATGGCACGAGGATGGGACACGTCGGGATGTTCTCCAGTTTAAATGAGTTCCTATATGCTACTTTTTTACCGGCGAGGGTTAAAAGTTAGCTTGCATGTCGGTCTACATGTGCCAGCTTTATTTCCGCATAACAATTCCGTTACGACAGTTAATAAATATTCCTGTCGGCCGTATTATCTCTCAAATACACTCGGCGGCAATCGACGTGAACAAGGACGCTTTGCTTCGCCATTTTAGATAAATTCCTGCACACCGTACACTTTTCCGACGTGGGTTATCGGAACGTTCAGCCTGATCGAATGTTGCTACCATTGTGCTCGCATAACATTCCTATTACGACAGCTACCAACTAGATTATCTCATTCCACGCATGCGTTGTCTTCGTGCAAGCCGAGGACACGTTTCGGAAATTAGTCCCGCTTTGTCTCGTGTTTCGCATTTTTCTGTCGCAAAAGAAAATTTCCGTCAGTTATTATTATCCACCTAAGCGCTGACTATTTACAAGAATAATTTAGGAATTTCTCCTCTCTTGAAAGGGTATGGACAATGAAGTCGATAAACCCGCCCTTATGGAAAGGGTGAAATTACAGAGATACACTTAGTACAAGAATTAATATTTCTACATATTGACGATGTATACATGTACGCAGGGTACCAATTCTGTACGTCACAGTTATTTTTTTTTTTTTTTTTTCAAGGAAATTAGGAGTTTGTAACATATAAATGTAATTCACAATACATGGCGGACGCGATATTAGGAACACTCTCCGGAATGAATTAATTAAATAACGATACAGTGACAGTGGATATACAAGGATGAGAAATATGTCATTTAATCGAAGTGCTGATACCTCCAAGTTTGGAATACGTTATTTCGGGACGTTTCGACAATGTCAGATTTTTCACACTAAACGAAAATTTCCGATAAGTACTCCAATCTATAAACAATAATTTTTCTCGATGTCGACACATGTCATTTGGACACACATTTGATCCTAGATTACCCTCAACCGATGTTGACTACCGTAAATCCTGTGCATCCGCGGGTCCCATGTACAAAGTTTGTTATACATACACATACGTCCATCTTCCACCTGTGGATATTCTTCACGGCTTAAATCTTAAACATTGGACAATAAATATTTTATTAATACGAGGGGCCATCTTGCACACACGTGGTCTACGAGTCACATGAATTGTTAAAACATTTTGTAAGTACATGCATCGCAAGAACGAATATACAAATACGGGTTCCACAAGGGCATAATTCGAGATTTTTGCAAAAGTCAACGCTTATAGCCGAAACTACAAACTAAATCTCTATCGCTACTCTTGTATTACCACTTTGCCCGTGACACATGCGACAATGACCGAGGTACCGATAAAACGTGTCATTGTTCGTTATATAGCCGGCTATTTAAGAGTGGCTTTTTGTGCGTTTACGGATGATCCATGATCTACCGTCTGTTACGGTCATCCTAGGATGAGGATGAATGACGCCTATTACGATCTAAACAGAATTACGAGGATTAGTGATAAATGGATGTAATAAGACTGTATATGTACCCTGAACATAAGTTCTGTCATTTTATAGGTGAACTTTGAAGTATGCAGAAACCGGCAAAACTTTTCGGATGATCTACTGTAATCGGTTCCCCGGAATTTGAAAATAATTCTGACTATGTCTGAAAAGGCTTCAAAGTCATGACGATTATTGGAACTTTCGACATTTCATGGCAAGTGTCTGGGCAAGTCGATGAAATCCCCTGTCTCCGAATAAGATTGAACAAACATCGAGCTGCACGAGCCAAAAGATTTCAACAAAGTATCCCTCCACGTTCACTCCCTGTACATGTACAATAGAACGATCGACGTACTGGGCACAAAAGCATAGACAAACAGTCTAGTGAAATCAACCCCAATTCTGTTCGTCAACTCCTCGTAAATGACGGTAGGAACGAACGACATCCTGCGATTGACGTTGTCCTGAAGGGAATCGTCGTAGGCCTTCTTTTTGCCCACCGTGGTCCTGCCTTCGACAACTCTACCTGTCAGGTTTTTCAAAAAATTAGAAACGGTGCCCCCGAAAAAGCTGTCGGATTCTCCCCGCTTTTTAAAGAACCTTCTTTCGCCTCTGTGAAATATTTCCGAAGATATGAATTTCTTGACCGACTCGAAACCGTTCTCCGGCTTCTGGGGATAGGAATCGTTACTTCGAAATTCTGAAGCCACAAAGGACTCTGGCAGATAATTTGCACATTGATCGGCTTTCGCAGATAATTTATCGTGTGTGACCCTGGTATCGTCGGTATCCGCTGATCCCAGACCCATAGAACGAAGACCAGACACCCAAAAGTGGCGGATCATCTCCTGGACGTAGTGAGGCCTTGGTACCAGACTCGCCCTTCTACTTCTGTTTTTCTCCTCGGAAATTGAACCTCTCTTCAAATTCTGAGCCTTCGCTCCCTCGATCGTGCAATATTGAACGGGTTTGCTCTTCGGCAAGAACTCTTTGCGAATTATTTCTTGGACGTAGTGAGGTCTGGGGACCAAGCTACGTTTTCTAGGCTTCCCTGCATTTTCCGAGTCCACCGAGGAAACTGAATTTCTTTTCAAAGCTTGAGTCCGATTTCCGGGAGTAAAACCACCTTCGGTTGGCCCATCCTTAGAGGCAATACTTTCTTGAATATTCTCCTCAATGTTACAACTTTGAACCAAATTTTGTTCTTTCGTTTTGAGCGCGTTTTCGGTACCACTTGCCGATACCGATTCCTTTCTGGGACTCTCGGTTTCTTTTTCTTTGGTTAAATTTTCTTCTTCCACCTCACTTTTGGAACAAAGACTCTTGCGGATAATCTCCTGAACGTAATGGGGCTTTTGAACCAGGCTGTGTCTTTTAATTTTATTCGCGTCACCGGTATCTACCGCTGAATCCATTTTCGAGGCTTGAACTTCACTCTGCTTTCTGGAGCCATCTTGTTCGGGTTCGCTTTTCAGAGAGAGGCTCTTAAGAACAATTTCCTGAACATAATGAGGTCTCTGAACCAGGCTGTGCCTCTTACTTTTAATGACGTCAACGGTATTTATAATCGGCTCCGATCCGTGTTTCGGAAAGCCAGCTTCGCTTTCTTTCTCGGAGCCATCTTGTTCAGCCTCGTCCTTTAGAGAAAGACCCTTAAGAATAATTTCCTGAACATAATGAGGTCTTTGAACCAAACTGTGTCTTTTATTTTTATTTGGGTCTCCGGTACTTATTAACGGCACCGAGCCCCTCTTCAGAGTTTGAGCATTATTTTTCTGACAAGAAACATCTTTCTCGGGTCCGGCCTTGAAAGAGAAGCTCTTGCGCAGGATTTCCTGTACATAGTGGGGTCTCTGGACCAGGCTCTGTCTTCTAGGTTTAATGGCATTTCCAAAATCGGAAGAACCTCTGGTTGTTCCGGACTGATCATAGCTCCCACATTCCGTGAACAAATAATTCGACCGAACGCCACTGCTGAAGAGTTTCAGGGACACGGCATCCAGAAGGCTGGTTCCACTTTTGAGGAAGTCTTCCAATCCAAATGGAAGACCCGAAGTCCAACTCTTTCGTATAATTCCCTGGACGTAATGAGGTCTTGGAACCAAACTCTGCCTTCTACCCTTCTTGGTTCCATCTTCGGCAAATGAGCTACTCTGTCTTCTCAAAACAAATCTCTCGAAATAGCGAGCTTTGTAGTACAGTCTCCTGGATGCCTTGTCTTTGGTTTTCGATGAGAACAATGCTTCAACGTTTTTAGAGACGAATTTCAGTGCTTTCCCTACCCACGTATCGTCGCAAAATTCTCTCAGAGACCCGGATTTTGATCTACGAATCAACGCGGTAGATTTAGGTTCAGAATTTGCATCCAACAGAGAATGCTTGCTCTCGTTCAGGCACTTTTCAAAATAGCGACCTCTGAGGTAGAGTCTGGAACCTCTCGCGGTCTCCCGAGGTGTCCTGGATTGGTTCCTTTTCCCGAAAATGTAATTCTCCAGATAACGACCCTTCCGACGAAGATAACGAGTCCCTTTGACGATCGACAGTTCCTCGATACAGGGCACCTTTGCGACTTCTTTTGACTCTACGCTCGATATTTCCCCAATAGTTCCTACAATGTCCTGAGATGAGAAACGGTCAGATTCCGATGGATCTACGAGAGAAATAAATTCCATAAAATTTTCGGATTCACCGGGAACGAAGGGGTCGACGGGATCCTGGAGTCGGCGGAACTCTGCAGGGTCGTTAAATTCATAGGGTATTTCGATGTCAGTGGGTGTCGAGGAGATTTTCGGATCCTCGAGATCGAAGGACTCTTCGGGATCCTCGAGGTCCAGGATTAGGTCAGGGTCCTCGAATCGCGGGAAGTTTTCATTGGATGCGAAGGGGCTCGTAGATTCGTCGTTGAGGGTACGTGGGTCCTCTGTTTCGTTTTCGAGCGTGTTCGATGACTCGAGCGATGATCGCGTCGGCGACTCGTGATCCTGTACAGGTTTTGGCTGGCCGACCTTAGGCCCGGGAACATACATCTTTACCTCGGATCTGGCCTCGGATTCCGGGGACTTTGATAAATCCCTGGGACCCAGAAGTCCCTTCTCCAGGAGACGCTCGGTGACGCTCTTCTTCTGCTGCTTCCTGATCACCACTTTGTAGGACTCCGTGGACTCGGGCTCCGACTCCTTCTTCTTGGGTCCTGGCACGGGTCGCTGCGGTTTCTGCAGGAAAGTCGTGGTCCTCTTCAGCTCCTGGACCCGAGGTGGCTCCGCCACCGCGATTTTCTGCAATTCCTGGAAGACCTTCGACTCCTTCAGGAGAGGCGCTCGCGGTCTCAGCTTCTTGAAGTTCACTCTGTCCACGATTAAGCGTTTCAGAATCTTTTACATCTTTACTTCGCTTTTATTACCGCTTTTTTCAGCGTTTCCTAGGAATTTAGATACTCTTACCCTAAGAGACCCTTGTCGGACAGGAGTTCCTCTTCTTCGAGGATTAACTGAGCTATTTGTTCGTCCGTCAGGTCCTGACTAGGATCGCCAGGAGGTCCGTTTGACTTTTCGGCCTCTTCTTGACGCTGTTCCTGCTCTTCCGGAGCTTCCTTGGCTTCTTCCTTTTCCTCTTCCGGCGGTTCCGGTGTTTTTGGCTTCAGTATTTCCTCTGGAAAGATGGGTTGCAGTTCCTCGAGCTGCAGCAACCAACGATGAATTCGGATAACTCCGTTTAATCGATTCAACAAAATTTTCGAGTTATGCTCTACTCACGGGAATGGTGTAAGGCACGATGTTGTCTTCGGATATACCGTTGAGCCCGTTTGTTTCACCAGCTCTGAAACGTATTAAATATTCTCGTAACCGTATTTTTTACGGTAATTCCATTCTTAATTAAATTTCATAATTAAATTTTTCTCACCTGTGAACACCAAGAACAAAATTATTTCCTGCCAAAATGAGGGCCTCGTGGGCTTGGCCGTGGGTCAATCCACATACGGACTGATCGTTCAATCTCACCACCACGTCACCAACTTTTAATCCCATACATTCCGCAAGACTTCCCTCGGACACCTGAATTAAAGAATATATATATTAAACCAGACAGCATAGCGATATCGAGGAATACAAACAGGTGAGCACATAAAAATTCGGTCATTCTTCTTCAGGGTTGTCAATGGAACTTGTCGTTACGTTGCAGAGGTTCTTATCGAAACGGCGGTAATCTTCGTCTCCAAGGAAGGGCCTTTCATGCTTTTTGGTTTGGGTCGGCTGGTTTTCTCGATGAAATTGATTGAAGGGTCGCAACCAACTTTACGGTGAACCATGGGGAATTACGAATACCTACTCTAATGACAGTCAATGGCTGCGGAAAGTCACTGCCGCCCGCCAGTCGAAAGCCCCATGGCGTGTTGTCGAACTTTGTGAACTTTATCTCAATCGCCATATTGCATCTACATCTAGAAATGACAGCTAATTACTACAAGCATTAGTGGCGAGGGCAAGCGGGGATAATTATAACGAATTTAATAGCCGGATGGGAAGATGGATTTCGCACTTGTAATATTTTGCAACGCGGGCGGTGTGGGGCGATGCTCACAAATAAATTATTAATTAAATGTAAAAGAAATGTAGGACCTCCCGTGCAAAGTTACTTCGTTAATATGGCGTCGTTCTCTTACATGAACCTGATATCGAGTTTCAGCGATAAACGCTGCAGCCAGGAACTGATGCAGACGCTAAATATTTTGTTTTCTTCGGTACTTTCTAAATTCGATTATTTGGCACATGCTCTTCGGGAAAAGAGCTTAATATCTGTCGCGTCAAACGTGTTTACTTCTGCCGTATTCAAATTTAGAAGGGTAATTTTCAGTACGGATTGGCTAAAATTAAGCATACCGGTCTAAAAATGACCGAAGTCCGATGAGCAACTGTATCCATTTGGAACGTATAGAGGATGGACACGTTTCGTGAACGATGTCTTCGGTTCTCTCTTTGACTCAGAATTTCGGTATTCTTTGCAGACACCGAAGACAACTCGCGATTAGAGCTCGAGGTAATTGCCGAGACTTAGAAACTCATTGACGACGAAGTGCATCAGGTCTCGGAGAACTACGTATCGCATGGATCGTCTTCATTCGTTACGTAATTGCTACACTTGAATTAGATTTCTGGGGTAAATACTTCTATACAGGCGAAACCCGGGGAGGACGCAGAGGGTGTAAATGTAGCATGGAAACGGAAGGATCGGACGCGACGAAATCATTTTGGAAATTCTCTGTTGACGGCTCCGAATTTGGAGCTCACCCAGGGAAACTATTTAGAGCAATCAGAAAACCGGCATGGCTCCAAGTTAATAATTATTCCGCGTACCTGGGTGCGGATTTAATGGGAACTAATTACTCGACCAGGTGGCTGGCTAAAAGACCCTATTTGGGCCACTCCAAAGGTCGACACTCCTGGAAATGAATAATTATTTGCTCATCGGGGGGTGTCCGATTTTAGTGAAAATTAACAAGCCCCGAGTTAATTGACCGACCAAACGGGAAGTATTTGTCCCAAGCGAAATTCTGGCATTACGCCAAGTCAGTCATTATTTACTCATATGTTTGTACAAATCTAACGAGGATCGATTAGCGAGGACTCAATTGCCTAAATGGAGGAAAATGGGAGGTAGGTAAATTAAATGAATAGTCTGCTTAAAAAGCATTGCCTAAGTCCAAAGAAGCGAGTCAAATAAAATTCAATTAAAATTCGTCCGTTTGGTAAAAAAAAAAATATTCCGTTCAAATCGATCGTCCGAAGAGGGACACGGAGCGACGCCGTTTGCGTTCCTCAAGCGAAGGCTAAAAGTTCCTCGATAGCTGTACGCATGTATAAAATCGTTTAACTATCACCTTCGAAGTATATTCAGCATCGGTCCATGTCGCTCTTTATTCATTGGAACTTATGGCAGCTCAAGGAGAGTAAATAATATGACGAAAGACGATCTCGAGATCGCAGCTAGAGCTCTTTCACCCTTTCGACCTCGTGTCGATGCCGCAAGAAGCAACGTAAAAATGTCAATAGACAAGAGCCTCGTCAATAGACCCACCGTCCCGTCGAGCTGAGAATTCCTCTTCGCTTTCCTTCCGCGACGTGCAAATTTAAACTCGCGAGGGCGCGCGGTGAAATTAACATATTAGGCAAGACAGAAAGTTACCCTACATCGGCGATCACTATTCTTAAGATTTAATTCCCGTTACGGTCAAGTCGAGATCCGTAAAGTGTTTCCAATACTCCATTACCTTCGCCAACAACTCCGCAAGAATTCGGGGCTTTTCGGGAGGAGTTTACGAACGCGTTCTCGTTTGCGGAGCACTGAGACCTTTCACGCCGGATTTTTTTTAACCCCGTCGGGGAGCCAACATTTTTATAAAAATATCTTCCCCCGGCAGTGCCAAGATTCCGGAGATTTTCCGGCGAAAGAGGGGTGTCCCGACTTTGGGGGCAGAAAGTCACGGCTCCGAGAACTTAATTTTTTTCTTTCAGAATTCATCACCGGATGACCAGTTTTTCCAAGATAGCCAGGAATACCGCAAAATCGACAAAAACACGTCCGTTGAAGCAGGAGCAAACATATTTTTCCCTCGCGACCACGGGACGGGTACTAATATATATTCCCGAATTTCAAATTAATCTTACATTTCACGAAGGTCCGTTTCAAGGAAACTTCACACCTACGAAAGCCTCATAAACCGTGTTACGCTCGACACTAAACTAGTCTCGAACATCACCCCGACCAGGTCAAGCGGAAGGTGTCCGATCCAAATCGCCTTATTTCGTAACGAGGCGGTATTTTTATTCGCCCATAAGTCCGGGCGTTACGTGAACGCACCCCCTTGTCCTGCCTCGGTTCCTAAGCTCCAGCCCCGCGTGCTAATTTTTCTCAAATTTCATGAATTTTCCCTCGTCAGAATTAACGCGATCTCCTGATTTCCCTTTGCGAGCGAAAGCCAAGGGGACGACCAAACGGAGATCGTGCCCCCCCTGAAAGCAAAACACCGTCGTACCCCAAATCGAGGGTTCGAGGCCAATCCGAAAAAACGCGGACTTAAGATATTCCGCAAACGGAGATCGTGCCCCCCTGAAAGCAAAACACCGCCGTACCCCAAATCGAGGGTTCGAGGCCAATTTGAAAAAACGCTGGCTTAAGATATTCCGCAAACGGAGATCGTGCCCCCCTGAAAGCAAAACACCGTCGTACCCCAAATCGACGGTTCGAGGCCAATCCAAAAAAACGCGAGCTTAAGATATTCCGCAAACGGAGATCGTGCCCCCCCTGAAAGCAAAACACCGCCGTACCCCAAATCGAGGGTTCGAGGCCAATCCGAAAAAACGCGGACTTAAGATATTCCGCAAACGGAGATCGTGCCCCCCCTGAAAGCAAAATACCGCCGTACCCCAAATCGAGGGTTCGAGGCCAATCCGAAAAAACGCGAGCTTAAGATATTCCGCAAACGGAGATCGTTCCTCCCCTGAAAGCAAAACACCGCCGTACCCCAAATGGAGGGTTCGAGGCCAATTTGAAAAACCGGCCTCGGGTCTCCCCGTCGAATTCCCAAGTTACGCCGACTTGGCGGCGAGGAGCGCTTAACGAACCGGCGATTCCGGAGCCACCTTCGCGCCCGGTAGCTCGGAAGCGCCGGACCTCGTGGCGAGACGGCGCTTCTGCTCGTGGTTACGTGGACGCGAACCACCCTCGGGCACCCGCGCACTCACTTCGGCGAACTCGGATACTTGCCGGGGACGGAGCGACGATCGGCTAGGCGTGGACCGACGGAGAGGCTCTCAGAGCATTCGGCCGGGAGGGGAACGGCGCACTGATCGCGGACCGGGGCGACCGGGGCTGCGCGACGCGAAACGGTGTCACGAAATGCTCTGCCAAAGGCGATCGGTCCCTGGCCACAAATATCCCCGCCCCGCCTAGACCGCGGCGGGCTCGATCTATTTACTGATCGATCTATTTAGATCGAGCCTCGATCTCGCGATTCCGCGGACTCCGGGGTCCGCGTCGACCGGCCTCGCGCTCAGGGTGAACCCGGTGGTCAAGGCTCGGCGGAGTCGCGAAATGCCCGATGGGAGAAGGAGGGTCTTTTCTCGAAATTGGAAGGAGACCTCGGCCGGTGGATCATCCAAAATAGCTGACATTTCGGGGAAGATGACGAATCGATGACCCCGTTTGCGGAATTCCCGGAGACGCGGAGGGTCCGCGAGGTACGGCGACGATGAATCCTTTTTTTTTCTTTCTTTTCGGACGTTAATCTCTCGTGGAACCTCGGGCCAAGATTCCTCGCCACGCGTGGGACCGGGACTATTTCTTTCGCGGAGTTACGATCCTCCGAAGTTAGAATTAAGTTTCGTGGCACGTATAAATGCGATTTTTCCTCGTTTTCCGGTTTCCCCGTCCCACCCCCCGCAGGTTTCTTCGGTCGTTGGTCCCTTGCGACGCCTCCGCCGATGTCTTGAATTATCCGAGGAACCGAAACTGTCCGCGACGTCTCTCTGCCGAAGTTAGAATTACGCTCCGAACGTCCCGAAAAATGTGCTCTTTTCGCACTCTCGACGTCCCACGGCCGTCGACTTTTTTTTTTTTTTTCTCATTCAATGGCAATCCTTGAGACCTCGCGTCGACGTTCCGGGCCGGACGAAAGGACGTGTAATTTATTTTCGCAAAGTTATGAACTTCTTACCCTTCCCGACCTCGGTAGCGATAGCCGTCCACGGCACGTATCGTCCTCTGCAGGGAAATTCAAGATAGCGAAAAGTAGATCCGACTCGACGGAACCTCGCGAGATGGCAGCACGGAAATAGTTTTCTCGCGCGGCCACTAGGTGGCCGAAATTCGTCGATAGCTGCGAAACATGGACGATGTTCGCTCTTCGTTACTCTCTACCTCGGCTTGAAATCGTGCGTTCAAATTTTCGGGGCCTGCTGAGGCTTACCGTATTTTTTGTATTCCCGAGATCGCTGCGAAAAGATAATAAATAAAAGCACGAAACAAACGAATAGGGTGAGCATTTATAAAATTGCGTAACGCGTATAATTATATTAGTTGAATTTATGTAATGTCAATGTAACCCCATTTTAGGAAAATATTTTAAAAAGAACTAATGTCACGTTTCCAGGGATTTCAATTAAGTTACTTTTGAAATGTTTAATCAATTTTAAAATATCGACAAGGTAAAACGTATTAAAATTCGTTGACTCCGTTAATCTTGTTCTTAAACTATTTACAGAACCGACAGGATGAGCGTCCTACTTTTGGTTTCGACTGTGAATTGCTTTTTGGGCTATGTGGCCCCGATTACGATAAGATACGTAAGTTGATTTATGCGGTGCATCCTGTGCCCACAATTTTATTTAATCGTGTCCCTGCCCAAACGTGGCCTCGTTTATTTTCTTAATATCTATTTTAATAAGTCGTATTTAAATGTCACTTAGATAATGACACAGCTGTTCTCTGGAGTCAAAGTGGATCAGTCTCTACGTGCCGAACTGTACGCTTTAAAACGAGAACTAGCCGGCATCTCGATGGTAGATGAATTTTCAAAATATGCTAAATTACAAAGAAAGTATAACAAATTGGAAGAGGAATTAAAGATGAATAGTATGTCCTTTGTAAAAATTAAGAAAAATAAATTCGAATACGAATATATAAATGTAATGATAATCGTTTAAATTAATTTCTAGTGAACTTACGATTCTCTTCTAAAGTGAAGACAAGGCTCACCGTCAATTTTGCATTTAAAGTACTTAATGTAAGTACAATTTTCCATTTGTTTAAAAAATAAAATAATCAGTGTTGAATGTAATTCCACAATTAATTTTTAACTGTATAGGAACTTACGACGATGACCCTGCTGTATTTCTACCGCAGTTCACCTGTCATTGTCCTACCAAAAGGAACGCTGTGGCCGCTCGAAGGCTTCTTCAAATGGCCCTGCTCGCAAGAGGGTGCCATATCCCTTCTTACTTGGGTTATCATTACAAGGCTAGTCGTATCGACTATCAAACAAAAGGATAAATCCTAATATTAAAAACTACGACACGAGGATGAATAACCCACCAATTTTTTTTAACTTGTATATAGTAAATTAACGTGTTATAAGAAATAAATTTGTAAAGAACAAATTCGCTGTTTAAATTCCATGGGAAAAAAAAAAAAGCAAAACAAACTTTGTAGCCGAATCTTTGGGGGGAAGGCCGAGATGCATTTTTGAGCAGTGCCAAATAATCTTCGAAGCTCATCGGTGTAGTAGCAAAAGAATGGGTGTGTATTGCGTCAAAAGCACGAGTAAAATACATCATATGTAATTGAGAAACGTATTTGCATATAATAATTATAATTGTTAATAAGTAATCACTTAGACGGCTCAACAAAACTCGTATCGCGCGTGTCCTTTTGTCGTGCCTCCGCGCGCGCGGAGTATCCGTACAACATAATACAACGCTTACCCGGGAATTACGTACCGCGCAAAGTCGGACATATCCGTGTCCTTGTATAACAAAAAGAATCGAGGCACGCGGGATGCAAGTCTTTCCCCGATACTCTAAACGATGCTCGGACGTGTCAACAGACTACAAGCGTTGTCGTTACTTGCATGAACGCGTCTTACACCACCGGCCTTCGCCCTGTACCCCTTCGCAACGACCCTTTGCTGAACGACATAAAGTTCAATCGGAGCTAAACGCTAGAACCATCCGCAGCATGTACCATCTATGTCAAAAGACACTTCTGAAAATTACGGTCGAGCTACTGACGTCACGACTCCGAAAGTAGCTACGCGAGAACAATTTGAAGGGACCGAGACATCCAAAAAGAAGAAGGCCTGGTCGTCGTATAATTTCCTAGTCCGATATTTTCCGTTACTCCAATCTCGTGCCCGTCGTCGAACGATAAAAAGGCCTTCGCGGAGTAACCGATGCAGAAAATTCGAGCCCCCCAAAGACTCGAAGAACGGGAAAGCTCGATGCCTCTCAGGGGGTAATTCTGGACTAATCGTTAAGAATTACATATCCAATTTCTGCAGTTCACCGTTACATCGTTACCGTGACGATTACAGACATTAAACGACACCTTAACACATCTAGTAGCTATGGCTTGTTCCCCGGTATACTCTCTCATCCCATGCACATTGAGGCTACATCGATACCGACTACTACCACCGATCCGGATTACCGAAAACGGAGAAATTACCCAAGTATTCCCATACAAAATCGTCATAGTACAAGTGAAATAGAGAGACCGGCACGCTTTCCCCTGTTAAAAATCCCAGGTAAATACGAAGAAACTGAAAACCTGGGAAACGACTACCCGGCAGTGTGGATATCTCGCCGTTCCCTCAGGAACGGTCGATCACCTATAGTACGCCTCGCAATATTCCCTATACGAAAATTTCCTAACGCGTCCCTTAGGTCATTCCAGAAATTCTTACGTTTTCACAGGTTCCACGGGGTGGTTTTACAGAAAACCTCGGAACACGGAATCGTCCAAGAACGGGAGATCCCTCCGAGCGGGAGTCCCGATTTTGCGCGCTTTTAGACCGGCGAAGAAGCGTCCGTTGATACGTTACACCGTGACGTGGGGTTCCACGTGAAAGGATCGTTAAACGGCGCGAAGCCGTCGCTAGAATTCGCCGTTAGAAAATAAAGCTTTGCGCGCTTTCGGAGATGGTCGACGGTGCGGAGGTGTAGGCTCCGCTGCACCTAGAACTCTCGACGTTGCTCCCACCTTGATGCGACTCTACCTCACGACTAACCACACTAATTAGGCGACCCTTCGAAACAAGAAAGAAAAAAATATATATATATATTTTTAACCTAACATCCAAAGTGTTTTAATATATATATATATATTTCATGTATTCATATGTATTTCGTTATATCGTTACCAAGTAGTCGAAGATACGGTAAATAGTAGCACGTCGGGCCTGCCCCTTTCTCTCTTTCTTTCGATGATGGAAATTATTCCAGACGTGGAAAACTACATATTCGAACGTCGAAAGGACACGGACGAACTGGACTCGAACATAAATTATCGATAACGGTGACACGTTGCGTTTTCGCTCTCCAAGTCGGAGCATCGACGTGCTCCTCTTTACCGTACTCAATGTTTAACGTTAGAATAATATATGGAAGGCGCAAGCGACACACCGATACTTGTTACTTTTATCCCTCCCCTTTCTCTCTGTCGTCTTTCTTTATAGTAATTGTAGGACACCGAGCCAAAGGCCGACCTGGCGTCGACGCGCGAGCTCCCTTTGCGAAACGGCGCCGCCATGCAGACCTGGCTATATACCTCGAATAATTAAACCTCGATCTTGCCCGACAAGTACTCGCGTCCAACGAATATTAAACGGCTAATGCACAATAATCGACGAAGGTTGCAGAAATCGACCGGATGCAGAATCGAGCGAAGACGTTTCTCGGCCGAGGCCAACGATCGTCGATCGAGAGGTTCCTCCGAGGGAAATTATTCCAATTACATCCCCAGGTCTGTCGCCGTAAATATATATTTATATATATGTATAATCGTATGTATCGACTTCGCTCGAGAAATACCGAAAGTCGGCTGCGAGGTTAAACGCGACGTGTTACAATAATTCCGCCTTCATCCCACTTTTTTTTTTTTTAGCGAGCTCCCGCTCGCCCCCCGAACCGCGAATTCGCCTAGTTCCCTTCCCGTAACGATTAAGCGGATATCACGAATCGTTTATTAGTCCTTAAACACCGTGTCTCGCTCCTCGGGCCCCGAGGGCTGGGCTCGGGCGTTCCGACGCTAAGAGTCCTTTTTCTTTTTCTTTTTTAAAGCGTATCAAACGTGACGTAAAGTCATTTCGCGTGCAGAATTTTATCGATCTCGTATACTGAGTGGGCCAACTGGATGGATCGACCAGGACATCTCCCAACCCCCGGGTATCTATTTGAAATAGTTTCACACGAACCGATCTCCCTTCGTTAAAATATCCCCGAAGACGCTCCGTCCTCGATCAACGACCAACGAAGCGTCGAACGGTCGATTAACGTCTTGACTCGTGCACAAAAGCTACTCCAAGTAGGTACCCAGGTCCGCGTGCGAGACACGACCACGCAAAAGCTCTTCCGAGAGCTTCGAAAATTCTCCCCTACCAACAACGAATAACTGCACGGAGTAAAATGCAATGAATTCCCAACAATACACCTCCCCCTCTCGCAACGAAAAGAACCCTCGGATCGATAAGTCGAGTAACCATCACCCGGGCATTAAAAAAGAAAAAAAAAATGGTAAAAAAAGATAAACGGACACAGCCCCGCTTCTACGCGCTCCCGATTAGGGCGGATTAACGAGGAATGCGAAGCGGCCCCCTTCCAACGAGAGAATATCACTATCAAAACGTACAACTACGGTTAGGATAAAATGAGAAATGCAACGCAACGTCGTCTCTCCGCTCGCCGAGGATCTCTCCGAACGAGGCTCGGCGGAGCCGAAGAGCGAACACGAATTACGAATTCTAGAGGTGCCTTCTCCTTCCCGCTAATATCTAATTCCAAATAGACGACCAACGAAACGAGGAAACGAACGACCGAGAAAAAAAAAAAAAGGGAACGGATTCCGAGGAAATTTAGACGTTCTCGTAAATACTGCTTGACGCCGCGTCACCGGCGAATCGACGCAACGTGCTTTGCGTGCACTTAATTCTTTTTCTCTTTTTCTTCTTTTTCCGTTTTCGTTTTTATCTTCATTTTTCGTCCCTTTTTCTCGAAACGCAAGGGAGACGTACCACCTCGACGCAAGTTTTGCGAGGCACCATCGGAAGAAGAAAGAAAAGTAAAAACGGGGGGAGAAACGATACGCGAAGGTCGACGCGGCCACGCTCTCTCAGCCGGCGTCTCGGTCGAGGATCGATGAGAGCAAGCGCGGCCCGGGCGGCCGTTCGCAATCGAAAACAACGAAACGGGGCCTGACGTAGTTGATCGCGTTCGCCTCGTGATTACGCCTTGGTGATGTCCATGGGCGAGCCGCCGGTGTTTGCCGAGGTGTTTTGCAAGGTTGGCCCGGGGCTGACAATGGTCGGCGGAATCGCCGGCTTGACGAATCTGTCGGACGTGCGCCTGCCCGAGGCCGCCACGACGTGACCCTGGATAGGAAAGGGGACGTATTAAACTCCTCTTCTATTTCACTACGGGTACTTGATTCCTAAGAGTCTTAAAGTAATGAAGAACATTTACTCCTGATGGAGGCGACGAGCCGGAAAATGGCAGCGTTATCAGTTGACCGCAAGCGTAACATCGATTGGCGTTGAAGTTCTCGCGTGATGTCGAACCGACTATATTTATGCCTGAAAAATAAGCGCGTCCGATACGTCAAATGACCCAATCGAATTGATAGAGTGGAAGTGCCTCGAGAGGTGTATCGCGGTACCTGGACTGAGAGGTCTGGAAGAACTGGGTGACGGGTTGTAAGGCACCGGACTGGAAACGGTGCGGTTTCGTATGTTGCCGCCGGACATTACGATCTCGTTGTAATGACGTTCTTCCTCCATTTCTAGGCTATATGGATAAAAACGAGATTTACGAAAATTTGCTATTAAGCACGGACAGCCGAACGTTCGAGTATTTACCTGGATTCTGATTCCGAAAGATGTCGACAGAGTGCCTCGCGTCGTTCCACCTCGAGCTGCAACTTTCTCTGAAGTCTCAAATTCTCTTCGCGAATGTGCTTCTCCTCGTTTACATACCGCTGCATCTTCTCAGTATCTGTGACGACAAAGAGCTTCTTACATATTTTTTTCGGAAGCTACATTTTTTACTTTCATTTGAGCCATCTTAACTATTAGTAAATAATCGATACCAAGGGAAAGGAAAGCAACGTACGTTCTTGCTGCGAGATAAGCAAAGTATGCCTCAATCTTGCCACTTCGCTTCGCAGAGTCTGAATGTGCGTACTTAAGTTGGTGGCAGTATCTCCATTGTTGATCTCTCGTGGAGAAGTAGGATCGGATACGGGCTGGTCGAGCTTAATTTGAAGCATTCTCTTCTCAGCTTCCAATTTATCCATTCTTTTCCATAATTTGTTAACCAATGCCTCTTGTTCCTGCTCGAGAGTATTCTCCAACTCTACTTTCTCTCTGCGCAACTGCTCCAAGTTGCTCTGCTTCGCTAAAGTTTCTGCTTCGAGTTTCTCGATTTTTCGCATCAGCTTGTTCACCAGGCACTCTTGTTCTTGCTCCAGTGTCTGCTCCAAACGACATTTCTCTTGACGTAACTGATTCAGCTTGCGGGATAAGTCGTTCGTTAGGCATTCCTCTTCTTGTTCGTAATGGTGAGCTAACGTTTCTTTCTCCTTTTTCAGAGCCTGAATCTTTTTCAGCAGCGTGTTACTGATGTACTCCTCTTCTTGTTCAGCCTTTGCTTGCTGCGAGATGGAACAAAATTATATACATTAAGCAAACGAGTTGCTTGCATGTTAACTAGCAACTCAAATATTGCACTTTTTACAAAATGATGTCAATAGGAAATAAACAGAAAATAATCTAATTCCCTAAATATTGCTTTAATGCAACCTCATTTCATACCCATGATAACTAATCATTACTTGAATTGCACGATTGGACTTTAGAATGCTATAAGATCGAAATTTAAACCATTGTTCACTTTGATCTGAATACACGGCATTAATTTATCACAGAATATTTTCGCTTTGACTTTGATATTGGCAGAACCGTTATCAGTTGTACCAACATATATATTGCTTCGACCACCGTTACTTAATAGATGCGACACGAGTGGCTTGGATAGCAACAACAAAAATTGGACCAAATCTCGCACCAGGTCTATACGATTCGCACTTAAAAACGTCAAAGGAAATAAGAACGTGTCTTCGAGATATCCTTCAATAACGAAATATGCTCTCGAGACGACTTATGGTACTTCTCACAAAGGGCCTCGATACCCGGCTTATTCCACCCCGAATTAAAACGTACTTATCCAACGCATGACAATATCCACAGAAATTTATATGAAAAAGAAACAAGCTGATCTTTGTGCTGCAATCGACACAGGCTCTAGCGGTGTAACCATTGGCCATAAAAGGTCACGCAAGTGATAGGCTCAAAGCTCTTTTCAAATCGGATTTAAGTAAGAAGAGTTATTTCCCGAAAAGGCGTGGATCGCCCCCGACCTAGTCTAATAGGTTAGGTCCTCCGTAACTGGAGCAAGAGAAAAGCCGTTGGCCTTACAATGATGACAGAGGCTTGGCGAAGTCCGCGGTTCTCTTCCTGCAGAGCCTTGACGCGCAGCTTGTAGGTCTCCAACTCGACCTTGAGGACGCGGTTCTGCTGCTGCAGAGACTCGATCCTCTTCTGAAGTTGCTCCCTCGTAACCGGCGAGGGTGGCATCATGATCGGGCCTCCGTCGATCGAGCTCGAGTCGCTCTCGGACGCGCTGTCGCGGTCAGCCATTTTCCTCGGCCGAAGGATTCCAGCGAAATCTCGAGCTGATGCGACTATTTCATGTCACGTAACCTCCCGAATTGTGCGAGTCGGTGCGTGTCCTGATGCCTAGTTCTCGCAGACTCACTGCGGGCGCATTACTTATCCCGGAAAACCAGAATTTACGAGCGCTCACTTGCCGCACGGAACATGTGCTTCTCTTTCGACCGAGATGGATCAGCTGTTTGATCGTCCACCAACTGCTTCGAAAGTAGTAACGCGTCCGGCGTGTTCCGAAAGACAGGGCGTCAGGTTCCCGGCTGAAACATATGGACAAATGACGAAGAATCGTGTATGCTCTTTCCAAGCTCCCACTAGGTGGCAGCACGGTAGCGCATTAGTTTAAAATAATTTGAAACTCATCCGTTTGATTGGCACTTCCTGTAATACTAATTTTGTGCGGGTGTTCGGGCGTATTAATACGCAGTGCAACTGATGAGGGTACTATTAAACACAGGTAAGCGATTGGTGTACGTACATACATACAACAAACGTCATCGCGGTAAAAAATGGCACTTGTCGCGCTTGCAATCAAATGCATCTGACAGTTTGAATTATAATTTTAACTGACACACGTTGACGTAAGACAATTTTTTTTCTATAATTAAATGGACCTTCAAAACTCCCCGGGAGAACGGGAAGTGTCGTATCACGTGTCATTCAGAAATTTAAAATCCCCGATTACTCTAATTGAGCGGATGAATTACTTTAATGGATGACTATTTGAAACACGATTCGAATATTGCATGTGAATTTAACGCAGATTTTTTTAAATTGAAGTGGTTCGCTTGGTTTTATCCGATAAGAGCTACTCCTGTGCCATGATAAATCCTTATCTCTAGACCCATGTAGAAGCTAGTACAATAAAGTGAACCAATGTTTTGTTAATTAGATAAGCAGTTTTGTTGTAAATTTGCACAGATGTCGAATATGTCTGCTACAAAGCAGCTGGTGCTAGGCATAGATGTAGGAACTACATCTGTAAAGGCCATCTTAGTATCGATAGATTCTAAAGAAATAATGGCAAAACAATCGAAGGATACCCAAGCAAACGTGCCAAGTGATTTAGGAGTAGAAGGAAATAAGCAAGACGTTCCTAAGATTCTCTCTACGGTCCATAATTGTATTTCTCGTCTTCCCAAAGATCTATTACGTCAGGTATAATTGTTTTGTAAATTAAAATTCTTCCCTTAGATGCATAAAATATATTAAAGTCATTTCAAGTTCAATTCATGTAAAGTTTTCTACAAAACCCAAAGCTTGTAGTTTGCATCGTTTAGAAGTAATAATATTATACATTGTTACACCAAAAATTTGAATATAATCCTAGGTTCAATTTATCGGGATATGTGGACAAATGCACGGTGTAACATTGTGGAAGTCAGACAAATGTGTTCATAAAGAAGATACTGTTTTTAAACTGGAAATCAGCCGAGATGATGTTTCAAATTTATATACATGGCAAGATGGACGTTGCGATGAAATGTTCTTAAAATCATTGCCTAAATCAGCAAGTCACCTTCCAATTCATACTGGCTATGGATGTGCTACTCTATTCTGGTTTGCCAGAAATAAGTTAGCATCTTATTACTACTCTACAAGGGTATATCAAAAAGATAAAGCAAGTGATAGATGTTAGTCTTATGGAATCTTAACTTTACTTTTTCATTTACCCTTGCAAAGTAAGGCACTACGGATAGATATCTAATATTATGTTCTACAATTCTGATGCCTTGGCCTAATAGAGATAATTGTAATATCTTAAAATTACTTTTTAGACCAGAAAAATTGCAGAAATATGACAGATGTGGCACCGTACAGGATCTTGTGGTTGCCTTATTATGCAGTAATGACGAGGTTGTAATGAGTACCCAAAATGCAGCTAGCTGGGGATATTTTTTAACAGAGAAAAACGAATGGGAAAAAACTGCTTTGTCAGAGAGTGGATTTCCACTAGATCTCTTGCCATCCAAAATATCTTCTGGAGGAATTGCAGGCAATTTAGTGCAAACTTGGTTTGGAATACCAGCAGGCACTCCGATTGGTAAGTTCTGATATTAATTAATAGTACACAAAAGTTATATCTTTTTTCTTTTACCTAATAGGAGTAGCATTGGGTGACTTGCAATGTTCTGCCTACGCTTTGCTGAAAGAACCAACCGATGCCATACTCAATATTTCAACATCAGCCCAAATTGCATACGTGCATTCGTCTTTCCAGCCGGAAACCATAACTGAGTCTGGTAAAATGTGAAAAATATATTCTATGTATAATTATTTGAAATACATTAATATAACTTTTTATATTTTATAGAGAAAATCGAGTACTTTCCATATTTTCATGGCAAGTACATTGCTGTCGCAGCTTCATTGAATGGTGGGAATTCATTGGCTGCATTTGTAAAGGCACTTCAGCAATGGGCGTTAGATCTTGGTTTTTCAGTGCCACAATGTTAGTTCTTACACTGAACCTTAGTATAAATTATTCTCACACTTCTTAAAATCATAATTTGGTTCAATAATTAATATAATTTTAGCTAAAATTTGGGAGAAATTATTAACTCTCGGAAGTGATGATTCCTCGATTACAGAAATGGAAATGATTCCTACTTTATTAGGAGAACGCTATGCTCCCAAACAAACAGCCAGTGTTAGTGGAATCACATATGACACTTTGCAGCTGGGACAGATTTTTCGATCACTTTGTTCCGGAGTTATAAAGAATCTTCATAAGTAAGTGAATTCATATGTAATATTGTGATTTCAAGAATGAACTGTACTTCGTTTTTAGTACGATGCCACAAACTGTACTGAAAGATGCCCAAATTACTCGGATAGTTGGAAATGGTTCTGGACTTGTTCGGAATCCTGTCTTACAAAAAGAAGTATTACGGTGGTACAATTTGCCCCTAGAAATGGGACATTCCGGAGATGCTGCTTTGGGTGCAGCTCTTGCCATTACCTATTCATAGAAATTGCCTACTTCACTAAAATAGTATTACCAAAATAGTATAGTATGTATGACAGTGGAGGAATTTTTAGTCTGTTTATATTAAATAAAAAAGAGAAACTAACTAAATGTTGATTTATTTATAAAAGTAAGCAAAGTTATTAAATGGCTGTTACCCCTTGTATTCACGATTATTTTAAATAACAGTGGTATTACAATTCTGACCATCTTAAAGTTAAAATTTTAAAACTATAGTTCTCGATTCCATCGCCAGACCGTAGCATCGTCACATACACAAAGTAATACAGAACCGTCCCGACTTAAACTGGTTTGACGAATAGGTGCAGTACACCGAGGATGCTGAAGGGAACAGCAACGCGCCTGACCAGGTTCGTCAACCTCCAAGTCCCATACATACGTTCGACCTACTTGATTTCCTAGTGCAATGGTTCTTTGCCAAAAATCCATCGAAAATCGAATGAACCAGATGTCACATTCTTTAAATTCAAAACGGTGAAGCACAGTGGCACTGATTTCACCACTGCGCAACTGAACATCCTCGAGTCTTCCAGGTTTCCAACACACTATACAATTTTCACAAGACTTACTTAAAATAAAATTACCGTACCATTTTACACAGTCCACATAGTTACGATGCACGTCACGAGTTGTAAAATCTGGAAAATGCTGAAGTATGGAATCGAATGGTCGTCCATTACGGGTTGGATTGCAATAATATGACTGTTTGATGGCTTCCTGCATGTCAGGTTTATCAAGAGACCACAGCTTCAAAGCATGGTCCATACCACAAGAAATTATTCTCTGTCCTTTCATATCAAAATCTGCACTTAACACTTCATCCCTGTGGCCCTCGACACCACCAAATATTGCAATACATACATCCGATTTAATATTCCACAGACGAAGAGCATGATCCTTGGATGCAGAGAGCAAAATATTAGGATCTCTGGGATGAATTTTTAGCTCATTAATCGCATGACCATGACCAATATAATGTTTTATACATGTCATGGTTACAGGGCTGATCACCCTGACAACACCACGAGAGCCTGCCACTGCCAATAAGGGTTTACCAAACTCATCATAAGTCCATACACAAGTATAAAAATTTTCCTCTGTATCTGGATCTGCATAACATTGACGCAATCTAATATTACCTTCCTCTGGGCATTCATAAATGCTCACTCTGTTGCTTCCTACGGAAGCAAATATCATAGGTTCTCCTTCTTTTAAATGATGATTGAACTGTACACCAAATAATGGCTGCCCATGATCTTCTTTGACACTGCAGCAGTACTTGTACAATGGTTTATCGTTGCAAGGTTTGTTCTTGGCTGTCTTACTGCGACGACGACCTTTTCTTTTGTAACGTGCCGTTCTTGTTGGGGTATCACTTCGATGAGTACCTGCTGTAGAATTACTACCGATACTACACTCAGTCTCATCGCTATCATTTTCACTATCCTCTTGACTCGAGGCATAAGTGTGCGATTTCCCACTTAGTTTCTTCATCCTTTCTTTGTTTGGAGCTTCACCAGGATGCTGTTACTATGAACTGATAATTTTCATAGTTGGAACTTGTAGATAATGATATATAAATCATTTGTGCCCTATGAAATTATTAATGTACCTTATTCGTAACGATGAATAGAATCCAGTAATGGTATTCCACTTGAAAGTCCTAATTTAGTTTCTGCTACATTTATTATTCTATTCCCTAATTCAATACAATCCTTGGAATCCTAAAAGAGATTCAAGCTCAATAAGTTGTACCCAAAAGATTCTTCATTTCTCAACTTACCGATACCTTGACTGGGAAGATATATAGATTGTAATTGTTGCGCAGTTGCCATTCATGAAATCTCTGTCCCATAGCACTTGGTTCGCTACTGCAATCTACTAAACATGCACATCCAGTGAGTATAAAATGATCATCTACTTGAAGAATGGCTTCTTCCAACTGCAAAAAATATTGAACAATTCAAGAAAATAAACAATTTTACTATATCATCTAATTAGCGTATAACCTACAAATCATAACACGATGGAGCATCCATTTTAAATTAACAACTTAAAACCATACAGAAACTATAATTATATTACTACAAATGATAATAAACAATTGTAACATTTAAACAAAGAAGAAAATTATAAGATAATACGCTCTGGAGGTTTTCAGACACATTCATCCAAAATGTTCTATTAATGATATCGATTTAATTGAAAGATTTCAAAAATCTACCTGAGACAGGGCGTGCCTAACTCTGCAATCAAACGCAAAAATAATAAAGTCGACACCCAAATTCGGTCTTGCTTGTAGAACCTCGGTAACAGATTCACATTGATGCACCGCTACACGACGATTTCTTTCCTTCGCATTTTCATGCAAGCTCTCGGCGATCTTCTCACACAAATCTCCTTTGGCCACGATCTGGAAAAGTTGCACGTTACTCACGTACGATTATCAAAATTACACAATCAAGACTAATTGTACGCACTAAGAAAGAAATGTAGAACTCGTCATTACGGACTGTACAACTTTTCAGGACTCCCGCCATTGTGAGGAATATAAGCTATTATGCGCCATTTTTTATTATCGAATCACTCTCGATTCTCTCGATTAGTCGATTATCATGAATTTCAATTCGCGGAACAATAATTCCACCATGTCGGATTACTAGACCGGAAGTGCTAGTGATCTCGTTTTTTCATATAGCGAATACGTAATTCGGCGCACAAACCCACGTGAGATGAAAATGCGAGAAGTGAGCGCTCTCGTCAAAAATACGTAATAAACGCCCTAGTTTGCGATGTAGCCAAAAGTTTCATGAAAATCATCGTCAATAATCGATCGTCTCCCACCATAGGAGTTTCCAGCCTATATATTTTGCTGTATATATGACCGTGGCTTAAAGATATGCCTGGATATATCTGGATATATCCATCGTATGGCATGGACTTGGTAGCACCGATTTAAATCAAGAGCAAATCGTGTCTTTACATTTTGTGTCGACTTACAGAATCGTCGTAGGCAGTGTCATAACGCCTAGGCCCTGTTAACTTGCGTTTTGGAATTATGAAAAGCCTACGAATACCGCGAAATCATGGACATAAAATGACAGAAAATCAACCATACAAAATGTACGTATTTCAGCCATTTGTATTCATGAAACAAAATGCGAGAAGTGTGGAGCATCCACAAGCCAGGAGTGGCCACAGGATTGCCTGCGATGAGAAGAACTTGTACTCCTATGGTGGATTTAATCCTGGCATAATGGACGATGATCCTGACATGAGAGACGATCATACATGGAACTTGAGTAAGCCCCTCTTCAAGGAGCTTTGGAAATTCAATCTCGTAACACGTAACTGGAAACGTCTACCGAGACAAGAGAATATGCCAAATGAGGTAGCTTCGAATGCGATCATTTTAAGGGGAGATGCATTAATAGTTCACGGAGGAACAGGTATACCGTTTGGTAGCACCTGTACAAATCAAGTTTATGTTTACGATGTGAAAGATGGTTCAATGCGAATAGTGCCAGCTACAGGGAACATGCCAGAACCACAGTATGGACAAGCAATTATTTATCATGATCATTATTTATATACTGTTGGTGGCACAACAGGAATTGTTTACACTTGTGACATCCATCGATTCAATTTGAGAACCGGAATTTGGGAAAATGTGTATATATGCATGGGTAAAGATCAAGCTGAGCCAAAAGGAAGGTATCGTCATGAGCTAGCATTTGATGGAAAAAGGATTTATGTTTTGGGTGGTGGTACAGCTATGGAAGCGTTTGGTTTTGCTGTAAGTATTATAGATTTATTTTTTATTCCATATATACAGTATCTATTTAATTCAATATAAATTAACACAAGGGATTTACTTTCCAGGAAATGCCAACTTTCGATTTAGAAAGTAACAGATGGATTACTTTGAATACCCACGGGTCAGACGAATATGACTCAATTCCTGCACCTAGGCGTTGCCATGGTTTGGTACAATACACGGATGAACTTACTGGTGTTATATCGGTAGTCATTTCTGGCGGTTATGATGGCACACGCGTCTTCAGTGATGTTTGGAAATTAAATCTAAAACTTCTTCAATGGACACGTTTACTAAAATGCATTTTACCTTGTCCGGTGTATTTTCATTCAACGGCTTTGACTCGTGAGGGTTGCATGTACACATTTGGAGGAATTATTAGGATTTCATCTGAGGTAATTTTTTTTTTTTTTTATTAATCAATTGTATTTATTAACAGCGTTGACAAAACATCTTTATGTTTCAGTCACACAGAACTGATGCACTTTATTCTGTTTGGTTGACAATTCCAAAATTATCAGAAATTTGCTGGGAGGCTTTAAATTTTTATAACCAAAATTTATGGAGGAGAACACCAAGTGAACTACTTCGGATGGGTGTGCCATTAAAATTTGTAAGAAGAATCGAGTAAGTTTAGTTGTAGGTAGAATTTTTAGAAACAATCTAGAGTGATTGTCACTCAGACTGGTGTTTTGAAATATTCATTGCACTGACATTTATTGTTAAATTTTATTATCATGTTTAATTTATAATATTTTTACAAAGCCTTATATCTTGATCATGTTGAGGTAGGGAGAAAATACTGTCGATAGATTGCATTGACATTTTTCTGAAAATTGTATATTGATATTTACCATCGATTCCTAAATCTGTCGAACATTTGTTCTAATATATTTATCACGCTTTAAAAGCTCGGCATAACACTGAATATGCTTGCATAATAACTTGGTTGACACGAAAGATTTATATAAGAACAATCTGTTCTAAGTATTCTTGTGTGTAAAGTACAGAAATATTGAAGTAAAACTGGTGCTTATAAAAATGATTGTGATTCGAGCAAACAGCTGACTAGATTTAACCCTTTGCGATCATATTAACCTCGGATGAAAGAACTTCAGAGAGCAGACGTATGACCGCAAAAGTATAAAAGAAAGTGCGACATCATACAACATTAAATACATTCAAGAGAATATTTCTTTTAAACAGAAACAAGTAAATTGGGCAAAATCGTTGTTTTATCTCTTTCTGGCACTAAGTTAATAAAATGTATTCTTTTACCCCGATATATAGATTATTCGTACGGAGGATTTATAATTTACTTTGAAAGTATATTCAATACCGATCATTACATTTAAATATCAAGCACTTGGGAAAACACGCGTTTAGAGAATCAAAAAGCATTAGAGTAAGGTACAAAAAGTAACGCATAAACAAATAAGAACGTTGCAGCGAACGATACATGCCGTTGAAAACGGTGCGTGTGGCGACTGTTAATTAATGCCTTCTGCAACATGAGAGAGAGAAATCAATAATTTGATCTTCTGTCGGTAACGAAAACAAAAAAGTGTACATTATTTTTGTAATAAATGTTATTTAACATGCGTGCATTGTACATATCGACTGGCTAGGCAAAACAACGCAAAGGTGATAAAATACGACATTACGAATCGTAGTTACTTAATTTTTGTTGATACATAATAAGCATTAATTTACCGGAGAAGCATGACTATTTTTCGTCAAAAGGAAAAAAAAGAGGAAACCGGAATAATACATTACACCCTCACAAATAATCGTCGTAAAGACAAAGGTCGCATGTATAAAACGTTAACGCGCTCTGCAATTTTTCTGCAACGGCCGTAACGAGAGGCACCCTCCCGATTCTCCTAAAGGTAATGCGGGTTTAATGCATTACACCCCGACAAGCAAATGACCGATCGTTGCTTATTTCGCTCTTCTTGCAGTCCTCTCTACCACTAAGAGCAATTGAAAAGTAAACGATAGACGAATCTCTGGCAGTGCTGCGACGTCACTGAAATTGTACACAAAAATCCAGGACTAAATTGCTCCAGAAATCGATGCGTGTTTGTTTCATTACCGTCCCCTCCAGAGGTAGTCAAACTTCCGGATCTCTTAAATTCGTTTTGAAGATGGCGCCGATCGCTTCGGTCGTTTTCGCCAGTGCTCGTGCTTTCCGGCGCTCGGGGCGCCGCCTGGCAGTCAGGGTCGCCAACGAGCCGCGGCTCACTTCACCTCACTTTGACCCGAGCCTCGGTGGCGAGAGGTGTGTCTGCGGCCGCGGACTCCTCCGGCGAGTCTCACCAGTAGTTGCATCGGTGATCGTTGCGTCGAGTCCCTCGCGCCTCCTTACCCCTCGATGCCTTCAACGTGTCCAACGATGTCCCAACTCGCAGCGTATCGCGGAGTGTCAATGTAGTACTCGTCACGGGGGGCAGACATCGCGTCGAAGGAAACGCAGTGGCAACGTCCGAGCCCTCGCCGACATCGACCCGCCGAAGCACCTCGAGAACACGCGCCGACAGGAAGCCAGCCCGGCGTCGAACATGGACCAGAAACGCGTCTACAAGATCGTCTTGACCGGGGGTAAGGAACCATTTTTTCATTAATGACCACGCGTTTATTCCCCGACACCTGTCCTCTACCCCGCTACTCCGACCGGCTGCTCGTCCGCGAGCGGTTCCTCGATTACTCATTTGGGGGTTAGGTTCGTTCTCTATCGAAAGCACGTTTTCGGCCCGAGACCGACCACGGGGGTCCTTTTTGTTTCCTCGACCCTTGTTCCCGCGACTCCATCTTGCCTTTCGTCGCGAGAACGTGACATTGTGCGGGAAATTTAAACGTGGGCAGCCTCTCAGGGTCGGCAATTTTTTTTTTACGATCGCGTCGCGGCCACGCTTGCCCCTAGAGCGTCTTTTGTTTATAACGAGTTAATTGTACTTTAAAATAAAGCACAAGCAAGGTCGGCGCGTTAAGTATCTCTTAGCGGCATTAAAAAAAAAAAAAAGAAAAATATGCATCCCGACTTCGTGTCGGTCGCGTGAACGTGGTTTTGTCCTTTATCCGTGATAGCGTTTGTCGTGAAATTACGACTCTTGCAACTCCGGTTCTTTGGAATCGCCTTCGTGTATTTTTCAAAGAGGTACTCCCCGTTATCAGGCGCTAAACTGAAAAACTCCTAAGGGGACGAAAACTGGTAACTCGTTACATTTAATCATTTCCGTTTCGCGATATCGCGGCATCAAAAAATCGACCTTCGCTATCGCCATTTGCGAAGTCGGTTTCATTTCCGCGCTTGACGCGGAATTTATCGAAATTACGAGCGCGCAATTTTGTGGTCACTTTGTATACGAGCGGCACGGAATAATCCTGAGCGATAACACCGACTATTGCGTATACACAAAAAAAAAAAAAATACGTTTCCCTCGGTACAAGTTCCCGACGCGCGTATTGGAGACGTCGGTCGGAGCTCGGTTGAAATAATTTTAATCGAGCCTTCTGTTGCGTCATTAATCGGTTATCATAGGATAATAATCGTATATTTTAATTCGTCGGTATACTCGGTAAATTCCGGTAAAAATGAGCACGCGCGGACTTTCGCCGAGGTTTTTAACGAACCGGTCGGCAAAGGCCGAACATAACCTCCGCTCGAGGCACGGTAGGCACTTGGAAGAAATCCGCTCGTGACGTCGGATTATCGAGGAAAAGTGCGCACTTCCGAATCCCAACGAACCCCGGGACTCGCGAGAGGTCTTCGCCAGAGAAATGAAATATCGGTCGACGGGAAGAAAGGTTAGGTCACCGCAGTTAACGGGGCGAGCTCGATCAGCTGATCGACCGCCGCGGCTGCTATTGCGCGCGACTATACCCGGAGATCGACATCGATGCGCGATACTTGATCACCGCTTTATTTTCGATATATGTGCCCTCGATCCGGATCACTTCGGATGGACGTTCTTATCCCGCAAATCCATTGTTTTGATTAAACAGTCGACGCTGAAGAAAAAAAAAAAAAAGAAATAGGTATCGCGTGCGCGATCAATTTCCAAGTTTTTTCTCTCTAGGGAGTTAACCTTGAACGACGGTCGTCCGTCTTCGTTGTCTTTTGGTTTCAGCCAGGGCGAATATGCATCTCGTAGTTTTCTACCCGTTCCAAGCCCCGGACTCGAATTGGCATGTTTTCATAGCTTCGGTCGACTCAATGAGATGGACTCCAATTATCCCTTACGTTACGTACGGGTGATGGACAATACCGGTTTTACCTAGTTTCGATTAAGTATTTGAGTTCATTCGGGTCGCGAGCGTTCGATCGCACTAATTACCAAGGAGGCAAAGATCGTGGCGAGAAGCGAGCTCTCTCGGGTGGTCCGTTTGCCGTGGGAATGTCATGCGGATGACGAGATGTGTCGGATTACGAGGACGAAGACGCAACTCGATGCAATTCCCGGACTATCACCGGAGAACAGCTGCCGACTCGGTTTAATAGAGAGAATTGCCGAGCCAGTCTCGGGTCGCGTTGCTCGCGGATCTTTTGCGATCCCTTTAATCGATGGAATTGATCGAACGAAAATCCCCGGGATTCCGACGAGGCTTCGGGTAGCCCCTGATCGCTTCGCGTCGATTCGCCTCCAGGGACGACAGTCGAATAAATTTCCCTTCCCCCTTGCCTCGCATCCCGTCCCCCTAGACTGTAGAAAACGATCGTCGATCGTTCCAATATCTCGAGTCCGATGCGACGTAATTTTTAATATTATTTTCATGATTTATTAATAATTATTAATTTTGACATTTCCAGGTCCGTGCGGAGGCAAGACCACGGGTCAAACTCGGCTGTGCACGTTCTTCGAGAACATGGGCTGGAAGGTGAGCATGCCGTTCTTTGAGCCACTCTTAGACTTTTTGACTCTTTGGAGATGCGAAAGACGCGAGAATCTCGAGGCACTCGAGAACCTTGAAAAAATCTGTACAAGGAGGTCTCTCTCTCTCTTTCTATCCCGAGCGATTCGCCACGCGAAGTCGCTCCGCGCGGTTCCGAAACGAGCCTCGGCTCGTTCTCGAAGGATTTTCCGAAATTCCTTTCCTCGGGAGCTGTTTCCGCCTTCGAGGGAGGAAAAGGCTCCGGTCTCTTTCTCTCCTCCCGTTCTGGCTTTTCGTTTACCCTCTTTCCGCCCACGTGGCGGTTTCTACGCCTTTCCGACTTCTCGTCGATGATTCGCCCCCTCCTCATCCCCCTCGAATGGGCCGGGACTTTCCGCGAGAGGGGCTAACTCGACTCGAAACCAGTTAAAGGGGAGAAGAAATACGGAGCTTCTCCGACGCAGGAAGGAGTTCCCCTAGGGGTTGCGCGAACGTCTCTGAGAGGGATGGAAAAATTGGGCGGAGGACGGTACGAGGATAATGACGAGTACGGGCGCGATGTAACGAGCGGGAACTGAAAAAACAGAGTGAGAAATTGGTTTGGGATGTCACCCTTCGTTGTGGATTCGATAGAGTGGTGGTTGTCTTCTTTTTCAGGTGTTCCGTGTCCCCGAGACAGCGACCGTGCTGCTCAGGTATGCCATCACATCACACGCTATCAAATCTCTCACTTTTTTATCCCCCCCGGGAAAGTTCGCGTTGACCGCGCCCTCGCGAATCGGCCTTTTCTCGCGCCGAGGGGAAGCCGATAAGAGAAATAGACGGAAAAGGAAATAAAAGGAAGGAGAAAGCAACGAGAGAAAGGAAGTCGAAAAGAAAAGGAAAAATCTATCGAGATTTTGGTGTCCTTCCGGAGAACGAAATGGCCTCTCGTCGCTCCGGGTAGCGGCGACTCTCTTTTCTCTCGTTTTTTTTAGGAGGACCTTTAAAGTCCACCCCCCTCGCCGTGGTTTAAGGATATACCGACTTGTCGAGACGATTGCATTCATCCTCCGTCTGCTTTTTTCCATTTCAGCGGCGGCATCAAGTTTTCAGACCTGAACGCGGAAGAGGGTGAGTACCTGCAAATTTTCAACTTAATTCGAGATCGCTTGTCTCGCCCTATTCGCCTTTTTTGCCACCCCTCGAAACGGGGGTGTAACCGATGTCCCTTCGTTGGGCGATAAACCCTCCCGTGGAGTTTACGGCGTCCGTTTAATCGTTATCCGCTTGCATGTATTCCTGTACGGGACGGTAAAAAAAAATCGAGACGCGGGTTTACATCGATTTATTTGCGGGGCGGTGCATCTTGGTCGCGGTCGAGGATTTTAAACCCTTCGTTTATTCGAACGACTGCAAGTTTAATCGTCTTTGGGGGGATTCAAACTTGGATTCTCCGCCTGTGGAGGACGTCTGTTTTCCCGACCGAGAGCGAACGGCGGTGCAACAGGTTCGGATTAATCGGTCGCGAATTCATTGCCGTGGCCGGACGAATCCCCGGTGCCGAGGAAAGGGGAGCAGGGATGATATTAGTTAGATAATCTCTGGAGGCTCCTGACGTAATGGCTTCTTCTGAGAGAGTCCAATGCCGATCTCTTGGCTCCTCGCCAGCGAGGAAAAAGACGCGCGCCGGGAAAAGGCCTCGAGACGACGAAACGGAAGGACCTAGGAGGGCTCGGCTTTTATCATTTAAGGATCTTCGCCGAAGTTGGAGAGAAAGGGGGGAAAATGTCAAATGATAACACCCTCGGATTATCCGAAGTTTCGGAGGGGCGCGACTCTCTTCGAGAGGTCCTCCGAAGTCCTCGACGAGGTCGGGTCTCGGGAGAAGCGGATACTCGCGATATTTTTGCAACGTGTTTTCGCCCATTAGTCCGGGTAAAATAATTCTCAGGGTTGAGCACGGGACCTCTCCCGTTTTCCTATTTCTCCTCGTAAACATCCGTGGGGAGTTCATTTCTCGTGGCGTAATTTTAGCGGCTAGCGCTCTCTCACCCGGGAACCGTAGAAACGAGGCGTGGGAATTCTTCTCCACTTTGGCGAGGATTATTTTTATTCTTTTTTTTTTTTTTTTTCTTTCCTGTCGACTCCTCGCAGGGTAATGGAAAGATTTAAAACGGACGGAACGCAGGATTCGGATGATGTAAGGCTCGTCTAAGTTTAACCGGTGGCGAGGTACACGGTTTCGACGTCGATATATCGTTAACGAAATGCGTGCTCGACCACTCAGCGGGATCGTAACACCTAGACGTGGAAACGTTTCGAGACAACGACCAGTGCCTTTTTTTTTTCTTTTTTCTACGTGGCTCGTGACGCATCTACGTGTTACCGAACGTTCGTCGGGTCGATAATGCCTTCGACTTTACGGAGGAAGGTGCCAATCGCCAATCGTTGAAGCGGCGATTGGCAGGTCCAGGACTCGCCAAAATCGGCTGCACTCTACTTAAACCGTTTCCTCACAATTTTAGAAACGTTTTCCTAACACCCAATCCATAAATTCAAATTACCTCCCCTCCCCGTTAAATTTCAGGCTATATTTAAAACTATATATCTCGATTGCGTCAAGGCAGAAAATCGTGGTCCTCGAGTCTCTTGGAGATTCGAAGGCGGATAATTTCGCGAAATTATTATCGAGTGGGTCGCAGCATTTAACTCGTGATGCGTTACAGTCGTTTGTGGGTGGAGGACGCGCGAGACGTAAAAGAATACGATGCAACCCATTCTCTGGCAATTATGCAAAATAAAGAGAGTGGCCCCTCGCCAGGTTTTCGTCAGGCCAGGGTGACTAGACGAGGAGCGATTTACTTTAGGATCGCGATATGACTGTTCTGATTTTTTTTTTATTATTTTTTTTTTTTTTCTTGGGGCTCGATCGTAGAGTCCCCCTTTCTCATTTCTTCGGGCATTTAGAATATATCGATATCGTTACGTCGGGCGATTACCGAGGGAGCTTCTAATCCGCAACCTTGAGGCCGTCACGAAGAGGGCTTCCGGCAGGAGTTGGCTTCGGCGTGTCGTGTCCACCTCTGGGAATTGCTCCTCCCCGGTGGGATTCTGCGTCGGGTGATTGCCGGGAATTAAAGGAACGTCCAGGAAAGGAAGGTCTGGATTTTACGCGGATACGGTCCCCGTCGTCTTTTAATATAATTCCATCGGGAATGGCTCCTGACCCGGGCGGCTCTCCCCTCCGCCCGCCATGGGAGAAAATTCGTCCTTGCCGGTGGAAATGCCCTTTTCTTTTTTTCTGTTCCCCCTTTTTCCTCGCCGATCGTAAAACCCGGAGAAAGTAGAGGCGCGGTCGTTTTCCTCGGTGCAGGCCAGCGCGAGCCTATTATTTCCCGTTGAACGAAAAGTCTGCCTCTTCCCGCTTCCGAGGTCGCCGTTGCACCTTTAACGGTGCATCGCGTTAAATAAAGTGCAGTTTATTATCTCGGTTGTACTCGGAGCTGGTCTCGGTTTATCGCTTTTTGTTCTCGATGAAGGCCCGAGCGGAGATGCAAAGTAGCGTTTATGCGAGTCCAGTCCGGAATGCGAGTCGCGCGCGATGAGCACCAGAGTACCCTTTTATTTTTCATCTCTGTAGCTGGACCGATGGATTTGTTGTCTCTTTTCTTTTTCTTTTCTTTTTTTTCTTAACCTCTTAGTGGCATGTGATTTTTATGACGCGCGGACGGTCCGGGGTGACGAATCTCCTTGGTCCCTGATCGTGGTCTCGCGTCGCGCTTGGAGGTCGGCCAAATCTACGCTCGAGGGAGATGCGACGAGTTCCCATCGACGGCAACCCCCCGTGCCACGAGGTTGCACTTTGTCCTCCGTCCGCGCATCTCGGGGAGCGTCGCGACGCCCCCGAATTTATCCAGGAACCGACGAGACGCCGTCCTGTCCGTGCTCGAAGATCGGTGCGATCGAATCTGGTCGATTTTTAGAGGACTCGAGGGAGGATGAATCGAGTCAAGGGTGCCATCGGGGGTAGGAAATCCCATCGGTCGACCCGGCCAGGACCTCGATTAGGGCGATGAAATTTGCCCAGGTGCGATACGCGGGTCTTCGCCACCCCGATAGCTCTCTCTCTCTCTCTTAATCAATTGGCGAGTTATCCGACGTCGGAATCGTTTGAACGGGCCAGGGCGAGGGTTGAGTAAGCTCCTTGGAGCCGGTCCAAAGGGGAGGTGGTCGGGAAAAAGCCATCGGCAGGAGGCACCACCTGGCCGATGGCGTCGATTAGCCGTGGAATTGCCTATTAACCGGCACTGCCAACGGCCGAGAGATTAATCCGATCTCGGCCTCGACCGATAATTAACCCCCTTTGATAAGTATGCGCAGACTGACGAAATCCGACGTCGTCGTCGTCGCTGATCGACTCGCGTCAATGGTCGAGAATCCGGGCTAAGGTTTCGATCCGCACTTTGTTTCCCCTCATATATATACAACGCGGTCTTTACTTCTCGCGTAGCATTTATGTGGAATTATTCGAGCGGAATCGTAGACCACCGCAACCCGGGGAGATACACCTGGTGTCGAGGTCGACCTTGTCGGCGCCGAAGGCCACCCTCGGGCCACCGTACGGGTCGACGAGAGACGCACCTCGCGGGGAGATAACGCGCGTCGAGCTCGTCGGGGGTGGCCGGAGGGTCAGGAGGCTCCCGGGGGCGGATCGATACCCCAGTGCCCCAGGAACGTCCTGTCCAGGACCTCTCCCGTACGGCTGGGAGGCGCTCTCAAGGTCGGCCGTCCGGACGAGGTGAAACCCAGGAAGGGGGAACGACTGAAGGGTTTGTTTTTTTACTTTTCCATTTTTTTTTTTTTTCATACCACTTGACGTTTCGCGGGGATCGACGAGAAATTTCGCCCCCCTGGGCGCACCTTCCGTGAGATCGAGAAAGTGGATTTAGCGAGCTACCTTGAAAGGTAGGAATTTATTTTTATTTCTTTTTTTCCCATTTTCTCACAGCGAAAGCGAATCAGCCCTTGTCCGAGAGCGGCGGGAAAAGGGTGGCCCCTGGCCGGGGCGAGGGATTGCTCCTCCTCGTCGGGCTCTCCCGACCTCGAGGCCCTCGATCGTTTTTTCCCTCCGGGTGACCTCGGGAGGCCTCGAAAATAAAACCGAGCTCCCTCGGCGTAATCGCCGGGAGACCCTGGCCACTGAAAATAAAGCCGCGGAGTCCGGGAGAACCTCGTCGAGGGGCCGCGCCTCGTCTCCCCGAGGGACGGGAAACGGGAATGAGGGTCTCCTCGGGGGCTCTTCGAGTCCTAGAATTTTCGGGGGAAACGGGAAACTACATGAAGCACGCTTTCCTTCTGCCGGACGGCCCCGCAAGAAAAGGGAAGGAAAAAGGGGAGCGAGCCAGGAGGAACCCCGGCGTTCGGGACGCACCCGTCTGGGAGGTTCCTTCCCGGTCGTGGCTGGACCCCGAGGTGCCTCCAGGACCGCTCGGGTCTGGCCGAAAGGAGTCCAAGGGTACCGCCGCGCCCCGAGGTCCTGTTTCGGTACTGGATCGGGCTCGAAGGCGAAGCCAAGTGGCCGGAGCTCCTCAGGGTGGACTCTGGCGCGGGTGAGTCCCGAGCAACCCCGCTAGTCGCCGGGTCTACCTAGCTCCTCGTCGAAGGGGACAAGCTAAAATTCATCTCGCTCGGCTAGCTCGCGACGCCCCTCGTATATTATCAGCCGCTAGAAAACCCGCCTGTGCAGTCGTAGATAACCGATCACCGAACCTGCGGGACTTTTTACGAAACGAGAGGACTCCCTCCGATTTTTTCGCGAGCGGAATCGCGCGATTAGCCGGCAAAGTACGAGAGGAACTTCCGGACCGACAGGAGGTCGAGCCGCGACCTCGGACTTGGAAGCGCACCTTGAGGTGCTTCGAAACGAAGAAAAAAGAGGCGAAGCCCTCTCTCTTCTCCGGCTGGAAAAACTGACCGGAGAAGTCGCATTTACGATCCGACTTTGCGATGCGATTAGCGCGGAGGTGGCAGATAAACTCGGCCTTGACAATGATTTGCCTCGACGAGCGTTCTAGGCAATCGCCGGGTCGAGACCATTTTTATTTCCCGTTTCGTAATATCAACTTCGACGATTCCGACGTTCTGGCATTTGGCGGAATTAATCGAAAGGGCACGAGGAAGGAAATTGGCAGCCGAGATTTCGACGTTTGGACGGGTCTCCTCTCTAGGTTCCGCTTGGACTCGAATACGATTTGATCGCGGCTCGAGAAGTCGCCGGCAATCGCGGATTTAATCCCGATCGGCCGATCACCCTCGACAAGGTGTTCCGGCTCGTGCGCCAAATGGAACGGGAAACCGACAAGGACGTTACGTAGCCGTTTAACCGCGACTCGGTCTCTCTACTTTGTTTTGATTTCGGTGGAAATAAGCGATCGCTCGGGACGGTTGCGCAGTCGGCCGCCATTGCCACGAATATTCGGGACAGGTGCTTTGGCAGGAGTCGTCAAAGAATACGTTTCCCGTTTCCTGTGTCATAAGCGGCTCGCGCGTAACGCTCCGGATTTACCCCGAATTCGGGTCGGACGAGAGGTCTCTTAAGCGAATCTTGAGAGAAATTATCCTCGAGGCTCTTAGAAAATTTCCTCGATCTTGCCTGCCTTCGCCTCCAGCTCGCTTTTCCTGGTTCTCTGGTCTCCTCGCTACTTGGAGGAACTATCGCTCGTTGCGTGGATATTCTCGTATCACGTGTCGGTCGAGATATCGACGAAACGACGTCGCGAGATTTTCGCCGACCCTCCGTCAGGCATTTATGCGACGTCTTTCCTTTTCTTTCGCGTCACCTTCCTTTTTTCCCCGACCGACCAGACGTCGCGACGACGGCGACCCCTTCGTTAATAATTATTAATCGTTAATCGGCCCAGATTGAAGAGAACGCAACGATTGTCGCTCGCAGACGATTACCCTGAATCTTCCGCAGACCCTCTTTTTTATTTTTTTTTTTTTTTTTTTTTTCCTCGTGAGAAGACGAAGCTACAATCTTCCCTGTTTTTCCGAGTAAACAGGGCGAACCTTGCTGGCCGCAGGAGCGAACGGCACTCCCTGACCTCGTCCCTGTACTTTTTTTTTCCCCCTTTTTATTTTATTTTATTATTCCGGCAACCTACTCGGAATTTTAGACGGCGGAGAAAGGGCGAAAAGGGACGAAACGAGCGGGAAGAGATGGAGGAGTTTTAGAGGACGAACCTCTCGCTCCTCCGGCCTTCCGCGGAAAATTGCGCTTCCGATAGAAACTGGATATGAGATTTTCCGCGATTTACCTGGAAGGCGTTGCATTTTTTACCGCTTTTTTTATCGCTCCTTGCGCCCCTTGCCGAGCGCGATACGCGCCTTTGGCGCCTCCCCGAGAGCCCTGCCTTCTGTTTTTCACACTTTTTATGCGTTCCCTATTGCGTCCGACATGCGGCCTCTTAAATGTTTCACGAGACTCTTTGGAGCGCGCTCAAAGGGGATTGACATCTCCTTTTTTTTTGTTGGCTTCCTCAATTTTTTTTTTCTTTCACAAGACCGCTTTCAGCTCCCGACATCCTCCCCTTTCTTTTCTCCCTGTCCTTTTCTGTTTTTTTTTTCTTTTCTTCTAGTGGTCATTCTCTCTCGAGGAATTATTTTCGTCCGGTCATCCAAGACATGCAGGGTTTGCAGACCTCGAAGAGGAGGATGCTGCCAAAAATTACCAGGAACCTATCGGTCCGAGTATCGAATCGTGAGCGTGTCGATCGAAGGAAATACCGAAACGAGGCGAATTACATTCTCGGAGCGGTGAATAAGTGCCGCTGAAACGATTCAATGAGTACTATTCGATATGCCAGGCACCGCTACGCCTGCACCAATTTTTTTTTTTTTTTTTTATTTAAACTTATAACCCCAAGCCGCGACTAGGCGCCCGAATAAGGTCTATGTGCACAGGTGACTTTCGATCGAGTCGATATGTAAATGGGGGAAAGAGCATGGAGGGGCCTGAAACGTTACGTTTCATCGATGAATCCGGCTCTCTGGGTGCTTTTCGCCACGAGGCGACCCCGGCAACCCGAATTGCTTCGGTATCTTCATGCTTTACTTCATCTAGGAGGTCTGCCTCGCAACTTCCACGAGCCTCGTTTTCTAAGTGGAGCCAAGACTTAATTGACACGGTATTAAAAAGGATGTCGGGACTTTGAGCCATTTTGGTCCACGATAACGCGGGATAATCAAGTTTCTGGAGTGGCTCTGCGGAGATCACCTCGAAGGTACGCGAGCCCGCAAATGTGCCAATTAATCCGACGCCACTCGCGTAATTGGAGAACGAGGAGAGGACTCGCATGGTCCGGCAACTTTGCGAACAATTATCTTGGATCCTCTTGGACGAGTTCTCGGGGAAAGACTTACGAGAGACCTGTCTCGTCCACGTAGACCACCAATTTGCGTAAACCGCGTAATGTTCCCAATAGCGGTAGCCAATATGTGCCGAATTTCTCCATGCAAATCAACGTCTTTTGCGGCTCGCAAAAAAATCCCCCTCCCCTGACCTCGCCTAGATTCGTTTCGGATCTTCATCTCGAGTCGCATCTCCGGACCGTCGCGGAGCTTCGTTGCGTTATCGCGTTATCAACGAGCTCTCGAGTTAACCCAATCCTCCACGACGACCTTAGCCAAGATCGGCGGTCGGAACGCCGGTTGATAATGATTGCTTCGCGATTGGCTTACTTCGTTTTTTTTTTATACTCCTTTTTTTATCGCGCCGAGTGGACGCAAATTAACTCGAGAACTCGGCCGGTAGTCGTTCATGGGTGTCATTAATAATTGGTACGCTTACGTTCAAGGAGATCCGCGGGTATCGTTAAGCATTGATATACGCTAAATATGTGTGATTGCGATGTTTTTTTTTTTCTTATCGACCCCGACGCGGTTATTCGACGATTTTGTCCGGGCCTCAAAATGGACCAGCGATGATCGGTTTAAATCGCCCTAATTGGCCTTGGAAGAAATTTCCGGATATTTTTTCTTCTCTATCGTTATTTCGCCCTTATATCTTGAGGATTTTTCTTTTTTTTTTTTTCTCCGTACCGAAAACTCGCGTCGAGGGTCTTTGCCGTTGGGTAATCGTCATCCCGATTTTGTCCGTCTGCTTCAGCGTTCAAGTTCCAGGAGAATCTCCTCAGGACGATGATCCAAATCGAGAACACGTTCTTCCAGCTGGGTGAGAGCTGCTCGAGGAATTGCCTTATAATCTGTGATCGCGGTGCCATGGACGCCTCTGCATGTGAGTACCACCAGCCACGTTTGCCAAGTAATTTGCGTAAGAAAGATTCCCCTCTAGAAATATGTCGGCGCCTTGCCGATCGGCCGGACCATACGAAATTAGACGCTAACCCGTGAACCGGCGTCGCCATTCGGAAAGGGTATCTCTCGAGACTCCTCCGAGACCACCCCGACCGCGAGTCGATTTCCATCACAAGAGTCCTGCTAAAAAATCGAACTAGCCCGATCGAGGGACCGCGCAGACCCGTTACGAGTTCTCGTTAGATTCTTTTCGTCTTGGCGGGCGAAGGGAAATTTATTTATAAATTTAGAAGGTCTCGTCCGGCGTCGTAGGAGCTCGAGCGCGCTACGTCTAACCGCTATCGGTCCTCCGCAGTTATTTCGAAAGACAAGTGGGAGCTGATGATGGCCTCGAACGGATGGAACAACGTGGAGCTCCGAGACAACCGGTACAACCAGATCATCCACATGGTGTCGGCGGCGAACGGGGCCGAGGAGTTCTACTCGACGGAGGACCACGCGTGTCGGTCGGAGGGCGTGGAGGTGGCCAGAGAGCTCGACTACAAGGCCGCCGCCGCCTGGGTGGGCCATCCCTACTTCGACGTGATCGACAACTCCCAGGACTTCGAGACCAAGATCTGCCGGATGATCGAGTGCGTATGCCAGAAGCTCGGCATCGACACCGGCGACCGGCTCCGCTCGAGCAGCCGCAAGGTCAAGTTCCTCGTCAGGGGCCCCCTGCCGCCTGACTCGGAGTTCCCGCCGTTCCAGGACTTCGACGTCGTCCACAACTACCTCCAGAGCAAGACGCCGAAGATGCAGGCGCGGCTCCGCAAGCGCGGCCAGAAAGGTGGGACCCCGTCTATCGAGGCCCCCGGCGTGGCCCGCTTCCTCGGGTCCTCCAGGGTCTGGTGGGGCTTCCGGCACAGGAAGCTCGAGTCCTGACGAAGGGGGACGAGCACGGAAGGTTACGTTCCTCGTCCCGAGCCTCGCGGACCCACCGGACCCTCGGGGGGCCGCGACCTCGAGATGCCACTTCGGATTTCATTACTTTTCCGGGTGGTGAGATCGTCGGTAAGGTCGGACGCGCGCAGGGGAGATGTAGGTAGTTGTCCGAGATAGACGGGGCTCGCGGGTCGAGCCCCGCGGCGAGAGATGGCGCCCCCGTCGCGGGTTGGGGCGATTCGAAAAGTTACCGACGGGGGTTTCCCGATTCCCGAGTTTGAGTCCACTGCCTGCGCGGGTTCGACCGATTAGTTTTGCGGAAAATGGAAATTCGCGCTCGCCGTGCGTTAGTCGCGCTATTCGAGATTAATGGCTTGCCTTTACGTCCGCTAGTTAGGACGCGCTCGCGGGCTGAGCGTTCGCGGTGCGACATAAATGTATTTTTATCGGTTACTGTATCAGGACGGTGCGATGTATGGATGTGGAAATAAACGGGAGAATTACCCCCTGTTTTTTTTACTTCGTAGGTCATTGGTCGTACATTCACACGATCAGACGGCCGAAAATGTGCGGCCAGGTTGTGGAAGTCAAGACACAACTGACGCACAGGGATTACTTAAATATGCTAGCTCAGAGGGACGATTCGCACTTTACTATTTTTAAGCTGCGAAGGTGCTTCCTCATCAACAATCAGTACTTTCAGCTGGACATTTACCGAGAGCCAGGACACCCCAGGTAATATCGCCGATCGTTCTCCGTCCCGTTCCCCCCCGCTCGTCGACTCGATGCGAAACCGTTACGATTTTGACAAATGCGTTTTACGCGTATTCCGCAGGTGCAAAGGTTTGATGCTCCTCGAGACGTACACAGCCTTGGCCGGCGAAGACCTCAAGCGAATCTTACCTCAATTTTTGACTATCGAAAAAGAAGTTACGGGCAATCCCGATTACAGTATGTTCAATCTCAGCCTTCGCGAGGAGTGGAACTCCACGAATAAGTATTGCCACAATCTGCAGGGTAGGTCTGGACGTTCTTCCAATGGTTAAATGACGTTGCCGAGTTGGGGCAATACCGAAAGGCTTGAGGAAATCTAAAGGCAGCTCGCTAACGCCGAGATCGTTTTCCAGGTCCCGTTGACGGTGCCATTTCGGAAAATAAGCCGGACTCGTCCGAGACGAAGGGGTCCTCGCCCAGGAAACAGAACTGCGGGGCCGATGCGAAGATCAACGGAGCTCGAGTGAGCGTCAACGGCGTCGATTTCTCCAGGAACGGCGTCAACGGTACGAGAAACGGGGTCCATCGTAACGGGCTCAAGGAGGAGAAGCAGCCCAGGACGACGAACGAGAGTCCTTTGAAGGAGGCGGAGGAGAGCAAGAACGTGCACCAAAACGGCGTGAAGATATAACGTTGGAGTTAGGTCGAGGGAACCGGAGGACTTTAACGGCGCGAACGGGAGGATATTGGAAAACTCCATTATGCCCTGACAAATTGTTTTCCACCGAGACCGGAGCAATTCACCCCTTGACGTTCGGCCGCGGTCACTCGTGCGCTTTCGCGCTTTGGAGTCGATTGTTCTAATCGACTCTGGGGGCGATTCGACCTCTTCTTCGTTAGCGCGTACTTAAATGTTAGCTTACGTTTAAATTTAAATGGTGTCCAGAGCCTCGTCCTTTGCGTATACGCCAGACTCTCGTAGGTACGTAGACGGTACCGACGGTACACGTAGTCCGACGTGGTCTCGAGTACGCTAAGTATTTTCGTAATTCAACCTAACCGGGGTCTATCTTCGTATGTACTTCGACACACCTTTTACCGAAAGTATTGTCTCGGCGCCAGGTACGGAGCAATCGACGACCGCGACGGAGAAACCGAAGGATGCGAATGCACCGCAGAGTTGCCCGAAGGCCGTTAACTTTGAGCTTGAAATCTAACACGAGAATGCCGAACAGTGGACCGGTGACCGGTCGTCAAGTGTAATCGGAAACGCGTACTTAATCGCGATACTCGTTACGCGAGCGCTGATCAGAACCTCGTAACGAAAGCGCCCGAACAATCGGCGGCGAGTTCGGGGCGGTAAAACTAAGCCTTTAAGGTAAACTCCCGAAGGGTGTCACGAGTCGAAAGTCCCGCAGGATCCGTACATCGGCGAGAGGCGTCTCGCGTCTATCCTTAAAGTATTACAAGGCGAGTCGCGTAAGTAATCTCGGTATCGTCCGGCGAGTTCCTTTTTTTCGTGGGATAAACTGGCAGTTCTTCGCAGCTCTCTACGGCGAGACTTCCCTGAACGAAGCTTTAATTACCGCTAGTATGTACTACGTTCTCGTATATTTTCTTTCTCCGAGTCGGCCGAATTCGCGAGACCGCCTCGTGGACGCGTCGCGGTGCAATGCATCTCGGTGCTCTGTCGGTACAAAATTAACGGAGAGCACCTTACGTATTTATTTCCGAAAACGCGGTACCTAGTTAATCTACTTAGGGCTAGAGTAACTCGACTAGCGAGGCGTATTAGTACTTAAGGGGCAAGTACCTCGAGTAAGTGATAGAGTATTGTAAATATACATAAACGGCAATCCTTCGCGTTTGATTTTCGTCACCGCGTCGCAGGCTCGCGTAACTCCGCGCCGTGGAGTCAATTTTATGAGTCGGCGTACTTAAGGCCCTTAAGTGCAGTCATCGATCCGATCGATCGGTCCTTGGATCGAAAAATCGGTAGAACACGTGGCTCGATCGGAGGGGACACAGTGCCGGGCTGTTGACACTGCCGGATGGATCGGACCACTTGTCGCCCACTTAATTAACCGGAGACCGAGAACGGACTGTGATGATCAACTTTTTAACTTCGACTTAGATTTTCTCTGACGCACTGCTAATATATTCGTCACAGATTTTGCCGCTACCGGAGACAAAGTGCCTGTGAAACATTCAGACGCAAAAGATGGAAGGGGGGGGAGAGACAAAAAGATTAAACAAATATACTAGATATATTTTCGAAGAATCGACGCAATAACGAATCGTTGGTGCACTCGAGTCTGTCGTATCCCGAATAATCTGACTTCGCAATGTACCTATGATCGTGAAATAAATTGTGGTTTGCCTGACGAACTTTTCATCTACTTGTAACGTTTTGTCCTCAACTCGCTGACTCGTGGGAAGCGAAGGAAAGGGGGGACATGACACGAACAAGGGTTTACAACTATTTGGTTTATTAAGTTCTTTCAATAAATCTCGGTAAACATAAGTCCTTAGAAAATAAAAGATAAATACTATAGCGATTTATTAAACTAATGGTTTCACGTGTCTTTCTCGACGAGCACTGTTTAAGTGCTGCTGGAAGTTAACGATTCAATTTACATTCGGTCGAAGCATTATAATTTATCGGAACTCTTAGATGGAATATATTAAGTTACGTTATATCTTTCGTTCCGCTCTCGTGGAATTTACCTTGACACGTGCGGATCATTTGTGTCATTTTTGAATACCCAAGGTCTCGTAAAAAAATCCTTGGGATCTAGCGAAATGCCCGTAAAGACTTTTTTTTAACGTACTTGGGCATATATGTACTCGCGAAAGTCATTTCCTATTTTCTTCCTTTCTTTCTTGATCGTTACTCTTTCGCAATGACTAGTATCTCAGTTTCATGCTTCTTTCTTGATTCGATCTGAATTTCTTCTAATTATCCGTGGATAGCTTGAATGTATTGAAACGAATATATAAAGAACATATTTGGAGCAACCTAGAATAGAAACTATTGGGTAACAATTTTCATATAAATATATAATCCAATAATTTCTGTAATAACATGGACGTACGGACTACTAATTAAGGAAGAAATGTTATTCAAGAACAACGGATTACTAGCTGGGCGGTCTTTTCTGTCGTTACGCTTCTCGACGGTAGTAAAATCACTGCTACTCGATGGAACAACTTGTAAAAAGTTACATATAACTATGGAAGTGTAATGGTTCATTTATCATTTAGTAGTATTACTACTGAGTCTCGAAGAAATACTTTTGTAGTGGACATTATTCTACCCAAATCAGGGCTTCACTTCTTAATGCTTTAAACAACTCTATCCGACTAATTCTGAACAAAAAAATGTCCAGAGTACCGGAAACCATGGAATATGTGGAGTGAAACTTAACAATCTTCCCTAATGTATATTTTTCAATCCTACGATGGAAGGTACAAAGAAAATGGAAGATGCAGAATTCTTGTTACTTCGTCATACTTCGTAAATAACGTCCAACGATTGAACATCAAAATAAAAATACTACTGATCATAATTAATACCAATTTGGGTTAGAAATATCAAATGTTGCTAAAGTTCAAAACCCGTAAGTAGATCTGTCAATATTTTTAAATATGGATATCACATTTTAAAATGCGGTACTTCAATTTTAACTAAATGAAAGATTTTTGCAGCCCTAACGATAGAAGAATGACCTATTCTTTACATTAAAAAATTCATTACACGTTAAGATATTTGTAAGTGGATTAAAGAGTCGAAAAGTTTGGTTAATATTAATCAAAAGAGGATTCATAATGTTTCCCCTATAATGTAATAGTTATTTCTCACAAAATGTGATATCTGTATTCTCGAGACAAAATTTAATCTATAGACGTGGTTTCATTTGAATAAATGAATGGTTCACTTTGGTGATACGCTAACTTCGGTTAAAACCGATAAAAAAAAATCTAAGCTTATCTACCCACTGCTTTAGCTTGTTGTGCTTTGTACATTTTTAAAACTTTCTTTCCAGGCACTAAAGTTTGACTCAGTCCTGGTCTCTTTTTACGTTTGTGCGTTTGATTATTTTCTTGGTCCACTTCGTCATCGTCATTCGTGGATATCTGTCCATTATACTGTGTTTGACAAATGATAGTTTCTTGCGGTGCTCGTATCGCTTCTAGCTCGGCTGCCGAACGATGCAAGTCCGAGTCATGGGCAAATGTACAATTGTGACCAAATCGGCAGCGACCTTTACGGTAATTCCAACAGATCTTCTTGCCGTTTATCATTTTAGTGTCATCCAACGTTGGTGTCATTTTTACATGTTTTTCCAATATCGCGCTCTTTGCTTTCTCCGCTTCGACGAATGGATTTGAAAAAACGGAAGTTTTCATGGTAGGTGTGCCATTGAAGTCTGGAGTAGGTAATGGAAGTTTTTCAGTGGAAGCTTGTTCTTTATGGTTTTCGTTATCGTTCTCGTTTTCTTCCTCCTCTTCTTCCTTGGAACTAACAGTTAGGCAATATCAGATAACAAAGAACAAATTCAATCTTGAATGTATGAAAGGCTTGCAATTAGCAAAATTATTCCTAGAACTCGAACAACTAAATGTTAAAGAATGCGTGAGAATGACGTTCAAGGTAGAATCGTTAAATTGCTTTATCCTTCTTTAAAGAATTACTAGAAATCAAGCCCATACGAATTGACAATTTATTCCTTTCTTATATATTAAAAGATTAATTAATATTTTAATTCTTGGAGTACTTAACATTTACAGTCATCCGTTTCTTTTTTCCTCTTTTTTCTAACGAAAGATACTTTTGGAACATCTTTAACTTTATGCCAATAAATCATACAAACATGGCAAATTTCAATGTCGATGATAAGCAGAAGGAATTAAATTTCTGAGTAAGCAAAAATTTTGTACCGTCAATTTTATGCTGTATGAGGTGTTCAAATTAATAGGTTAGGTCGGTGAACAAGGAAATAAGCAATAACTAAAGATATTTCGGAAGCTTACACATTGTCCGCGTCGTCAGAGGGACCATCCGTCTCGCTTTCGGAACCGGAAGATGTCCCGTAATCCGCAACTAACGAAGCCATTGCCCTTACCAATTAAATAACGGAAAATATTCTGAGTATACAAACACTAATCTAATACAACTCCTCTCTCCCCTGAAACGTTAAAGCTCTGCCATATCCATGTGCACGGCTATTGGTCGAGAGGCTCCGACAGCGATCAGAGATAACTTGGGCGATCCACTTCTCGGATTGGACGAGGCCAGGCCCAAAGACGGAGAAGAGACGGCGAACGATCATTCAGAGATGAGTTGGGAGATTGTTAACGGCAGAGATGAGCCTGCTCATCTCTATTAACGGGTAGGGTTCCGTTATTATAAAGAAAATCCGAAATTGGAATAAACAAAGGTGTTATAAGGAACTGCGCATGCACATGCCGGGGTCGGGGACCCTATATAAGGCCGAGCGCGCGCTCGGAGCATCAGTACCCTTTGGTCTTCCGAAGGGTAAACATCGGGTTACCTGCTTGTACCGTAACTGGTTTAACCCCAGTTTTAACCGAAGGTTAAATCTAAAGGTTAACCCCAGTTTTAACCGAAGGTTAAACCTACCGGTTAACCCCAGATTTAACCTACGGTTAAACCTAACGGTTAACCCCAGATTTAACCTATGGTTTAACCTAACGGTTAAAAATCAAACTTCGGTTAACTTGGGTTGTGAAACCGGGCCTTATGGGAGACATCCCCCCTCCCTTCTGTTCCCTTTCTTAATATATTTAACATAATTTATTACGTTTGTAAAGGGCTTCGGTGCGCAGCAACCTCCACGTGGTGAGCCTGGGGGATCGGTGGTTTCCAACTATCGTTGAAAACCACCGGTCCGCTAATAGCTGCGCGAGTGGTTCCACTTAGTGTGTTTTTTTTCTTGTATGATAGTAGTTTAATGTAGTTAAAAGTGGAAGCACTCATTGCGTGCGTGCGAGATTGTAAATTGCGGACAGGACGTTGTCGGGTACCTTTCCATGCAGCTAGTAATTTCGGATTTGCGTGCTAACCGAAGTAGATTTTTGCAGGTACGGCATTGCCGTACCTTTAGTGTATCCGGCAGCTTCCGTCGGCACCTAGTACGTCGTAGCTAAGCTACGGCGTGCAAGGCTACCTGGCTCAGGTTGTCGGTTGCGCGATACGTTGTTTCGCTCTGGCGGCATCCCGCGGGGGCTCTGCCTGCTGTAAGCCGGGACAAGCCCGTCGACTGAAACTCGTATTCGCGGGCCGACAGCCGAGCCGGGTTAGTCGTCGGTGACGGTGGAAGCTGCTGGATTGTTCGCGTTAGAAGTAGTATGCCCTTCCGGCAAATTATATCCGTAATTCGATGCTAACTGGCAAGGTACTCGGCGACTTACCCTGTACTCTGCGGCGAGCGTTGTATGGACGGATGAGTATGGTATGCGAGTGGTGTGTTGTATGGACGGATGCGTATGGTATGCGAGTGGTGTGCTGTATGGGTTATGAAATCCTGGTTCTGCGAGTTCCTGGGACGCTGGGAACTCAGTAGAACCAGGTGCCTATGCTTAGGCGGGTCCCAATCACAGCGGCCTCCTCGTGGCGGGACCTGGGGGATCGGTACCATCCTTATGGGATGACACCGATTCGCGAACTAGCTGTGAAGTAGAGTTTAATTAAGATAAAATTTTTTACCTTCCCGTAATTTAAATAAGATAAGTGAAGGGTAAAATCAAAGAGGGTGTCACGAGCGCTGTTCCCTTATCTAGTTTTACACTATGTTTACACTAGGTATTTTCCACGGCGATTTTGACCACGACGTAAATGATGTAAAAGCCGTTTATACCGTGGCACGCTAGAGATCGAGCAAGCAAAGTAGATGGCTCGGAATCGATGAGTTGGCGAACGCCACCCCGGGCAACCGGTTCGACCCAGAGTGCTTTGCGCGCGCTTGTTTCACTTCGCCGCGGCCTCGCCATCATTGAAAAGTAACGGGTGAGGTTGGACTCGAACGTTTTTCGTACAGAATCGGTTTCTTCGACAATTCGTCCCAATGAAGATGGTAGATAAAATCGAAATGAGCCTCGACGACATCATTAAGCAGAATAAAAGCACGAGGACGCGCGGAAGCCGGCGCGGTAGAGGTGGGCCGGCCCGCCGAGGCGTCCGCGGATCGCCCCGTCCTGGCGGAGGCGTCATGCGAGGACGCAATCGCGGTGGCATCGCGAGGAATTCCCTTCCGTACACGAGAGTGAGTATTCACATGACTGGTCTACCTTATTCCCTAGGAGGGGTACACCCGGTCTCGCATATCGGTCGTTCCGACCGCTCGTCGGCGGAGTTTTTCTCATTGGCTGGATTTATCGGTGGATCACGTCAACGTTAAGTCGTCGTCCATTGAATTTTCTACCACGCGGCGGCCGATACACTTTTGGGATACGTTCCATTTCGACGAATCGCCGTGCCAGTAGTTTCTGGAATTGCAACCACATTTAAAGTATGCCGCCCCTTTAAGCACTGGGTCCAAGTGTCGTCGGTCGAGCTCAAGGTTTCGTGCACGAGATTAAGTGACACCGAAGTGTATCGATGAAAAATTCAATATGGATTCTGCCCCGATTTCTTAACGTCCTCCGATACCGGCCTAGGGTCGCATAGCCATCGACAAACCGCACGACGATGTATCGAAGGAACGTTTCACCTTGTAACGTCTCGAGAAACGATGGGACGGTAGAACACCTTAGAAGATCGTTTCTAATTCTCATTACGTCGTAATGCCAATTACAGGGAGATGTAAATAGCGCTTGGAAGCATGATATGTTTGATGGTGTTAAAAAGGTCGGCAGAGGCGCTATTGGCAGTACCGGGACGACGAAGCTTCTCGTATCCAATCTCGATTTTGGAGTGTCCGATTCTGATATTCAGGTATGGATTTCTTTTATTTTGATGAAGGCTGCGCGAAACCTTGATTTATCTGTGAAAGAATTCATGTACGGATTAATGTCTTTACTTTCCATCGTGACTTGCAAATACGATGGCTAATTATTATTATTTACCATTAGGAATTATTTAGCGAGTTCGGTCCATTGAAATCTGCCGCGGTACATTACGACAGGTCGGGTCGCTCTTTGGGTTCTGCAGATGTTATATTCGAGCGGCGAGCCGATGCCATCAAAGCAATGAAACAATACAATGGTGTACCTCTGGATGGTAAGCTGCCAACACGATCAAGCTTGAGCTCTTGTGCTTGAATTTCATGAAAAACTAATGTTTCCAAAATGACGCATTATTATTTGTAGGACGAGAAATGAATATACAAGTTGCTACCTCGGAAATACCAATTACGTCTTCTATTCGCGGTGGTAACAGACTTAGCGGACCTAATTATCCACCTCGATCGCAACCACGTTTCAGAGGAGCTCGAGGGGCAATCGCCAGAGGTAATATTACATGGAATGCTTTCCTTCTTGATTTCATGTATTTATTGATAAATGGTATGGCGTGAATTTGAGCAGTTTAAAATGAAAATATTTGGTGAATCATGGTAGGCATAAGAAAATAACGGAAGATAAATGAATTCAAGGTCGCGGTACCGGGCGTCGCGGTGGGAGGGGAGGTAGTCGGCCAACGACTAAAACACCAACTGCTGAAGAACTAGATGCAGAATTGGAAGCTTATGTCAAAGAAGTGAAGTAACACATCCTTACCCTAAGCAACGTACATCTGACTTAATCTGTTTTTCTCATTTGACATACACATCGCAATGTGTTTCCTTTATTTTTCGTACCTCTTAAGATATACGCGTAACCGTATGAAAAAGAAAGCAAGAGTTATACAGTGATTTCTCTTAAAGTGAATTATTTTATTTATAACGTTTACTCCTGTTAACACTTCCAATAGAGAGGAAGCCACGAAGGAGTTACTTAGCACACGATTCAAAGTGTTTGTAGGAGCTCTCATAATCTCCCTTTTTTTTTAATCGCATATTTGGGAAGAATAAATCGTTATGATACAATGTAAAGCCTGTACGGACTTTGTATGTACTATCGTGCGTGTGAGACCATGAACTGGAAAATACACTAAACTACATATCCAACAGTGTTGTTTATCAGAGTACGAAGATGTGCTTTAAGCCCCGAATTGAATTCAGTTGGATAACATGTATTGTCAGCGAAGCGACAGTATGCTCCTTAAGAAGTTTGACATATTGTTAAACAACGAATCGATGTGTTACTCTGGATCATTGTGTCAGGTTGCTAACATTGTATTATCTATGTAATTTGTATTTTATTTCATGATGAGAGAACGAGCGTTAACCACTGATAGCAAAATAGTGGAGTAAGGCTGTGAGCATAATGGATTAATGTTAACTAGTCAGTGGCTCCAGGGGCTCAATTTATCGAACGATAAAGGGCCGAGAGCATTAAACACGCCACGAGCGTATGCACGCACGCAACTGCAAATTGCGTTGCACAGGCCCAAGACTGAAGAATACTCCGAGACATATTTGACTAATAAAAGACAAAATACACAAAAACGTATTTCTTCTACTATTTCTACATTTCCTTCCCATTGACTTATAGTTGTTGGCAACTTTTATCGTACGCGTGTACCACACTTACCGGAACTGTCATTTCTAGTTCTACAAAAGTTTTGGTGGCTAAGAACATTTTAAAAAGATTTGATTTCAATTTTATAAATAGCATATGTCACGTTAGTCGATAGGAATTTCAAGAAGTACGGATAGTACGAGAAAACGTTTATTTTGCTTAAATAATCATCTAATTCATCGTTACATATATTATTTTGTACATGTACGCAAAAATATGTGCCAGTGCAGAGGTAACAAGAATGGACAAGATTGTCCGATGACTGCCAACTTCACCAATGACAGTAAAGATGGACTTGCACTTTGAACTCGGTCATATTTTTACTCTGAGATACTAGTATTATAATTTGCTAAATACTTAATGATAAGATCAGTCATCATTTTTAGGTAATAAATTTTTTACTATGAAGTTACTGTGTACAATATGAGACATTCTTAACCACACCAGTTTTAAATTATAGAAAAAAAAAAAAGGAGGATGATGGTCGGGGTACTTCTTATAATCGTTTGAGCGTTCTCTTCTTATCTTTTAACATCTTCTTCTTCTCTGCTGTCAACTTTTTGTCTCCTGCATGTTTTTTCGGTAATGGTCCTGCAATTTCAGAGGATGTGCAGCTTTCAACAAGACCAGCTTTACTGCCTTTCCCACCTCCCTAGAATTTAAAATTTCATTAAATAAATTAGGATTTATATTGTATTGGTTGTACGGTGAAAATAATTTTGTTTTTTATCGGTAACCAAAATGACAGTCTTACCTGTGCATGGATTTCTGTCATCATCTTTGCTCGCTCGTAGTAGTCGTCATACCTTTCTAAAAGTAATTTTCCAGCTTCTTCGTTTAATGCCGATTCGGCGTTTGGTACTATCAGTAAACACTTTATTGTCTATAAATAAAAATGTCACATATTTATAGTAACGTTAGTATACTAAGGGAAATACACATTAATTGCTCTTGAATACTTAATCATTTTAATCTTTACCAATAATATATGTTTAATTCCCTGATCCGATGTCCAATCCTTCTTTAGAGTATTCACACATATTTCCCCATTTTTTGCAACATTGGGATGAAAGATTTTTGTAAGGAAAAATGCTTTCGGTGGTGACTGGGGGAAATCTTTTGCCAGGGTAAGTTTAACTCTAAAGAAACCATTGGTGTAAGGAGTTCCACCTAAAAACCAATAGCCCGTTTATATATGTAGCTCGGTACCGTAACAGGTCCCTTGTCACCGCAATGTACATTAGGTCTTGACTCGATCCGTTAATGGATTAAAACTATATTTACCAGGTCCTTCGATGACAGCTTGAATATCGGTAACGTCTTCCTCGTTGATGATAACTCGAATGCCTTCCGGTGGCTGGGTGGACAATTCTGTCATCTCCTTGGCCACCCTGCGTATGATCTGAGGCGACAAATTCTCGACATTCGAGATCTGTAAGCAGGACATCGTAGGGTTAGAGAGCGTCGCGACGTGTCAAACAAGAGCGAGTCGACGAGTAGCCTGCTTACCGCGCAATGCTAACCCACACGTAAACAAGCGTGAACGAGGAACCCTCTGCCATCGGACAGCCGAGGGTGCCCTTACGTCGCCTCCTTACCTCGAATTACTTACCGAACTCACAGCCGCCATGTTCGCCGAATTTAGAATGAAATCTCGTGTCCGAAAACCGTCCGTAGGACGCGGCCGATCAGCGCTGTGCCACAATAAAATCCTTAACGTCACAACATCGGCACGGCATCACTTGCGTTAACCAACATTTTGAATCGTCGGCCAATCGCATGAGAGCGAACGTTGGTAATCTCCACCCCAGTCACTATGGCGCTAATGAAACCCAAGACCACGACTCCGGAAGGTTACCTCATCGCGCTACGGTGCATCGACAACTGGAGGGAGCGATAGGGCAGGTACCCTGGTCGTCCTAGGAGCCATGGCTACTCTCACTTTTTTATGTAAATTATTTTATATCGCGTCCACATTATTTTTGCAAATTGGAGTAAGGTGCACTGATTTCGAAGTGGCTCCGAAGCTAGTTTGTTATTGGCCGCTTCCCTTGAAACGACCAATCACGAGACGACAGCTATCAGCCGTAGCCAATCATCGTGAGTATCAATTCAAGATGGCGACGGATCGCGCTGGCGCCGATTTCGGATCTCCATGAGCATAACGGGCTGACGCACTTCGGTCGGCGGAAATTTCGTCGTAGTACAGGGTAGGGCGATCGATGTAAATTATGTGTGCGTTTGAGTGCGTTGCGCACCGTCGAGATCACTGAAAATCCTTTTAAAACGAATAACACAATTTAGAGAAGCAATCCGAGAATTTTGTCACCTTGTATCGTGTACGATTTAGCTGGTCGCTCGACGTTATTCATTCGAAAACGCACCGCGCTTCGCTGGACAAAGAGAGCGTCATCCGTTGCGTCGTCTGGCGTTACCTTTGGAATTGAGAGATTTAGCGAACCTCAAACGCACGAATTTATCAGCCTCTGCAAATTGACAGGATGCCGGATAACACATCGAACAACGACAAGGTGACGCTTTTCTTGAGGGCTGATTAAGTAATAACTTTGAGGTTAACTCGAATTCGGTTCTACAAGAACTCGAATTAGCCTTAACGTTGTGAGGAAACTCAATGGGCTGTGGTATGAAAAGATGATTGTCAATGAACATTCTCATTTCAGGATAAACACATGAAACAATTAAAGCGAAAAATGGAGTGTTGGCGTGAAGTCATCCTTCCACTCAACTCCGTTTTATTCTGGGAGCGCCCCTGGTATCCCGGGCTGATCGTTGGTTTTACAACTACCATTTTCTTGTGAGCATATCAAATTTTCATCAGTTAGTTTTACCGTTCTCATTATTTGCTGGCAATTGTTTTCATGCCGGTGTTAGAAATATTTTGGTATGATTACTTGGAGTTGGCTCGGATAGAATACATGCGTCCGATGCCTCGAATAAATTGGATTTTAAAATTTACTAGAATTTATTCTCGAGGCAATGGTGTTTATCCTTTATTCTAATGATTCTTTGCAGGTTAATATGGTTTTTGGAGCCAGCTATACTTACTTTAATTGCATTGAGTTTATTGATATTAGCCATTATTGATTACTCGGTCCCTATTGTGACAACTGCTTTATTCCCTGCAAATGGTTGGACCGGCCAAAAAGAACGTAAATTAGAAGAAATCTGTCAAAATTTATCCACTACTATTCTCCAAATACAGAATTTCTGGAGGAAGATCCTAAATGCTCGCAGTAATCATAGAAATTTTGTAAGTTAATTTGTCTTTCATGGTGTTTTTTATTTTATATTGCTAAGATCTTACCCTCCCCTGGAATAATGTAGTAGGTGAAATGATGAAGGTTTTATTATCATGACTGTTATATATATTTGTAGTGCTATGGTACAATGATGAGTTGTCTGATTAGTCTCGCATGGCTCGGAAACCATGTTAATAATTTGCTGCTGCTTTATATCATTGGTAAGTCTTTTAATATCCCTTAAAAACGGAATTTATTCTGATCGTCAAGGATTTTTATAACTTTACGCATCGTTCTTCCAGTTAATCTAGCTCTGCTCATGCCAGGCCTTAGACACAAAGGGCAAGCGCAGCAAGTATTAAAATCTATTTTTAAGTACTTGTGCCATCGTAAACAGTCATAATCATCGTTTTATATTTAAAGAAGTTTCATTTAGTTTTACACTGATCGTTGGAAACAATAAATTTAAATTTATTGTACCATTTGGATGTCATTCTGCTTAATGAGTAGTTGGCTTAGTTTGAAAGACAAACTTTATTATCAGTGTATGTCACGTGTTTGCTGCTTTTACACATATTGTAAGAAACTTCAAGAATGTAGGAGAGTGATATTTTTTTCCTTTTTATCGAAACTCAAATTATTTAGAATCTAGTTACGGACTTTTAATGATGCTGTTAGATATATCACTTATTTATCATCAGTCATTCAAGTTTACCAAAATTTACATGTATCTTCAAAACAGTTCAAAATTCAAAGAAGTACACTTTTTGCAGGATTATTTTAACTATAAAAAGAAATTCTATATGGTGTAACTTGTTAGTCGTCACTATTACAGTTTTTGCAACTGAGAGTAAATTACAATTTTTCAAAAGCAGTGTTATAAAAATTATGGAGTACTTAATGGTGATTAGAATATGAAATATTATGTAGTCACGTAATGTATGTGGAAGAAATGTTTTAGCCTCATCTGTCTTGCAATTGTCATTTGACTATTCATAATAACACACCTTGGTATAGTTAGGTGTGTACATTCTGATTTGCACATGTGAATGAAATATTAATATGCAGCAATACGAAAATTCGAATGGTTTTGGAACATGAATTATTTATAGTAATAAGATTTTATTCTCTAATGTAAGATTACTAATATTCACAACACACTCTTGTATGTAAGGTGATGTGTTAAGGCATTGCCTCCTTCAAATGTACATTTTCATGTGTCACTGATCAAATTCCCCATATTGGTTTTTAAACTGTCAATCATTTACATGCCAACAATTGAATCATCACTCATTATTAATTCATCATTCGCCTCATTGTGGTCAATACGGAGAAAAAGACTTAATTTATGAATACGTAGACCACTCATGGGTACATGTTTTTACTATCGTTAATAAAACCAAAGATTCATTCATCTCTTCACCGGTTTAACGAGTTTTCGTGCAATACATATTTTTCTATTATTTCTTACCAGTTTTCAGGACAGGGTGATATTTTACAATCCATTACGGACCACTGACTGAATAAGTAAGATGTATTTTCTCCTCGCGATATTTAGGTCTTTAGATTGTAATGAAAAAACTATTAACATGCTGTAAGTTTTGGTATACTTTTACTTATTTATTAATGTGTAAATATTTTTTTTTTATAAGAAGTTATTTATTTACTCTCTGTAAAGTGATGCTCAAGAATTAAAATTATTATATCTTAATCTTTGAGTGTGTTCAGTGCTGTAATTTAAGTACACAAAACATTCTAGTATGGCGTACATCAACATACACAAATTATATAATATCGTACGATAAATATACTCAAAATATAAATTCTTTAAAAAATATGCGTATAACAAATAAAACAATAGAAAATCGTTTTACATTATGTAGAAAATGATAGTTTCAGATAAGCGAATTACCATTTTCACCATCACTCGATTGTGTTATTGCAACTTGTTGAAGAAAGTTTCTCAAGTTGTTGGTCAAACATATATCTTCCCCGTCGGAACTAACTTCTGAATCGAAGACGTATTCGATTTTCGTCTTAGGATTTATTCTCAGTTGTGGTTCAACTTTTCTATAAAATAGAATATTATTAATAAATAAAGTAACGTGTAACATCTAAACTCACTTGTAAACAGTCCTCTCAGGGCAATCTTTAATGACGGAATCAGAAAGCGATTCTTCAGTTTGCTCCTGAACCGCTTCCAATTTCCTGGCAAGTTTGAAGATTGGTTTTTAAATATTAGTCCTTATTAATGTGTTTAACATACTGCAGCAAGCAAAATGGTCATACTCACAAAAGTTGACATTCATTAAGAAAGTTAAATGATTTGTTACTGTCGCAAGTAACATTGGCGTCTTTAATGTGTTTTGTTCGAGAAAATGGAGAACCTTCACAGCCACTTCCTTTGGTGACCACTTTAGATGTTAGACGATTTGTGTCAATTACCTAGTTAATTAATAATTAATGCTATAAGATTTATAAAGCTATAAGTGTTGTACAGAATAATCATACCGAATCACTGATTTTTTGTTTGCTGTTTAAAGCTAATCCACGACCACTTAGAGGTGAAAAGTGACGAAACGATTTTTGACAATACGGTTGCTCTCTAATCGATAATGGTTTCTCTTTACCGATCTTGAGCTTCTCCTTAGTATCTTTAAGCTCTCCTGCGAGGCGTAAAACTTCAGAACTAGAAAAACATAATTCATTGTACAAAACATTCAGAGTACAAAAAATTGTCAAAAAATTAAAATTTCTCGTAAACAATTACTTTCTGGAAAGAATAATACATTTATCAATGCTTTGTGATTTCTTCAGATTATTCATTGCATTCATGAATCTGGATGACTCTGAACATATTTCGTTTGAACGTCGATATTTTTGTAATGATTTTTCCTCTAAACTAGTCCTACTAATTGTACTCCTCGAGAGATTTCTTTGAGGTCTTCTTCCGATTAATTCTTGGTCATACTTCAGAGGATTATTTCTTGTTATCGCTTTGCAGACTACTTATAACGTAACATTTTTTAAAAGAGTAATAATCAACCGTATTTATTAGTGATTAGAAATATTTACCATTCACATTTTTAACATTGATAGGTGGAATAATATGAGCCGAAGATGTTTTAGGTTCACTTGATGATGGCTGTTTATCATTTAAAGTGGATGCTTTGGGCCCTCTTCTATTTTTCTATTAAAATAAAATGCCTTCTGAAGTTTTCCTGTCTGAATAAAAGGAACGAAATCAAAATCTTATCATTAAATACCCTGTAATCGGTTTGCGTATACAAATGTACAGTTTTCATTTCGTTGTAATGTTTCTTTTTTTGCAAATGCTGCTCATAGAGCATATCTTCCAATGCTTTTATGCGATCTTGGAGTTTCAGAATGACATCTTCGTACAGCACACTCTTAAATTCATAGCCCTATGTAAAATATTATGGGAGATTAGATCGATAAGATAAATTAGGTAATATATATATTGTGACAAATACTTTGCGAGGGTTCAAAAGGTGCTCTATTTGCTTATCCTTCCTTTGCAATTCATGCTGGAGCTTCCGAATTTTTATTTTTAGTAATTGATTCTCATCCAACGTCAAGACCAACTCTCGTTTTAGGCAGAATAAATCCGATTCCAGGTCTTCCTGTAGGGAGTAGTCTTTATTAAAAATGTTACATTTGATTTCAGCAAAAATTATTTACCTCGCTTCTCACAGAGTGTATTCTTTTCATATTTATACTTCAACAGTAAAAAAAGGAAATTCGGGAAGATACGCATACGAGTACTGATCAATTTTATTAATTTCATAATTCCATTGATCTGTAACATTGACGTTATATACTCTACTAATGAACTGTCATATTTTCTTAATTAATGACAGGTATGTACATAAAATTCCGATTTTCAGTGAACAAGGAACTCAGGTAAATTTCGCGCCGGATATGTTTAAATTCACCTACTATGGCGTCGCTCGTGGCGTTTCTAGGGGAAATGCCAATGAATGTGCAGAAGGCAGTTAGAACATAACCTAGTTATATCGTAATGTGGAACCGCTTCTGATGGCTCTCTAGCAACCTATAAGAGTGTTTTATACTCATAGTCTTCCCGCCTTTTCAAGTGACGGTATCGAAATCGTTTATGGTTACGAATAACAAATATGAGCTGGCATGCGACGTGCATGATGCTCACTTGTTCAGTATTTACAAATTTTATTTGGAATTGAGATCCAGCATTTCCAGCATTTCAACGATCGAGGCTCGTAGGAGTGACGAAGTTATTTGTTTCGATTGCAACGCTTCCGTAAACGCAGAAGCGGGAAAAGTCGAGCGTGAATTTGGTTCGTGTTTGGAAAAGCAGGATCATGAAACCGGGAGGGACAACGAAAGTTTCAGCCGGAAAAACTACAGCTTCAGAGGTTATTATTACATTTCGATTCCTCGGAAATACTGAACATTCTGTTGATATCTGTGGGTCAGAAATTTACCTATGTTTATGTTAGAATTACTAAATAATGACCACTTGAGGCATAGGGCAGACCGTTTAATTTTTTTCTCTTCTAATCTACGTAGACCAAGATCCTCGTTAAAGTTCAAAATCGTAATATATTTACAAACAGAGCAAGAAATTTGAGACTTGCTTCGAAAGCGTCGATGTTATTCTAGTAAGGAATAGTGTTTCTCATGGCAAGGAGTTTCATTATATAAAAGTCGATTTTATGCACATCTGTAGATTATTAATTTGGTTTAGTTATTTTTTTTTATATTCTTAACATTGCTCGTTTTTTGTGAAGTCACTTGAGGACAATGGCTTATATTTTCTACAGAGATACAACCATCGTAGATGTAAGTTGTTTTTAACATCGCAATGTTCACATGAGATTACTTTTCCTTTTTACTTCTAATAGGATACTAAAGTTAGAAAATCCCTGCATCTTTTACAACCGGCAGCTACTGACAAGGAAAATTTAGTGGGTGCAGGACGTCATCCTAAATCCATGACATCAGCTAAGGAGGCTGCTAAGGAGTAAGAAAACTTTTTGAATTTTTTATTGCATATTCATCAATTTATTTCATATTTGCATGTTTTAAATTTGTTGATAATGATGCAGTGAAATGTCTGACAAAACTGAAAAGTCCAGAAATGAGAAACCCAAAAATGCAAAATCCAGAAATGAAGTTTCAAAATCGAATAAAAAAGTAAATTATAAAGATAAAGGAGTACAGACAGCACGAGGAGAGAAAATTAAGATTGAAGTTGAAGATTTGACATCTGAAGGTATGTATGTTCAGAGTACATGTCGATATGTAATTTTAATTATGTTATATGTACGATTTATTAATACTCGTTTCATGAATAGCTGGCTAAAATGGTTGGAAATGGTGAAGGTATCTTTAGCAGCAAGGATGTACATATTAACGAGGTCATTCATTTATTTATTACTTACGCTTTACTTTTGTTCAAAGCTGGTCCTAGCGAGCACTATTGGGAAGTACTAGCCGAAAGACGACGGATAGCTCTCGATGACGCTTTGGAAGAAAATAGGGAATTGGCAGAACGTGTGGCACAGTTGGAAGAAGAAAACCGCATATGTAAAGGGATGTTGGATGAAACTAGAGCTCTAGTTGAAGTTTTGCAGGTATGTTTATCTTATTAGTTTAAAATATGTATCATGGATAAGTTGCCATTTTAATTAGAAATGATTCTGTTTACTGAATTATTAATAATATTTTAGGAGATGATCGGCGATGACAATAATGATATCAACAATTCACTAGACGACAGTGTCCTATAGTAGATGATTTTATACTAAGCTCGTTGAGAGTTCCTTTGTAATTATTATTTGTTGCGTGTTCCACCACTGATGTATGCCAACGAGGGTGGAATTAGTGCGATCGTTAGCTATACTCGAATCCTAGATATTCTGGATCTCTTTTGACAAACCGCTTCATCTAATTTTTCCTACGAAAAAGGTATTTCTACTTTTAATAGGTTTTTATGCTGGTCACAAAGTATTCTCCGCGTTGTAAACTTAATACCATGGGATTTATAAATTTTACGAGTTCACTAAATATGTTGGCAGGAGAAAATGTATATCTGGCCGGGGTGAAGCATGAATGTATCCCAAATAGTTTCTTATTCTTACATATACCTATTTTTCATTAATGTACCTTTAGTGTATCATGTAACCGTATCATTTAACGATTGCTTCCTCACCTTATAAAGAATTGTGAATTACGTGTGTCATTTTTGGACATAACGCCGTGTTACTTTCCTAATAGCCTTTTTACCGTTAAAATATTTCTTTGCCCTTAAAGTTTCTGAAAATGCGACAGCATAAATAGGTCAATAATGTGCGAACCGACGTTGTCCTCTGTAAACACACATATAAACGTTTACAAACATCATATACAATATATTTTCACAGTACATTGACGCCCGGAATACAAAACTGTAAAATTCACATTAGTGGAGAACACGTGTAAACCCGATGTCAGTATACTGCACTGTAGCTTTGTGTGAATTTGCGAAGCGATTGGCGATAACGAGCTTATAAATAAATTACAATAAGTAACATTAAAAGAATTACGTCGACAGCAGGGAGATTCTAGGGCCCGTGGATTAATCTTCGTCCTTGAAGCGGCGATAAAAGGACTGGACGTAGGTGAAGACACACTTCCAATCGGGACGGCGCATCACGACCATGTCCTCGACGTCCAACAATGGGGCGATTCCCGCAATTTCACTGGAAATTAAACGGTTACTCTCCAATGAAGACTGGTCGTTTAACGGTCAACTTACTCGGCTTTGGTAAATGCCAGCTGAAAGTTCTTCCTGCGGTCTTCGGGACGTAGAGAATCGTAATCGAAGGCATCCGGTCGGAAGTGATGGAGCAGGGCGCAAAATGCAAGTCCATCGCTCCAGCTGGTCGAGAAGTTCTCCAAGTGGACGTTCTGAATTTACGATATATTTCACTTACTCTAAGCATACGTCGGCATTTATTTCAATTGCTAACTGTAAGATATCTTCGCGTTACCTCGTATTCTTTAGTTTTCGAGCGACACCACGCCAGCAGTCGCTCTTTTATCTGTACCGCGTTGCTCTGTACAACGGGATCGGTGAACTTAAAGTGAAACTCTTTTCCGGGTGTCAGAGGCGTACTGTGAAAACGGGAATACATATTTTAGAGTTAATTCTTGTGGAAATTAAATTTAGAGACGAAATGAAAGCAACCGTCGACAAATTTAATCGACGTTGCCTTCATTGTTGTGTTTAGAGTATGTTTCTAATAATTGGTAGATTACCTGGGCGAGCGGGGAGCGCTGTTCTGTCGATCGAGCTGGCGAAACTTCGCAAACGGAGACATGGGCTTCTTGGGTGCTGAAAAAGGAAACGAAATCGGACATTAAGCGTCGACGAATAATCTCTAGCTAGGCAGAATTCGGCTCTCATGCTCGTAAACCCATTAGTGGTTGTATACTGTATCTAATTGAACTCATTAATGTGCTGTCTACGTGTGGCAATGGTGTCAGGTGCACTAAACTAAGAAAAAAGAAAGAAACTCTAAGAACGCAACTCGAGCAGCACTTGAGTTAATTCAGTGAATACCTAATTACTCGAAGGAGCTAATGAGTACATACCGACCGATCTCAGAAATTTCTATTAAAGTCCTACTCTCGCGTTTACGCAAATATGAGTACGCATTTATGAGCTTAATCAGAAAAAAAATGGGACTTTATCCAGGCCGTAGGAGAACCGTCGATCAGTTATTTCCGAACTGACAAACTCGTCCCTAAGTAATGAACAAAGTCATCGGGGCGTATTTTCTCGTGTTTATTACAGTAACAGACATATTTACAGCCGCAATTCCCGTTTACGAAAGTCGGGTCATCGGTCAAGCGCGATCCGTCATTTTGTTCATTTAATCGTACCAGTTGAGCGTAATTTTCTTGCGGTGCGCAATCGTTTTTAAAGGAAGATAGATATTAATTGACGCGCCCGACTCGTACGTCGAGGAGTCATTTTTCATTTGGTTTGCTTCGTAGTCTCCGAAGGGGGAAACCGTGTCGATGGGTGCAGAGGTCGACATTGCGCCACGCAGTGGTCGCGAAACGTCAGGAAAAGTCTTAGCTTTTAGTTTTGACTCGCTTCGCAAAATTTCGAACCTCCTCGCTCGGGTTAGCCGACTCGATCGAATCTCGCGGACGTAAAGTTGCAAATCGGTGCCAACGCATTCGATGATTTCTTTCGTTTTTTTTTCCACACACCCAACAAACTCAAAATCAAACCGGAGACGGTATCTCTTTTTCACACCAGTTCTGGTAGAAAAATGTAAAAAAAAGAGAGAGTCACACCTCGGTTAGTAGACTAGTCTCCTGTACTCTAAACCAGCGTAAACCAAGACAAACGGTGTATGTCCCGCGACGTCTCGCACGAGAGTACGGTGTACGTAGCCCTGCCGAGTAATTTCATTTAAAGGCGACGGAATCGATCGAAAAAATTCATCCAAGATGCGTTTCACTCCCGGTGATAGAAATTTTAAATTGTACCGACGAAATCTGTCCCGATGCATTTTTTTGCAACTCCCGATAAAACGCGCACGTTGCAGGAAAACGCATCGACGTGGCCGCAATCGCCCGACGCGGTGGTGCTGCTATCAATTTCAGGAAAGAGGGTACAATTGGAAAAAAAAACTTCTTAATAGTTTTTAAAAAATTCCTATCACCGCGTTGTCGAAACATTTTCCTGGGGATCAATTTTTCGAACGATGCGGATTTCGACCGTCGACGTCGCCATTGCGTGAAACTTCCGGTGGGGATCGTGCAGGGTGTAGGTGCCGAGAACGGTCGACGTTCTCGTCGCTAGTGGTGGCTTAGTTGGTCTAGTAGCTAGTCGGTGGTAGTAGTAGAAGAAATAGTGGTAAAAAGACTCACTGATCGTCGGGGCCGCCTCGAAAACGCACTAAAACGTCCCTCTAATCCGGGCTTGGGACACACACACCGGGCACGGTAACGAAAGGCAGAACGAAAAACAAAGTAGCGGGGGAAGAACCGAGCCGGGCTAAACCGGCGCGGAAGAGACGCGCCCTTTCTCTATCTCCCCGGGCGACTCGAGTTCTTGCAAACTATCGATAAGTCAAACGGTCGGTTGCGCGGAAAACCGGTCGCGAGGGCCACCCTGAAGATTTTCTCGAAGACGTCGACGTCGTCTCGGGAGGATTTCGCCTCCTTGCGGCTAACTCGGAGTCTTGATTTCAGGGTGCGGAGTCTTCGAGGCTTCGTATCGTTCGGACGCTGGGACGGCTCCAGGAGCGATGGACCTTCGGCTCCAGGAACGCGAGGAGGACGGAGAGTCGCTCGGCCGAAAACGGAGGTCAAACTGGAGAACGGAGAACGAGAGCCGGCCCTATGGCCCTGGGCGCGGCATTTTACAAAGGAGGTACCATTTAACGTGGCGATCGATCGGACCGACCAGCGGGGTCGAGGCTCAGCACCGCGCGTCGCTCCTGACGGTCTCCCTGAAGAGGTCGTCGAAGGCGGCGTCGACGTCTCCCAGCTCCACGAGGTTCCTCTCGTCGTACAGGTGAGGGACCGTGTGGCTCCTGGCCAGGCCGTTCTGGCTCCTCTTCGCGGGCCCCGGGCACCTCTTGCTCTTGGACTCCCTCCTCCCCGAGGGAGGGGATTCCCCGGAGCCCGCGTTGGTGGGACTGTGGAAGTACCTCTGGATCTTCTCCTCCATGCGCTTCACGTTGTCCGAGGTGGCGGCGGCCTCGAACTGCTTGGACAGCCTGAAGGAGGACGGGGACCTGGACTTGGGCGGCCGAGGCGGGGACTCCTGGACGACTCGAGGGACCTGCAGGTTGCTCTTGGACAGGGCCAGCTGGTGCCAGGACTCGGACTTCGACAGGACAATCGAGCGCGAGGGTCGACTGGCGCAGGACATCAGGTACTCGTCGCTGGAGTCGATCAGCTTTGCGCTGCTGCCGATGGGTCCCTTCGACTGGACGATCTTCGACGGACTCACCACGTTCACCTTCGGGGGCCCCCCTCGGAACCCGGACCTAACGGGCGAGGGACGGTGTCTGTTCGGGTTTCTGCTCTCGAAGATGCCGATCTTCTCCTGAGTGTTGTTGCTCTCCACGACGGGCTCGCAGGGCTGCCTCGGTGGAGTAAATCCGCGGGACGAGGCCTCCTGGACGAAGGGTACACCTTCCCTTCCGAGGGACGAGTCGAAGACGAGGTGCTTCGGGGGCTTCGACGTCGCGTCACTCTGCAGCTTCCTGGCCAGGTTCTGCTGCAGTAGGTTGTGCCTCTGGATCTCGTCCAGCGGGATCTCCCTCTTCCTCGGCTCCGCTCTAGGAACCTCGCCCATCTGCTGCGCGGTTTCGTCCGGGACGTCGCGCTTTTCTTCGGGCCCGAGACGGTTCTTGCCGGAAAGGGACTCCGTCGAATCTCGTCGCTCTTCGGGGAGCATCGACGCCTCCGGCGCTATCGTGGCTATCGCGCAGGTGTACCTCGTTACCACACCTTCGGGGCTGATGTCTTGATTGGCGATCTTGTCCTCCTCGGGAAGCACGACCTCGTTGGGGACGATCCTTGGATACGTTTCTTCGGTCCTGGGCACACCGGAAACGGATAACCGATCCTCGTAGTTTCGATCCTGGAAGACGTCTTGCCGCGACGCCTCTTCGGCCCCTCCTGGATAGTTTGCCTCGTAATCGGTTCTCTGCTTCTCACGGTTGCTCAGGTCGCGAGACGAGTGACCCCAAGGAACGTAGCTTCGAATTCGCTCCTCGTCCCTGCTTCCGGGATACGAACGATCGTTATCCTCGCTCGTTAAAGGGTAGCTCGATTTTGGACCATCGTCGGCATCCTTCGGCAAGTGGCCTTGGGACAAGCTGGCCCTAAGGAAATTGTCGATCGTTTTGATGGGATTCTGACTAGAGGAGTACGATCGGTACGACTCGTTCGGGCGAGAATAGTTGACCTCGAAATCCCTAGGGACGGGGTGGACTGAGACGCGATGTCCCACCTCTGGATAGCTCGTCTGCTCCTGATAGACTCTAGGATTGTCCACCGGATATCCGGGGTTACTCTTCACCGGGGAAGACGCCATCAATGGCTCGTATCTAGGACTCTTGTCGGAAACCTCGTAACCCTTTCCGATGTGACTCTCGGCAGGTGAGTGGGAAGGTGCCGAACCGCTCTGGGGTAGATTTGACATCCTGTTGGTGTCCACGTCCAGACTCTGCAGGGGGATAACCTTTGGGAAATTCGACTTGGGCGTAACCCCTTCGACGTCGGGACTCGTCCCCAGGTCCAGGGACCCATCTACGTTGGGCTGAAACAGGCCCTGAAATTCTGGAAGAGTTTTCTCGGTCACTGGGTGATCTTTGGCGGTGCCGTCCAGGGGATGAGGTCCGTTGTCGGGAGCAACGGGCTGAATCGTCTTGGTCGACCAATCGTTCCCGACGTCGGCATTCCTCGGCGCTGCGTCGAAGCATTTCCCATCCCAACCGGTCCTGGACTCGTTATCGATCATCTTCTCCGGCGTCTCGTCTAACTTGCTGCGCGATAAGGAGCTCTTGGGACTCCCATCGAGTCGATCGACGTTCTCGTATCGATATCGTCGAGGGTCTTCCTGGCGATCCTGGTCCTCGTAATACTCGCCCCTCCGGTGAAGCCCACCTGAATCGTTGTCCAATTTCTTACATGGTTTAGGATTTCTCGAAGACCACTGGTCCGGATTTTCGTATCGGGGACGAGGGCCTTCGGAGTGCTCCAGGTCGTCGTAGTATTCCGCCCTTTGGTGGACCACGCCGGGTCGATTGGATTTGGACGGACTCTCCCGAGAACCGATTCTCGACGGCGCTTTGCTTGACTCGGTTTGACGTCCGTTCGAGGCAGGGGCGAACTGCTTGCAAAACGACTGATAATTCAGGCGACCGTTCTCCATCGCTCCGTTTGTCCCGGGGATCGAGGACGGCGCGTTTCCGGATTTGACGTACTTGCCCTTGGTTTGGGGCGGCGGTGCGTTTCGGTTGCTCTCCTTGTCGAACATCTTCACCTTGGCCTGCAGGGTGCCGCCGGTCTCGGCGGTGGCCTCCAGCAGTTTGGGCTTCAGGAACTCAGGGACGAAGTCCTTCCCGGTCTTCTCGATCTTGCGGAAGGGAGAGGTGGGGGCGTGGGTGAACCCCGACGTCGGTTCGGCGGTCGCGTAAGGGAGCTTCAGGGATCCGACGACCACCCCCTGGTTCTCCCGGTCCTCGTTCGAGCCGGCGCGAAGTCGTCCGCTGTTGTCCCTGGGGCGCTTCAAGGGGCCACGGTCCTCGGGGGAGACGTCTCGCGGCTTGTCGAAGGTGGTCTTGATGTCGGCGAACCGATCGTTCCAGTTGCGGTCGGCCACGGAGGGTTGCCTGTAGTTGAAGTTCTTGAAGGGCAGAACGTTGGCGGCGGGCCCGGACTCGCTGTTCCTGCCGATCAGCGCCAGGAACTTGCGGTCGTTCTCGGTTTTGGGCTCGAAGGAGGGCACCGCCTTGGTCGTGCCGGCCAGGACCTTGTCCCCGACGCCGATGGGCCTCCTCAGGGCGATGCAGCCCTGGTTCCGGCCGTGGCCCTCGGCCTGCAGCTTCAGGTAGCTCGGGATGTCTATGGTGTTGGCCCTCTTGATCTTGGACTTCTTCGCGGAAAACTTGTTGCACCTGACCGGTAGTACCGGTAGTACCGGGGGTTCCGGCGGACGGAAGGGAGCGGCGAAGCTGCCGAACTCCTCCTCGACCCCGGGGCCGTCGACGAGACGAGGCGCCTTCGTATCGTCCTCGGGGGAGCCGTCCGGCTCCTTGCTCCGGCTCTGCAGCGACTGTCGGTGGTTGATGGCGTCCTTCACGTGCTTCTCGCGGACGCGATCGAACTGCCGCTCTGCCGTCCGCTCCGGGTGGTCCTGTCGAGTCGCCTTCGCGGGGGCGACTTGGGCCTCGTCCAACCGCGCGGATTCCGGGAACGGACGCTCGGCGAGGTTCCTCTCCTCCTCCAGCCACTTCCTGGCGCGAGCCAGCTCCTCGGCCGTGACGACGACCGTGTGCCGCTCCCTGCGCCGCCGTCGAGGTGGACTCGGACGAGGCTGACTCTCCTCCTCGGGGCTCTCCGGGATCTTCAGCTTCGCCAGAAGGTTCGAGACGAGCCGCAGCAGGTGCAGCTTGCTCGCCGGGTCCAGGGTGGAGCTGTACCTGACGAGGGCGCCGACGTCGGCGCGCCGCAGGGTCTCTCGCAGCCGCGCCAGCGCCGTCTGGATGTCGGAGAGCAGCAGGTCCTCCAGGAACTGCTGGTCCAGCGGCTTCGGGCTCTGACGGTCCATCGGGAGTCTGGGTCGGAGGTCGCCCTCCGAGTCGATGCCCGAGTCCTCCGGGTGCACCTGCTCCTCGCTGCTCCCACTCGAACAGGAGAGCTCCAGGGCCGAGCGCAGCCGCTCTACTAATACTGGCAATGAATTCCACTCACCGGGTCCTGCCGCTGGTCGGATCGGGCCTTCGACCCGATGGGGTGGCGAGGCCGCGACATTCCTCTCCGGCTCCCTGCTCGGAGGCGGTCCGCTCTCAGCAACGGGCCAAACTCCCCGTGCTCCATCGACTGCGAAACGGTGCAACCTCCAATTTATTTACTTATTCTATAGACGTTTACGTGTATTAGATCGCGACCGCTCCCGGATCGAATTTCGTCCAATCTCTCGTTTTTCAACCCGAATGCCCTCGGCTATTAATATCGCTCGGTATCTGCTTGCGCGCGGCAACGATACCGGCCGCTGCCCCCGATCGAATCGAAATCGACCTCTCGAATTTTTTCGACGCCCTTTCGATCGATCGGAAGCCCTACCGAGAATAATTTTCCCGAATGAAAATTGAGGTCTGACGCACCCTCGGCTGGCGGCGGTGGTTTCGCCGAGTTCGGGAAGTACAGGACGAAGCACATTAAAATCGTAATCTTGCTCGACGCGAAACGATCGGCTCGTCGGACGCTCGGAACCGTCGTGGACGATGGTTAACGTTAAAATCGGAGCACGCTCTCTGGGCAATCGTCGACGTATCGAACCTTCTTCATGTAATTCCGATTCCCATTCCGGGAGTAATTCGGTGACCTCCGGGGAAGATAAACAGAAATATTCCGCGTACATATCTATAGACTCGTCGATTCTAAGCGAGAAATCCACGGTAATCGAGTACCTCGAGTTCGAGTTTAAATTTAAAATAAACGGGAAATATTTCCCGTCAATTTCGGAGCCGCGATTAAGGGACTCGATGCTTGACATTGGACGAAATCCGATGCGAAAATAATTACGTTTCTTTTCTCCTCTGGTAACGTCGCCTGGCGCGGGTCTGCGCGTTATTTGGAAGCGGGAGTCGCTCTTTGTCGCACCAATAAAATAACCACGTTGTTAGAACACGCGCGGGCCTTTTTGTCACGTCTTTGCAATTACGCGGACGAGGTATTCGCCCGAATCACCGGCGAGGGATTTTGCGACGTGCAAGCTGCGAGAGGCGCAAGCGCCGACCACGAGAGCTTTGTGACGCGTGTCGGTATAGCCCGGTTTTATTTAAAACACGGGGATTCTCCGCGGATTTATTTTGAGTCGCCTCGCCGGCGTGTCCCGTGCGTCTACGACGAAACGAGACGAGACAACGAGCCTGCTCTTTGCACGGAAAAATTACGCCAAGCGTCTCGTCTTATCGAGCTCCGGTCGAATCGCCGTCGACGCCAATCTCGCCGTGATAAAATGTCACCCGAACGGGGGCGTTCCTTGAAAGGAAAAAAAAAGCTCTCCTTTTGGAAATGCCTAATCCGAGAGCGCAAAAAAATATCCTTCTTGGTTAGATGTGCATTTCGCGACGGGGATGGATGATCGACATTAGAGTTCTCTTCTTTTTCAGCGAACCTGATTTTGGCGTCTCAGACCTCTCTTTGGCTTCGGAGTCTTCTTTGTCCTCGTCCACTTCGCTCCTGGGCTTGCAGCTCTCGACGTCGGTGCTCTCTTCGTTTTCCACTACCAATTGAGGATCTAGAGACATCCGGAAAGAACGGGTCTCAAAGTACTTGGTTTGCAGAGCAAGTATGGTGGAGTCCTATGTTTTACTACCATTCGATATACCGATTATTAGCGGCGCGAATTTATTAATTTAATTTTCAGAAGACCTCGCGGAAGGCCGATAATTTATGGAATTGTTAATACCTCACCTTCTGCCTCCATGTCGACCGATCGTCCGGCGCCTAGAAAATACAGGAAAGGGCGGAAATTAATTAAGAGGTAAATTAATAATTGTCAGTACACGTGGTACTAAATGTTAGAGAGTATCGCGCGAACCGACGTTTCGTCTCCTTGATCTCGCATCGGTGTTCGCAGGTTTCGGGGTCGGCACTTGGGAGAAAATTCGAAAAATGCGCTCGAGGAGAGGGAAAGAATCCCGACGAGGGCTTTTAAATGCCTACGCAGATACTGGGGGAAGGCGGAAAATTCTTTCCTGCAGCGTTCCAGATTTCTACGCGAATGCTCCGGGGAGGCGGTGATTTACCGCGATTCCTTTCAAAAATAGAGCGGACATGTCGATACGAAAATCCGTTTTGGTAAGCTCCTTCCGCGAGGTAGGAAATAAACGCGTAAACCGTGATTTATAGGCGAACACCGAAAGCCTCCTTTGCTATGCGAGGCGCACTTTAATACTCTGCGAATAGCGGAAGACAACTTCAAACACCATTCTACATGCGAAAGTAAACAGCATTGCTCATCTAGCGGCTCGAATTGGCAGGCGGATTATTTAGCGTTAAAATAGCTGCGACTCGTTTTACGTAAACAGCGAATCCTCGCTAATTCCGTGGCTTACCGGCTCTTATAAGGAAGGGTCTATAAAAAAAAGGTGTCTAAAAAAATGTGGAAAATGTGGAGATGGGTGGAAGTCCTCCCTTTTCCCGTCAATTTGTCCGATCGTCTGGCACCGGCTTTAGCCCGACCTATTTAGCCTAAGCCCCGAAATAAGTGAATCCGAATGAGTAATGAGAATAGAATGCGGATACAAGAGCTTTTAACGTATCTAGGTCTTCCTTGCACTTGCACCGGCGTAGGAAAGGATCGTAGCATTTTCTCCCGGAAAATCCGAATTTTCCTCGGATTTTCCTCCTTACCCGATGGCGGCTGTTCAACGTAAAGCTCTGCCAATTCTCTCGGGAATACAAATGCTCCCCAGCGATTAAACGAGCGTTGAACCTCGACTTACTTTAGAATTGAATTTAGCGTATCAAATTTGGCGTCGCCTTAAAATCGGAGGTAGTATAAAGGCGTAAAATAAGGGAGGAAAAATGATACGATTTCTTGCGTCTCTGGGTAAAAAGTGAAAATAAACAATTAGACCCACAATGGAATCGTTCTTATGTCAAAATCATTCGCGGTCTGCCGGGCGGATCTCCCGCAAATTCGTGTCTTTTGACACGCTCGGTTAACTCGATCGCGGTTTACCGGTCTCGCCGTTTCCTCCGAACAAGTTCACTTTTTGCCTACAGGGGTTCGCCGGTTCCCGGCACGGATAATCCATAAAGATAATTTTCCCATAAGTGCCGAGGGCCTCGCAAAGCGCGAGAATCCGATCTCCTTTATCGGACATTTTGCTATCGTTAGTATCGTTACGTCGTTCGCCGTTCCGCATCGGCCAAAGCCAGGGCAACGTGGCCGATTGGATCCGCTCTTGACTGCCAGAGTTTATGGACTCCTAAGTCGTTTTTCCGCAATCTCCTATTCAGCCTAAAGAGCGCTAAAAGACGCTATTATCCCAATGGCGCGGAGTGGACTCGTTTTCCATGGAAACCGACTCGGCTTCTTACCCCGTCGAGTTTACGGACGTTTTGCGGGACCGTTTTCTCCACGCAGCCTCTCCACCAACGGAACTCTACCCGAGGAAACGTCTTATGGACGGATGTATATTAATTCTCAATTTTTTACCGCCCATCTAAACGTGAATTTTCGCGAAAAGAAAATTTTCCGTGGACCCTGCAGGGCAGATTTATCGAGAGAAAATTCGTCGCTGGACTCTAGTCTTCTAGTTAATTTTTTTTTTCGATTTTGAAGCAACCTCCGGTGCTTGGGTCGAAGTGCGACGCACGATGCAGAAACGGGAGAAGATGAAAGCACGCGGTGGTCCCTGCACGCGGGACTACGGTAAACGGTAGCGAGTGCTCGCGGGGCCACGGGGCCGACTTCTATAAATAATTTCATACATTATGTACCCACCGACCGCAACAACCGACAGCAGCCCTCTGTTTCGGGCGCACCGGGAAAATATTCAACCAAAATGGCTCCTTTAATTGGGAAAAGGGAGCAACGCCCGCCGTGCCGGCACGTTTTCCTCGTCGCGGCGAACGTTTCGGCGAAATCCAGGATTTCCCTTGTAAGTTGTGCAAACGCGTCTGGAAAATCTCCCGCTGGTTTTCCGAGATGACTGCAAGGGACAAGAGTCTCGTTTAGGGGGAAAGTCGAAAGTTATTAAAATCGCGTGAAAGGTCGAGGGCGCCGGTCGTGGCGGCCGCGAGATTTCTGGACTTATTAACCTCGATTTTTTAAAATTGGTACGTGCAGAAGGACGAGCACTTCGTCGCCGAGAACGCCTTCGACCTCCACTCTGCTATTTTAGCTCGACCTGACCGAAGACCGCAAGAAAATGATGGCTTGCTCGAGTACAGGTACTGCTGGGCCATTTGCCATGGCCGTCTTTCTCTCGGCGTCTTCCTCCGAGGCGAGGAAAGATTGTAAAATTCCATCCGATGGAATGCATTAGTCAGTGGAGGTTTTTCTCTTTGTCCCGTCTAGAAACCTTGTCCCGGTCTTTTGTCTCAGGCCCGTGTGATTTGCACGATAGAGAAGTTAGGGCATCGTGCCGAAAGCGAACGAGGAAAAGCGCTAACTAGAGGATCCGATTCAACGAATTACTGGTAATTGTTGGAGGTACATCGATTATCGAATTCAACGGAAGAACGATTAAGTACAAGACGTGCGGAATTGGGCTCGCCCGGTTTAGAGTTGGCCATCAAAATTGAAATTAAATCCTGAAGATGACGTCGGTGCAGTCAAGGCCAATCATTCGAACTCGCGACGCACGCTCTAGCTACATCTTCATCGACTCCGAAATTCTAAATTTATTGCAATGCCCGATGCCGCGGTTTCTAGGAAGAGAAGTCCTGCCAAATTGTCCGAACGTTCCCAATTTTGCTAATAATTCTTCGCATCGTTCTCGTCCACTTACGATTTTTTCCGATATTTTTTTCGACTTTCGAAAAGAACCTCGCGTGCTTCTTCATATTTGAGGAATAATCGCATTATTAAATGCCGACGTTCGCAGCCGGTCCTTGAAAACGAGGATAAGGTCTTTAGACCAAAGACGTAGAAAGCGTCTCGCGCAGTCTACCGTGTCTAAGATGTTAGTCGAGACAATGGCTCCACGTTATCTCCATTTTATGCAAATTTTCGGCATTTAACATGACTTTATATAAGCCCGGTACATTACCATATCGGAGGTTACGTTGCCGCGGGAAAATGGATTCGACGATTCTTGATTTTTTTTAGAAAGAATGGTGAAATTCAGGGGGCACGTTCCACACCTCGATCTGAAAATGCAGGCGACACCGTTCGCGACGGCTCGTGAAACTTCTTTTTATTAGCGCTTTAACGAGCGTGCCAGGGGGTAATTCCCCGTAGTTACGACTTAATTGTAAGGAAACGGTTCCGCGGCTTCGTTTCCTCGCGGCAGCTGCGCGTCGCGGGCTTTTTCTCGCGGCGCGACGCGCGTAGATGGGAAACCGTGCCGCGCAATTACCATTAATGCCTTCAAACTTGACCGACCGTGTACGATCGTCTTGGATTTCGAGGATAACGTCCAAGAGAGCCAAATTTAGATACCAATTCTCGAGTACATGCCCGCGTCGCATATTCAAGATGGCGGCGCCGCCGCGTCGGCCTTGCCAAATATGGCGGCGCTCGCGTGGCCTAGAAACCACTTCCGACAGGCCGGTTCCGGTGGACCCGGTCACGTGCCGCCGGGTCAGGGTAGGTCGATCCTCCCGAAGGCCTCTTTCTCAGGTCGAAAGAAAATATCGAGCAGTCGCCGCCACCTCCGCGGGCACTTTTTCAAAATAAGCCGGCACTACCCGTCACTCGCAATATACTTAGAAAATGATCTACGACCGCGCGTCGTTTACGGGCATCCGGCTCGCCATATAGGGCCGCGCTCGCGTTGCCCGGAAGGCACTTCGGAGCGCGCCGATCATCGGCAGGTCGTTAATAATTCCTTTTTCGAACGCGTTACCTGCCGGTCGCTCTAACCTTTGGTCCTACGCGTCCATGGCGATCCGACGGGACAGCGACCCTGGCGGCACTTCCGTTCGAGCCGGCCGCCGGCAGGTTAGGTTAGGAGCGCGACCGGATTAGGCGACTGGAAATGCGTTACCTTCGAGGCGGTTCGAGGTAGAGTTCGAGGTAGTTCGAGGCGGCTCGAGGGCTGCGGCAGCGGCGGTGGGTTTTGGGACCGACGTGCCGAGGCGACTGCGCGCCGCGCGGCTCTTCGCGCGGCCGGACTCCTGGTGTGCGCCGCGCTAAAGTATGGCATCACTTCAACCGATTTAGATCTCCGAAAATAGCGGAGTTATTGCTGTTACCTCAGGCCCCGCGCGTACGCACCTTGATTTCCCGTAAATGAACCCAATGCCGTGCCGGATATGCGCACGAAGACCGGCCGGCGTCGCTGGGCCGGGCTTCCGGGTGCGCCGCATATTTTGCGCGCGCAGCCCACCCGAGCGGAACTCGAGCGGACCGTCCCTCTTATGGGATCCAACATGGCGGCCGGACCGACCCGGGACGCTCGACGGCTGCTCCACTTAAGTACCCTTTTACGTCCCTTTAATTACTTCCCAGGTTTCAATTAATCATATTCCCATTTTTGCAGGTGGAATACACCTGGAGGAACCTCGATCGTCCGATATAGGTTAGAAACGCCGACCGCGGCGAGAGATACGAAAACCGTTAACCGACTCATCGTTGAAACGAACAGCCCACATCGCCCCCGTAACGAGGAATAATTTTAATGTGAATTTTCTCTGTAGCGCAATTACGTGGAGTTTCAATTTTTTATTTTAATCCGAGGAACGTTAAGCCCGCGGATGTACGCTCGTACGTACGTTCCGCAATCCGGCGACTCGTTGACGGACCGATCGCGATTTCGGGAATTTCAATTTCAACACGCGCGGTACATGCGCGTACGCACGTGCGTAATGTCACCGCATGGCTCATTAATAGTGGTAGAAAGGAAAGCTCGCCGTTTTTTTTTTTCTTTCTTTCCCGAAGCGCGTTGCGCAAACGAGACGGTCGTTTAATTGTTGTATCGGTAGGCAACGATCGTCGCCGAGCTCGGTCGAGTGTCTCGAATTATTTATCAATAACTTTGCCGTCCTCTTTTACAGTTGACGAGCGTCGCGTTCGATCACCTCGAATCGTTGCGATTCGACGATTGCAAGACCGCCGAAAGAGAAACTCCGCACCGCGGGATTCCGAGCGAAAAGGAAGAGCGAGGTACGCGAAATGTGCAATCATAAATTATCGAACGCCTTTGTTTCGGAAGCGATCTCGAGCTTGCTGCGAAATCCAGCTAGGACGCTCCGTTGGACTCTTCCCCTCGAGGAGGGTTTGTTTTAAATCGTAACTATTACGCCTCTCGCCAAGGCAAAGGCCACCATATTTTTAGAGATTAGGAACGCGTCCAAAGAGTCGGCTCTCCCGCAAAGAAATGCTTTCGGCCTTCCTTCGGAGCTTAAACGTATCGATTCCGCCGACGACTCCGCAACCCAAATGTGCTCCTTCAATGACAAATTCCACCGCGAGTCCGCGGTCCAGAACCGCTTAAAGCGTATGTCGACATCTACGCATGTCAATATTTAAAATTCATATGCGATCCGATAAGTCGCGGGTCCAATTTCTGGAAAACCAAGCTATCCTCAGTTTCTTCTTGCAGGGAAAGAAAGGGCCGTCCAACGTGGGGCGAGAAGGGACCGATCGACGTTTCCGAAATCCCCGGTCGATCTAAATCGACTCGCCTTACCGACAATGGGTACACCTCTCGTGTGGTGCCTCCCACCTTTCAGCACCGTTCCCTCTCCTGACGCTCGGCGGAGGCCACTTTCAACTGGAAACCTGTTAACCTACTTGAGCCAGTCTTTGAGCTACTTTTGCCTGAACCTGATTGTCGATACACCGACTGCAGGTGCACGTGTGCATGTGGGTGTGCCCGGGCGAACCAAATCGGACCATATCGAACCGTATCGAACCGAAATCCAGCCCCGAGCGATTCCAAACCCAGCGAGTCTCGTCGAGCCGCACCTGCGAGGAACCGGCGAAACGGAGGTCGAGGGGGCGATCTAGGCTCTCCTTCTGGATCTTCTGGCTCTTCAGGGCCCGCAGGATCTTCCTCGTCCTCGCCTCGTTGATGCCACGTCTATTCCCGATCCCGAAGAGCGATACCATGAGGTCTCGTCGATCCCAGGGTCTCCAAGATCCTGCAAAGTCCCTCTTGGTTCCGGCTCCGAGCAACACCTGAACTCTTCACCTGCGGCAGATTATTTCAAAGGGTATTCCAGAGTCGTTCTACGTTTTATCGAGGGGGCATGACAATTGTAAAAGTACGATGGAAGATTGTGCCGACCGTGCAGGCTAATGACGTTGCCAGGCGTGCACGCACCTATGCGTGGGCGGTTGCATGAAAATTCTACCTCGAGGATTTCACTTCGTTGGAAAAATAGAAAAGTCATTACCGAGATGAATCTTGTGAGTTCGGATGAGGATTTCTTGGATACGAGAACGAGCGGCCGCGTCGACTGGAATGTGGTTATGGGGTTGAGAAAATTTATGACGGCGGTCGCTTGGCGAGGCCTGTAATGAAATCGTGTTTATTGAACACGAGCTTACAATGGAATAGGCGTTTAATGATAGTAACCGTGCTCGTCGGAGCGTTTAGGAATCTAGGCGGTGGAAATACGGTTCGAAGCCCTGGTGAGCTGAAAATCGTAAATTGCACCTCGACGGTCCCATCGTTTCTGGGATCTCTTTTTCCGATATCGAGTCAAGCTGTAAACCTTCCCCTGACCTTTTTTGGAGATTGAGCCTAGCCACGATTATTGAAACGCTAACGATAAATGGAGGAAATTTCGATTTAAGAAATTACTAAAGAATGTTAACCATAAAGGAATGAGAATTATTCAGCGGTGGACTCGATTCGGAAGAGAGAACGGGGAAAATTGAATTTCAATACTATTGCAGAATTAATGAATTGTTGAGTACAATCACAGTCAATTAGGAGAGATTCTCACGTCTCCTCGGATAATTAACGACTCTTCCCCGAGTGCCTCGGCTCAGACTTTTACCAATGAATTATTCATGCGTTACTTGGTGATTTTTTTATGCGTGCTAATTTTTGTACAATTAATTTCGTCCGTTTAGGAGGAAAGATGAGGGGCTGGTTTGACGCCTTCCGCAACGACGGTGGCCCAACTTTGTACAGTTACAGTAATCGCACGCCGGTTACAGGAGACGTCAATCTAATCACCGTATTCGTGATATTTTTCACCCTATTGGCGGCATTCCTGATAATCTTCCCGGGCATTCGCAAGGAGGTGAGTCATTAAATAAATACATTGCCTAAATAATTACGGATACAGTTAGCACCGGGGCAGGATGGGCTTCCGGTTAATTGAACCGTATTTGCCAAGAGTAATAAACATTACGAGAGTAAATAATACAGTTGCATAATATCGCGATAAGCAAGCACTCCTGGGTGGTCGTTTATTAGCTCGGAAGCTCGCGAGTAAACGTTCCTAGTCAACGTATCTTTTTTTCTGGGTAGATTTTAATAAAATATTCCATTTTAAAACGAACAATTGTTATTCCAGAAATTGGCAACATTTTTGACCGTCATCCTGAGCCTTGTCGTTGGAACGGCGATTCTGGGTTCGTAAAGTGCATCTACCAAAAATCGTGTAATTCGTTAATCCCTTTTCGTGGTGTAAAAATTAATGTAATAATCGTAGTGGCTCAATACGGATCAACATGGCACACAACCTCCTCCAACATCGTCAGTTCCTACAGCGCCTTTTCGAAGCAAAAAATGGCTGCGGAAATCGGCGGCTACATTGGCCTGATGCACATTAACATAACGTATCGACGTAAGTATGAACAAGAAAAAAATATTTTTTTTCTGCCATTTTACGAATTAAATTATTTCCAATTCTTTCGTATGCAGTCTCGCCGGAAAATAACGACTCCAGCGACGTGGAGTACAACGAGAGATTCTGGTGGAGGACTCCCACGGAAATGTCGGAGTCCTTCAAGGAAGCACTGTACAGAGGTGCTCCATTTCCGATAATTTCGCTTGCCGAGTACTTCAGCCTCCATCAGGAAGGTTTTTCCTGGGGCAGCAAGTATCGCGAGGCAGGATATTATTCCTCCATAATGCTGTGGTGAGCAATTCGGCGATGTACTTTCCCCCTGACCGATCTCTCGTGAAAGCGAGACGGTGAAATTTGGGTAATGGACATTTATTATTTTTTTTTCTTTAAGGGCTTGTTTCGCATCCTGGTTGCTGATGATGCTGTTGCTGATGGTGGTCCCACGGTACGGAGCGTACAATATGATGCTCACTGGGTTCCTCATGCTGATGACCAACCTGACGTATTGGTCCTTGTTGCCTTGCGAACCTCTCGTTGCCCACGTCGATGGATCCATTCTCATATTCAATTTAGGGTGGAATTACTGGTTACTCTTAGTCGCTGGTGAGTACCCGCCAGCTGCCGAAAAGAAATACGAATGATTAATTATGATTTCCTTTCCCTTCACATTTTTGCTTATTATTTATTAACGTAACTTCAACGAAGAATGCTTGCGAAAATGGCGTCGCGGACGAGAAAACGTCTTCCTTGGACCAGAGGAGGCGGTAATGAGTGTTACACGGGCCGAAAACTCCCGCGAACAATTTTAACCACCTCGCACATGCTCCTTTCGACTCCGGTTAATTAAGCCGGAACAGAATGTGCAGCATTTATTACTTGGCTTTCACTCGCTTTGCAGAATAAAATTAGTCGAACCAGCTCGCCCGGCCTTTCGTTCCGTCGAGCCAGCTTTCGCGTCTACCGAAATAGACTTTTCCCCGCGATTCTCTTTTTTGGAGCTTTTCCGGAAGGCCGGCAAAAATCCCGCCAGGCCCATCGGACTTTCCTGTCGTTTATTTTGGTCAGGGAGCCCGTTGGAACCGACCTGGTTTCTCCGCGGAGAATTTGGAGCAGATGGGCTTCGCTCGAGACATGCGGCTCCTCCAGTCGAAAACATTGCACATATCTTTCCTCGAGTAAAAAAATGAACGGATTATTTTTACAGTTCATTTTATTCGGCATAAATTAAGTTCCGGTATCTCTCGATTTTTTATCCTAATTAATCCATCCGATTCCGAAATGTCAGGGTCTCATGGCGAGTCGATTCTTTTTCCAGGTATCGGGTGTCTTTTTGCTGGCATCGTGATCACAGCCATTGACCTGATCTTTCCGCATCAGTTCTCGACGATATTGGAGGTGGACCACGACACGCCTTACGATCGGCACGTAATCATAGAGGAGAGCTTTGACAGGCGCAACACGAAGCGGAAATTGGCGAAAATCGAGGACGCCTTCGGCGACCGAATAATGAGGTCTCCGTGACTCCACTAAGCATCGAATTGGCGAATCGACGAATCGGCTAAGGTCCCCCACGATCGGGCGGGAGAAATTTCGGAAAAAAAATCGAAAATTCTAGTCGATCGCGTAACCTGGAACGATCCAACTCCGCTCTCACTCGGACGCGATTATAAATATTTCATTATTTATTCAAGACCTTCCTACGGTTTCTGGGTAGCTTTTCATTTATTTCCCATCCATAAGAAAGTCGTCATCGAGGTTAGAAGCAAGCCACAGCCTCTGTCGAATGCAGAAAAAAAGTATAAAAATTCGATCGACCGCCGAATCGCGCGCGAAAGACGAATTAACGCGACCGGGCGGCTGTAAACACGATTTCGACTGTATATGCATTATTTATTGGGTGAAAATAAATGCTTGCAAGGCGATTAGGACGGGTTTCTTCACATCCATGTCCAGAGGGGACGACGGGGATCGTCGAAATGAATTGTTTGCTATTTAATGGTCGAGGGCTCGGAGGAGTCGGTGCGGGCTGAGAGATTTTCTTCATTTTTTTAGGCAGTTGTCGTCGAAGCTGGGAAACGGCAGAGAGGACGAGCAGGGTGTTATCAACCAGGCGTACACTTCCCACGAGCCGTCGGAACTCCACCAGGACTTCAAGGACGGATCGAACAGGTGCAACTGGTCTTACCCCTTTCCGCCCATGTCGCGGAGGATCGCCACCTGATCTGCTGGGTTGTAATTTTATAGGACACGTACCGTCGCGGCTCGGATTGATTTGTGATATGTACATTTAATAAAAAAAAAGAAAAAAAATATCCATTCAAGCGTCGTGGTCATTTCTTACGTTTGCTCACTTTTGTATTTTTTTCAAGGTACCTGGCTTTTGCGGATAAATGGGAGATTTCACAGGTGCTGTTGGTCTTCCCAGCAAGTCTGCGGAAACATGAAATAATGAAATGTTTAAAGAGAAGAGAGGAATGAAAAATGATTATTAATGGACCCATCAAGGAGCATCGTCGTGGAACCTTTGCGGTCTCTGGCCACTCTCGAATAAGTTATTTTCGAAAGGCAACCTTGCGGAGACTTATCTCTCTTTTGTGAAGCCGAGGAGAGGCAGACGTGAGTCACACCTTCCCCGCAATTTCGCGGACATAAAAGTCCCTAGTCGATTGGCCCATCCAAGGCCTGCTGGACCCGACATCCGGGAGGGTTACCTGTGAAAGATGAGAATATGTCCCGCCTTTACATCCTGTTCGACTAGTTATGGACGATATACTTTCGCACATCGTAGGCAATAAGACCCCGAGCAAACCTGATTTTGGACGCCATGCGGTTGCCAGGTACACGGAAGGAATTAAAAATTGAATTAAAAAACCGCAGGGTCTATTGCCCGATCAAAGCTCCGAAAAATTCCAGAATAAATGAACGCCGCCTCGACATAAAATAAGAGATATGAAGTACGTAATAAAATGGCGAATTAAATGAAAATTCGTATTTAATCGATCGACGCCACTGCAAATGTTCGCGGTTCGCAGAGTGACGAGGATGACATCGATTCAGTGCCAGCACATCTCCCTAATAACTTACTAATGAGCTAATACACACACGTTGCAGTACTCGAATGCGAACACCCCCGTCTTGCCGTTGCGCAATTAAATAATTATTAATCCGGCCGCGGCGGCCGCACTTATAAATTATAAGTACTTAGGCACATTCACTCCAGAACGCATATACACGTACACATATTTTTGAAAAACGTTTCGGATGACAACTAGAACTTCACTGTCTTGGATAAGTGGCCAAGCTAGCCAAAATTCTCGAAGTGGTGAATGAAGTACGGCAATCGGCGGCCCTTGTTCACTTCGTCGCACGCGGACATCACGCTCTTTGTCAAGGGACGCGGTCCGCAGCTGAAGACTCCTATTTTGCTGACCTGCAGAGGATCGGATCGATTTAAAGAAAAAATTCTCCAAGGCGAAAGAAATCAACTGAAACGAAATTGCGAGCAAGGACTTACGTAGCTGTGCTTTTTCTGCACAAACTTCAGGATCGACGTCATGTCTGGACGTCCGAAGTGATTGATCGCCTTCAAACCCGTAAAAATGCTCTTCTTCGACAGCCTTTGAAAGTGGTTCTCGCAAATGTACTGGAAAATATTCACGAAGAATAATTGGTAACAATTTATGGGAGGATTTAACATCCCTGTTATGTTCTTCCCAACGTTATAATAAATCCCTTACAAGCATGGTAGTTCTCAGGTCGAACTTATGGAAGAACTGGGTGATGAATATATGAATCTCGAGGACATCCGTGACGTCCTTCTTCTCCACATCCCTGAGGACCTCGATAAACCACTCGAAGTGCTTGTGAGACGGACAGATCCACAAGAAGTAGACCTTTAAACAGAATTCCAAGAATCGGTCACCTTCCTCCCGGCATTAAAGTCCCTGGACCGATGCGTTTGATATCGCGGAAAAAAAATTATTAATAATAATTGCGGGCAGGAAATAAGTACGGGGTATATTTTCTCTCCGGCCGCTCGTCGATAAGCACCTTTTTGCAGGCAACTCCGGAGTATCTGTTGGTCGAGGTGCCGAAAACGAGGTCGTTCAGCATGGAGGCGTAAGGCGTGACTCCGATGCCACCTCCGACCATCACCGCGACCTCGAACTTGTACCAATCCTGATTGCCACCGCCGAAGGGGCCTTCGATCCGGATCTTCGGCTGCTCTTCCGGATTGAAGTTGCAGGGGTCAAAGTAATTTCGGAGCTTCCAAGTCCAAGGGCCCTGGGCCTTGATGTGGCACGAGAGGAAGTTTTCGTGAGGGGCCGAGGTCAAGGTGAACGAGTGGAACTCGTTCGACCTGAAGACCGTACATGCAAGGCGGATCCATTGTCCGGAGAGGTACTTCAGGTTCGGCGGCCTGTAGAACTTGATCTTCAGAACATCCGAGGGCAGCAGTTCCGTCTCAATGATGTCCAGAGCCATCGACTTGGTGCGCAGACTGACGACCTGAGGAGGTTAACGAACGTTTACCGAGTAAAATTAATCTCCTATAAATTATTAAAATTATTTCACCGTCACAGGGTGGATGGGATCACCTCGAGAGAGGTTCCCCTACCTTATCCAGGACGTAGACGATGGCCGGCCCGATGAAGAAGATCCAGAACCGAGGAGCTCCCGTGACCCTGGCCAGTCCGTGCACCAAGCAGAGCCCATACAGGACCACGTAAAGACTGTGCGTGGACCAGAAGAATTTGTACGCCTTCTGTCGGATCGTTGGATGGGCGAAGACGAAGATGATGGTCATCACGACGAAGAGGAGGATTCCGCTCAGTCCTGAAATAAATTCAATCGATTACGAGGACTCGGTCTCCGTGATGAGACATTACGACACCGCCGGTGGGAACCGATCGGTAACCCGTAACGATCGGTATTCATTGCAGGCGCAATCCAGAAAGCATGTCGACTGAGAAATAAGTACGATCCGCGTCCTTCGAGCAATCTGCCGCATTACCGATGCGACCCGCAACACCAATTGTGCGATATTTCGCGCCTGGAGAAGCCACAATTTGCGATGACTAACTGACTCGACGTAATCCGTCCAATTAATCGCCCTCCTGGCACGTTTCGTCGATCGCATTATGCTTCTGAGAAGACAACCGTGATCCAGGGTAACGTCCGGTTCAATGTCGTCGGCATGGAACCTCGACTTACGGCTGCAAGACCTTCGATTTAATATTCAATGTGGGTATTATGACCAAGTCCTCTTTTATTTGATTCTTCGGAACAATCGAGGCGATGATTAATCGACCCGGTCTGAATGACAGAGCGAATGTCCTCTCTCGTCATCGCGATCTGGAAAATAAGTCGACCCTGGAGGGGGACCACCTGCGACTCGACATGATCCGGTGGCTAAGATGACCAGGGTACCGTGCCAATTTTCACTGACTAATGATCGAAGAGGTATATAAATTTCATCTAACGAGCGATTAGGGTAACGGGGATCTGCAGCGATTACCTGTCACCGTCTGGAAGAGCCAAAACGAAATCGTAGGACGAGCGTCGCTGGGAAAGCTGACTTCGGAGGTGAGGCAGCGCAGGTGGGTGATGGGCTGCGTCGACACGTGGTAAAAGTTTATAATGTGTCCGACCGTATGTAGGACGGAGAAAAACAGTGCCGTGCACGCCGCGATCTTATGGAACTGTATGTGAGAGTCCAGAGGAATGTACTGCTGGATGGAGAACTCCTTCAGCTTCGTCAGGAGGTTCCGCGACATGGTCAGCAGGAGGAGGCTGTAGCAGAAGGACACAGCTGCCGCTGATCCCCTCGTTATGGCGATTCCGACCCCCATTATGTGCCTGAGGTCCGTATGTTCCGCCATGAAGGAGTAGTCTGGAAAAGAGATATTAAATTTACACATTTCACCTTTACCTTGGGAACTGTACCACGCCGAAGTTGGGGACGAGCAGCAGCGACGTCGGAAGGACGACGGATCGAACTGGGACAATGGAATTTCTATGGGAGCCTTCTCCTGGGTGGAGCGATTGGATATTTTTTAGAGAAGTCTTCCTCACGTATGAATCTCTCGACGAAGAGAGCTATGGTGATGACGTAGAAAATGAAGAGGTAGAATATGTTCTGCCGATTTTCCTCCAGGAAGGTCGACATGCCGTCCCACTGTCTTCGGACCCAGCTCCTGGAGGCCTCCGGAGGAGGCTGGTCGATGTGGAAGCTGGTCATCCTTGCGACGTTCGTCGAGGTGTCCAGAAAATTCTGCTTGGCCCCTTTGCAGTCCAGACCGATCGCCACGAAGTCGCCCTTGTACTCCTTCATCATCAGCTTGAAGTCGTTGTACGTCAAGTACTCCTTCCTCTCCAGCCCGGCGTCCTGCGTCCCAAATAATTTAAATCACCGACGATTTGCGTGATCGCGGCAATCTTCTGCACTTTCGATAAAGGACGACCCTCCGAGGAAGAGGGTAATGATACGTTGGCCGATGGCCGCGATCAGCGACCGTGGAAAGAGGTGGGCTCGTTCTCAGGGAAATTGCTTAATACCAACTTGGCCCGGTGGATTGAATTATATAATCGTTTAATTATTTTTAATCGACGCTTACCCTCCTTTTGGATGAACGTCGAAGAAATTACCTGGAACATGCCGTCGATCAGCTCCGTTACGTGATCGTCGGAGAGGCTCGTCGTGCGAGCGATTTCCACCAACGACCTTAACATTTCGGAAAATTCCTCCTTGTCGATCACTCCGTTGCTGTCTTTGTCGCACATGTCGAAGATAATCCGAAGCTTGTCCTCCGTTTTGCCACGCGAAAAGAGGAGGACCGTGTCAAGGAATTCCTGAAAGGGCATCGGTGTTAATTTTGCAGAAATTAGATTTACCTCGCGTTCGTCGTGACAAATTGACGTTTCGTTTTTATTTCAGGGAGCGTATTTACCTGGAAGGATATTCGACCATCTCCATCTTTGTCGACGATGTTGAACATCTTTTTCACGAAGACCGCATCGGCTCTCATGCCGAGAGCACTCGCGAATTCGCTTTTCGACAGCGAAGTGCGCATCACGGTGACGACTTCGCCGCTGTCTTTGTCTTCGGACCTTTTTCTCCGTTCTCCGGGTCGAAGACCGAAAGTCAAGGAATAGGCCTCTCGGAAGAACTGAAAATTAGCGAAGAAGAGTCCTTAGGATGCGACGAAAAATTTGCCAAGAATTGACGAAACGAATTTTGACACGTTATGGCCGATCCTAGTTCAGGCGAGGTGTCTTTCACATTTAATTACCCTTTCGGTATTAACGTTACACCTGTCTGGCATATGAGAGGATAAAGGCCAAGCCTAACGACCGGTGTCGTTTTTCCATGGATTGCGATCTTGGCAATAAATAAAGGAATAAATCCTGGACTCGTCCTCAGCGATTCTGGAGACGTTTCTCCACCTCGGTAAATCAGGGTCTCCCGAGAAATTTCTCGGAGGGTTCGCCGAGGCGGGTTAATTACGGGGGTTGCATAATCTCGCGATTAATTAACGCGAAATCATATCAGGGAAAGGCGCGGATCGTCGGGTTCTAGGTTGCCCAACCGGGGAACTCGGCGAGGAGTCGGCCGCGTCCTCCTCTCGGCAGGATATTAAGGATTTCGCAAAAATCCCGGGTGTCGCTGGCACGCAATCGGCCGACCTTGAAAGCGCGTGCCTTTTACGTAAACTCAGCTGCAGCTGATAAAACGGGATTGGAAAGTGGCTGGAAATGCCCGACCCACATCCTCGCAGAGCCACGGCCCCGTTTTCGTTTTCACGAGATCGCTCCCGGGGAGGAAGGCTCTTCCGAGTTCAGGGAAAAATTCCAGACGAGGGGGCCTTCGTTCCGGGTTAATTCCAAGTTACGAGGGAAGCGACGAAACCGAAGCCGATCCGAGGGAAAGTCGAGGAACACCGTAGCTTGGGTGTGGTATCGCGGCTGGAGAACGCGATGGCTTCCTTCGCCTGGAGAACGCGATAGCTTCCTTCGCCTGGAGAACGCGACCTGGGAAGAGTCTTAAATTTACTCGAGTTTATTCCAACTTATTAAAGATGAGATACCTCGAGGAGCGAGGAATGGCGAAACGGTACAGTCGATAAAAGTAATCGAGCACCGACACCTGGGCGGGGTACCTCGGTTGGAGAATTCTCTCGGCTGGAGAACCCGACTGGAGAACAGCTTTCGACGATGTCGACTTTATCCCAGGTGAATTTCTCATTTTTCTGATTTTTCCTCGAAGTGTACTCGACATCTCTCACCTGTTCCAGCTTCTTCTGACGGCGCTCCTTCGTCTCCGCCTTTGCCAGCATTATGTCGCGGTTCGTCTGCATTAGCGTGAAGTGCTTCTTGTGGGACGTCAAAAATGCCTCCAATTTCGCAATGAACTTTCTACGCGAACTCAGGGAATCCAGTTCAAGGACGAGATCGTAATCTCGCGGTATCCTCAGCAAAACCAGAGCCTTGCGGTGGCCGTTCTCGCTTTCCTGAAATGATAAACTAGATGAATCACTTTTTGCGAAACCCGATCGCCGGGCTAGTCCTTAAACTTGAAGTCGAGTGCCGAGGCTTTGCCGTACCAAATATCCGAGCTCGTGCCTAACTTTCTTCCCGATTACAAGAACGTCGGATATTATTAATTAAATATAATCTGTATTTTTTGAGGGCAAATTCGTCATTTTCGCGGGGCGGAAATTCAGTGAAGTCTTTAGACAGCTTTTAGCTCGATCGCTCCTTCGACCAGGGGATCGCTTTCCCCATAATAATCGCCCGTCCGTTCCGTCATTCCGGAAGGCATGAAAACCTCAAGAGTCATGAGTTGCGAACTCGAAGAAAGTTTAAAACCACTCAAACGAGGGACCATTTTTCTAAGCGAACGCACACGTGTAACTTAAAACTCGGAGAAAGTGCATTAAAGTTACGGAACCGATCGTTTGGGGGTTTTATGCCCTAACGCGATTTTACCTCCTGCTTCTGGAGCTTTTTTATCCTGCGATACGATAACATTTAATGGGACGAGGAAGAGCGTTGTTCGGTTTCCTGGGGTATAACGAGGGATCTCATCTCCCCGATAATTTGAAATAAATTAAATTTCCTGCAAAATTTCCTCCGCTTATTATTTTTCTAACAGGCAGTAATAACTCAATTGCTCGTAACTTAGGAAAATAAATTTTAGTCATTTAAGAAATCTGGACACTTTAAAACGACCTTCCGAAGGAATAGAAAATATTTAGACGTTTCACCTAGCGAGTGGTTTTCACCGGAGACATCGACGCGTGCAATTTCGTGCGATGCACTTTTAGAGGTCAATAGGCCTCAGAGAAAGTATTATAGCGAAGAATTAAACAGTAGGTTATTCTCCAGACTTTAATGACCCCTCACATCCGAGATGAATTCAGAGAACCGAAGAGAGAGAAATCTCTTCTTTTAACAATAGCCACTTGCAAGATTCCGTAAAATACCTGAGACTCCTCCATGGTGACGGTATTGACGTTGCTGACGTCGAATGTCCGAAGCTTTTCCCCTTTTCTGTCGACGATATGTAGCGCAGCTTCCGGACCGAACTTGACCTTGATTAAACGTCGATGATTGGCGTGCAGCCACTCTCGCACTATCATCTTATCGACGCAAATTCGGCCATCGTTGTTTCTCTTCTGAATGGCCTCCTGGAGAATTTTGAGACGACGTCTTCTTCTATTTTGCAGTTTCACCAGACCGTAGCCGACCCCGGCGCACAAAATTGGGATGAATCCCAGAAATATGCAGGCGTATATGTAGACCAGCTCACTGCCCTGCAACGACGCCACTTTTTAGACATTTCCAGGGAAGAAATTCTGAATTAATTCCAGTTAACGTAGAAGGAATTCTTAATAACCAGTGCATTTAAATAAATGATTAACTTGTCAGCGAATCACCTCAAAGTAGTCGTATCTGTGCAGCGGTACGCAGGGCTCCAAAATCGAGGAGTTGAGCTGATAAGGTTGAGGACAAGGATCGTCTTCCTTCCAGACAAAGACCCGTTTTTGAACGGCGTCCGGATTTATAGTAGTGGTGTTAATAATAATATCCCACAAGGTAACTTGGCGGATCTCATCGATCTCGCTCCTGGTGAATATTCTGAAACAACCACGACGGCCTTCACTCGAAAAGGAAAAACGTCGACACCTTGGCCGGATCTTTCCCCTCGTGGTAAATCATCGGCAAGGACGTATTCGCCGATGATCGACCAAATCGTCCAATTGCTCTACGAAAGAACGCTGCCTCGAGCTAAATAACAATTCCCAGTTACTTTTCCATCCCATTAAAACGGAAAATGAAAATGGTACGAAGGCAAGACCCCTCCATTTTCCCTGTTTCTTGTCGGAGAGCGAGCGGATAAATTCCAAAGAAATCAAATCGGTCTGTCAGGAAATTTCCGAAGAACATCTCCGAGCAGGAAATTTGGGACAAGAGGAATAAAATAAATCCAGCAGATCTCCGGGTCGAGGAAAACCGAGGACGGACGCGAAGATGTCCCCAGGAAGAATAAAAAATCGGACTCACCCATTTTCCTCATTTTCGAACCAGAATCTGTCCGAGTCTCTGAGTCGGGTGAACTGGTCCTTGATGACGGCCTCGAAGAGCTCCCCTGGACCAGACCTGGACTCCAGCATCCCTCCGACGTAGACGTCGATGTTGTCCAGATCGTTCGAGTAGATCTCCATGAAGGTCCTGAGCAGCTCCGGATTCTTGTTGAAGAGCTCAGGGTTGATCTCGTTCCAGGTCTTCCTGCGGGGAAGCTTGAAGTGGACCCTAGCCGTGTTGTAATCAGGAAGTCCATTGTCGCGACCTCTCATGATGTTCAAAGCCCCCAGATCCCTCAGGGAAAATTCCATGGGTCCGAAGAGGCTGTTGCGGATGTCCGAGCTGAGGAGGTTGTCCTCCCTCTCCGCCAGCTGAGAGGACATGCCCATCAGGATTTCCTCTATCGTGCTGTTGGACAGCACTTCCTGAAGCGATATTAAATTATTGGACGTTAAATTATGCCCTGCTGCGAGTTTTTTCCAGGTAGCCCTCGGTACCGGGGAATTGCACCTACGTTCGAGTCCCACCAGGTCGTGCAGAGTCGGATCGCCGGCTTGCCGGTGTTGGTTTTTCGGAAATTACAGTTCTCGTCTCGACGATATATCCCAGGGGGTATGAGAGTGTGACCAAATCGGAATGCGGCACTTTGGAAAAGGTGGCTGATCCCTGGGTGAAGGTCGGGCTTGTAGCCCGTGTACTTGGGCGTCTCTTCCCCGAGTAACGTCGGTAAGTACTCGTACATTATTACGTTCTGCAGCAGGAAGAAGAAATCCCCACGTGACATTATCGCCACAAGAGGAGATCATTGGAAAAATCGTTATTAAACATGAGGTACTTATATAACCACGGCCACGGGATACAATGTAAGCTCTTGGAAAGGTAAGAAAGGACGATTATAAATTATTATTTATTATTATACCGTCATACCTGCAGAGTGCCGACCACTATCCTGCGAGTCCTTTGGAAGATCTCCTCGTCGGACATGTCGGGATGTTGACGTTGAACTCGTTCCGCCAGGACGTTGTGCCATCGGTAGAACAATATCCCGAAGGCGAGCAGAGGAGGATGCTGATTCGTTCTTGGGTCCCCGAGGACTAAGGACGAAGGAAGAATTTAATTTAGAATCTAATTTGGATACGTAGCGAGGACGGCGGAACACTTTTCGCCAAAGTCATTATCGCTCGCGAGAATATCGCACAGGCTGTAGTAAAGTATCAATCCTGAGTTATCGATATTAATAAAGTCCGTACTATTTCCAGCGCAGCGAAAGGTCAACCGTTCCATCGAAGTAAATCTCTCGAATGGGCTAATATGAAATTACTGTGTCTTATTGACGCGCGCGATCGCTTCGGGCGATCCTCAATCATGGACTCCTGGCGTCCCGTGTTTCGATGTAAATAAAATTTAAAAATGGCGAAAAAAAAAATTAATTCAACTAACTCGAACGACGTTAGGAACTAGGAGGCCGTAAAACGATCAACTTACGGTACAGCCGTTCAGGACTGAGCATTCTCATAACGTTTTGCACGGCATGGTTGAACAACGGGGCACGCATGGTGTTCCTGACGGGAAACCTCCTCGTGGGCTCCATCAGGAAGCTCCCGTTCCTGAAGGAGCGCATCGTGTTGGTCCAGGCTTCGCTGCTGGAGTACACGAAGCTGCCATCGATCCAGCTCGTCACTTTGTTTATCTGCAACCTCACGTACTCACAGCTATTTTCCATTTATTCAACGAACGCTTGACATTACCGACAATTTTTATACGCGTACCAAAAAATATTACGTACATATATATACTTTTTTTTTTCTTTCTACTCGGTATAACGTCACCATTTTTCACGGTTAAAAGAGAAGGAGAGAGGGCAAACAAGATGTCGATTACCCGAGTAAGGAGCTGAAGAGTCCTCGAAAAGATGACCGGGGGGAGTTGCACCTCTTCGAGGGCCCTTCGGCTCTTTATTAGGTAATTGACACCTTACCTCCTGGAACGAACCCGCCTTGCCAAGTACCCGGGTGGACTGTAATTTCGCAAATTTCTGGGGGCTCGTTAAACGCGGTTTCCGAGTAATCCTGAAAAAAGTAAGTTACCTGTTCCCTGGGACTGTTCGGGCTGTGCCCGGTCTGCCGATCGTAGTCGGCTCTCAAGAACGGAATGAACTTGTTACCCTGGCAGGCTTTGTCGAAAATTGGATCGCACTTCTCCACGTCGATGCGATGGTACTCTATCGGACAGCCGCTCTCGCTGGCCATGATTATTTCGGAAGTGACCAGCTGCCCTGAAACGATCACGAAATACTGTGAAAAATTGTACCTCGAATGGAAAAGGAAAAATAAGGAAAAATAAACCTTGGCTCCTTTTCTGAAGTTCTGGAGTAAATTGGTATAAGGGAACGCGTAAACAGCACTTGACGACCCTTTTGGACGTTTTTCTGATTTTTCATAATTTTTAAACTTACGACCGCGAACATGGCGAGGGAGTTTAAGGCGCCGTAAAGTTACTCCGGTAAATTCGACCGCATAGAAAATTACCAGAGTATTTTTTCAAGTTTCCTTGAACCGTCTCGAACGATTTAACGTCCGTATGATTTACTTCAAGGTCTCGTTTCGATGGTTTTCCGAATTTACGGCCATGGACACACCCTGAGGACTTTAGGCCGCGAGGTGCCACGCCGCCCGCAATGAGCGGGCATTATTCCGTCGTTGCAATTAATTCTGGTAAATTGGGAACGAAAGAGAAAGAAAGAAACCACGCGAGCACGTTCGACATGTCCCGATGTAGCCCCGGATAAATCCTTGGAGCCTTTTTTCCATCCGCTCCATTAAATAAATATTATTACAATAATTGCAGGGGAGAGGCGGAGCCCTGTCGGTCGGTCGCTTTCGCCGGCCATGATTTTTCTCGCGAGACGGATTGCTCCAAAATGATCGTAAGGATAAAAAAATCCTCAAGATCAGCCTCGCTCGGCCCCCGACGAAACCGAATCGCGAAAACGATGACATTTATCGCCACGAAAGCCTCGCCGCGTAAACGTCTCACTTCTCTCGCATTTTCGTTTTACGAGCACGAGTGCTCGATGAGAAATTGCCGTAAAAGAACGACGTGTGCGGCATACCGACAATGGCTCCGCAAAAAACGTAATGAAAATGACAAGCGGCTCGTATCCGACATTCCCGATTCATAAAACGTGACGAACGGGAGAAAAATGAAGCCCTTGTCGAAAGTCGTTCCCGCTTTTCAGCGAGATCGTGCTGCAAAATGGAATCGCTCGCCTCGTCGCGTCAATCTCTCGAAAGGGGAAAAATGGAATTCTCGATAGAGGTCGGGGAACAAAAGAGAATATAAATAACCGCTCGCCTTGTTTAAGGGGCTCGATGGTAGCGAGTAATTTATGGAAAGAGATGATAAATCAGGAGGTAATTTCTTCATTGTTTACCGAAGAAGGCGAAGAGTGCCGTGGTGTTCTTGATGGACGGCAGTCCGTCGTCACCCTTCATGAAGAGGTCGCTCAATTTCCTTGGAGATGGCCTGTCCTGTCCGGCCATCATGTACACCCCGTCCGAATAGGCGGCCGGAACTTTTCGTATCAGCCTGCTGTCTACAAAGGGAGGCGTCATTAATTCTCCGATTTTTCTTCACCCTTCCTGGTCGTTAGAAAAATTCCCAACCTGGCAGAAGTTGCTTAAAAAATGGTATGAAAAATTATAAAGTTTCTCTTGTCGGGGTATTTACAAAGGCGCGCCATTAATTCTTCGATTTTTCAGTCGACGCCCAATCGTATCTCGACATCAACTGGACCGTCCACGTGGGACGGAGTACTCGAGAGAGGGCCGTCGACTGCTCCTTGGCCTACTTCGAACTACTGCCGAGTAGTTTACTCCACTTTACAAATCGCGAATCAACGCGGACGCAAACGCGAAGGACGCCTCTTGCACCTGTCGCAATCGTCCCTCGAGGCGCAGGACCTTCCAAAGTTCCAACCCTTTGGATTTCCGCTACTTTACATTTTTTTTCCTTCAAGTGGACTTATCACCGCCAAAGACGAGGAACTTTTATGACACTATCGATTTCAGATATAACGAGTATACTTGCCAACCGATCCCCAGTCAGGGTGCGCCAGGTTGTTGTACCACCCGTCGTACCTCTGCTTTTCTGTGTAGAGTTGAGCATGTCCTGCAAAACGAGGGAAAAAAATTCTAAACGATACTCGGAACCTTTGGAAAGGAAAAGAAAAATGAGAATGCCCTCTTAGGTAAATGGAGAAAATTAAACGGGGACGTCTTGAGGTAGCCATTTTAATTTTTATTTTATATGGCGCCAAGGGGTCGGTTCAATTGGCCCCTTCAATGAAGAATCCCTTCGACGATTCGAGTCTCGAAATAGAAAAGCACGCCGGCGCCGGGGAGCCCATGACGGATCGATCGATCATGCCAAACACTGCGACAGGTGCTTCGATCAGGTGTACATGTAGGTGTCGAGTTACCGGGACTATTTTCGATCGCGAACGGACGCCGAGGTATTTCAGCTCGCGGATTCTTTCGATTTCAAGTACAGTGCACGAGAAATAACCGACACTTAAAATCCGCTCGGTGAAATGAGCAGGATTATTTTTTTTTTAATTTTTTTTCTGCCACGGGATACCAAGTCAATAAATTGTGAAAATTAATTGGAGATATTTTCAGCGTTGCGAGGCGACGAGGAATCGCCGGAAGGATAAGGATGACCGGGTTTTCAAGTCATCGAGATACGGTGACTGTCAGGCGATTCAGCGGTAAATCGGTCAAGTTCGTCGGAAAACTCCATCCGGTTGCCTTTGACTTTGAATGGGAGGAACGGTCTTGACATTTACTGCCCTGGAATAAGGAACTTCTCGGAACGGACGCACCTTCGTCGCTGAAAAATGCACTCGCAAATTCCGCGTACGATGGCATCGCAGTACGCGAATCTCCTCAAAGCGGAAATTTGTTATTTTATTTATATTTCCAGGTATCTAGACGTAGCCACGTCGGAATTGCGACTTTCTGCGATTCTTGGGAGTCCCATTGATCGAGCAGCCGGAACGCCCGCCGAATGGAAAGTCGAAAATGTGTCGACACGAAATCCCCGGTATTGACTTTTTCGAGAACAATTGGAGAAAGCGCACGTTAGAAAGTGTAAAATAGTCTCAGGTGCTCGGCTGTGACCAGCATATCGTAATTAAGATTCATAGAGGGGACTTAATATGTGAGCTTTTGACGTGGAAAATCGAATCCTGGGATTTCGCTTTTCAATTACTCGGCCGAGCCAATTCTCGCGTTTCGCTTTCGATGCTCTCGGGAAATGATCGCGATGACCTAAACTGCACTTTGCGTGCTACATTTACGTGATTATCGAGTCTACGTGTGTATTGCAGGGGGTCGTTGCATTCTCTAACGACAGGGTACTCGCGGCATTAATTACGTCGGACGCGATACGTGATTCGAACGGTTTCGACATTTATTATTTATTTTTTTAATAAAAATTAAGCAATCGAAGATGATGCCGGCGAATCTTTCAAAATCGCCCGCCGTTAAAGGCTCGGCGCAATGTGAAAAAAATGTTAATACATGGAAAGGACCGGTTGGCTGACACTGTATTAACAAAAAAGTAAAAGGAATAATAGAAAGGACCTCCTAGTGTAAGAAACTAGTTTGACAAGAACCATCTAAAAAATTCTAAATTTTTTCCCCCGCTATCCCGTGGGTCTGTAGCTGTTGAAAGAGAGACACGACGTTCACGTGAAATTAACGACCGTCGTCAATGATATTTTATTATCACGTAACCTGACGGCGTTAAATGATGTACGGTTTACTTCGGGTCGAGCGCATCCAATCATTCTCTGCTACGTTTCATTACAAGGACTCCGTCTGAGGAAGAATTTTTAGTAATTTGAAATAAGTAAACCTGTGCTCCGGCTCGATGTAATAAATAAGTTCCAATTATCCCGTTCCGACTACAAAGGACTCTTTCCAGGGTGCGAAACTTTTCCATGGGAATTACTCCTGATAATGGAGGTGCTCGCAGTGGGACAAGAACGGCCTTAATTTGGTTTCGCGCATTTTCGCAAGACTCACTTGCTCGTACCATCGGAAAAATAGTGCCACTTTAAAGGTACTTGCGAAAGTACGTCTTTGCTGTTCAAAGAGGGATTATGAATATTCGCTGTGCCGCTCTCTTGGCCTAACTCCTTGGTAATACATGCTCTTGAAGGCGCACCGAGGTGCTAAGTACACAGTAAATGCAGCCACGCAAGGATATAATAATGACACGGGACCCTTAAAGTGAAATTAAATAGCCGGAGGTGCTAAAGGTACACTAAATGCAGACATTAATACCCTGCTAGTCGGAAAACCAGCAGCGCCTAAAAGTCAAAGCTGTGCACGTCCGATAACCACGTGTACCGTCGACTCTTGGGTAACATTAAAATAAAATAGGACTTTTCTTTATTTCTTTTCATATCGGAATATTATGCACGGCCACTCGGTAATTTTAATATTTCCGTAATTGCATAGTCGAGTGAATGTCGCAACGTAATTGAATATTTCTCTATTAACGAGGTGCACACCCGGGATTCTCAGTCCGCGTAAGTAGAAGGTACGTCCCAGATGCCAGCGAATCGCCATCGAGAAGATTCATTACCATAATTATCGAGCGTTACCCGAGCAAGGCCGTGTTACGGCAATTTTTAGGCATTCACTTATCGACTGCCGTGCAGTTCGTGAAATACGATCGGCATTCGCGCTTTCGTGAATACCTGAATTCTTCGCCGTCAATTTCTTTTTTTTTTTTTCTCGGATTTGGGGGACATTATCTTGTACGAGTTCCGAGTTATTAGGTACTTATCCGTTACCTAGGCGAGTCTTAAGAATAAAAGTCGATGAATGAAAGTAAAAGGGAGCACGTGATTCCAATCCATTTAATATGCATATCCATTTCGAGCTCGGAGAACGGACGCCGAGTCGCGCGCCAAGCATTGAACTCTCCGACGCAAAAGTGCACACCTGGAATATTTTTAGGAAATTCAATTGCCGGCTCTATAGTTCGCGAACCACGATAGGCGGATAAAATTTCCCTCAAAGAACCGGTACGCGATATAAGATCTCGAACGGCTCAACGACCGCAGGAAATTAGTTCTCCATGAGACATTTCTTCCCTATCGACGCTCGAAAGTTAGCGATTCGGCCAATGCCTTCGTCTATAATTTTTACAAATTTATTTATATTTCTTTCGAGCTGAGAATAAACAGCTCTCTCGATAAATTTCCATCCTGCCCGAGTGAGTGCCAAGGATGAAAGCGGACTGACTCCGCGCGAGATTTTTCCTGTCTATAGAGTATAATTACCGGGATTATTAATCGCTCCCGACGAGAATTAATGCGACCGAAGACCCTCCACTGTAACCGTGCCAGTGCAATTTCACCGGGAAAATTATACACTCCTGCGGAATTAAATAATCCAGTCTGAGAGTCTACTTCACACGTGACGATTACGGTTTTCTCGAGAACGTCTGCACGAGGTGCAGGTATAATTGCTAATTTGCACAATCTTTATTTTTATACATATACATTAAGTGTTGCAGTATTTTTGGCAAGCTGCGCAGTTTCGGGGCAGGAATAGAAGTGCTCGGAGCGATTGGAAATTATTTTTCGGAAATTAGGTGCCAAGAGACAATGTGTCCGCCGAGCGCGAAGCGTTGAACTCTCCGAGGTGAAAATTAGCACTCGGAAATTTGTTTAAGGAATCGAGTTGGCTCTACACTCCCGTGAAACCCGATCGGCTTGTACAGTTTCGTAAAAGCGAAAACCGGTACGAGAGACCAGATCGGGCTCGACGAAGGAATACGTTACGTTTCCAACGCATGTGCCCCTTAGCCATCGATCGAGGATGCAACAAAGTCTCCCGAGTGACGTTTGACTTTTATTTAACTGTAATTAACTCCGCCATATTTTCTGAATTAATATCGTCGGGCGAAGAGAACTGTGCGGGAATTTATTGTACAAGAAAAAAAAAAAGGAGATTGAGTTACTCAATGCCGAGGAGGCCAGGCGTTATTGAGTTATCCTGGGGTGCAGGAGACACGATACGGTGCAGTAAATCATCGCGCATTGATCGAGAATCACGAAGAATCGAGTGCAGAGTTCCTGCACGGTGAACAGTTTTTTTCGTGATTTAGTAGGCCACTTTCTCCCGGTCGCTGATTAAGTACGAAGAAATTTATGTCGGAATAAATTACAAAATTCGAACTGCTCGAGGTGGGGTCGAAGATGGACCGTGCCGAAGCAAGGGTGCGGCAATTTTTGTATTTAAAAAATTCTACGTGCACATGTAAATGCGGTCATGCTTGAAAAAAAAAAAAAGTGCACGTATAAGTCGTGGATATCTTTTGATGAAATTTTCAATTTTATTTCACCCTTGGTTCGCGATCGGACATTAACAAGCCAGACACGGGGCATTGAAGTCTCCGGACAAGAAATTCCCTCACGACGGTTCCGCGGTCTCGAGAGTCGTAAACGATACGATCTAACAATGTTCACCATCCAGAGAAACGTACAAAATAATTCGCGCGAGGAAAGATTCTCCTTTAATATAATAAAATAATTTTTTCCCAGTTTTAAGACGGATTTCGCTACACAATGGCTGCTCCTCGCCGCCGAGGAAATTCCAATTGTGGCGCAACACCCTTGAAAGTGTGCCAAATGCCCGAAGAATATTCCCTCGAGTCTCCCGGAGCAAGGAAATCGTGAAATTTCGAACCCGGAAAGAGGAGGCCGAGAAAAAGTCGACCTCGAAATATCAGCGCGACATCCGGTTCCCAAACCGAGAATTCCTTTCCACGTCCGTGTTCGATCCGACGTCGATGCGTCTCTTTTTTTCCTCCCGGTTAATCCTCAAGACTCACGATCGAGCCTCCTCCCGGTTTCAAACGGGAAGAAAAAGAATCGACATCCGAAAGAAAACCGCACCTCCTCGTGGCGCAATTCCGGGCGATCTCGCGACCAATTCCGGCTTCGCGAACCCGGCGATGCAATCGAAACAAACAAAACCGAATAAAAATGCAAACACGGCCACGCGCCCAAGAATCCCGTTGCCAATGCGGAACACATAACGATCCTTCTTCTCGGCCCTGATTTTAACGTTCCTCTCTATATTTCTTCGACGTCGTCTCGATCTACGATCGATCGATGCTCCATTCTCCAGGTCGCGAAAAACAATTCCCCACGTCTAAATACAAAAATGACCGAGATCTACGGGATTCGAGTTTTCCAGGCAGGTCCACGTGGTGCCTGGAATTTAATTTCGGGGGACGGGAAGATTGGTAAAAATCAAGGTACTCACCGGGCTTGGCGCAATCGGCGATCCAGAGTGCAGATATCGCCAGCGAGAGGACCGCCAGGGAACGAGAGGTTCGGCGTGCCATTGTCACCGCGGGTTCCACCTTCTCGGCGCATTTCCCGCCAGCTTGGTTGGCCGTCCTCAGCTACGTGGGTCGCTTCTCGCGGGACCCGGTGGTCCTGGATCCCTGGAGTCGATTCCGAGCGGTTCCACGTCGGCCGCGCGTGGGAGTGCGCTAGATCTCGACCCTGGAATGCACTCGGCGCACCTCCGACACTCTCGGCAGCTCGATGGACACCTGGGCGATATTCGGCGGGATCGCGCGTGCACTGTGTAGCCGTAAGAAAAAGAATTGCCTCGCTGGTGGCTCGGCATGGCCGAGCAGGATCTGGGCGAGCAGGTCCCCCACCTGGCCGCCGCTAACCCGAGTTCTCGGGCCAAGAGCGGTGCCGAGCCGAGCGGTGAAAGTCGCCGGCCTATTTGTTTCGTTCCCGCGAACGCGCGCCGATTACGAGGCGAGGAACGTCACCCCGACGAGGCCTAGTTCCCTCCTGGACGGGAGGACCCGAGGGCTGCTCCGTCGGGGTCGCACCCCTGCCGAGCCTCGCTCCAGGGAACGGTCCATCAGCGCCAGGAACCCTAAAAAATAGAAACCAGGGTTAACACCGTTGAATCTTTTATACCTTGCCTCAGTCAAAGAGGAGTTTGTCAACCGGGATCGACTCCTCTTGGGAGAAATCGCGAGGAACCTAGGCGTCTCTCCCGAGGCCTGAATTCCGTTCCTCGACGCGGAGAGTCCTCCGACCTAGACCGGTCCTAGCGAAATCTCGCCGGCTCCCCTCGGATTTTAGAAGGGGCCCTCCCGATCTGGAGAGGAAAGACGCCAAGGACCCGGTTACCTCGATTTCCGTCCGGGCCCGCCGCCTCCAGAAGGAGCACGCGACCGGTACCGTTTGCTCCCGGACAAAGAAGGGGCGAATCGTTAACGGTAGAGCACCTCGGGACCGTCGACAGATACGGGGTCCGGGAAGACGAAGGGAAATCGGCTCCGCGAAGAGACCAGCGCAATTAGGGCCTCGTTCGGTGCCGGCCGTGACAGGGATTGTCCAAGAGCGGTAATTCGAAGTACCTTAGGCGTCCGAAGGCCGAGGATCCGGCCGTACCGAATCGACCGTGAGTCATCCGGGAGTTTTACCTAAGAGCTCTTCCGTCGAGAGAGGAAAATACTCCCGGAGTGGAGTACGACCTCTTGCTCGATGCTCGTCGATTTGGGCCGGTTGCCGCCCAACCGGCACGGAATCTCCGCCGCGAGGCGTTTTCCATGCCGGCTGTGGCACGAATTCACCGCAAAAATTCGGTTTGACCGTAAAACGCGGAATCGACGCGAAACGGAAGGAGGAACGTTTGTTCCTGCGGTTTCGCGAGGTCGCCTCGAGTCGCTCGAAAGGCGGGAGGGTTTATCCTTTATCGTTTTAAGGATATGCAATCGCGATGCCGCGAATCGATGCCCATAAAATGGGCGGAATCGTTAACTCTTCGGGAATGTTGAGGTGCCTCGATCGGGACCCGCCTTGGACTCTTTCGAGAGGAATTTCGCCTAAAGGGAGGTCGAATTCTAGCCTGCCATTTTTTCAGACCCGACTTGGTCGGATCGGCCCAAGGGAACTAGTCGTCCTTAGAGACTCGAGGCCTCGGGATCCTCCAAGACCAGACGTTGTCCCGGAACGAGTCCTTCGAGACCGCAGGCGAATCTTGGCCGGGTAAATGCCGGGACTTTCCCCGACGACGCGGAGAGAAGAAAAAGATGTTAGACTTATTCCGCAGTTTCTTTTTCGGACAAACCGAGGTGCCCCTGGACTGCCATGGTCGGCGATAAATGGCCCCGTGGCTTTTGATCCTTCCTCCAAAGACTCTCACCGGTTCCTCGCTCTTCATTTTTTTTTTTAAACCACAATATCCCGCGGGGATATGAATTAACAATTTATATAATTTTCTTCTTGGAAATTTTAGAATCGACAAAAATGTATTCCCCCTCGATCCTTTCTCGATCGAGGCTTCTCCTCGAGAGGAAGAATTTTCGTCCGCACCTCGGAGCGAAAATCATTGAAAATAAATAATCGACTTCTTAAAGAGCCCACTCGAAGGAGCTAACACGTCGCGAGACAATACGCATAAATAATGCATAATAGCCGTCATGTAACGCCCGTTTTTTTAAGAGAGACTCTGCCCACGACGAGTGGGCGACTCGACCTCCCGGACCCGCGAAATGGTTCCGTCCAATGCCTTCTACTGTCTGGAAAAAAGGTCCAGACAAAGTGCCATAACCAGTCCAATTATAAGCCTCGGAAGAACGGATGGGTTTTTCGGACCGGTGTAAAATCGGTAGGACGTACTTTTCGGCCGATTCCGCCCACCTTGCGCGGGCCCAGAAAAAACCGGCGATTCAGGAATCTACATCTCCAAATCTCCTCACCGGGAGCGTTAAATAATTCTATTGCTCCACGACGTTGCCTAACCCGTTCCCTTTTAACCGCCGGACGAGAGGGAACTCCGCGATTTTCGATACGAGCGTCAAAAGTGACACCGGGAATTAAACTCACGTAAGAAAATGACCGGCCATAATTGGCGAGAAATTTCCTCCAGATTCCAGCAGCGCTACGTGGCCGAGAGCTTCATGGACACACTCTGAACGAGTTAGCAACCGGTTAGGAGTCCGCGAGAAAGTCGAGCGACTGTCAAGAGCACGAGAGTCCTGGCCGGGACTGGTTGCTGCTCCCGGTGGTCAGCAACCCTGAATCCTGCTTTACGTAAGGACCCTAGGGAGAAGCGGCTCCCCTAGTGGCCTCTAATTCTCGTTTCGCAATTTCTCTAGGACCCGATTTTTCCAACTCCCGTTCATAGTGGCCTTGCATAATTTTTTGCAATAGGGATACTTTTTGCTACCGAGCTCTGCAATCATTTAGCTGGCCTTTGGCCACGCGAGAAGACCTCTCGGTCGTCCATTACCGACGAAGCCTCGCCCTGGCCGACCTGTCCTTGCAGGAGGGACCGACAAAGGAAATTTCTGGTCGTTCATCTCTTGCCGACCGGGACGACGAACTCGTCTGCAGCCTCAAGCCAGGATCTTCGATCCCACTTTGGCTTTGTTATCGATCATCACCTTGGCGGCAGGGATTTCCAGCCCGAGAAAAAAGGAAATTACTTTTCGGGGCATTTCTCGATCTTGCGAGCAGAAAGTGCAGGGAATTCCCGGCGAGGCGTGTACGCGCTTCAATGGCGTTCGATCTTCCCTCCACCTTGGAGGAACGGGTTAATTTGTATCGGCACGCGAGATAACGTCGAGCGAGACTTATCAATGGTTTTGAAGCGTTTAAGAGGGAATTATCGCGGAGAGAACGAGGCGCGATTTGTTCGGCGAATGCGCGTCCATCGATATCCAAGGATTCTCGCGGAAAAAGGAGCGAAATTAAATCGAGCCGCTTGTTCGGAGATTAAGCGACCGGCCATTTCTGGAGCGGAAAGTAATCGAGCCGGAATGGAAGGATTTTGCGAGCGCGTCGTCTCAGAAAGAGAGCCGCTGTTCGAAGGGGCCCGTTTTTAAAGAGATCCAGAGCCGGGATATTTTCCTACGTGTATAATTTCGGATTAAAGAAAAGGTGGTCACGTTCCGTCCGATCGAGAAGGACGGTAGAGGCCGTTTCTACTTTTCGACAAGAATTGCCCGTCTCCCCGAATAAACCGCGAGGAATTTCGTGGCGGGGTCCAAGGATTCGTGGCGGTAATCCGGCGGCGAGGAAAGGCTCGAAATTAAATCGGGCCCCTCTCGGAGATTAAGCGATCGAGGCCAAAGCGGGCTACTCATACGCGGAGTTGAAAGTAATTGAACCGGAGCGAAGGAAGGATTTTGCCTCGCGTGCCGCTTTGATATTCGCCGGTACACACGAGAAAGGCCTGGGCGTAATTACGCACTTTCGGGGATCGGAAACAAAGACGTCACTGTCGCGCGTCGCCTGTTCGCCGTCTCTTAAAAATCATCTCGAGGTCCCGAACGGCAGGGGTCGCGGATCTTTGAGAATCGGGGACTCGACGCATCCGGATACGGCGCCGATCTTGGAACGACAACCCCGGCTCGACCGCCACTCGGGAAAGAGACGATCCTTTGCGATCGTCTCTCAAGGGCGAGGAGGCTCGAGCCGGATCCGATTGCACGTAAACGCACACTTGCACCTTTTCGCCAAAGACGACGAACAGAAGTTCCGGGGGAAATTGAAAACGCACACTTGCACCTTTTTACTAAGAACGACGAACCGATTCCAGGATTCGAAGGATCCAAAATGGCGGCGCGGGGCGACTCGATGATAAAAATCGTCCGTTCAGAAGTTCCGGGGGAAATTGAAAACGCACACTTGCACCTTTTTACTAAGAACGACGAACAGATTCCAGGATTCGAAGGATCCAAAATGGCGGCGCTGGGCGACCCGGATAAAAATCGTTCAGAATTTCCGGGGGAAATCGAAACGCGAGAAATCTTGGCTGGTGATCCATTCTTCGACGTTTTGACACAAGAGGAATTTCTCCCGACATCCAGCCTTAGGTTGCGTGATATCTGGTCGAAGGAAAGATCGATCTTTCCCTCGTTATACCCGCGTCTCGGTACCAGAAAATAAAACGCCGGGACTCTCAAGGCCTATTCTTCTCGGCTCCCGGGATATATCACAGGGGAATAATCGATCGTGCGGCACGCGATCGAAGGACGCCCTCGATCGATGTCACGAAAAGCCGAAACGATAAAGAAGAAAGAGTCCCGGCAATTTCGAGGGGGAAAGATTCGATCCGGATCGCTCTGCAGAAATCGCTCCGATCCTTCCTTCCTAATTATTGCTTTTATACTTCGGGCCAATTACGGCGTGTAATTCATAACGAGTGACTTCTCTCCATGTCTACCGACACTTCCGCATTACTTCTCGTGCCCCGAAACCGGGAAAAATTAATACTATCCCCCTGATCGTTATTTCTGTTCGCCGTAACTCCGGTATAGGAAAATTCCCTCGACCATTTTTTTTATACGAAATTATCTGAAGTACGGTGTTAAGTCTGCGTATAATTGGTAGGTATAAATAGCGCAACGAGGTTCGATCCGCGGTAAGAAGGGAAGGAAAGTTCTCGCTAAATTCCGAAGAAAATTCTTCGAGGGTCTCGCCTTAGTGATATATTACCGTTTTGCGGTAACGCCGGTAACGCGGTGCAATGCAATTCGGTACGATATTATCATCCAGGTTCCGGGTTCGCGGACTAAACACCTCGGTGCATTGTTCGCCCTCCGATTGACGATCCGGACCTGTTCTAGACTATTCACTTTCAACGCGTCGTTACATAACACTCCTAGATTTTCATCGCTCGTGCAACGTTACGGAATCGTTATTACTTAACGCAATGCTCGAATTAAGTCATACCCGATGCCCGATAAGAATGCCCCGGATCATTATACGAATGATCCTAGCGTTAAGAAAAAGGATTGCAACAACGAACTAAGACATACCGACTGCTCGAATTATTGATTGATATTCCGTAAAATTAAACCGCGGTTGGCTCGAGTGCACGCGTAGATAATATAATTGTACGCAAATGTCAAAACATATGAATATCTTTCCTAGAGGCGCAATAAATAATTAACTCGAGTCTCAGTCCTGGGATTGCCGAGGATGACGATTGAAACCGTTCTCCTGGAAGCGGTTACTTAACGTTAACGCGAGGAAGCGGAGGAATAATTGTGAATCCTTTTTCTCAGGTCTGAAAGTCTCCTTCCCGAGGACTTACGAAATCGCTCTTAATGGCGGCTAATTCCTCTCTTTCTTATTTTTTTTTTTTTAATTTCTCCTTTGACACGCAACACCCGAATTAAGTCATGCCGGATGCTCGGCGAGGAATACCGCAGCGACGAGTCATTAAATCATTACGAGTGTTGCCTTAAGAAAGCGGATTACAGCGCCCGGTTAACAATTAATCCTGGAAACGGGATCGTTAAGAGCGACACGTGGAGCGGCTCAACCCGTTAAAACGGACGCGTTAGGGACTTTACATAAACCTCGAGATTTTTGCCGGCGACTGGAACGACACTTAACCCTAATCACCGCGAATCGCTTCGAATCGACGTCAATGATCGTCGAGGCCACGAGGCAGAGGCGAATTAAGCAAGACTTTTCTCCGCAACGAGCGGCCGCGGTAAAAAAAGGCTTAATGCCGCGTCGCTAACCGGGAATCATTAATAACGACGATGGGATGAGTCCGGGCTTTGCCGTCATCATTGATTCACAGGAGAGACCGTAATTACGATCATCGACCTGTCGGCCAGGTCCCGCCGAAACGTCTCCAATTAATCGATCACGTCGATAGCGACAAGCGGTCGCTATCCTCCGTGAAAAATTGAAGAGATCGCTCGAAGGATCGTTATTTAATTTATGATTTAATTTAATTAATGAGCCAATTGGGAATTTTCGTAGCCCGCAAACTCTCGGCTACCGGGCGCCACGGAAACGCCATTCGAGCGCACGACGGACGCATCGAATCGCCAAAATGGTCTCCAATGGATCCTCGAGGATTACATAAGAGTACATATTTCGGGAGAAACCGTATTTTCCAGGGTTATTTCGGGATTTTTGAAAGAAGTTCGCGGGGGGTCGGTAACGTCGGCCTCCCTCTTGCCCTCGCATTGTCGGCGCGTTTGTGATACCAGAGCGGTATTTTAACGCGATCTATCGTCTACTTGTACAACTAACCGAACCGCAAGTAGAGCACGCAGCACATGTGTATAGCAAAATCCTGCTATATTAAAGAAAAATGTGTAGTTACAAATAAACGTAAAGGAGTAGGCACGAAGTCATCGGGAAAAACAAATTGACACAAGTACGTCGATACGGAATATTCCATGTGAAATACGAGCCTATCCTTCAACCCGCGTGCACACGCATAATTCCATCATCCATCGCCTTCGGTGGTTTAATTACGCTTCGAGGAGTAAAACCATATGCGATCGGCGTTCACGCATTTACGCGTCCTTTTGCGCCAACCGCACGTAGCCTTACCCTAGTTGTGCAGTTGGTGTCAGCTTTGAATTTTTTCATGTCCACTCGTAACGAATAACCGCAAAGCATGGCATAAAGTTAATGACTCTATTTAACAACGGTTTTAGCAGTCTCGTGAAAATCCTCAGTCCACTTCAGAAGTACTACCGTTTTCGAGCACGCGAATCTCCGTTGGTAGAAATTTTTTCTTTTTCTTGTACAGAGTCCTTACTTTGTATTTAACGATTTCGCTAATTTTAAACCACGCACATGGAGTATAATGCATTCTCGTCCCTGACCCGCGGTACGCCCGATGCAAATCTTGGCAATTAAAGAAACAAATAAAGGAATTCTAAGGTATGCGCGGAGGTACTTTTCTGCGTGGGCAAGAAAGAGTCGGTACACCTGACAAAGGTCAACGAGGTCTCCGTTTGCACGTCCTCGATATCCTCGGACGTATACGGACGTCCTCCTTTCTAAGTCGTCAGGCGATTGCGTCGGTGCTCTTAGATTTCCGATAAATCCTCAGCGAACCGACAGACTCGGCGCACTCTTCCAGATGGGAGGGACATCGTTCCGCCGTAAATCTCCCAGGATTCTTTATTTTTCTCTTTCTCATCCTCGAGGAGAACGTTACATCGTCTTGCGAGCACTTCCAGGTTTCCGGCGCCTCCGTTGGGCCGGTCACGAGATGCGTAAAAATCACTTTTGCGCTCCGGGGTAATAATAAATTACGGCTGGTGCTGGCAGCTGCCAATGTGCCGCGTGCAGTTCGATCAGCTGTAAAAGCGTCCTTCTCACAGCTGGGAGCGTCGTTTGTTCTGCCAAAAAGGCGTCTCTCACGCTGCCCAGGAGTTGCTGCAATTGTGCCGGGAGCTCCGAGTCCAGGTCCTTGCCGACGCACGTCAGGATGAAAAATAGGCAGTCCGTCTTTTCGTTTATGCAATGAAAAATATACGAAACGAGATTAAAGAAATAACGTACTCTATTCGATTAATTATATTATTTGGTACCTCGGCAAGAGAGTTTATCATGGGTGGTCGCAAACAATCCTGACAGCATTTCCAAAGCAACGTCAACAGAACTCGTCCCGGAGGAACTCCTTCGTGTTGCGTCTTCAACTGCAACTGACGTCGCTTTAACTGAAATGATTAAATTTCCCCTTATCAATTTGTTTCCAGTAAAAAAATTCATAAATTTCCCCAGACACGAAAAGCAATTACCTGACAGTACATTTCATTCAGGAAGGACATAAAGGCCGAATAATGCCGACACGTCGTCGCATCCTGAAGGACTCTGCTGCGTTCCTGGTACCACTGCTGGCACATGTTTAAAAGAGACTCCAGAAAAGTCTCTTTTACTTCTTTCTAAACAAAACACGCGCAGGTACAGTACTATGGATATCCAGTCCTTATCAGGTCCTTATTCGAGGGCGGAGATATTACCTCGATAATCGTGATGCATATTTTGGCCGCAGGTTCCGCGTATTTTCGGTTCTCCACGACCCTGTCCAGGATATGCCGCACCAGTTCCATCAGAGCTCGAGAATTTAAAAGGTTTGGATCTAAAACGACGCATACAAGTTCCGTGAGCTTTATACCGGCGCTATTGTTGCTAGAAAATATTTATCAAACGACCGATTACCCTCGATAGCTTTTACGAGAGTCTCTTGAGTAGCTTGCGGGAACTTTCCAAGTTCCAGGGCGTCCGAGATGTTCATAGCCTTCGCCGCAAGTACGTCCGCCGAATTGAGACTTTTCGATCGTTTCAGACCATAGGAAGAGACGAAGGACAATGACTTCGTGAGTTTTCCAGGCTTCGTCGCGTTTGCTGGCTTCGAGTCGGCTTGGTCCACGTTGAAGTGCACTCTGCCCGTGGTCTGAATAAAAATAGCCCGAACGTATATCATTCCCTGTACGTTATCGATCTCGCGAGCGCATCGTGCAGTAAATTCAGTACTTTAACAATTAACGCGTACGTGCAAAATGTTTCCGCTGGACGCGGAAGTGTTGAGGGCGTGTAGATGCCGCACCGAAGAGCTCGTCGATAAGGGGTGATAACTCGTCTGGGAATGATGAGAATTCTGATGCAGAATTTGATGCTGAAGCGTTTGCTGCTGCTGCTGTTGATACATGTACTTCTGCACATTGCCGCTCGATTTACTGTGCTGCAGATAAAACGAGGATCGCTCCGAGTTCCCGTGGGATCTGTTAAAAAAAAAAACATCTTCGTAATTAAATCGAATAAAGATTGATTATTATTTTTCCTTGTAAACTCCATTTATGACCGCGTCGATTCGAACCGTTTATAGAAAAATCATTTACTTGGAAGGATGTGCGTCGTTATGCTTCATGGTGAACTCCTTGGCGTGAACGTTCAATTGCGGATTGGGAGAGGTAGCCGTGGTTCCGTCTGTCCTCACACCTGATTGATAAAAAATACCCCAGAAATTAATAAATAATTCAGTGTACTATTTGCTTTTATATCAAATTAAATAAGAATGTACAAACCTGGAGGTCGATAAATTTCGAGGGTCGGTTTAGACTTCGGGGTGGCTACGTTATTACTTCGTTTCTGCAAAACGGCATCCCTCATCTAAAAGTATACAATTCAATCTCGTTATTGAAATTGCCGGAGCTAGGAATTTCCTAGACAGAACATACGTTTCAGCGCATCAATCACCACCGATGTGTGCGGTCTAATTAGATAGTTACTTCCAAAGAGAGTGAAAAAAGAGACCGTTCGTAGAACGATTTGCATTCCAAACTCACGTACCCAAGTGTTCTCATTGAAACCGAGCGTTGCGTTTGCGCTCGGCACTTACGTTCGACTTCTACCGACACGAGCAATGCTTTCGAGTGTACCGAGACATTACGAGTACACCCGTATCGCCGGGCGTTAATTTTCCCGGCGTTATATAAGAACGTGACAATTCCCGCGGCTGGTCACCCGTGTGATTTCTGCGAGACTCGCGATCAGCTGATCCGCCGCGCGTCGCCTCCTGTCAAACGTCAAACGCCCTTACGAAACCACTTTTCCCAAAGTTGAATGAGAAAAAAAATATAAATATCGCAATCCTCGGGCCTACGTTGGCCACGAGAGCTCCGGAAAAAGTTTTTCCCTGCCGAGCCTTGACTCGATCGGCGACGAGGAAGGCAAGCTTCGCTCGAATCCGCGCGTGGGGGGTGTACACGCCAAATTTGTATACACAGGGGCGTACCCGGAGAGCTATATCGCCGCGGTATAAAGAGCCCACGTCAAAATATTCCGTTCCTTGCGTCTCTACCGACACCTTGGCCAACGACGAGCACCGAAGGAGCGCTCGATTAGGGTCTAAAAAATCATACAAGAAAACTGTACACAACGGATTAATATCGGAGGGTCGCAAAATCGGCCCTGGTAATTTTTTGACAGCCCGACGAGGCTTCATCGCGAAGGGCGAGCACTCGGGACCACTTACAGTGTAGATCCTCGCGAGAACCGTGCTCGTGGAAGTCGCAAGTACGCGCGGGAAACCGCAGAGTGTCTTGGGCGACCGAGGTCCAGCCCCGAAGAGCGCATATCACCTGGGGTCGCTCCCTGGGGAAGGCGATCTCCTCGGCCAGGTCCTCGGGCACCTCCTCGGCGTACCTCGCCCGCGCACTCGCACTCGCACTCGTTTAGAGCGTGCCGAAGCTGCACGTAGAAGCCGCTCCGATGACTAGGAACTAATAATAGCAGCCTCGACTGCCATGAGTAAGAGTATATATCCGCCGTCCGCCGTGCGCCGACTGAAATACTCGGCTCGTTCAACTTGCGGGCCAGCTTTCGAGCTTTTTCCTCGAGGGGCGACTCGACCGCCGATTGCGCTCGCCTCGTCGAATAAAAGAAAATAGAAAGACTCGCCAAGAGAACCCGGAATCGCGGGGGGAAAAAAAAATGCCAAACCTCGCCCGAGGCGGAGGACGTGGCAGATTTTTTTACTGGTTCTTGGTGTTTCATTTCTCTTTTTCTTTCTTTCTTCCTTCCGACCGTTTTAATCCTCTGATTCGCAGCTCGCGGTCTTAAATGTTAAATGGAAAGTGCGTCGAGACGTGGGGTGTGCGGTGAATTTCGATGCTCGAGCGACTTCCGGTCCACGGACAGGAGGAATGGGCGGCTCGGTAAATTGCATCCTTGCAGCCGGTGCTTACCTCCTGTCGCTTTTGCGTTCCTTTAATATCGAGTAGTTTTTTTCGTGAGTTTTGGAAATACACCTAGGATTAAAAAGCGTAGCTCGGGTCGCTCTCTCACCTTCGAAGGGACTCGGGAGTTCTTTTTGCTCGCCTCGTGGACCATTTGGCGGGTTTGCGTATCGAAGTTCGTTGAAAAAATGCTCCTGGCTGGAGGTCTCTCTTCCTTGGTAAGAAGATGCCGAGCAAGCTGGAAACACGGATCGCCTTCGAGTTATCACATTCCAGGGTAACTTGTAGGAATACCGAGACGCGGAGAACTTAGGAAAAGTTCGTTCGCAATAGTTTAACCGACGGTCATGATTCTGTCGCGGGCAGGGGATTACGCGAGACTGCGATAAATGATTAAAAAGTAAGAAACGTTTAAGGGACGCGCGCGGACTGTGGAAGAAAGCGAGGCGCACGGCGCGTCCTCGCAGTCTTTAATGGAAGCATCCTATTAACCGAAATGCCAAAACATAAGGTATACATTATAAATATCCCCACCAGCCGCTGCACCGGAACGACATGATCGCCGATGCTGTCCGCGTGCCCACGTATTCTGCGTCAAAAGGACACGCTCACATAATATCGGAAACAAGGTGTGCCGCCCTCCCGACACACCTACGCCTCGCCGGAATTTATTATGAATCTTAGCACCGCTCGGACGAGAAGGCTCCGTAATTACATCCGACAATGGAGAAGAGATTGCGCCTGGAAAAATAAATAATGTAATAGCGATTAATTCAGGAGACAAACCTAGATTCCAGGCCGCGCTCCGAGCCACGATTCGCGCCGCGGCAATTGTAAGAGAGAGGATTTCCGATAAATTTGGAAGAGTTTTTGTAGAGCCCGCTAGATGGCAGTGGCTCGAAATAGCTGCGAAATATGGAGACGTGACCACTCTCTAGTTGTATTAAAATTAACCTCAAAAATAAGCTCTGTCAGTAGTACATGCAACTCGACATAAGTCGCGCAACAGCTCGTTCTTTTCATTTTCTTTCCTCATGATCGCGTAAGTCGGAATTACGTTACATTTTTTCAATCTATGTAAAAATCGAGTTGTTATTTTTTCGATGTCAAAAACTACGCGTACGCAATCTACCGATTGCTGACACACAAACACTAATAACTTACAATTTTCCAATGATTTCTTTTCTAAAAACAAGCGATTAAAAAAAATATGTAACAGTTATCTCTTTCTTGACAGGAAGACGTGCGATTCGAGTAAGGACGATGAGATACAAAAAATCATCGAGCTGATCGTTGTTACCGATCGATTGCTACCGCTACCGATAGTTTTGAGTTATTGACAACAAAAAAAAAAAACATGAACGGCACCTCCGGACAGTTTCGAAAAACAACATGGGATCCATTCCTCATAATCAGTCAGATAATTGCTGTACAAGCTGTAATGTATTTTTGTCTTGGAATCTGGATCTGGATAATAGCCTCGATTCTGGGCTCAACAAAATCTTTGGACTATGCCTTTCAGTACAAAGAGATTCATGTTCGTGACTTTGGTGGAAAAATGGTCATTACATTTTTCATGTTGAACGCTCTAATGGGTGCTCTTGCGTTGTGGTGGCTTGTACAGAGGACGAAGCAATGTATGGACTTTGCATGCACTGCACACCTGATACATCTTCTGTGTTGTTGGTCCTATAATGGCAGCTTTCCCACGACGTTTAGTTGGTGGTGTCTGAATTTAGTGTCCTTAAGTATAATGTGTGTATGCGGAGAATTCTTATGTATGAGAACTGAACTTCAAGCCATACCGCTAGGCATGAATAGTCAGAAGACGGCCTTGTAAGCAGTGCTAACTCGTCAAAGTTCTGTTTATTTAATTCATGTAGCGTGCAGATAAACAAATACTAATCTTTCCATGATATAGAGCACGTAAAGTACAATGGATCGATCTTTTGATGTGGTATATGTAAATATGTGTTGTAACAAGCCTAGTTTTGCAACATAAAAGAATCAACGTGGACCCAGTTTTTCCACTCTGATATTATATTACATACGTTTATTTAACAGCAATGTCTACTTATTTACCCAATCTCTGCATTTAAATACGTGAATATATATATATTTAGCATACGTTTGGACTATCGACATTTCGAGATAATCAAACACGTTAACAAGGTTTCAATGATGATCCTCTTTATAGAAGCGTAATCCACAGTAACCGCAGATATGATTACCTGGTTTATCCTATAGAGAAGTAAATTGATCAGACCAAATTACATAAAGGATACGTATCATTGCCAAACTCACCAAATTGATGTAAACCTTGGGATGTCCTAATGGACCTCCACCTCCATCACACGAGACAATTCTTGCCTTTGCTGGAGACGGCGGCACTTCATCGATTAATTTAACCGCCCAGTTAGTGTTTACTTCTTTCACTTTGTCTACAAATCGCGCTAAGCGGTAATCATTCTCTTCGAATTTCTGGGATAAAAATTATATTTACATTAGAAGCGCGGTAACTAACCTCAAAAATTACATAATTTAAATTAATGGTAATAATATTAGCGTTTCGCCTACCTGTCCGGTGTGAGTTTCAACATCCTTCGGAGTCCATGAATTATTTCGAGAAACGACTGTTATCGCTGGAATATTAAGTTTGTAAATCTTGCTTGAATTCCCGAGTAGACGGCCTACTCCTGCGGTAGACATTTTAATTGTTTCGCTTCAGATGAAAGGCGCAATTAAAATCAATTGGAAGAAGTTGACCAATGAGACACCGTTGGTACAATGACGGTCATGAATGGCTTCCTCGTGTATATTTTAACAGTCACGTTGAAACTATTCTATCGAAGCGCCATGGTCAAGGAACTCTCTTGTATTCTCTGTCGTATCATGAACCTTTCTACGCCTTCAATTTATAATTAAAAAATAACAATCTAGAGTGCATTCGCTCTCATCGGTCAAGACGCACAGGTTCATCGACACGTCAAAATGCAAATGGCGGCCTATGTGCATTTAGGAACGCACTATGTCGGCCAACCACAGTTCGCTTTGACACACCCTTTAAATGTTACATTTTTTTTGCCGAATGCTAGTGAAACGGTCAACAATTCCTTGTAACTCTGTGACCACTATAGTTCCCTTTACTTAACATTGTTGACGTATTATTTTTAACGTTCTTTTGCGCGTTGATAAGATCGAAACGAGCCAGCGATTATACGATGGTGAGTCACTGTTCTTCTTGTCTCTTGTAAGGAATTATTTTGCTAGAAAATCCAGTTGGATCTTCAGTTTTCGACTTAAACGTTTCTCATACATTCTTCGAGGGATCTGTCTTTTCTTTTATTTCATTTATTAAATGACTCGTGAAAACGCGTTTCCTAACCTAACCTGGAAGATCTCAAATGTCAAAATGGCGCTTTACATGAACCAGCACTGAACAGAGAAATTGGAGAATTTACGAGTTCCATGTGAAGTTGACAGAAAAGGTGTCAAGGAGATTTCGTAAAATCTGCTGATTAGACTACATTGTTTCAGACGGAACAACAAATGGACTGCGCGCTAGATCTGATGAGGAGACTCCCTCCACAGCAGATCGAAAAGAACCTGAGTGACCTCATTGATCTGGTACCCTCTTTATGCGAAGACTTATTGTCTTCCGTTGATCAGCCTTTGAAGATAGCAAAGGATAAGGAATCAGGCAGGGATTACCTTCTTTGTGATTACAATAGAGACGGAGATTCCTACAGGTCAGTGCTCCAATGTAAATCATACAAATTAAAGGATTACAACGAAATCCCAAAAAATCCAACGGGTTAAAATTTTATTTGCAAATAAAGTATTTTCAACATTTGCTTGTTATGGGTAATATCTGAATTGTAAGCACTATGTATAAAATCCATATTTTTATCGACGATAGGTCGCCATGGAGTAATACATACGATCCTCCTTTAGAAGATGGATCGATGCCATCGGAAAGGCTCAGAAAGTTAGAGATAGATGCCAATCATGCATTTGACCAATACCGTGAGCTTTACTTTGAAGGAGGTGTATCGTCGGTTTACTTATGGGACCTGGATCATGGATTTGCAGGAGTGATATTGATTAAAAAAGCTGGAGATGGATCTAAAAAAATTAAGGGATGCTGGGACTCGATACACGTCGTCGAGGTGCAAGGAAAACCCAACGGAAGAAATGCACATTATAAACTTACTTCTACGGCAATGTTGTGGCTTCAAACAAATAAGCATGGTTCGGGAACTATGAACTTAGGGGGAAGTCTTACTAGACAGGTACTTATTCGGCTCAAATCTAATCCGATCTATTCCGATGCAAAAAGTATTTAATATTTTCTAACAGTAACTATTTTTTTTCCAGGTTGAGCAAGATCAACCTGTCAGTGAAACTTCTCCGCACATCGCAAACATTGGACGCATGGTGGAAGACATGGAAAATAAGATACGAAATACACTAAACGAGATCTATTTTGGTAAAACAAAAGATATTGTTAACGGTCTGAGATCAGTCCAGTCTTTGGCGGATCAGAGACAACAAGCCGCCCTTAGGCAGGATTTAGCCGCTGCACTTCAGAGGCGAAACGCAAACAATTGATCTCAAGAAACACCTGAGAGCTTCGATTATGATTGTGATTAGGAAAACAAAAAGGAAAGCAAGAGATAGAAAGAGAGGCAGTGAGCAACCGAAGCGCGATGTACACACTAAGTTGATATACTTTGTTAATATCTAGGTGAGAGTAAATGCAGGGAATTTGTTACGGGGCTGCTAAAGAGGACGCCGAGTTCACCTTCGTTATTAGGACTGCCCACAGCAGCCAATGTATTTCTACGAATAAATGACAATTTGTTATGGAGTCTCACGTTGCAATTGCCAACACTTCTGGTCTAACGGTGGTCCGCGGAGTGATGGATCTAGTTGGAGGTCCATAGATGGAAAGGATATCCGGTTGCGAATCATCCTCTTGAGAAGCTCCATAAGAAGCCTCGGTGCCTATTATCTTACAGTTTTCTCCTGAATGTTTCGCACTCCTGCCAGGCTCTTCGAATCCTGGTTCCTCGCTTATGCATTTACTAGTTTATTATTAACACGTGTTCGCACGAGTGTCCGATGTGTGTCAGTGAGCTCGCAGAGTCTGATCGGCCAACCAAGTGCTTCTCGTGTGTTAAAATATTTTTCGTTAAAATTCTATGGACATGTACGCTATTGTGTGGAGATTTATTTTATCCTTAACCGCAGAAAATATGGGGAAACGACTTGGGCATTAAGGTAATGTGAAGCCAACGGAAGTTCGGTATTAGTGCAAGATTGTAGTTTTTGTTTCCAAGAATGTACGATAAAAACATTACTTTATTGTTGAAATCTTCACATCACCTTAATACCGAAGAGAAAAATGTTAATGTCAATTGACACTCTGGGCATACATTGACATCGTCCGTTGTCCGTGCGACTAAATGTATAGCGATACGATTAAGAGACTATCCAAACTAAATGGAGAAACAATTCGGAATAGACTCTGGACCGATCTGATTTGTAAAATCTGAAATCTGTACTACACAATACGTACTCTTTGATCGAATAGAATTTTTGTGCTGCGTACCAGTGAACTCAAAACGAAACTGTCAAGCAACCGAATCTACGATAATGACAGATCGAAGGTTAAGTCTTCGAAATTGCATTTCATCGCTTAAAGAATTTAGTTCGATCCTTGGCTGGAACTTTACGCGGGAACGATTTGACCGTTAAGATTTATGAGAAATACGTTTACGTCAATTTACCTTCTGTTGAGCAAATATTGGCATCGCTACGTACCCTGTGCGACCAAAAGCTTTGCAACATTAAGAGGCTTCCAAAACGAAACTACGATTTCCTGATCGTTCAATGTATTTCTTTCATTCCAACCAACTCTGTATTTCTTTTAAAAAGTATTACCGTAATCCATCTACATCATTATTTATATAACGAGCAACCAACTGATACATCTCAATTACTCGAGACCTGCATCTCCCTCACAGGCTCCGTCGTTTTGGAAATCTCTTAATTGAACGATCACTTTTATAACGTTTCAAGTTTTATTACATATAAATATTACTATACTAATCATACGCAATCATTACTTGTTATCAAAACTTTATTATTAAAAAGAGAGTGAGAGACAGAGAAAGAGAGAAAGAGAAAGAAAGAGAAGGTAGCATAATTTATTATTTTTAAAGAGCTTTTTTAAGGATGTATACAATAGTGGAAAGTGTAATTAATTATTAGTCAATTCGTTAACGAGTTAGCGATTACCGGTTCCTCCCTTTGGGAGGTCTGTCTCCACTTAGCTATTAGTCCCTTCGGCTCTTTTTAACAATTCCTCACTGGCTCCAGGGGAACCGATCGGGTCGTGCTCCTCCGTCGAGGCGAAGCCTGCGCTCGTTGCAAAGAAAATGCATAATGATTTAAGTTGTCTCGCGACCTCTTTCCCCGGAGTCCCTAGGAGGGCTCGTCTGCTGTGCCCCGAAGGGTTCGCAGAGCAGACCCCAGTTTTCAAGGTCGTCGCGAACGATACGCACATGGAGAGTTTTGTTCTTAACTATACCATTAAACGGAGACGTTGTCAAATGGAGTTGCCATTCGCCTTGTTCTTTCTTCGAGCCTCGTACACGAAACCACTTTGTACACATTTTAGGTTGCTGTCACACACAGTCGATGCACTATTACCATTCGACGTAGAGACTCGAAGGCTCTTCGGAGCGTTGCCCATACCGTTCGATAGTTGGAACGTACTGCCTGAAACGTCAATATTGTAACGTAGGATAACGTAACTGCGTGTTAATCGACAACGGAAGACCAGTCCGGTACTTATACTTTGGTTAATACGATGCCAAGTTGCTTATCGCTTCGCGCTAGGCCGAGTCCCCTGACATCTCGGTACACAAATTTCACGTATTGTGCTTGTAAACAAACTTATGTAAAACTACACGAGAAACATTATGCAAAGGTAATAAATGCGATCTGTTATAAGTTGGTTCGTTGCGCAAAAGAAACTCCCTCACACGATGGAAAGAGTGGTACGGTTAACTGGTCTCGTACCACCAGACAATAGTTGAATTCTTCACTGTCAGGAATCTTTAGGGTTTACAATGACCGACTAGGATTATACATCCGAATCTCCGCAATTTACAGCGCACAACGAGACGGTCGATTCATGGTTAACAGGAATAACAAGCAAAACGCAAACCATAACCTCGAAAGCAACATCTCGAAGGGTACAATTTCATTTCCACATACATATACTTTGTTGTACACCCTGGAATAGTGCAATGTAATTACATACAAGGCTGTTCGCGTAATCTGTTCAATGATATTTAATCGACGGTTGATTCTTAGCAAGACGCAGATCCCTTTATCCGGTAACTTCGACATGATCCATCGGAAAAAATACATTAGATTCTCGCCCTTTGGCTATACAGTAGTTTTCTTCTGTCGGTGTCAATGCATTTAGAAGACGCCCGGAGCAAATAAAAATGAAGTAAAGGATAAAAGAAATGGCATGGTTCGAAACAATCCACCGACTCGTCACCCCCAACCTGAGTCGAGCCTCTCTATCTCTTTCGCGTTGCTTAGAAATCTAACGCGCTTCGAATTCTCACCCTTTTTTCCTTCCTTTCTTTTTTCTGTATTTCCATAGTTAATAACAAAGCACATTTAAAGTATATGAACCTGGTCCAACATAGCACACGTGTAGTACAGACGATGATTTATTTCGTATTAATATTAGGTATTTCGTTTACTTAGATTATAATAGGTATGTTTAGGTTTGTTAACTATATATATATATATATATATAATTTTTTTTACCAAAATTTCCCAGGAAGGTATCCGAGAAGCTAAAAAGTAATTTGAGAACGACCCAAGAAACTGAGTGGTTTGTCGAGTAATGCTACATAGGAAGGCACCATGCAAGGTGGTTTGATAGAAAAAGTACTCGATAAATTGTCAAAACTTGTCTCATCTCGACAGTTTTTGGGTCCAAAGATGGAATAAAATTTCTCCAGGTTACAAAGTTGGCGAACACTGGAGCAGACGTCTGGAAATAGTGGAGGGTCGAGGACATGGATTTATTTTACTTTACAATGTTGCGTTTGGTTCCGATTTTTAGGAATTTTGTAAACGTCTGGCACGTTTAGGTTAATTTCTCGTATAACGACATCCACCGAGATACCTTCCTGTGAAAGCTCTGGCTACACTCGTATATTTATATTTTTATTCAGTTTCCTTATCATATACTTTATCCCTAATGTTTCAGACCATACCTTCCGGAACAGTTTTTTGTTGTTTAAGCTCCGATACATGTAATCGAAGGCAGAGGAACACTCAAAAGGTGTCGAATGGCAAAGAAAGAAGGAAAATCAAAAGAGAGCTTGTCTTACGGTGGACAACTAAGTCGAACTCGCTAAGCCAAAACAATATGGGAAACAATTGGTTTATAAAAATTTCACCGCACCGATCTGCTTTCTCGTGGCTGAGAGATAGCGAAGCAATCGATACACGACGCGATTTTGGATGACATCCAGACTCCGGTGTAGTGTATCGATCATTTTTGTATCAACGGAAAGTCAACCGCGAAGAGTAACAAACGTTGTTTTAAACGATACTTTGACATAAATTCGAGGAAACGTTCCACGCAGGGTCTCGCCACGAGAAAGCAAGCATCAGAGTTCAGTGATTTGTGTTCTGAGAATCTCAGGCGTTCTCATCGTGCTTTGGTCGAAGGCCTTACGCAGGGCTCTACTTCTTCGGGTGAAATCAACTTAAATAGAATTATTATCCTGTTTGATTTTTCGGAGAAGGCTTCTACATCAGGTAAGTACTCGGAACTTCTTTCGTCATATATATTTTCTGTACACGTCCCTGTGACCCGTTCTTGCAAGCCTCGAGCCAATGCTCATATCTTTTCTTTATATGCCGCACCTTCATTGTTACCTGGTGAACTACCAAACGACCGCATTTATGATTAAATCTCCGATTAGAAATTTTAGTGCCTGGGTCACGACACAGTTACCGTTCAAAAAGATCCTTTTAGAAAACTAGTACAACACCGCCCGGATACGGTGACACTGTAATTCCCTTCGGAAAGAGTTCTCATTACTACGATAGTAAACCGTTATCCCAGACCTCTGACAGTAGACCTCGTTTCTTTTCTCCTGAAATATTTCCTTTCATTTTCAGACTTTATTCCCCGTCCACAGGACTCTAGTGTACGGTTTGCAGAAATCCACGTGGTATTTTGATTTCTTGACTACGAGACAGCTCCACGTTAAGTTTTAGCGATACCGGTAGTGTATACTCGACATGGCATATCTTTTTAGAAAGATCCAGTATCGTTCTTAAATGCAAACAAGGTATTCGCAAAACTTTACGTAATAAACGTATCCGACATATACCACTTCACAGATAGTTCTACTCGATCGAAACGAAAACGCTGTAATACTATAAATGTTCTCGTACTCTTTACACTCTTTGTAACGTTTGAATGAAAAGTGATTCGCCGCAGTCTGTATCTAATTTTAATTTTTACTGGCAAGAATGGTAACCCTTTGCCACAGTGTTTCAACATTGAATTGCTTGAACTGTCGAGCCGTAGGGACAGCCCAACAATTTCCCTCCAGTTTAACTTTTTTCTCTTTTTAAATAGCAAACGTCCCGAAATCCAAAAAAAAATTGACAATACGTGAAGGCTTTTTAATTTTTATTTTTCAATCAACCCTTTGATGAAAAGTCGTCGCCGTATCTTTTTTGCATAACAAACAACGTAGTGTGTGTCTAAAACCGGGACGCGAATTGCGTTATCCCAGCTCTCCTTTACTTACATTGCGTAAAAAGTTTAGCATATGTTTTGTTTTTGTTTTTTGTTTTTTGTTTTTTTTTTTTTTTAATAATTGTAAGGTGTTACTTGGATAAAAAGTTGTTTCTCGCCGTTGCTCGGCTGCTGGTTTTCTAGATGGAACTGTAGACTCATCCTTTACCAATGATAAGGTGTCGATCGGCCAAGCGGGTATAATATTGAGGTTCTGTACGGTTGTAACTGAACACAATTATTTGTCGAGGGCAGTGTTGGTTTTGATGGCGATTACAACTTCCTCGCCGCAGGCTTTCAGTACGGTACACTAAAACATGTTTGTGTATTTGTGAATAAAGTATACCTTTGGATTATTAAGACACGATTCTTAAATGAAATGAACAAAATATTTCCAATTGAGCAGTTAAATGTCGTTTCATACTTACGAGTAACTCTTTTCCAGCATCAAAATCAGCTCGTAATTGAGCACCTAATTCTCCTTCGGGGATCTTAAGATCCTCGCGCAAGTCCCCGTTGTCAGCCATCAGACATAGATAGCCGTCGTCGGATATGTCTGTTAACTGTCAGGAAAAAAATGGTATTAAATCGAGCCATCTTTAAACTGCATTCCAGACTAATGACTTTTATTGTGCAATTCAAACTCTTATAATAAAAAAAAGTCTAACGTTTGTTGATTCAATTAATTACTTCAAGGATTATTCAATCAATTGTTAATGCAACAACAGACACTGTCTTACCTGGTAATCCTCCCGCTTAACGAAAGGTACGTCCATGTTATGTGTTGAAGGACAGATATCTTCATATTTCTTTGAGGTAAAAATATCAATGCCCACAAGATGGACCTTAGCATGACCGTGTTTACCAGTTTTAGAAGTGGACATTTCCACGATCTTGCAGGGTCTAGACTTTAACATGACGAAACCGTTCTTGCGCAAGGCAGAACATTGCATAGGATACGTCACGGAGGCTCCCGAGTCTCCAGTCTCAAAGTGAGTATCCTCGATGTCTGCCATGATAGATTTAGGGAGGTCTGGGAACAAAATACAAATTATTAGTATCCCGCAACCAATGAACGATAAAACTAATATTATTCAAACAACCGCTGTACCAAATGAATTACATCTAGCGCACCTACTACGAGTCTATGAATCTTGAAGACGATACGAACGCGAACCTAACGAGACACGACAAAATCCTAGAAGCTATCTAATCGATCTAAGTAGTCGGAAGTCTGGTCAAGGTGACTCGGAGTACGGCAGGATCCACGACTCACGTGGAGTTTTAAAAAGTGCCTTCTAGGCAATGGCATGTCGAAGCAGTTTCCTCGCAAGACTTGCTCGACGGTCTTAAAAACCATTAGAAATTGAGATCTATCGGCATCGACACTCCAAGTGCAGTGGAAGCGACACGCGAAACGAGTCAGCGGCCATGTGGCGATAACGGAGAGCGGCTCCTGTACGGCAGTCGGAGCTTCGGAAAGGGGTGCAAGCTCACCTAAACGGATCCTAACCTCTCAGAAGTTCCCTCCCGGTGTTGCGTGGTACGAACGCGGTGCAAAGTGTCCGAATGCGTCCGAATGCAGCGGCCGGGCTGTAACTCGATCACGGAATCGTGGGAATGCGCGAGCGGGCGAGGGTTAACCAAGAATAGTTCTCGAGCGCGTGGCGAGACGATAGAAGCGGCGATTAACCTCTGGGCCGACCGGTGGGAATTAAGCGAGTTCTCTAGGGTTCGGCGCACCCCGGACGCGTATTTAACCGCTAAATACGGTCGAAGATGGCGCGAAAGAGTGCCAGCCACATTGGCAGCGGCGCGTTGTCATCGGCGCGGCCCTCGCCGGTTTTCCGGAGTTTTACCGAAATCCGGGAGGCGGCTTGCCGGGAATACGAACCAGCCGGTCACTCGCTCTTCGATTATCAAGCTTCTCCGGCGCGTTCAGCCGATTAGCACCATTAGTTTCTCTCGAAATCGGGAGCAGCTCGGGATACTCACATGTGATCAAAATGGATACTCTAACCAGAAGGTCGCGCTGCGCATGCGCAACGCGGTAATCGAAAGAGGGGTCTACCAAAGTGGAAACACGGACCGAGTGTCGCGATCGAGAGAGAAAGAGAGAGGGACAGAGAAAGAGCTCTCTCGCACGCGAAACGGGACTTCCGTGAAAGCGTTCCTCAACTTTTTATGAGCAAGAACTTAAGTCACGGTTCCATCAACCGCGGTACTCTATCGGGCTCGATAAATAAGGTGCATTCACCTCCCGCGACGCCGATGACTGCCGGTCACTGTCGGTGACTCTCGGCCGTTTGAATACCCCGCGGCTTCGATTGCGGAATCGGCCACGAATGTTGCCATCGGATGCGGTGCGGAACCGCGACCTATGTTCCGCTATTATGTTACTGGCGAAATTATTCTGTGTCGCTCTTAATTATTTACTGAAAACAACGGTTCGGAGAATGTCAATAGATATTTCATGGTAGATAGATTACTAATGTTGAGATTCAATTCCATCTAATATTTACAGAGGGCGCGGAGTAATTACCAAGAACGTGGCAAGTTTATATCCGGTTAACGAAACTGGACAATTTTCTTCTATTTATGTTAGAATATCAGATTTTTTATGCATGACTTACGTTCCTATATCTTTCAGGTATGGATAGAAGATAGCAGAGAGTATAGTAACGATAAATGTACGGAGATCTTAGAACTTTATTTAAAAAAAAAGAATGGAAGTGCTACAATGTAGTACCGGCAGAGATGAGTTGGGTACCACTTCCATCCGAATACGTTACTTCCTTCTAGCGCCACTATATTGTGGAATTCGAACTAAGATTGGAAAGTGTTCCCATCTAAACTATAAATTCTTTATTATCAATGATAGAAATATTCTAGTTATGTCTAAATTCATTGGTAGTAACGATGGCAACTAAAAGGTCAACCGGTGTAAACAAAATTACATTCATCTGTCAAAGAAGTAAAAAGACAGTAATTAATAATTTTTCTACTTCTATTAGTTCTTAGTTCCAGAATTAAGTGGTATTGAGTTGCAGTTTATATATTACTTGATATAGAATGATTAATATCGTTCATCCAAGAACGTCATCTAAACCACCGATAAAAAAATGCAATGGCGAGAAGGGTCTTGAAAAAGTAGAAAACTGTCAAGAGAGGAGGACTGAAAATTTGTCTTCCGATTCTTGCAATGTTGAATACAAAGAGAGTACAGAAATGGATTCTACGAGTGGTAATACTCCTACACCGAGTATGGATGTGATAATCGAAGACATCGGAGATGACGTCGAGTCTCTCCAAACCAATGGTGACTGCAATCAAAGTGTAATAGAACCAAACACTTGTTCCTTTGAACAGTTATGTAATATGATTGGCGATTTAGAGCAAGATATGAATGATAAGGTTTCTGGTATAAAAAATACAGAATCAGAAATCTGTACAAAGCATTCCAGCGAGAACGTTGTCTTACAAGAGAAATACCCAAATCAGGTACATTAAACATTTGAGGAATATTTTGTCAGGCAATATTTTATAAACCATTATGTATCGATTTAATAGGTGGAACCCGAAAGGGAGTTTTCAAAAAAGGCGTGCAATTCAACCGGTTCTACATATGATGACATAATGTCATTTTTGGGAACATTAGAACAGGATGGTAAACGTATTCGATAGTTTATAGATATTAAATTCATAGAAAAAAATTATTTAAAGAATATTTAAAGAATGTTCTTTATCCAGCCTTCTATTATTATTTCAGCAGGACATTTAATTGGATGTCACATAAACAGATATGAAGTTCAGCCTAAGAATGTGATTCAGGATTTATTTAGCAGCAATCAATGTTACAACTGTTCAAACTGCAATAGGTAAGCAATAAATAACGCAATTGGAGCAAGACCATGATTTTTTTTTTTTTTTTCAACAGAAATGACATAACAAGAACTTATGTCTCGAGTACCTTGCAAGAAGATTTAGCAACCACGCGATTACAACTCGAAGAGCGAGAGGCAACCATAACGGTTCTAAAAACCGAATTGAAAACCGAAAGGCAGTCAGCTTGTGAGAAATTAGAATCTCAAAGAAAAGAGCAGGCATCTCAATTGGAAGCCCAGAAATCCAAATATCAAAGTATAATAAAGAGGCATCAGAAATTCATAGAAAAATTGATTTCGGAAAAGAAGGACCTTTCGGAGAGATGCACTGCCTTGGCGGAGCGTATAAAAGAGATGGAAGCGAAATATCAAAGAGAATCAAAAGTTACAGCGGAAAGGCATGCCGTCGAAATACAGAGAGCAAAGGACATATGTGCGGCGTCTGAAAAAATTCGTCGAGAGCGATGGTTGGAGGCCAAAACATCTAAGATTAAGGTGTACTTTTTGTTAAAAAATTATTGGTAAAACATTGATACCTAAGAATTTTTATTAATTCTATTCATTTAATTTAAAATAAAGTAAAACACATCTTAAATTTTAGGAGATGACTGTGAAGGGTTTGGAACCCGAATTACGTAGCATGGTGGAACAACACCAGCAAGAAATTCAAGAAATTCGAAGCGCTCATGCACAGGAATTGCAGGACGTTGAATTGAGATGCATTCGACGTTCCAATCAACAATTGGAGCAACTACGGTTGGAATTGACAGCTGGACATGAAAAAATGTTAGCTAGTGAAAAAGATTTATTGCACGCCAGGTATTACGGCATTTCGAACTGAACTTTCTATTCTTATCAGAGACTGCGTTCAACGAGTCTTAATTCTCCGAAGCAATAATTTTATAATTTCGATTAATTTCATTATAAACTTCTTAGGTACCAAGAAAAGTTGGATGAACAGGACTCTCAGTTCCGAGTACAGAAGAATAAATTAATCGATGAGTTGCAACAAGAAAAGAAAGCGTTTTCTCATGAACAAACTCGAAGAGATTCCGAAAGGGATGCTGCTCTACAGCATATTCGATTGCAATATCAAGTACGATTAAGATATATAACTCGATTACTAATTATAGAATTTTTAGTTGAATCGTGTAACATTTCTGTTTCTGTTTCCAGGAAAAAATAAACATATTAACTAGGCAGTATCAAAATGACAAAAAAATTCTTCAGGAATCTTTGAAAGCGGAATATGAAAGTCAAATGGAACATTTTCGAAGACAGCACAATGTTAAATTGGAGCAGTCTGAAATTAGAATTAAAAATGAATGCAACAAGGAACGAGACAGGCAAATAGAGCTTGCTATTGAACGTCTGGAAAAAGAAACTCGCGACATGAAGATCAGTCTTCAACAGGCTGCGGATAAAAAACTGAGGTATCATTTTTTTTTATATTTCATAATATTATCCTGTCTGTCTTAATTGTAAATAATATTTTTATAGGATCCTAAAGGAGAATTACGAGACTGAACTGCACGATGCGAAGGAGAACGAGCAATCGTTAAAGTCAAAAATTACAACAACTCAGGAAAGGCTTAATAATGCCGAACATCAACTTGAGAAGACTGAAGATAAGTTGAGGCAATGCATTTCAGAGCTCAACTCGGGAAAGGAGGTACTTTAATTATGACTGGAATCATTTAATGTGTACAATTGGTTTTCATCGAATTTCTGTTTTTCAGACGATTATTAAGTTGATTAGCGAGAGAGACAATGCCAAAAAAATCGTGCGTGCGGAAATTGAATGTGAAAAAAGAAAACTCGAAGACAAAATTGCTTCGTTATATCGTGAACTAACAGAAAGCAATACTAATCGAGACACGTTGATGGCTCAATTGTACAGCCGGTAATTATCTGTAATGTCATTATTTATTTATGATATATGGATTATATTATTCCCTCTTTCATTTTCAGGATAAAACTTATCATAACTCAGAAAGACTTGGTAATTAGGAATATCAGTGCAGAAGCCAGTGATACGAAAAGAAAATGCGAACATTTAGAAAATTTGTTGGATCAACAACGAAAAGAGTATATATTAAAGTCGTTGTAAAAAGAAACATTTTGGATTAAAAATCAAAATGCTGTACGTAATGCTAGAATCAATCCTATTTATAAAATGTAAAATATAAACGTCTGTAAAGAACGATGTAGCACATAATATTATTGCTTTCGTAATCTCAGTAATTTTTTTCTTATTAAGAAACACAAACTGTATTACATTCTTAGATATCACTTTACCGTATTGATATTTATAGTAAAATCACACTTTTTTCACAATTTGTACAACATCTTCATCGGCTAACACGTGATCTTTCCCGACTTTCTGAGGTTGATGCTTTACCGACGACCCCCAAACAAGAGCGCTAAGGAAAGAGTATTATTTTAGATGTGTGCGTATAATATTTAAATTACTTGTTTATTCTGAAGGTTTATGAGTAGACATTAGCTATCATTGTACTCACTACTTGAATTCCTTTGCAATCGACCGATGAAGTTTATTACAGAAATCTTCCACGGTTCTTTTGTCGATGTTTAACACAACGGGTGAACTATAGTCAGGCAGTTGACCTTTTGGTTTTGTATAGCTAAAAATAATGCAGGATGTAAATATATAATTTCACTTAATTATTCCTTAAATCTGAGTAAAAGAGATGTGCTCCAAATTAATTTTTATACGTACATTCTGACTAACTGCAAATATTCCCACATCTTTTCTAAAAGATCATCGAAGTTCCACTTATGATGAGCAGAAATCGGTACACAGTGAGGTATTTTATAAATAATGTCCAGTTCCTCTATACTTATTTGATCTGGGCAAAAATAAAAATATTTATGAACACCGGCTAATTAAGGGGATGAAAGTACCAAATAACTAAAATACGTTAAATCACCTATTTTATTTAGGAGATAAATGCAGGGTATGTAAATCCTATTTCCTTCGATAACATCGATAAGATCATCAGAGGTGGCATCGTACCGGAGAGTGATGTCAGCATTGTGAATTTTGTACTCCGACAGAATGGATTTCACCGTGTCTAAATCAAGCTCAGATTGTGCGCACTGACAAACAATGCAATTTCCTTAAACTCTTTCTGTTGAAGGCCTAACTGGTTTAGGAGACATGTACAGTGAACTCGCAACTTCGATTTACATTTGCGTTCTCATTGTTTCTCGCGAAAATTTGCCTGTAAGTTTCAGGGACACTTACCATCGTTTGTAAGTTGATACCACCTTTATCTTTCTTTCTGAAGGTGATATTAGGTGGTTGTTTGTTGAGTCGAAGTCCAAATCCTTCAAGTTCGTGTTCAATAAGACTTTTGTGTCCTAACGGTTTCAGAACATCCAAAACTATAAAGATTAAACTACACGTGCGTGCGACAGCTATTACTTGACGACCTCGACCTTTGCCATCTTTGGCTCCCTCGATGATTCCAGGCAGATCCAACAACTATTAGTAAAACAGTAATTGCTTACAAAGTAACAGATTCATATAGATTGTTTTTAAATAATGATAAATTGTATACGATACTAACTTGAATCTTGGCACCTTTATATTTAATACAACCAGGTACAGTAGTAAGGGTTGTGAATTCGTATGCAGCAACCTCGGAATAAACACCAGCCAGGGTACTTAATAATGTAGACTTTCCAACCGAAGGGAAACCTATAGTATTCGCACCATTAAAATTAATAACCTTTCCAGAGGTTCATGACATAACGATATAGCATATAACATACCGACAAAGCCAATACGAGCATCTCCAGTCTTTGCTACTTCAAAGCCTTGCTCTCCCCCTTTGCCACCACCTTTCGGAGTAATTAATTCCTGTCTAAGTTTGGCCAACCTCGCTTTTAGTAGACCCAAATGACCGGAAGTGACTTTATTTTTTTGAGTCCGAGACATCTACGAGTTTTGGAAATTTAATCTAGCCATCAATTCTTTTATATCTTACGTCAATATTGTTAGGCTTCTAGGTTACCTCGGCCTCAATGGAAGCAATTTTCTCCAGAATGGTACTCATCGTGAAGGTTAGTCGGCACTACGGTTTCGAAAATCAAGAAGTCCCGTGTAGAAATTCGAAATCTTTTTCAACTTTACGTCGCACACAACATTATTATGAGTATTTAAAAGAAGCACGTGTACTCCACGTTCTGTAATCGCACGATTCTCTGCGGCTGCTTGCAACCGTGTCATGCGGCCGATATTTCATTCTTCCGACGACATCGTACGACGGAACTACTAAAAGGTTTTGATTGGCTACTGAGAACGTACAACGGAAATTCCTCCATTCCGCAGTTTCTCTGCAGCTAATCGGAATCTCTCATTGGCTCTGTCGCTCGACGCCGTCTCAGATTTAAATGTCGGTCGTAATGCTAACCGGCCTGCCTCGACGCGACATTCTTCATACATTGTGCAGTTCGTGCTCGATGCTGAGACTCCGAACATTCGTGTTATCCCGCTCTCGGTGTTCCCGGTTTATATACTTATCTAATTCGTGGTAAGTAATATATATTTTGAATGTGAATGACAATTGTAAGTATAACGTGCTGGTACATCGGGACACCCAAAGAGGTCATAGATTCTCGTCAACAACGACAACGGACCTCTCCCTCTCGCTCAAATACTTCTGATGACTGGAGCCGCTCATTAAATCACTTATATAATTCACCTTGACTGGAACTTTACTTAATTTAAAATCGTATCTTAGATCCTCGAGAAACACTGACTGCTGAGGTGAAAAAAAACTCTTCTTTATGACACTGCGTAATGCATCGATGTAAGAGCGAATTTAACAGGAATTTATATTTTTTCATGTTAATGATAAGATAATCAACCGGATTAGTGGTTGCATTAATCATTGTTACGAGTTACATTACACCGTTAACGGAACTGCTTTATCGATGATAACGCAAACGTTGGGATGATAAGAAATGCATCGTTCCAGATCTTAAGATAAATTAATCTGTTCTTTTTATAACCATATCGAAATGGCTCTTGATTAGGAAGACTTAATCATTATTTGTAGAATCGTTTGATTGGCTGGCACTGTACTTATCATTGTGACAAAGATAACAGGTTTTATTAAAGTGCTTCTAAGCGAACGGATCCTTAAAACGAAGTGTACCACAATTGCTCTTTGAATTTTAGTTGGTATTAGATCAATGTATTTTCTTTCAATAAATGATATTTTTTGTGACAATCCATTTGCTACAAGAGTAGCTTTTTATAATTTTATTTTTTTATAGATAGACCATGGTGGCCCATACGGTTCTCCTTGATTTTACCATCCCTGACAACATCATCATCGATCCTGAGAAGAGGTCGAACCTAAAATCTACCATTGCCAATGTATTGTGTGAATACTTGGTTGGCCTGAAACTCTTAATGGAGTCGAATTTAGATGGCAGCTGGATAGTACTTTATACAGGTCCAAGAGATAGCTTGGTTACAATTAGAGGGTACACTGAAGGCCTAGTTACCTTAAACATTGAATACTTCAAGCGGGATGACGAGGCCCCTCTTCTTACATTTGAGGTAAAATAAAACCATATTAACGTATATATAGCGTTATACGTGGTAGAATTACTTATCTGTAACAACCTGTCATAAGTGCAATATTTTTTGTACAAGGATTTAAAATCTCTAACGATACCGAAATTCTCAAATTGGCATAACCTAAAAGAGTAAACGATCGCCAAATGGCTCCCTATCCTCTAAATTGGTGTTAATCCATCTCTCGGTAAGAATAGGAAGTAGTGATCTAAATTATTAGAAGAAAAGAAACATTGCATAATTGACGGGACGTTGTAGCAGTGGCGATACTTGGAAGCCGACATAGCACTGGCTGCGAACAGCCAGCGCAGTAAGCGTTTACCACCCGTAAGGCGAGGGACCGTGTACGATCTCTATCTGACGCTATCAGGTAGAAACTGCATTAACACAGTTTGACTTAATTTCGTTTATTATCTCGAATATACATTACGTATGTTAGACTTTTACATATATATAAATGTTTTCTGAAACACTTTTAATAGAATAATCGTTACATATCATATACATACATATATATTTGTACATATATATGTATATATATTTGAATGTTAACTAGACGTCTAGGGTAGGTTGCTTGCAAGGAATGCCGTTCGATACCCCAGCACTCCAGCATATTTTCGTTAACTCTGTCCATTGACACTTGTTCCATTAATTTATAATTTTGTTTTAGTTACTCTGAACAAAGTTCTTCTAAATCGCAAAGGCAGGCACATTCTATTACGTGTAAGACTATCGGCGCTCTCTCTTGTTCTTTTGACAAAGTCACATTATGCTTATTACGTTTTCTTTTAATTCGATATTTATTACATTCAATGTTGGACTCAAAGATGGGAATGCTCCCTTGGGTTTTTTTCTCTAATGGTAAAAATCTGTCCCTGTATAATAAGCACCTATAACTCGGTACATTGATATTACCGTAGGAGTAATACATTAGCGGAGTGACCATAGGGTGCCTTCCCAGAGATCCGACGAGCCAACTGTTCTCTCCGGAAAGCATCGGATGAAGCGAATCGAAGATCAGTAACGTAGGCCAAATGTTCCCAAGTGATTAAATTAAGAGAGCCAACTCACTATCCACATATCCAGGAGTAGAAACCCATATAACTAGATAGACACGTTTGTTTTGTTTAATTGTTGGTTCATTTGGTGGCTATGGTAGTCGACGAAAGTCTTGGAGGTGGCACTGCAAGCAGCGGTTTTCGCCACACGGTCGCACACGCTTATCCCGATTAAACGGGGCGGCCCATTCGAGAGATACTATCCCACCTCCGGTGAGTTTTATTTATAATTATGTTTACGATTGAAAGGGCTCTTGTACTGCTAAGGCGATAGATTAAGAATGAAAGAATGGTTTGCTTGTCGATCGCCAACAGGACAGAGGGTCAAACGTTCGAGCTTTCGTTTGTAAAGTAACAATTGGGAATTCTAGTTTATAATATGTGTCAAATGTTGCGTGGCTGCGGTCTACTCTTTGCCATTTACAACATTAAGAGTGACGCTTGCAAAAATTTTCATTAGTTGTCAAATACCCTTTCGTTGTGTCCAATGCTGTTTTCTGCAATGTTTCCAAAAGCATTTCACAAAGTAAGAAAATATGTTGACGCCATTGGAGAAAAAAATGTTATGTTTGCCAAAACACACGCTCCTTGTCTCTCGTCTTTCCTTGAGTACTGTACAAATCCTACAGAATCTGTACATAGCTTCGTCTTCATAAATTGTTTCATCCATCGATACCCTAGATCGGCATAATTATCTCCAATGTTACTTTAGTTTTGTGGAGAAGGCGAACGTTACAACGCTTTGCATAGTTACGTGAAAGCTTTCTCATCTTATTACATGAAGCGAATTTATTAATCAAGCTTGTACATTGCGACTGCATGGCCCGGGTATGACGCCCCATCGAAGCTAGTAGACAAAGCCAGGAATGTAACGTAATCACAGCTCATTCCGACATGCTCTAACATGTGTAATTAACATGCATTCCGACTTCCTTTTGTTATGGCCTTGCACAAAGACTTTACATTTATAATGGATGTGGAATTTATTGCCACGTTTGTACGTCATGCATGCTCGCAATGTTATCCCCTTGACGTTACACAATCATCGATACAAGTAGCTTGCTCATTAATGCTTTTCCTGTTCTGCGAAGATGAAAGACTATTGGAGTACGACATCGACAAATTGGTCTTCGATGCCAGATCGCCGTACCAGAAAGTGCAAATTGTCCACTCGAAGTCCCTTGGCAATATGTTGGTCCTCGATGAGCTACAAAGTAGGTATCGAGGCATGCATCCTGATGTAATAAATGTACCCAAGGAATTTTAATTTTCAATTCTTCATCCCGCGCCTTTACAGATATGTCCGAAGCAGATCTCATTTATACAGAGACCCTGATGCAACGTGGCAAGGAGAGCTACGTCGGAAAAGAAATCGTCATTCTAGGAGGGGGCGATGGCGGTCTTCTCTGGGAATTGTTAAAGGAGAAACCAAAGTTCGTGACGATGCTCGAGGTGGGTACATCATTAACTTCGTTTCCTTTCTTTTTTTTTTTTTTTTTCTATTATTGTCCTAATTCCCTTATGCCTGGTAGATCGATGACATCGTCATGAAAGCCTGCAGTCAGCACATGAGAAGCGTATGCGGGGATTGCTTGGACAAAAGAAAGGGAGACAATTACGAGGTAACTCTCGGTGAACCGATCGTTTTAAGCCACTTTTAAGGTAAATTAAAATGACCCGAAACCTGTCGTAACGAATCTACCATTTTTATCCCACGTCGCAGATCATAGTGGGCGATTGCGTGAAAGCCCTGGCGCACATGATCGAGGAAGGTCGTCGTTTCGATTACGTCTTCGGCGACCTGACGGACATTCCAATTGGCAAGACACCCCAGGGAGACGCCTGGGACTTTATCAGATTGATCCTGAACTCGTCGATGAAAGTGTTGAAGCCCACCGGAAAATACATGACCCATGTAAGAACAACGTCTATCGCGAGTTCTACACGACCAGGGAAAGTTTTCTCGATAAGAGGATAACGATGGAATTTTTTTTTTCAGGGTAACGGCGCTTCTTGCCCGGAGTCCTTGAAGATGTACGAAGAGGTGCTCTCCCAGCTGTGCGTCCCGGTGACGTTTTCAAAGACGTGCGCCTTCGTCCCGTCGTTCTTCGAGGACTGGATCTTCTACCAGGTCTCGTTGAAATGATCGATGACGCGGAGCCGCGAGTTATTGGAGAACCCACGGAGGCGCACTCACAGACTTCTGTACCCCTTATGACCCAAGCTGCGCTTTAGCTCTAGACGACTAATCGATCGTTGAGTTCCTCTTCACAGCCAATCTAACTTTACACGTACAAAGGCGAGCCAGAGGCCTCTTCCGGCCGCGCCAAAAAGGGTTTCGCAAATCTTAGGAACGAGGTCTCCCTCCGACTTCGGGTACCCTGGACGGCTGATTGTTACGCTACGGTATGAGATCGATCAAAGAACAAACGGTTCGAATTCTCTTGGCAAGACGCAGAGAAGGCCGCTGAATGCGAACCCGAGAACGAAACGTGCGAAACCGTCTTCTCCTCGGGATTACATATTTCTTCACGCGCGCGGTGGCGTATGTTCATGTTTATTCTTCACGGTCACGACTGTGGCTTTATTATACAAGCTATCGAAATTACGGACGATGGACGTTTGCGTCGATCGTTGCGGAACGCAACGGTCGACGCAAATTGCTCCTAGAATTAGGAGATAATCGCTTACGTTATGAGGACGAGGCTGGCACTCGCGGTAACGGAACGAGAGACCGACGAATTGTATCTACGAGGAGCGAACTCGAGACGTTCCATTAGTGAATTTCTTTCGATATTTATTCGACCGACTTCTTGAAAAATCCTCTTTAAGTTAGAGGGCAATTAACAAAATACTTGAGAGTAAGGAACGTTCTGGTAAATTCGTCATCGCGGTTGTAACGTTTCGATTTGACGCGGTTTTATTGCTGAAATATTACGAGGATAGGAAATGATCGAATCACCGATCGAACGTTCCCCGAATATTTTCCAAAGGCGAAACGGAATAGGAGGCGAAGAGAAGAATTCGGAGCGAGGATCCGAAATGCCTCTTCGAGTTTCTGTACGTAGAAGTTCCGATGGAATTGAACCGAGAATTTAGACGACTCGTCCACTCTCTGAGCGTCGAGTGGCGACGGAATTGAATCGATTATTTATACCGTTTTTCTTATATCTCTGTGCAATATCTCATTTCATTGAACGACTTCATTAACGATACGGAGCTGGAAATTTAACGTAGTTGCCGGTCGAGGCTCCTACACCTTCGATCGGGCGAAGGGCTCTTCCTTCGATGTGTAACTTTCAGCGAGGAATTTTATCACATTCCATAACTTGATTTTTTAACCAGCTGTCAGACGCGGACTGATCATATTTTTCAAGATGACCAGTTCTTTGGAACATAAAAATAAAGGGAAAAAATAGGTTAACAGTGTTTTGTCCTTGAGTGTGGAACGCGGCGGTTTTAGTCGACCAATTATATCGGCTTTGGAGAAAGCCAATGAAACTGGTAATTAATTGCGTCGCCGTGAATTTCAGTGACCTGTAACTGCAGCCTAAGGAAACGCTTTTCGAAGGATCACGCCCTTGTATTGTGGGATTATATAGTATTGCTAACATAGCTCATAAGTTAAACCTGAATTTAAGATGGAAAGTGGACACTTTTGTCCATTTGAGAGAGAGGGAGAGAGAGAGATACGAGCTGTATTAATTTCTTTTGTAATCTATGTATCGCGTGCACGCGAATGCGCGCCATTTCTAACGTCCTTAACGATGTCTCGCGACTATTGCGCGACTCGCGCGTTATCTTGCACTCCTCGGCACCAAATCCATGGACCGCCTTAATTACTAATCCACTTTGTCAGTACAAATACTACGAATCATACTTGAACTCACTTCCCAGCGATTTCAATTAGTACCTTCAATTATTGCTAAAGTTAGATTGGTATAAGATTAAAATAAGAATGACAGAAACCGTGCGAAGTTGGTATTGTTGATTGACTTCGGACTTCCCGTTCGAATATGACAAATGCGTTGTAATCTACGTCGTGTGTGCATCGCTAAGAGTATGCGAGTGTTATCGGTTGATTATTATGGATAATGTTAGAACGAAGGGGTAAATACAAACGATGACTCCAGGTCATTTGCTTTTAATCACTATGTCCTGACTCAAGATGTTCCATTGCGCAGAACGAAAGAAGAAGTGACTCGGAAGTCAAAGAGGAAAACAAATCTTTATTCTTTGTTCGTTATACATTCCGTTGAAATAAATTAGTTTATCGAATGAGTAATGAGTGAATGCTTACTTGCTATTGGAATAAATATCGAAGTAACTTTTGCTCATTTTTTTTTGCTAAGAGCTACGAAGGTGGTGAAAAATCTAAGACACGTTTTCATGGATATGACTCGTTAATTTAATTTGAAGACTTTACAATTATCGATACACACGCACATACACACCTAGAAGAGTTTAAAAAGATAAAAAAGAAAGATCAATGCATCGAGCCTATAAGTACATCGGGTATCGAGTGCTGAATAAATACAGCAAAGAGATCTTGAGGTCCGAAGAGACCGCAAAGAGTGCATTAGGAAGCTATATTGGGAAATCAAAATTTTTGGTTTCCCTTTCCATGCTCGTGGAAGCTTGGCCCAGGAATGTAAACTTAATAGTGCTTCGATAACTTAAACGAGATCTGACTAAATGCAACACATTGGGGCAATTCCTTGTATTTTAAATGCTTCGAAGAAAGACCGGTCAAAGATTACTCGAAATAGAATCGAAATTATTTTATGTCTCAAGGGGAAATTCCCTACATAAACGGGTTGTCGATATTTCAAGAAAATGACCTGTCTCGTGAACCGTTGGCTCCGTTTCCGTCTCCAAGAGAATCTGTTTCAACCACTGTTGAACTTGCTTTGGATGTTCCGAACGAATTCCTGTTTCAACATCACTGATTTTCTCTTCAGTGGAACTTTTTTTCCCTGGGCTAGTAATGCGAGCATGGCAGTTGGATGGGGAGGAATCCCTTTCATTGTGAAACGGCGAATGCTTCGATAAGACAACCGTATCTTCGGCTGCAGAATTATCCAAGTTGGATGTAAAACTGGAAGTACAAGAACTGGATGGTGCATTCAAAATACATCCTCCAGATTTTCCTTTGCAACTTGAAATCCTTATTTCTTCTCCACTCTTACTTTTAGGTGTCAGTTGGACATTGTCCTCGCACTCTTCCACTTTTATAGATTTGTCAAAACTAACGTGATCTCTCTCTGCTTCTTGATACTCCTGTACCTTATAGGGCTCTGCATCTTTTACCGCTATCCCTGTTTTCCCAGGTAACTCCAGCGTACCCAGAGAAAGAATTCTATTTTGTACATCTTCCTCTTCTTTTAAATTAACGAATAGCAAGGAAGCGGAAGGGTCCAACTCGGTGTTAGACTGTAATAACGATATCTGTTGCGCATGTATTGCTTCTACCTGGCGTAAGAGTTGCTTCTCTCGAGATCGCAAAGCATTTCCCAACCGCTCGAAACAGCTTTTGATGTCTTCTCGCACCTGTAACGAAACATTACAAAAATTCTGTGTATACACCTGTTACACCTTGTCTTAAAAATATTTTTTACGCGCAGCATTACTACTCGATCACAGATTGTCCATCGAAACTTAAAATGACAACTCTTAAAAAGTAAATGAACGTACCTGCGAGGACGCGTCATCTAGAACCTTTATCTTGTCAGCGATTAATTTCACGTTCACCAGGTCGATGGAACTGTCCTCGGATTCCTCGTCCCTGCCTATCATGACAAAAGACACGGGAGGTTTCACGAAAATACCTCTAAAAAGAGTGTTCCCAGAGAGAACCCTGCGAGAGATTATCGCGGTCGGTGGTGAATCGCGAACGAGACTCCCATGATAGAATCCTCGAACCTCGTGGAAAAATCTTCCGGGGAAAACTGGTCTGTTAATCAGGACGAGACGCCGTAATAAATATGCTAATTTTTCAGCGCTCTGTTGTGAATCCTTCTATCCCGCCGAGAAGACGTTTCGCGGCCGGTCGATAGCTAGTTCGCTCGAGCGCCGCTAGATGGTGCCACAACATTTTACAGTCATCTACTATGTCGATCGACCGGTTTAGAATTTAATAATCACAACTTCCGCTATAGATTCACTTTTGTCTATCCCAATGCCGTTCTATAGGCTTCTTCATCATTGAATGATCAGGTATGACGTCACAGTGTCAACGATTTGCTCGGTATCACGTCATTTGATTGGGAATGACGTTTAGTTGATAATTTATTTTACAGTAAATTTTGAAGGCAACGTCGTGATCGATTATTTATTGTGCAGTGAATGATCATATTCTTGTGTTGACACCTATCAATAGTTTGACACTTAACACTCGTTGCGATACACGTTTCGGATTTTTTAAGTGTTTCTCTGAGCAAAGCACAACGGGGGCCGAACAATCCGCAATGTCCGTCTCTCAGATGGAAAGTATCCTTTTGAAATGTAGTCATTACCGTAATTCTTTAAATATTAGTATTTACTTTCAACATTACGATGCATCCTCATTAGCCTATGCCTTTGGTTACTCTTCGTTCTTACATGGTCGTCAAACATAACAATGTGCTGAATTTATAGTTATTTCAGCCTTGTGAGTCATTTTAAGTTCCTGGTAATCGTGAACTTTTAATTGTCGAATATTCCATTGTGCGGATGAAAATTGTGTAGTTATATGTATTTCATATATTTATACACTCGATGTAACGACAGCGTCTAAATGTGATTTGTGATCCTTAACGATTGGTTAGAAAATCTGTTCAATTTAAAGTTTGCTGTGAAGGAGTTGGAGAGGAACTCAAAAAAATGTGAAAAGGAAGAAAAGATCGAGAAGGCCAAAATAAAGAAGGCTATTCAAAAAAATAATATGGAAGGAGCAAGGATACATGCAGAAAATGCAATTAGACAGAGGAATCAAGCTTTGAACTACCTAAGAATGAGCGCACGAGTCGATGCTGTCGCTAGCAGAGTACAGACAGCTTTGACGACAAGAAAAGTGACTCAGTCGATGGCTGGGGTAGTTAAAGCAATGGATGCAGCTATGAAATCCATGAATTTGGAGAAAATATCGGGACTCATGGATAAATTTGAAAGTCAATTCGAAGACTTAGATGTACAGAGTTCGTACATGGAAAATGCCATGTCACAGACGACAACAACTAACGTGCCTCAAAATGATGTAGATTCATTGATGAAACAAGTGGCCGACGAAGCAGGGTAATTTTTTAGAATATATTTTTTACTACTGCGATGCTAAAACGTTAAATTGAATTTAATTGCGAATATTTGTTAATATGTTTTTGTAATACTTTCGACAGCCTTGAGTTAAACATGGAATTGCCTTCTGGACAACTCGGAAGTATCGGTGCGTCGACTGCTGTTAGTCAAGAACAAGATGAACTTACTCAGCGACTGGCACGCCTTAGAGAGTAATGGTATAAAAATTATAACTTTAGCACTATGGTTATGTGCTTATGGGTGTAAACTGCAGCAAAAGGAATCACTGATATGCCATCTTTATTGGCTGAAAAGCTTTTGTATAAATTCATTGAATTAAGTCAAACGTTTAACAAATTTCCTCCGCATTACAATTGGATCTATATGAATATTTTATTTGGCAGTTATTGATTCAGCAAAAAATTAGTTGGTTAATTCGCTTGTGCAAATTTATGGCAAATCTAGTTAACAAGAACTTAAGAACACTGAACGTAAGCACAAAATTATCAAGTGCTGTGAATTTTTATTTAGCTATAAGGTAGGATAGCTTTTGATAAGTGAAAGTATCAGTTTACGTTACCAATTTCATAATCAGGGTTGCCTAATTATTTTGAAACATTAAACAAGAATTTTATATTAAGAAAAAAAATGACTGGTTTTGTAAATGTATTTCACTGCTATTGCTAATGTATGTACATACAACGGGTTATAAATAACAACGTTAATAGCAATTTCCGTTTTGCTAGCATATACACGAAATTAATATTCAGTGTTCTTGTAAATAAATAACTTTATCACAGAACTAAGAAATGACTTACATGAAAACTAATAATTGCTGCAGCTTTGTTGTTTTGAACAAATGTATTTATGCTCTGTTTTTCAACAAGCAGAATTATTTTTATTTACAATTCAGATTATCTTTGCTTTTATTCCAGACACTTTTAAATAATTTGAATATATTTAATTATAGTAAATTTAAAACAAATCATTCTTCGGACTGGCTAGAGGATAGGCTGGAGATCTCAATTTCTTCATACGGGCTGTTTTGAGTTAGAGTAATCCTTTCTTGTGTCGCTAGCGCTAGACGAAAATACATATATGTGTTAAAATATCCGATGCCTTAATAAGTTTAAAAAAAATGACATTTCCGTACTCAGGAGGCTCATGAAACAGGAAGCTGCTTCTTCTGGAGTTTCGGTTTCGGGCGGACATAGTTCAAAAAATGTTGGAAAGCGGTTGTCGCGCCAGCAAACTTGTAAATATGCTAATAAATCTTGCTGTGTCATTTCCGGGAGTGAATGTTGAGATGAGCTGAAAGAAAGTACGATGTTGTAATGTCATCTTAGATGCAATGAAATATTTACCCCTGGAAACCCTTCCATTAATCAACAATATATCTTACAGGTCTGAAGACTGACTCAATTTGGTCGGTGTCCTCAGTTTTCGCGGAACTTCTAACTCTTCAGACCTGGAAATAGGGTATATTAAAAAATAGAATTTTCAGGCAGATATTCTAGGGGCGGATTAAGCAATAAAGTAAATTGTACTCAGGAGGGATCTCAGGAGGCATCTCAAGAGGCATCTCAGGAGGCATTTCAGGAATTACGGATTTCCTGGCTTCTACATCTTCGATGGGATCTCTCAATGCAAGGTCATCTAGCATTTCAACTACACCTGACACGTCTGTCGTTATATTTGTAGTACTTTTACCGGATGAAGTTCCAATATTGACGGACGATGGTTCAGTAGTTTTCTCAGTCACCGTGGTTTCGCGAATCTCTTCGACTGTGACGTTTTAAAGAAGTATCGTTATACAACATAAACGAAAGTATACTATTTACTAACGTTTAATACAATTTCTCATTCTTTAGCAGAATATAACGTTCTTACTTATTTCTCTGTGTCTCTCAATTTCGAAAAATTTGACACAATTGTTGAAATGATGGAGTAAGTGCTCCGCCCATTTTCGACCACTTTTAAGTTTGAATATTGAGAAGGTATTTGGTATTTCTAGAAGTTCTCTTGCAGTGATTTGTGGTAAATTCGCTTGCCTGGAGCTACTAGGCTAAAAAATTCGGTCAAGATTTAAAACTTTTCATCATTAATATAAATCATTTTCTTGTCGCAGTGTTTAAGGTGTCTTGCTCTTTAAATGGTATTTCTTACCACAGAGTAGACATGCGGGTTCAATGTTTCTCGATTGATAGTCAGTTGGGTAACCAGATCGATCTTCTGCTTTGGTAATTTTCTGCGTTGACTGGAATATTCCGGCTCTAACGGTTCCAGTTCTAATTCTGTCACATTTTGTGCCGCATCGATGGCTGCTTGTGCAACCGATGCTTCCACCACTGGCACTTCTACCGTGTCTTCTGGCTGCTAATCACAAAAGTCATACAATGATATGAAAGCATAGCTTTACGTTATATAGTTTTCACGTAGATACGTACTTCTTCAAGATTAAGTCTCTTCGAAGGGGTCAGAGGTTCTGGCACAACAACAGACTTCCTCTTTCTTGGAGTACGTGCTTCTTCTTCTGGCAATCGAATCTCTATGTTCTGTTCAAGTTGTTGATCCGGCATAGGGACATCCGGAACTTTGAAGAATTCTGCAAAATTCTGTATTAATAACTTCATTTTCCGCTTTTGATTAGCTACGAAAGACTAACCATTGTTAGAACTAATTAAATTGGATGCATCGATATTCGTTTGCGTGCCATTGGACATGCGAAAAGCTCTTCGAGGAGAAAAAAGAGAAATATCAGGTTCACTTCTTTCGAGTTCTTCATTGAATCTTCTAAACGTTTCATGCATTTCAGCCGACTGCTCTAATGTTCCACTGTTTAAATAAAAAAGTTATTATAACTACAGACTCTTAAATGCGAAGGAAAAATCAATTGAAGAGTAAGGTTCAATAAATGTGTTATTATACGAATGGTTGACTTAGGATAGGAGAAGCAGGAAGAAAGGAGACTAACTCGGCCAATATGTGAGAGTGAAAATACTCTAACGCGTCGCTGGTCAAAACTCCAAAATTTAGTATGTCACCAGCTTCTGCCTGTAGGAAGGGAAGGAAATGACGGTAATGAAATTAGAATTATATCGGCTACGGTAACAAAAAAAGTAACTCTTTTCCCCGGAGAAAAATATTACTCGTTGGAGTGAGGACCCATAATAATAAATTAGAAATATTGCTAGTCTTATGGTATTAATAAAATGAGGCAACAATACTCACGTAAGTTTCGGTACATTCTCGGAGAAGATGGGCATCTTGATTATTTTCCAAGTTCATAAAGTTATCGCTCAGTGAAATTTTTGGAAGTTCAGGAACGTAGATGTCATTCGAAGCCTCTTTTCTACCGAAGTTAATAAGTCTATGCAAGTACTGGTTTTCACATGAGTAAAGAACTTAAACGCTACTGTACACACCTAATTTCTTGTGTTATTTTCTCTCTCTCCATTGGACGTGCACTCAGCAAAATAGACTCCATTAATACTGAAAAAAAAAATCACGATTGTAAAACTATTTTAATTTATTCTTAAAGTACCTTGCAACGGTTTAAATATTATTTAATTATTATTAGTTTAACGTTAATACCTCTTACCGACACATATGGATGTCTGGTAGAAATGTAATCTCACAACTCCAAGCATTAATTCCACCGATAAGTAGAAATTACGGCGTGCATTGAATTTTCTACCGTTGCTGGTTATAAGTTTCATTATCTCTTCACTGAAGGAACAAAATTTTAAATTAACCAGCTATTACAACATTGTCACACCCCGGCCAAGGAAGACTGCACGAATTCATATGCATACTTACCATAACTTGGGAATATCCTGTTGCATAATTACAGATTTGCCGTATTTTCTCATGAAAACCTCTTTCTTAAGTATCGCAGCCAGCCAACAGTATGCTAGTTTGTCTCTTCGTTGCGGTGGAAGTATTTCTAATAAGTAGTCCATCTGCATATATAATAGAAATCACCAAGAGCATACCGATTTTTTTATCTTACTAGTAAAAATATATCTTTCATTTTCTATGTATTTTACATGTTTTGTCCTGAGTAATTACACTTTTCTTTAGAAGACTTTTATTTCAATGCAAATATGAACTTTTAACGGTAGCGGATACTACTTGCTCGATTCGGCTCACTTTACATGTATATTAATAAAGAATTCATCGTAGTTATCAAAATTCCCGAGTATCGACTCGCTAAAAATAATTACTTTTGTTGGATAGTACAGTAAAAATAAATTGCATCAAGATTTTACCTTGCTTCGAAGCCAAGTTCTTCCTAATGTTCCAAAACGAGTCAACCGTCGTTAGACTATTTGTAATTTGAATTTTCCGGAAATTATAAGTGCTAACGTTTTTACAAATCGACTTTGAGATCGAGAGAATATCGATTTAATATCGTTTAGCCCTTTCAATTAGATTCAATGCAAGTCTACAAAATTTTAATTTCAGTTCTATAAATGCATTCTAGCACTCATGCTTATTTACTTATTCATTCAATATGATCTCAGCGGTTTATTTAAAGTAGTTACATTCATGGTAAGTTAACGATGATGCAAGGATTCATTATAATATTTGATGGTTTCAAATTCCCACCATTTGTATCCAGTAGTGTCTATTCGTATCGGTGCACTGTGCATTGTGTGATTATGCAAACTGCTCAGGAAATTTGTCTAAATGCTCAATTCTATTTAAAGGCTGTGACTCAATTTAGCTTATTACAATTGCTTAAAGCATGCATATACTTTATTTTATTTAATTAATCATTTGGATATTCGCTCTGACATGGCGCTAGAATTCAAAATGGCGGATGGACACACATTGACAAATATTGACACACTTTAACTCGAGACGTGTTCTACGATTTCAAGTCTTGAAGCTCCTGTCACGAACGTGCAATTAATGAGGACATTGATATTACACGTGGAATCAAGAACAAATGTCAGAAGAACTCAAATGTGCTTTTCGAAGCTCGAGCAATTGGCTGAGACGGACTTAATTGTCAAACGAATCACCCTGGAAGTGTCCAGCTGGTAGTCTTGTTCTCGTAGCCGGATTAAATATATCGTCAGCTATGGGGAGAATTGCCTATGCGGATGAGTCCCTTTTTACCTATTTAACGTCTCTCATGAAACCTGACGGATATACAATAGGACTTATTTTGGGGCAGGTTAGAATTTTTAACTGTTGCCTCAATAATGTCCTTTTGAAATATTTTTTAGTCATTTCATAATGTTCCCAAAGGTCTGCTGCTTAACTCAGTGTAATTAAATTTCTGGCACGATGTCTACGGGTGTTTTTCATTGCAGAGCACAGAACAGAAAGACTTTGTAGTACACTTGGCACGAACTCCACCACCGGCGACTAAAGATGTCATCGAAGAAACGCTGATAAGTTCTACAACGACTGTGCACCCTGAAAGTGCACCGAAATACATTAAATCGGTTAATGACATTCAGGAAAGTTGGGTGGCAGATCATGCGAAACATGTAAGATTTTTTATGTCAAATGCAAGTGCTAGTTTAATTATGGATACCTGTTATACTAGTCTTTTTGAACCGTTGATAGGTCACCAGAATGCTTCCTGGAGGAATGTGGGTATTGGGCTTATTTATTGTTGGACCTAAAGACATACTTGCCGATGGTTTAACAAGGCTTAGATCGGTCATACTTGCGATACGAAAAACTTTGGGATCTAATGAATATCTTTATGGGAACAACGAACAGGAAAATCTTGTATTGAGCTGTAATAGTATAACACGCAAGTAATATATGTTATTATTAAAAAAATCAGTTAATTCATAATAAGATTTTAATGAAGGTTATAAAGATTATTTTATAATTAACACTTTGCAGATACGTATGTAAATCATTAGACAACCAGAATAATACTTTCAAACCTGCAGACTGGAAATTTCAATCAAAAGCCATGAAGTGGCATCAACTGGAAGTTAGAATCGATTTTGACCAACTATTTCCGGTTCCTACTGATACAGACCCTGAGACTTTAAAAACACGACTTCAGGTTCAAACTCAATTTTATCAATTATATCATTTGGATGAGTTACTATGCAAAATGTGGCTAACATTTAAATATTTAATTTATTTAGGGGATATTGGAATACACATCCACAACTGTAAATAAAGCTATAATTGTGATCGAAGGGGAACTGAGATCTGGCAGTGATCTAGTCGAAATGATTGGTAAGAAAAAGCAAGATGTAAAGGATAAGAAAAATAGCGAAGACGACAGTGCTGATTCAATCGATAAAGCCCTACAAGCTGTTTTATATATACCTTGTGTAAGTATGACATACAGTGATCAAGTATAAGATCCACATTGTACATTTAAATAAGGAATAATTTTTGCAGCCTAAAACTACATCACAGGATATAAAAGTAATATCCTGCAGTGAATCAATGCGGTTGGTAGGACAGCTTTTCAGCAAGACTTTCGTGCATGAAAGAGCTTCTATCGATGAAGCAACAAAGGCAATTAAACAAGATATATTACGATCTTTAGCGAGTAGATTGGAAATGCATTGGGATAGTTTGATCGAAGAAGAGAACGGATCTCCCGAAGGTGAAGTTATATTATGACGGTTAAGGTAAATTAGTTACAGCCACGTATTTATGATACATTATTTGATTGTGTAGACAGCATAACTTTGCATGAACCTCCTCGGAGAGTTCTTGTTGCATTGCCCCAAAGTAAAGTCACTCTGTCGGATTACTTATTTCCTGGAGAAGGAGCACAGGAAGCTCTTATTTCCTTGCAGGAGCTCTTGGACCTTAAAGTTCAAGAAAATAGTGTGCAAAAAGACCTAGAGTTCCAAGTCGGTGAGTATAAAACTGTCTAAATAAGTTTGATCTATATACTATTGCCGTAACCCTGAAGAAAATGTTGTGTTACCAGATCCTCCTGAATTTTATTGCCAAAATGATGTGGATAAGGCATCAGATCATGGTAAAGATCCAGTTGACAGCAATCAGCTGATCACTTATGTTGCCGGTTTGAGCATTGCGTTATTCGCTCTCATTGTAGCTTTTCTCATCCATCACTTTTCCTGAACGTGTTCTTAAAAGTCAGTTGATGTTATTCTGAAGGACTTTATATTATTAGCAAAGTTAATAAACAGTAAGCCGTTCCAAGGATTTTAACAGTAGTTAAAACTCAAAATAACCTCATCGACACGAGGTTATAATTTTCATTTGAGCTTCACAGAGTACTAACGTCACGAGCAGTATTTAAATAATCATTTAAAATGTGAAGCAACGGCAACTAAGTCCATATATGATATACAACGTTCAGAATAACTTCAAAAATGTATACAGCTAAATTTTTATTGCGAAGGCCAGTGGGGAAAATGATTTACAGATTAAAACATATCATTGCATTTATCCTATACGAGCGTTGTTAATTTAAGATTTGAGAAAATACTGATTTTGCGACTGTACAGTGCAATGTATCGTTACAGATATTTTTATAATACTGACACCGCAGGGAAAGTGTACAATCAAGATGAGATAAATATAGAGGACCGTTTGTAATTTTTACTCTCGTTACTCCGACGTACCTTTTACCGATTTCTTGTCCGTCCTCATGGAAAATGTTTAAAATAAGCCGTAGAGCACAACAAAATACGAAATCCTATGATTTTGATTTAACTGTCGTTATATTATAATGATCTTACAATATTTGTATACGGTATATACATATAGTCATATACACAACTTATGTACATAAAAAGAGCCGCGCCATTGGCAGCAGTAATTACCTAAATTACATTACCATAATTCTAACGGTGACATATTCTTTTCACGTCGAATCGTCACAATGTCCTTGCTGCCGAATTAAATGATGCGTTACCGTCAATGTCGATACAAAAATTATTTCGTAGACGAGGCAGTGGTCATTGCGTACCCCTAAAAGTGCTCCGTGCCATCACGTTATATCACCTTGCTAATTCCTCAGAGTGCGTCCACATATCCCGCCACATTTTTCTATACATAATATACTCGTTCGCTCTCTTATTTACAGTACTCTTTGTACACTGTACATACACGACAGTCCCAGGCAATAATTGCACTTCGATAAAAGGAAAAGCAGTTTACGGAATCGCTGTAGGAATTAAAACTGTAAATCAGGGCAAGCCTTATTCTCCAAAAAAATATTCTTTACATCCTCTACTTCGAATGAAAAGTAACCGTTGATCGGTGTCACCGTTAAAGAATCGTTATATACTCCCTGTACGCGAAATAGAATTATTTTACGCATGCCCGTTCAACTTTTGGAAAATAAGCTTCGCCTCGTAGGACATACAGAAAAGAGTTTCGGCCTACAAAGCTTAGCACATCCAGCAACGATGCACCGTTTATCCTGTTTATCATCTCGGGACTTCTTATCGCTTAATCGAGTCCTAATAGTTGCGTGCCTTAAATCTAGTATCGCAATCGCTACTATTCTAAGAGAACAGAGTCGACGATACAATTCCGAACGCGAGCAAGCGAGCACAGGCGGCTCGAAAATTTTTTCCCAATTCCGAGGACTCCAAGATTCTCGAAGTTCCCGGATCGCTTGTGAACTCTTGCCAGTCTTATCGATAAGGGCATGTAGAGGGAACGAATCGGACCGTGTGCTTCTGGGCGACGCCTTGGAAAGTGTACATACGCATGGGTCATCATCGAATCGATCTCAACGATTAAGCCACAGTCGTTAGACCGCCCTCCACCGTTCATAGGTGGTTTCTCGGAACCTAGTCTTTCAAATAGACCGCGCGGATCACGACTCGTAATTAACGAGCGTAAAAAGGCAATAATTAATCTAAAGCACCGCACGGATCGTGGCTCGTTAACGAGCGAGCTCAACGACCTCGTCTCGCTTGGGCATCGATTGCCCCGATTCCGTAATCAGGAACGCGTAAACTTCCTCGTTTCCACCGCGAGTGCAATGGAGCCACCCGGTGATCGTCGTTAATAATTTAAAAAGGATTTAAATTCGCCTTGGACCGCTCTCTCGTTAATCGATTCCACAATGCGGTCGGGGACGTAGGGTCGCAACGACCGTCTCGCGACCGCGTCGCAGGACGGACGCGATCAGCTGTTCCGCCGAGTGGCGCGTCAAAGCCGACCAACGAATTCGATTCTACGTCTTCCGATCACCCTCCGGAGAGTCTACGAAACAATTATGCCCTCGTAACGAGTCTGCGCCTTCGAAGGAACCTTTACGAGTTCCCCAGACCCTCGGCGAGGTCCGCCCCGACGGGTACACGATATTCATTCCACGCGTATAGACCCAAAAGGTAGAAGCGACGAATTCCCCGGATCGTTTCCTCCGGCATCGAGGTCGCGGATGCGGTTCAAACCCCGAGAGAAAGCGAAAGCGTCGCCTCGTCGGGAATACGACGCCAAGGACGCCTCGCTCGTTCCCTCGAGTCGTCCCGCCAGGCCGGGGCTAAACGACGCCGATTTTGATGAGGCCTGCCTGACTTCCCCTGCCCACGCTGGCGTCCTCCAGGGAGTCCAGATCCAGGGCGGACTCGATCATCGTGGTGTCCTGGAGGAGCCTGAGCCTGGACGCCGAGAGGGGCGTCGCGGCGGCCGCGGGGACGGCCGGGGGCGCCTCGAGGCCCGACGACGTCGGCGCGACCTGGCGCGCCGGCAGCGGCCCGATCTCGTCGATGTCGACGGCCCCGACGCTCAGCGACGCCAACGACGCCTCGCTCGCTACGAGCCGGCTCGCGCAGTCGTTCCTGCTGCTACCTAGAAGAGGAAACCTCCGATTAGACTCCACCGCGACAACCTTGTCGCCGTCGCCTCGGCTGCACGCGGGTGCGAGGTCCGCGCACGGTCGCACCCGCGTGCATCCTGGCCTCTCTACGCGTGCTCGAGTGCACAAGGATAACAAGAAGAAGAAGAAGAGGATGGACACTACCAGCTATCTCATGCATTCGGTCTCTCGACGAGGATTACTAACAAGGACCCGATCGGAATCCACCCTTGGACTCTCGCAAGGAGTTACTCCCGGGTTAGGGGTTCGCACTTTGGAGAACACCGTGCAACGGGACCGCTCGGAGTCGTCCGTGCGAGAGAGAAGAGAACGCAGGGGAGAAAAAAAAATAAAAAGAGGAGTCGCGAGACGGGGTTAGTCGAGCTACCTCCTAAGAGATTAGGTTCTTTCGGGGTGCTTCAAACGTGAGATCAACTTACCGAGTCGTACACACCGAGCCCTCGATTACGAGACGTAATTAGAAACAATAGAGAAACACGGTTTATTCAGATGTCATGGTAAACTTATGTTAAACGGCGATCGGCTTACATCACGAGAGAGTCGGGCTGGCATCGTCCCGTTCGTACAATTATCGAGTGGTTAAAAAGGGCCGACCGGGCGTACCTAGAGTACGCGGTATAGTTTGCAGCTAAGAATTAGATAAATACGATCCAGTGCTCGGTGAAACGCGCTTTCCGAGGGTCCGGATATAGGTATCGAGGACGTTCGTCGCAGCTTCCCCATGGCCTCGATATCCAGAAGGGAGCGAACGTTTCTCCCTCTCTCTCCGCGGGGTCCTCGTACCCCACGTCCATGATCCGGAACGAGCCCAAGAACCGCGGAGACCCCTTTAAATATATCGCAGCAACGTTCGCCGGTCCGAGGGTAAAAACTCCCGGGACGCGACGCCGGGGGAACGCTAAATGTCGTCGTTGTCGCTCACGGAGCCGAGGATGAAGCGTCGGTTGAGGAAATCCTCCTCGGTGCTCTCGCTGGCACAGAGGGAATTCTCGGCGTACGAGTCCTTCTCGAGAGGCCCCGAGCCGAACCCGTTGACCACCAGGCCGATCGCGGTCTGCCCGATGATCGGTATACCACCGGCCCCGAGTATCCTGCTCGGCAGGATGCTCCTGGCCAGGGGATACCCGAGTCCGTGGTCGTTGCACCCGAAGTTGCCATACCGCGGCCCGTGGTGCGCGTGGACGACGAGGGTGGGATCCTCGGAGTACCTCCGCGGGAACTTCTGGAGGTCGGTGTCGACCGCGTATCCCGCGAGGGGGTCCTCCGAGTAGCCGCGGGCGTACCTCCGAGGATTGCCGGCGTATTTCGCCTCCTCGAGGCACCGGCCGTAGATCGCCGCCTCCTCGTTCTCGGCGCAACGGCGATACTCCTCCTCCCGACACCTCGGAGGATAATCGCGGGGACTCGGGTCCTCGCATTCGTACTGGTATTTCGGGGCGTTCCTTGCGAGGCCCTCGGGCTCGACGCACGGCACCTGGTGCCGCGGACTCTCTCGGGGCCGCCTCGCCGGGTACCTCGGGATGTAAGCGTCGTTCGCGTACCGACAAGGGTATTTCACGAGGCTCTCCGGGCAGTGCGCCGGGTGTCTCAGCAGCGTCAACTCACCGTTGATCGACTCTATCCTGGGGAGGCGCTGACCGGGCACCAGGTTGTTTATCGAGTCGGCGTGCTCGATCCCCGGGTTCGTTGGAATGTTCATGCCGTTCGGCTAAATTAGAATTGATCGAGATCGGTATACTTTCGTCGGAGTAAATCGTAAGGTTTTTATTAAACTCGATTTAGATTCTTGTACCTGTGGCTGGACAATTTTGACCGTCCCGTAAGTTTTGTTGTTGACGGTGACGTTGTCGTCGCCCGTCTTTTCTTGCTCCGCTCTGTATTCCGGCGTTACTATGCCCCTCCGATCTGCAAGCAGGGGCCCGGTTAGTCAGTGGAAGCATCTGAATTCATGGAAGGTGTCGCCAAGTTCTTATTACGAGACACGGTTGAAAAGAATAACACTTACCGATAAGACTCGGCGGTGCGGGCCCACACAATACGTAGAAGCAATTCCCACAGACGTTTCCTTGGCTGTACGGGTTGAAACTCTCTTGGCCCCTTTTGCTCGTAAATGAACCTTTTATCTGAAAGTTGGAGTACGTGTCATTTTTAAGTGCAAAACGGACCGGGAGTAGAACGGCGTAACGGATTTCTACACACGTCTTCGTTTGTAGTCTGATTACTCGTTGTTAAATATGTATGGAAGCCGGCGAGTCCTAAAATGCTCCAAGCCGACACAAAACATAAAGCTCCCACGACAACGCTGCCAGGGGAGAGCCTTACGGCTTCTAGGAATGGCCTGTCGTCTCTCGTTACTAAAATTAACGTAAATATCAGAGTTCCATTTTAATTACGCCTTAAAATAAATTCTAATATTACCATAAAGGAAATTCAATTTCTCACGCCTGTCGGTATTCATAAAACTTACACATTATGAGATGAGTGACAGCGCATGCAAATATAAAAACGCACAGGAATGCCAGTGACACGATGAATGCGTAAAAATATCTATAATTTCTTCGTCCTACGCAGTTGCCAACCCATGGACAGTGGTGATCGAATCGTTCTGCAATAAATTTCAATGTATTTATCGATTGGTAGTGAAATCATTATTTTCTTATGCATTCGACATTTATACGTACCTACACAATTGTCGCATAAACTACAATGAGAGGCCCTAGGAGGTCTAAATATTTTGCAAGTAAAACAATATTTTAATTTTACTGGCTGGCCTCTGACTAAAACCTCCTTTGTGCGAGGTGGAGGCCTGTACGTCGGTGAGTTACCATTATTTGGCACTTCTGTTACATGAAGAAAAACATTAGTCAAAATTAATTTCAAAGCCATATTTAAGTTATCTCTCATAGACAAGGACATTGGAGATATTACCAATTTGCTTCTCGATATAGGCTGCTTCGTCTGACGTTGCTCTTGGTATAACACCCGGATCGCTGAAACTTGTTCGAAGCAGCGCCGACATCACAAATAAAAATAATAAGCCACCGATAACTGGAATTGCAGGCGTAATATGCACTGCTAGAAATGGACAACTGAAAAATAAAAAATATACAATTATCGTTAGACCGAATTATTAAACAGCACCATCGTAACAGAAAATAATTAAATGCATAGCTTACTCAAATGCAAAGAATAATCCACTCGTGCCAGCAATTAAACAGACCGTCACATAGAAAATACCAGTTTGTGGAGCCATCATGACTCGGCCGTCGCAGCAGAACTGATTCCTACCAGGGAAAAGCTCCCACTTCCTAGTAACGTGCGGCATTTTGATTGATATCCTTCATTCACCAAACCATAAGCACGTCCTCTCGACTTATGGGATGGTAAAAAGAACGCTCCGTCACCGTTTTAAACGTGCTTTAACACCATGGATCTGGTCATCGCTTGTCGTGTCGATTGAGCTTTCCTGTAAATCGATCGTACCATTGCACTCTTTTCAAGAACCCGAGCACCAGGAAATAACGATCTATGAATTAAACCTCGCTATTTATAAAAGAATCTAAAGGACACATATTCGAACTCACCGGCTATCCGTGCAGCTGTGATCACGAACCGATACTACTGCTGAAAAGCCCAAACTTCTCGTCAACTTAACCTACTCCTCTTGACCAGGACACACAGGGGATCGGAACTCTCGGCATTCCGTGACATCGTTCCAGGCGGAGTCCTTACGATCGGCAGCTCGAGTTCTCAGGGTAAGTCTGTGATTCTACAAACAGCCCTGAACTCACGGTCTTAACATCGGTACCTTCTCGGTGGTTGCCGATTCCAAGTGTGCTCACGTCGGGGCCATAGCTAACGCGATATACACGAAAATCCATCGGAAAACTAGGTCAATCGCTGAAGCGCTACCGTGCCCCGATCTTGTCTCGAAGACGTCAGCGTTAACCGGCTCTTCGCCTGGTCGTAAGACACATCCTCGAGGAGCTCCGAACTCTCCTTTCGACTCGTCCTCCGCCGTTAGCGATGACAATATCACCGACTCCGTATTTACTAATCAACAAGGAACGCGAACCTCGCGTGTGACTTGTGTGACTATTCGTTGCGCGCTGATCAGCGCAGATTCGCGACGGCAACGCATGGGTGGCGCCATCTTGTGGGAAGATATCGAACGCCCAATGGGATGGCTCGGTGTCACGTGACCTCTCACGTGAGCGTCCACGCACGTTTAAATCCTTGAACACACCAACGCAACGAGGTTCATTCGCATTAATTAATACATAAGCATTCACAGCGATCGCGTGACTTATTGCATCATTATCCCATGTATCCGCTCGTGGTGAGTAGTATCGCCGTGATAATAAGGAGTTGTTTCAGATGAAAAAAAGGGATGATCGATATTTACTATTGGACCGTATTGGCCCACGAAAACGTGCACCCCAATCGAGTTTTGAAAACTTTGGCGTTACTCCACATGTCATATGACTATAGGACACATCTTTGGGCAGCTTAAAATCTGCTTTTAATATGCAAAAATTCGTTGCGGAAAAAGACGTTCAGTAATTCTATATTTATCAGTTCTAATGGAATTTAAACAACCCAACCCTGAAAACGGGTGCGCGCAGCGACGCGTGCGCCACCTCGTGGGAAGTTTCCAAAGTCCAAAGGGGTAAAATTTCCGCGCTCAGTTCAAAAGGGCGAGTGAGTGCGTTCGCCGGTAAAACAGCCATTTACCTTACATAAACATGGCGTCGTTCCGCGCGATCGATAAGGTAGGTCCTCGTAACACTACACGATACACTAAATTAAAACTAAATCTTGATTATTTTGTATTTTCATTCACAGAATATATGAATACATATAAGGAGGAAAGAAACGCGTTGAGTAAAATCCCTGGCATGTTAGAACGCAGGCGAGATCCAGTAAAAAAATTGTAGGAAGAGGAAGCCAACGTTTCCCGGGGAATGCCATTTTAATCGATGCGAATAATTTGGAATCACCGAATCGAAAACCAGGCACGATCAACGTATATATTCCTGATAATCGTGAAATCTAGGACCCTGAAGAAAAGAGCGCTCGAGGATGCGTAGGATAGGTTAGGACATCGCTCCACTCCGAAGGGTAAGGGCGCGAGTTAGGGTAAGGATGCAATGGCGCAGGTCACCGCCTCCCTTCGGAAAGGGGGAGAAGTCCCTCGTCCAGGAAGATCGACTTTTCTCCCGCTCTCCCCGATACATCGCCAATTAACGGACGGCTAATTGCATTGCTTATTCGTTTCTACATTTCAGACTCGCTGGCTCCGGATTTTACGATATCAAACGACGTAACGAGTCGTGCTCTTCCCGACCGCCGCCCATGGCCTCCCATATCATGTAGTCCGTGTCACGACGAGTGCCGATTTTAAGCGCAACCTTGAAATCCTCCGCCCAAGGCCACGGTTACCCAAAGATAAGAAAATCCATTCATTTTGCAGATGCATATAATCGTTTTTAAATCCGCAAAATATCGTCAGGTCTTCTTAAAAGCAAATACGCCCCATACATCACTTTTTGCTGTCTCGCCCAGCGGTCCAAATTTTAACAGCGGGTAACTATCGTTTCAGGTATGACAAATCATGGGAAAGGTGTGGAAATCGAGAGTTCGCATTATTCTAATCCTCGGCCGTTCAAGAAATCCCGTAGAAATATTGATTTGGCTCGAAGCGGAGGAACCGCGAACGGTCCAGGACGACGCGGGATTATCGAAGAAAGAAGCGCTTCGGGGTACGCGAGGATAAGTAAGGAGTGTCGCTCGATATAACGAGGGGTAAGAATGCAGTAGCGTAGGTCATCTCGTTGGAGAGCACGCTCGATGCCGCCTATCTTCGATTTCAGGTCCAAGAATCCGCGACTAAGAACGAGCAAGAGCCGCTTTTCGGGTGCACCATGACGTCGGCGTATTTCTCAATGTGGCAGCTTTTTGCATCTTGCGAAAATATACGTGCCAGCTAAATAAGGGATTAACGAGGAAACAGCGACCGGGCCGATCGTCCGGGATGGCGGGAAAGGGCGGTCTCGACCGGATTCCTTCGGACGGAGTTCCGGTGGGTTCGTCGGTGGGTTCGTCGGTGGGTTCCTCGGTGGGTTCCTCGGTCGGTTCCAGGACGCGGGCCGGGAAAGGGAAGCCCAAAGGAGCCCGGAGGGACGCGGAGGGACGCCGAGGGATATGCGCTCGCGGCAGACACGGGGCCGCGGACGGGAAAGGGAGCTCGGACGCGGACGCCGACGCTGAAATCAGCTCGGGCGATCGATGCGATAAATGGATGCGTGCGATTGGTAGCCGGGAAAATCGATGGCGAACAGGGGCCACGGCCTGGCTAGGTGCGAGCCGCCACGCGAGAGCCACGGCACGCCGCAGAGGATGGAGCAAAGACCGAAATATCGATTTTTAGGCCCCTACCAGCGCCGGTTCGATGCTCATATCTGCCCCTGTCCCCGCCCCCGGCCCCCGGCCCCCGGCCCGACCGCTCCCCCGTGCGCCGCGGACTCCCGCTCTCCGACCAGAAGAGATTCACTCCCAGAAGAGCGTTTCAAAACAACCCCGAAGTCGCCTCGAAGTCGCTCCTCGGTCGAGCACCCGGTGACACCCGTCGGCAGCCGGCTCCTAGGCGCGAACCGATCGCGGCACCCCCTCGAGGGCCTCTTCGAGGTCCTCTTCGAGGTCCTCACCGAGTCTTCCCGGCCAGAGTCGACAGGTAATGGCCAGGGTCCGAGACCCGTTCCTTGCCGGCGCGAAGCTCGTCTCCTTGCTCGGCAACCTGCGGAAGGACTCTCCTTAAGCTAGCTCGCGAGTTCACTCGGTCGTTTTTTTACAAGTTTTCGTGGAAAGGTGGCGATCGGCGTAAAGGGAAAAAAGTTGCATCCATCCCTAGTGGAGGAGCCTCCCGAGAGAGGAATCGCCGAGGCAGGGCGGGAACCCGGACGACGATCTCTTCTCGAGACCCGGAATTTCCGGAATTTCCGGAAGTCGGAAGAAGGAAGAGGGAAGACCGGGGAGAGACTCGTGACGCGATTTCTTCACGGATTTTCCTCGGATTTGCGGAAACGTCGAGGCGACGTGGAAGAGTGGGAGGATTTCCGAAGGACGGATAACGGCCCACCCTGACAACGGTAACGACGCAGGGGGTCGTTTCTCGCTACGGGACGATTTATTCCCCGTTTACGCGTTTCTGAAAGGAGTGTCCAGGAACTAGTCGCCGGAAGGATCCAACGTTTTACCGGTAACGGACCGAGCGGAGGTTACGCACGGGGTCTCGGATGCGGATTTTTAATTTCCCCGCGTATCGAGGGAACGGACTCTTTCGACTTTTGCTTCCGCGAGGTTATACGGGGGAATTTTGTGCATTTTTGACATCGGCCGATCCGTGTCACCCGGTATCGGGCGAGCGATGGCGCAGAGGGGGTTGCGGTCGCGTTAACGAGTGTCAGGGTGTCAACCGTGTCGACATTTATTTATCAAGGTCTTCCCGGGAGTTCCGTGAGGAGTTTTTGTGAAAATTAATGCTGCCCGGGCGATGCAGGGTGTCGGGAAATTTTTTGGCGGCGGTTGGTAGGTTGGAAGCTGCGTAAAGGTAATTAGATTAGCGAGAACGAGTCGGTGCTGTCAGTGGACGAATTCCGATGGATCAAGAGGTTCGACGGAGGTGATCAGATTTTTGGGTTTCACGGTGTTCGGTGAATCTTGTCGCGGAACTTTTGCATGCCGACGGAACGCCTGGCTCTGACAGGAAATCTCTGAGGGAGGATTTCTAAGGGGTCTCTCTCGAAGGTAGAATTTTATTGTAGAGAATACTTTGGTGAATGTGTTTCATTGAGGGGAACATTTTTATTTGGGATCCCTGTCATTGAGTGGCACGTCATCTTAATAACGAGGACAGTTTCGTCGTAGAGAGAGGATTTATTTTAAAGGAAACCATTGTAAGGAGAGGAGGTGGTTGTTTTAAAGCATTTTATCAAGAATTGTTACAATGCCTTTCGTGCGATTTACCTCCTGGATTTCGTTAATTGATTTTGTGCTTGTCGTAGGTAAAATGGCCATTGCAGCGTCAGAAAACTATCAGCTGAAGTGGCACAGCTACGGAGCACATCTTCACAGTTCAGTCGCCACTTTGCTGCATTCCGAGTCTTTTGCCGATGTGTTGTTGGCAACCTCGTGTGGTCGTCATGTGGCAGCGCACCGCTTTGTGCTTGCAGCTTGTTCGTCGTACCTCAGTCACATCTTTCAGACTTGCCATTTTGGGGCAAATACAAATGCTCCTATTATTGTGGTAAATTAAGACAATTTTTTCATTAATTAATACAATTTTGTTGCGATATAAGATTATGACGTGATAAATAATTTCAGGTGTTACCTACGGAGATTGGATATCGTACTTTGAAGATTTTGATTCAGTATATGTACAGTGGAGAGGCAACGGTAACAAATGATCAATTGGAAGGGGTATTAAAAGCAGGAGACATACTCAGAGTACGAGGACTTTGGAGGTCGAACACAGGGAGTAAGAAGGAGAACATTCAATCTAATAATCAAAAAGTGGAACGGGATAAAAGAGAACAAGCTCCATTAACTGGACAGATCCAAAAGATCAAGTTAGTCCAGCCTTCGACGGAAAAAGTTACAGAAAACACCCAGCAACCAGCCACGACGCAGACCAGCACCGTCCAGACATCGAAGACTGGAGACAAAAAGGGCTCGGAGAAGGCAGAGGAGAAATCCAATGATTCGGAAACTAAAAAAGTCTTGGAAGAAAATAAAAATAATGAACAAACCAAAGATAAGGAGAATCTCGAAGGAAATGGAAAAAAAAGAAAAAGCGTCAACAGCGACGTCGAGTCTACCAAGTCTAAGAGCGATGGAGGCGATAACGTAATTATATTTTTATTTAAACCCATAATGCTTGTTCGATGAATGTTAAAAGTTCTAGGGTGCATTGTATTTCCAGACCGAGTTAAATTTGGAACTTTTGGTCAAGGATGAGCCCATTGATTGGGAGGAATCGATCGACCCTTCGGAATCTTTAACGATAGATCATGAGATCGATATTAAACCGGTAGGTAATATAATTTCATACTTATTATGACAAATTACTTAAATATTGGTTAATTAATTAAAACTTATTATGTTCAGGAAATAGTTCATAGTGCAGACGAAGATGGGGAAATGGAAGAGGAAGAGTATACACCTTTGACCTGCGACATGTGCAGTCAAACGTTCAACAGGCCTTCGGACTGGGTTCGGCACATAGAATTCACTCATGCGGACATGACAGAAAATCGACGCAAGAAGCGGAAAGTACGGAAAATTCGTTCTATTAAAAATGAATCATTGAATTTCTTGTGTAAATTTTGGTTTGCACTTTTTTCCCCAGGGCGATGTAGATGACGACAACAAGGACTTTCCTCCACTGAAGTGTGACTTATGTGGTAACATGTATCCAACACCTCAAGAATGGGTCCGCCACATACAAACGGAACACACGGAGGAACAATTGGCTCTGATGAATAATTCAACACCCCCCAAGCCGAAGAGAGTCCACAGCCACCAAAAACTGTGCAACATTTGCCAAAAGGTATTCCCAAGTCATGCGTCAATGGTAATTCATCAGAGGACACACACGGGGGAGAGGCCGTTTCTATGTTCCTACTGTAAAAAAGGATTCAACGTCAAGAGCAATCTACTGAGGCACCTCAGAACATTGCACGACAAGTTCGTGCATCCAAGCTTATACGGAAGCAACGGCAACAAAAACGCTTAACCTGTCTGTCTTATAACTTTAGGTTAAGTGTCATTTACTTCGGTAAAGAAACAAGCTAAAGCTCAAGCGGTGGGCAGTGATCACACAATAATGACCGTAGTACAATTGTAGATTCCATAACGTGGCCGAAATGGAAAGCACTCCGTAGTCATGACAAAGGTGATGTCAAATCTGCCAAAGTATCGACAGGGATCTGAGACATCTAAAATTTTAAATACTGTCGAGTTTCTTATGAATGCTCCGGCAGAATTATCATCACCTGAATTGGCACGATTTCATCGGGGGCATCCTGCTGACATTTGGCAGCGTTCCCAGTCGAAGTTAATTCGATAAGAAGTGAGCAAGCTTGGATCGTCGATCCAGGCGCCGCAAAACTGTGATCGATCTTTATTTTCCGAAGCATTCTGGAAGGCCCAGCTTTCGTTGATGTTTCTGTGTGAGAACTGCCCTTGAGCGCGATTCTTGATTGAAAGTGATCAATGAAATTAAACGACGAGGTGTCGTAAACCAGGATCAAAACGCTTTCTTCGAATTCGTTATGTACCTCGTCGCCAATGCTCATATTTCGCGGTGACTCGGGAAGTGTCTCGTTAGAGATTATTTTCAAGAAGGAATTGCTACCGCATTATTAAATGTCAGACCGTTTTTCATCGATAACGAGAAAGGAAGAGCTGTACCAGGGCTTAGAACCGAAGAGGCTGACTAATATTGCCAAAGAATTCGCTTTCGTTGCCGTTCGAAGATATTCTTTTCTAAACGTACACCTATACGATTCCAAAAGTTTTACCTAATCTCGTATAGCGACGTAAAGTAAGTATGCATGAAAAGTGAAGGAAGGTAAAAAAAATGACGACGAAGGACTTAATAATCCGTAGGAGAGTCTTCGCACGAGTACTTGCGTGTAAAATACTTCCTAGTTTTAATCGCGTCATTTAACTCGATCGATACACTTCATTGATTAGTCATGATTTAAGAAACCAAATTAAGTAAGGTTAACCGTATACTTTTACTATATACTTTAGGCTATTCCATCCACGGTAGCCCTCTTATTCCCGCAGTTCGTAAGCTAATTATGTATTTTTATATTAAAGTAGCTTATACATATAGTCGTAAGAATATTAAGGAACACACACACAAACACACATACACGTACACACAAATGTAGGATTAACATTTTGAACTTCGATTAGGCTAGGAACCAGGACATAAGATATATTCGGAATTCATCAAAATTTCTCAAGATGTATTCGGTCCTTCGATACTACGTTACAAATCGGATACTATCAAAATACAGTCACAGTCGACAAAGAATGTAGCGTGTAAAAAAGGAACTCTTATGGTACGACATCGTTTTATCTTAATAATCGTGATCGCGTCACAATTTTGCGAACTATAGTGTCAATTCTACGTTGCGCTAATACTGTGACGAGCCAAATGACTTTTAACTGTACACATTGATTAATACATTACCTCCAAAGTAATTCAAGCTCAGTCTTGTTATCATTTTAATATCACTGTCCTAGATCAACGGTTATCTTCTAAAATATTTTAAATGGAATGATTCAAGCATGTATCGTATCATTTATAAAAGACATTTTTTTATTATTTACATGCTACATTAAATTATGCTCGTATTAAAAATACTCTGCCTTAAGCGGTTGAAAGGGAATTTTAAATCTTATCTGCTTAAGTTTTTAATGTAATTGCGATAAATGGTGACATGCTTACATCCATCAGCCACTTCGATTCTACTTATTGTTATCTACTAGTTTTCTTCTTCATCATCGATCTTAGGAGCTAAGTAATACCTGATGTGTCCAATGTCTCCAATTCGATATTCGCATACTAGGGGAACATTAGCTGACATGGACAACTGAACTTGTGCACAAAGCGGTGTTGCTTTGACAAAACAGTTTAGATAACGGCAGGCAAACGTCAATTTAACAGGTTCTTGCATTTCAATGTCTATTGAAGCATCTTCATTGGTTGAATCGGAAGACTGAGCAAGTTTTATATTAGCTGTGGAAAAATGTCAGAATTAGAATGAAACATTTTTTAATGGTGTAAAATTTTTAAAGTACTATCTATAAGGAAATTTAATAATTACAATTTCCAGACATCTCATTTTTCCTTGAAATATGAAGTTATATTTCTTATTTATGTTTCCAATAAGAATATACGAAAATTTATAAATATATTTTAGAAATGTAACTATCAGAACTCTCAATATAAGGAAGGCATAATGAGAGAGAATAAAGGAAAACAAGACTTTGAATTTTTTTTAGTATCTAAATACCAAACTTTCAAGGTCTTGAGACAATGTCATGGCACCTCGAGAGTACGCAAACACAGCAAAGGCTGTTAGTTATCAACTAGAGTTCACAGAAGAATGCAGTGTACATGTTACCCTTAAGGCAGACTAGGAGTATGTATGCTGCAATTAGGGTAAGATTTTGATATTATTTATTGAAAAACAAATTATACTATATCTTTTAAAGAATCACATGAAACAATTATCTATGTCGTGTTCCATTATTAATAATTTATGTGGGAAAACAATATATCAAAGAAGAACAAAATATGTTTGAATCATGTTGCATTAAATATGACATCTGAATCTTACCACTTCCGGCATCTCCACTGGCGCCGAACTTAATGCCTTCTTTAGTAACAGAAATCGTTATAGCTTCTCCAAACTGACTTAAATCACGGCATATTCTGGCAAACTCTTGGGATGGCATTTTAACGATGCAAGAGTACGTTGTTTCCTAACAGATACGTTTAAATAAATCCATTATTGAATTTTAACCGATCTTGTACAATTGAAAAAAGTAAGTATCATCTTACGGGAATGCCAAGATGTTCTTGGTCTAGATTTATCAATTTCATTTCATATTCTGCAATTTTTTCCTTGCCTTGAGCTTCAAAGATAAAAAGGACGGAATTTGGACTATCTAAAGCCCGCAACGTGACCGTGTCTTCACTGTCCGCACATTTCAAAATCTTTGACATACTAGAAATAAGTGAGACATTTTTTACTGGCATTGACGAGAAATGCCTTAAATCATTTAACAAACTGAATAAATATAACAAATTATAAATATACGGAATAAACAGCAGAACGCTTTTTTCCTCCTAAACCTAGGTCAAAGAGTGTAACCTCAAAACCGAAGTTTGCTCAGTAAGCTTACCTAGATACGCTCAATCCCATCGAGAGATTTCGGTCGCATCTATATTTATCAAAGCCGTCGCTCCTCAAATTTAAGGAAACCAAAGAAACGTGAGCGTTATCCATGGCTTGTAATTGAATGCCAGAATCGGAGCACTCGAAAGTAGCCTCGTTTAAAAGGTCCTTTATAGCATCGAGGACCTTCTTTAGTAGAACGCTCTGCACCAAACGTGCCTCGAACATTTTCCTTGATTAGTGATAATTTTTGCAAAGGGGAAAGGAGAATTACGTGATAATATCACCTTTACAAAATTTGCGAAAGCCCACGCCGAACAAAGCCCCGAGCAACAAGTACCGGCAAAGCCGGCGTTCGTTATCGACACGGTGGGGGATAGGTGCCAAGAAATTATAGAAGCTGCCTTATAATGGTACACATTACGGGGAGGGGAAGAGGAAGCAGGAGTCTCGCTACTTGTCTCGCATAAGAGTGTCTTTATTTGGCATATCACTGCCATAAGTGCGAAAAGGACAACCTGGTCTCTTAGAACGTAAGGTAGGAGAACATAATGGACGCACACGACGAATGTAAATTTTGGGAGGCGAATTACCCGCGCTTTCTGTCAACTGAATTGGTCGGGAATATAAAGATGGTAATCCTAACCAATCACGTAACCTTACTTCTTCCCGCGCTTTACTTATTGGTTAGACGTTGGTCGTTATCGAAGGTTAACCAATGACGCAAAATATCAATGAGAGCACTTTTCAAGGCTATACAGTTTAAAGTTTGATATGAGGCATAATTTGTCATAAATGATCACAGTAATGCAAAATAAAAATTTTATTGATAGTAAATATGGTTTACAAGATCGGGTGAACTTGAAGTAAGTTCAAGGGCGATATTGACATACTGTATGAAAATAAATCGCCAGTAAAATATTTAAGCACAATGGACTTAATTGAGAATTATATGGTTTACGTGTATAGCTTCCTAATACATCACATTATACGTCTACTAATATTTACAATTACTTGGGAAATCGAGTCTTGTAAAATTCTAAAAATCTAAGTCTAAATTATTACCGGAATAAAATGTACTCCATTAAGGACCATTACAGTCCGATATCTCCTGCAATGCTTTCCAAGTTATTGAACATCTGATCAAGATCCTAAAACATATAAAGGAAAGAATTAGTTAAATAATTCTTTGGTATTTGAGAGGGTACTGAAATGGATTTCAAAGTATAAATGGTTTGTGAATTTACATCGGAAGGTTCTTCGTCCTTTGACCTGCTATCATGTTTTTCAGCTCTTGCTGAAGTTGTATTTCCATTAATTTCATCGTCGTCTTCCTCATCTTCCTCGTCTTCATTGTCTTCGTCGTCTTCTTCTTCTTCGGATTCGTTAGGCTCGTCGTCATCGTCGTCGTCGTCGTCATCATCCATATCTTCCTCCATGTGAATATCATTAGGCATTTCTTCATAATCTTCAGGTTCTTCCTTAATATCCGTAAGGATCATTGTTTCTTCAATGGGACCAGTCTCTGCTGAGCGTTCTGGGGGAGCTTCAGCGGCTGATGGTATTTGAGGTTGTTGCGAAGTCTATATTTAGGAAACATAAATTAATGAGTAATGTATTAATTCATTTGTTATAAATAAAATAATGACGTAGCACTGAGTAAAATTTTGTAGCAAACAATAATCTAATGAGTTAATTTACTGTTAGTGGAATGCATACCCAAGGCTGTTGTTGCTCTGCAGTTTTAGCAGGTGTTATCGAAGCTACTAATGATGTTGGTGTTTCAACAGCAGAAGTTGACGTAACCCTATTCTGGTGTTCCTTCTGAATTTGGGCAGCTGCACTCGCTTCATCTCCGGCTTTCTTTAAATTTGGTTTTGGCTCTCCAGGAAGACAAGTATTACCTCGTTGCCTTCTAAATCTAACAATAATACTTCTGGTATCCCACATCAAATTATGAGCCTCTTTATAAGCAGATATGGATTCATCTACACTATTATATCTCATAAAAGCATATCTGAAATAAGAAATATACATATAACAATTGTCCTTAAAGGGAAATGACTCTGATAGAATTTATTTTTAGAAACTACCGTGTGTTCCTCATCTTCTGGGCATGTCCTACATCTACTCGAGCTGCTGTAGGGAATTTGCTCTTAACTTCATTTACATTGACTGACTCAGGCAGATTTCCTATGTACAATGTGTATGGGTCGATTTCTTCCGGCATTGGGTTATCTTTGTCTCTTAATGATTTTCTTTCAACTCGTAAATATCCAACTCCAAACCGAATCTCCTCTAATTTTTTTATTGCTTCATCGATATTGACATTCTCTGCCATTTGAATGAAACAATATCGAGGTCCACTGGGACTCTGAAAATGTATGTTCTGTATCCCAGGATGAAATTCTCTGACTATGTCTTTGTTTAGATCAGGGTCTGGAAATTTAATTATGAGACTCTGAGCCTTGACAGTCTTGTTGTACTCATTTTCAATTTGTAATGCTCTCTCGGCATCTTCTCGATTCCAAGGGCGACTCGGGTAGCTCTGAGACATTGGTCTACGTTGCTTACTTTTCTTGACCACCACTTCTTCCTGAAATCATGACAAAATTGTATTATTTTACCACAATGAATCTAAGATGTAATTATATAATTATTACAAATTATAAACATACAATTTTAATTTCTTGATCTCTGGTGTCTTTTCCATGCCTATTAATTCCTGAAACACCTGGAGGTAACGGAGGTATCTGGTGATTGGACAGTGCAACATGGTTCATTAAAGCCTCTGTCGTTGGTGTAGCAAAATTGCTTCGCTGCCATTCCAAACCAATTCCAGCAGACTGTGCAGCTCCAAAGTAAGCAGCTTGGTCAAACTGACCCTGGTTTTGATCAAACCGTGGAAGCCTTCTGTTCTTACGGTGAAAATTATTCCTCTGGACATAGACACTGTTCGGATTGTGGTTGAATCTGCCTCTCCTGATATAATTGACCCTCAGAGGCATTTCTCTTTGAAATGTACTCGTCACAATGTCTCGGGAAGTTTGAGGAGGTAACGGAGCTGTCTGTGGGGTAACCCATTGCCACGACTGTGGATGCGCCCATGTTTGAATCGGAGCAACCTGAGTATGTACAGGTCCGAATACATGCGGGGGTGGTGGGACCGCTCCTGGTGGAGGAGGCATGGGAGGCAATGGTGGTTGCCCCGGTAGAGGCTGGTTAATCGTCGAAGTAGAAGAAGTCGTTGAGTAATTCGCATAAGAAGCGTCGTATCCAAAGTTAAGCGTCTCTTGCTTGACAAAGGGACGCTTGACTTCCCCATTCTCTTCTGTCACCTGGGAAAATTTAAGCCATTACATTAATCTGACTTTTTTAATATAAATTATTAGACTTCTTTAAAATTGCCGCAAAAAATATATTTAACCCTAATGAAACAATAACAGAGAAATTATCTTATTGATTTGTCAAACTACCTTCAAATTTACGAGTTAATAGCAGCTATTATTTGAACTTATTTGAATTATTCCAAAACATCTCAGCAGTCTCGAATAAGCATTTCTCTGGTAGTCTCATAAAAATCCCACAAGAATGAAAGATTCCATAAATTTAACTCCATAAAAACCCACTCTTAAGTTAACCTGCAATACTTGCACTCGCGGGGGAGGGGAGGAACGCCGAGTAGAAATGGAAATTTCGACCTTGAAACAGATAAGACGAATGAAAATTAATTTACCGTGCGATTCATAATGTTGAATAGACAAGTCCGCTTGAATTCGGAGCAACTGTTAATTTATTAACCACTGACAACAACAGACTTTAGTGGGAGGTTGCAAACGCATCTCTGCACGGTCCATTCGACAGCAAAACCACGCCGTACAGGGGTGCCAACCCTTATCTTATCACGAAAAATGCATCCATGAATGAGCGCGCCATTAATTTTGAATTCGAAGGCCATTGGGTGAATATTAATTCTTACTTTTTCATCTTTCTTTTCCTCGACGCTTCAGTGAAGAGAGACTATCCGAGACGCGAAAGGCATTCTCTATTTTCAAATAAAAGATCGTCTGAACGATGGGAGTCATAATACGATTAGTTCTTATATTGCTTACGTTTTGGTATCATAATACAATTATATAAGGTTCACTTGACAGCATATTAAATAGTATTTACGCCACGTGGAAACGATAAGGCAGTCAACCGATTACCCCGATGAATCGATCCTCAGTTAATTTTTTCGCGGTCGATTTAAATTTCCAAGCGCCATTAAATGCATCGCAGCAGGAAAATGGAAAATACTGCACGCAAAATGTGAGATTGACTTTTCAAAACAGATAACAATCTCGAGCCAGATTTTCCTGCGATTGCAGCGCTCTCCTGTGTGAACTATTCAAAACCCTCAACCCTCGTAAAGTCCGGGGGTAGATGAAAAAATTAAGGAAACCACGAGGTATCGGAATACATTTGAAATCCGGGAGAAGACATGATTTATTTATGATTACTACTATCGGATTAAATCAAGTATTATCAGGCCATGAAAGATAAGATGAAATTTTAAATTCCCGCCCGGAGTAGGGCGACTCTCGATCCTCTCGATCTATGGATCCCTGTTCGAGGTTTCAATCTCGATCGAATTAGCATATCGTTCCGCTAGCTCGACGCCGGTTCTCGGCGGAAAGGGGGGAAAAAAAGAAACGCCGTGGAGAAAGTCGACAAGACGGATATACCTGAACGGTGTAAAAGGAAAAGAATGAGCGCGGCGAAGAGGCGGGTCAAGGAAGAGGGAGAGAGAAAGAGAGACAAATGATCTCAGCTGAAACAAAAATCGTTGGTGCCGCGACATCGAATCCGCGAAAGATGAGCCGTCGATGATAAATTCCTCGGTCATCGGAAAACTCAAGAAAAATCCGCCGGCCGCGAAAGAGAGTACGCATCGCGGCCACAAAAAAAAGAAGAAACCGAGAAGAGGTACTCGCGCCGCGTCGAATTTTCTGCCCCCCATCGAGTCCAGGTTTTTCCTTACCCACGATTTTCTCGGCGCACCCTTTTGTGGTCAGTTTTCCGCTCTCGGTTTCGAGGTTTTCCCGGGGTCGAGCCCTCGGGAGGCTTCTATAATCTCCAGGATTCACTATCGGGGGCGCGCCAACGCCGACGTGAACGACACAGTAAATAACTACCACCGGACGAGGGCGCTTCGTAGTCCAGAGTTTTCATCACAGATGTCGCCGATGTCGCTTCGCCCAGGACACTAGTGACGTGTTCTTTCACCCGCGGATTCAAATTATGGCGGCAAAGGGTATCGCCGAGATCGAGGTAATTTCGACAAACGTAATGACTCTTGCATAGTCTTATAAAGAAGGAAGGAAATACCGAACATCGATGCAAAGGCTCCAGCAGTACAGACATCGCTAGAAGTCACTCGTCGTGGACCTGTTCAATCGCCGTCATTTTGAATTTATTCGTAAATTAGTATCGATAGTGGAGGAGAAAGCGAGATCATCGATATCTCGATAGCGCGTCAATCTTAATTGGAGAGCTTCCTGGCAGATGTCGCGTCAATGCCATTCTTGCTGGAGCGTCGAGCGGCGGCGAGTCGCGGGGAGCGATCTGTCTCGTGTGTGCATTCTCGTGTGACATGGCTACGAATAACACGGAGGAAATTGAGGTAAAGCGATCGGTTCACGACCGGATACGTAACGATCGCGACATTAGGGCTCAGGTAATCATTCCGAGGGATTCGGAGATTTGCTAGGAAGAGAAATCTGGTATCTGGTAACGGCATGGTCGGATCGCCGATTCCGGTCTACTCCGCCTGCCAGCATGTCTTTCCTCGTTTAAGACCCCTTCTCCTTTACTTTCTGTCGAAAGCTCCTCACTTTTACAAAACGTAGCTTGGGATAACGGAACGGGCAGGTTGCGGTCTCTCGTTGGAAAAATTAACTTCGACTCTGCTCGCAAGTATTTGTTAAATTTAATTTTGGATCGGTGAGCAGTCGTGCTCGGTACCTGACGTATTTGATACCTTTTAAGCGTAGGTAGAAAAAGAAATGTAAATTTAGTTGGATGGAATGGCAGTCGGGTTGCAGATTGTATCAAAACGTTAACGAGAATAAGTTGCGAGCTTGGGAAAGTAACGTAATATGTGTGTCTACCACAGGACACGGAAAGAAAGGATCAGGACATGGGAAAGCTGGAAGAATTTCCTCCGGAACTGCTTATAAAGCATCCTCTGCAAAACACGTGGACCCTCTGGTATTATGAGGCCGACCGAAGTAAAACCTGGAGGGAGAATCAACGGGAAATTACTAGTTTCGATACCGCCGAGGATTTCTGGAGGTGAGCGACGAATCGATATTGACATCTCTTGCTTGTTACGATCGATGGATTTGATGGCATTTTGGAGTAGATTATAATTCTTGTAGTATTATATTGTATTTTGTGGATAAAATTCCAGCATAATAGAACCTTTTCTTTAATTTCAGTTTATACAATCACATAAAATCAGCATCTGAATTGAGACAAGGTTGTGACTATAGTATGTTCAAACAAGGTATTTTACCAATGTGGGAAGACGAAGCAAACAAAAATGGTGGAAGGTGGTTGATTAATTTAGATAGGAAGCAAAGGGTCGACTTAGATCACTTTTGGTTAGAAATACTTCTCTGTATGATCGGAGAAGCCTTTAACGAATATTCAGATGACATATGTGGAGCAGTTGTTAATGTCAGACCAAAAGGCGATAAGCTTGGAGTTTGGACTGCCGATGCACAGAGATCGCAGAGCGTTATGGAAATTGGGTAAGTTTTGCTAAAAGTAAATTGTGTATTAAAAAACGAAATGTGCCTATGGAAGAACAAATTCTGTTTTTAGACGTAAACTAAAAGAGCGGTTAAGGATCGTATCGGGCACATCCATAGGGTACCAAGTGCATAAAGACACGATGGTCAAGTCTGGTAGTACAACTAAAAATACATATTTCGTATAAACCATCGATGCTCGTTATCGCTGATATTGTCATTTCTCTCTATATTCTCCGAGTGAGTACAAAATGGAGAGATACCAATCTTTTTTAACATGAACAAAACTGATGTTAAAGTGAAAAATATGAAATGACATAAGAAACCAACATGCCTTCTTCTTATACGAACAATTTCATGGGAAGCTCGGGACTGAAGGGAAATTTGTTTTGTCGTTAATACACATTTCTCTGGTTACCAGTGACCGAGTGAAAGTTAATAAAGTTATTAATCGAATTCGTTAACGATGTATTGATGTGGACATTTATAATAAAATGTATATTTGTCTTGAGTACAGTTTATGGGTCAGGTATGCAGATTGTTGCACTTTTATTCACTGTTTCAATATGTGCATTAGATAGATTTATTATACTTATATTTTGTACTTTCCAATCCTATTTAGTACATAAATGTGGTGTAAGTACATAGAAAATATATTAATAGATAAATCTGGGCACTATTTCAACTGTTGTACAGTTAAATACTGCACTATGCTATATCATAATGGAAGAGAAGTGTAACAAACTGACAATTGCAATACTGATCTAGAGTAACGTGCTTTGAGAATTATTTAAAATGTAGTTTGATTTCATGAGTGTTTATAACACTGAATGTATTGGCGCGTATTTGATATATTAAGTATGTATTAAAGAATCTTTCAGTGAACACAATGTATGTTGCTTACAGTTACTTCATTTTCATTTAGTCTCTTTTTCAAATCTTATATATTTACTTACATTCTAATAAAAATATTAGGCAAAATGTATTATTTTTTTGAATGTGAAATATAAATTTTATTTGAAGAAGAACAAGTAACCTATCCATCTCCTTCGTTTAATATAATATATCTTCAACCATTTCCTTAAGATCCCTTCTGCGAGCTGTGTCTAGTGCTCGGCATAATTTTAATTTCCAACATTTTTTATCACTAGCATTTTTTTCCATAAAGAATTTCAGTGCCTATTTAAAACATACATCTGTGAATAATTCGTGCTTTATCATTTTTATGAGAACATGTGACATTTACCTCATAACTTTTCTTCTTTAAATTTGGATGGTACTTTGCATCTATTGCATTTATTTCATGTTCCCTTAAATCCAAAAGTCTAGCCACATCTTTCCAATAGTAACCTAATTGTTCGCTTACACCAGTTAATACTGAAATATGATTAAAATGTGTGACAGTAAAATTAATTTTGTTTGCTTTGGAATACAATTATTCGACATACTTTTTCCTTGCAATTTATCCTCCGAATCACCCAGAGATTTTGATATTTTTGTGCCACCATTTTCAAACCTCGGAGCATGACAAGTTAGAGACGACGCACCTTTTAAGTTCTCTTGAGTACTCAACGATTCAAAATCAGGTAAAACTATTAAAAAAAAAAAAAACAAAGCAAATTAACGTGATCGAAGAATGCGCGCAATAATAAATTTGCCATCATAAGAACTTGCCGTTATCGTCTGCATAGTAATTATACAGCGAGACCGGTAGACAACTTCGAAAGCATGTATCATACCGTTCCAACATCTCATCCAATATAGGATCTTTTACAAAGGTTTCTGAAATAAATTTTAGTGGCAGGATTTGATCATATCCCAATATACGGCGTTTCTCCAAAATTCCTATGAAGCACTCAAAGTCGTTTATGTAGTCCATAAGTCGATTGGAGATGTCGTACGAATAAAAATGTTTCAGTTGTTTCAATGCCTCCGTGTCGATGTGACATTGCGAGACTCTTATAAATTCTTTACGTAATTTTATGTAATTGTCCATTTTTCTTATGCTTAAATAACAATTAATATGTTGACTCGGTAAATCACACGACACGAGCATAAAAGGATTATATCTGTAAAATTGAATGAAGAAGTTGCACAGGAAATTGCATTCTTCGAGAGATCGCTGTCTTATATTGCTTCCCACTGTTTCAGGCAACTTATGCAGTATGTGTCGCCGTATATTTTTCGGATAGAGGCTAGTATATATTATATGGAGAGACGAGAGTCGCTTAGCGGCCGTGTATCGAAACCGGTCCACATTTAGCATGGACACACTCTTCTACATAAACTCAAGGACACTTTGTCCATTTTCTTCAAGACGCATCGTACTTTAAGCAAAGAATCCAGTGTTTTCCATTTCGATCTCGAAAGTCTCAGAAGAAGAAACTTAATTTTAATTGAATGTAAGTTCGCATATCGATCCCTCCTAATCCCTCCCGACTACCATTGAAAACCACCGATCCCCCGGGGCAGATCCCCAAAATTTTTTTTTCCCAATTCAAGGTTCTTTATCACGTCTGACATGTCATTATTTTTTTTTTGCCTCCTTACCTATTATACCTTTATTATAATTCTGGAGGGATATTACTCCCTGAATTTCAGGGTAGGACTCGCATAGGAATTCTGAACGTTTTCTTATGGATGTCATAGAACACACCGTGCCGGATTCATTCAGATTCCACCTGGGGCTACGTGATGACGCCACGATCGCGGCGCCATCCCTTCCCTGCGGTTGCGCCGGTCCGTTCGTGTAAAATCACGGAAGGGCTAAGCACGGGCGTTAGTCTCTCGCGGTTTGTCGGGGTTTGCGGTTGTGAATATGATAGTTTAACTGACGGTGCGGTGCGGCGTGAACTCGACTCGAACGCTCGGCGATCCCACCCGTGACCCACGGAGGCTCTCTCACCGCAACCCCTTTTGGGTTCTTCTAACCTAAAAGTTCCTCGCTTGACCGGCACCCTCCTGCCGACACCCCGGCGGCGCAACTCGGCGTCGACCTCGCTATTTACTTATCGATTCGGCGCCGGCTGAGGCGATTCATCGGGTCAAACGCCGCACCGCTTCCTGAGAGACGCTCGGATTTGATTTTGCACTTTGCCGGTAAGCACTTGCACTCGTGTATGTACCTCGAGGTCGACGCGGTATCTCACCGAGGACACGTTTTCGCCGCTATTACCGGTTCAGAAATTCGCAAAAGCTTGCACATCCTCTGTTAAAACGGACCTCGTCGACGTTTTTGAAGAGGAGGTTAACCTCTGCGAAGGAATTTGGTGAAGGGCGGAAGGTGTCTGTAAGTAACGTCATGAATGGCAAAGTAAGCTGTAGTTTAAGATCCTTATCAAGAGCTAGTGGATTTACTTATAGATGGGATATTAACGTACGATCGAGAGATAGCATAGTACAAGTTATAGGAGGGTCACGGGTGGAAACATCATTATCGTCGACTAATTCTGGATCAGGACTATCCTATGGGGAATGGGAACGAGAGCATGGTTTGGAAGAGGTGTTAAAGAAAGGGTGTGGGGAGGAGACAAGTCCGATTGCTTATGATGGTTTGATAGACCACGGTTGAATAGGAACGTTGACCGAGTTAAGGATTAGATTTTCATGACCCAGTTTTGATCGTCTTTAAACTCGTGATAACGATGTGCCATGAAGGAGATAAGAATTGGGTATTCAAATTAATCCGAGCACATAGATGCTTCATGCCCAAACTTTATAATTTCCTATTTTATGAAATACAGGGATTTCATAGATTTTACGTAATGTAACGTGCAGAATAATTCAGCCATTGTCTTGGATGTGTTATTACCAATTTGATACGTTCACCGACTCCTAACAAATATGTAAAATCTTCTCCAGAGGCTTAACGTTTTTCTAGTTCTCTGGAAAAAATATGCATTGTACCTTGTTACGTCACGTTTATTCTTGTACCAAGTGTCCATATATACAATGGGTTGGCAACTAAATGATGCGGATTTTGTCGATAGATGGTATTAAAAAATCCGCGATCACTTAGTTGCCAACCTAGTATTTCCTGTTCTTCCAGTCTAAAATCAAAACAGAAGGTATTAAGATTTAAACCGTTTCTCCATCACGGCACAAATGATCGACAGTATGTGAATCCTTTCGTACATTCTCGCGATCAAGTTATCCCGCCGCCTAGTTTTCCGATTAGGGACAATCAAACATGCATCGATCGATTATGCACCCGCGACATGGGGAATCGGTCGCGATCACTTCGTTAGGAAAAAAAAAAAAAAAAAAAAAAGGGAAAAGAAGGGGATTTTCTTTGAATTCTGGGCTCATCGACAATTACAAACGTTCGAGAATATTCATTTCCTTTGGAAAGTTTTGAGGTTTTTTTTCTGCATGCCCAATGTCGTTTTGGCCCGCGGGGGGGACCGAAGCCGGAACCGCGTAATAACGAGACCTTTGCAATTCATATAAGTTGCCGGGGTCGAGTATACGCAAACCTCGCAGCTTATGCTTATACGTTTCATTCATACGATCCAGAGTCGAGTTTGACCCCCCGAGTACTCGCACGGGACGTTCCGCTTCGCGTTGATCCGCCATTAGCTTCGGAATTTGTTCGGCGCGCTAGTCGGGTGATTTTATTTTCGTCGTATTTTTTTTTCTTCTTTCTCGCTTTCTCTCTCCGTCTCGCGATATCATTTCTGCGGGTGAAAAGAGGAGTGCGCGAGAGAGAGGGAACGCGCGGTAGGATCAGCCGAGGCCGTTCGACCAATCGGAACCCTCGGAGGCTCGAACTCGTTTTCACGGCGCGCGATCAGGGGGTGGAAACTCGGGAGGGGCCGAGGGGCGCCACCGCAGCGCTCCTGCCGGCCGGCGGCCGAATTACGCGCCGCGAGGCGCGAACCCCGCGCCGTCACGTGCTCCCTTGTATTACCTTCTGGGGCATTCGTCATGGCGTCGCGACTCTCGCGCACGTGTCCCTCGCCCATCCGGCATATGCGGTGCAAGGAGGACGCGTTTCGCCGCGTCCGGTAAATGCTAAAAGGACGCGGCGCGGCTGCGAAAAGAACGCGGAGGGGCGAGGGACCGAGTGACGTCATGGCCGCGGAATAGAAGGCGCGCGTGACGTCGCTCCATTAGCGCGAACCCGAGTTTGGCGAATTACATCCAATGTTTTCGTAGCGACGCGGCGCCATTCCCAAGGTAGGACTCCAGGACACTTTTTCGGGGAATTTTATTTGCCCGGTGTGCACGGTAAACGTCGGGGGGCATTCCATTTATGCCGGGCACGGCGAAGAACCGGAGGACGCGGTCGCCGCCATTTTGCTTTCGGGAAAATCCGAAAAAGAACGCGGGCGCCCTCGATGAAATTCAAACTTCCCGTCCCCTTGACACTCGCGGTGGGTTAATTGCCCGTAATTGCGTTGAAATTATTCAGAATCTCGGTTAATTCGATAAATCGTGACTCGAGCGACGTAACGGGCGGCGCGGTCGAGTCGGGAAAAATGGCGCGCTCTCCGGCGACGCGGCACCTGCGGCCGCTTTCTCCCGTTGGATAGCTCGTTGATCCGTTCCCCGGTGTAAATTAATACGTTATCGCGGACCCTCGCTCGCGGAACCGGCCAATCGGCGCGGCCGTGTCCGAACCGCTCGATGACGCAACTTAAGAGACGTCTATGAGGCCCTCCTCGTTTCGCCCATATTTCGCGGTCGACCGCTCGATCGGAAACGGCGGTTCACCTAATGGAAAATATCGGACCGTGACCTGGTGATTTTTCCTGTTTCAGCGAGGTCGCTTCCGGTATCCCGGCTCGTAGGCTAAGAGGGCCCGCCGATCCAAGATGAACAAGATGGACTACATGGAGGTCACCCTCCCGAACTACTCGTATATCTTCAACTTCGAGGAGGAGTTCAAGTTCCAGGACACCAGGATATGGATGACGAATAACTGGAAGAACGGCTTCTATTACTGCGGCATCTACATGGTCCTGATATTCGGGGGCCAGCATTACATGGCCTCCAGGCCGAGGTTCCAGCTCAGGGGCCTCCTCAGCCTCTGGAACACCCTCCTGGCGACCTTCTCCATCATCGGCTTCACCAGGACCGCCCCGGAGCTGATACACGTCCTACGAAATTACGGGCTCTATCACAGCGTCTGCATACCGAGGTGTGTGTGTTCGCAAGGGACGCACCTCCTTAGCTTATCGGTGCACCTCCTCGAGGTCGTTTCCCCTTCTCTTTGCCCTCACCTTGGCGCGAGGTTTTGGGAGATAGCACGTTTTGCGCCGTCGAGAACCGCTCGAGAGCGGTTCGGCACGTGCGTCGTTGCGTTTGCATAATCGGACGGAATTTCCTTCGCGGAGAACGCGACGCGATCAGCTGACGAGAGAGCCGACGACGGAATACGCGACACGTGGGTCTTCTTCCTTCGGGGAACGGTATTCCCCACCGCGAGATCTTGTCGGCGGCTCCTCCTCTGCTCGTAGCGACGCTTATCGTCTCGATGCGCCCTGATAAGCCTTTTAAATTTAAATCCCCTTGGCGAGGAAAGGGACGAGCACGCGATGGTCTCGTCGCCGTCGATTCTGACCGCGTTTCGCGTCACCGCATAGTAATTTATGACGATTAGAGCCGAGGAAACTCTGGAAACGGCTCCAGGTAGTAATCAGCGATGCGAGTTGTGGTCAGGTATGGCGGATTTTTCGCGGAATGTCGCGTTAAGTGCGGCTCGTTATTTCGTCCGGATACCTTGGATGCGAGTTAACACCCTGGGCTCTCGGGATGGAACGCGACGCGGTGCATTAGGCTCGAGGGGAGAATGTCGCAACGCCGTCGCGAGATATTCGGAGAGAGAGGATGCCCGAGGGAAACCGGAGGCCCTTTACGTCACGCGCGTTATGTGAACGTCATTTCTCGAAATCGACGGGAGACGCCTCTACGTTTCTTCGCTCGAGGTTCGGTTCGAAAGGAGGGTCTCACTTTCGCTCGAATCTTACGCGGGTTTTACATGATTTTTATGGGACCTTTTACGCGACTTTGTATGGTTTTTGCGCTACCTTTACATGACTATTTGTACGACGTTCGCGCAATTCAATCCCCGGGGGAATGGTCGTCGAGACAATTTCGAGATTTCCTTGGCTCGTCGGTTGCGCGATATTAATTGGTAATTAGTCAATCTCGTAGATATTACCCGGAGGATCTTAATCCCTGTCTCGGCGTAATCATCCGACGCGGTATCGGAGGTCGCGGTTATCTCCGTATTCCGTACAATGTGCTCGGATCAATGGGTGGGCCAGTTATCGCCGAGCTGCCGGTCAACGATTCGAGATTAGCGGGAACGTCCCCACCGTGGAGGCGCGTCCCGGTCACGCGCCTCCGACTCGCGGATCGGGGGTAATCGAGGGGAAGTGCCGAGAGAGGGAGAAACGTATGGGCGAAAAAAAAAAAAAAAAGAGAGAAATATGGTGTACGAAGGTCGGTCTTGTGATCCCGTTGCAGCTTCATCGAGCAGGACCGGGTGTCGGGCTTCTGGACGTGGATGTTCGTCCTCTCGAAGCTGCCCGAGCTGGGGGACACGATCTTCATCGTACTCCGGAAGCAGCCGCTGATCTTCCTCCATTGGTACCACCACATCACGGTGCTGCTCTACTCCTGGTTCTCCTATACCGAGTTCACGGCCTCGGCCCGCTGGTTCGTCGTGATGAACTTCTTCGTCCACTCGATCATGTACTCCTACTACGCCCTGAAGGCGATGCGCTACCAGCCCCCGAAGTTCATCTCGATGGTGATCACGACCCTGCAGCTCGTCCAGATGATCATCGGCTGCGCGATCAACCTCTGGGCCTACCAGTTCCTGGAGTCCGGCCAGTCCGAGTGTCGCATCTCCAGGGTCAACATCAAGTTCAGCCTGACCCTCTACTTCAGCTACTTCGTCCTGTTCGCGCGGTTCTTCCGCAAGTCCTACCTGAACGACGGGCGCAAGTCCGACAGGAAGGCCTACGAGAACGGGGCCGTCGGCCACGCGGTCGAGGACTACGGCAACGGCAAGCTCAAGGAGACGTAAGGACCACCCGGGGCCCGGTCGAAGGCTGCGCGGAGGACGAGCTCGTCGGGGCTCTCTCACCTCGAGTTGGCCGGGTGGTCCGGCACACCGGAAAGACCCGAGGACCTCGGAAGCTCGACCGAGCGATAGCCTAGATACCGTTTAGCTAGCTTAAGTATCGCGGAGCCTTGGAACCCGGACCTCGGGGGGCGGGCAGCGAGGCCCTCCTCGGGCTCCGGGTCCAAGGAGGCTCGGGGGATTCGCCCGGAGAAGAATCCTCGAAGCTCCGGCACGCACGAAAATGAAGGAACCGATGGGTCGCGGGTGCCGGAGATGTTTTACGCCGATCGGTGAAACCGCCGGTCGATGGATCGTTTGACGAGGGTTTCCACTCGCGGTACCGCCGATCCTCGGGGGTGGGAAGTGGCCGACTTTTTCTTGTTTTTGTCTTTTTTGTCATTTCGTCAAGTGGCATTCTTCGGGTCTAAGGTATTCTTCGGAACGGCTTTCGCGGGGACCCTCGCCGCGATTCGGACGAGACCGCGAATCGAACGACGTCGATTACGTTGTAATAATTCACGCGTCGGGGGAAGAGTTCATACTTGGGGACGACACTCGGAGAATATCGAATGAGTCACGGTCGGAAGGACAACGACTCGGTGGACGAGCTCGGATTATTGCGCGTACGTGAATTATGCATGAAATGCACCTCCACAATGGAGCTACTCGAGGAGCTCCGATCACAGAGGTCTACGAGCCTCGACATTTTTTTTTTTTTTTTCGGTCGCGATCAAGAGCGCGCCGGGGAAAAGGAGAGACCGACGGACGGTCAATGAAGTCGCAAATATGGTAATTGAGTAAATGTTGCTCCTTCGGTGGATACCGGACGAGTCCACTAGTCGTTGGAATTCTTCTTTATAGAAAGGGGAACGTTTTCGGCCTCGGTGTTCTTTTTTTACAATTCGAGTCTCGCCCTTATCGCGGTAAGGGTTCGCCGGCAGACCCGAGTGGAGGCGCACGAGGAGGGATAAGGAGTAAAAATAAAGATTAAGGTTCTTTTACGTTGTTATCCGCGAAGGGGAGGAAAGGAAGAACGCGAGGTGTTATCGTCGGTGTACCACTTAATTCGGATCCGAGGGTCCCTTTGTGGGGAGACCTTTTGTAAAAAGGAAAAAAAAATAGAGGAAACCCGAAAACGAGGGAGAAACCCGCGCCACTTCCAGAGCTCGCTCGGATTCGGTCGAGACGGAATGAAATTTCGCGATCGGTCGACACACGTACACACACACACACGGGGGAGGGGGGACAAAACAATGGCACTATTTTCCGCAGCGAGCCTTCGCTTCTTCCGTTGGCTCGGTCGTTTTAATGATGATGCTTTTTAAATGCCGCGAGGCGTTCGCGAGGGATTCATTTTTTTATTTGACTTTACAGATATATATATATATATAAATATAAATATAAATATATGTGTATGCATGTATGTACGTATGTGTGTAACGCGTTTCCTCGACGGTGGGTGAATTCCGAGGGGAGACGACGTACTTTTAAGTGCCGCTGCGATTCGTGCAAATCCGGGGATTTACTTTCGGCCCCTCTGCGGGGGTGGATTCCCCCGAGATATATCCTTCCTGGGAATACGGGAGGACGATGCGCCATTTTGATATTTGCCGTTGCTCGTACCGTTTTCCCGTAACGAAGTGGCGGTCTCCATTTTCTCGCCGCTTTTCGCGGGGGAGTTCAACCCCGGGAGGGGTCGGTTCCGTCGCTTGTACGTTGACTTCTTGTATATCCGAGTGCACAAACCACGCCGTTAACGCTGTAGTCCCAGGCGAAGCGGCGAAACGGCGGAATTCCCCGGGATTTTTCTCGCGTTTCGCCGGTTTTCCGGCTCGCCTGGAGGAGGTTTCGATTTGCCCCAGGGTCTGCTTTTTCGTTTTCGGCGGTGACCGGGAACGAGGCCGTTGTTTAACGAGGGTAATCGCTCGTCGTTCCCTCGTAACGAGCTCGTCTTCGGAAATGTTTCCCTCTTGCGGTTCCTCGAGGGGAAATTTTCTTGACGGTGACGACATTTTTTTACGCTCCCGGTTCCTCCAGAGAGAGAGAGGAATTTCCTCTCGCGGGGAAACCCCAGGAAGAGAGCTCGGTTTCACCTCGAGGACTCTTCGCCGGGGAGGGATGTCGGAAGAAAGCGAAGGCCACGAGGATTTGTTGGAAACACTCGGGAGGGACAAATTCTTTTTCGGGAAAAGTGACGTGACGTCGTCGCGCGCAGCTTTTCCGATCGATCCCAGTCCTCGCCCTCTCTCTCTCCCTCTCTCTCTCCCTCTTTCTCTCCCTCTCTCGTAACTCTCGACCTCGCTCGGATTTCGAAAATGGACATTATTAAGGTCACTCGGGGAACTATCCTAGAAGCTTCTCTGGATTTTTGGTTTCTCGAAGGCGATCAATATACCGGTATAAGTGGCTTATTTGTTAACGTGAAAAATTAATTTGGACGATCATGATTATTTTTTTCAAAGCGCGCCAATGTTCTCGGGCTGTTATAAGGGATTTTCAACGAGGCGCGCGCAGGCCTCCCGTTAGTTCCCGCCGAGTGGCGCCGCGATCGCGTTTCGCTGCCACTTTCCGCGCCCCCGAGAAATGGGAATCGGAGGAGAAGGTTCGCGGTCGAGCTTTCGGAAAATAAGGAACGTGATTTTTTTTCCCCTTTTGCGCTCCTGGGGCGCAAGAATCGGCGCTATCGCGCGTTTCCGCTTATGGATATCGACGGGTGTTGCGCATAAAAGCCGACGAGGCTCGAATGGAATGCGCTGACCGATGACGCGAATCGTCCGCACCGGAGAAAGCTTCGAAATCGTCACGTCCCGCGTTCCCGAGTATGGCAGACGATCGGGTTCCCTCGGGCTCGTCTTCCCCGCGGGATGAGGTTCTCTTCGAGGTCCTCTTCAAGACTTGGAACGCCTTCGGGGTGACAGGCAAAGTAGGACTAGCTTTTTCTTTTATTTTCCGTTCTCTAAGTTTCGCTTTCTCGGGTCCAGGACCTAGGTCACTGCAACTCGTTGGAGAGCGATTCGGCATTTCGGGCGTCGTCGGTTTCCTATAAGCAAAAGCCCCATGAATATTTAACGCCTCGATTTTAATGCTCGACGGTGACGACTCCGTTTGCGCGGAGCGTCGCTCGCTGTCGGGAGTAATTTAAATGCCCGGGGACACTTGCGTTCGGAAATGAGCGCGGACATGAAAGGGTAATCAGCTCACAATTTCGAAATTAATTCGCAATAAGACCGTCGGTGGAAACGTTTGAATGGCGGCCGGGCCTCGCCGTCATTCAACCGGAAAATTAGCGTCCGAGGAAGATATGTATATTTATACATAAACATTTGCATTGGAGTAACCGGGATTTCTTCGCGTTCGATCGATTCGATTCCCTCCCACGTGCGGCATAAATTCTGACGAATGATAAATGAAAATGACGTCAGCGTCGGTTCCGCGTTTTTTTTTAATTTTATTTTTCGCGTAAACTCGCGCTTTTTTTTTTAATTTTATTTTTCACGTAAACTCGCACTTTTTTTTTTAATTTTATTTTTCACGTAAACTCGCGCTTTTTTTAAATTTTATTTTTCACGTAAACTCGCGCTTTTTTTTTTAATTTTATTTTTCACGTAAACTCGCGCTTTTTTCGCCTTTTAGGAGCGCGGAAGAAAGTCGGCCGTCGCGGAAATTGAATTCCGGTCGATACGCATCGTGGTTTCCGTTTTTCACCTCTAACGGGAGAGTCTCTTTTTCCCGTGGAAATTCCCGCCCGGTAATTAATCTCGAGAGGTCGGTCGACCGGACGATCTTTGGCGTCGTCGAGGATCCGAAAAGGAAAAAATCGGAAAGTCCCTCGGACCCAGGGGCCGTTAAGGAGATTCGTTTAAAAATTAAAAGCGAAGCGGGGACTCCGGGGATCGCCTTCGGGACCGTTCCCCTCTTCCCGGAGGGGATTGGCAAGGAGCCAAGAAAAGAATCGCCGGTTTAATCCCTTCGATCCCCTCGAAGCGGTTGGCAAGGCTTTTTCGTCGTCTTGCATACGTGCTCATTTATTTTCCCCTGATATTATCAAGGACTTTATCCGAAAACAGACGTAGGATGGACCTCGCGCGTCGACCGACCGTGAAACCGGCATAATCGAGAGAGGACAAGGAGGCCGTTTTCCTCCTCTGTCGATTTTTATTCTTTATTTTTTGTTAGGCGATTGCGCGGCGCAATTTGACGACAGCCTATTTAATTTCGTTGTCCTTATCTATGGGTGGGATGGGAGGCGAAAAATGGCGAGGTGAGGTTGCCAGAGATAGTTCCTCCATTTCTCCATTTTTCCTAGGGTCCCTAATTTTCCTTACGCCCCCGAGTACCGTTCGAGCACCACCGTAAGCACAAAAGCAGACCCGAAATGGAGTTAAGGGATGCGACGAGTCGATATATCGTTCGACTCGTCCCATGGCTAGTGGATCGACATCCGACGAGTCGATATATCGTTCGACTCGTCCCATGGCTAGTGGATCGACATCCGACGAGTCGATATATCGTTCGACTCGTCCCATCGCTAGCCGACGAGTCGCGTCGGGATCAGCGCACAAATCCGCACGGGGGAAGACGCACGTTTTCGCGTATTCTTTCCTTTCGTTTCTTTCGTTTTCTCCGCGGCCCTTTTCCTTTCCTCCTTTTTATCATTACCGTTGACTTGCACTGGTGCAATCATCCGTTGGCCGCAGGCCGGCCACGAGAGGGCGCGAATCGCTCGATTCGGATTGCGGCGGACCTTTCGTTCGGTCGTTTCGGGAGAGCCGCGCCGATGGATGCCACGGGGTCGGGTGCATCGTGAACCAGACCCGGACGAGGAGAGAAGGGGAAGGAAGGAATAGAAGGAGCGTACGCGCGACTCTTGCGTGTAAGTCCGCCGATAAGAGGACACCGCTCGGCTCGGGTGGTCGATCGAAGCGGGCGCGACTTCGGTTTATCGCGAGCCTTGTCGGTCGTCATCCCCGTAGAATTTAATTACCGGGACATCCCTAGTGGGTCCGGCCAGGAACGAGGAAAAATCCCCGAAGGAATGGGAAAGCTCGCGGGGATATTCCCCTTGCGGCGCTCGATAGCGAGACGAGAGGACGAGCGTTTATTTTATAAATTGTTAATTCGGGGCTTACGAAAAGTGTCGTTGAAATTACCCTCGTACCGCCGTCGCCGGTCGAGGGGACGAAGGTTTATTTTTTTCTATCAGCTTCCCGGTAATCTGGGAAGGTACGCGGTCAGGGTCGCGTCCCCGGGATGTCCCTAGGAGGCGCCGTCGCCCGTGGCCGCGCGATAGTCGATGGTCCTTTCTCGGGAGGCGGCGCTCTCCCTTTCCCGAATTCGGCTCGCGCGGTTTCTTCTTGAAACGATGCCTCCGTAACCCGCGAAGTCGAGGAGACTTCGACGCACCTATGAAAATGCGTCGGCGTCCGAAGAAACGCGAGCGCGAGAGGGGAAGGAAACGTCGCATTTTGCTTACATTTAACGGGAAGATGAACGGTGAGGGAGGCCAAGTCGAGAAGAACGCTCCTTTAAAGCTTTTACAGGCCGCAATCGCCCCCCGATCCTGTAACCGGGGTCGTGGAGTTCGCCATCTTGGAACTTTCGAATGCGGGCCTCCCATTGGCGGAGACGGGTCACGTGACTAGGTGGTTTCCAAAATGGCGGACCGCAGCTCCGATGGACGAGGGAATCGACAAGGGTGTCGGGGGAAGGGAAATTCGGCGCGAGTCCGTTCAAATTTTTTCACGTTCTCGGGCACCTTTTGTCATCGCGTGTGTACGTATGCATAGGCAATGACGTTGATATAAATAAAGAGAAAACGATTTCCGAAGTTCGACGGCATTTCAGTTTGGAGAGTCACCGACGGGGGTTCGAAACACCTTGACAGGTCTCTTGAAAAATTCTTCCTTAGAGATTAAGTAGTCGACGGTATTCTAGAACGCGAGGAGTCGCGTCTCGTTTGTTCCTTTTTTTTTTTTTTACGGTCGAATCGTTTGCGAGATTCGCAGTTAAGTGCTGGACGCGTTCGGGAGGACGAGACCTTGACCCACGCCTGGCGAACGCGTGATGGCGATAACTCCTACCCTCCGATACGGCGCAGAGCTACAAAGTTAAGATTATAATGAAAACATCACGCGATCTCTGACATCCGATTATCGAGTCCAGCTTGATCGGAAACGATGGCCAACTCTGCGGACGTTGCCCCGGAGACATCCAGACTTCGCCGTGGATTAAGGAGGATACCCGATCATCCGACACCTGCTTCTTCGTTCGTCGCATACGATTGGCCGCCACGTAGCGCCGATAATGTTCCGATTAAGTCGAAAAAGGGGCGGTTAAGCCCCGTCTCGAAAATAAAATTGCGATAAGTCGATCAATGACCAAATTCGGCCGGCTACCGCAGGGCGCGATTAATTCCGCCGACGTAAATCGTACGAGACGCTCCGCGAGAGGAACTCGGGAACCCGATCCTTCGGAAAATTACGCGAGAACTCTTTCTTGCAGGTGGGAATGATTAATTGGATCTGGCTGCACCTCCCGCTTAACTCATTGAGGCACGGTGGTATTAAAAGTGTCCCACCTTTTTAACGCGTGAACATGCACGGTGGGACTACTTGAGTCCCACTCTATGACAACAAACTTAATTGAATTATTATTATTTTTTCATGTTTTTACATTGTCATTCCCGTATCAATAAAAATATAACAACTTTCTTGGATTTAAAGGGGAATAAAATTTCCGTGCGACATGGGCTTTTTTTTTTTCTATTTTTTAATATTCCGTACCTCGAAGGGTTAACTCGACCGGACGACCGAGGAGACGGCCCGACGTAGTTCACGTGGACTTCCAGGTGGAGGTCCAAGTTTTTCGGACTTGGCAAAAATGCACCTCGGAAATGACGGAAGTGTTGAACCCTGACACGGCGCGACGACGTCGAATACCTTTCGGCGTTACGTTACGCGTGACGCGAGAGGGGACACCCGCGCGACCACGCGACGCGTCATGGAAATCTTTCCTCCTGCTCGCCCAAGGCGAATGCGCGAAACGCCGGCGAACTTTGCCCGTCCTTTCGGAAACGAGAGGTCGGCAGAGTCCGCCGTATTGCGCGCCGTTCCCCTCGAGCCTCGTGCCGAACCTCGGAAACTCGCCGGACGGATTTCCTGCGCTTCCACCTTCCGTCCTTACGCCGACCGAGTGATGAAAACGCCGGAACGTTTTTTTTCTCTCTTTCTCTCAGGCCCGGTATCCGTGACCCTTGTCTTCTCAAGATTGTAATTAACGCTCGCAGTAAATACGGTTTCCTTGCTCGGGGACGCGACGAGCAAGAAACCCACCTCCATGTAAATCGTCGGGAGGAGGATCGTATGTTACACGTTAAGCGGGAAAAAAAAATCGTGCAGGTCGCCACGCGCGACAGGCCTAGGAATAAAACCAGGAGGAATTTATCTGGACCCTTTAATACCCGAAAGACGGTATCGTCCGGCAAACAGCGACCGGCGTGGACTTTGACGCCTTCCAGAGTGAGGAGAGGATCACGCGACTCCGGCGATGGGACACGGACGAGGCACGAGGCTTCCCCGACTCGGCTCTTTCAGCGGAGTTGCGTGCGCGGTTTTTTTTCTTTTTCTTTTTTTTTTTCTTTTCCTTCACATTCAGCGAGACTAATTTCCCGACCCGAGTTCACACGGTCGGCTCCGACCGACATCGCGAATCGCATATTCGACGGCTTAAATTATTCAGATTCGTAATAAACCAGGCGATTCGAATTTCAAATCGGCGCTCTTCCGTTGCCCGTCAGCTGTGTCGCATATCGCGCGACTTGCAAATCCCGACGTTTCGATGCGCGGACATTGCGCTTAATTAGCCGCCGAGCACGCGTCGTTAATTTAATTAATGTTAATGCTATCTCTGGAAGACTGTGTCAATGATAAGCCACGCGAAGGATCGTCGGGTGAGGCCTCTGGAGCGCGTATCGCTTTTTCTTGCAATCCGGCCACCTTTTAATAGCCGAGCGTATTTGTATTCGCTGTTTACAAAAGATTTATCCCGGGGTGATTTTTTTTTTTTTCCACCGTGAATAAGTGACCGCAATGCGGATTTTCTAGGGCACGGTACGAAAGTTACGCGTCGCGGATGCAGCAAATGATAATGGCCAAAAACGCTACACCTTTTATGCCATTCGGTTGGTCTTTCGATGGTATCGTCGCGAGGCGACTCCGTGATCGATTAATCCCCCTTTGGTTCATGTTTATGCCAGGCGGGTCAAAGGGTAATCGCAAGGTGGTAGCTTATGAGGTGGTGGCTTATGAGAAAATTAATACACACGCGGAAGTCGAATGCAATTGACATTTTTACCTAGCGAGGCCAAAGAACAAGAAATGTAATGTAGCCCAACGAGGAGCGCCTGTAAACGATAAGCGTATCGCTAGATTTATCGGCTCGCAATGTCGGCGCGAGTCAACGACACGTGTATTAATATGCACTTACTGCTAATTAACGTCGACGCAGGTCAATGCGAGCCGATAATGCGACATTCCGAATGCATCCGATTCTTCGCATTTGGGTGGTCTCGAGATTTTACCCCTTTTCAACGATTTCGTTCAATTTGGACTCTAGTCCATTTCCCTCTCCTGTTTGTACCGCGACCCGCCGAACATGCATGAGTCATGTCGACGTTTTACATACATTGTAAGTACATCCGAGGGCCGTTAACGAGTGCATAATGCTTGCGCAATCGAAAACGCCGAAGCTACCGAGACGTTACTCTCGGATGAAGTCGTTACTTAAGTCGAACCTTTTCCTTCCTCTGGTCGTTATGCCATTAATTATCTGTAATAAGTGGCAGCGTTATTTCCAGGTTTTCGCGTACAATTGCATACACGAGGATCTGGAGATAAAGAAGCCTGGAAGGACGTCCAGAAATGACCGTGACAATGCAAGCCGGAAGGTCGTTGCCAAGTGGCTGACCATGAAGCGAGAGTTTGATCGGCGCCCTTATCGTCGTACGATGAATTAGGTACGATTAGATAAGCACGGACTTATTGCGGATAGTTTTCGGCACGTGGATACGCAGGGTCGAGCTGGTGCACTTCCTTCTTCGGCACTGGCAAGCCGGTAATGGTCTTAAAGGTTGATCGCACCGTCGATGTACGGCGAGTTAACGGAAGCCTATCCATGCTGGCCAATGTACCTTCGCTAACGCTATTACGCGATGTCTGCTCGTCTGGTCTTGTACTTGCACTTCGACGAGGAGACGGCCGAGGAAGGTCACTGCTAGGCGACTCGAACTGGGAATGAGTTTCGAATTTTTAACGAATATCCGATTTTTTTCGTCCTCATTGTGTTCCCTTTTCCACGATGTCGACTACGGGGGCCTTGACTGTGTTCTGCTGAATTGGCTGAACCTTAGCATAATTCAACAATTAGCGATTCCGTCGGCTCGTTACTAAAACGTTTGAGATAGATAATGTACATTTGCATGCATCTTATTATGATAGGTGATTTAACTTCCACTTTTTTTAGACGCGGACGTACCGTACAAAGAATACTTACCACTTTCTTTTTTTTCTTGGGAATGGTTTGGGGTCATTCTAATTGCTCTATCTGGGATTAATTTAAAAACGTGCGTATCGTTGCAAATAACCGATGTATGTATCATTAACCTGATTGCGAGGAATTCTGATAGTCGTGATCGTTTTTTGACTGCTCGATGCATAAGTTGAGTAATTCAACTGTATTTTGCGGAGCTGGTTGGATTTTTATTAAAATGGAGATGTGCCAACTTTTGACATCAATTAAGGTAGTTATTTTACCGAATGTCAAATGTCGAGTCGGTTGGTTTAAATTAATCTGAATAAGGTGAAGGTGTAAATAGTGATGTCAATTAATAAGAAATTACTTCTATCGTTAACATAGACTTTGTATCGAGACGAAGTAAAGTCTTACGATGCGTTGGGAATAAAGAAATGAAAGGATGTTAGTAACGATTGGAAAATGATTGTAAACTTCTCGTTAACGTTTATAATTTTTTGGGGGGAAAAACACTTATAAAATTCTCTTGTGTTAACTAACTGTTTAGCTTTCTAGGAAACTTAATTTTTAATTGCTTCCCTAGTCACAACTAATTGCAAATATCAGCAACATAACGCGGAGAAAGTATTTCTTCGTTCCCATTAATTTCTCTTTAATCCTCCCACGTCAAGTTCTGCTTACATGTTTCCGTCGGTCTTAAAGATGTCAGCACTTGTCAGGTCCCTGTTGGACAACTCTCTCTCTTAGAGTTTCGTATTTCTTGAACTTAGATAACAGCTGCTTACAGGAAAGCAGTACACATATATAAATATACGTTACTTTGATATTGCTCCTACAAATAATTAGCAACGAAGCATTTAATAAAAATTCAAGCGAAAATGGAGCATAGCATCGTGTAGACAAAACGATCCCAAATCTATCTTAAAATTAACAAAGTTTTATTACGGTATCTAAATAAATTATTAATATACATACAACGTTTAAAATAATTAATTATCATTTTGTCGTTGGAGTATTCTCTTTGCCCCAGTCCTCGGAAACGTACTTCAGCAAGTCAGTGAGTCCCTCAAATTCTATTCTGCTTTGAGGAGGATCATTTTTTGGTATAGTGGGTAACAGAGAACCCATTTTCAATCGAAACTCTGCGGCATTCGTGGCTCCCGAAAGTTTCCATATAGCGTAAAAGAAAATGCTGCAACCTGAGACGGCGTACAAAGTACCCCAGCCTAAAGCTCTAAGAGCCAATGACGATCCGGTTTCGGCCATGCCTTTAGCCCCAACTATGCCTTCGCTAAAACCCTTGGGATCCTGCTTTTTTACAGCTCCTAATGCTGCTCCAAACCCAATGATAGTAGACATACCAGCGACAGCGGTCAAAAATATTGTAGCTGTGTTTGAAAGAAAATCACATTTTTTCCTAAAACAATGTTATGCGAGGGAACCACTCTTAACGATCATTTCGTAAGGTTCTATTAATGGATTCGAAGCTTTATTCTCAACGGATATAAAATCGTTGACACATATTTAATAAAAATCTCTTGTATAACCTCAAGATTTTGAGGTTAGTTCAGCGAGTATCAAGCAATGCAAGTGAAAGAAGGTTTTATTTATTAAAACGTGAAATAAAGTTACCTCGAAAATTATATTTTTTCTTCTCTGTATCCTCCGCAGTTGTCATCTGTCCATTTTTCAATGAATTCGTATCTATATTCTCCGATACAACAGTATTTAAACCGGTAGCCATTTCTGCAAATACTCGACGCTCATTGGTCGGTTAGGTAGACATGACGTCCAATCAAATTCCGCCGTTCGGGCATCAACTAGGATTGTCGATGATCGATATGCTGCGTCGATTTTCTGGCACACAATTGTGGATAACACTTTAATATAGTAACTTTAGCTTACAGGGTAAAACAATCTTGTCGAAACAGGTTGAAGTGGAATTTCTGACACGTTGTCAGGTGCGGATCTACTTTTTTTCTCCTCGTCGCACATAGGTAGGCTGCGATAATTCCATTTCTCTCAGTTCCTAGATTAGCGAGGCGCTGTTGACTTTAGGAACGACTCGCGATGCAACTGTCATTAGAAATCCCATTATCGATGGAGTTAAACATGCGGAACAGGTCGTAAGTGGCCGCAAAGGGGAACCGAGAGGAACGTAGTGGTGCAGAGATGGGTGTACGCGATGTTTTCACTGATTTCTCCTTATAAAAGGTGATCCGGCTGCGGTGTCATCGTTCAGAATGAGTGAAAGAAAGTTCACGCGTGGCCTCGGAAAACCGGGCATGGCCGCGCAGCTCCGGGAAACCGTTTCTCAGGTCGTTCGCGAGAGCACGGTGCAGGTAAGCCCACTGCCTTCCTACGAGTAAACACATGCAAATTCACTTGCAAGCACAATTATGCAATGATATGAGATAAATGCTCCGAGAGGATGTACACTTCCACTTCGCTTATCTCTATCGGTTCCCCACATTGGACATTAATTCTCAATGGTGCTACCATTCCGTAGCATTCGCAGTGCCTCTGAAACTTCCTCATGAAATATTAACGTCTTGTTTGATACTAAGCGTAGTGGGTCAAGTTATCTGAGAATGTTATAAACGACTTTCAAATAACTTCTTTGGTAATACATTTTTTTAAATTTAGTCACTGGAAGTATTCACTGTTTCAGAATAAACCACATTTGGTTGACCCAATTGATTTTGAAAGTTTTGTTCTGAAGAACAAGACGTTGCTGCAAAATGATCCGCAGCGAGAACTCCTACTTTATCCTCAGGATGACGTGTCGGTAAGAATATGTCAACTCTGTGCTATTAATATGGTATTAATTCTCTGAATAAATAATGTTTAAAATTATGTATGAATTATTATCAGTTTTTTGAATATGTTAGAATTTATAATTTCCTTCTTTTCAGCAAGTGGTTTTGCCTAGACGGTACCGAACTACCGTGCCTACTGTGCCACAGATTTTGGAAAGTTCTGAAGAAAAGGAAAATCTCCTTACTAAAGAATGTCTGCGGAGCTATGCATCCAACTGGAATCTTATTCACTATAAATACACCGCATATAGTGGGACCTACCTTGATTTGCCCAAGTACGATACATTCCTAAAATTCATAATTGCAACTGTTTTAATTTTCAAAGATGAAACAATAAAATTCTATGGCATTTTATAGAAATACCAGATCAGATGACCTAAGAGATGAAGTATATGAAATTGACACAGACGTGGATCAGGTGGACGAGGTATACATTTTCGTTTTCAGGAAATCTGACAAATTAATCAACTAAAATAATTTCAGGACCTAACAAAAAGTGATGGCATAACAAAACAAGGCTACCTTATGAAGGGTCCAGAAATTGGAAGTGGCGATCGAATGTTCGTACATATTGGCTCGAAGTCATTCAAGCGACGATATTGTCATCTGAGACAAGAAGTTGATGGCACTTATATCCTGGAATTATTCAAAGATGAAAATAAGGGCGAAGCAAAGTTGACGATAGTTATGGATTTCTGTACCGAAGTTGTAAGAAATCCAAAACGTGGAAGGTACTGTTTTGAATTGCGAATGAGTGGTACTCAAAAGTCGTACACTTTTGCGGCTGATAATGAGACCGAATTGCAAGATTGGCTGTTAAAATTAAGTTCTGTAGTGCAACATTATAAACAACAGGAAGAAAAGAGGGCAGCTTCTCTCGAGAGAACATGCAATACACCACCTCCGTCTCCACAACCGATGCAGGTATATATTATCTAAATATGAAAATAGATTTAATCATGGTTGCAATTACCATTTAATTATTTTATATGATTTGCCTTTTAGGTTTATGGCACATTGAAGGGGTTAGAGCAGAGTATGAATCCTCAGTTGATAAAGTATTCACGTGAAACAGATACCAGTATAGCTCTAGCAAGGCGAGAAAATAGAAGAAGATTATTTAGTATGTATCCACTAATGTCCCACGTAAAAAGTCCAACTGGAAATATTCACGAAACAAACGTGGATCCATACAAGGAACAATTTGGCCAACGAATTTTTGTTAAATGCGAAAGTCTTAAATTTAGACTCCAAGCACCGATAGATGAAAAAGAATCTCTATGCCAAGTTGAACCTTATCAAACCACGTTGAGCCTCTTTGATGCTAGAAATGGCAGAAAGCTCACAGAAAACTTCCACTTTGATATTAATCATGAAGCTGTCCGAGACATGGTGAAGGAACTCAGTCCGGAGGGTGTTATGTCCGAGACTGTTGAAGATACTAAAATGCCAGATGAAATTAAAAATATTCCTGTGGAGTGGATCATGTATCCAAAGCAGGTATGATCTTTAAGAATTCTAAATTTCTATCTGACTTTCTAACGACTGGCGTATTTATTTCAGGCAATACTGAGCATCAGCAATCCACATCCTGATATTTTTCTTGTTGTAAGGATCGATAAGATTCTGCAGGGTAGCATTTGTCAGACTTCAGAACCGTACCTTCGAGCTACAAAGGACCCTCGTTTAGGCTTAAAAGTACACAAACAGGTTCGAGCATGTTGCCAAAGGTAATGATACCGGAGCAAAGCATTTTTCCAACGTACAATTGTTGAAACTACGGAGATTAATATTTCGCTTTCATGATTTCTCTAGATTGGGCAATTACAGAATGCCCTTCGCTTGGGCGGCAAGGCCCTTGTTTAGGTTATACAGTAATGAATTGGACACGTCATCTGACTTTCCAGCCATATACAGGCAAGAGCCAAATAAGATAAGGGACGAAGAATTACTAAGACTCCTTTCGGAGTACAGGAAGTATGTGCTCTTTGATTTTACTATGTAGCGAAAATCCACCGGAATAAAAATTTAACACTTTTTATGACATTTCAGACCTGAAAAACTTAACAAATTGACTGTGATACCGGGATGGTTGAAATTAAAAATTGAACCCATTACAGACATTCCTGAAAGTGAGCATCTTTCAAGAAATTTCTACCTTATCCTTGACGAATGTAATAATGTAATTCTCAATATGGTTTTTAGATACTTTGACAACATCGTTAACACCGTTGAAGCAATTTCCTATACCACCCACAAATTGTCCCACCATCGAAGTTGCAGAATTTGAAAGTTCTTCCGAAAGAGAGGTCCATCCCTATACAACATACGTTAATCACCTTTACGTCTACCCTCAGACTTTGTCTTTCGATACCCAGAAAATGTTTACACGAGCCAGAAATATTGTGTGTATCGTTGAGTTGAGGGATGATGATAACGAGGACATACAACCACTGAGGGTATTGTAAATCTTAATTTGACAGATCAATAGTAACAATTATTATCCTACGTAAAATTTGAAAAGTGCTCTGCTAAAATTTAGGAACATTAATTAGTGTCTCGTTTAACAGTGCATCTACGGTAGACCAGGTGCACCTCCCCTGAGTCTACGAGCATCGTGTGCAGTATTACATCATAGCGCAGTTCCATCCTGGTACGAAGAGATCAAAATAAGGCTGCCGACAAAGCTTCACCAAAAGCATCACCTCCTTTTCTCGTTTTACCATATCAGTTGCGATATGAATAAAAAAAAAGAGAATGGCATTGAAAACTGCGTAGGTTATGCTTGGGCACCGTTGCTACATAAGGGAAGGTGAGTTCGTTTGACAGTTCCATTAAATCTCTGTTAGATGAACATTTAATCACATCCTCCATAAATAAAAAAAATGTATTTACTGTTTTAAAAATTTTTGTTATTAGATTGAACGTCGATATGGATGCAAATATTCAAGTATTACCAGTAGCAACGCATTTACCTGCAGGATACCTTTCCATACAACCCCTTGGCCTGGGGAAAGGGGTAAGAGTAAGATCATCTCAATCATCAGCACATTAATGTTTTTTATGTTCAAAGGCTTTGCTTCCCCTCCGAACCTTTCAATGTTACGGTACTTGCATCATCGATCGAATACATTGGGTAAAAATTTGAAAAAAAAAATATAGCATGTATCGCAACACTGAGATCTCTGGGGAAGCATTAGCTTTGCAGCTGGCATTTAAAAAATGGATACCGGGGCATGCCTCTCTGAATGTTGACAATTCTACCATTTTGTATCATCGTCCCATACGTGAGTTAACTTTAGCATTATGGTTGTGCTTTGGATGCATCACCAACTGGGCTTTGTGTGCTTTTTTACCGTATTTATCATACATATATAAGATTCACGATTTCACCGAATGAAAGTACCCGTAAAAATAAATATTTCCTTCCTTCTGTAGAACGCTGGCCCGGAGATCACTTGGGTGGACGCACAGAGGCAGATCTTTACAGTGGGGTTTCAACTTATCTCAACGGTATTTACCAAGGACCCTCATTTGCACAATTTATTCGCTCACGCGGAGAGGATCCTGGAGACGAAGCCCTCGGCGGTGCCGTCCGATTCGGAAACCTGCAAGATATTGAAAGCCGCTCACGCTATACAGCTAGTCACCGCTATCACGTTTCTACCGACTATTCTGAACCAGCTTTTTGCCCTGCTGATATCAAACACCAGCGAGGACGTCGAGCTGTACATCATCAGGGTGCTGGTCCACATAATAAATTTGGTGCACGACGCTGGCCGGAAAGAAATCCTGCAGGCTTACGTCAAGGTCTAGGATCGATTATTCGTTAGGTACATCAAACGCGAAGGAGTTATCCGAGATTAATGCTCGCTTCCGTTCGCAGTTCGTCTTCGTGTCGCCTTCCAAGGGGAACGGGAGCACGACGGTGCACGAACAACTCGCGAAGAACCTCCCGATATTGTTGCAGCCGAGCAACACCGACTTCCTGGTGGTCAACAAGTTCATGCACCATTCCAGTTTCTTCTTCGAGATCATGGTGAAGAGCATGGCTCAGCATTTATTAACGACCGGCAGAATAAAGGTGAGTACGCCTCCTGCGAGAAGAAAGCGGCTCTCGAGACGCGTAAATGCCCGCTTTAATGGCAGATGCACAGAAACGAGCGGTTTTGCAAGGAATACCTCGACAGGATAAAGCATCTCATTGAGGTCGTGACCCCGTACATCATGAACAAGTACAAGGAGATGCCCGTCGAGACGCACGAGTTGAACAAGAGCCTCGCCCATTTCTTGAAGGTGAAGGTCTCTCCTACTGTTCTTTTAGGTTTTTGCTCCAATGACCCGCGTTACTCTTTTCTTTCAACAGAGATGCCTGACGTTCATGGATCGAGGGTTCGTCTTCCGTTTGATCAACTTTTATATGGACCACTTTGCCCCGGGAGACCCCAGGACGTTGCACGACTTCAAGTTCGCGTTCCTACAGATCGTCTGCTCGCACGAGCATTACATATCGTTCAACCTGCCCATGATGCAGTCCCGAGTGACCAGTAGAGGTAAGATCTCCGGGGAAATCCTAATGAGGCATACCTTCCTCGCAATACGTAAACGAATTGTAACGCTCGCTTTCGTTCTTTGCTTCGAAGAGACAGGGACCGAGCCCGAATGTGACGGTACGTTCAGCCAACGTTCCCGCACTCCTTTAACGTATTCCGCGTGTTCTCACGACCTTTTGCAAGCGAAAATAAACCCCTTTCCACTGGCCCTTTTCGTCGCTTCGCTTGGACGAGAGAGTAGTGACAGCCTCGTAGCGATTAGACAGTTTTCGTACACGTTCGCGTACTTCGTCAGATCTTCGTTCCACTTGAATGTCGAATTTAATCCACCTTTTCGCACCGACGATCCGTCGTAGAGAACCCAGCTTATTTCTCCCGGTTCTTTTCAGATCTGGTGAACGAGTACTGTTTATCGGAGGACTTCTGCAAGCACCACTTCCTGGTCGGTCTTCTCCTGCAGGAGGTCAAGATGTCCCTCAACGAGGTCGTGCAGATCCGCAGGGTAGCGATCTCCACCCTGAGGGACCTGATCGCGAAGCATGAGCTGGACGATAGATACCAAAATAAAGTACGATCACAGACTAGCGTCGAGCTCTTCTTCTCGAGCATGAGTCTATAACAAGTCGTTCGGGTTTCAGGGTCAATTGAGTAGAATAGCGTCAATTTATATACCCTGGCTCGGGATCGTGCTCGAAAATCTACACAGACTGCAGTCCGTCCATAGCGAGGTCAAGGCCGAGGTGAAACACAATCCTGCCAATAGGTTGTCAACGAGCAGCACGTTTCTCGCGAGTAAGGATGCCACGGGGAGTCCCGTGGCCACTGGAACACCAAAGTCAATTCACAGGTGCGATCGAGTCGGTTACCAGGTCTTTGAAATATTTTCTGAATAATGTGTACGCTTTTTCTTTGTTTTCCCAGGTTTACCCTGCACCTCGACAGTCAGTCCCCCGTTAGAGCGTCGATGCATCTTCGAGATTCGACGTACTTTGCTGCTATAGCCGGTCAGGGTCTCGTCAATGGATATTCTTGCGCAAGCATAGAGTCGGACGCCTCGACGATGTCCGGTGCTTCTCAGTCAAATGTTTCACAAGAGACGGCGATAATTCGAGAGCCTGCCGAAAATGGCACCAGCGAGGAGAAGGGCCATTCTCGAAGTCTCAGCGTCACTCAGGCTTCTCCTAGATGCGACAAATTGCAATCCTCCGAAGTCAAGGATTTGCTGCTCTGTTTCCTGTTTGTCATCAAACATCTGGGCGATCATCAGGTCATCGCCTGGTGGCAGCAGTGCAGCGACGTCGAGACTTTGAGCTTCTTCACGGTCATAGAGTGAGTTCGAGTTTACCCTGGTTGAAGATAACGTTATAAATTCGTTCGCTCTTCAGGTTGAGCCTCCACCATTTCAAATACGTTGGAAGAAGGCAGATATCCACAAATCTAGCCAACAGCAGTGGGAAACCTCGGACCGTCAAGGCGATGACGCTGCCTGCCAGGATGGCACCTCCTGATTTTTCATCGGAAAGTCCTGCGACTGGGACCCTCCAACCTCATAATTCCACCGCCAGGGAGAATCTCGCCGAAAACGATAGTGGAAAATTATATCAAGCTCTGTTGGATGCTAACATGGCTACGGAAGTGGGATTGATAGCCCTAGACTGCGTGGGATTATTCTGCATTCACTTCAAGGTAACCTAAGCAGAATTGAGTACTCCTGAGCATGATCCAAATTGCAGGGAAGCTTAGAATTATTTCTTTCCAATCGTGGACCTCTAAAATAAAAATTCAAATTGGATTAATTTTTTATCGCTCCCCAGGATGCTCTTCTAGCGGGAGACGGAGACAATCCCGTGATGCAGAAGATATTCGGGATCTACCTTCTCTTCCTTCAGCTCGGCCAGTCGGAGACTCTGTTCCGACACGTTTTCGCCGGGCTTCGGGCCTTCTTGAATAATTATTCCATCGTTCTTTTTCAGGGTACGTAATAAATCTTGCATTCTCTTATCATCCCCAACTTTGTCACAATAATTGCTCTCGCAGGTAACGCCGTGTTGTGCGGCAGGCTGTGTTACGAACTACTGCGATGCTGCAACAGCAAACTAAGCTCGATCAGGCAAGAGTCTTGTGCTCTCCTGTATTTGTTAATGAGAAGCAATTTCGAGTTCACCAGCAGGAAGGGATTGACCAGAGTGCACTTGCAAGTACGATCGAATTCCCTTTTAAAGTGTTTCTAATTCTACAAATGTAAGGACCGAAGTAACCTTGTATTTTTTTTTTAGGTCATAATCTCGGTCTCGCAGATGCTCGGCAACGTCATTGGTCTGAATAATTCAAGATTCCAGGAATCGCTGTCCTTGATTAACAGCTACGCGTCCTCGGATAAGGTCATGAAGGGAACCGGGTTCCCGGTCGAGGTCAAGGATTTAAATAAAAGAATCAGAACCGTGTTAATGGCTACCGCTCAAATGAGGGAGCACAACAACGATCCCGAGATGCTGGTCGACTTGCAGCACAGTTTGGCTAATTCGTACGCCAGCACTCCGGAGTTGAGGCACACCTGGCTGGAAACCATGGCCAGGAATCACGCGAGAGACGGAAACTTCTCCGAGGTAGGATAAATCTAATGCTCTTATTAATTTTCGATACCATTCTACGAGCTGCGACGTGCAATAAGTATCTCGGTTGCAGGCCGCTTGTTGCCAGCTGCATATAGCTGCGCTGATGGCCGAATATCTGAAGCTGAAGAACATCCACTCTTGGGGCGCCGAAGCGTTCGAAAAGATTTCTGTCAACATTTTGAAAGACGAGCGCGGACTGAAGCTCGATGCTGGTGAGATTTGTATGTCTTGCACATGTTTGTCCTTTATTAGATATCGTAGGTAGATAGAAGCATGACGTCTTCGTTCGTTCCGATCCTCTTGCATGTCTCCTGGTCATCTGCTCGTGATTTTTCTATCGCGTGTCGTGAATGCACGTTGCATGAATACCTAGAAAAATACAAGTCGTGTTACGAGTGACGCGTTATTTTTCAATGAACTTCCAGGCGTACAAGATATCCACTACAACGAGTACCTCCTTCTCGAGCAGCTGGAGAGCGCAGCCGAGATGTTGGAGAAGGCCGAACGATTCGAGCTGCTGGGCCATCTGTACCGATTGATAATACCGATGTACGAGGACAAGAGAAATTACGAGGCCCTGTCGAATTGTTACCAACACCTGTCGCAGGCCTGCAACAAGATCGTCGAGGTCACCCGGAGTGGGAGGAGGCTGCTCGGCAGATTCTACAGGGTTGCGTTCTTCGGCTCCGTAAGTGCATCGCCATCGTCACATCTTGGGTATTGATAAGGGATCGAGATAAGTCGATCTTTCGGTCCAGGCATACTTTGAGGAGGAGAACGGCCAGGAGTACATCTACAAGGAGCCGAAGGTGACGTCTCTCTCCGAGATCTCCGAGCGGTTGCATCGACTGCATTCCGAGAAGTTCGGCCCTGAGAACGTAAAGATGATCATGGACTCGGTCCCGGTTAATTCCGCCGAGTTGGACCAGAAGTTTGCGTACATCCAGGTGACCCATGTCACCCCTTACTTCGAGAAATTCGAGCTGGACGCCAGGCCCACCGAGTTCGAGCAGAACCACGACGTCGGTTGTTTCATGTTCGAGACTCCTTTCACGAAGGAGGGCAAGGCCAGGGGGAATCCCGAGTACCAGTGGAAGAGGCGCACGATACTGACTAGTAAGAACCGGTAAAAGCGGTACAAGGGGTAGGATATGATAATTCTTCGTTTCTTTGCAGCGCAATACTGTTTCCCCTATGTCAAGAAACGCATCCCCGTCGTCGAGAGGAGAGTCGTCGAGCTCAGCCCCATAGAAGTGGCCTTGGACGAGATGCGGCAGCGCGTTCAGGAACTGGAAGACGTCGCCTTGATCGCTCCAACCGATGCCAAGAAACTTCAACTGAGGCTTCAAGGAAGCGTTTGCGTCACCGTCAATGCAGGTCCTCTTGCGTATGCATCCGCGTTCCTGGATCCGGCACTCTCTGCCCAGTATCCCGATGATAAAGTGGACGAGCTGAAAGACGTCTTCAGGTATTTTTAAATTGGCCTGGAAATTTGTCTGCACTCGAATGATTAATATTTCCGATATGGTGATTTCTTACGCTTCTGTATTTTTCTTTCGTTACCTCAGGGAGTTTGTGAAGATATGTTACACCGCTCTTCAGATCAACAGCAAACTGATAACGGCCGATCAACACGAATATCAGGAGGTGTTGCGGGAGAACTATCAAAAGCTCTGCCAAAATTTGTCTTCCCTGCTCGGCGAATCGGTTTGGCCGGACGAGCAAGTTGGGAGCTTCAAACGAAACAGCGCGGCTCTCTTTAGTGCTATAAGTGGTGCTAACAGCCATACTAGTACAGCTTAAGGTCTAACTAGCACTTTATTCCACCACTGGGAATCGTTCGACTAGTCTTTATTTGTAGCGAATGGAAAGAGAAGTAATTTGCTTTTAACCCTCGAATCGACCGTTATTAAATCAAGTCGTATTCTGTCAATTCTCAGGTACAACGACAAAGAATTGTAATTATTTTATAGGCTAACAGTGATTAAAGAGGTGGGCACTGCGAAGTATCCAGGGAAAGGCTTCATCGAGTGCTCCACCGAAGGATGTTTTTTTTATATCGAATGTAAAATGACTCGTAGGGTTTAATAATGATCGATTCGACTAATTCTCAGGGTATGTATAGTTTAATTCAATCGATTTTAATCAAATGAGGAGGATTCGAGTGAACCGATCGATTGATTTGTTCTCCTAAAAACGATCAATTTTTTTTACATACCCCGAATAATATATATTACTTGGTACAGACTAAAGGTACAAATTAGATTTCAGTTTAAGCACTTCCATTTCTATCAGTTTAGGTGGAGCACTGTCTTCACTTACGATAAGTGCTTTTGAGAAACTCGTACACTGTTTTGCAAAAACTTTATCTGAGTTTGTCTTCCTTAGGAAAATGGTATTTCGTCACTCGTAGGCAAGATGCACCGATGGGCTTAGTATTCTTAACTGACGCTGCATAATTTCGCTGGTAACTAGGTGAATTTACACGAATTTTTTAAAAAGGAAGAGAAAAAGGAAAAAAAATTGGCTTATCACAATCAAATATTAATTTCGGAGCTCTAGGAAAAGTAACGATTTCGCCGTTGCCTTTCCTAGATTCTTGTAGCCGTTCTTCGTAGCAATGGATCGATAACTTTGGTTCATCGATGTCAAGTACACAACTTCAAACACGCATTTGTCTGCAATCGTACATTTCAATATCTGTCCCTTTCGTAGAGTTGAGAAATACGTTTTGAACTGTTAGTGAGTCACATGAGAAACATGCCGTCAAGAAGTTGGCCTATTAGTGATGCTAACACTGCCACTTACTTCGAGGAAAAGTATTTGAAAGTTACTATAAAGTCTTTTGATACTACGTGGTATTTAACACGGTGAAGCATACATGCAAATTTGTTTGCCTAGTATTTTTATTTAACAGATTCCATTTAATCATAGATACGAATAGCTTTCAGGATACACTAGTGGCAATTTGGAGATTATTTTCTCTTCGTATACACGATAATACAAATGATAGTTTGGAGGAGTAGAATAAGTCAATCGTAGATAGGTAACTGCAAGCGAGAGGGCATTTATGTATGCGCTATATAAGGACAGAATTAATTAATTGAATAATCGATTAATTAATTTATTATGTGTACATTACTTTTCTGATATGTATATATGCGAACGGGAACACGCATGTACCTACGTACGTGTATACATAATGATTTATGTATCTACGTATACTTACGTGTATCGATGTATGGTGACACTAAAAGCCATAACCACATCTTGGTCGTTATCCAATAAACGCAAATGTATTTCTATGTGTCCCCCGAGGGGTGCTATATCTATTGCAACAAGTACATCAAGGTGGTCTTTACAAAATCAAAATAAAAATTTCCATTGAGCCGGCTTTGTAAGATATTAAAAATTGAAGGAACTTGTTTGCGGCTGGTTTTACATTTTTTCACAAAAGGAGAAAATGAAGGAATGTTGGCTCGAACTAATTTTCACTTTGCATTTCTAAAGGCCGCCTTGAACCGTATGTACGCTGCTGTATTGTATTAGGGAGTACCGATTGTTGTTGGGTGATCGCTTATTTTTTTAGGAAGTTACGTATTAATTTCCCGGAGTATCTGTACAAAGTGCTCGCGATTTTTTTAGGTCCGTCGAGCTTGTACCAATGTCCTTTCGCTCTTGTTTGCATAGAATTAATTTTGTAAACCTGAATTCGGCGCCTTGCAGCTGATAATCATGACAAGTTGCTTAATGCCCTTGCAAGAATTACGTTTATCCACGTTGTTAATTTCAAACATTTACCGCACGTTATGCATACTTCTCCACGACATATGGACAAGTGAGACAAGCACTGCTAGGCTTTGCAGTAATATAAGGATCCTTTGTCGATAATTTTAGATGCGTAAAATTAATTTCTTTCCAAGATTGCTTTTGCTCTCAATTATCTCCTTTGTGCAATTTTATCTTTTTCTAATCGGAGAAGATAGAAGTTGCAAAGGGAAAAAAGCTTCGAACCTCTTTGTCGATTACCTTGCAAAGGTATTTCAGATACGTTGGAGGTGAGACTGTCCGACGATATGGAAGATCAGCCAGTTTAGGAAACTTTGAGAAAGTTGTCCACTATCATCTTTATCAGGGTTTTTTACATGTTTAAGGACGCTCATTTGCGCGTTGGACGTAACATTATATTATTAAAATAAGCCATGCACATTGCTCGACTATTGAGTAAAACTTTTTAACCGATCCATCTAGCGCCACGCTAAGGTAGAACGAGTCATACTTCAGATTAGGTGTCAAAGTAGATAACTACGTAACAAGAATAAGGCTGACAAGAAACATATGTATGTGGTTATGATTACAGTAAATTACTGCATAACTCAGAGTTCTTCGCTGTACGAATATCGATTAATATTCATAAGTTCTTCTACTATTCAACTACCGAGGATAGAACAGTTATATTTAATGAAAGATTAATCGTTATGACTGGCTATCGTATCGGCACAATTATCAATTAATTTCAGAGCTGTTTAGGGTGATGCGTACCTAGAGTTGCCACCTAGAAGGGATTAAAAAATCCCAGTTTTTATGAACAAATATACGAATTGCCCAAATCATGGCTAATATTTTAATATTTCTGGCCTCTTTGAAAGGAACGATGATCTAGACTGAAAATTTGTTGACGTGCAGATCTAGGATGCAGTATCTGACTTTTTACATCACCCTAAATGACGTCCTATTAAGTAATAGCATGACAACTATTTTTCAGGGTCATCGGATTAGTATTAACTTTTCTATGTACACCGAAATAGAATTTTTACACCGACTGCATTATTTTAATTGCAGCAGAGTACAGTATTGATTTACTTACATAAGTACGATTTGCAACAAAAAATGATGAAGTATTGCTAAACTTTACATGATTTTTTTAAACAGCTGTTGTTTATTCATATCATCAGTTTTTTATCTAACAATTATGCTATCGATATATATCTGAAGGGTTGTGTTGGAAAAAGTATGTTCCACAGTACTGTTCTTAAAATCTGCTGTAACGATGCTATGAAAAATACTGTTCATGGCGACATTTTAATATACATAGATTTTTCTGTATATCGAGGAAGGAACATAAAATTTAGTGGTAACTACATTATATTAGAAAAAAAATGTCGACCGGACGAGAAGCTGATTAATGTGATTAATGTTTGAAAAAGGAATATCCAAAATATTCTAGGCACACAAAATATAGTAGTCCAATGACCAAAACTATTCCGACCAAACTGGTTTTTACCATAAAAAAGGCGCACAAGATAAAGTTAAAGAATTGTAGCATGTTATCAGAATGTAGCTTGAGGTGAAGATTTTGATAAAAGTGGATTTTGTGCGCCTCGTGATTTACTTTAAATTTGAAAGAAAAAGAAGGAAGACGTGACGCGGTATTTAAAGATGGCTAAATGTAAGGGATAAGAGATCGGAAGCAAATGAGTCCAGTTAAAGATAGTTCGGTGTATGGAGGAGGTGTTCGGATTGTATAAAATGTTAGTTTTCCAATGTTATGAATTATATTAACAATTGACAGGCCGCTGAGTGGATCCATGCTCGTGCGAGACTTCTGTAAAGTGCGTTTACTTTATGCAAATTTTAATGGATAGTTGCACAACCGCGCAAATCATCAACGGGAGTGCGAACTGTAATTCTACGGTTTGGCAATATTTACCGCTTTGCTCTGTATCTGCTGTATAAATGTGCCCCGAGAATTAACTCGGACGTTGTGGTGTCGACCATTGATACGATTTTCAGTAATCGGCTCTGCAATTAAAACGTATTGTACTTATTAACCTGTCATTTCGAAATAAATGTCAATTGGCATTGATTAAAAGAAAATAAAGTATAAAGTGTCCACCCCTTAGTAGTTACTGAGATATGAAATAATCGTAAAAGAGGCTTTACCGTGAGAGAAATTTAAAAATCCCACTTACGCAGGGCTGCTGATCCGCCATCTTGAATTTGCCAGTATTGCCAACTAACGGAATTATCAACAACGCGAGAATAATTGTCAAGTGAGTTTTGAACCATTTTGAACATTCCTTTTGCAAATAGTCATATATTTTTACGAAATAAAACAAACAAATATGAAATAAGGTACCGTACTAATCAAGACTTAGAAAAATACGGTAGTTAGAAGAGTATGTAAGATATGTGATGTATTTACAAACACCACTGAGTTAGGTTATGTCGAGAAATTGGCAATTTCCGTTTATATCTTTCATTGTTATTCCTTTTCACATTCTTTCATTTCTGATATCATTATTTTGCCATTTTCTTAATGAATACACCACGTTTTAATTTGTTCAATAGCTTGGCAGATCATAGAACATGACGACTGCTCCGAGAGCTACATTTGAAACTGCAAGAGGTGGGCAGGGACGTGGAGAAAAGGATCTGAGTGCGATATCCAAGCAATACAGTAGCAGGGATTTACCAGCACACACAAAATTAAAATACAGGTATAAAGAGCCCAAATTAGCATTTGAATCGTGTATGCTTAATTACGTGTTTTCGATCGAGGAATTTTTTTTGTGCAGAGAACATGGACAGGGAACAGTCGAGGAGCTCCGTAACCGAGACTTCCGGAAAGAACTGGAAGAGCGCGAACGAGACCGTGACAAGGATGGTAAATCCGTAAATCGCAGAGCAATCGAATCTTCCAGAGAGACGTCCACACCTAGCGCTAAACGTCAGAAAATCGATCAAGTTCCCGCAGCAAGTTTAGATGCCGACGATCCCCCAGATGACGACGATTCCGACTCCGAAAGCGACGAAGACGATACAGCGGCACTTCTTGCCGAACTCCAGCGGATTAAGAAAGAAAGAGCTGCGGAACAAGCCAAAAAGGCAAGACAAATTCATATTATCTGAAATCCTTTATACCTAATACATTACTTTTTTGCACATATTAAATTAATAATTGACCACGTTAATTTTTCAGGAATTGGAGAAGCGACAAGAAGAAGAAAGGATCAGGATGGAAAACATTCTGTCCGGAAATCCTCTGCTCAATTATTCATCTCAAAGCAGTCGCACCGACATGAAAATCAGAAGACGGTGGGACGACGACGTCGTATTCAAGAACTGTGCACGGTCGGAGCCTAAGAAAAAACACGACGTATTTATAAACGACTCTTTGAGAAGCGAGTTCCATCGAAAATTTATGGAGAAGTACGTCAAGTAGAGAGGTTTAATTCTAAGCAAAGAAAAATTCCACAACTGTATATAATATTATATTCTCGTCTCTTAAAGTCGAATCGACAGATTTTTCATGAAAGTAGCGCATTCGCGATAGAATTACTCGTCATCGACGATATCGATCCAGAGACCAAATGCCAATGGCATCGCATCTCGACTCGTGTCGACGTGATTTTTCATACAGCCGTCGCATCACCAAATAGCATTAGAGAGGAATAAAGTCGAAGTGCCGGCTTCCTTCCACCGACAAGAGCGTAAGAAATTCCTTCCTACGTACGTGCCCTGCTATTTGCCCCGGAACGATCGGTCGACGGAGTACTCGAGAGCACCCGCTTAACCGGTCGAAAAGGTCGCGGAGTCAGGCCACGGAAATAAAAGCACCAGGCCAGGGTCGAGAAGAAGGGAACGAAAAAGGAGCAAAGGCTAATAAGGTACACAAACCAAAGGACCGCAAAAGGAAGGAGAGGGTAATAAGGAACGAGACGAGATTAAAGGGAGAAGCATCGACGCAGGAATGCAAAGAAACGCAAAAAGGCTGGATTTCGGTAGCGCTCCGCTCTCGAGGGGCCCTGGTACGTGTACGCGCGGGCATACACTCGATCGACGCATAATATATACACGACGCAAGCGCGGATAAACCGCTGGGTCAAGTATAACCGGTCCCGAGTCGAATGCCAGAGGCAGGCAAGCGGTCTACCGGTGCTCGCCGGACGTCGGTATCGCGGCGGCGCACACCTGGTCCCGCCCCCCATCACCTGGCGGTAGTCCCCAGACTCCTTGGCACCGCCCGGCCAGCCTTTTGCCTCCCTTCTCTCCGCCGACTTTGGACGTAGAATACGAACCGCCGCCGCCCCCACTTTTCCCTGGCCAGCGCATCGCCGCGTTTCCAGCGTCTCCGTCCTCCTCTCTCCTGCGCGACCGCCGTCTCGGCGTCCTCGTCACCGCTGCGGGTGTATTTCGGAACGGAGCATCCTCGGTTGCCTTCGCGCCGTGGGATGAGACCGCGGTTGATCGAACGAGAGGAAAAACGGAGGGAATTAATGGACCGACCGGGCGAAGTCGAAGGTTTTTATTCATTCGTTTTATTTCCCATTCAGGTCCGGCTCTTTTCGCCGAGCCACTTTCTCGGGGGATCCGGAAAGGAACCGGGTGTCGAAGTCTCCGATCCTCGGGTAGATCATAGGGTATTAGGGATGGCTAGGGGATTTAAAAAGTCGAGTTCGAAAGCGTCTCGGCGGGTATTTAAATGGACCCGGTGCATCGGTAAGTCGGTCGGCATGAATGGACCCTGACGTTTCTCTATCGCGTCCGATGGATTTGGACTCCTCGAGGAAGCGGTCGCATCGGCAGCCATCGCAACCCTAATCGCTGCCACCGGTTCGGAGAGGGCCAAGCACCGCCTCCTTCTTCTCTAGGGGGCGGTCTTATCGGTGCACCTCAGGGACGGACGTTTCCCTCCCTTTCGAGTTCGAGCGACGATAACTCGCGATTCTCGCGCGGTCGAATCTCGAAGAGAGCGAACGACGTTCTCGGAGAGGATGCGAAACCGAGCCGTTCGTCCCCGCGAGGATTTAATTTATGATTACGGGGCTTTGACGGCGAACCACCGGTGCGTCCGTAATCGTGTCGACATCCCGATCACGGGGCAGAGATACAAATATTTTCTCCTCTCGCTCGGGCGTAAGTGCCCGTGACACGCGACGGAATGAAAGTTGTCCCCCGGATTGCGCAAACCGCGGCTCGCGCCCGCTTTCGTCGAGGCGTTATTCCCGAGAAAGTCGGCCGCTGGAGTCCGAGTCGTCCCCGATCTACCCCTCGCCTCTAATTCGACCGGTGGGTGGCTTCGGATTTCAATTTTTCCGCCCGAGCCCGCGAGGGGGATTCGAAAATTCGCCTGACGCGGGGGAGGTAGGTGGGGGTAAAAATGGCTTCAACGTGGTTTGGACGTTTTCGGGGGAGGTTAGGGCGCCGGCTCTAGTCGGGCCGGCCCTGGAAGGCGTAGTCGCGGCCGGTCGCGGCGTCGGCGGATCGTCGGTGAATCGTCAGGTCGGGCCCGGCCGGGCCGCGGCGGCCAGTATGGGTTCGAGCTCCGGGGACGAACGGAGCGGTCGTCAGTCCGTCGGTCGACGTCGAGGCGGCGACACGAGCGAGCGCGCGCGCCCACGAACCTGGCATCGAGACGACGGGGGCGCCCCGACGGCGGCGACGCGCACTAGGCACGGGCGGCCCTAGGGACCCGCTTCCGCGAGCCGCCGCGATGCCCCGGCCTCGCGGGGCGCCGCGGGCGACCTGCGTTACCGACGAGCCGGGTTTCCCGGGCTTCCCCGGCTTCCTCGGACCCTCGGGACCCCCCGAGTTCCCCGGGTCCGGAGGGAGGACGCCGGGACCGGCGAGAGTGGCCGCGGTCCTGTGCCTCGTGGCCGGTCAGCTGATCGCCCTGGCCGGCGCCGAGCGGACCAGCGGCCTCTACGTGGACAACGGCCTCGACCAGACGGTCGTTCACAGGGTGGTCACTCAGCGCGAGAAGCGAGAGGTCGAGCACGAGATCCTGAACCTCCTGGGCCTGCCCGATCGGCCCAAGGGCGCCCAAGGAAAGGTGCCCCAGGTGAAGAGGTCCGCCCCGAAGTTCTTGCTCGACGTGTACAGGAACACCCGCGGCGAGGACGAGGAGAGGCCGGCTCCCCGCGACGGCGAGTTCGACCTCACCGGCCAGGACCTCAGGGCCATTGACCAGAGCGACGTCATCATGTCCTTCGCCGCCCACAGTGAGTCATCGGAAGCGACCTCGACCCGTGGGATTCCTGGGAGGACCCTGGGAATCCTCGAGGGCAAGACCGAAGAGGGCTCTCTTCGAGGGACTCCCCTTGGCTCGCAAAAGATGCGAGACCGAGACCATGATCATCGACGAGGATTTTGCTCGTCCCGGTTCGACGTTTAAAAAATAATATTGCGGGGTTGTCCCGTCCCGGGTGATGCCCGAGAGGCCCTCTTCGGATCGAGAACGGACCCCGCGTCGGCTCGCCTCTTTGCCGGTTCATTGGACCCCGGGGAATCCTTCTCGTCTCGAGAGCATTCCTCGAAAGTCCGTTCGCGGCAAACGGCACGGTATATCGCTGGACGTCCACTCGAGGCGATCCCGTAGCGAGGACTGTCCAAGGTATACAGAACGTGGCGTCCTTCGCCGAGAGTGAACGAACCAGCGGTGCGTCTTTCAGAGAGGGATAATCGCTCCCGTGCGTGACGGCGTCGGTCTCGCGAGATGAGGTTCGGTTTCGAGCCCGATCGAGACGTCTATATTTACCGCCTTAACGTAACGCCGGAGTCTGCCACTTTCAGGAATTGCGTGCTTCGTTGGGGTCCCGTGCGTGCCGACCTCGTCGACGGTTTCGGGAAAGGAGTAAACGGGACGTTTCAAAGTGGACACCCACGGAGAGGGAATCGCATTCGGGATCGCCGGTCCCATCCCGCGGGACGAGGGGGCATTTTTTCAAGGGAGGAATTCGGCCCTCCGCTCTTCGGGCTTCGATGAGTCGCGCTACGAGGCTCGCATATAAATCGAAGCCCATACCCATTACTTATTGGACGCGTATCCTCTCCTCTCCCGATACTGGGAACGAAGGTGACCGATAAAAACGAATCGTAAATCAACACGCCATTACGTTACGCGGGCCGCGAGTTAATCGATGGGCCGTTTCGTCCCGGGATTTATGAGCCTGCTTGCGAATCCTCGGATTTCTTCGGACGGGGAACGTGCTTTGGGACAGCAAAAATGTCTTTCAGATTCCTTCGGACGGGGAACGTTCCTTGGGAAAGCAAAAATGTCTTTCGGATTCCTTCGGACGGGGAACGTTCCTTAGAGGAAAAACGTTTTTCGAAAAAAAAAAAAAAAAAAGGAATGGACGTCTTCTAGCGATCCATGGTAGGAATTCGAGACCTAGCTCTCGTCTCGACGGTTTCGTTGGCTTTTTGGCTAAGAGAGTTTTCCAAAGATGTGCATAATCCGATCGATACGATTTAATTAAACTCCGACTCTTCCGGAAGACGGCTCCCTCGGCCACCCGCGCGCATCCTCGGTAGGGCCCTTGGAAGGGTCCCGGGCTGCACGCGTCCCGTCACGGACCGAGTCCTATATATTATCCTCCGGTTTGCTCGGCAGATGGGAGAGACGAGTCAATATCTCTTCCCCGCGGCCAGGTAAAAATGTCTCAACTTGGGGGCCCGGCGGAGCCTCGTGCTCCTTTTTCGCCGGCGGAGAAGGAGCTGCCTCGGCCTCCCATGAAGAGATCGGCGGGACGGGGGAGTCCTTTGGGGACGTCTTTTTGTTTTCCGTGCGGCGGGGGCCTCGGAAATGAAAAGCCTCGAGAGTGGGCCCGGACCGTCCGCGGCCTTTGGGACCACCCCGGGAGGATTCCCGGCAATCGAGTGCCGCTGGAATGCGACCGCCTGGGAAAAAAGTAAGACTCACTTTCGTGCCCTTAGGAGCATTAGGCGTTACTTAGGCCCAGGAGTAGGACCGTTCGGATGGTCCAAAATGGATGGATGGAATTCCCTGTACAGGGTCGATCGTACATGCCACGTGGCGGGGAATCCTCCACTCTCGTCTCCCGCGTCACGCGTTACCCCGGCAACGGCTTCCCGCGTCGCGCGTTGCCCTGGCAACGGCTTTCTCGCGTCGCGATTGGCCGAGCCCGCCCACGTGGTGGGGGACGCCGGGGCACGGCCACTTACTTTAATCCCGGATTAACGAGCCTTTATCGGTGCAGGTTTTATCGAATCTCGGCGCGGATGAAGACCCTCCTCAGGGGGCATCGCGCATAAATTGAGAGACCGTGAGAAGGAGCCGTCGGTCCTTTGGTCGGCACCAGGCTGTTTACCAAGGAAGAAAAAAGGAGAAGGATACCTCCTTTCGGTCGAAGAAAGGATCATTTCACGCTGAGAATTAGACACGGCTCGTTATTCCCTGACTCCTCGAAGAGACCGATTAAGGACGATATAAATCGTCCTCCTGACCACCTGTGGAAGCCGGCGCTTTTCACTTGCTCCTCGTAAATCAGATTATCATCGTCCGTATACATGGTGCGCGTAGCCTTATCGAATCCTTCCCGCATTCAATTTCTCTAAAGGCGACGCGGTAACGTCGGTGGGCTGGGGGAAAGAAACGATCGGGGTCCTTTTCCGCTCTTCTAATTTTTCCCTAATTTTACTATTAACCGATTTCTCGCTCCGTTGCAGGCCATCACGTTCCCGGGGTGAGGCACGAGCGGGGAAAGAGACTGTGGTTCGACGTCTCGGAAGTCCCTCCCGGTGAACACATAATCGGCGCGGAATTGAGGCTTTATCGCTCCATGGAGGCGAAGAACAAGAAGAACCGAGGGTCTTTCATGATCACCGCCTACCGAGTCCTGCGAACCGAGGATGGGTAAGGACCTTTATCCGAAAATAATTACAGGAGCTTCGTTAAAGCCAGTTTTAAAAGTACACTCGAAGGAAACGCGAAGACCCATAAATGTTCCGAAAGAGGAATCCCATTTTCTTCGAGGGGACACCGATTTTGGGCGCACCTTCTCGTAGGAATTAGCCCCGGAGTGGCGTCCCTAATTAGTCCTCGGTTTCTAGAGGCTCCAGGTATGTGTCGTACCTGTGCAGGACCAAGGGAGCGGAAATAACCCAGGAAGAACGGTACCGGTCTCTTTCCACGTGCCATTCATGGCTCGAGAAAAGGAAACGAAGCGATCCGGAGCGGATGTCGAGGAGTCGAAAACTCGAAAAAAAACTCGACGGCCCTGGGTGGAATCAGAAAGGCCGAGTCGCCGGTCGTAGTCTCGAAAGTTCCACGATGCGTCACGACGTTAATCGCGCCCGCGTTTCTGCGTAGGTTAGAGGAGTTTCTCGGCACCGGCCTCCTCGTGTCTCCTTTGCCAATTTGCCTCAATTTACGGAATAGCGTTTCCTGTCGGACAGGCGTGTCTCTTTCGGGCTTAACGCGAGGGACGTCGATCGTGGAACTCGCCGGATCAAGGGACAGGGGCGCACCCAATGGCGTTGGCTCGGGCATCCGATAATAAACGTTGATTTTAAGGCCGGCCATTAGAAAGCGACGATTAATTTTCTCGGTTATCGGTTCTCCACGTCGATGACGATCTCACCGATCCCCTTGGTTCCAGGGAACGGGAGCTGCAGTACGTCGACTCGGTGAACACCACGACGAAGAGGGAGGGCTGGCTGACGCTGAACGTGACCGAGCCCCTCCAACACTGGGTGAACAATCCCGAGGGAAATCGGGGACTCTATCTCTCGGTTCATCCCGCCGATCGGTCCGGTAAGCGAGAACTCGGTGATTTACCTGGCCCCGGGGGTCTCTCGCGAGCCATCTCCTTGAGACTCGACGTTTGGAATTCCTTGGCCTCGAATCCGCCGGATTTTCAGGGAGCATCTTCAACGGGGTCTAACGAATTCGGCGAACTTTCCGTTCTCTTCCATTTTTAAGACCTACCTGTTACAAGGATGGAGAGAGGAAAGGGTATCGAAGGGCTCGGGAAGAGCTTTATCGAGAGCCGTTAACGATCTCCCGTTGGGTGGCGAGGACGTCCCTGGGTACGTCCCTGAAGACGGCCCTGAATACATATATCGAGCAAGAGAGCACGTGGCTAATAGACGCTTCGGGGTCAGAAGTTCGACACGGCAGATCCTCGGGGTTTCTTGTACACCTGGTCGGGAAACGGCTTCATGAATGTATATGCTTTCTCGGCGGTACACCTGTTTTCGACTCTCTCTCCCGGGCGAAGGCGAGGCCCCTCTCTCTCTCTCTTTCGCACACGGAGGACGTATCCCTTCCTAGCGAGAGCTTCGAGCCCGCGCGCGAATCTCGGATCCCGAGCGGTCCACGGAGGAATTTACCGAAGAGCCTCCTCGAGTCGGATTTGCATTTTGAGAAGAAATAATTAAAGACGGAGCGAGACGACGTTACGAAGTTCCGCGCTTTCCAATTGTTTGCATCAACGTGGATTGACAGCGGAATCGGGCAAGAGGAGCCTCGAGGTTCGTTCGATTCCCTCGCTGGATCGAGGAATTCATCGTCCTCGAGGAGCGAAGAAGTGGCGTCCTCTTGTCTTCGTCGGCCGGTGAGATGAACGCGTGGGACGGAGACTCGGGGAGGAAAGGTCGCGAGTGGAGAAAGAGGGCGAATACGGAGGAGCGGGCGGAGCGAGAGAGAAGAGGAGGGTCGAGCCCGAGGAAGGAGCGGGGAAGAAGGAAGAGCCGCCGATGGGACGATAAGCCGGCCCCGAATCCAATTCTGCCACCGAATACCCAATGAGATCCGGACGAAGATCCAGGAAGGGAATTCCGGGAGGTCCGATCTCGTCGATAAGCCCGATACACCTGTTTCCTCGGCCTCGAGACGTCTTCGTTCCCCTCTCGAGATCGGTATGGAATCGACACGGGGGTCTACGACGAGACCGAGAATCGAGGAGAACCGAGGCGAGGCGAGCGGTTTGTTGTTCGCCGCGCCTAGATCATTTCGTTACTCGCCTCTCTCGCCTCGTCCTCCCGCTCCGCGGTTTTCTCTCGCTCCTCTCTCTCCCCGGCCGTTTCTTCCTTCGGCCCGGCGTAGCCCCTCTCCCCGTGCCCCGGACAACCGGTTTACCTTTGATCATTCAATGTATAAAACGCAAGAGCGGAGCTACGCCGAAGATATCCCCACGTATCGGCGCACGTCCTCCGGGGAAAGAGGTGTCGAGAGGGCCGCGCCATTCCTAGGGAAATGCGGACCCTCGTGCGCGGGGAATAAGATATGAGCGACGAGGAAAATCGGTCCTTGGTCCCGCCAAGACCGATTTCCCTCCTTTCCCCGAGACGGATTCGCCGGCACCGAGGACCGGCGCATCTCCGAGTCGCGGGCCCGCTCGGCTCGCCCAGCCGGGGCGCGCGCATGCAAATGACGCGAGCGATGCAAATGATGCAAACGATGCAAATGATCTTGGCGCGGCCGAGTGCTCGACTCGGGCCTCGAGAAAGCCAGCAAATTGCCCGGGAGGAATGCGCCTTCGGCCGCGCCGTGATTGCGGACACCTGCCGCGCTCCGGCAGCGGGTCGGCGAGATATCCGCGTCCTCGAGGCAGCCCCTGTGGACGCGCCGGGGTTTCCGGGATGGACGAGAGGCCTCCTGGGCGCGGCAGTCCTTGCGGAATACCGACGACCGCGCCTTCGGATTTGGCGGATAATGTACAGCGACGGGTCGTTACGATATATCGACGCGGTGAAGGGAATGGCTTTATAAACAAGATATCCCCCCTAGGGACGCTCGGATTCTTAAATAGTAAATATTCATGAAGGTTGGCTATAAATAGTGGCAGCCCCGGTAAGAAACGGGCCGTTCTAATAAAGACTAACGCAAATATCGCGGGAGCGGGTAATTCCTAGATGGATGTGGCGTAACCTCAATTACTATAAATTTTAATTGGCCGACACTGTTATTACCGGGCCGAGCGGACGGTCGCACCCCGGTAATCGATCGCGCGGTACACATACGCCGTAATGACAAAGTTCGCGCGCGTAAGTGGCATCTCGGGAGAGCCGCGCGTAACGTCCAACGTTAACGGGGAAATTATGGAAATTCATTAGCGATCGCATTTATTGAAATTCTAATAGAGGCGTTTAGTCTCCTAGGGGAGGTGGGCTCTCGTGGGGGCTCGTTTATTTCGAAGGCTGTTCGGCTCGAGACTTGTATTTACAGAGTCGGCACGTGTTTTCGTCGTGAATTCCTCGTTGCAGGGGATGATGGAAAGGTATCTTGGTTTCAGTCCACGAGATGAGGCCCGAGGACATCGGAATCGTGGGATTCAGAGGCGACGCGGACAAGCAGCCGTTCATGGTCGGCTTTTTCAAAAGCTCCGGCGTCAGGGAGGCGAAGGTGCGGCAGAAACGAGACGCCAGGAGAAGGAAGAAGAGCGAGTCGTCTAGCCTTGACTACAGGAACAATCCGTACACGGGTAAATTAATCTCTCAATTATTTTTAGATCAATTTGTCACGATGATCGGGGATCGACTTATCCGACCGTTTTTCAGATCCCGTGGTCCAGTATAACTCCAGGACGTGCAAAATCCAAACCCTCTACGTCAGCTTCAGGGATCTTCAATGGCAGGTGAAGTAGAAATTATTAATAAAACGTTTGCCTCTTTTCTCGGAATAGGAATACCTACCGCGTCGCCTTTTACGTTCTGGAATAATGAATGTTAATTTCTAAGGATTGGATCATTGCGCCCGATGGATACGACGCATACTACTGCAGCGGAGAATGCAATTTTCCCTTAAACGCACACATGAATGCGACGAATCATGCCATCGTCCAGACGTTGGTTCACCTCGTCAGTCCTGGTAAAGTTCCAAAGCCGTGCTGTGCCCCGACGAAACTTTCGGCGATCTCCGTCCTTTACTTCCTCGACGAGAGCAACGTCATACTCAAGAAGTACAAGAATATGGTCGTCAAAAGCTGCGGTTGTCATTAGCCATCCACGTTCTTCTATCTTCTCCTTAGAATCCAGTTCTCGACATTCTGACTCCAGGACATCTACATTTATCTTCATTCATACTGTTTTACATGTATTTATAGTCAATGTCTCTCCGGGAAAGCGTTTGTTAGTCTCTGCGAATTCGAGAAATCGAACGTATCGAAGTGTCGCGGAAGTAAGTTTGGAGAGTTCTTTTTTTTTTTTAATGGAGTAATTTAGGTATTTTGACGAATGAACGTTCCCGAAGGCCTTTCCTGTCCGTATGAAAATCCAAGTGGACGATGTAATATTGTAATTAGATGTATTCTCGTACATAAGGGACTAACAACTGCTCTAATTGTACCATTAAGCTTTTTTCACGAGGAATGAATGTTAGTTACGCTAGGTCTTGTGGGTGTGTAAATGTGAGAATGATTAATCGAAGCTATAAAAATGATAGCTGCCCAGATAAGCATGCTGAGAATATAATCTTTAGTGATAAGGTATAGTCAGTGGTAAACCTGTGGAATTTTTATAATGACAATGTAAATATATTATTGTAAATACGTTGAATGAAATGCATTCATTCTGATTGAAGGATTAAACTGGCAGGCAGCCATCATGGCGGGGCGTCCGTAGCGCCATCTTGTGGTCCCACGATTAACGGACTAGTTTACTGGCAAGGTAATGGTAAAAGTAGAGCGGCATTGTCAGCAGACATAAATTGGGATATTGTTCAGGGACAGTCGCCCATCGTCCTGTGCTGTCCCCTGGTGGCTGGTGTGAGCGGCTAATGTACTTGCCATCTGTTACCCCTCAGTGGCAGCGCAACTCATCTCAGAGACGAGTTGGTTGCTAGTCGTGTGGTTTCTAAGTTCATGGTCGAGTTGCCGCGAATTTACGGTAACGGTAAACAGACAGTTGATTTGTATGGTTGTTGATATTACTCTGATGTGTGATATAGAATTGGAGTTATATTAACTCAACTATTGGTCGTACATATTATTAAATAAGACCTGACAAAACATACTACTTAATAGAACATGGCAAAACACCACCCAGATCTGATCTTTTGCAGGAAACAGCCGGGCGTGGGTACGTCCTGTCCTAACCTAAATTATTCTTGGGAATATTTTTCATATACTTTCAATTAATTAAATATTTGATAATTTTATTTTACAGCTATTGGCCGATTATGTGAAAAGTGCGATGGGAAGTGTGTTATTTGTGATTCTTACGTACGGCCTTGCACTCTAGTCAGGATTTGTGATGAATGCAATTATGGTTCGTATCAAGGGCGCTGTGTCATCTGTGGAGGACCTGGTGTATCGGATGCCTATTACTGCAAGGAGTGCACAATACAAGAAAAAGACGTAATTGAATTATCAATAAACAGTACAATTGTTTTGATACATAATACAATAATTTTTTTTTTTCTTCAGCGTGATGGATGTCCAAAGATCGTAAACCTTGGCAGTTCAAAGACTGATCTGTTCTATGAAAGAAAAAAATATGGGTTCAAAAGACGATAGGTAATAATTCTAGACTTTACAAGGTTCTGACTTTCACCATGCAAATTGGATTCAGAAGTATTCTGCAATCATTGCTGAATCTATATGCTTTAATAATGGGACTGTATAAATTTTTATACAATAAGCATCTTGGACAATATGTATATCTTCAAAAAAACAAGCAAGTAAATCTTCCTTCAATCGCTAGTCTTTTATCCTCTATTTTTTTAAACAAACAATATTTAATTTCAGTTTCATAAAGGCTGTGGAATAAAGAGGTGATTGAAGAGAAAATTATTGGATTTTATTTAAACACATTTGCAGTACCATTTCCATTACACACATGCATGTAGAGTAGTTATTATAATTTATCGTGGTTACGCACAAGGAACTAGAGGTTGCCAAATTTTACTTAGCTATGACTCTGAATTATTAAGGTTTAATTAGCAATAACCTTGTGGTATTGAAATATGATTACTATAAAACATGTTTTTGTGATCTCATAATTGCAGTGTAATATTATATGTACATATACTACAACGGCGCCTCTAACATCTTGATTTAACGCTTCTTGTATCTCTTTAGGAAAATATACTTCAGTGCAACGTCAACTGAACACTGACGTATTTGCGTAAGAAAATAAACGCGTTGAGGTGGGAACTAGGAGCTAGGCTGATATTTGGCGATATTTAACGATGCGTTGTACTCTTCTTCGTGAAAGCTTACATAATACATATATGAAGATCGAGTCATTGAGATCGATAATTTAATTTCAAGACCAATTGGAAACTACTGGCAAAATGTAGGCATTTTAATTTTATTCGATAAATATTCATAAATATATTTTCCATTTTCCTATATTTTGAATTTTTTGCACTGGAGTGATCGATAACTAATTTTGGACAATTAACTAAATTTACTGCTATTATGTCTCCTACTTGACTAAAAAGTAATAAAAGTATAACTATATTCCTTTATTATTCGTAATTTCGGCATAATTTACTATGTTTCATTCTTGAAGTATAAATTTTATTCTCTATGCAGAAACTGTTGTGCTAGATCGAGATTAAAATTTACATTCATTATTACTCTCATAGACTGAGAAATAACTTACGTCGCAATTGTTAATCCTAATACACATGGCTTCTCTGCACTTCTCAATTGAAGCTACTGACGACTCGTACAAGTTGTCAAATGCAGCAATTACTCATTTTTCTAGATTTCAGGAATACCGAATGGGATTAGTGAAATTTTTCTAGATTTTTTAATTACTTTAATTAGGAGAAAATAGCTTGCTGTTCCATCGAAGTATCTAATACTCACGACTGAATTACTACGCATTAAATAACTATCTTACTCGAATTCGGCCTACTTTGCATTTCCTGCATTATCGAGACTCATCATCTCCAAGTTATTAATCGGTACTAATTACTACGTGCTACTCCTAAAACTCACGTACTATTTCTACTGTACTTAGAATATGTCGATATCGTTACTCATTCTTACATACATTTTTCTTCCGAAAAATGACATGGAATTATTCGCAAGTGCTGCAACACTCAAAAGAAATCGCTGATTACTACTAAATAACATTTTCGTCAAAAGACAATGGCAAAGTATTTAACCTGCAAAATGCATTCTTTTATGTAATTTGTTAGTACACATTGATTGCATTTCAAGAGATGTGTTACAGAGGTTATCTTATTCTCATGAGTAAAACGCAGCCTGACATTACAATTTACGCAGGAATAATTTTAAGTCATTTAATGCATCAATATTTCGAAGCATAAAGTCATCTTGATAAGACACTACCGATGTTCCATTAATCTAAGATATAGTAATGGAATTTCGAGTCAAAAATAAAAATGTCAATAAAAATAGAGAAGCGAATCCTCTCGGTAATGGGGCTGCAGTTTGTACTGGTAAGGTCAGCACTTTCTTTTAACAGAGTAGGGTGATTTAAATCAACGCTTGAACAGCATCATAGGCAAGACAGCCTAATTCAGCACAACTGATTTCTAGGTATTACGCAATATGATTTGTAAAATTCTCTTAGTAGTTTCGTGGAAACTTTACTTAGCTACCTAATTAATAAAACCTTATCCATTGGACCATTCTGTTCTTGACATTCACGTCGTGTACGTCTTCTTATTCAAAATCTGTCAAATGCAACGACGATCACCAATAACCAGAATCACGCCAGCAGTAAAATCACTCGTATCGGTCGCTTCAATTGACCGTGAGGTTTGCACGATATTGCAAATCAGCTGTTTGCCATGTACGATGCATAGCCAACGTTTCGGCTACTTCGTGTGTGTATGAAAATAATTTTTAAATTGGCAACATGATTACGTCTCGATCAACTTGATAACAATTTAAACGGTTTAACATTGTCGTTCCGCCATGTGATGATTCCGTCGTTTCAGATAGCAATCCAGGTAGATCCTCCAGGGTGTCAAACAGCAGACGGCAGTTCGCTTACACTCGAGGTAAATACATATCCGTTACGTACCGTTGTCAGGATCAATACTGCTGGCTTTCTTCTTAGCTCGAGCCTCTCATCTGGACAGCGAAGAGCTTGCATACGACTTGCCACTTACTGCAGATTGCAAGCTCATCATCGATCCCCTGGAAAACACATTTTGGTCAACGTAAGAGAGTACATTAAATTATTTCTTAAAATAACATCCATACCTATAGTTAGCTGAAGGTAGGGTTTCGTAAAAGTACATTAGCTGCGCTTTGTGGGAACTGATGGAAGGAAGAAATTCTCCTTGTTCTTCGGGGTTTAACCATTGCAAAATATAAACTCCGGCCTCTTGCATAATATGGGTTCCCTAAGGAAAAAATGTTCAGTGAGTACCTTTGAATCTCCAAATGAAAATTAAATTATCGAACAACTTTGAACCTTTCCCAAAGTCATGCTTCCGTTTTATAAAGTTATACCTGTATACTCTCTCCGTCATGACATACAACGCTTGGTTCTACTTTGACACAGTCCACTCCTTCTTTCCATTCCTTCGTTGAGGTACTGTCGAGATCCGCTAACAAGGGATTTTTGGAAGCAGCTATAAAAAATATAATTAATTATGTTCACAGAGAAATTTGTTAGTTCTAGGCAGCCAACTAATTTTTTATCTTACTTGTATTATTGCCTAAGCTAGGATCTTTTGTCTTGTGCAGGACGGTGAATATCACGTTGTGTCTCATCACATCGAAGTCCCACGTTAAAACAGCACCAGGGTCATCCGAGTGAATCACGATTTGATGAGATTGGCCACGTCCAAGGCTGATCGAGTGGTACAGACTGTGTTCGTGTTCACTCGATGAACCCTCCAGATCAGCTTTGTACAGGTGCTTCGGTACAATACCACCTTCAACTATATATGTCTGAGGAAGTAAAAAAAAAAAATATTGAACTTCTATTATAAGTAATACAAAATTAACAAATTATCACTTTTAATCGGGACATTGCACATTAAGGCACGAGGGAAATTCTCTAATACGACTCGGTACCGTAGAAGCAAAATTGTAGATATTTTTTATATAAATACTGCTGCACGTGGAAGCTGTTTCTATCTAATAGACTGAACACTGTACGCGTGTGCTTTGTTGTAATAGAAAAATGTGGGAAATCCTTATAGACACTATAAACATAAATTGTGTATTGCCGGCGTGAGATGGACAGACCAAGACACATTGAATAATCAGTGATATGGGAACGGTTCATCACTTAACCTTACACTGTAATCGGATGCGTCGAAAATGTAAAAATGTCGTGGCACTGCACCGAACACCTCGTAAATACCTTCCTAGTACCCAATAAAATCCAGATTATATCTACTACCTGAGACGAGATGTCAGGGAGGCTTCAGAAAAGTAGATCACAAAGTCCCCGATAAGATCAGACTCTTACCAATTTTTTTCAAACCTGTCAATTAAAGAGACTTTATTACCTCGGAAGGTCCTCCCAGAAAATCAGGAATAAATTCCTGTTCGATGTAGTCCCCGAGACCTCCAGCTCCTTGCTCTTGGTAGTCCGTACCGCAATAAAATATAAATTTGTTTCTGGTATTCTCATCTGCAATTACAGAGTAAAACGTAATTACATTAATTTCATTCAGAGAATATAGCGAAATAATTCATTATAATATATTGTGCCTTACGGATAAACGTGCTAATCAGAGTCCACAGTATCGGGAAGCATCTTGGTGCTCGAATGATCAGAACTCTTCCCATAGTCTCTGGATAGTTACTCTCGACTATTTCAATAATTCGCAGGAGAGCCTAAAACGATACGATCTCATGAGCATAAAATACGTGAAAGAGACAGTCTTTTATTTCTTCTAACGTAATAACAACAAAAGCGTTATGTAATACCTTAATACCGGGTCTCCAGAGATGGCGCATATTTAAACCTTCTAAATCAATAAGTAGCGACCATTGAGAAATAGGATGTCCCCATACGGTGGTTGCTTCATCCATCAAAAGTAGTCCCTCTTCACATACATGCAGAGCCTATATTAAATTAAACATTTCTTTTCATCTACTTTAAAAAAATCCACAGTCTATAATGATTCAATGGCTTCACAATAATTCGATTATTCGATAAATGAATTTATAACTACGACATATAGTCAATGCAATATACCAATAACAGTAGCTCATCTTCTCCTATAGATTTCAATAATCCCTTGACGTCCATTTGCCCGAGTCGCAAAACGTATAGCGGTCGACCATCTGTTAATAAATTTATACAAGATTTAGAATTTTCAAAACCCTCGTCATGACAATGCCAAAATAAATTCTTTAAAAAGTTAGGTTTAAAGTAAAAACACCTTTGTCGAAGTGATGCCATCCGCCAGGAAAATAGTCTTTGACAACCTGAGGTGCTTCGTACTCATCGAGAAGTTTATCAATTTGATGTTTTTTTCGCCAGTGAAGCGATTGGGTCAACATCTCTCTAGCTTTATCAATGGAGAACTCTCTAGCTCGCAGGAAACGCAACAGTGTTGCATCTCCTGGCATGGAGCTGCCTCTTAATTCCTCGATACTGTGACGCAGCTGGATGAGCCGACTCTCCTGCATCATGTCCAGCTTTCCCAAATATCTTTCAATATAATCTGATGATAGCTGCATATCTGGAATGGATTTAGGTAGAAAGAGTAAATAATAAATTTTTCGCTATGTACCAGATGATAAATTTAGTAATAGATTTTTCGATAATTATTAGAATATACCGATAGGTATTACCTCTGGTGCTCGGTAGCTTGCCTTCGGCGCTACACAACTCCTTGCCCTGCTTCTCATCCTCTTCGGTATTCTTTCTGGAGAGTGGTCGTCTGAAAATGATTTTTTTTAACATGCCAAAATTATACATGAATGAATTTTATTATAACAGTTTCATCCGATTACTCACTTTGTTCCATTCTTCGGTTCAGGTGTTTCTTCTGGATCATGCCATGGTTCTACGTAATTGATGCCCTCTTGTTTTAATTCATTTACAAAGTGTTCTATTATTTCTTTACCCTAAAATAGTATATCCATTAAATCTATCGAAGAAAAAAAAATATCTTGGCCTTTTCATATAAGGTAATATACCTTGGCGATATTCTGGGCATATTGCTTCATTGCGAGCTTTTCCATAGAATTTTCAAATCCAAAAAAGTTCTTGATATCTAAACTAGCACTTTGTTCAAAGCATGTCCATTCAGGGTTCTCTGGATGGATCTAAAAATATTATAAAGGCATTAGACAAAGTCTAAAAAACTGCTCTTTTAACTAACATGTACCAACACTTACGAAGTATCTACATTTTTCAATTACAGTAACCCTAGATGCGAAGCTCTCATTGTAGGCTTCTATTTCAAGGATACTGTTACGCCTGTCCAGGACATTTTTCTGGATGAAGTATATAAAGTCCACACCAATTATCTGAGACGATAGAATGATTTGATTTATTATTTTTATCATCATAAATTGCATGTATATGCATAAAAAAAATTCGGCTGAAGAAGAGATTACCTTCTTTAATATATAAGGAGCTTCAACATTTAATTTACATTTTCGTTCAGTAGTTCTAATGGAGCCATCTTCATTTTCTTCGTCTAATAATACTTCACATCCCACAAAGACAGGTATTTGGGGACATGTTGGAAATCGACGCTCATATGCCTAAATAGAATTTTTTAATGAGATTTAAAATAAATTAAAATGTTGTGGGTAACTTTTTCGAGAGTTTTAGCCATAATCCATTGACGTCTATAAAAAATAGATATTGCATTGGGCATAAATGAAAATAATGTAATAAAAGGGAATTTTTTTAACATGTGGATTTATTAAAGGGTGAAATTTTGCTTTTTGTTTCATCTCATCCAAATTATTTGAATGAACATCAAAGTATAAGTTTCCACATTGAAATACATTCCGTTGTATCTTTTCTAGCTTTATTTCCTATGAGAAGAAGACAGGAATTGGCTTAAGTAATTATATATGTGTGGAACTCGTTCCAGCATTATGCAACACGAAGTTAAACCGGATTGTAATACTTGTGGTTTCATGCTTTGCCTTGCTCGACAAGGAGGTTCTTTCCAAGAACGATTACTTTATAAATCCAGTTTCACATTTTGGATATTCAATAGAAATTGAATAAACAACATTAGATTTTATGCATTTTAATTATTTTTATAAAAATAAGAAATGGTAATTTTATTGTTACATTGTATAATTATTTAACACAAAAAGCTACTATTTATTGCTTTTATTATTAAATATAAGAAAGAAAAAAATGAATATTTGCAGCAGAAAGTGAGCGATCGTTAGCATGAGTTTTAATGACAGGAATCTCTGAATATGGCAAGCTAAAGCTATGTACCGATATGCCTCTTCTATAAAATTCCTGAAAAAGGCATCATAATTTTTAATACATTTTAATAAATGTAGGTTGAATATATTCTGACAGGTGTCATAAATAGTACGTGTTAGCTCAATGGAACCGTAAGGCGTATGGAGCAAGACATTTACAGAGTTCCAGTAGAAAGTGTGCGACTGACATACTGCGAAGTTTCAATGACAGGAGCGAAGGCTACGAATAATAATAAACACACCAGCATGACGAGCGCGAAGGGATGCTTGTAGACCCGGACAGGTGATTGGTATTGTTGAACCATTTTGAGGAATTTTCTGTCGTATGTCAATATTCACACTGTGTATATGTACATGTGCAAGAAGCACGGTAATTCAATCACTCGATGCTAACAAATTTTAAGGTCGCCGAATTCAATCATTTGTCACCCGTTACCACAGACCATCCCGTTACTAAAGTCACGAAAACGATGTTCAAGATGTCGTGCCTACTGTGCAACACGAGGTCACTTATCAACATCGTCCGGCGCCATCTTTGAAGGAGACGCGGTACTAATATTTTCTTCAAGATTTCCGCTATTCCGCTATAACCGAATCTTTGTACTCTGAATTTATCTCTCAGCGCTCGATCGTGAACTTTACCCGTATCTCGGCGATTAGGAGAAATAAATTTAAATTTCGCCCCCTAGTGATGATTCAAGGAATTTCCAGAGAGCAACAGAGGGAACCCTTGTTTTGGATTTTACATCGAGCTACCAGGTGGCTACAAGACTGGACAATTTGTTGCCCGTGAGCAATCTCCCAACTCATCTCTGATTGTACTTTATGCTGTCTCTATGTTCTTATGTCTATGGTGTACTTCTGTTTGAAGGTGATCAAAGGTGATTGAGTGTCGGGGATCAAGAGTGAGGTTATTAATGTATACCGTGCTCAGGAATTAAATGGAATTAGTGGAATTTGTGCGATTATTTTTCGCATATTAAGCGACGGACATGCAGGACGCGTTTCGTAGATTATTAGTGCAATGATTTCGTGACATTGGAGCTTGTAATCTGCTATAAAAGTGTGAGTGCACGAGGTGCTAAACTGTCGAAAATGAAGTTCAGTTCAATGGTCTGAGTTTAAGTTTGTTTAGAACGGCTTAGTGCTAATTGCACGGCTTCGAAATTCTTATCGTTTCCGTTCTACACTGCGGTTTTAAAAATATCAACAATGCCCCATTTTGTTAGCACTGAGAAAGAAACGGTATGTTTATCTTTTATTTATAAAATTGTTGCAGTACAGGTTTTTAAACAATTCTATATTTACAGGCTCAAAATATGAACGACATGACTTCCGATTTCGCATGCCTGAAGGTTTCTATATTACAGAAGGCCTCTCGCATTTCTGATAAAGTAGATCAAATAACTATTGGTCCTGATTCTATCGCTTGCGATGAAAATTCAATTCAGACCGAAAATATAGAAAATGAACTGAATTCTTGCAATGTCGATAACTCAAAAAAATGTTATAACTCAAAATCAGAAGCCAAAGTTTCTACCAGAAGCGGTATCACATTCTCCATTAAAAAAATACTACTAGAAAATGAACGTCATAGAAAGGAAGAAGTCAGGGTATGAGGAAATAAATTAGTATCGTATATTTCTAGTGTTCCGCATTCATTGAGGTATTCATTAATCATCTTATTTTGAATCACATTCCAGAAAGCAATTGATCATCGATGGAAACAAATGGAAGAATCAAGACGTGCCATGCAAAAGGAGATGACAATACTTAGATCAACTATGGCTAAACAGCGAGTGCAACAAGAAGCGGAAGAACTTGCACGATTGGAGGCAGAGGAGGAGAGAGCAGCACAGCAGTCAGAAATGCGTAGGAAGCATGAACAACAGCTGCATGCTCAGCGAGAAGTGGAGCGCAAGCAAAAATTAGAACGTGAAGCTGAAGAACATAGACAGAAAATCAAAGAAAGAGAAGAATTAATTGGAAAGGTGACACCGCTTCAACTTATGTTTCGGACTAAATGCGAAGACATTGGAATGCTGTCCAATGTTTGCAAAGACAAGAAGACTGCGAGTCATGTAATAGCACCGCACATTGTGAAGTTAAAAGAATTGAGCCACCTCATGGATTTAATTAGTAAAAGGGCTTGTGTAAGTTTGCATGAAATTGAAAAAATGAACTATGAAATATCGTTAAACATTTTAATTTATATATTTTGTATTAAAGACAGGTGAATTGACACAAGCCGATGTTGATGCTGCAGAAGCGATAGTGCGACATAGTGAAACTGTCTTACAATTGTTTGAATTGGAAATTGGTTTGTAATGATTCACATATTTAAATTACACAATTTATAATATAATCAATACAATAATGTTTTTCTATAGAACGTATCGATGCTGCATACGATGCCGAGATAGCTCGCAGAGAATATGAAGCCAAGCAAGCGGAGCTCCAAGCAGAAGCTGAAGCTAAGAGAAATCAGAATAATGTAGACGTTCAAGATTCTGCTATAAATTATGGCACTCAATTTACGGACAATCAACTTCCTTCGGAAGAAAATAAAGGCACTGAGAAATATGATGACCCAGTTTGTGCTCCACAGGAAAGTGTCAGCTCTGTACCTCAGACTCACGTTGTAGAAACACCTGTAACTAACGTCGCATCCGAAGGTATCCTAGCAAGATCTGAAACGGGTCTATTTTTATTATCATATCACTTATAATTATAAAAAAATCAACCATGATATTAACTTACAGAGGATGCGAAGGATATTTTGGACAACGATTCGCTACAACTATGTCTGACCTGTGGGCAATTTTTGAAATCCCACCTCGCTTCGTACCAAGACCTCTTGAAGTCAGATTCTTCGAAAAAATTGCTCTTTGAGTGGAGAAAGGCAATAAATATTCCAGTTAACGCAATTTCTGGAATCAGCGGCCATCATTTAACAGACAAATATGATAAGCTGCACCAACTTCTCGCAGGCAAGGGAATGTCTAATAATTCACAGAGCGTACAAGGAGTAGCATTCTGCAAGGATATGCTGGCAAAGAAAATTGTGGTGGGTGTTTTCATACGTCAATTCTTTACTCATTAATGTTTGTTAACTCAAAATTTTATTAACGCGCTAATTCTTGTTACAGAATCAAGGAGAGACTCTCATTTCCAGCAAACCGAAAATGGCCTTTCCCATAGCTGCCGTAGCAGTGGCTTTGTGGAACGATTACCCGGATTTTGGAGTCTTGCTTTTGGCCCACTTCCACAAAACGTCTCCCTACACGATCCCCATATTCCCAGCGAGATACGAGGGGCAGTCCGACGAAAACTATTCCAGGTCTCTCGGTTATCGAGACAGTGAAAACGGAGACATGGAAACCGAAGACAAGTACTTGAAGAGGATGTCCGGATTAATGCGGTTGTACGTCTCCATAATGGTTACCAGGCAAAGGAAAGGCGTTACCAAAGACCATCCTCATGGACTTAGAAACGCATGGAGATGGTTGGCAGCCACACTTAACGCAGGTTCGCAAACATCACGACAGTTTCAAGTTAGAGATTAGTACATAACCGCCAGGGTAATATTATATTTTATTCCAGTTCCCCGGGCCGAACTGGCAGACGTGTACGCCACACTTATGCTGGATGTCCTGGAGGTTGCTGGAAATGCTCTCTGGTCTGCCTATCCGAAACAGTTTCCGAAATTATTATCATTACTCACGAGTCAGTATTATCTTCACATGCAAAAATCCGGAGCAGCCGGCGGACCTATGTCACGCCTGGAGGCGTTTTTAAATAATTGTATCTCGAAAGGTGGCATCCCACCACCGGAGGGGCAACTACCTCCGAATTTTTGGTAGTCGTCAGGGAACCTTTATCTAAATATCGACCGTCGAATAAAATAGCGGGTTAAATTTGTGCATGTTTTCTGGTGAATGAAGTATTTTTAAGTCTGCTGAATCGTTAACGAGACTAGTAATATTCGTATAAAATAGATACAACATACCTTTATCCGAACCTTGTTTACTTGTTCCTCTAGAATGTAATTAAGTTTCCATTAATGTCATACCAGTTATTGATAGGCGACGCGCCCTCGAGCATACATTACGAGCTAATAACGAGCGAGAGCATATAGTAGGTCGTTAAGTATCGTCGATAATTCAAGCGAGCACTACAAACGGACGAAAGTCCCACCGACCTGGACATTCACGCAAACGGCCGATGAAGACCTCATCCGGTCGCATCACTCGCATCGGACGCATCCATGATGAGTTTTCGTAGCTCTATAAACGACCCCAAGAAGTAGAACACCTTAAAAACATTAATAAGAATCATCTTTGACCCTCGCGTTACCGGTTAAATAATGGCACGGCATCTGTTCGTTATTTTATAAGAGTCGAAGATGATTTTTCTGCAGCTCTCCGGTCCCGAAGCGTCGAGTAACTCGTTTGACAAGTATTCACGATCACTCGGAAAAACAGAAACTCTCGTACGGGATCCTGGTGGACCCGGAACATTTTGTGGAAATAAGCGAAAGAAAGGAAAAAAAAAAGAAAGATCACCTCGATCGGTAGGAAGTCGAGAAAACAATTCCGGCGACCAAGGTGACGGAGGAGCGAGCAACTAGCGAAACTGGTGGAGGATGTCTCCATCCGAAGTAACTGCGTCTGTAACTTATGTAAGCGCCAAATTAGCAGGCGATATACATATTTCCGTCCGAGAACTATACGCTCGGACTTTGTCCCGATGCATGCGATCGGTATGCGTCTACTTATGCGCGATTCTCGAGCGATGTCATCCGAAGAACGTACATCTTGTCTCCCTTGACGAGTCTCACGGCTCGTCCGTCCTTTTTTCCCGGATAACTAGCTCTTACGCGACACCTAGAGACACCCACGTCACTCACTCCGGTACACGCGAACATTACACTCACGCACGAGGGGCTCATTATCCGCGATGCTTATCCTGAACTAAAGTGATTAATTTCCGAATATAAGAAGCGTATCTACCCGGCGTACAGTCTCCATAGAATGTCGCTTATCGTCGGAACTAAAATAATACGTATACATGTATGCAAAAGATGCTACGTAAGGACAAGCCTGGATACTTGGAATGCTTTAAATTAACCGGTACTTCATTATAAACTGCAGAGGCCCGTAAGCACGACGGACTTACATTGCTCGACGAGCACGGATTCGATTGACATTCGATGCACGCGATATTTCCGTCTGGGGCCTAGTCGTTCGGACTTTGCCCCTTGAATACCATTACGTACGTGCCTGCTTATGCACGGTACGCGGATTGATGTCACTCAAAGGATATCCTCGTACCGTCGCGAATATCGTTTCTCTCCGGCGAGGACTCCGCCCGCGGTCCGCTCGTTTCTCCGCCAACGAGACCCGCGAGGGCATCCGGATCTTTGTAGGCCAGAGACGAGCCCAACTCTAATTGAATCGTGCCAGTCGGACTCCGGTACGGCTATTAAATTATCGCGACGCAATTAACATCTCCCCGCCGGAGGATATCGGCAGAAATTCCAGATCCGATGCGCGAATCCAACGGACACCGCTCCGTCTTTGCCTCGGTCACAAAGCCGACGTACGTGTCCCAGGAATCCGTGTATAATTTTTTCTACGCGGTTCCACTACGCAGGATCGACCGCGTCACCGTTCACGGCGTTCGAGGATATCCCCGGAGGGTTCACAAAAATCCCGGGGGCGCTTATTCGATCTAGGAACGCGTTTTCGATCGGGATCCCGAGAGGCGAAGACCGCGCGCGAGCGATCCGTGGCAGAAGGAATCCGGAACCCAGGAAGTGGGTCATCGTCCTCGCGAGGAAGTAGGAGGAGCCCGGGACGATGACTCCTCTTCTGCTCTTCGCGGCTCGGCTCGCCCGCGGATGCTCGGGAACGAGCGGAAATGTCCCCGGGTTCCTAAAGGTGCTCGTCGATGCTTGGCGATGCTCCTCGATACTCGCCGATGCCCGGAGATCCTCGCGAACGGACGCGAACGGCTGAAGCGAACGCTGGCGAACCGCTGGCGAATCGCCGGTGCGACTCAAGGAGGGTCGAGCTAACGGAGCCGCGGGCTCGAAGGCACTGGCCAAGGCCCGGTAAACCGAGGTTCCTCGATCCTTCCTCCTCCTGCCGGTTCTCGACGACTCTCCGGGGGCTCGCGACTCCTGAGTGCCGCTCCACGCCGGTCTGCCTACGTGTCCGTGTAATTCGCGAGCGAACTCCCGACGCACCTTTTAGCGCCACGTCGGGCTCGTCCCGAAGTCGTCCTCTCGGTCCACGGATCTCGATATCCCGGGAAATGCGATTTCCACGTGGAGTAAAAATCCAGCCGGGGGCTCCGAGGGGTGCCTGGAAAGAAATTAACTTCGTCACTTTTCTGTACATCGGTTTACCCGGGCCTACTGCTACAACCCTCCATAACGAGTTTTCGGAGTACCGGGTTATAGGAGGGTCGAGGTACCCGGAGATATGTAGATTACCAATTTTAGGGTAATTACGGATACTCGGAGGCGATTTTCGTGCCCTGGAATCCACCCGATGGCACCTAGAAATTTATGAACGTACCATGGAGTCGATAATATCTAACCGCGTCAACGGAGAAAGGAGAACGCGGTATTATCTAGGAGACCGGATTTCCGCCCTTCGCCGATCCCCTGCTGACGCGGAACCGCCTGCGATCGACGCCTGGGCGAGAAATCGACGGGAATCCTTCCGTGACTTCACGGCCTGAAAATATCCGCGTGCGAGGCGCGGAGGAGATTCGCGTCAAGTTTTTATGCCGACTACGATGGCAAAAGGTCCAATCGGGAACTACCCTTGCCGTCTATAGTGCACCTCACTATACCGAGGCATGCCCTCGTATCTCCTCCAAAAAGTCAACTCGTCCATAACCAGACTATACTCTCTCCGTATACCGTACCTCTCTCTCTTCCCACGCGTAGGATATTTTTCAAAACGCTCCTTGGACTCGTCCGCGTAAAATTTATATTTAATAATGACGGTGAGAAGCGTCGAGCTATCCATAGTCCGGGAAGAGGCGCGCGCCGATAGGTCAACCGTTCTTTCCCTTGGAGCGGCTCCATCGGAACGGTCCCATCGGCCATTGGTCGGCGCGGTCGGGAGGAATCGGCAGGTGAATCTTTCGCGACTCCGGGACGCATGCGCGTGACCTCCTCAAGGTGAACTCCCCGAGGCGGAAGTGGTCGCGCCGGGTCGTTGCCGCCGATTGCGCGAAGCTAAATGAAGGAATAAAAAGAAATGGGGAATCTTAATGACGGGCGGCGCGGACATCCGAGGCCGAAGGACTGGAGGTTGGATTAAATTCACTCGCCCAGCTTTCCAGACGAGCTAAAACGCTCGCTTCCTTATTGTTCTAAAGAGCCACCGACTGGACGGGTAAGATGAGATTTCGTTTAAAAAAAAAAGAAACCGGGGGAACGTATCATACGCGTGACGTAGGGTCTCCTTAATAGGTTAGGCGTTGGTTTCGTTCGAACGAGACGTTCATCGACCTTGGGTGGGAATAGTAGGCCGACGAAATGCGACTAAGAAGCTCTCGGGTAGGAAGAGCCGCGGAAAGTCGAAAAACCCGACGCGGTCGGGACGCGGCGGAGCGCAACGCCCGGGAGGAATGCCGACGCGTTCTCGCCGGATCCGCGAGGAAGTCCGAGGAGGTACACCTCGCCGGTCGGGCGCCATCTTGTATCCCGGGGATCGCGAAGGAGTCTCTGAAATTTTTGTGAATTTTTCAGGGCCGTCTCCGAGGATTGCCGAGGATGACGAAACATGCGACGCGCCCGATAAAAATCCAGGTCAATGGCAGAACCTCGCGGACGAGGTATCCTCCGGTAAATCTCTCAGCGGCACGCCCGCGACGTTCCTTCGAGTCGCGGCTCTTCCGCGGCGCATTTCAATTACACGCGTAGACGAATATCCTTCCTTTTGACATAGGGAGGAAGTAATGGTCGCGTTTCATCGTTGCAGAACGGCTCGTAGAGTCCTACGGCGTGCAGGAGGCCAACTCGCGCATGCACAGGAGTCAGCGACCCGAGGAGTCTCCCCGTTATTCTTCGGCCGGCAGGCGAGCAACGCGTGACGTAAGTCAGGTGGCAATGTGGCATGAATGAGCTGGAAGGAGCTGCCCGAAGAGCTGGCCGAAGTCGGCTGGAATTGCCCGGAGGTGTTGGCGATGGTTACCACTTTACAGGTGGCCGGGGTAGGTGCGGACTTAGGCTGCATTCCAGAACCCAGTGACGGCCCACTTGGCTCCACCTGACGATGACTCGATCCCCTCCTGCAGCCTTCGGCCAAGCCGAGGTTGCGCATCGCCGCCGATTGCGCGAATTCCGGAGATACTAGGAATTCGTTACCATGCCTTGGGAGTCGAGATCAAGGCCTCGCGCATTGCGGATAGGAATCCCCTGATTGGATTCCTGGGAAGAGCAGTGCTCGATTGCGCCCCTAAACGTGTTAATTAAGTATCGGATGCATAGACAGCTCGTACAAGCCTTCGCGAGCTCTCCTCCGATGTCTCGAATGTATTTATGTACGGAAATATGGCTTAACGTTTGGAACCGTGTTATCTTTTTGTCATACTAAAGGGTCTCTTTGCCCCCATTACATTTTTTTTGCTTGTATACCTGAGCGCCCAAGCGCTCCGGAAGATGCTCACGAATGCGGACCTAATTATCGGCTTTTTTTTGTGTCGGGGTGTCTTTCTTGCCCGTACCGGTAGGGCGAACGAGAAAAAGATAACCTAGAAGTGGTGGGGGTATCGTGTGAGGTAACTCGTGTGCCGCACATGTGGGCACGCACCTGCTCGAGTACGACCGATGTTGACGGTGGCCTAAAACGATATAAACGCTCGTGTACCTTGCCGATAAAGAGATTGTCGGACATTTAAAGCCGGGACGCGTTAATTCTACACGCAAACGTAACAGTGCTTGCCATTTAAAACTTCGGATTCAGGTTTTGAGGTTATGACGAGAAGCTGCCACGTGTGTAAGAGCTCAAATGCTCCGTACAAATGCCCTGTGTGTTTGGAGCCCTAGTAAGTTAATCGCACTTTGATATTTAACTCTGTACGGTCTCCTTGAAAAAGATTTTTAGCGTGCAACAATTTTTCTACATTCTATCGGTCGTAATTTTCTTGCATAGATTACCGAAAAAATAATATACGTCGACAGATATTTTCTAAATGGCTTCTATGCTTTTCTGTTCAGCTGTTCGCTGGGTTGCTGCAAAACTCATAAGTCTCGAGGCTGCGAGCGACGAGTACCGGACATGGCGGAACACCAAAGCGAGGCACCTTTGATGGAGTACAAATTTCCAACGGAGGACACGGTACCTGTAGAAAAATTATTTTCTTTAAGGCAGAGCGAGGAGGTAAAACATTGTTTGAAAAATCCACACGTGAGAAATATTATTAAAGAAGTTTTAAAACATCAGAACCCAACGGATGCGATAGCGGAAGCTATGGTGGAGCCTATATTTGTTGAGCTAGCCGACGCGTGTTTAAAAATTGTAGAACCAGCGACAGAGGAAGGCCATACTTGATGCTATTGTGATATTATGCTTAATATTACTTAATTGTACATAGTATTTTATTACCTTTTGAGTATACCTCTAGCATTAAAAAGGTTGTCATATGTTTTGTACAACATTTAATAGAAGTATGATTTTATTTGCATAGATAACAACTTCGAGTCACATTTAAAATCATTGACTGAAATAAAAAATATAACGGTAACAATGTCGTCAATGGTACTGTTATTCTTACTACTAACGTCTTAAGAGAGTTTGTTATCAAACTGGATAAAGATAATACAGTTATCATATTTTCTATGTTTATATAATAAACATTCTCTCATGCGAGCATAGTTTTTGAATAACAGTTCAGCTATTTCATTGGTCTACTTTCATTGGTAATACTTTCCGCATGATTTGTACAGAAATTCTATAACCGTGCGTTTTCAAATTTCTGATCGATGTGTATAAAAGGGCGAGATGTAATTCTCGAGATCATTTGGAGCCTGAGCGTCGTCTAACTCCACTGCTAATGCGTGATAACGTTTCCTGACCAGATGAGCCGCCATTTTTGGTTGCCTGTCCCTTGTGAAGACTCCCTTTTTATTTCCAGCGACTCGAGTGTACGCTGTAAGAATAAATATCTTGCAGATGACAACACTACGTTACCTTTGCACTTTTATACATAGCGACGACTCACTCTGTGCTGTACGAAAGTCAGCAAAATTCCAGATAAATTCTCCGATGAAAAAACCTTGGAATCTCAACTCATCGAATGCCTTAAAGTGCTGAGACATCAACTTGGTTTGATATTCTTCGCTCCACACATACTCCGGAAGCTGTGCAAACGATTTATGTACAAATTACAGGGAGATAAGGTCTATTATCAATCTCGGATTATCTACCTCGTGCAATCCAGGCATCGTATCTGCACCGTACTCTGACATAAGGACAGGTTTGTTGTACTTCCTATGCCATGCTTTCGCTTCATCTTGAACTTGTTTCGTTATCATGTCTAATCGTCCAGGGTTACTATACCATGCGTTATAGCGATTAAAACTAATTACGTCCAAATACTGACCAACTTTGTCATCCTAAAAACACAGGAGCAGATATTGACATTTCATCGGAAGACCTGACGGAGGACTATGATTCATTGAATTACGAACATTGACTTGTTGTGATATAGCAATCGTAACAGGTCGCGTTGGATCGAGAGCCTTGGCGTGATGAGCGATCTGCTTAAAATAATCTCCTGCATCTCTCAGTTGACTTCTAGGTTCGTTAGCGAGAGACCACATTATCACCGAGGGACGATTTTTATCCCTTCTGATAAGCTCCGACAAGGAGTCTTTGTGCCTGGCCAAGAGATCCGGCGAGAAATTTTCCGTATCCACGGATGGACACTCGTCGATGATCAGAAAACCTTGCCTAAGAAAAATTAAAAAATTAGCTACAATATAATTATATACGTCAAATGGTGAAGCACAAATAACATTGTTATTGCCAGAGCTCACCTGTCTGCCATGTCCATTACTTCATCGCTATAAGGGTAATGACTGGTCCTGTAAGAATTCGCGCCGACCCATTGCAATAACTCATGATCTCTTGTTACGGTCACCAAATCCAATCCCCGACCTCTTAGCGCAGAATCCTCGTGCCTTCCAAAACCTCGGAAATATATCGGACGATTATTTATCATCAGACTTGTATTATTCCATGCCAAGGTCCTGATACCGATAGGCAACCTGTAGACGTCGGGCTTGGTAACATTGGGCAGCCACAGCCTAACCTAGCAATGAATCGCCAATTAATTACTGCAATTAATGTATGCAATGCAATTAATAGATAGCAAACGTAACGTTCCTTCGACGAGAAATCATCTCCAAAAAAAAAAATCTGAATTCGGATTCGCTTTACCTCCAGCGTGTAAAGGTAGCCAGGGTTTGGATCCATCGAACGAGGCCACCATAATCTTGGCGTAGGTACTTTTAACATGCCAGAAATACCGTAAACAGGTTCCTTTATAGCCAAAGCTTCTTCGGCATCCAGCAGAATCACCTTACACACCGGGACGTCGTTTTCATGCAGTCCTGCAGGTTCTACGACGTACTTGATGAAACCCATATTGCTGATCACTCCCGTCTTTATCGTGATGTCTTCTATGTAAATCGTAGGCTTCGTGTGCAGCAACACCGGCCTAAACCGACGCGCCAATTAATATTTACATACAGGGTTTATTTTGTATTCTCATTACTCGAACATATTCCAGGGGGATTCGCCGCACCTGTGAATCCCGGCATAGTTGAAGAAGTCGAAGGCATAGGTCTGGACATGTACCGTCTTATTCTCAGTGGTCATCTCGACGATTTTACCTTGAGGTACGCTGGTTTGCAGCAAGGTATTGTCAACGGCGACAGTGATCCGGTTCTTTCCACCGAAGATCAAGTACGACGTGATCTCCGACTCGAACGGTAGATGACCCATTTCATGATTCGTAGCCAATTTCCCGTTGATCCACTGCACGGAAATACGAAGATAAGTGGATTAATTACCAGAATGGGCGAGGACGAATAACGTAATTTTCCCATCGAGATACCCCCTCGATCGTATCGAATCGTTTGTTATGCACGTATTATCGTGGCGTATCGGGTACGGCCGTTATCAATGGAGATGCAACCCGTCACGAGATATCTGATGTATTTACCACTTGGGCGAGATAGTTGACCGAGCCGAATCTGATAAAGACGAGCTCATCTCTCCAAGAGGAAGGAACGAAAAAGGTCCTTTCATACCACACCGCGCCCACGTGGTCCCGGAGTCCTCCGGATACCGTGATGTCGTTGTAGGACGATGGGACCGGCATTTGCATCACCAGACCAGCCTGTGGAAAACGTGTCCCCATGCATTGCCAGATTTACGATTAGGGATTTAAAAGTCAACGACTCCCATTACCTTCGACAACTCCTGGGCGTGCCAGGACTCCCTTAATCCCCGCTGGATGTCCTCGCTGGGTGGCACCAGGAAGTCCCACATCCCGTCGAGGGATTTCACCTAAAGACCGTTTCATAATGCGCTTAGAAAATGACATTTCCTTTAGATGGGGAATTGGTTCCGAGGAACCATCTCCTAGTACCCGTTTACGTGTATATTAGTTAACTCGGGAGTATGCGGTAATGTATTAATATCGCGTAAGTGCCGGATCCCAAGTACCATAGATTCTATATTTAAGCTTTGGGTCTTACCTCGCGAGACTCGCTCTCGCGTGGATACAGCATGCCGGGCAATGGAGCCAGCGATGCCGTTTCTTTAAAATACTTGCTGATATCGAAACCATCCTCCAGGGAGTCCTCGTCGGTGTAAAGGTCTTGGGTCTCCGCCTCGGTTGAGAATTTGCTCCCTGCTAGGGAGCCCATGGCCGGAAATGGCAGCAAAAACCAAATTAATAGCATCGCCTCCATGCCCTTCTGTAAGAAAGCCATCGAGGAGGATGAAAATAAAGGGGCTCCGGAAGAAAATGAAGCGTTTTCAGGGAAGAGGCGCGAAAACGTGCTCGAGGTAACTTTAAACCGCGGCTAGACAAGGAATTCGAAATCCATTGCGGATTCCGGGTCGCGGTTGAACAGACCACGTCAATTATGCCGAACACATACCTAGTCACGTGCAGGGGTGAATAAAAACCGAGAAGTCGAGTGCGGAGTATTTTTCTGGTATTCCGGTCGGCTCGGACCAATAAAATCGGGCCGAGAGACAAAAGGCTTTTCTAAGCTTAACCGCATACCTTCCCGTGTCCGTGGACGCTTCCTTTCCTTCCGGCAAATCGAGGGAAACTCGCAGGAAAAATCCGCGAATCGGGACGTCGATCAGCTGATCGATCGGCGAGGGCGCCGGCGCGTTTGCATGGAAATCCCCGATTTCGCTCTTCAAATGACATGTATCTCGACGCTGCCAACTCTTAAATACTCTCTGCGGAGGCTCGGATGTGTCACGTCCCTCGGTAGATTACGCATTAACGAAGCAAAGTTTGTGCCCGATAAGATTTCGCGTGCCGGAGAAACCTGTTTAGATAAATCGTTCGCGTGCCAGTGATCTACTTTCGAAGGAGCATCGGTCCGATAAAGCGCAGGAAAGATCTCGGTTAGTGCCGTTAATCTGGCCATTCACCTTCGAACTGAGAATTTAAATCGATTAATTTCCCCGCGAACCGATGCCGATTTAAATCGCCGACAGAGCGGTGACAGGTGATGCGACGACGTCAAGGATCGTGCGGAACGGACCCGCGGTCATCTCGACGCGTCCGGCTGTCACCGGTGAACTGTCACACTTTGCGGCACTCGGTGTTCCCCAGGAAGTCTCTATCTCCGTAATTGTATCGTGGTCGGTGTTACCCAATCTGTCGCCCTCGAAACACCGCCTTTAATGACGCGGAAGAGCCGCGTTTCCGCGTGTCCCTTGGACTCATTCCCCCGGCCAAGGAAACACGGGTTTACCGACCTGGCGATTCCGGTTTCCTCGTAAAAACTGTCGACGTAAAAACGCTCACCGATTTCTTTAACGCGGTATTCCCTCTAACTCTTTTTCGGCCTACTCGTATGTACGCTCTGGTGCACGCGCGGGTGTTGAAAACGAATGAATGAATAAATGAATGAACCCCGGGAATGAGAAGCTCGATCGGAAACAACGTCGAGTACTTGGCCCGGCAGGCTCGCAGTCGATTTATACCAAGATCGATACCCTCTGTCCAAGCAGCGCCGCATCGTTATCATAACATTCCGTGCCCTTATCGCTCGCTCCTTTGCACTCTCTTGCGCATGGCTCTACATTGTAGTCTCTTTGTTACTCCAAAACGCGGTCACCTCGTCGAACGACGCTGAAACGTCTTCGAGTTCAAAGTTCATTCATGGTCGGGAAACGCAACCCGAGGATCCTTATCTACAGAGCTTTAAGACATTCAGGAGATATCCTGGAGCGCCGGTCGAGCTTCGTCGAAAATCGGAGTTTGAGGCCTGGCGACTCGGGAAATGAAACTCGAATCGAGTCGGGATGTCACGATGCCCGTTTACCGCGGGTCAAAGTTCCTGCCGGCGATCAGGGGTCGCGCGTCTCGGTTTAAATTTTTAATCCACGGTTTAGGTGTCCTGTGGATGGGTGCGGGATCCTCTCTAGAGAGCGGCGTTACCTGGGTGAACGTAGGTCACGCTCGGCCTGCGCGTCCGGTGCGCTGCGAGGCACTGCGCACGCAGGTAACGGCGTGAACCATAAGGGGTGCGCACCCACTGCGAGTCCGGCACGGATTACCACTCGCGTCCCGGTCGGTTTCGGCCGCGGCCGCCATTAGCCGCCTCTAGCTGGCACGCCGATGCCGTTGGCCCGGTGAGTGGCGCCGAGCGACTCCAGCGGCGACGCGGCCAACCCGGCGCGCCTCCCTCGTCGGCGGTCTCTACCTGAAGAGACGACAAATTATACGATGATACTAGGAACTACGGAACGAAACGCGCAAATCGCTCGTACCAAGCCTTCCGGGGCGACTCGTCCTGCCGCTCGCTCCAGGACGTTAGGAGCACTTATCGGGACATCTCGCTCCCGGAGTGGCCGCGATCGATGACCGAGACCAATCTCCTGGAATCTTGGCGAGGGTGGCTCGGTCCTCGCTGACCCTGCCGTTTCTTTCAATCCTGCCAGGCTATTTCGAATAAAGGACAAAGGGTCCTTACGTGCTCGGAGGGAGGTCCACTTTGCGGTCCGTTCGTCCGGACTGCGACGGCGTCGAGTTAATTGGCCAAAAAGGCGATTGACCCACCGACAATCGGCTACTTCCGGCGCGTCGCGCCTAAGTCTGAATCACCGATACAGTCGCATCGATCGTCGGTGTGGGGAAGTCGGCTCGATTCGGCGTGTGCGAGTGCCGGGCGATTATTGACCCATATATCTGTAAGAAGTACGTGTGCGGTATTAATTTACATCTTTACGGTGAGGATCAATGGCGCGTTTTATGGCTCAGGGGGGCGACTCGATGCTACCGGGGATAAAACATATCGGAAGATAGTTCTATGTTGGGGGGACCGATTTGTCAGTTTTCTTTTAACTAGGAATTATCTAACGGGACGTAACTACCGGATGATGGACGACTTCCCGTGTATTACGCCCGGGTCTCCGTTGTCGATAGGCTCGTATCGATACTCGGTATTCCGAGGTTATTGCATCTCCCGCTCAAGGCGACTCGATACCGTACAATTGACCCACACGTTTACCCCACGGACGCGGCATCTCTTGCCTGTTGTATGTCGGAAATTAATGCAGCATATTCGATAACGCCTGCGTAGAAATAATCTAAGCGCATGTAAGTATAGTCCGAGCAATCGACGCTTCCGGAGCATCACGCCTATGTCCGAATCACTGACATACTCTCGTATCGATACACCGTACTCCGACGTTATTATATTTCCTGCGCTCAGGCTAATTCAATTTACTTTGTGCGAGGATGATGCAATTAACCCATATATCCGCTACAGATATAGCGTCCCTAATTGCATTCATAACGCAACTTAATCTACTTGAACGTTGCATTAACTTTTTAGCCAAGCTGGAGTACCTACATACTGCGGCACTTGTTTCAGGAGAAGAGCGAAGAGCTGCAGCTTCAACGTAGTCCGTGGTATTATTTACGCTAAGTACGTAAAAGGCTCCGAATTAATTCCTCGAATGTATCATTGGTACAATGCGTTCGGCAGGAATTAATAATTCAGCCTTGCAGGCGTATCGCCTTGCGATTCCGCTCTTTTGCTTTATTTCTATTCGAGAGTGCAAGGACGGAGATAGGACCTGGTAACAAACAATCGGACGTGTGAACTTTATACCATCGTGATTCACCACCATATCGCATGCGGTATAACGTTTAACGGTGCACTCGGGTACCATTGGATATAAGAAAAAGTTGAATCTCACCCTGGAAATCACGGAGCAGCCTATACCTCTAATTATGGAGTACTCTAGACGGTGCATAAATAGACGCTCTGTAAATGCAGTTTTCATTCAGCAGTGTGTTAGCACTTTTCTGCGGGCCGTGCTCGCCCGTGAACTTTGCAGACTTGAATGGCTTCGAGGTGCGTAGGTGTGTCCGATTGACACGCGATGCGCTGTCTTTGGCAGGATGAATTCGTGGCGCGTTATCGCGCACGAACGAACTTTATCAGACGGGAAGCGACTAGGTCATTGGCCCAAGAACTGTGCCGAGCCAGTGCGCTAGTTTAACGACCATTCCGTGATGACTCCGGTGGTTGCTGCGAGTAAATCTGCCCATGCATTTGCATGTGCCGGCGTGCAGACGGGCGTACCTAGGTGTCTACGTACATACATGGACACGTGCACGCAGTTACACCCTGCAGGTGCCGAGAGATGACTAACCTCGCCGTACGGGAGCGCCACGTCTCGAATAACCGTTGGAGACCGTTTCGTGACCGTGCCAAAACGACTTCGTATCGTTACAAACATCTAAATCCCTTGGGAAAAGAAAATAAAAAATTAATTCAACGCCTTGCGACGAGAATGATAAAATACTGAATATTTTCCACGGCAAAAATGGCGGTCCAAAGGCGACTGCACTTTCATGCGAGTCTTTCCATCCTTACCATCGGTAGAACGCTGTCCAACGGTTTGTCCAAATTCTTCAAGAGCACCCTGGGCGACGTAACGTACCTGCTCTTATTTTTATACACGACGTCGGTGTTGCGTACAATCCGTACATATTTACAGGTGTCGTGCACCGTTCTTAAGGAGCAGACGTATAAATAGCCCCGCGACGCTATTTGGGAAGCTCCAAAGTGTGCGATGCAGCGGGAGCAGCTTGACTTCCCATTATTCCTGTAACGGAGATACAAGCGTGCGATTAAAAGTGAATTTCAATTATGGTTCGACAATGCTACCGGTACAATGGGCCGAGTCCCCCTCGTCGTTTTGAGCTCGTTTCGGAGCGTCCCGCAGACTCGAGCCTTTATGCACCGGACATCCTCGAATTTCCATCGGCTCGCACGTGCGCGTCGGCGTGTCGAAAAATTATCCCGAATTCCTCCGCGAGCTCACGGCCCATCCTATCCTCCGTACAATACCCAAGGGTGGCCTAAAACGTTACGACTCTTAAAATATTGCAAGAGGCGATGGATTCCAAGATGGCGGCGGAAAATTGCAAAATTAAAAGCTTCTTAGGTAATTTACGTCGGTAGGAAATGTTTCGGTCACGTAGGATCGGAGTTCCCTGATTTTCCGCAACTAGCGCTCGCGTCGTTGGATCTGCGAAAATGTGAGATCCGGGGTCCCGATTCTGGGAAACTTTCTGTGGAACCGATCATTCGCGTTGTCTGATCCTACTTGATTGTTTTACTCAAGGGCAGAAACCGATCGTTAAAAGTTTAACAGTCGAGCTTTGGGTCTTACGTGTTCACGATTTAGCCTCGATCGGACGTTCGTGCCTTCTTGGACAGTCGGATACGTAATTTCTCCGAAATACTTCGCAGCCCCTTCGTCCTTGGAGCGGGTGGGTCCGGGGAAGGCGCGACGTTCCGTCTAGTCGCAGGGGTGGAACGAGAGGGTCGGAGAGGGTTTCGGGCGGATAGATGACTCGAGCCGTGCGTGCGTGGACGCGCTCGCGAGTGCGCTACCAATACGCGCCCGCGTACATAATGGAGGAGTGGGAGGACGGATGTCGTACAGTCATGTCGGACGGGACGGAGGCAAAGAGGAGGACGAGGCGAAGCGCGGAGAAAGGAAGCGCGACTCGCGGCGAGGGGGCGAGTCGGCGGAGAGGTTATGTACACGAGGCGCCGTACAGTGCGCGCCATGCACAATGAAAGTCGCGATGCCCTCGCCCCGAAGTTGGCCAAGAGCCAGCGGCGCCACGCCATAACAAGCGACGTGGCAACGTCGGTTACCCACGCGCCGAGCGCGGCGCCCTCCCGGCGCGCCGGCAACGTCGCCCCCGCAACACCGCTGGACGGGGTTTCTAGGGAAATTGTCTAGCGCGAACGACGTTAAGTTTAATTCCGTGCGGGCCGACGCCACCTGCGAAATTCAAATTCAAACCGCCGTTAACGGTCGCGAGGCAACGGGCACTCTGGCGGCAGTCGCGGGCACTACCTCGCGGAAATCACAGGGGGGAGTCTAACCTCGCTTTTCCGCGAGTCGCGAAAGACGCTTCCAATTGGCCAGGCTCCGTCACGTGATCGCTGGGGAATTCTTCATAATTTACTACAAACGGTAAATACATTTCATTTGTTCCTTCTTTTCTGTAATACGGTTTAAAATGTAGTCGGAGAAACGATGCATCGTTATTTCGTTACGGTTGACGCTTGTATTTAACGTTTTCTCGAACAGCTTTCGGAAGATCGACGAATCGGCGACGCGTCCGGTATTCCCGCTCCGGCGCGCGTTACGATTTTCAACGCGCCGGCTCGACGGCGCACGCGCCCTACTCGGCCGCGCAGGGCGCAGGCGCGGAAGGGCAGGCATCGAGGAATGTTTCAACGGCGGAGCCAGTCGCGCGCCGCGCGGTGCATCGGGTGTTCGTGAGTCGCGCGCGTCGCTCCTTGTCGGCGGCCTCCCGATGCTGGACGACTGCAAAAACCACGTTACCGAGACCCGTTCCGAAGTACTCTAAGTACACCTAACCTCTTTACACCGTTTTCGTCGGTAGACGCGCGCTCGGTTACTCAAAACAGCGGCCAGGCAGGATATAATCGACCCGAGCGGGGCGAACGCACTCCAAATGAAACGCGGGCAAAAAAGGTTTAACCATACTTGTCGGTGAGTACATTTAAGCAGAGAAATAAGAAAATAGAGTGATCGAATACAGCGGATGGAAAGACGCTCTCGATATCGTCCCAATGTCTGGATAACACCCTTTGACGCGGTTCGACTTTTCAAATAAAATTCAACAACAACGATATCGATAAGCGACTCAATGGCCGTTGAGACTCGACTGTTGGGGAAGACCCTGTTATCGAATCTTTTTTAGGAAAGCCCTTTTGTCCGCTATGTAATCTTTGGTGTGCGGGACAAAAGCACGAGCTTCAAAGGGTTAAGGTTATATGAAAGGGTCACGTAAAAATATTTACAAAACTTTTCCCCAAGCTGGGTGCAGCACCGAATCATTTGAAACTCCAGCGTGTGATTATGGAGGTCTTAAACAAGAACGTGACGCTCGGGAGGTTTCTTGTTCGATGAAGGAATTTTTTTTATTTATCCCAGGCGAACCAAGAATTCTTATTAAAAAAAATGAAATTTCACGCGTACCGCTTTCTTCCTTAGGACCTTTGTAATCACATGAAGTTTCAAATGATTCGGTGCATCCAGTTTGGAAATAAGCTTTATCGGTGTTTTGACGTTTTATATATATATAGAACGACCCTTTTGTACCACCTTAAGGATTTGAAACGTTGACGGATGCACGGGGAAGGGGTGACTTGGGCAATCCGCATCGGGACGGTCTCGCTTTTGAGGTCACGTGAAAGTGCCGCTTTACCGACTGATTTCGACGGATCGCAGCTTCCCAGTTTATGCGGTAATCAATGAACAAAGTGGCCGGAAATTGAGCGACTCGACGCGTACATTAATTGTTCGAGTTACCGTTAAAAGTGAGCCGGAGAAGAAACGGTTTTGCCCTCGTAGTGCCAGGATGCCGGACTTCTGTCCGGAGGGTCGAGGAGGCCATCGGTCCCTGGATGCGGCCAAGTCGTGCCGATTTTGACTTTCACGTCATACCTAAAGCGACGGTTGCGAGTTCGCGAGTTTGGAGAAACTTTGGCCGGCCAACCTTCGAGGCGAAGACCGATTTCTCTCCGCGTGTTAAATTTAACCGTGACTAACCGAGAACAGCGGTTTTCTTTGGTGACCGTTCGAAATCTTGGGGGAAAAACACCAGAAGGGGCGACGCTGGGGGAAAACTTTGGGGAGGGTAAGATCGAGGGTGCATTTATTAAGAAAATATTCCCCCGATGACCGTTATGGGGTTTGAGACGGAAAAAACGCGAGGGTGGATGAAGTCGAGGTCGCATTGGGAACGAAAATCCCGTCTCTTGGAGACCGTTGAAATACCTTTGTCAAATCGTTTACTCCTGTGGTAGAATTGACGGAATTAGCGGAATTCCTGAAATCGACGCAGAGCGCGGGAATTTTTCGAGTCTTTGAAAAGTACCTACGACCTCCGCACTCATTAAGAGTCGGGGAATGAAAGGAAAAGGTGGCTAAGGCCGCAGTCCCGACGGCCATTAGAGTTAACAATGTAGATGCAGAGTGGGAACTAATTGTATTCCCGCGGGTTTAGTGGCCATAAAGCGCGATTTAACGGCAAACGTTAAGACTTATTTAAGGAATTCTCGGTAGGTGGGATAAAGGGAGGAGAGAAGGTCGCCTCGGGACCGGCCGGCTCGGACTCGTGATAAAGTGGCCAAAAGCGTCGAGAGGAAGCACGGTTGCATTTTTTTCAACGGACTTCCGGTCGGCGTCGTCTTTTTACCCTGCTAAGGTTCGGCACGTCTTCGTCGTTTCCGCTCTGACCGTACGCTACGTACCTGGCACGCACGTCGGGAAGACTCCCAGGTGAAGGAGCCCACCTTGAATCCTCCCAGAGGCCCCGAAACCCGGAATCGAGGATGCGAGGGAAGAAAAAAAAACGATAATTCAGAGGACGTTGGGAAACTTGCCACGATGTTCTCTGTATATCTCTTTCTCTCTCTTCGGCAATGTTTAGCGATAACCGATGCTCTTTCATTTATCTCGAAGTGGGCGCCTCCACTGCGCGTAGGACTGCCGCGCGCTCGCCTTGGCATTATCTTAAATCTTGTCGAATTGCAGATTCCTCCGGATCCCCCCTCGAGGTCCACGTCTCTCTCGAAGGACGAGGTGGGAATTTCGCCTTCGCTAGAGATTGCGAAATAATTTCAATCGCCCCTTGGACGGACCTCCTTGCGCGAATCTTGCGGAAATCTTTGAAAATCACCGAAGCGTTGCCACAATTTTTAGGTCGACTCCCTTGTTACCGAATCGCGGTCTCTCTCGTACGACATCAAAGACAATCGGCTCTGAAGGAAGGAAATCGGTTTCGGTGATTTTCGAGAGGATGGCCCCTAGGTGGGTGGTCCTTGGTAGACGTTTAGGTGAACGTACTCTTCTATCGACTGGTCGACGCAAATCCGGACTGAGTCCGACCTCGACCCCCGAGGCTCGACAACCCCTTAATGTCCGAGGTCCCTGGCACATGCGCATTGCTCGCGTTACGTATTACGTGCCGGGGTCGAAGGACTTTTCCGACCTTGGTCGTTTATCTGGCTTGGTGGCGCTCGAAAGAGGCGCAGCACGGCGCGACCATAATAATGACTGTGCGTAAGAGTCAATGTCCGATACACGTACTTGTACATTGCCCGTCGGTTTTTTTTGCGGGTGGAAATTCCGCGATAGCGTCGAACCTCTCGGTCACCGGGAATTATCCGGCCGGTCAAATTTTCCCGACCTCGGCGCTCGATCTTCCGCCCCAACCCGAGGCCTCGTCTTCGAAATAATTCCAGGTTCGAGCCCCGACTTCCTCTTTAACTAAATACACTGTAAACGGAGTCGAATGTCGTTTACCGAACTTCGTATGCATCTGGCTGCACATCTGGTTGAACAACCAGGAGCTGCACTCGGAGTGCATCCACGGTCGGATCGCCTGGCTCAGCTGACTCGTGATAAATGATCGTTGACGTTCGATCCATTCCGCGGTTACTCCCGGTCCTGTACACGGTTTTTAGGACTCTCGTGATTTTTCTCTGCGATTTTTCCGACGAACATTTCAACCGAAAATGGACCCTCCGCTCCCGGTGGCAACTGGATTTCGGATTTCTTTTCCGGACGCTTTCTAAAACCCGGCCGACAACACGTGCGACGAAAAGCTAGAATATGTGGGTTACATAAAAAAAAGGGAAACGAGTAAAAAAGAAAAACCGACCAATCGTGTGGTCGTTTCGGCGGAATATTGCGTCACCGGGAGAGGCGGTCAAAAAAGCGTCCGGGCCATGAGCTCACCTTCTGCCCACAAGCATGGGAAAGCACGAGTGCCAGGGATTGCGTCGTTCTTTCTCTAGTAATTCTTTTTTTCTTTTTTTTTCCCCTAGTCATTAGATACCGAACGCACCGACCGTCGCGACGTACGAGCCGTAAGTGCGTTGGGTGTTACTCATGAATGGAACGCAATGTCAATGGGCGATGACAAGCGACAATTACTCCAGGGTTTTCCAAAACCGCAGGATCGAGCATACCGCGCGAATGAATCTCTTTCTAACAATTTATGAATTAACAGGTTTCGCAATCGTAATAATGCTTCTGGTGAATCACTCATTTCGGGATACTGGGGGGAGGAAATAACGAATAGGGACTCGCTACGCTTTCAAATGTCCGGTCTTCAATGACACACTAATTGTCGATGTTGCGGTCATACCTCGCGATTGCGATTGCAGATAATGTCTCGATATCGAAACAGGGCAGGAAGACAGAGAGTTCGTATCGATTCGTTCGGGGGAAAATGGAAAGAAAATTGATCGGTGCCCTCGTGCCACCGGTGGTAAATCACTCGAGTGAACAAATTGAACGGTGTAATCAATTTAGCCGACAAAGGATCGTGGTCGGGGTTATAAAAAATGCAGGGAAGCGCGTTCGTCGTTTCTCACTTTTTCGCCGGGGAGATATTCCGCGAAATGGGTTCCTACGCCTCGATTAATACTCTCGGTGAAATTTAACGAGCGTTCCTGCAAGTACTCCCAACTCGAGCAATTGCATCGGTCCTTCTCGTTCCTGGTTTTGGCAAAACGTAATGCCGCTTCTTGGAAATTTAGTGCGGCAGAACGCGGGGCCCCATGTAATGCCTATGAATGCCGAGCTATAAGGAGTCGGGATTCCACGTTATTTCCGGTCTCCGTTAAAGACTGACGAGGGTCCATCTCCCGAGGGTCGGTCTTATGGGATTTCTCGAAGCCCGAAAATAGCCGGCGATTTCGCCAATTCGCTAATTTCCCGACCTCCTGCAAACGTATACAAACCAGTTGGCAAAACTTGCAAGCAAGGTGCAGATCCCTAGTCGACGATATTTCAATTTGACGGACTCGAGATGTCGACGAAATTTATTATTCAATTTTTTCGACCTTTGATTCCATCGTTCGATATTTAGGAAATTGCACTCTGGGGTTCTCGGTGATTAAAACGATACCGAAGTTTCTGTCGGCAGCGCGGATAATTAAAAGAACAAGGATTTAGAGGATCGCTCGAGGTCAATTATTTCTTGGATCCGGATTTCTGGCCATTGGAAATAATTCGTAAAGGAACTCTCGACCTGGGAATAATTAAGGGGACGGGTATAGAAGAGGTGGGGCATATTTCGGTAGTCGAATTTTGTCGGCGGGAGGACGAAGGGAGACGGACGAGGCGGTACGCAAAGAGACCGAGCGAGAGGGAAGGAAAAGGTTAAAATTAGTGAGGGGATGCGACGAAGAGGCAGATGGACCAAACGAAAATTCTCTCTTGTGCAGCGCCGACGAACTCGGAGTCATGCCGCGCTGACGGCGGCTCGGACCGGAGGAGACATTCCGGAAGATCCTGAGGGAGTCTTCTCGGCAGACGACGAAGGCGGCCACGTGCTCGGGGATGGACCTAGGACGACCCGGAAGACCCCGAAGAGACATCCCCTTTCTGCTTACGACGCGAGGTCGCGCCCGATCGCCCAAGGAAACGTTCCAGTGAGTCTGGATTCGAAATTAAATTTCTCCCGTTTCATCTTATAACCCGAATTTATATATTCTCGATACGTGATGAGAAAAAAAACGAGGAATATTAATAAGGAAAAATCTATTATCGCAATCCAGTCGTGATGCCATCGGCATCGTTGGGTGCTTCCTCCTCGCGCAGCGTATACGATTAGTAACAATATTATACCTAATTCCACAGACGTTTCGGAATAACAGTGGAATTACGGTTTAATTGGTCAAGTATGCCTGCAATTAAACCAGACTTTGCCCGTCCGAGACATGGGCCAAGGAAGAGTAATTAGTTCGGGTAAATGCTCGTTATACTTAGCGAAAATACGCCTGCCCTGCAGAATGCGCTCGATATTATTATTCTCGGAGTAATTTCATCCCTTGAGAGAGGAATTTATCAAACCGTCCGGACGTCGAGTTTGCCTAAAATTATTTATCCGAAATCATTTTACGCGCGAGGTATTTAAACGGCGGAGACCCTCGACGGGGTTCCGTAAACAGAAATTAGTTGGTCGGTTGTAACTTGTAAAATTAATCTAATCGTTCCCTAGCCGTTATAACGCGGCCTAAAATTATTTATCCGAAAACATTTTACGCGCGAGGTATTTAAACGGCGGAGACCCTCGGCGGGGTTCCGTAAACAGAAATTAGTTGGTCGGTTGTAACTTGTAAAATTAATCTAATCGTTCCCTAGCCGTTATAACGCGGCCGTTCTCCGGTTGCTTCACCCCGTCGTAGATTACGGTCGCGTTCGCCTCGCTGGGAGATAATTCCGATAGAGCCGCTTATGGTCCCCGGCTCGAGAGACCGTGGGCACGGACAGAGATGCCGTTCAGACAGTTGACAGATATGCAGATAGTGCACAGGCGACTGGCACCGGCTCCAGAAGTAAACGCTCTCGACGATCTCCGCCATCGGCGACGGACACTTTCCATTTCTGCCCTCGCTTCCGCGTAAACAAACTTCGTCTCGACGCCTCGTCTTGCCCAAGGCTCTCCGAAAGCGCGAAACGAAGCAACGCGTTTCAGCCCATAGAGAATAAACATAGGAAATTAATTACCAGGCGGATATTCGCCCATTACCCGCGGTACCATTTTTCTCGAAACTCTTTACATCGGGTTCCTCCTTGCGGGGGATAAATTTTTCCGGCGCACCCCGGTACCATTTTTCTTAGATCGTTTCTCCTTTCGGAGCCGGTCGACGTGTCAGCTTCCTTCTTGGCACCTCTAGGTCTTTAAGTCCGGAGTCATGCGCGAAGCACCGCAAGTATGCCCCAATTATTGGCCATCCGTCGACCAGGTCCGATATGCGTCACCGTGGATCGTCGTTGCGTATATTTCTATTGAGGAGTTCGACGCGCCCCCCCCCCCATCGAACTCGCCCAGAGGAAGACGAGTGACGAGCGTCGATGACTTCTTTGCAGGTCGTCAGGGCCCACCCGATAGGCGATCTGGCCGGGACGTCGTTATGTCCGGTGGCTCGTCGAAGGAGGTCGGGGTCCAGCGGATTTAAGAGTACTCGGACACCTCGAAGATGGTCCCCCTGGTCCTGGCGCTGCTATCCCTGGCCGCCCCGTCGAGCTCCGCGCCCTCCTCGGTCTACGTGGACGACAAGGCGGTAAGTCGTTCCTCCGAAGCCTTCGGTTAGAGTCGATCTCCATCTCGCACCCGGGTGTCTCGGGCTTCGAGTACGGTCAGGACTCGGTCTCGACGGGCACTTTTTGTATTTTTTCGAGCGCAAGACGAAGTCCGATTTCGCTCGTCACTAGCCTCAGGATGCGCCGCGACAAGGGCGCTCCTTGTACTCGCCGTGGACGCGGATCCATAAAACTCTTACGGCCGTCGAACAATACGCGCTCTTGTGGAAACGGGAACGTGGAAGAGACCGACTCTCGGAAACAGGGAGAGGGAGAGAGCAGCCACTTCGGGGGAGGGCCTGGGGTGCGGAGCCCAAACTCGGCGATAATACGCTCCCGGAATGGGGATCCCGCCATCTCCCGCGACGCTAGGAGAGACACTTTCGGTGTTAGAGGTTCGGATGGAGGGATTTTTTCCGAGGCGTCCTTTTGGCCGAGGCTCCCGGGCGAAATGCTCCAGGAAATTGGAGGGAGAGCGTCCCGGTGTTCCGAAGGGGACGCGGTGATAGCGGAGGATAGTTTCGAGAATGTCACGAAATGACAAAAAGTGACCAATGGCGCCGTTTCGCCGCGGAAAAAATATCTTTCTGATCCTGGAAATATTTCTTTGCGAATTTATGGAACGACGTTACTTATGCGACGGTTTCGCGTTGCAATGTCCACGGCGACGATGGCTCGGTCAATGGACCCCTCGAGTCGACTTTTTAAAAAGACGTCCGGGGGTAAGTAGAGATTAAAAAGAGCCCAGCGTCTGCGAGGCTCGTTAGTCGTTACCGATGGATTGTTTTCGTTGGACCGTGAATTTTTCGACAAATTTATTCACATTAACGCCCCCGCAAGGGAATACGAGACGGATACATGTGCGGCCATGTCGTCTGGAGGGATATGAGTCACCGGTCCCGGTTGTAAGGTTGACGATCCAGGATTAGAACGTGTTTCGATCCGGGACGTCTTCCTTCATTTTCGCGAGTTCCGCGTGATTGGAATTGTTTTTTTTGACATCTTTAAAACCGCCGAGAGGAGTAAACGATTTTGCGAGTATTTTCAGACATCGCCGAGTGCATCTCGCCCGGCGAACGCGCGTAAAAAAATGCACGATCGGCCCACTCGAAGTTCCCGTGAATGAACCACTGATCAATGACCCTGTGCTCGATTCCAATTCAATTTAGACATAACACTTCCCAGGCTCTCCCGTCGCATACTGCGAATATTTTCAAACTTTCCCACCGATTGGACGCGGCGTCGTATATTTTTTTTTTTTTTTCACGAGAATCCGTAACCCGATAACGGGAACGTGAATTATAGCCGTGGCTGAAATTGACGAGGAAAATCGAAATTCCCGGTCTCGGCTCGATTGGCTCAAAAATTCAGGATAATCCCGACGTTTGTTATAAACGTTGAGTACCGACTATTTGCCCGATATAAATCCACGAGGGTGCTCGCGGTAACTTCGCGTCTATGTCTCTCTCCCTCTTTATCCCGCAATGTGTGTCATATTAATGCGTTTCCTGAATACTTCAGCGAGCGCGTGTTCTATTAATCCGAGCCTGCCGGATATCGGATTGAAGTGAATTCACTCGAATATCCTGTTTGATGCAATATGTAAGAGAAGGCATTCGAGTTTCGGAGAAAAAAATGAGCGACACGCGAGGGATTATTGGATGACTGGGTGGGTCTACGTCACTCCGACCGCACGTGGGAATGATAGAACTTTTTTTCTTCTCTTTTCCTATAAATTCCATCCACTTTAATCCGAGAGTTCGCGGACTTGCAGGTGCGGAAGACATCCTGGAAAAGTGATACCTCAAACCTTGACTCGCTGCATCAAAGAGAAAATCGTCTGGTGTAACGTGACTTTTAAGTCTGATTTGTTGCCTCAAAGATCTGTGATTCGTTTTCCAGATCTTGTAGAGCCGCTTTGAAGAGTCGGTCTAAACGGAAGAGCCGCACGCGTAATTGAACCAAGACCCACATCCATTGCGCGGCTAATTTATGATCTGCAATCGAGTTCTCATTCAAGGACCCCCGGTCAAATAGGGTACATCGGGTGCTCCCGTTGTTCACGACGCCGATTCACCGTACAAAGATCTTTCTAAATTGGCACGTCCTGTTCCCTGACGCATCATCGGCCGTGTACCATTTAGGGTTAAAGGATACGACATACGCTGTACACGTCGGTACAAGACTTGGCATTAATGCGCGCCGGTATTGAGGCTCTATTCTGCAAAAGACTAATATTAACGCTCCTAAAAGAGCGTCATTCGAAGGCGAAAAATAGGGCGCGAGAGTAACTGGGTTTTTCGAGACGCACCGACTGACTGGTAAAAGAGGTATTTATCTCCCACAGAACGCAATGTAGATGAGAAAAATATATCACGATCCCGGGTCGACTTTTTACGATGTTTTATGGATCGCCGCTTTTTGTTCTCGGCGCGAGTCGACCAGCTGATCGGGTCGAGCTGTCAAATCCCTCACACGTGGTCCACGTGTGCGCCGGAAGATCGGCCGAGTTATCTCCAACTTTCGCGACCTATCTACGCCGAGTTGTTAAGAATTGTGACGAGCCTTATTAAGATTGACAATGATTAATGTCGAGACCTGTACTTGTACGTGCGATCCGGCCGGTACGGTTAGGAGGTCCGGACTTTATTCCAGGCCATCTACGCACGTGAGTCACGGCCGAGTGGCAGCTGTAAATACAACTACTACCAGGCCTGGGAAGAAATCACGATTTGGAAAAAGAGAAAACAATCAACACTAGACTTGTTTGCCGTAAATCATCTAGAAGACGGAGATAACTCACCTGGATCGTTAAACACTGTCTCTTAAGTAATTCCGCGTGCATGCAGAATATATATACAGGAAGTGACACTGTTTGATTAGGTGGAATTAGGCTTCGTAATCGATGGAATATTTATTTCCGAAATAATATCGGCGATCGTATTGGTGACAAACGACGTGTCCTCTCGAGGCATCCAAATTCATCGATTGATCCTTCGATTGGAACGGCATTAGTCTCGAGAGTTCGGCCGATGATTTAAATCAATTGTTTAAATTACGGGTTTAATGATTGCAAGGAGTCCGTGGCGGTCGATTAATTTAAATCGAGCCTGTTGGGGTAATTGCCAGCGAGACATTCGATGCAAACGGCATGTGCAGCTCTTGATCCGATACCGCAATATTAGGTTATCGCGGAATTTTCGCCATGCACTCGTGCAGAGGCGCCTGACGCCTGTCTATCCTTATCACAGCTCGCTGTCACGAGAGGTCCCGATAACTCGACATTACCGCTTCGTAACGAGGACTCTTTTCCTCTGGAGAGAGTGGGCGTCGATTCATCGAGTTCCCTTGATAAAATGTACCCCTCGAACGAGGTGGCGATCTCTCGGGTTCAATTATGCCGTTCCGCCTTTTTTACTTTTTTCACTCCGTCATTTACATCTTCCTCCTTGATCCGTTCCAGCAAACGTACCTGATGACGTACGGATACCTGCCACAGAGCAGCCTGGAAACGGGTAACCTGAGGTCGGACGAACAACTCAGAGATGCCATCAAAACCCTGCAGGTACGTCCTTTTTCTGAAGAAAAAAAATGAACTTTAAATACAATCGTATAATATTTTTTATGCGGCTCATATTTAATGGATTTAATATCGGACTCTGATCCCACCTTGTTCAAGATTTATGGCGGTGTTCCGGTGACCGGAGAGTTGGACGAGGAAACTCGGGAATTGATGAAGGCTCGGCGCTGCGGACTTCCGGATAAACTGGATCCAAGATTTGCGAGAACGAGGCACAAACGTTTTACCATTCATGGACAGCAATGGCCATATCGGAACCTCACTTGGAGGTAAGCGTAGTTTTTCCCTTTTGCGTCTACCTCGGAATTTCATCTTAATCCAGGTACCCTGAAAGGCGTTGTCCATTCACTCCTCTTCAAATCACAATATTTGACTTCGGTGCAACAAGCCTCCTCGTTGTTATCGGGATAAAGTTCTTTCTGACATAGAGGGTATTTGTTCATCGCAGACATAATTAACCAAGCGGTCGTTGGGTAGCAAACATTCGGTTGGCATAAATTGCTTTCATTTGGCTGCATCGCCGGAGGAATACGGACGGGCAGAATATTCCACAAAATTCAGAGGTCGCTGGATTTCCTAAATACCGAGAGCACTTGGCAGGAGCAATTATCAGAGGCTGGAAACAGGTTCCTGTGTCCTGAATGGAAATCGGTGAAATATTTAAATTTTCGAGATTTCTACCCCACGTCTTGACTCGAAGCAATTGTAGTCTATCGTTGGATGCTCCGTTCGTCCACTTTCCTCCGAATAACCTTTTCTTTCCTCTCGAAGGAAGCTCCTGCCGAGCGTTGCGCATACTTCGTCGTCTTTAGGCCTTAGAAGTATTTCAGGTCGCATGGAAATGTCAATGCCCTGTGCCGTGAAATGTCAGGCCGTGCCAAAGAAGGAGACTAGAAACTGGTATACATTTAGTGCGAGGCGCCGTTCCGTTGGCTTTTTCCCTCTTTTGGTGCTACTTGCTGTCGAATTACCGACTCCTGTGTACGCGTACACGTCGAGAGCACGTGCACATCTAAGGTGCGTAGTCACTGGTCATTGTCGCTCGAACGGCTTCACCTTTCGTTAGCCGTTAATGACATCCACGCCGTCAGTCGCCCACCCTTGGCTCACGGCTGGCAGCTCGCTAATTCGTTTAAGGGCTTACCGTAAGGGCGAGCTCTCGATGGAACGAGAGCCGGCGGATTATCGACTTGCACTGCTCAAAGCCAAAAAGAGAGAACGCTCTCTCTAAACGAAGGTAAGCGATCGTCGCCCCTGCCCGAAATCTCGTTAGGTTCCCGGTTTTCCTCCTCGGCATTTTCCATTAATCAGGGATGCATGTTGGCCCTACCAATCACCGGGAGTCCACCAGGTTAGTTCTTCGCATTCGAGAGAAAAATCGAACGAGGAGGGAATCTGAAAAAAAAAAGTCCCTTCGGGGTAAAGCTCTCTTTAACTACGCGCAACCTCCTAGAAATCATTTTCCTTAGGTAGATTTTCTAGTTACCAATGTAACATTTTTCCGATTAAACGAGAACAAAGTAGAAGCCATTGACCGAGGGGTGCGCGATTACTCGCTCCTGTTCTAGGGTTCGTTAGGTTGCCAATTTCGTTCGTCACCATTTTCATTAATCAGGGATGCACCGTGCCCCACCGGCCGACATGGACTCGTTACTCTCCCTTCACCATACGTGAACTGTAAAAGGGAACGGTTGGGTGTTGACTTTCGATGCGGAAAACCGGGGGCATGCGGTTGCACTTTAATCGAAGGCGAAATAATCAGGGGGAATTAATTCACGTTCGCGGGATTTTTTGGCAGTTCCTTTTTGCTTCCTGATTGCCGATGAATGAAGAGTCGCATTTACTCTTGACTAGCGGTTACTACTTCCGGCGCCTGAGCCCACTCCACGGCGTTATCTCCGCTTCCTGGCGGCCTCTTCCGATAATTTCCGAAAAGGAACGTAAAATCCAGGTCAGATACGGAACTCGGGGTGTTTCCGTCCGGACCTTGGAAAATGCCCCGAATGGGCACTCGGGTCCTCGGGTTGCCATTACGTTGCCGTCACGTTGCTATCCCCGCTTCTGCCCGCTCGTTGCTCCGCGTCTGTTCTTTCTGATAAGGGTCAATTAGCGATAGTCGGACACGCCCCTGAAACGCCCGGTACTGTACCGGGTGTTCGGCCAGGAACGGCCGTCCTGGTATCCGATTTTCCACGTTGACGCCCCGTCTCCGATCCGATTACCCCGGAAAGTTAAAAGAGAAACGGTTGGAATTCCGCAGCTTTGCCTCCGCTACTCGTCGAGATATCCATTCCGCATAACCGAGGAGCGGGGATTTAGCCGGGCCTCGCAAAAAGAGCAGCCCTCCGGATGCGACTCGAGTGCAGGAAGCGCAAACACGAGTTAAAGCGAATCCGAAACGGGTGGAGGAACCCGAGTTGCCCAGTTCCGGGTGCTCGCGGTATTCCTCCCTTTGTAAGGTACTCCCTGGATCTCCTCGACGACGAAGGGTCCTCGAGGTTCGGGCACTCCGTCCGGGCTCGAGATGCAACGGGTGTGCATGCGGGATCGCTCGGAAAAGTGCCTCGTCTCGAGTCTATCGACGCCTCGATCCGCGTTCGAGCCTGAAAAACCATCGTTCTAAATCCTTCCAACCGTTTCGTCCTTTAAACCAAACTTTTTACGCCGTGTATACTCGTTATAACAAAATCGCTCCTCTCGGCCCCGCGGGTGCAGCTTCGACGATCCACCGCCAGGGGCGCGCCAGTCGCGACTCCGCCGACGATTTCCCGCGAACGAGCGTCACCTCGGGCAAACTTCGAGAATAACCGCTTGAGTCTGGTTTCTCGCTTTTCCTCGGCGTCTCTCCCCTTTGTAAGTTACTCTCCCCAGGTTCTCTTGAAGTCGAAGAGCCCTCGATCTTCGGATACCTCGTGGCCTCTCCTCGTAGGGGGCTCGAGATGTGCAACGGGTGTATCGCGCGCCGCGATACCAGCGGTGCGCGCGCAGCCTCGGCTCCCTCCGCGCCGGCGCGCGCTTGAACTACGCCCGCCTGTATTATGTAGACTCTCCTCCCCCCGCCGCAGCGCTCAGTGCCGCGCCGGCCGCGGTCGAGTTTTCGTTCTGGACCTGCGCTCGCTCCGACGATCAGTGCATCTCGAGTGACCCGCGAGGAGAGACGTCCCAGCTTCCGGCAGCACCCGCGACGCAGATACAATGGACCTCGTAATGGTAATCAATGTTTCGCCGATCTCTTAAAACATAATCGCGATGAATTACCAATTTTTACTAAATGTCTATATACTCATGTAGGTGCATTTAATTTTTTTTTTCTCGACTTCTGCGCGTCAACCGAAGCACTTCGTATATGTGCACTTTGTGGAAGTGCTTCCGCAATGGCAGGATATTTATCTCCGATACCGTGCTTTCCTGTTCCGCCCGTTGAATTGGTCGTTTGATAAATTTTCTTTTTTAACATTAGTTTATTGTAATTAGTTGACGCACAGCTAGATTTTTTCAAGCGTAGAAAAACGGCATACAGCCTGTGCCTGGTTCTCAGCACAAGAAACGGACTGTTGCGCTCAGGACGTAGCGACTGGGCAGCAGAGATGCGTATATACGAAACGAGGACGATATTGCAACCAATAACCGTTTCATTAAGCCGATTACGGGCTTTTAAAGCGGCGCCTCGCTCGATCTTGGCGGTATGAATATATTTATAACGATAGGCACGATAGAGGTCCAAGTGTCCCGTGACTTATCGTCCTCGATTTCACGAGTTAAAATTGCCACTTAACTGGTCTCACCGGCAATTAACGATTTAAAAAATTCCCCACGGTCATTCGGCACCCCGGAAAAATTAATCGAAATCGATGCAGATAATGAAAATGTGAAATTACGATCCGCTGTAAAAAAAAAAAAATGAAAAAAATGAGGTTTTTCCCTGATGCCAAATGTCTTTGCGGACGTTTTCCATGTTTTCCTTTTTTGGGGAAATCGGGCCTGGACGGTTTCCAGGTCCCTGCGAGACACGTACATACATTCAATTGCGGTTTTGCGGAATCTGGCCCGACGTCCGGGTCCAGCCAAAGAGAGAGAAAGAGGAGAGACAAATAAATGCGCGAATAAATGTTTCCACTTCCTGTGGGAATTGCTCCCGGAGGGCGCGCCCCCTTTTTACGTCCCGTGGGGCGTCACACCCTCCGCTGGCGCCATGCACTCGAGCTCGTATCGGTGTACACGCCCCGTGTATGTACCGTGTACAATGGGTGTCCAGACACGGTACATACGCGGCTAATTATGTGCCCGGGTGACATAGGTGCCTAAAAGCACGCCACGTCCCACGTGGCGAGAGCTCGGTGTCGCCCGAAATGGCCATTCCTGCTTCAGACATCGATCTACCTTTTGCCGCGGCAGATTCCATTAAATCGCCAAAGCGACGCAGAGAACGTCTCCATTAAGCCTCCGGGAACCGCCGGAAAGGAGGGAAGTGGCCGGACCGAGAGGACCCCGAGGACCTGCGGCAAGGCGCCCTGGAAGAGCGACATAAATGGACAAAGGAGAAGAAATTAGGCCGCCGCGTTTTAAAAAAATTCACTTACCACTCACTCAAGAGACGTATGCGCGAGATTGGCTAAACGGTGGCCTGCCGAGTTCTAAAATTCTTATCGAAGATCCCCACCGGGGAGAGCGGTCATCGGGCGATGAAACGAGCTCGGCCAAGTGGTCGCTCCTGCACCCGACGTTGATCTACTTTTTGCCGAGGCCTCGTGGAATCCATTAAATCGCCAAAGCATCCTCCGGCGACAAAGAGAACATCTCCATTAAGCCTCTGGGAACCAACAGAAGGAGATTAAGCCGGTCCAGGGAAAGTACCCTGAAATGGGCGCAAAACGAGGGAAAGAAGTACCTGTTTATGATTACGCCAAGGAGCGAGGAGGACTTGTCGAAAAGTGGGACCGTTTGCCTCAAAGACTCGTGGACCGTCATGGAAACGCCCTTGCGAATCGTAATATTAGGTTATTTTACGAAACAACGTCCATGGCAGCGTTAAGAGCGTTTACCAGGCGGTTACTTTATCCGGAATGCGGCTTATGAAATGCGAAGCACTTAGCGATAATTGAACGAAGACATTCGCTGCCTCGTAAAACGAGAGACTAGGAGAGGTTAGGCTATTTGTCCGGCATTGTGGGTGCGTTTCTTGTTTATATTAGCTTGGCGCGTTTAGTTCCGCATAATGTATCCGAAGAGTACCGAGTAACCGCTCGGTCGACCGTACTAACGACGTTGTTACGGCCGAACCGACGTTGGCGACCCACGGGGTGGGCGGTGCTCGTCGATAGATCGCGATCGAGAATTCCGTAATCGATCTACTTTTTGCCACCTCGCGGATTTCATTAGGTGGAGAAGCAATCTTCGGTCGCATCGAAAAAGAGGACGCGTTCGCTAAGCCCCAGAAACCGCGGTAGGCGAAACGGGGAGAGGATGAAGAAACGACGAATCCCGAAGAGGGTCGTTGAACCCTTGGGAAAAGGTCCAACGACCCTCTTCGGGATTCGCGATGATTTCTCAATCATCGCGGGGCCCTTCCCCCTAATTCTAAGTACCTCGAGCGATGGTTACGCGTGCCCGTCGCTTTTTATTATTTTTTTTTATTTCGCTGGCTTAAGTGCACCTGCATATTGGCCATTGGCCATTTCCGATGCCGTCCCGATCGGTGGACGGTTTCCAATCGGTAATGGCGACCCGGGGAAATCGCGTCGTCTCCGCCGCATTGCGTCGCCGGGACTGCGATGAGCCTGGAATCGGAGGACCGAGAAGGAAGGACGACCCGAAGAGCGCGAGGAGGAGAGGAGCCAACGGGAGGAGCATTGGCGACAACGTGAACTCACTCAACCTGGGTGTGATGCTTGCCCTCGAGACGGGCCCTAGAGGACATCACAACCTTTTTGAGTGAGCGAACGTGGTCGCCCCGTCGACGGCCTCGACGATCTCTATTCGGGGTATCTCTGCATCGGTATTGGTACCGGGACGAGCACCAGCACCGACGGCCCTTGCCTTCGTCCCTGCTTTCGCCCTCGCCCTTAGGTTACCCGCCGACCACTCGAGCCCCCGACCCCGACTACCCTTGCACTCCCTAAGAGAAGAGCCCCCGGCCTCCACCTTTCGGTCCACGGTGTCCCCTCCGAAAGGATGGCGCCTACGGGAATATATTGAGAACTTCCTCTTCCAGAGAGCGAGATCCGCCGATTCGAGTTCAACGTCCACCTCCAGCCTGGCGAACGCCAACGCACGTGCTCCGGTCACCTGAAAATCGTTAGATCAGAAAAAATCCTTAGATCCTCCTGGAGGATATTTTCAAGGGGTACTCGTGGATACTCTCGTCTCTCGTTTACGCCGAGGGGTGGTTTTAATTTCGAGACGAGGAAAAAATTGGATATTTACGTGCGCGTGTTTTTACCCGAGTCTCTCCGGACGGGGAAGCCGATCCAAGACGCGGAAGGGGGCCTACGGTTACCTGGAAAAATTATGAAAATTTGAGAGGAGGCAATTTCTCGACTCGGTCGTTTAATTCGGATTCGCGAAACCCTACCTCGGTTGCCGCGCCTGTACGCAACGGCCTCACCCTCGCCCACTCGAGGGAGTCTCCGACCCTGGCCACCCTTGCTCTTCCATCGAGAAGAGGTGTTCCCACCTTCCATCTTTCGGGGCGCGGTGTCTCCTCCGAGGACCCAGTCCGCGGGAATACATTAAGAGGCACCCTCTTCCGGTACCGCGTCGAGGGACCCCAGGCCGACCCCGACGCCACTCGTCGCGATTACGTGCAGCGTTAAGCCCCGCTCTGGAGATCGCAGGGATCTAGGGGGAGAACTCGCACGAAAGTCCCTCGAGAAGATGCCAACGATTTTCCGCCACCACTCCTCCATATCCGATCAGGGTGTATCCGATACCCTCGAGAGTGGTTACTCTTTCCCGACCGACCTCAAAAATTCCTAAGAATTATTCTGGAAATCCTCGATTTTTCAAACGAGAACCGTCGGTGGAGACGAAAAAATGTACGCGGGCGGGGTGGTTTTAATTGGACGTAAAACGAGGATTAATTCTAATTGCAGATATGAGCGGAAAAGGGAAGGCAGGGTCTCGATAAGTCCGTGGGCGTTTTCCCGGATCAAGCTAGAACCGCCCCGGAGCCCCGAGGTGTCCCCTCGAGAATCTCTCGATCATTCCTCGAAACCAGATGATTTCCCCACGTCCGATCCACCTGGTCGTTTTCATATCCATATTAGGTCGTACTTGCGCCTCGCCAAAGCCCTCGACGCCACTCGCCGGACTCGGACGTCGATTCCACGCCTTCCTGTATACGTGCGCTCGCGTACCGTCATAACGCGTTCATGTCCACGTTATGACAGCCCGACAGTCAGTCACTTCGCCCCGTAGACCGTTGTCGGCTTCCCTGACCTGGACAATGCCTGGGAATAATCGGGGCTCGTGGGAACCGCGGATCGACCTCTGGGACGAATGACGTGCGTTTAGGTCCTCTCTTATCGAGAGTCACTCGGGTAATACGAGGCGCGGATTAGGAGATCCGGGCCACGTCGAGGGAACTGGCAAGTCTTCAACGGGGGAAGATGAAATAAAAACCGGAGCGAAGATGCGGAGAGTGGATTAAAGCGGCTTCTTTCCTCTTGTTACAGTCTCAGGACCGAACAGCCGAGTGGACTCGACACGTACGGGGTTCGGGACGAGCTGAGGAGGGCCCTGGATTTGTGGGCCAGGAACTCGAAGTTGACGTTCCAGGAGGTCAACAGCGATCGGGCGGATATTCTAGTCTCCTTCCATCGGTAGGATCCGGGGGATGGCGTGGTTTCTAAAAAATGGTACGACCGTCTGATCGTTATTGGACGTTTTCAGAGGATATCACGGGGATGGATATCCGTTCGACGGAAAAGGCCAGATACTGGCGCACGCCTTCTTTCCCGGACGCGACCGGGGCGGAGACGCTCACTTCGACGAGGAGGAAGTTTGGCTTCTCGGGGGCGAGACCAAGGACGAAGGTAAATCATCGGTAGTCACCTCTCGCGATGACACGTTGGTGAGGTTCCGGGTGTTGCTTCAGGAACTAGCCTCTTCGCGGTGGCGGCTCACGAGTTTGGACACTCTCTGGGATTGGCGCACAGTTCCGTCCGCGGGGCTTTGATGTATCCCTGGTACCAAGGTCTCGATCAAAATTACGAGCTCCCCGACGACGATCGACACGGGATCCAGCAGATGTACGGTGAGCGACCTGGAAGGAAAAGTCGAAGGGCTCAAGAGAAGGATTAAGTTCTCGAAATCCTGACACGCGTGGTGTACCTTGCAGGGGCTCCGGAAAGGTTGTGGGGCCGTATCCCAGGTTTTCGTCCGACGAGGCCGACGACCACGACGACCACGACGACCACGACGACCACGACGACGACGTACAGGCCCTGGAGGACGCGGCCGAATCACTACCCCGACGATAAGAGGCCTCATCGACCTTATCCCGATTATCCCGTACAACCCGATAGACCCAATCGTCGACCCCAATGGCCGCACAAGCCGCATCGGCATCGTCCCACCACGGCGACGACCGTCGACGATGCTACGTCCTTTACCACCACGACCACGACTACGACTACCACGACCGCGAGGACGACGTTCGTGCATCCTACGACCGACTACGGGGTCAGGGGATCTCCCAGGGACAGGCCGAAACATCGCTGGAATATTGTTCCGGAAGGCGCGATTCCTAACAAATGCGACACCAGCTACGACGCCATCAGCATAATCCGCAGGGAAGTCTTCATCTTTAAAGGCCGAGTGAGTGTCCCCTGTAAATGGCGGATGGGAGATTTAGAGGAGTTACTTGGTATTCCAGGCAAACCCGTGGATTCGCTCGGTTTGCTGATTGTTGCGGTCTTTTAGTACCTCTGGAGGATCGGGGACCAAGGATTGTACACGGGCTATCCTGCCGAAATAACGCGTCTCTTCAATTTACCTCTCGACACCGACCACGTGGACGCGGTGTACGAGAGGCCGGACAAGAAGATCGTCTTCTTCGTTGGGAAGAAGTACTACCTGTTCAACGCCAACGTCCTCGAGCCTGGGTATCCGAAACCTCTGAGTACTCTAGGACTTCCGGAGTCCTTGAAGAAAGTCGACGGCGCCATGATCTGGGGCCACAACGGGAGAACTTACTTCTTCAGCGGCACGATGTATTGGAGGTAACGACAAAAAAAAATGATTAGATCCTTGGATGGTCTCTAACTAAAAAAATATCTCGGAGGAATATTGACTAATTGTTATCTTCTTACAGATTCGACGAGTCCGTTAATTACGTTGAACTCGATTACCCTAGAGATATGAGCATGTTTGCCGGAGTAGGATATGACATTGACGCCGTGTTCCAATGGAAAAATGGTAAGTGCTTAGTGACAATTAAACGAAGGCACTTTGTCACTTTTGTATACGTTGATTTTATTTTTTCGCGTCCTGCAGGAAAGACCTATTTCTTCAAAGGAAAAGGTTTCTGGGAGTTCGACGATCTCAAGATGAGGGTTGCCCATGATAGGCAGAAACTCTCGGCGCCCGTTTGGATGGGGTGCCGAATCGACGATCAAGACACGAACGACGTGGACTCGCGTCATAACGATCTGCCAAAAAAATCGAAAGAAGCCTACAGTGCCGCGCCGAAAGCAGTGCCTTCGATTGCCTACGCGTTTCTGTTCTGGCTCGTTCTACTTTTGTTCGGAACCAAATCCTAGATCAATGATAGACCAAGCGAGAGAGCTCTTGCCCAGACTCGATCAGCAAAACTGCCATTTTTTGTCAGCATAGTCGATAGGACTCGACGACGAGATTCCACGTCACCGGAATGCCTTTACACTTTCGTGAACTTAAACGGGTACCCAAAATGGTATCCGTTACGGATAATACGTCGCCGATTAAATAAATTCGTCATTTTCGCGCACAGAGAAAATTACAGAGTAACAATAATCACTATTCCTCATAAGAAACGAAGGATGAGATTACGTACCGAGTTGGTAGGTCTGGTTTATTTTTTAAAAATTGCAAAAATCACCTTGCGGGAACATAAAAAAAAAACCTTCGTACCGGACGTCCCTCGTTTCTTACACAGTATACAGTTATCGTTTCTGCATAATTAACTCTGTGTAATAGGTAGAATAGCTTACAACCGTGGCCTACAGCGCACTCGCGATATTTTTCTAATCAGTTTTATACACACTCCCGTAAAGTCCCGTATTAAATTTAACGATATTTAATTTATATTTTTCTAACACGTATATATTTACGTACGGCGATACCGCGTGCTAGACCTTGGGAACGAAAGCAAAGAATCGAGTCGGAATTTTTTCTCCCGGTCTGCGAAAAGTGTCTACGGATGCAACGACGCTTATATTATATTCCCCGGGAAACGCTTTTCACAACTCGCGGCGGTCATTTTACAAGAGGACGATCGCAGGCGAGAGAGCGACCTCCTTAAGGAAAATCGAATTCCGTTACATAGATTGCGACCTTCCGTCCCAGAAAGGAATTTCCTTAATCGTTGCAACGAGGAGGCTCAGTCGTCCGATCGGGGAAGACACGAGGAAATACGAGTGCATAACGTGTACGTAGCATTTTTGCTAACGTCGTTAGGTACATCGGTGTAATAGCGCGCCGCGTTTAAACGGGGCGTCATTCTTATAAACTGTGATATTTATTAATCGATGAGGGGAGAAATAGCTAGAAATGAAATCGGATGAAATATCAATAACGCGGATGCAGAAGTCGACGTTGTCGCACAAGGAGGAAAACTTTCTTTGGGACGAAATAATGTATTACAACAATAATTGTACAATCATGGTACCGAAAAGAAATCTCCGTTCTAGTGTCCCCGTTTTCGTAACGCTCTTGACTACTTCAACTAATGAAATTATTTCATATTGCCTTAAGTAAACGGTACAACTTGCGTACTCCGCTTTATTCAACGTAGGTATATCCACTTTCTTAAGAAATAAATTTGATTCTCTTTCGAATACATCGTTTCGTACATCGGAGTGATCAGTGTCGGTGTTGAAATTAAAATGTATTTGTTCCCAAAAGAATGTTTTCTCGCGACGTGAGGTAACTGCGTCAAACGAACTCGTGTTTTTTGTAAGCGTGATCCGCTGCGTCTCGCACTCGCGGTTTGCGGGTTGAAAATGGGGTAAAAACAAATTTTTTTTTTTTCCCCCACGCACGAGTGTACACGCTCTCTTTCGTGGTCCGATGCGACCGAAAAGGCTTTAGATATTTTCTTAAACGTGCTTTAACTCGTTATATATATGTATATGTATAATTTAATTTTTAATATACGCGCATGCACAGAACGACGAGTGCAATTTTCCAAGAGCACTTTTAAGAAAACACATTGCAGAGCGCATAATGTTACATGTCGTAACTGGAACACTTTGGGGAATAACACCGAGTCACGGTCGACTACTGGAAACACCTCGAACGTCACGATCATTTTCGTATAATTACTCTAAGCCGTTGATTATGTTGAGAGTTGCAGATCAATTCCGCACAGCGTAACGTGCACTTTGTAAAGCCATCGCTCCGTGTATGCGTTCATATGTATGTATGTATGTATGTTTGTACGGGGAATTAGAGATTTCGACGAGGCAAACGAGATCGGTTGGTTTCCTCTTGTACCTGTTCGTGACTCCCTGTCGAAGCATCGTAAGATCACAAGTTGATTATCCTACTTCTACGTTTTGCTACCAACATCGACATTAATGGATTCACTTGCGATACCAATCGACAGAGGACGAACAAGCAGTTGGAAGACTGTAGCTCGTTTCAATCTCTTGCGAAAGCATCGAACACCGATCAGGGGAAGTGCAGGTGCGAACTTATTTTACCCTGACGTCTTGGTAAATCAACTTACACGGTGGTCATTCAAACAAATCTTGAGGGATGCGAGGCCATTTTGGGGTTTTAGCTTTCCATGGATTTTTTAACCTATGCTAAATACTATTTTCATCAGAGACGCGTGTCGGGTGGTGAGTAAGGATCCCAAGGGTTGAGCGATCTCAGAGTTGTCTGGACGATGGAGTCGACTTCTGCCATTGCTCCGATTCCAGTGTCACCACACATGAGAGTTTTCGAGATGCACGTAACTTCTCTGTAACCCCAGGACTTGAGCAAGGCCACCTAAAGCAGTATTAATATTTCATGCACACGCTCTGGTACATCAAAACTTTGCCTATGTAATTTTTTTAAGATCGGGTAAATTAGGGACTCGATAACGTTAGAAAGTTACATCCGTAATTATACCTGCGGAGCCGTCACTGGGTGCTCCCACATTTTGGTGTTCATCGCGGGACAGAACAATAACGGCTTTGTGGAATCCCATGCTCTTGCGACACACGTTAATATATTGTCACAAATTCCACTAGCGAGTTTGCCAAGGGTATTAGCATCCAGCGGAGCAATTAAAAACAAGTCAGCCCATTTGACCAAATCGATGTGCAATACAGGATCCCCCCGATCTTGCCATGCAGCCCACTCGACGGTATCCGATAAGATTTGCGTCCCCCGAGGCAGTTCTGCCTCTTTCAAAAAATGCTTCGCTCGTTCAGTCACGACTATGCGAATTTCCAGATTATGCTGACAGAGTTTCTCTACGAGTTGTGGTAATTTGATCGTGGCGACGCTGCCCGTACAGCCTATTAATACTTTTCTCTTCCACGAGGTAGCCATTCTGAACGGAATATTTGCAACCTTGCCCCGTTAGTTTATCGACGGTTAAGCTTTACGTGAAAATATGGAATTGCCCTTAATTCTTGCTCGCTTAAATTCCTGATACGTGTATATATATCATCTGACTCTGTATATAATCTTTGTATGCCCTTTCGTTCCCTAATTTCCTCCCAGAACCAATTATCTTTATCTTGATACTATCATGGACAGATATCCTCTCCGTTGACCCGCAATCTGTAAAGAGTTCCTGCAGTCGAATTAAGGCAATAGCTCTTACGCTCTACCTACTTGGTGTCATACTCTGCGAGTTATGGGAACACTCAGGGAAATGAACACGGCTCACTCGAAGAACACTAAATCGTACTTTACCCGTTTTATTGGATATCAACTCCCCAGACACCGAGTGTGTCGTACAGGCGTTACGTCTGCTTCGAAGGTGCCTCTACGAAGCCCAACTTCGACCATTCTTCGCGAGCCATCAGCTCGTTATCCATCCTACATCCGAGATATTCCTTAGCGACATTCTTGCACATCTTGTTTTTGTTTTTACTCTCTTTCAAGCAACGCATATACTTCATCATGATTTCCTTGCAGATGCCTTGGTGGTCCAGCGGAAAACTGCCCTTCTCAGGCGGCACCGGAGTAAATGTCTTTTGCGAGAACGTGTACGAAGACATCACTAGCCTCTACCGCGAGCACGTGAACGACTCACCATCTGGAAATTCTAACGAGTTCTCTACCTTGAAGCAAAAAATCTCAGCCAAGACGCACTAGGTCCTCCTTCGCGCGGGCGCCATGTTTTCGAGTGATGATGCGATCGTCTGCTAACGCGCGCCTGCGCGCTCAGCTACATCGACAAAATCTAGTGCTGCCATCTCAAGAACGTCTTTTAAATAACTTCGAACACAACCTCATTTCCACCATTTCCGAACTGTGAGAGAACAGGGAGAGAACGATAAAAAATTATTATTCTACGCAATTTTCAATGTTAATCTTCTCAGCAAAGACCCACGTACGTCAAACGTACAAATAATGCGTACGTTAAGATTTATGTTACTTTGTTACTGTTGCCGGCGCTGAGGTTTTGTTCTATAAAACGGTTATAACTGATAAACGCAACGAGTAAAATTAAAAGAAGGTATGGAAGATATGTTTATTCATGAATTCTCACAATGTTTATTCCACACTGAAACATAACCTCACATTTTTAATGGCAATGGCTTCGTTTTTGAATCAGAAAAATGGAAGTCAGTGTACAAGATGTTGCCATGCCAGGGGACGTAATCAAAGAAATTTTTAAGAGTGGTGGAACGAAAGAAAAAACCATACTAGGGCCTGGTTTAAGACGAGATGGCGACGTTGTTTATGCATGTAAAGCAGGCGTTGTAAAGAAGCGAGATCCGTCCATATATTACATTGACAGCTATCAAAAAAGGTTTTCTACATGCCATAATAAATTATATGTGATGATTGCAATTTTTATTTCACAATTTCATGAGAAATTGATAATTAAATATTACTTTATATATTAATATATAATTCTTTATAGATATATTCCAAGAAGAGGAGAAAGCGTAGTTGGTGTAGTAACGCAAAAGGCAGGAGATATATTTAAAGTCGATATAGGAGCTAGCGAGCAAGCTTCTCTCTCGTACATGGCTTTTGAAGGGGCTAATAAAAGAAATCGACCCAATGTTCAAGCTGGCGACGTCGTGTATGCAAAACTTCTAGTTGCCAGTAAAGATATGGAACCTGAACTAATATGCGTAGATTCACACGGGAAGAAGGGAAAATTAGGCATTCTCAGTCCCGATGGCATGCTATTTACATGTTCGATAAACCTTGTAAGGAAAATACTTAACCCAGAATGTCCACTAATAAATATGCTGTCCAAAAGAAAGGTATGCGAACTTGCAATTGGGGTGAACGGCAAAGTTTGGATAAAATCAAGATCGGTGCAAGACACTATTGGTATAGCAAATGCTATTCTTGCAACCGAATATACTTCAACCGAGAACATGAAAGCAATTTTTGACGAATTATTTGATGGCATCGCAGCTCCAAACGACTGCTCCACCCTTCCATGAACATTTACTCGTAAAGCCTTGGTATAGATTCATCGTTGTATTCTTTTCCACCATTCTTTGTAAATAAACCAAATCACAAGATAAGGACCAACACAATCTAATTATTGCAATCGTTACAAAGTCAAGCATCGGGTAAAAGCGTAAAATGTTAGTAGGTGTGACATCATTGAAAATACACAGGTTGTGTATGATATTATATTGTGTACAATATTATATTAAAGGTGAAAACAGTAGCCTTATACTGATCGGACTAATCGATACCATCCTAAATGAAATATCGTCTTAGACTTATGCTCGAAACCTTTGGAGATGCTGCTGCGAATGCACCCGACAATCGAGCTTCAACGGCGAAGCCTTTCGCCCACTGGCTATCCGATAGCACAATACCCAATAAATATAAAAATCGTATTCATTGAAAATAAATTACATCTTTGCTGGGTTCTTGTTTCCACTTAGCGTTCCTCCATATATAACTCGATCGAAATAATACCATTTAGGAAAAACTTAAGGCGTAACGCTGCTCTCCGACTACCAAGCGAGCTCGCTCTCTAGTAAACTTTGCCTTTGCATGGGAGAATATTTTATTACTAACATTTACGATTTTTATAAATGTAGTCTGAGATGATCGATGGAGTAATGAGTTCTCAATATTCTGATATGTGCCTAGTGTTTGTATCTGACAACGTACTGAGATTCTACGTTCTATTACCCCAAAGCGATAAACACTCTTGCACAACCTTTGCTTTCCTAGTCTCACTCAGAAGATTACATAAACAATTATCATTACGATAGCATTGCACTTCCGTATTCTGGCTGACGTTAAAAATACAGAAGACACTTTTGTACTCGATGGAATGCATGTATACCGTTACCATTTCACTCAACGCACACTTATCTCAAAATCACGAGCTAGACGTTAACGTCCTAAATTCTAACGAAAAACTATGCTCTCGATAAATGCATGATTCAACTAAAACGTGAATGAAAATGACTATGACAGTTCGAGGTGTCAACATTTCACACCGACCATTACCAAACGTTATTCTTCGGAGTCACGGATCCTTAACAAACAAAAGAACGTCGTCGAGCGTGAACATCAGTTGATCGAACTAAGTCTAAAGAAAAAAAAAAAATAAATCACGGTGATTAAAATACGTCATAAAACAACTACGAATATGCCTAATAAAGTGCTAGGAATAAAACCAATCGGCCTTTACTTAATGTCACGACTCAAGAAGAGGGGATTTGGTAATCTATATTTTAAAGCTATTACCGCCAGTCGAGAGCTGTTCAGCAATCGCACCTGAATGAAGAACGAACAAGGGAATTAAAGGAATCCTCAACGGAATCGAAATTAGAGAGAGGAGACTTAAAGCATAACATAACGCGGCATATGAATCGCTATCGCCGGCCCGTTCCTTGTGGAACCCGTCATAAGGTCGTTAACGATATTTCACGATTCGCTACAGCAATCGGTGATGGAAAGACGAGGAAACTAGGGTCGATAAGTCGATAAATGTCATTTCACGGCGCAACGACTTTTTACAGGGGAGCGCTCTCCAAGAGTCAACGTTAGCTTCTATCTCGCAGCCCTCGACGCTACGAGTTTCTCGCTCAAAAATATATTTGGCTCGAAACTCCACCGAGTTTCTCTCATCGAAGATCCCTCCAACTTTCGTCGATTTTCAATTCCGCATCGGTAATCTCTCCTGTAAAATCGATCTATTCGCCGTCCCCTCGGTGCACGACGCGACATCCCTGATAAGCGCGACGCGCACCGAAGTCGCTATCAGCGATCCTAATTTTATTCCTACGGTATTTCACTTATCTACTCCGGTCGATGAATGAACGAGATGTGTCTTGGTACGATATATCGGCGGACTTCGCGAGTGATGTCTCATTAATTTTACTTATTGCGACCGCGTGTCCGCGGATGGGAAAATCATAGGCAAGACATCGAGCGAAAGCGCGGAGACCTTAAGCGCTACCGGATATTAATCTTGACGGTGTCGGGAACGAAATCGAGACGATCGACTCTTCGCCAAGAGAAGGAGTCGGACGAGAACGGGCCCGAACGCGAGATACCATTTTTTTTTAATTTCCACACCGACTCGTCTCCGTCCGACCTCTCCCTCGAGGCGGAGAATCTCCGTCCGCGTGGACGGTCCCTCCTTGAAACTTCCCTAATGGAGGATTGAATCTAATTACGCCGGAGTCTCTAAGAAGCCACGAGTTGACAATTAGAAAAATAAAGGTACGACTCCTCCGTGAAAAGGAACCTGGTGTACGCTATACACGGTTTACGCTTCCGGCGAGCGGATCGAATCGGTTGCTCGGTGAAAAGCTCTGCATACGAGGATAGATCCATGAGACTATACGAATATACATATACACGTATGTATATAGAATATATAATAGATAAATATCGTGTGTCGTCGCGTCTCAGCATAATCGTCATTTGTATTATATAAAAAATTGTCTTTGCTTATAGCTAAAATATTACGATGCCTCGGCTATATAAATAGAAATATATATATATATATTTTTATATATATTTTCCATGTATCGTAATCATTATTATCGTATTATTCTTGTATTAGCGCGGGTGTATATAATAATATACATATACCATTCACAACACAGAGTGCATAGTACGAAGCTGTTGGCGATCAGCTGTTCGACCCTCGCTTTGACGTTTCTCGTTCAAGGGGAAACCTCCAAGGAGGAAACGCCGATCGCGAAGCCTCTTTGTAACGACGCACAACCAATTATTTTCTTTTGTTTTACACAACCTTACGTGCACCAAACAATCGAGTCGTTCCCCGTTAACCTGACAGGACTGAAATTTATAGACAGCGACGGAACGGAACGCCAGATTTGAGGCCACGAGAAAAGATATTCCATGGGTTCCTAAGCGTCAATGGTGAAATCTTGCGAATCGAGCAAACGAGATGGCGACTTGTATCCCCGAATAGGAGCGATTCCGAATACGGATTCAAAAATCATCCTGTCAGCAAAGTACATCCGACGTCGATGATCACCCAAATTCACTAATTTCCCGACGGGTCCGAAACGATTTCCGAGGAAATTAAGGCTCACTTTTCCCTCGACAAGATGTATAAAACAATAATAATCAACGCAATCCATATTTCCTTTATAAATTAGACGATAAATATATCAACCGTGGAATGTGGACCAGCCGATGGAATTTCTTTGAGAAGTCTCATCGGTCAACGGTTAGACCGTAGGAGGCCTCGCTTAACTCGAAATTATAATACAAACGTCAACGAAACAACGACATAAATAATTTAATTCGGATTCCGATAGCTTAAACTATAGCATAATAACTAATGACTGAGGAATTCAATTTCGTAGAGAGATTCCAGATTTGTACGAGGGACTCTGGTCCCAATTTCTCCAACAAAAGGGCCGAAGAAACCTCCCCTAGGAATCCTTAATTCTACGAGAATCTTAATTCGGAATATCGTTCCAGCGGTCCCCCGAAAACCTCCGGGAAATTTCCCCGCTAAATTTTCCCCTCGAATAATCGAATGGTCGCCCATTCTTAAACCGCTTCCACGAGTTCACAGCGTCTCAACGACTCTTCATTGTCATGGAATGCAAATGTACTATTATAGCTGCCACTTAGGAGTTTTAGCCTTACGGTGCTACCTACACCCATTATGTATCGTAATAATAACGTTGTGCTGCTATGACATTCATACGACCGAAACTTAACAATGGAATACGATAACTCCCTAAGGATGAATATCATAGTAGCAAAAGAGACCCGAGGCATTTTCAATGCCCTGCCAAGATGGGCCTGGTACACCCCACATGCGATGCATAAAAGGCTCGATAAAAGCGTGATTATCTAGTGATATTATGACCCAAATCCGCCCGACGATTAGAGTATTACTCGAACGGAGTATACCGAAAGGAGTGCGTTCCCAAACTTGTAGAAGGTGCCCGGCGATTTTCTGCGACCTCGCCCTTGGTTTCCCTGTTTTTCCTATTTTCCCCATTTTCATCCAGGCAGACATCGAGCGCAGAAAATCACCCGAGCACTCGTTGGTTATAAGCAAGCGAATCGTCCTCAGCGAACGGAACCCAATCCTCAGGGAGGAAAATCCGAGAAAACGGAAATTACGACGACTCTGCCGAACGAGAACACCAACGCGCTCCCCTCGTTCCTTAACACCCGAACCCCGTGTCATGATTAGCCGATACCGACGTTTATGAAATCGCGACGACTCCAGGGAGACCCTGGAATCGCTCTTAAAAATGACAGTCTTACTAAACACCGCTCTCCTGAATATCACCCCTCGGGGTAAGCTCTCGGCACCGAGCTACGTAGCTACTCGCAATGGATTCTCCCGAGGTGGCCCTAACTACTCCTGTGCGAGAAGCCTAACGGAGTCTTAAACTGTTGCTTTGAACACTTTGCTTCGTATCGTGACCAAAAAAAGTTACCCGGCGAAGACGTCGCCGGTGAATACGACCACCCGGACGAGTCGGCCCGAGTCGACTTCGTGCCCGGAGAAAAATCCAGCATAGCGACTCGGTCGTCGATTACGTCGGACAGGTTTTTTTACGGTGCGATTTTCCGCACATTTTTCTCCGGGCAGTCCGTACGCGGATATACTTACAAATGACTCGTCATTAGGCCTCGAGCGGCGCCAAAGTGGCTCGCTTTCGAACGACGTCCTTGCTACCTTTGAGCCTGTCGACTGTGAGATATCATTGAAAAAGTAAAGGTAAGAAACCAAGCGAGATCGAGCTTACGATCGCTAAAGCCGCCTCGGCTGTACCACCGTGTTATTGTTCAGTCGGGTCGTCGTCTGGTCGTTGAAGTTCTCGTCCTGCGGGATGCGTTCCGTCCGCTCGTCGAAGAAGCCCGGGTTCAGGATGATGTTCGGCACGAGCTCAATCACTTCCTGCTCCTCCAGCTGCGCTGCAATTCGGGAGCGGAGATTAATTTTCATTGGCCCGAAGCATGGACCATATTAGCTTCTACCCTCTCCCTTTACCCACTCAGTGGCCGAGCATTTCGCTCGTAACGATCGGTGGATGGCGATGACATTTCCCTTAGAGTTTGCAAATTAAGAGAAACATGGTTAGTCACAGGTGACATTGGACGAGGGCTTTCGGACCATCGCTCGTCTCGTTACGTCGCAATTAACGACACCCTACAAAGGTGCAATTTAGGATATAAAGAACGTAACGAAATCGACGATAATCCCGGGTGCCCGTTCGAATTAATCGAGAGAGATCGCCGGTCTTTATTCCTTCGTCTCGAGTTCCCACTTTGGAAAATTGCTCGGACGAGATCGAGAATCGAAGACCGCCGTCTCTCTCGGAAAGGAAGACCCGGAGACTGATAGATCCATTAACCGAATCGTTACGTGTCGTTACGCCCGGCGAGCTTGCATGTGCCACCTTTGACCTAGTTCTACGTAGCCAAAGGTACTCTAGCAGCACATGATCACTTTATCTAGGCCATAATGCTCTACCCTCTATCACGATACTCGCTAGTCGTTACCGCTAATTCATTCCGCATAACCAGGCTTCGAGGAACCACCAAAACTTATTAAATCATTTCGGACTCGTCGACTCTCGGTAGGGTGAAAAAATAAAAAAATAAATAAATATCGATAAAGGTCCGAGAGAGGGAGAAGTAGCTGCCAGGCGACGTCGGCGTCGCGTAGGAACGAAGACGGTCCCGCGGTGGCCCATTAATAAGTTCTGTGGTTGATAGAGCTAGAGATGGTTCTGGGAATTCGAACGCTAGAGAACAATTGTAAAAGTGCACAATCAGACCAGACGGAGAGAGAGACAGAGAAGAGAGAAAGAGGGATGTTTATGAATTGATTTTATACGGTGCCGTATGATTAAAAAGTATCCAGTGCAAATTATTACTGCAAGTAGTTACGAGATAATAGGCGTTTTAGTTAAATGTCGGTTTATATATTAAATCTAATCGAATTCGCAAAGCGCTTGCAGCTGGGAAAGATTAGTGAAAGAGACAGTCGACCTTGTATCGTAGAGGCAACGAGTCGATCGAGAGAGGCGATTGTTATAAGGAAAGCTAGAGATCAGGGCCATAGATAAGTTTAGTGGCTGGCAATGCCATTGTTGCCGCTATGTCAAGCCTTGCACGAGGGGAAGACCCTGGGCCCCCGGGCAGAATTCGTTGACGTTAGTGCACGTTGTATTAAAATCGGTTAAATTTCCTGCGTAGGAACGATTAGTACCGCGTCTCGTAGTACACTCATCGTCCGATAAGAGTGGCGGAAACAATGGCGCCCAAAGAGACAGAGTAGAAGCGGAAGCTTTTATGTAAAGTTACAAGGAAATGCTTACAGGGTGCCTTGCACTCACGATAGAGAAGGTAGCAAGTACCTAAACCAAGGATCATTAAGGTCCCCATAACAATGCCTACCGCCGCTACCCAGACGCGAGTGTCGAAATTTTCCACGCCCGCCAAGAGATGCCTCGCGAGTTCTGAAAAAAAATCGTCAGTTTCGCAGTAATACGATAATAGGCGAGAGTCTCCGTCGAGGATCCGAGGAGAGTCCTGCGAGCTCCTCGTGCCAGGAGGGATCGACGATGCGTACCTAACTCCTCTACGCTGTGGTGCGTGTGGCCCTCCACTTCCACGATCTCGCCCCTTCCCAGCTGGTTGGTGGCCCATACTCGGAAGGAGTAAGTCGTGTTCGGCTCAAGGTGGTAGACGTCTATTTGCCTCTAAAATATAACGATCGTTCGATTCCGTGGAGTACAGGAACGACCTTCGATTCCATGCGCCTCGCTCTCAAATCTCGGTTCTACGCAAACTCCACGAACGACTAGACCACGTACCGAGTTAGGTGGAATGTGCGAAGGAACGATTGGCTTCCACTCTTCCGGTTCCTCATCCGCTGTTGGTTTTAGACGATATTCGGCAGTGAAGTCTATGATCGGATAGCCACCGGTTCCAGCGACTTCCCAGAGAATATTGGCCAGAATGGTGGATGGCTTTACCCAGACATTGTGTAGTGCCGGCGGTGGTGCTGAAATAGGGAGATGGGTTCCCTCAATTATTATCCATCAGGACTAGGAATGTCAATTACTCCTTTAAAGAGAACTAGAGAGAATATATAACGTAAATGCTTGAAAAGGTAACTTACTCTTCACTTGAACCTTGATCCTGGCTTTAACGGCATCTGCATCTTGATCCAAGGTACAAGTATAGTTCCCTGCATCATCTGCACTGACATTGACAAGTTCCAGCGCTCCACTGGGTTCGACTTTTAACCTCTGAACTTGTCCATCCTCCCGACCTTCTCTGACCCACATCACCCCGGATGATTCACCCGAATGCGAAAGTACGTCTTCGTCCGCACAGGCCAGAGTTAAGTTCTGGCCTAGATCTACGGACACTTCTCGCACCGGTACTAATGCTAATGTCCTCTGCCATCCTGAAACCCAATGATATCCAATTACAAATATACTTCAACATTATCTTCGACCAATTTAAATTATGAGCCAAGACAATTGTGACTCTGATTATTAATCTTTGTCCCTCATCTAAGACAATTGCATAGCAACTGTAGCGTACCGCTTGTTCGAGCCAATTTGAATTGATAATAAACCGGTTATTGCCGTCCGTATGTTAATTCAGAAGCTCGAGCAAGTACTATTGGTGCGCGATACCTTATATAAGCACATTTGGATGCGTCAATCATGGATAATTGATTCAGCTTTAAGCGGAAGTAGATAAAATCAAAAGAGCGATGCCATAATCGCACAAAATCTCGTGACTGGCGTTACTTCTCTACTCTGCAAATTTGCCAACCTTAATACTACCACGATTCTCTCAAACCCATGCGACGAGGTACATAAAAGATAAAATTGACTGCATTCGTGGCATGGCGTACGTCCCAGAAATTAATGTAGGTGTATCGCATGTGCATGTACTGTATATGCACACGACACCTTATATGACAGGAAGAGCAAATAATTATTCATAGGAGAAACCTCCACATAAACACGTTCAGGTGCACCGATTACAGACAATTGATTCCGCCATGAGAGGAAGTAGATAAGATCATCTAATCCCTACAACGCTGCACCAACCAACACACGACATAACACGATGATGCTGTCTGTCATCATTGGCTCAATATTAGGGGCAGAAATACTCTGCAAATGCAATTATGCGACCCAGAACGATCAAACGAAAAACTTGCAGGGCGTCATCCGAAAATCCCTCAGTCGGATAAAGGAATACGAAATCAAACCTTTAAACAGTATTTAAAAATTCAAACTCGTCCTTTTTGGTCCCTTCCAATTTGCGCAACAGCACTGCACCCAATGGGACGTAAGTGGCGTCGGAAAATCCGTTCTCATTTCGGACAATTGCACAGCGAGTGCGTATACACTTGCTCGACATCCGTGAATTAACGGCACAACGTCGATCGATGCAATCATGATTTTTTTCTCCTTAATTGCGAGAGTTCCCGATTATCGCAGATCGCTAACCTATACGATTTCGTTAATTTGTAAAGTCGTTTCACGGAATTAGTGCGAGGGGTCTCGAATAAATACATTGAGGTGCATCGATCGGCAGGTGTGTACGCCTCGTCGTGTCTCGTTTTCGATCCCTTACCTGCCAGCAAGTAGAGCAGCAACGCGGCCCTGTGCCGACCCATTCTCCCATATTAGGAGGAGTGCCCACGAGTGTTCGCCAGGCGAGACGTGTTACAGATTTCCTACCATGGCGTTGGCAATCGCTCGCAACTGCCTCGCAACGAGGAAACGGCACTTTTCCGTCGTCCTGTCAAAACCGCATCACGTCTCTCGCGGGCCACCCGGGGCCACCTCCCGTCCGCTCTTTGGGCAGACTTTATCGAACTGTCGGTGCTGGCACCTGCTCGCATGGCGACGGAACTACGACTGTGGCCCGTAACGTGAGAATTGGGTGGCGCGTCTCATTCTCCAGCTTCAGGGCGGGTAGCGGCGAACTGGCCAATGGGCTCCTCGTCTTGCCCGTATCTTGCGTCCTTGTCTTCCCCTCTGGCACAACGAGGGCGAGAGAGATGGCACGGTCTCTCTCGATAGGAGTGGGGGATCTCGGTAAGGCGATCGCCATTTTGCAGTGTCTTCCAAGATGGCGTCCAAGATGGCCGCCGATCGGTTCTCGGATATGTCGGTTCGCAGTTTTTCGGTATTTTCGAGCTTTCTTAAATTCCTCGCCGCATTTATCACAATGAGTTCCGTGAATGGAAGGATGGGCCAATTTATCAAGGAACCTTTACGCGCATTTTCGACCTTTCGACGACCTACTGGTAGACGGCGCCGGCATTACCCTAGCTCGTAGGTACCTTTCTTACCGAGCGCGCGAAATCGCTCGAGGCCTTCCCTCTCGGGAGGAAACGGAGATGCCAGGCCAACGTCGAGGAGATTGGATAATTGTGCGGTGCATTTATGTGCGGAGAGGTGTGCGTGACTGGTAAAAGGCTGCGCATTCACAGACGAGAGATTGGTACGTATTCGTGACCTGCAACTGCACCGATACTCCCTCGATTAGCCGATACGGTCGATCGATCCACCAAGAGGGGGATTCCGATGGACCGATTACAGTCCCCTTCGATGATCTTCTCGCCCGATACGAGTACCCGGAAGATGGTAATCTCGGAAAAAATTAATATGATTCTCGGAAAGACGATTCTTTCCTTCTCCCCGAGTGTCTTCAATTTCCGTTGTTTATAATTCTCTGCCAAAAGCGTCCCGTCAACCGCGCCGGGTGACGTCTCGACGTTTCCTCTACCAAACCTGTAGTATACTAATTTTAATTCCGCATGCGAAGCGGTTCGAGCCAAATACAAATTGAGTCTTCGAAGCGCTCGAAGCGAATCGATCGATCGACGCGGAAACTCGAGAGTCGTCTTTAATGGCGACCGGTTCAAAGTCCATCTCTCACGTGATCCGGAAATTTTCTTTCAATATGCGGCGATCCTTTGGTAAGCAAGAACTTTTCGCTTTCATTCGAGCGATCGTTCCTCGGTTGAAAGCGGGTTTACATTTTGATTGATTCGACTCGGTGGATGCGACCGTCTCCACTCGAACGCGAACGAGGATCCGAGCGCGCGGCGTCCAAAGTCCATCTCGGGCTTACCCTGTGGGTTGATAACGATAACGCGACAGTCGGGGAGAAATGCGAGGACCAGGAAATTATGAATCAAGGTCCAGCCGGCACTTTCGATTCACCTGGCACGGTAACGCGAAGAGCGGAGATTGTTTTCGATGGTAACTCGCGTTTTCGCTCCTCGCCGCGGGATGGCACCCCTGAGACCCCCCGGGAATATTCGAGAAGGGGGTGTGCCGGGGCGCGCACGGTGACTCGACCTGGCGGCACTTTCCAAAACGACTCGGCTTTTCCTATCGATTTCGTCCGAGCGAATAATCCCGACGACCCGAAGTCGTTGCAGCTCGTCGATCGGAGTAATCCCGTTGGTCTCAGAGTAAACCGGGATTGACCGTAAGGACGATATCTCACGGCCAATGATTATCATTGATATTCAAAAAAATTCTCGAGGGCGTGCTGCGAAGGATTTCTAGGGCAAGGTTGGACGATATCGTAATCACGTTAAACTTTTGCAGATAAGGAGATAAGAGTTTCCCCTGGCATCGACTTTGAGCGACTTACGGCGTTTCACGGTCGGCCGATTTTGGCCGAGGTCTGCCAATTTGGCAGGTAATTGGATTTCCGGATGCACTCGCTCGCCGAGGGCCGTATTGTCAAGTAAATTCGTTAACTGGTCGGCAGCTCTTTTCACGGCGACTGCTGATAGGATTTGCGGGCGTATTTGGGGTAGCCCGACGTCATCGAGGGCTCTCGCCTTCTCTGCCTCTCCTTCTCTCTCTCTATCCTCCAAGTGACGTCAGGTGAGGTAGGGCATGACGTCAGGAGTGACGTCGGTGAGAATCGCGCGATCGATCCCAGAGGAGTCGGGCCTATTCCCGTAGGGGCATTCCGAGGGCGCTGGTCGCCTCCCAGAGGTGTCTCCTCGATTCGAGGACCCCTTCGCGGTCGTCCGACCTCCTTGTCCCGTCTTCTCCGCGGAAAAGCAAGGTCTCGACCCGGCTCGAGATGGGAAAGTCGGCGGGGGTTCGACTTTCGAGCCGGAGAGGATAATTTGGAAGCACCCGGAGGAGGGCGACCCGGCCCCTCGAGAGCCCTCGGCCCTCGCCCGGGGAGGGCTCGGAAGCACCCTCCAGGGATTCGGCCTTCCTCGAGCCCGGAAGGCGCGGAGGATTATTTCCTGCCCAAAGACGACCCCTAATTAACGCGTTGGTTAATTGGCGCTCGAGAGCCCTACTCTTCCGACCCGGCCCGAGGCGAGGCGGGGTCCGATTTCGACCCCACAGCGGAGGCTGCGTCGGTCCGGAGGTACAAGGGGACTCAGAAACGGTGCCCCATATTTTTTTTTGTATGCAGCGAAAAGTTTTTTATAATATTCTGAATAATAATGAATTTTTGCTAACCCAGGGAAACGAGGCGCGTATCGACTCGGGAGTCATCGCGGGAGCCTCCGACCCGAGCGAGATGGGGGATAGGCGGGCGAGGGGCGGCAGAGGGAGAAGAGGCCACTTCGACCCGGTCCGTGGAAATGTGAAAGGTTGCCGCGCAGGGCACATCCGTTTCGACTTCGAACTGCGAAGTCCGTGGTGGCGTTTCCGCCCCTCTCCGTCCCGTGATTACGGGGATGCCGGAGATCCGGAGATACGGGGTCCCATTTTCGGAGGCATCACCGATGTCTCCTCGATAAGCCCTCTTCGAAGTCGATCCTTCACCCCCGGCGATCCACTGGATCGTCGACATGGTCGACGAGTCAGCGCGGAGGGAGGGTAATTCCCTCGTTATCGTCATCGATTATCGAAGACCGAGGACGAGTCGCGAACCCCTCGGGGCCGAGTTCCCGTTTCGAAGTCGACCAGGCACCCGAGGGGCTCGTGGTCTCCTCTCCCGTGCATCTTATCCTAATTTCTATAATTTCCGCAGGTGGACGCCATGGACGTGGGATATATGGACAAAAATAGTAGGGGACACTCTTTCTTCGATTTTGCGTTGAACGGCTGCTCGACATGGCTACGGCTACGGCTACCTAAGAGGAGAAGAAGGATCGTCTTTCGTTTGGCCTCGCTTATTCTCGCCACGGTCCCAAGAATATCTGGGGAGCTATTTGCCGGGCGGGGACCATATATCCTCCGTCCATGGTGGACACATGGCGGACACACGGTGGACACCTCTGGCAACCGCAATGGCCACGAGAGTAAATAACAGCGGAAGATCGATGGCGCTCGTCCTCTCTTCGGAGTTATCCCTCGACGAAAGTCGACGTAAATTCCACGTGCGCCTTCGAGCGCGATCCTCGACCGGTTGGTGTCCTTTCGGCCACGTTCGTATCCTCGTTGGCATGTCTTGGATCCTGGGCCTCGCCAGAGGCCGGTGCCCGATTCTGCCGAGGCTCAGTTGGGGATGCAAATGCCAACTCCCGAGGGCCTCGAGCGGACCCAGGGGTCGTCCCTCCCGTGGTGATCCTTGCCAGGAGCCCGTCGATCCCTGCGGAAAGGACCCGTGCAGGGAGGCGGAGGACCCTTGCGCGATGAAGGACCCTCGAGGAAGAACGTGCCCACCGGCCAGCCCTTGTCCCGACCCGACTCTGGACTGCCAACCCGGTGAATTCCGAGGCATCCTCGCCGGAAACCGTCCCCGAGGAGGTCCTCCGCGTCGCCGGAATCGACTCACGAAGGCGGTTCGCTTCTTTCAGACGAGCGCACCAGGAGGGCCTCTCACGTCTGGAAGTTGCTCACCCTTTTCGTCGCCCTCCCATGGGTGGTCGTCTCGTCGGCCCTCATCCTGACGGCGTCTGCCGAGGAAGAGAGAAAACCTAGACCGGAGTTCATCCCTTACGAGTACATGTACCGGCGCACCACGGTAATTGTTCGCGATGACGTCCCCTCCGGGTTCTCGCTCGCCTCGGGAAAATTGTTTCCTCCATTTCGCTCTTCTTGCGTCTCGGCATCTCGTAGGGCTCGCCGCGGGCGGAAACCCCGACGGATCGTTTTTATCCGGGGCGAGCGCGATTCGCGGCCGTGGCGGCGAAGGACGAGTGCTGGCAGGATTAAGGCGACTTAATACGATTGTCGACAGCCATTTCCGTGGGGCGACGGCAACCACTCGTTGTTCCACAATCCCGTGAGGAACGCCCTGCCGGACGGCTACGAAGTCGACGATCCGTACGCCGTAAAGGACGCCGACAAAGAGTAGAGGTGCCGCGTTTCCTCCGACCGCTTGCGGAAGGGCCGCACGTAAATAAAGCCGCTCTCCCGTCAAACGAGGCGCGCCCGGCCGATCGCCCTTTCTGAATTTAGATCGATCCTTCAAAGGACGTCGTCCGTCGACGCCCCCTCGGGATCGTTTTACATGGACCCGCTCGAGGAGAGATCGTCGTCTTTATCGGAAGGAAATGGCACTTTCCGAGACGAGGACGAAGCTGTTGCGACAAATCCGACCGGAGTTACACCCCGAAGAATGGAGGCGAGCGTACGGCTTCGGTCGTAACGCGGAAATGAAGGGGCACCAGAATTAGTTTGCGGTGGGTCGGTAAATTAACCTCCGATTGGCAAATCCTTCCGGAAGAAGACCAGGACGAGACTCGGGCGTTTCCATCCTCTGCCGATTTTTGGCAAGGGGGACCACGCCGGTCGTTCCCGTAATTGGAATAAAAAGTGCGAATAAACGCGGAGGTAACGTTCTACCAGTCTTTGGAAACGGTCCAGGGACCCGATTCTCACGGTCTCGTCCACGACTTTCAAACATTGACCATTGGCGCGACTTCGCAATGATACAAAGAGTGCGAAAAAAAATCCGTCGAAACTCGAGAATAAGAGCCGAGACGTCGAAACCTGGCAGGCGTCGGAATGGACGCCGATTATTGGCGGGGGAGATCGGCGTCGATCGGCGGTGGGAATGGGAATGGGAACGGGAACTCGCGTCGCGGCGCGCGGCGCTCCGGAGGAGCGGGGCGCCCGGGCAGCTCGAAGGCGGGGACGCGATTGGCTCGCGGTGGCGGGCGCCGATCAATAGGAGTCGGGGGATAACTCGGCGCGGGGTGCCCAAGGTCGACCGCGACCGGCGGCGACCGGCCCCGACCGTCCGCGACCGCCGGTCGCGGCCGACTGCGCGACCTCGCGGTGGTGCGCGCGCACCGAGCCGCCGGCGCCCGCCCAACCTGGGATCGCCGTGCTCCGCGGGTCCAGTCGAACCGCGGATCGAGGGGGCGCGGGATCTCCACCAGAGGAACCCGCGACTCCTGCGTTCTTGCGCTCGCGACCGCGACCGATCGGTCGATCGTCTCGCCCCCTCCCGCCGGTTCTCGAATCGGATCGCGAGTCCACCCGATGTAAATATGCCGCCCTCGGCTCTCGCGAAATCGACCCCCTGAGCGCGCTCCAGAGGGGCGGTGGGACGAGCGCCCGCTCGTCGCTCGCCCGGGCGCGTCGAGGAAAGTCGCGATAATTCGCGACGAGCGAGGCGTCCAATCCACCGGGGAGATCCTTCGAGTCCATTTTCCCGAAGAGGATTTACGTTGCATATCGTCTTTCAGCCGAGTCCAGGTTTGCGAGGGATACCGCGAGGTCGGTAAATTCGCTCGAAAGGTCGCCGAAGAGCCTCGGGGTAGGCCGGGGCCGCGGTCGAATTTTCCCGCCCGCGGGAGACCCGGGATCCTCGACGCCGATTGGCTCGCGGACTCCCCGCGCGACGCCATTGGCGGAGGTCGGACGCGCGGGCGATTCGACTCCCGCGAGAAATCTCACTCCGGGCGAGCGAGCACCCTCCGAGGCGCGATGACGCGCCGAGACTCCTCTCCTGGAATGTCAACGATTTCTCGCGTAACACCCAGTCGACCCGACGAACGACCGCGAGTCGGAAGACCTCGAGATACTTGGTAAGCAGGGTCGAAAGATCTCCCCTTTCGAATATATCTTATTCGGGAATATTCGTGATACGTTTGCCGCGGTATCGCGGATCCCGACAACGTCCATTATCTCCCGGGACTCATCTTATCGATTAAGTTTAGAATTAATTTTTTCTTCCGCTCTTCTCCGAATTTATGTTTTCCCTTCGCGCGCTTTGGATCGATCGAAATCACGGATATCCCCGGAGGAGCTCTTTGAGTCCAGACGATCCAGTTGACAGTAGTTGACGCCGAATCACAGGATTTTATTAGCGCTCCCCCGTGGCTCGCGGTTCTCCAAACGGAATATTCATCGAGTTGTCGCTCGTAGGGCGAGAGAGGGAAATCGCCCGCTACCAAAGTTGTCGACTACTTTTCGGACACGCGAGGATTCTCGTCCCCGACAACGTCCTCGATATAGTGACGACGTGCCGGTACTATTAAAAAATATTACAAGAAAAAAATCATTCTTTGGTACCCGGCATGATTTGTCGAAAATGAGTGATACGGGAATCCACGCATAGGGCACGAATAGCGTCGCTATTCTTGGCCGCGCGTAGCACCTAGCGAAACTTTAATATTAATCGAAAATTTCATATAGGGAATATGATTTACCGCGGGCGGTGATACAGGGATTTATGTACGTGACACGAAAGGCCAGCCTCGGGGCACCACTATTCTCGGTTGGACGTAACTGTGGCTTACGAAACTACGACGTTATTAATCGGGAAGTTCCGAGTGCCCGGGGAGAGTTCTGGCTGCAAAGTGCATTTCGGTGCACTCAGGCTGTCCACGAGAGTTTACGAACGGTCTGGGAAGTTTCCCGGTGTCTTAAATGTTTAACGGGATGTAAGGTCGGATTAAAAGGATTAAAAGGAGCGCGGAATTTTCGTAGAAACGCGTTAAAAGCCCCGCGATCCGGCACTTGGGGTGATTCCAAGGCGGCCCGAGACGTAGTCGCATATTACGTATGTACCCGGTATGTAGAGCGATGGCATTGGATGAACATTACCTTCATCGGTTACTTATGGGGGTTTTGCGCCGCTAATCGGAGGGTTTTCGGGGTAATGGAAAGTCTCGCCGTATTTATGAACGGCTATTTCCGTAGGAGAGCGAGGTCCGCGGTGGTTTGTGGATTTCTAAACAGTCCGCGAAGTTTACTCGGTCCCTCGAATCATGGCCGGGGTATTCTTGGACGCGTTCGGCTCTGAAAGTTCAGGGGTTGGTATCGAGTATATATCGATTGTGTGTGCAGAAATGTTTGGGCGATAGCGAGAGAAGCGCGCCAAGATGTTGATCAAGGAGTACAGGATACCTCTGCCTCTCACGGTAGAGGAGTACAGGATCGCCCAGCTCTACATGATAGCGGTAATTTCGGCCCACTTTACGAGGTTTATATTCCGCGTCTTCGGGAGAGGTATTGATTTTCTCCTCGCTTTCTAGAAAAAATCCAGGGAGGAGAGCAAAGGAGCTGGCAGCGGCGTAGAAATTATAGTGAACGAGCCCTACACCAACGGTCCCGGAGGAAATGGACAGTACACCCACAAGATTTACCACGTGGGAAGCCACTTGCCAGGGTGGTTCAAAAGTCTATTACCGAAGTCGGCCCTCACGGTCAAGGAGGAGGCATGGAACGCCTATCCTTACACGAAGACCAGGTACACCTGTCCCTTCGTCGAGAAGTTCTCCCTGGAAATAGAGACGTATTACTACCCCGACAACGGCCATCAGGAGAACGTTTTCAAACTCAGCGGAAGCGACCTGAGGAACAGGATCGTAGGTGCGTCCAATTTCTGATCGACGGGAAAATCAGAGAAACCGGGTGTACCCTGGTCACGAGTTCCTAAATTTGCAGACCTGATCGACGTCGTCAAGGATCAACTCTACGGTGCCGATTACGTGAAGGAGGAGGATCCTAAATTATTTATCTCGGAGAAAACGGGGAGGGGACCTCTCAGCGAATCTTGGCTGGCGGACTATTGGGATGACGTCAAAGTATGCTTTGTCGTTTTATCTCGGAGCGTTTATCGGTTCTATCGGATTTTTCCTTTTTATTTTTTAATTCTATCTAACCATTACTCAGGGTAAAACTCAACCAACGCCTTCAGGGAAGGCCCTGATGTGCGCCTACAAGCTCTGCCGAGTGGAGTTTCGGTACTGGGGAATGCAAACGAAGCTGGAGAAGTTCATCCATGACGTAGGTCAGTATTTCGACTGCGATTGACTCCGAAACAAGGAGAGAGAGCTTTTAGAAAAATTGTATGAACGTTCAGCTTTAAGAAAAACGATGTTACGAGCGCATCGTCAAGCATGGGCGTGGCAGGACGAGTGGAACGGTCTTACGATGGAAGACATCAGAGAGATCGAAAGGCAAACGCAGCTGGCGTTGCAGCAGAAAATGGGACTTGGAGAGGATGCAGGTGAAGACGATGAAGCACCTTCCGCGGTTAACACCGCTGCGACGCCTCAAGAGTCGGACGTGGCGAAGACTTTGGCCGCGACTCTTGGGAGCATCGAGAAGAACGAGGATCTTCAAAGTCCACCCTCTATGAGAAAACCGTCGGACATTCCCATTATTAATACCGCAGTGAGTTCCGAGGGTGAGATCAGTCCGGAAGACTCGCCGACCGAAGTCGCCGCGCCTAGGCCAGTGGAAAGGTAAACGTGGAGATCTGATTATATGTATTTTCTTTTTTTTTTCTGCCGCGTGGAATTAATCTCCTATTTAAAATTGACCTGGGAAGACTGACGATGTATCGTTTTCGCGCAGAGCGGTAGACGAAAAGGCAGGGAGTAAAAAAGACTGGAAGCGAAGCAACCAAACGATACCATCTCCTAGCTCGGCGAAGAGCTTTGACATTCAAATTGCCAATTGGCGAATGGAGAGTATCGTCAGGGAGTCGGAGTCCGGGAGCGAAGACGAGTTCTTCGACTGTCAAGGTAACTCTGTCGGTGATTTTCGCCTTCGCACAGCATGGCCATGATTACCCATTGATTATTCGATAGATTAGGAGTACGAATTTGAACGAGCATTTACCATACCGTTATTGAATGATAGCTAGATGACACGATTAAAATCCGTAGCGTAGCGCTTTCGATTATTTCTGCTTAGTGAGTTTCCGTATTCGCTTTTACGGTCGGACGAGCTCGAAATACCGAAAAGATTTTCAGCGTTTCCGATGGTTCGGGGGATGAAAGCGATGCGCTGCGGAGCGAACGCACAATGTATACGAGCAAATAACGTAGCACGTGGCAGCCTTGACAGTTTCTGTCTTTTTATGTGTAATCTCTCTTTGTTTTCTGTCGCACTCCGATACTGCAGCTGGGTTCGTTATACCTACCATACGCAAAGGTAGGGAATGTAGATAACAACAGTAGGTTAATTTAATAACGACGGCGTTCCAAAGATCAATCAACGGATTCGTACCGGGGAGGTCCAAAGTGATTTTTATGAGGACGTTTAAATGCATCACGGTGTCTATTCGTAGAGAACACATTAATGACTGTACCACTGCAACGATCTATCGTTACGTGCTGCTCCGTATAATAACATTTGTGTAATCGTATCGTTCATTAATCGAGTCGAGTCGCGAATAGATATATACTCCAACGTGAAGTCAATTGTCGCCAAGCATGTTCATTCGCTAGAGATCGGTATAAGCATGCCTCAGCATGGCTGTGCATTCGAAATGGATGGCAGAGTTAGAGAAAGTAGACTTTGTATCATCGGACGAGTCAAGGATTTCTAATGACCGTTGCTTTGCGTACTCGCTCAACGTGAGTAATAGTTGCCTCCGTTCGGGAGAAAAGTCACGTCTCGTGAGACTTCTCGCTCGAGATTTCCACACGAAGAAGAATTACCTATAGATCAAACGAATCCCAGGTTTGGCCACGATGGTCCATTGCTGGGTCGTACATATTTCCGATGGGTGAACGCTCCCTTTCTAACGGAGGGTATTTTCTTTTGTATTACGCAGAGGACTTTGGAGATGGTACGGTATTGGCTAAATGGAGTTCTCTGGATCTTCTAGCTGAAGAGGAGGACGCCACTTCGCCTGCGACAACGGTAGCTCATAAACAAGGTAAGAATGGCTCGACGATCAATTTACACGAGAAAGAGTCTATTTGTAATATCGGGTATCTCTCGTGTTCATCAGCGGAGGACACCATATTTTCACATTCATATCTGCAACGAGTGGCCAGCGAGCGAAGCAGCAAGCGATTACTTATGCGACCTTCGACGAGCATCGACGTCTCTTGCCCGACGTCGCCTCAACTCTCCCCGACGCATCAGCCCTGCAAGATTACGGTCCTAATAATCGTGATGCACGCTGGCAGTGTCTTAGGTATTTCGGTAACATACCCCATGTATAAAATAATAGGAGGATACCATCTATGCCTTTACGATTCGGTCCATTCCACAGATGCGAATGTAGACCTAACCGCGAAGAAGTCAGACATTACGACGTTCAAGGGAGCTTTCGAGTCGGTCATGAGGCAACACTATCCGAGCATGGTCGGTCACATCGCCATCAAGTTCGTCTCGTGCCCCTCGATATGCACGGAGAGCCTTGGCATTTTATCTAGGTACTTCCAGATATATATTTTTTTTCTCTCGAATTCATGTCGAATGCGAGTCGCAAGTTTTTTAACCGATCGTTCGTTTTTAGTCTGAGTCCGTACAGTTTCGACGTCTCGCCTTCGTGTACGGACACTCCACAAGTTACCCATGACACTATCCCGATAGGAGCCATTCCGTTACTGGCAAGTTCGACGCCGGATTACCAGGACGCCGTAACTCGCGTCGTCACCGGGGCGAATCAGATCTATCAGGAGTTTGTAAAGAGCGAGGAGGGCAGGGGTTTTAGCGGGCAGATTTGCATCGTCGGTGATTCCGTGGGATCGATCCTAGCCTACGACGCGCTGTGCCGATCTTCTCAGTATCAATCAAGACACGACAGTGAAAATAGTATTTTAGAGAATGACAATCAAGGGGCGGAAAATAATGGCGGGTACGAGGACGGTAAGCACCTGATCGCGCCTCCACCTCGAAGGAGATCTTCCTCGACAAGGTATATTTTTATCTAAAAAGAGTCGCATCGATTGAAGTAAACCCGGTGGACTTAATAACCGAAACGTTTCTATGTCTTCTTTAATAGCGATAATTCGCATCATTGCAAGCTGGACTTTGACGTCAATGAGTTCTTCATGTTTGGCAGTCCACTGTCTCTGGTGCTCGCGTATAGAAAAATTTCGTGCAGCGGGGATAAAAGCAGTAACATACCTAAACCTACGGTGAATCAAGTGTACAACTTGTTTCATCCTACCGACCCGGTTGCTGCCAGGGTAGAGCCACTGATCTCCGCAAGGTTCTCCTTTCTCCCCCCGGTGAACGTTGCTCGGTACCAGAAGTATCCGCTCGGTAATGGGCAGCCGTACCATTTGCGTAAGTTCCCGTGCTTTCTCATCTCTCACCAAAAAATGTGGCCGACTAAATTAACGCACGAATTACAGTAGAGACAATCCAGACAAATCCTCAATTGTTCGCGGACGGTCTGAACGTTCCTACCGCTTCAATGCCACATCTGAGAAGGCTCTCCGATATATCGATCCAGAGCACTATGTCCGGGATTATCGATAACGTGCCACTGCAGGCCGTATCGGCCCGTGAGTATGAAAATCGTGTATGTCAAATTTGGAGCTTTCAACGTGAGACTATACCAAAAATAATTTACAGTGACGCAGAAATGGTGGGGCAACAAAAGAATAGACTACGCGCTGTACTGTCCCGAGGGTCTCTCCAATTTTCCCACGAACGCGTTACCTCATTTGTTCCATGCCAGTTACTGGGAATCCTCCGATGTGATTGCGTTTATATTAAGACAGTTGGGCAGATTTGATTTGCCCATTCTTAGCAACGAGGAGAAAGAACTAACGTGCTTCCGTCCAGGCCAGCCCAGGGAAAAGTGGAATAAAAAGCGTACCTCCGTCAAGCTTAAAGTAAAGTCAATGTCTCGTAAACTAACGTTGTTTAGGATTAGGTGGCATTAATATTGAATGCAATGCTTCTTTTTTTTTTTCAGAACGTTGCAGCGAATCACAGAGCTAACGACGTTATAGTCAGGGAGGGTGCTCCTCAAACTCTAGTCGCTAGGTTCATGTACGGTCCTATAGATGTTATTGCATTGACAGGTACATTGCCGGGTACACTATGAAACTCCTGATCGCAATTTTATGCAATGATTTAATTAACGATGCTCACAGGTGAGAAAGTAGACATTCACATTATGAAAGACGCGGCAGCCGGCGAGTGGAGTTTTCTGGTTACCGAGGTAACCGACAAAACCGGAAGAATCACATACAGGATCCCCGATGAAAAAGCATTAGGGTACGGGATATATCCGGTTAAAATGGTCGTGAGGTAAGCTCGGTGTTCTCTTTGTTTAAATAATCCGAAATGACTTATAATTCGTATTTGACGATTTGATACTTTTTAAAGAGGCGACCACACGTCCGTGGACTTTTTCTTAGCTGTGATACCACCGAAAACGGAATGCGTAGTCTTCAGTATCGACGGCTCGTTTACTGCCAGTATGTCCGTCACCGGAAGAGACCCTAAAGTCAGAGCTGGGGCCGTCGATATAGTCAGGTATACATTAAAAAGATACAAAAGTGAATAATGCCACTCCGATATCTCTGATGTAATGCGACCCATTGAGTATTTTTACCAATTTCTCGTTATACTTCCATCAGGCATTGGCAGGAACTAGGCTACTTAATAATTTACATCACCGGAAGGCCCGACATGCAGCAGCAAAAGGTCGTCTCTTGGCTGTCGCAACACAATTTCCCGCACGGTCTCGTGTCCTTTGCTGATGGACTTTCGACGGATCCTCTGGGGCACAAAGCCGCTTACTTGAATAATTTAATTCAGGTGAGCGGAGTGCATAATTATTCGGTACGTGTTTTTTTTTTTCTTTCAGTTAATTTGAAATAAAACCGTATCTCGTCTCGTAGGAGCACGGAGTTATAATCCACCATGCTTACGGCAGCAGCAAAGACATCAGCGTTTACACGGCTATTAATCTGAAGCCGAATCAAATTTATATCGTGGGCAAAGTCTCGAAGAAGCATCAGCCTTTGGCCACGGTACTTCACGAGGGCTACGCCGCCCACCTGAGCGCACTTCAAGCTCACGGGGGCTCAAGACCCGCTCAGGGCAACGCTCGGATGGTCATTCCTCGAGGTCACTTTGGCCTACCCGGGCAAAATTCGTCGCTTCGACGAAGAAGGTAATTATTCCCGCCCGATCGCACTCAATTTCAATCTGAGCGTGGTGTTACCTTATGTTATATTATTGTTGAGTGTACGTGCATCGCGTCCCGTCCTCGTTTACTCGTGATGTTTCCACGTTTATTCGTGATGTTCCTCGTACTCCCATTGCACATTTGAGACTTTTTCCAGACGACGGTCGGGATAATCGAGATTTCCGTTCGTCTGCACCCTAGAATATTATTTCAATTAATTTGTGTAAAATCACGGGCTCCGCAGGTCTTGTAGTCGTGGGGCACAAGAACGACCGAAGAGCCACGTTAAAGGATGGACATCTCGAAAGAGATTTAATTTAAACTTTGACCCGTCGTTTTCACGCAAGGCCTCCCGAGAGATCGAGTCGCGACCGAATCCTGAAAACAAAATGGAAACCGTAGGGAAGGAATCACGTCGGATCGTGCAATCAACATTTTTAGTAGGAATCGTGATTCGTCAGACAGTCGTTTTCTTACATCTTTGATATCTTCTGTTTCTTTTGCAGTAAATGCACCTGCCCCCCCGTCGAAGAAGCCCAAAAGTAACGTTTCAGCCAGTAGGCCACGCGCAGAGGCGCAAGATGGGTCACCGCTCGTTCTGCTAATATTTCCGCCTCTTAAAAAGACTGGGTGCTAACGAGAATCCCATATATGCAGATTCATTTGAGAAAACGACTACTCGAGAAATCACGCTCTCGATAAAAATGTTGATTGGAAAGGTAGACGTCATTTTTATTCCCGAGTTCGTGCCCAGGTTTTCTTTCCATCTTCCGAGCTCTTTACCTGGCTTAACCGCTTAACATGGAATAGCCCCAAAACGTCCTAACTCACGTGGGGTAGATATCACTGGCACATGGTGCGAGCGAGACTGCTTTATCGATATGAACTAGCAAACGGTGTCGGAGGGCGATCGAGGTCCTCCAGGATTTACGAAAATTCGGACTCGTGAGCTCGTCGCCGGTCGGTAACGTTCACTCTCCAGGAGAATCGAGTCAGCATCTAACGTCTGCCAAATGCGTGTGCGAATACGAGCCCTCGCGCTCTGTTCCAGTAACGACACAGCGGCCAACTCGCCGGCGCGCAACAGCGTCTACTTAAAGCGGAAAGTCTACCTTAGTCACATCTAACACACGCCTATTATCTACCTACAATTAACCTACTCACATTGGTAACTATTTCTTTTTCTGTCTCTTTCTGTCCCTCTGACGTCCCGAGTTCTCTGGCCTCCTCCTCGCTACCTCCACGCTGAGTTACCGGGCGGAAAGGATCGATCCCTCCGGTCGGTCTACCGCTCTTCGAGCTCGTCGACCCCGAAGAAAGGTCGAAGGAGTCCTGGAGGAGGTCGAGCCTTTCCGTCTCCGATGCGCTAAGCCCGCTGTTCTTCCCAAAGCCCGAGGTCCTGGGTAGTCCTCGGTAGCGGTCGGTAGGTCGAGGTGGAAATCCGACCTACGGACCCCTACCTATGACCTACCGGACCCGCTGGCGTTCGCCAGAAACCTCACGGGGTTCTTCGTTCCAGGTACCTGCTATGAGGATAATGTCGCGTTCTGTGCAGCGTAGCTAAATATTATGCTCCTGTCGGCCGCCGACGTCCTGCGCTCTGATTTATCGTTTCACTGTCAAGCCAAATACATAATGTCCAGGATTAATGTGGTCAATCCGCTCTGACTGTCTAGACACGTGACTAGAGTCTTTGACGTTCCCGCCGCCCTATAAGCGGGCCGGCCTCGCAATTAGCGATCAAGGTAATCCCGCGAGCCCCACAGCACCCTTGGGAATCCGTTTTAGATGAATGTTCTGTGTTTTTCATAAACGGTTGTCTTTCAGCCAATGCTTCGCGGACGGCACGATTAGGGGGTGCGATAGACCGCAGGAATGTATGACCTACGCGTTACCTGCACGACGGTAGATGTGTGACACGACACGTAACACTCGCTCTAGGTGACACCCGACCTCGACGACCGATAAAGTTAGGCCTACCGAATGCAAAGGTTCGAGAATCTTGCGAGAGCGCGTTATTCTCGGATCTGGACTTATCGCCAACGTGCCACGATTTACGGGCTGTTACCATCCGGTATGTCTATCTTGTCTCGAAATGGGATTTCAGCGGAATCTCGTTAAAAAAATAGATAAACGGTATTTTGCGTACCGCATCCGAACTCGTCCGTTCCGTGGCGGATTAGACACCGCACCGACAATGGGGCCGGGAATCGATTTTAATATTCGTTCGGATGCGAATCACCCCGATGAAACATTTCACAAGTGCTTTCAGCTTGTTCACCGAGGCTTTTCTGCTTTCTTACGCTCTCTGTGTTGACCTGTGCATACTAGTTTAAAGGATAACAAGCACCCTGCCTGAAATCCTACACAAGCTCTGTGATTTCGTGCACTCTAGCTCATCCTACATGGCACCACGATTATTAGGCGTGTTCGCCACGTCCGGACATCTCATGATACCATCTGTGAATCTCCCCTAGATATTTTCTCCCGTCAGGGACGTTCTACGTGTTCACGTGATCTCGTGTCTAAGACTCCACTTTACGATTGCTTCTCGCATCAAAGTACTTTCTTTCTCTCGACCGACCGAGTATTGATACAATTTTAAAACGATGGATAACGAGTGAAAAGTGCATCCGACCCAGAAATATTTTTTTTTCTTCCGAATTTCCATTCGTTATTCATAAGTTTCTCTCGATTTATCTGCATTCGCGCGAGCGACTCTCAAAAATCGAACGACTTCCCCGGCCTATTAAAATTCCGCCGAAAATATATGTTTTACCTTACGTCCTCGGAATATGCAAATCGGCAATTGAGATTCGCTCGCCGTTAGAAAATGAAATCCAAACGTATAAGTTCGGCATCCCACTTTCTCATTACTTGTCGACATGTATGTTTGCATTGGATAGCTCGACAGAAATCAATAGCGATATCACTTCGACCACGAACATGATGAATGGAAAATAGATGCGTCGCTTGTTGCACTCGCCGCACAATTACGATCTTTAAACATACCGCCAACATAAATAACCGAATTAACGAATCGCGACATCCCCGATAGACTAGCAGTGAACGTGTCCGTCGTTTGACTGTCGGTTAAATTAGAAAGTAAAACATAGTCTTAAAAGAGCTGCCTAAATTCTAATAAAAAAAATATATATATAAAATCGTCGGTGACGAAAGTAGAAGCGATCGCCGAAGATCTTCCGAAGGAAATTTAGAGAAATCCTTTTTTTTACGTAAATTCACCCCCTTGTCCGAGTACCCTAGAGTACAGCCTCGAGGACTGGTCGACCGAGGGGTGTATTTAACCTTCCATCGAGAAAAATGCCAAAAAAGTCGTTTTAACGAGACTCGCGGAGTCCGGATCCTTCGGAAGCATCTTCGACACGACCGACATGTACGAGACGGTAAATTAACGCCAAGAAACGTGTGTTAGCTCATTTAGATCGGCGAAACGCGCGATCTCGCACCCACCAGCGGGGAAGTCCTACTCCTTGGAGAGAAGTACCAGCGTGGAGCCCCCGTCGTCCTCGAAGTCGGCGCCTCCTGTGCCGAAGACCTCGCCAGCGACTTCTGAAAGGCTCTGACGATTCGCCCGTTGCTGCTCGTTCTTCGAGTCCCGGCAGGGAGGGCAAGGATAATTGGATATCTTCATCCAGAGGACATCCTTCGAGGCCTGGGAGTCCTGGGGAAGAAGTCAAGGAGAGTAAAGGAGATCTCGAGGCTGCTCTTCACTTGGGAGAGATCGCTTCGTCGAGGACCGCATGTCCTGTCGCGAAAAGCATCTACTGCGAGGCCTTCGTCGACGTCGCTATCGGCGTATCCTGCAGCAAGGACCTCGCCCGGGGAAGCAAGTTTGCCCGAAGGAAGAACGATCGGAAAACGGACGTCGTAGTTTACTTTTAAATATTAACGAGAGGCCAAGGAGGTCCTGAAGCGGAGCCGACCGACGCCGAAGAGGGGCGCTTGCGAGGAAACGGGACATTTATTTTTTATACATAGTCTATCCGGACTGCCTGGACGAATCCCAAGGGAGAGGGCAAGGGTCGACCGATATCCGACCAGGAATCGCGCGCGAACGGTTTCTTTGACGCTTGAGATAAACTCCACTTTTCCATTTCAATGACGGGCACCGTTAAGGAATTCTTCCCGGGGAAGTTCTACGGAGTGCACGCGGTTGGGGCTCTCGTTTAGGACACTTTTCGATATGACGCGATCGTTAGGGAAGAAAAAGTGCGTTTATCTCAAACATTATGCAACGCAGTTACGATCTTTTCGCTTAACATGGCTTGACGGCGATCGGACTCTTCTTCGACCTCGGCAAGGAGGTCCGAAGGACGTCATCCGCGAGACGTGTGGTCGGTACCGATACGGCGAAGGACGAAGAGACACTCGTTGATACCGTTACCTGAATCCCACTGTTGTTACTAAGATTAAACCGTAAGGAAGCTCGTCGGGAAGAGTAGAAGATGCTCCTCCAGTCGCTCGTCGGCCGATGGGCGGTGACGAGAGGTCGGATGTTTAATTACAGTTGTAATTCGGTAATCGGACCATATGTTTGATGTACTTTGACCCATTCGTTGAATCCCTACCCTCGAATCCCTTTGTTTCAACTCGATCCTCTCTGGCAACGTATCTCTCTCGGATCTAGCAAGAAAAGTTCGTTAAAATCAAGCGGAACGTTGTATGGTCTAATTACTCATTCACAGAGGTAAGTAAATTACGCGAGGAAAATGATTTTCTAATGTAGAGTCAGCAAGGTGTCCGCGACCGTATTAATTTAGAGACGGAAATTTGCTGCCTCTCTATTAGTAAAATTATCCGTTCACGAGTAATATGCTCTGGTCAAGAATCATGGTGAGCTACGCGTAATGCCTTTGAATTTTCACCGTGGGTGCATTCTGTAAGGGAAGTCGATAACGATACGGAAGGTCCAAAGTATGTAGAAATGGTTACATCGCACGAGGCGAATCAGCTTGAAACATACTTCGTTCACTCTCCACTTCTTTGAGAACGTGAACCGTAGTTATAAATGGATAAGGAATATTTTAAGGCAATTGTTATCGTGTTTTTTGCTCTCACACCATATCGGTTGCTATCTAATGTTTTGTACTCGAAACAATCTTGGGACTGGAGAAACGGAGATCGTAGGAGGAAAGAGTCGTTATTGGTGAACGTTCTAAAAAATACGTAAAGAATGCACTCGACGAACTTGGTTCGTTTCGTGTCGCCTTAATATGGACGTACCGAGCAAAGTGTCGTTGCCGTTGATCCTTTAAAGAAGAAGCATTACGTGTCGCTCCACATTGTATTTGCTATGACGTATCGCGATGTGTAAGAAGTAATACCGTAAAATGCATATTGACTGTTTGTATTGTTGTAATATGATACGAGAGTAGCTGTATATTAAAAAAATATATATATCCATTTATTTGGACACGCGTCCTCGTAAGACCACGAAGACGGGCGCGGAATCGTCTCTTCCAGCCGGCCCGTAAAATAGGATAAAATATCTCGAGTGTTATGCAACGCGCCTCGTATTTTATGCACCTCCTTGCCGAGGTCACTCGAGCCTTAACAAACGAAATCTCTCGATTCCTTATCCTCCTATCACGGACATATCCTGGGTGCATCCGCGAGGAGGTCCTCGCGGGAAGCTTTGCGAGCTGCTGCAACGCGCTGCAACGCATTGCGAGCCGCTGCAACGCGCTGCAACTTGGAGACCTCGTCCTCGGCAGACAATGGATGCACCAGATGATCGTGGAGGCGCAAAACGAGGCACCTATAGCGTAGGAAGCGACACGCAGTACCCATACCCAAGGAAAACCGCAGTAAGCCGATATACGCGTGTCGGTTGCATTTCACTTTGCGAGAAAGGAGAGAACCGCAAGCTCGACCGTTCCGAAATCTAAGAGAGCGTGATATCTCCGTCTCGGTATACCCGAGAAATACCATCGGATCAAAGACGAAGGAAAGAAGGACTCGGGAAGAGAGACCGCGATCCTCCTTCGCCATAAAAAGTGCACGATAAAAAAATTTTTTTTTTTTCAACTTTAAACATCCGAAATAATTCATCTCCTCCGATTTTCGGCTTCGAGACTCTCGAGCCCGGGAAACCGTGAATGGCATTCTTAAGTGTCTGACAGCCACTTACGTCGAATTAAGCGCAATTACCGCAGACTGTCGTCATACTTAATACGCATCGCGACCGGGCCGACCCCGGGTGCATCGAGTGCAGGAAAACCGCCCTCTTTTCGAAGAAAAAAAATTTTCCCCCAATGAAAAGAAATCGGGGAAAAATGAAAAGTCGACCGAAATCAAGCCTCGATTGTCCGTCCTTCGAGGTATCGGAATGGTACCACGTGTCGCGCGAGTCGGAGCGAATTAAGCGAAATTACGCGAGTGACATCACGATCCTTAACGAGAGCGACTCGGGGGCCCGCCCACGAGTGCGTCGATTGTAACGAAGGAAAAGGAGAGAAGAGGATCCCCGGCCTCGAGGAATCGTTCGAGACGTAGGGAACGAGTGAATGAAACGCAGGGAATCGACGGTGCATCCTCGAACACGGCGAATGCATCGAGTGCATCGAACATAGAGAGCTGACGAGTGCGCATCGCAAGAGTCGAAGAAGGGTTGTTACCTCTTCTTCGTCGGGGGAAAAAAAAAAATGAAAAGATCGCAGGAAGGAAGGGAAAATCTCGACGCGCCCAGAAGACGAAAATGGCTCTCGAAGGACAAGGAGGCGAAGGGCGAGGGATTTTGTTAGCGGTCCTCGAGCCTCGCGAAAGGGGTCGGCGACGAGAGCCACGTGCTCCCGAATTCATCCCCGCCTAGCACGAAGGGGAAAGAGGATCGCGAGCACACAGGTGCTAGGCTACCCTCGCGCAGGAGGGACGTCGAGGCCGACGTATTGCGTACACACGGAGAGAGGTCCCTATTGATTTTCCGGCGCAGTCACCGCGGCGCCGGTCCCCAGGACTACGCTCCCCCGGCGTACCTGCGCCTAGGTGGGCAGGATGCCCCCTCGTCGCGACAAAGGAGGTCCTGATATTTTTACACCTTTTTTTTTTCTTCTATCGCTCTAGACCTAATATACGTGTACCCAGGTGTATGGAGACCCTCCCTAGTCGCGACAAGGAAAATCCTGATTTTTTTTTTTTTCTTTCGTTCTTTTTCCATCGCACCTGTACACCTAGGTGTGCCAAGTGCCCTTGCGCACCCCTCGTCGCGACAAAGGAGGTCCTGATATATTTGCATTATTTTTTTTTTCATTTGGTAGTTTTCGACGTACCGCGTTCAATTCCGAGGGAAGAAAAAAAGAAAGGAACCGAAGATCGCCGAGATCGGAGGTAGTCCGAGATTTTGCGATCTCTGCCCCTTTTGGAAAAATCGGAGAGACGATGCCACGAAGAAGGGGGCGGCAGGTGGAGGGCCCCGGCAAAGGTCGTTTCCCGGAAGGTGGTCGGACGACCTCGGACAGGGGGTCGCCGATCAATACGTCGGATTTGGGTCAAGCGGGGCCCCGAGTGCGTTCGAAAATCGAGAAACCCCAAAACCCCTTCTACGGGGTCTCTTCGAATTCCCCCCTTTCCGTATCGAGGTCCTTGAAGAAAGAAAATAACCGATCGACCTCGCATAATTCGCGAGGTCGCCGCTAACGTCGACTTCCCAGAAGGTGGTCGAATGACCCCAGGGGTGTCGAGGTCGCGAATCGATTCCGTCCGATTCGGGTCGACCTCTTTGGCACGTGGCGACACACTTGGGTGCGGTCCGTCCGTCTTTTTTATCCGTCCCGACGCGCGCTATATAGCGCGGCGCGGCGTCAGCCGGTCGAATCGCGTAAGGGTCAGATTCGCGCGCCTACGGCACGGGAAACTGATCCTTACGCGTCGGCGCCCACCTCAAGAGAGAACACCTCGTAGGGCGTCAATTTCTCCCGAGGATTTCCTCCTATCTCGTGCCCCGCTTTACTCCAATCCACCCAGAGCCGAGTTCCCTCTTCCTGGTCGCCCTTTCCCGCGTCATAAGGCGATCATCGTCCGCCTCGGAGGCGTCGCGAGGCTTCGGCCTTCGATCTGGCCGACGCCGCGACAAGACGCTCGTTTATAGCGCTTGGGATTCCCGCCGGCGCCGCGTCTCGACCTAACCCTACCCCCGATAAAAACGGATCCACCGATGAAAATACCCGATCGAAGCGGCGATTGCCCACGTGTCGAGGCGAGAAAACCGTGGAAAAGAAAAATTATTATCGACCCTTCCGGGCGGCCAGAACGAGCAGTTCCGGTGCGTCAGCACTCGGTCTAGGTACCCGGTACCATCCGTCATCCGGATTGGCGCACGGCTCCGATCTGGAGCAAGTGTACCCATCCGCGTTACGCAATGCCGCTACGAACAATGAGGAACCCTCGGTACCCCTCCCTAAAACGCTACAAATCCTCTGCCTTCGAATTACCGATACCTAAGACAAAAAACGATACACGAAAGCGTAGAAATAAATAACAAGATCCGAATCCCTTCCCGCCTACCGGGCGCCGGCGATCAGCTAGATACACGTCCGACAAGAGAGGGCCACGTCACGTCCGCATTTACGCTAATCTACGCTCGTTTAGGGTGAAGTTCCGAAAAGCGCATACCTCCGATTAATTTGAAACTTCGTATACCTACGTATCTTAACCCACCGATGACGAACATGACAGGGGAAAATCTACGCAAATACTATTTTCGATGTGAAAATGATTGTCAACATTTTTCTATCATTTTCACATTTCGATTAATACGGGTTTAAGAGAAAAAAGCCTCGGACAAAAGTTGTAGCCCTCGAAGAAATACATTATTTACGTTCTATGGATTTTTTCTCTAAAGCCATTACTTTTCGAGGAAAAGGGCTAGATCTCCGCGTTGACAGCTCGCGAAGCACATGGCGCGGCTCTCGCCGTCGAAGTGGGCGAACCGGCCTCTAAATATAAACTACGCGTCGCCATCTCCTCCCGGAGGCGCGTGAACCCACGCTATTCTCGGCGTGTCCGAGAGCCGCGTCCCTCCTCTCGGTCGAGATTTCGCGGCCGTTCCCGTGTCCTGGAGCGCCGGTTAAACGGCCCTTCTTTTCCCGGAAGTTCGATGAAAAGCCGTTTCCGGGAGGGGCGGCTCGATCGCCGCCTCGAGCGCGGCCCCCGATCGGCCGGAGTTCCACTTTCCGCGCGTGAGTCGAGCGCAACCCCTCTCGAAAATCCATCGGAGACTCGCCGGCACTCACGTTACGGTATTTCCTTGTATACGCTTGTACTTGTACAGCGAGAAAACAATCGCGTAATAAGGGCGACGCGCAAGGAAAGGCGTAGTCGATCCGAGTACGGAACTCCGTTGAAAAGAGGCCCAGGGATGCGACCAGCGCCGCCCACGTTCCAGCGGGGTGAATCAGAGGTTCGCTTCGGGCTCGCGAGAGCGAGAGAGACCGAGTTATGGGGGCGGCGGAAGGGAGGAGAGAGAGAGAAAGAGAGAGAGACGCGCGCGCCATTCCACATCGAGGGACCGGGCCTATCGATACCTCGCGGTCGATATCGGCGCCGCTTATCTCCGAGAGCGCACCTAGAGAGCGAGAACCCCGGCTCGCCTTTCGTAATTAACGGCCGGCCGGTTTCGCCGCGGCTAAGTTCAATGTTGAGGATTAATCGCGGCCTGCTTCGAGCCGGTAATCGAGTTTTATGTCTCGCACGATCGAGGCCACGCGATTATCACCTCGAGCCGCCGACGTATAACCCCGGGAGAAGGGGAACCGCGTGTACAGTCAATTCCTGCCGATCCGCGGCGCCGACAAATTCTATATATTCCCCTCTTACATAACGCAAAAGAACTCCAAAAAAAAAAATAAGGTACATATCTTCCGATTCCAGATCAAGATTGGTTATCTGCGAGCAATCGAATAGCGGCGATTAGTCCAGAAAATTCTCGACGATCGCCACTGGGTCACCGCTTAATTTTCAGGTAAAACTTCCCTGACGATCGGAAAACTCGGCGGAGTTTCACGCCAAATGTACACCCTTGCATGCGTGAAACGCCACAGAGTTTGAAATAATTAATATCTCTGTATTTATTTTAATCACCGCCAGTGGACGGTTCACGGCAAGGTCTATAGAAAATCTTCAGGTTTCCCTGCGTCGGCGCGAACCTCGAAGAGTTCCTACGACCATGTCGTCGCTCGGCGAGCCTCGATCTCGATCGCTCGTTGATCCATGCCCGAAGGTCCCAGCGGGCCGTTTAACGAATCAATTAAACCGTTCCAGGCGCGGCATTGTTATATCACGAGGAAAATCGAGCCCCCGGCCTCGCGGCCCGGCAGAGCCCGAGGAAACCCTCGTAACCAAGCAGGAAATTAAACGGTGCACCGTCGGTCGGGCACGCACATGCTCTCGGCCGGAAGCGAACCAATCACGACCCCGCGTGAATTTATTCATTTATTCCGAAGACGTGCGTACACGCCCCACGCGGAAGGCGAACCCCGTGACGCAACAGTAAACACGCCATGGATCTACGAAGGTGAGAGGGATGCATCATAAGGAAAAAATTCAAGATAAGAGGGGCCGAAGCTCGAGACGTGAAGAGGGAGACTCACGGCGGCCATCTTGGGTTGCTGCACGTACAATACATATTCAAGAACGATCAAAATATGCGCACAGCGCCTTCCTTCGAATTTCTACATACGTCTTGAGCTTCACCCACGCACACCTACGTTCTATCATTAATTTCTTCGCTAAATCCACGGTAAACGGAAGAGAAACGGACTTCAAGGAGACGCCTTCGTCGAAGGCGACACCTTCCTCGGATCTACCTCGGAAACCCGATAGCGAGATCACGGACTCGAGTAACGTCACTGTCCCCGAGGACGCCGAAGTCAATAACCGTGGCGTTAATATACGTGTCACGAGCTGCCGGTTATGACATCCTTCTGCAAGGGTACCGGATTATGACTTAATAAACAGCACTGGACGATTTAAATACGTAGGCCTGGAGAGGATTAGAGAGGAACTCGTTCGCTTGGTTATCCTCGATAGCTTATCCATGTGTGCCCCGATTCCTAGAATTGATTATACATACGTAGAGGCATTGATTTAATGGGCTTCGATTTAATGGGCTCGTAGAAACATTTTTAAAAGGTTACCTTAGTAGGAGTCTTGAGTAGTGCATGAAATTTTTAGTGCGATAGGGTGCAGAACGATGATACGGTTTTCGAAAGTCCTTGAGTGACGTAGGATCGATGCTTCAAGGTATGGTATTTGTTGCACTTTTGGTAAGCTCGAGTTTAGAGGCGCCATTCGGCGCTAGTCACGGATAAAAATATCCCACGAGTCGTTAGGTCGACACATAGAAGTATCAAATTCCTGGACGGGGTCCGATGCGAGAAGGGTCACGGATTTAAAGTGGAGACCGTAAGGTCATTGTCAATTTCGGCCGGTGATTCGCTCCTCACCTTGTCTAAGACGGGCCATGCCATCCAAGAAAATGACAGTCACTTAAATGTCTATTCTTCTCTGTCGGAACATCTGCCAACTCTCACGGGAGTGCTTATGGATGTCAATCGACTACATTGGGTGGTTCCAAGAAAATGTTTACATACAGAGGAAGGTCAGTTACGCCCAATTATGCCCAGTTATTAAGGATGAAACCTGGAGGGAGGTGGTCGTTGCTCCTAGCGTTTAAACCTGTACCTAAGAGACAGCGGTCGGCTTATGGGAAATCGATCCATCCTCGGCTTACCGACTCTGATCTCCCGAGTGCACGCAGTATTATCGTGAGATCCTCGACTGCCCGAAACTGGGTCATCGACGGACAGGTCTCGACAGGTGGACCTTCGGACACCCAACCGACGCCGACCGATCGACCGGGGAGTCGAGCCTCACGAGCGAAAGCTCGCCCGACGCGGCACCGCGACCCGTTGCGCAACGAAGCCTGTAAGATCCGGCCTCGGAAGCGCGGTCGATTTCCAGGGCGTTCGCGTAAAATAAGAAGAAGACTCAGGAGGAAGCAGGACGGTGGCAGCCCGGCGGGGCGTCCCGTCGCCTCGTCTTCAACCCTTTTCGATGGCTTTTCAAGGTTCAAATCGCGATCTTGTCGCCGCAACGTGTCGCCGTCACTCGGAGCCTCGTCGGGCGCGTCTAACCTCCAAATTTCGGCCGGTACGGCGGCTATCAGGGCGTCGAGACGGCGATATACGGGCTTCGGTCACGGCGCCGCCATCTTGGCTCGGCATCCACCCGTCACCGACACGCTTCCCGGAAAACCGCCGCCCGCTCGAGTTTTCCGAATGGAACCGCCCTGGTCCCGGCACTTACCCTCTCGCAAGGACCACCCGCGACGCCGTTTCACCCTAGGACTCGCATAAAAACTCGCGCGAACCGCGGCGAACCGACGAGAGACCCACCCAAGTCCGTCCGCACGCACAACCGGCACGCAACTGAGCGCGGCTCGCGGCGTCCGCCTACGCCGCCCGAAAGTAGTTCCCAACCCCGCCGTGACGCCCTCTCGGCCCGCGCGCGCCGACCGCTCGATTCGCCCTCGAAATCCCGATTTCGGGCCGCGCGAAACCTTCGAATTCTCCTCTGGCTTGATTCTCCGGAATGTTTGTCGTATTCCGAACCTCCGACAACCCGCCGGCGTACCTATCCGCCCGCGGAACCCGAAGCATCGATCATGGCGCAAACCTCGGCGCCGCGCGTGTCGCCCAAACCGCGATACAAATCTAATTAAGGACGCATGCACCGCCCGCAAAGAGAAACTATGGATGCCAATCGTTCTCCGAACTCCGTCAATACCTAGAATTACCCAGAATAGCCCTTTCGCGGATTGAAACCGTAACTCTCGAATAACTCGCACCGCTTCTAGTCCTCTAAGTGGTTCCGAACACTTGCCGAGAAAAGTGGCACTTATAAATAAAAATTAAACTCTCGAAGGTCCACTTCTGGTCCTGGAAGTATATATCGATACCAAGTCTCTGTATACGAAGTCACGAGGAACGAGATCTCTCGTTAAGGATCGATTTTCGATCGAGAGTTTTGAGACACGATTCGAGAAGGTACTTTTTGTAAGCGCGGAGGATGGGTGCTGAATTTCTGTTTTTTAGGTGTCGTGTGATACTTCGGGAGATGTTATTAGTTTTTAATTTAAAATAGCGAATGTTTTCAGGTAAGATCAGGGGGAAGGACGATGATATCGGTTACGAAAGCGCGAGGGTACTTAATTCTTTTTTACGGCCCTGCTCCGCGTGTACATACATACGTACTTATCGGCGGAGGAATACACGGTAATCAATGACATCATCAACCCCGTTTACACATTTTCCGAAGCGGACACGCCCCATCGTGCGGCACAGTTGGTTATTCAGGATATTTTTCTTCTTTTTTTCTTTGTTTCAAACACAGCATTCATTGTCGGTCACCCGAGGAATCGTAAGGAGTAATAGGAAAGCGTACCAGCTATGAATAATATCAGGGGATTTAATTTAACAGGACATGCGCGTCGGTCACGTATCAATCCCCCACTTTTTACACTCCAGCTGATACTGGCAAACGTATTGTAAACAAACTGAAAGGGCAAACTCGGGGGAGTAACATTCTGCAAACAGAATTATCTATAAATAACGTGCCTCTCGGAACAACATTTTGCACCTCGACTTGTATCCTACTCACTTCCAGTGCGTCCACTAATTGACGAGATACTTGGGTTGAATATTAGGCAATGTTAAGAAACGAGCTTCTCAGTGTACTAAATATGTTTTTATTGTGATGTATTTATATGAAATAAATGTTACATGTGGAATAGTATACAATACGTGCACGCTTGCCAAGAAGCGATCTTAATATATTACAATGATGCGACGTGTGGAAATAATGTGTAGCAGGTAAATATAATGACAGCTGTATCATGATTCAATTATCCCTCGCTCGAAAATTAGGAAGGGAATGTTTTGGTACCCTCGATAGTGATAACTTAACGTTATGCTTTGCGCTCCTGGCAAGAGTAATGAACGATGTCACCATTTGGGTATCTGGCAAAAGCGCTGAAATGGAAAATACAATGAGGGACAAATATTTCCTGTGGTAGAGAATTTGTCTAACAGTGGACTTATACCTTTGATTTCCAAATCTTTTCTTGCACACTGGACAAATGTTGAATTCTGTCATGAGGACACTTTGAGATTCATAATGCATTCTTTGTTCTTGCACCTGCAGATGTTCCGCATACAGTAGTCCTTTCAAAACTTGCGTACACCGCCTTTGGTTTAAATTGTTCTGCAAACTGGCCTCCAGGAAATGTCTGATTCTGCCAATTGGCACGCTATCGGGTAAAACCTCCAAAGCTTTCAGTGGGTTTACTTTAAGGGCGTGATCTTTCAATAATTTCAACGCCATTTCTAAATCTGGCTGAGCCGTCTTTTGGACTTCTGGATTACACCCTGCAATACCTGCTGTTCGCATGAACAATTTTTGGAAATGAAATCAGCAGAAACACTTACCAGCCGTTAAAATTCCTTCGCTATCAGGTTTTAGTAGCTGTTGAATAAGCATAACGTAAACTTCACCAGCTCCATCTTGTTGTTTACTCTTATTGGCATTTTTCTGGTCTGAAATAAATATTTTTTTTCTCGTAGACAGTAATTGAAACGTTTAAAGTGTTTTGTTATAAATACTTACCATGAAACTTGGAATATACACTATTACAATACTGTATTGCACGAGGAACGTCATTCAATAAATTAATGTAAATCGATATAACTTGTTCGTGACGACCAAGACGTCCTAATATGATTGCACGCTCTTCAAAAAGGCAGTCAAATGGAAAATGAACTAAAACGGTCTCTGGCGTATAGTGTGCAGACTTTTCTAGAAACTGCTGCAACTTCTGTCTAATATGTTCTGCATTTTGTTTCTGTGCAGGAGTTGCATCTTCACTCATGGAAGCCAAGCAGTTCTCTTTGTATTGATGCACTAACACATTATGAAATAGAGGGTTGGTATCTTCCCAAAAATTTATTACATGTTCCAGATACGGTATCACTAAATCCTTATGACATCGGAGAAGATAATCTAACACTTTTGGGCGTGGCAGTTGTTCTACTTCCTAAAAGAGTATTCATTAAAAAATATTGTTCTAAAATATGTAAGACGACAGTACTTTTGTTAGAGGCTGAATAATGTACAAAGACATACCTGAACATCTTCCATGAATATTCTGGAGCCTTGTTCTGGATCTTGTTTTAAAACCCAACCTGCAAATTTTAAAATTAGGTCCATGTGATCTTTCCCAAGATGTTGTAGGTACTGAATTGTTCTCTCAGTGCCACGGAGACTAGAATCGGACTCTTTAGCTTGTTTCTCTAATAACTCCAGCGCTTTCTTATGTTGTCCTTTGGTTTGATACAGTATTATCAGTTCTGGATATTTTTGATGCATGAGCAGTGTTTTCTCAGCTTCCGCCAGGTGACAGTGGTTCAACCTCAGCAGAGGAGCTACCAGAGCGTCATTAGTCTAAAAACTCACTCAATTCATGTTTGCTCCAACATAAAAAAAATGTGACATTTAATTTGTATCGTTACCTGCAAGTAGCACTTCAATAAAGTGGTATCGATAATTTTCAATAGCTGTTCAGTAGCAACATTTGTCATATTATTCTTCTCCCCAGTTACATCTTTATTTTTAATCTTCCCAAATAGATCTTTATCCCTCTGCAACTTGAATCTGGCTTCGGTGAGAAATGATATCAATGCGAGTAAACCATTCTCCATGTCACGATCATCAAGCTTTGGCAAAGCAGTAATGGGTTCGCTAGATTCATTGCTGTTCGACGATTGAGAAATTAAGTCTGGAAACAGCCTAATCACTTCATAAGGATCAGTCCTCAACCTACTGAACTGTTCCATTGCTTCTTGAAACTTTTTATTGTGAAAGAGATGATGCGCATATAACGTTTGTATTTTATAAATCTCCTTAGTTTTCTCCTCTTCCTTCATGATATTCGATAGACTCTACAATGATTATAATAATTTAAATAAAATAGATAAATTGCACAGTAGTCTGTGTGAGAACAACTTACAGTCAATTTTAATGCTAGCTGGAACTGATTTTGCTCAAGTAGAATTCTGATTTGCTGAGATATATCGACTGCATTTATACACCAAACCTGACTCATCGATGCAATGTACACTCTACCCTGTTTGCATCTGCATATGAGCCTCCCCTTGTTTAAGTCTGGTATAGTCTGAATATGCATCGAGCCTTCTAATGTATAAACTTCTAACGAGTCATGTACAATTCCCATGAGATATGGATCATCCCATGCTGAAAGATGTATTCACAGCAAATAAAGGAAAATTTTTAAGTCACTGAATAACGTCAATATTTTAAGTCATCAATAGACAATGATACCTATGGCACTAGGTGATGCTGACCATCTGACGGTATTACGTTGAAATAATTCACCATCAGTTTTTGTGATAATCGATTGGGAGTCTTTACTCAGGGCAAAAGATGAGTCGGATAACTTAGTAATACTTGGCTCTGGTGACTTTCCTATTGGAAATAATTCTTTTGTTTGAGTTCCCGATACTTTAAGATCTATCAGCATGTAAGATAATCCACGGAACCCTAATATTAAGGTTTCACCGCACCTAGAACATTAATTCTATTCATATGCTCTCTTACATCTTGCAGTGATATATCAACTACAAACTTCAAATACCATGATAATACACGTGGACTTTCTGGCACGGATATATCTTCACGCAGTTCAAGAAACTGATTCTCTTTCCAGTAATATAACTGCAGGCGTCGTTTTACAACAACACATAACCGGATACAAGTACTGGTTTCTCCTGTTAGACTTTTAGTCTTTTGTATATCTGCAGTAAATAACGTAGCACCTTTCGTCTTCTGCAATTGGCAGATCTGATTTAAACTATGATGGTCTAAATTATGAATATTTACCAAATTATCTGCAATCATTGAAACACGGTATTATAACAAACATTATACAACAGGGTACCCATAATATCTCGTTTAAAACTTGTACCTGCTAACACAATTAGAATATTGCACTCTGGCACGACTTCTATCTGTGCGATTCTGGTTTTGTAAATGACTCTATGGTATTCCAATTCAACTTTTTGATTATGATTCCATGTAGGTGGTACATGGTACACAAACAAGCGACCTTCCCTGGTGCCGATGAGCAAGTTGTCATCTAGAATACCGAAGTAGATTAGACGATATAACAATTGTCAAACTAGAGATTGTCATTAATACGCCTTCTACCCAACATATTTCAATTATACTTAATACATGTAATTGCATAAGACAAGAAGTCTGAAAACAAATTAAATCAGAAACGAAGTTAACTGAATAACAACTAATGACATACCATAAGCTGCTATTGATTCTATTAGAATGCTCAATTTCAAAATTGATGTCGCTTCGTAAGCTTCATACATTCTGACTTGGTCAACCTCTGAACTGTTAAAAAAATTTGTACAGATTATAAAATTGGAGACATCATCACATTATGACACATCGAAACTCATTGCAACAAACGTCACGATCATAGCAATAAACAGCAGAGAGTTCAGGCCAGAGACGAGTTGGGAGATTGTTTCCAGCTGGGTCGTGCAATCGTGTGCAATCGCGTTTTGGGGGTCTATTACGTAAAGCGAATTGAGCGAAAATGTGAAAAATGAGTAGCCACGGTATTATGGAACGTTTTTAGTGGTGAAAATGTGAGACCACTCATATGAACAGGCTCGACACAAAATTTTTAAGCGAAATGGTGAAGCATATAAGAGAAGATAGAAAAATAAACGCCGTGAACGCCATCTTCCACCAATCAGACCGAGTAACCACACCATGAACTCGGAGTAGAGATAAGATAAACAATATTACATATTTACGGTTTAGAAGATATGCCGTCAGATAGCAAATAATTGAGTTAGGTTATGTGATGTCGGATGTAGTAAAGTATATAACCATGTGAAATGGCAGGGCTGGCACACGTTTATTGTACTTTGTTATTAACATTAATGTTTTCTACGGGATTTGGAGCAGATTATGTTTATGAAATTGACTGCAGCAAGTTACGGATGGGACAGTACGTTTGCCCACATCCTGATTACGATTTCATTGATCCCAAAACTCAACAAATCAAGGGGTGCACGAAAGAAAACAAAGCTAAAGGTGAGTCGAGAGTGTTGGGTTAAGTTTATTTTTCAAACAATATTTTGCACGTTTTAGTATTGTGTCAGACAGCAGATGGGTTAATTTGTACTGAAACTAAAAACAATACCTTTAAAAAGGAAGTTCCCTGCAAATGGACGTAAGTAGGATAGATAATGGATATAGTTGCTTTCTTGTCATGTAGTAATACGAATTTGATATGAGTATTTTATTGTTACAGTAATGGATATTCCTTTGAGACGTCTTTACTCCTCTCGATATTTCTTGGAATGTTCGGAGCTGACAGGTTTTATCTTGGATACCCTGCACTTGGCTTACTAAAGCTCAGCACGTTAGGATTTTTATTTCTAGGGCAATTGTGCGATGTAATATTAATAGCAACGCAAATTGTTGGGCCCGCAGATGGGTCGCACTATGTTATACCCTTTTACAGTGGAGGTATCAGCATTATCAAAAGTGATAACTTCACCTATAGAGTACCACAGCCCGATTGGTGAAACTTCATAACAACCCTGTTTTCTTATAATAATTATGTTTAAATTGTATAATATATGTACAAATGAAGAGTGGAAAACAAGTGTTCTCTTTATGGTCATCTGATTGGTGACGTATTACGATATTTAAAATATGAATCTATTTCTTGTGCCTACGTGTGAATGTTTTATTACTGAAAGCAATTGTTAAAATAATAAATATTAAGAAACGTTGTATATTAGAATTGATTGTGAATTTTCACTAAAGGTTTTTTTTTTATCTAAAGGGAAGAATATTCACGTTAAATATGAAACTGTTTTGACAGGGAGCCGCCAGATGGCACCAGTTGCGATAGCTAGTAAATATCGAATTTAGGCGCTCTTAGTAACTCTAGTCCTAGTCCGTGATCGAGGGTTCCCTAACCTCCGTGTACTATAAACATTTATGTACAAACAATTTACAAATATTTCTCTTTATTTTGAAAAGTGATAAAGGCTTTTGCAATAAATATGAGGATCGCTATCGAAGGCTGTGCTCATGGGGAACTTGACAGAATTTACGGAGCGATTGCCGAAGTTGAGAAAAATGATGGAAAGAAGGTAGATTTACTTATTTGTTGCGGAGATTTTCAGTCTACCCGAAACTTGAGCGATTTGGAATGTATGGCCGTTCCTAAAAAGTATAGAACGATGTGTTCTTTTTATAAGTAAGTGGCAAAATTAAAGTGTGAAAAAATATTTAATACGTTCATTTTCATTCCTATGATTTTTAGAAGTTATGTCTACGATTAATTAAACCGTTGAAAATAACTCATAGGTACTACTCTGGTGAAAAAGTTGCACCGGTATTAACGCTCTTTATTGGTGGAAATCATGAAGCGTCTAATTATCTACAGGAATTACCTTACGGAGGATGGGTAGCTCCGAATATTTATTATCTTGGATACGCTGGTGTGGTGTCAATTGCTGGTGTAAGAATCGCAGCACTGTCAGGAATTTATAAGGGCAATGATTATTTGCAAGGTCATCACGAATTTCCACCTTATTCAAGAGATACAATTCGTAGTGTTTATCATGTTAGGAATCTTGAAGTGTTTAGGTTAAAACAGGTAAGCTATTGTTAAAAGAAATTTCTTGATTTTTTGGTACCTTTAATTTCCAAAATTCCAAATTTTAGCTCTCAGGCAATATTGATATTTTCCTATCACATGATTGGCCAAGGGGCATAACGCAATATGGAGACGAGATGGAGTTGTTGAAGAGGAAATTCTTTTTAACGTTAGTACTATAATTAGTATATAAAAGTAGAGTGCCGCATGGTCAAGATTAATTTTTATAGTACATTATTTGACTCTTGTACTAGGTCTGATGTTAAAGCAAATGTTTTGGGAAGTCCACCAAATATGGAACTCTTAAAGCTCCATTACCCATCTTATTGGTTCTCGGCACATTTGCATTGCAAGTTTGCAGCCCTAGTGCCCGAGGAAGGGGGTACGAGAGCGACAAAATTTTTAGCATTAGATAAATGTCTTCCAAAAAGGAAATTTCTTCAAATTCTTGAAATTCCACACGATGAGAAGTCTGCGCTTAAACTTCATTATGACCTAGAATGGTTGACGATACTGTATGCAACAAATCATTTACTAGCTGTTAGATATGGTACGCATTATATGCCTGGTCCAAACGACAGCGATAGTTCTGCTTGCATCCCAACAAAAGACAAAATGGACGCAGTACTGAAAAAATTTAACAACGACCTACAAATTCCTATAAACTTCAAGCAAAGCGTAGAAGCTTATTGTCCCATGGAACGAAATTGTCACCCAAAGCTACCGTGCTTGCACATCAATGAACAAACTACATGGTTCTGTAATACATTAGGTGTGGACGATCCATTAGCATTATTGCAAATAATGCACAACTTGAACAGATCCGATGGTAACGAATCGATTACGAGATCAGTCTTCGACGACACTCTCGAATCTCGAGACACTTCGTCGGCATCCGACGAAGACATCGAGACCACCTTTGATTCCACAATGGACGAAAGTATCTCATTTACTTCCGTTCCTACCCTATCTCAATTAAACCTGCCCTCCCCAAATTATGACAACGCTACAAGTGGCATGGACGACTCTATGTCCGATCTAAAGGAAACAAATCCTGTGACAGTCACCGAATTAAGTAAAGACTTTGTAGAACTCGCAGAGCCTAACACCCCACCCCAAGGTAGGTAGAAACAATAAAATAGATCATCCCCCAACGATACCTTCACCGATCCAAGAATTTTCTTTCAGAAACCATAAGCTTTAAGTCGACAACCGAGCCCGACTGCAAGAAGTTTAAGCGGCGGAACCACAACATCTACTCCACGACGATCTGAACCGTAACCGAAGTGGTGCAAATTCTGATGCACAGCTATCTCTGTCCAAAATCAATTTACGATGTATATATTTTCAATTTAGGAACCCTCTCTACAGAGGCCGAGCAATTAGAATTACTGCCGAAGGGACGGTATAATACAGTATACACTATTTTTCTACTTCCTTGTGCTAAATACCACCTGTCAATGGGAAAGTGATGCACGAGTCCGACGTTGACGCGCCTCAGAGACGAAATTGTGGAAAAGTGGAAAAACATGGAAAATCATGGAAAACCATAAAAATGAAAACCATAGAAAATCGAGAATATTAACGCACACAGCGAGTCCGTTCTATCGACGAGGGTCCAGTATCAGCTCTTAACCTGCGCCTGCGGGGAGGGCGCGCGAAGTCATAACGCGGTCTCGCCGCCTCGAGAGAGAGATATATAGTAGTATATCGCGAAGGCGGGCCTCCTAGGCAGGCGCACAGCTGGCTGGCGTCCAAGCACCGCCCGGCGCCTCCACCAGCTGCCGCGCGGAGGCCTCGGCCAGCCTCGCCGTTCAGTCGGGTCCCCGTTCCGCGAGGTTCCACACCCGGCGCTCGACCCTGCCACGGAGAGCAGGAGGCCCAGGAAGAAAGGGGTCGCTCTCCTCCCGCGTGGATCGGCCACCCGCGGAAATCAATAGGCACTCGGCGCGCCTCCGGGAGAACGCCGCGGCCTCTCGAGGAGGACAGCCGATCCGGACCGATCGATAGGCAATCGGGCGCGCGATCGCGGCTTCTCGCGGGCAATCTCGGCCCAGCCTTGACCAGGTGAGTCAGCCTGGGAATAGCGACCGCGGGATCGATCGAGATTCACCTAGAATAGATCGGAGTGGAGCGGCACCTCCGTCCTGCCCGGGGACGAGTCGCGGAAATCTGCACCCTCGATGCACCCTGGAGCGACCGAGGGCGGAGACGACCTACCTCGAGAGAGATCGAATGGAATACCCACCGAATATGGACCACGAGCGGATGTTTTGAGAAACGCGCGCGACCTTCCGCTGGGGCCTCCTCGGCGCACTAGGTCCTCCGCAGCGCGCCGAGCCCGTCGTCCGCCTTACGTCGGAACGGTGAGAGAGCTGGGACCGAAACGCTTTTTCTATGCCGATTTGATACGTATCGAGTTTGTCGCAAAGAGTGAGAGGCTTCCACGTGGGGAATTTTTCAAGAGGCACCGGACGAGGGCTTCCACCCTGGGAGTCGGTATTTACATTAGAGCCGAGCGACCGAGTTTCCCGCCAAGTGCGCTCGCCACGTCGTCGAGGAGGAAAGCTCGATTTTCCGGGATTCTCTCTCGAGGTATTCGAGGCCTTGGCTACGGTGATTTGCGACTCTTAACTCGACGTTTTCTCGGGGAAGAGCGGAGGGTGGAGTCGCACAGGAGTCGCGATAATACGCGGCCACGTAACTCGGCCGTCCTCTCGCGCGCGAGGAGGAGGTTATTTACAAAATGGAGCTAGAGTAGTGTAAAATTAAATCGAAACGTCAGCTTGCCGGGCCCCACGGCCCGATCGGCGGCGTTCGACCGGCATTTCGGCCCTCGGTGAATTACGCGAGGTCCTCCTCGGGAGGAATTGTAACGAGGAGGCGTTTTATTTACTCCCGATCCCGGCGCGTGGGGAAACGCGCGGTGAAGCAACGACACCTTGGCCGCGTGGAGGAAGGACGCGCGCCTCTTATTTTTACCTGGCAAGCCTCGGTCGTCTCCCTCGGACGTAGACAAAGCCTCGATCTTAATCCTCGATCGATCGGCCGGCTCGAAAATAATCGGCGAAATCCAACACCCGGAGAGAAAAACACGGCTCTCTCCTGGACACGTCGCAAATCACCGCAAAGCAAAACCTCGAGAAAATAAAAAATGTCCAAAAGTTATTTTTCAAACCCAAAGCCGCCGTCGAGAAAACAATGAAAAATAACAAACTAACCGCTGTCGTCGACTTTTTGCCAGTGGAGTTTATGCTACGGTGTGGAAGAAACAGTGGGGAAATGTTTGGAAATGAATTTCTGTGACGTGTGCAGAGGGTGTATCGGTCTATCCGGAGGCGACGTTTAAGTCGGAGGAGGGCCGCCGGTGGCCGATAATCGATAGTAATCGAGGATAATCGGGTGAATGGGATTTTCAAAGGAAACTGGAAAACACCCTTCACCTCTATCGCCGGCCGATCGACCCCAGGTTACCAGGAGAATGAATGAAGTTCCGGGAAAAGCGGGACCGACGAGGTCACCGGCGCCCTCCGCGGCCCCTGAAAGGCCACCGGGACGATCGATTCCGAGCCCGTGGTATTTCCTAGAGGGGGCGAGGGAGGGACCGGAGCTCCTCCAGGGTGCACTCGGACGATCGAGGTGTCGGGCATCGTCCCCTTAAAATCGGAGTCTAGAGGCCTCCTCTTGGGCCCTGGATAAAGGGCCCGAGGGTCGCGGCTGACCGAGAGAAAAGAAATCGATAGGACGGTATGTAGAGTGATGCGCGCCACGGGGGAGGGAGAGAGAGGCGACGCGCGCGGTCGCCACGAGAGCGAGAGAGAAGTCCGAGGGAGGCCCGTCCGGGCCGACGCGAGAGCGCCCGAGTTCCACCCCCGTCAATTTCCCTCCGTATACGAAAATGAACCGTCAAACCGCGACCAGAATAATCCCTGGGATTCTAGACACCGTCACGAACGAAAGGAGATCACTCATAAAATGCATACTTAGCGCGTAAGACCGTAGAGAAATTTTAAAGTCGATATGCCTCACCCCGGAATTGACATCTCGCGTTTATTGTGAATTTCCGAATAAATGTATGAATCAGTGAATGCCATGATTTCCTGACATCCTTACGGTAGTGATTACACCTAGCATTCGTTTATAAGGTGTATAGACGAGATGTTAGGGTGTCTTGTTTTTAAAGGCAAGCTTTAGCTTTTCTTTCGGAGGTCTCGCGAAAATTCGGGACTCCTTCCGAGGGGGCGCCGTCGACCTCGTTCTCGGGCCAGGCCGCGCGCGAACAGGTTAGCCTCTCCCTTCGACTCTGGGTGGCGCGCTCCAGTTTCGCAGGGGTTATTTCCACCGGGCGGTCGATACCGCCGAAGAGGATGACTGCTCCCTCTCGGGCCACTCCACTGGCTGGCCACCCGCCGCCCGCGCCTTTAACGAGACTCGCCCCTTCGCTCCGTTCCACCGACCTCGTTCCGCGGCCCCGTTTGATACTCCACCGCGGTCGCTCTCTACCTCCGTTTCTCACGCCTCTCACGGAAATATCGAAAAATCGAGAAGGATCAGCGACGCATTTTATCGTGGCTTTTTTTTTTCAAGGGAAGAAAAAAAGCGCCCCGTTTGATACGCCACCGCGGTCGCTCTTTTTCTCTGTTTCTCGCGTTCCCCGGAAAAGCGGAAAATCGAAAAGGGTAGCTTATTCCAGATTTTTTTCTTCTCACTTTGCGCACTGGCAAGGGGTAGGAAGAGGGTTGACAAAATGTGTAAAATAATTCGAGGGGTTCCTTATGACGAAAGAAAAGCAATGCATACCACCGAGCGCGCACGACTCCTGCTAACTCGCTTGGTCACGTAATGTTTAGCACCCACGTGCGAAATGGTCTCGCGCGAATTTGCGGAATCTACAAATTGACTGGCACGTGCCCCGAAGTGCCTCGGCAATGGCTCACGTTTGCAAGTGCAATGACAACATCTCGAAACACGAGTAACTGGGCACCCCCGAAATTTTTCTGTGATTTTTCGGGGATCCGGGAAATTTTCACCGGTTGGATTTTTCTATCCCTCGAGTATAACGATGTACACGAGACTCGTAAGAATGAATTAAAAGGGCATTCTGGAACAACGATTGCTCGTTATGTCTGCCTCGATTCGGTGGAAACGCGAGCCGGGTAAGGAGCGATCTCTGGTCCAAGTCGCATAAAAAAGAAAGAGCGAAAAAATTGGGGAACGACTCGGAATCGAGGGAGAAAGAGCGAGGCCAGGAGACCCGGTGGCTGTGTAAATCAAACCGTGGCGTAAATTTTGGCCGGATTTCAATTTCGCAGCCGTGACTGGTTGGCAAGGAATCCCGGGTCCTCGTGTACCCGGAGTGTCGAGTAATCGATACGTTTGTTGCGAGCGTTGCGTAAAGGATCGCGAGGGCCCGGCCCCCTGGAGGAAATGGAAATCGGAATTCCTTATTTCAGGTGGCTCCTTCGCAGTTTGCGCCCCAGGCTCGACCCGATGCTTACTTCGCGGAAGCCTTCGGATCGATCGGCCGTTAAGTCGAGACAAGCATGACACCATTGTAGGTAAAACAACCCGATCGGTGCACCGCGACCGACCTATTCGACAAAGAGAGTTTAAAGGGCACCGATCGCCGATCCTCCACGGGTCGCGATAACTGCACCGAGAAGACAAGAAAATTGCAAGGAACCAAAGAAACATCTCGCTAATCCGAAGAATAATTAATTTACTCGAATGAACTAAAATAAATTGTCACTACTCTGCCGATACGTTGCGGGTCAATTTGTTCCGGTTTAAGTCAAATAATTATTGTTTTGGATAAATGACATATTTCTTTGGGTCATTCCTATCTTTTTGCTCGGTGCGACTAAACGCGTTTATGTAATCTTTTTTTTTTCGCCGTGATTAAACAACCGCGAATATTTGCCGTTGAGAGAATTATCCGACCCGTGGATCAAGGGATCGATTGGCCGATCGATCGAGTCATCGCTTAATCTTCGCCCGTCCAAAGCCGGTGGTTCTTCTGGTCCGGCCAATATCCCAAAAATCCTGAAAAGTCGCCCTCGGACGCCAAGGAGTTCCGGCCGAGGTGACGCGATCCCCAGGGGACCCGGACACCTTGCAAACCCTCCTCTGGAGTTCCGCCACGCATCCGGAACCCCGTCGACCGGAAAAAAGGAACCACTGTTCAGGTTTGTAAGGAACACCCCTTCCTCCTCCTCTTCGATTCCGCTACTCGACTCTCGTCTCACCGCCTCGAATTTCTTGACAACCAACCCTGAAACCACTTCCGTTTAATCCCATGTCAGCATGCATTCCCTTACCAGGTGGCGAGGCGTAGGAGGATAAATAATAACGTTTGAGACTTACATAATAGACGCTACTAGAAGATTCGTGAAGATTCGCCGGTTGCAGGTCCTGGATGGACGCGCCCTTCTTGCAGGCCGGAGAGGCCGGCTAGGTTAGAGGCGACAAGATGGCGGCCAGAACCGTCATGGCGGACTGGGGCCTGCGGCCCTCGTAGTGTTGCCCTCTAGCGACCGGCCGGGGGCTCGCGGACAGTCCCATGCTGTCCGACGGGAGGCCCGATGACGAAACGGCCGTCGACCACGATCGAAATGGGTTCCTACCGGCGATGTGCTCGGCCTCGTACGTCATGGCGACGGGCGAGGGCGCGGGGTACGAGAGCACGGTCTCGGCGGCGATGGGGAGCGTCGCGATGGTCCCGGCGTATACGGGGACCGCCGGGGCCGGATACGCCGCGTTCGCCGGATACGCTGGCGGGCCCGGTGGGATCGGCGGACTCCCCGGTCCCATCGGGCCCGGGAAGGAGGTCCGCTACGTGCCCTTCTCCGGCCCCGTGCAGACGCCTCCGGTACCACCTCCCCCGCCGCCTCCCCCGCCCCCACCCCCGCCACCCCTGCCCCTGCAGATGCAGCAGCGGGCCTACTCGAGGTCGATGACCTCTCTGCCGCCGGAGCCCTTCATGATCATGCGGTCCAAGGCCCTCAACCGTCGCGTCTCCATCAACGTCGGAGGTGAGCCCGCACGGGGTCGACGACCCCCTCGGCTCCGTGCTACACCCTCTCTTGGGAGTTGCGTTGAATTTAAACGAGAGTGTATAGATGGATGTTCGGACGTAATTTATAGTGGAATGAGGTTGTGAGCTTTTACCCTCTAGCTGCGCTGAGAAAGAAAAAGTTCAGTGAACCCGAGAGATATTTCGCTGAATGGTGCCTAAGATGTCTCGGGGTATTTTTCGCTAATTGTGCGTCTTTTTCGCGGTTCTTGGACACCAGGGGTGAAGCACGAGGTCCTCTGGCGCACGCTGGAGAGGCTGCCGCACACTCGATTGGGTCGTCTCCGGGATTGCAACACCCACGAGGCCATCACCGAGCTCTGCGACGACTACTCCCTCGTCGACAACGAGTACTTCTTCGATCGCCATCCCAAGTCGTTCAGCTCGATCCTGAACTTCTACCGCACGGGGAAGCTCCACCTGGTCGACGAGATGTGCGTCCTCGCGTTCAGCGACGACCTCGAGTACTGGGGGGTCGACGAGCTCTACCTGGAGAGCTGCTGCCAGCACAAATACCATCAGAGGAAGGAACACGTCCACGAGGAGATGAGGAAGGAGGCCGAATCCCTTCGCCAGAGGGAGGAGGAGGAGTTTGGGGAGGGCAAGTGTGCCCAGTACCAAAAGTGGCTCTGGGACCTGCTGGAGAAGCCCACCACCTCCATCGCCGCCAGGGTAAGTCCGCCCAGGGTGGACCAGGGTCGGTCAGGTATTAGGTTCGGTAGATTACCTTGCCCCGGGCCTTGCTCGAGCATATTCTGGAGCACGCGAAACCCTGGGGAAAGAGAAACGTTCCGGACGGTGAAGACGGACTTGGGAGGCTCCTCGAATTTTCCGAAGCTTCCTGGAATTTTATAGATACCTAGGGCCATGGACCAATGCAAATAACCAACTCCGAGACCTTTCTCTTTCTTCCAGCCACGGTCCTCCAGGAAAATCGGCCCTTCGACGATGGGTGGAGTAACGTTAAAATAATTTAAAAAAAAGGGGGTTAGTGACCGGTAGAACTCGAAGAGACCGTAGGGTAGTCCAAGGGGAGCATGAAGAAGGGCGCTAGTTAGTCAGAGGTCCCCTTAAACTAGGGATTTTATCCGCTGATTATGATTTTGAGCCGCTACTTTGCTGAGCAACTCTGTGCGTGTACATATTGCGTATACCGCCGTACCGTTAATTTCTCTCTCTCTCTCTGCATTTATTTTTACTTTTTTTTCCCTCTATTTTTTTTTTCTTCCCCCTCTTCTTTCCCAAGGCTTACGTAAGTACATCCAAGGTGAATCGATGTGCCTGCTTACGGTGTGTGTCGCTATACATAATATCGTGCTTTGTCGTTTTTTAGGTGGTGCCGCGACCCTAATTGTTACTTGTACATACGACGTGGCACCTTGACTCGCAGTTTACGCCCCTTTTTTACACGGACCTTGCGGGGTCGTATAGCTCGGCAATGACGGAAGGGTTAACACGTAATTACCAGGCATCACGTAGATCCCTTCTCGACACCGTTCCCCTCTTCAGCAAGCACGCAGCTTTTCGCGCTAGGAGGCCCCCCGAGGCCTCCTCGGTGTCTTCAAGGTGGTACCGGAAGTCGGTTCCCTGCGTCTCCATGGTGTCGTTACTGTGCCGCTTACTCGTATTACTGTTCGTGCTTGAGCTTCCTTATCGACAGGCCGCACTATTTGTACCGCGGTATGCGTATATCGTGCCGGCTTCTTCGACGGAAATTGACAAAAAAAACCGAGGAAAAAAAAAGAGATAGAAATCCCCCTGCCACGGAAGGGAGATCTCTATCGCAGAGCCGCATCGAATTTCGCGCCTACAGGGTGGGTCACCCCCTTATCGAACCTTATCAAACCTTATCAACCCCGGAAGGCGTTCGACCGTGTCGAATAATTAACGAAATCACGGCAGGTGACCCATCCTGTGCTCGACAGGACGATCCTTCCCTCTATTCGACGATATCTATGCTTCGAGACCTTCTACTCTTCCTTTGGATCCTTCATGAATTTTCTGGATTTCCTGAATCCTCGGAAAATTCCAATTTTCCTCCCTGCAAAATATCCCTTCGATTCCAATCCTGGTGCAGGGATGCATCGGGATCAGCGATTCCTACGAAATGAACGAGTTTTGTGTATATTTCTTTTTCTTTTTTCTTATTTAAAAATGTCTATACCTTCCATCCAATGTCCAGAATTTCCATCCTCGGCAATGGCTTCCTTGTGGAATTTCCGGTTTTAATTCCTCGGTACGGTCCATACCGTGGCAAACGTGCAAGTCCTTTTTTTCGGAGAGGGGAGCGGGGTCTTGAAAGGACACCGAAGAGGGTGTGTGATCGAAAGGGGTGACTCGGCCCGAGCCATTCCAGGGCGCACATTAAATGTCGATAAATCCGACGTCGAGTATCGGCCATAGCAATTTCCTCGGCGCTAAAGAGACCCCGAAGACCCGGGAAGAATTGCGCCCCCGCTGCGAAGCGCTTCGAGCAAAGCTGCAGAATTTCAAGCTGGATCCCTCCTTCGTGCCCGGCGAGATGTCGAGTGGCTTGCAAAACGGAAAAAAAAAAGAAATGATCGGAATAGTAGAAAATATGACGGAACGAGCGCTGGCTGCTTACACGAGTACACGACATTGTTTCTCCTATCGTTTATCAGTTGTCAGATTTTCAGTTCCATGGGTTAACCTGTGTTCGATTTTCCTTCTTCTTTTTTTTTTTTTACTTTCTTCTGTAGAGAGATTTCCTTTGCGACATGTTTTCCTTTTCGTTCAACGTAGACCAGGGTTCACACCGAGTAATTCAGGCGATTGATTTAATCCGGGGAAAACACCCTGAAAGGGTCTCGAAGAGGACCCCGAAGACGCGCACACAGTTCTAGTTTTTCCTCGACACTGTACACACGTTAGGGCTGCCCGAACGCGAACGGAAGTCGAGTCGTGGGAAATCGAGTTAGGGGCCTTTTTCTGCCTCGTTGGGGAAGCCGACGGCTTCCGGAAATACTTGAGGAGAGACGCGGCCAGGGTCAAGCCCGACCTTGATTCGTATTTATAGAGACCTGGCCGAAAGGCGCGATTCGCCGCGTGGAGACGTTCCCGTCCGGGCCGAGGGGAATCGCGACGACCCGGCGAGTAAAAAGTGACTTTTCCAAATTTTCCAAAGATACGAATCCTCTTCAAAGTGGATTTCGTGGATCGGATTTAAAATCCCATGCATTTAAACAATGGACTCGATTTTTACCAAGGTCAGGATCGCCGGGGTTCCCCACAATCCGTCGTCGGTCTGCGTCCCGTCCAGGAAAGACCTCCACGGGTGCCCCGAAGACGTCCCAAAGACTCCTCAAGGTCGGATCCGAACCTCGCCTCCAGGACGCAGGACTGAAGTCGAGGGTGGAGGGCCCAGGTCTTCTCGGGGACCTCTTCGGGTCCTCCCGTGGGGTCCATTGGAGAGGAGCAGGGGCGGGACCCGACGAGGAAGATGAAAAAGAGAGAGAAAAAAGAAAGAAAGGATAAGCAAGTAAAGCGGTAAAGCACGCCTCGAAGCAAGCCAGGCGGGTAGCTACACTCCGTCTACGTCCACTTTGCAGGTGATAGCTGTGATATCGATACTCTTTATCGTGCTATCGACGATAGCGCTTACACTCAACACCATTCCTAGCATGCAAGTGAACGACGAGAAGGGGAACTTCCAGGACAATCCGCAGCTCGCGATGGTCGAGGCGGTGTGCATAACGTGGTTCACCCTCGAGTACGTCCTTAGGTTCAGCGCCTCGCCAGACAAGTGGAAGTTCTTCAAGGGCGGGCTGAACGTGATCGATCTACTGGCTATCCTGCCGTACTTCGTCTCTCTCTTCCTGGTAGAGACGAACAAGAACGCGACCGACCAGTTCCAGGATGTGCGAAGGGTGGTCCAGATATTCCGAATCATGAGGATCCTGAGGATCCTGAAGCTGGCCCGGCACTCCACGGGCCTGCAGAGCCTCGGGTTCACCCTGAGGAACTCCTACAAGGAGCTCGGCCTGCTGATGCTCTTCCTGGCCATGGGCGTCCTGATATTCTCGAGTCTGGCCTACTTCGCCGAAAAGGACGAGCAGGGCACCAAGTTCATAAGCATTCCGGAGACCTTCTGGTGGGCAGGCATCACCATGACAACCGTAGGATACGGTGACATATACCCCACCACTCCGTTAGGCAAAGTGATCGGCAGTGTGTGTTGCATATGTGGTGTCCTGGTAATTGCGTTGCCCATTCCGATAATCGTTAATAACTTTGCCGAGTTCTACAAGAACCAGATGAGGCGCGAGAAGGCTCTCAAGCGCCGCGAGGCGCTCGAGAGGGCTAAGAGGGAGGGGAGCATTGTCTCCTTCCACCACATCAACCTAAGGGACGCTTTCGCTAAGAGCATGGATCTCATCGACGTGATCGTCGACACCGGTAAGGATCTAGAGAGCCTTGCGTAGACCGGCCACCCCCGGGGGCGCCGGCCCCACTCGGGGGGCACTGTCCGCCGAAATCTTCATTGGGGCGAGGAGAAGGGTCCCACGACCCCGGTCGCCTTCGACCTCTTCCTTTTGACTCTTCAAGGCCCCTCGGGACCCTGGACGGTTAAAAATCGACCGGGACGTGGCTCCCTGTGGCGCCAAAGGACATTTTGACGGGCGCCTCGAGGGGGGCGTCGGCCCTCCCGGGGGACGCCTTCGTTTTTCCTCCGTCGCCCTCGAAAAAGGAGACGGATGGGGTCCTTCCGACGGAGATCCGATATCTCGATCTGCAATGGGCGATATTTTACATCTATACTCCGAAGCTTACGATATTTTCGACGAGTACGCCTCTCGGGGGATTTTCGGTTCCCTCTTGCAAACCCCCCGGAAATGGCTACTTCTTGTTTCCCTTTTGGAAATGGTCGCTCTTGCACTCTCTCTGGTATCTAGAGGATAAACGGGAGGATTAGAGGGTTGTTTTAAAGAATACTTCCGAGGGACGTCTTACCTTACCTGGAAGTCGGCCGCGGTTCTGGCGGCCTGCGATAGCAAACGCAAGACACGGATTCGGATCAATTCGGATTGTCCGAGACACATGGAGAAATGTACGTTCTCTGTTTTATTTATTTTTCCTTTGTTTTACTCACGACCGTAGGTACCATCTCGATGCCTATTTCGACTCTCGAGGTAAATGGACTAAATGGTACATTGGACGATGAGACGCCTCCACGTTGAAGTATCCGTTGCATTTACGGTAGCCGGGTTCCTTTTCGGTAACTTTAGCCCGAGCATTGTCACGGAGGTCTTGACTTGTACGTTTGACACCCTGAAATTAGACTTGACCGTTTCTTTAGATGATAGACCAGTTTGACACGTATAGCGAGATTAGAACCGAGCTGTAGTACGTTTCGTCCCCGTCGAAGAGAGTCCAGTTGTAGACGCTAGTCGGTATCTTGTCATGCGAATGCACACTGTAGTTGCTAGTCGCAGTTGACCACGAATTTAGGAACAATGTTAACAATGGAAAAAAAAAATACTGGGATGGCACCAGACATTTAAACCAGTTTAAAGCGAGCCGGACGACCAGAGCGCCTCGAGAAGGCCCTTTGCTTACAATTTCCGTCGCGTCTAATATTAATCCTTAACATTAATAATTAAGGCTCTTGCCTCGAACTTTTTCAATTTTTATACAAATTCCACTCGGTAGGCAATAATTCCGGAATAATTCCGCGGCGCTCTGTCGGGCCTCGAAGACCCTTTTGAAGGTCTTCGTAGAGGGTTGCCGATGTGCGAGGACGTTGCAAAATGTCGTTGCAAAATGTCGTGGAAATGTCGATAAAAAAGTCGAAGTGGGTGGCCACGATGGCCCGTCGAGGTCCATGGGGCGGAATGGGCGGAAAGGGCTCGAGGCTTGCGGGTGACAGTTCCCTTCGTGATCGAATTCTTACAGATAGTGCTCTTCTAGGTCATAACATGTCCGGCGTGGATGGCAATAGCACTGAAGGCGAGTCAGCCTGTGGTCGTGGGCCGGCGCAAACAGGACCCGGATGTTACCGCAATTACGAACATTACAGCCTCTCGAGACACCGGCGAAGCGCCTCCTCCTGCTTTCCCGTACTACCGAACGAATCTTCGATCTCGCCAGACAGTCCCAATCATCGTCTCCTTGACTTTGCCCAAAATATCTCTAGCAATCGGAACGACGATTACTTCGATGACGTTCTGGCCCAGAACTCGAATCAAGGCAATACGACACCCAGCGTAAGTTAACGCCAGATATTACTATCGACGGATCGCACGGTTAGCCATGTCACATCCTGAGACCTGAGGGGGTGGAAACATATACTTTCTTCATTTTTGCCTCCCAAGCACAGGACAAATTCCGTGAGATTCCTGTAAATTCATATATCGTGTACATGCTCGCGGATGCAACGCCCGGAATTTTTCGAGTCGACTGAATATATTTTTGCACTCCGGCTGCCTTACCTCGTGGTCCAGGGAGGATTTTCTTAGAACAGCTGGATGTTTTTTGAGAAAATCCTTCGGGGGATTTAGGGGATGCGACGACGAGTCTCCTTAATTTTCTTCCTTAATTCCTAAGCCGCCCACGTCTCTGCCTGAAATCTTGGGATCCGATGTGACATCGCTAACGGAACCTCTCATGCCTCATTTGCACGAGTGTTAATACGATTTATGCTGTATGGATGAGTTTCGCTATCGATACCTACTGCGTCTCCTGGATACGTACGTAACGAGTGAGTGTCCTTAGTCGTTTCATTCCGAAGGAACGGATCGTGCGCCTCGGCATTTAGTCTCATTGGTTTCCATCGGACGAGCCATTCATTACCATAGATCGTAGTCGTAGACGTAATCTCTCACCTGGGAGGATCGAGTAACGAACGCGCGTTATGCGAGAGTCCGCAAAGAGAGCTGGAAAAAGAAAAAAACAATCAGAGACTCTTTAATGACATGTACACGATGGATGACGGCACGGTACACACGATTTATCATACCGCGAGTCGCGATACTTGACCGAAGATCGATCTTTGCTATTGTTGGCGTTGGAAATGAGAAAAAGTCGCGGCGTTGAGTTTCCTTTGCTGCACATTCGGCCGGGCACCTTCTTTCTTTTAATGGCACCAATCGTTTCTAATTCCAGGGGACCAAGCTGAATCAAAAAATATTCACTCAAGTATCATCATGATGACCTAACCCACGGATTAGCGACCTCAGGCATGTACAAAAGTAAGTTAATAACGATTGTGCTTGGTACCGAGAGGCGCCTAGGAAGTAGCCTAGCTACGAATCTTTCAGTTTTGCCGGTCGGTCGTAATCGATTTATTTCACTTTCTTTTTCTTTTTCTCTTTCCTCCGGTTTTCATCTCCATTCTTCATTTACCGTGGGTTTCGCGTCCCTTTAACGTCGACTCGCGGCTTTTTCTTTCCTTTCAATGCCAACAGTAGCAAGGATGTGAACTCATTGAAAGTATGCACCTCTGCGTCCGTCGTTTCATGCAAGAGAGACTTTTTCGTTGAAATCGAACATTATCAAACTAACAGAAATGATACACTGCCACGCAAAGTCAGGGGCCTCCTCGTTGCAACACTTGTACGCTTTTTATACATATACTTATGTATATATACATTATTTTTCCATTTATTTGGTGGTACCCGTTTCGATTCTCTTTTTAACCCGCGCGGCTGACGTTCCACCGTGTCTGGAAATGAAAAAACGGCAGTAATTAATTCATCAATTAATTAAACATTCGTTAAACGGGAGTTACGGGTCGAGGATCGTTTAATGGTAGCGAATGGCATCTCGTTCGCGAACCCGTTGGATAATTAATATCTATCCAAATAATTGCCCCGACGTTATAACCAATGACGACGATCGCGAGACGATTTGGATTAATTCCTTTTTTCTCTTTCGAAATTTACCTGCGAGGCAGGTCTTACATTTCCCTGCGCGATTCGATCCGCTTTCGAGGAAGACTTCTTCGAGTCCTGAATCGGTTCCTTCGGGAATCCAGTTCTGTACCTACTGCGTTTAGTGTGCGATCATTCATCAAGAAGTATAGTAGATCGACGAGATATTCGGAAAAGCCGGAAAATATGACATCTCATCTCTCGCCCGAAATCGCTTGCATGGAACCCTTGAACCATTTCGTCTGAGAAATGTCTTCCTCGGTGAACGAGATCCCAGAAACGGTTCAATTGGTCCGAAGAAACCGCCTTAAAAAAAAAAAAAAAATCCACCATCCCTGAAAACGCCTACCTAAATGAATTTAATTCTCTGTGTTAAAAATTATAGGATGAAGAGAAAAAAGAGAGCAGGAAAATCGAGAAAATTGATGAATTTCCTAGTGAATTCGAGTGTTGCTTTTGTACTACTAAGGTATTTACCCCCCAACTAACATTCTTAAGTAGCGGCAATATACGCATTGTGGTCTACCGAAAAAAATAAAAAAATAATAAAAGATAAACAAAAAAGGATAACAGGAATAGGAAAAAAAGATAGCCAGCGACGAGGTGTGAATTTTAAGCGATTTCCACATTTTTCCGGGGCCTCCCTCCGATGTGAACTCTTTTCCCCGGGACATGCAAATCGATCGATTTCCAATAGATTCGGAGCTCACTGTGCGTACACTGCCGAAGGCAAGCACGACTTTTGAATGATACACCTCATCGAGCACATATAGTCACCATCCTGCGGTTTTTTCTACCCTAGAATGCATTCGTTACGACCCCCTGCGAAGGCGTAGCTTCCATTTTACTCTGTACACGTAACAAGTGGCTGTTATTAATAAACAATGCACGTTAGAGTTGGTTAATCTCGCTCTAGTGAGTACTTTTTACGTTCGAGCCTAGGTAGAACATTAGTCCATACACGTTTATTTTCGACATACCGTAACGCAATTTCGGATAAGACACGCTGCGGCCGTTTTGGAATGGCAAATCGAGGCTTGGAAAGTGCGGAAAGGAAAGGAGAACGGAAAAGGATTTGGGAACGAGCTGCCGGAAATGAGTCGGAAGTGAGACACTTCGGTCGCGCACTTCTCGGTACACTTTTCAACTTTTTTTTTTCTCTCTTTTTCTTACGATATATCCTTCGCACCGAACAACCTGCGGCTGTCGAAAGTGATTTGTAACGAAAGTATGCGAAAGATCGAATGGGAATGAGAGAGAAGGAAGGGATAAAAAAGAAACGCCATCGCCGCGCGAGTACGGGCCTCTAGGTACAGAACTACCAGTGACGTTAAATTAAATTTAATTAAACGAGATTAATTCAAATCGAGACTAGTGGGAGGAAGAGGCGCATAACTTCCTCGAGACCCTGCTAACGATTGTTAACTTCCAGGATCCCGTAAGTTACATAACACGGAAGCCACGAAACAAAGGGCTGCCGAAACTTTCCCCGTAACATTCGAGACCCACATTTCCAAAGGGAACTAATTCACGATCGAATATATAGACATTACCCGACCTAGTGACTTCCACGAGAAGCTGGGATCAAGTAGAATTTCTTACAATTAATTTACATTGCATGGGCGAGCCAGAATCAATTCTCCAGGGCCTCGCCGCTGAGGTCTCCCTCGAGGGAGCCGGGCGTGCCCTCGATCGTTCCAGACTTTTCGGGTATAACTAAAGTACGCATTGTCTTAATCAAGTAATTATTTGCTACCTTCTATCCCCTCTGACGCGCCAGGGTGAGCTTCGCAGATAACGACTAGGTAAGCGTTTCGCATCCATGCCGCGCTTGTACACACATTTGGGGCGAAACTCTGCCGAGTATCCTGATTCTCTCTTGGTCTCCCTCGATCCGAAGAGCACTCCGTGGTCCTGAAAAACGGGAAAAAAAATGAATTTCGAGTCTTGGGGGGTGCCCGGTCCCCTCGAGGGCGGCCTCCTCAGGTAAGTGCCCCTCCCGCAGGTGCGAGGAGGGCACCGGCCCCTCTCGGGAGAAACTTAGAGGCGAATGGGAGAGAGCGGAGAGAGCCTTCCAATGGCCAGCTGCCCGGCACCCCGGATCGGCATCCGGGACCAGGCCAGGGTGACGAGTCTGCGGCTTTTCAGGAATACAAGGAATACAGGGACGCCGAGGACATCATGCCCCTGGCTACGAGCGACTTCAGGAACCCGGTGTGCCAGGAGATGAGGTCCTTGAGGAGCAGCAGCGCGGAGGCCAGGGCGTTCGAGGCTCAGGCCTCTCCGGTCCAGGTCGGGGATTCCGGGTCTTATGGGGGAAAACCATACAACGAGAGGGGAAGCGTCGACAGCTCCGACACCTACGCCAGCTGCCAGACCCATCCGTTCCACTCGCAGGGCGACCTCACCGGCGATCCTGCCGAGGATGCCGAAGAGGCCCTCGCCGAGACCGACAGCAACCTTTACGTCAACCCCCTCGAGGGGGCCGACAAGTCCGGGAACGCTGCGCCCAAAATTGAATCCCCTGGCGACCCTCTGCCCAAACATCGAAAGACCAGGCTGCAACAGGTACTCTTCTTCTTCTTCTATACTTCCTAGTCTATCTTTTTTCTTCTTCGTACATCGTGGGATTTAACTCGAATTTTATTTTAGAAACTTGACCCGCGACGAGGAGTTCTCGGACGTGACTCGCGACTTCTCGCCGACTTTTACGAACCCTTGAATGAAAAAATAATGCCTCGCTCCACTTGATACTCTCGATTGATTGACGGTTCTTTTTTATTTTTTATTAATTAATAATGGGACCATCGCGTTGCGTAACTTGGATTCGCGAGGATCGGGAGGTATTTTTAGAGCCGGAAGAGAAAAGCGCCAGTGGAGAAGTCGGAATTCCAGAAATCGGGGCGAATGAACGGCCAGGACTGTTTTTATTGCCCGGTCTCTCTCAGAAGTGGCGGAGTCGAAAAGACGAGGTGTTCTATTAATACACCTGTATAATGGTCGGAGCTGACCATGGCCCGGATTACCGTAACATTTCGCCGAAACGTCCGACTTGGCTCTACCTTAATGACTGCCCGCGATAATCAGCTGATCGATCGGCCCCGAGTTCTTATCAGGGGATTTCAAATAGCGAGCTGTCCTACACTCGGAGTTTCCTCCAATTTTGCGAAAGGGTCCTCTTATCAGGTTGAAGAATAACTTGCCGCCATTTTTAACGGAACGTAGAGTAATTAAACTCATTCCTCAAAAAATGGAATTCTTAAAGAAATATCGAAGAAGAATATACGCGCGTGCATATATTTAATTCTGGAAGCCCTGATGTGTATTTCTGATCATGTTAATCGCATCCCGACTTTTCTGATCGCACCCCTTCTGTCCTTGGATCTCGTAAAGGAAGGGTCGATCAGAAGAGTAGTTTGAGGTGCGATCGGAAAGGACGAAGCTTTAAATTCCGCCACTCGAAGGATGGCAACGGAGGTCGCAGGAGTTAAAAAGATCCCTTTCGGGATCTTCGTCCCAAAACCGACCTGGGTAAGTCATTTGGCGTGTTTTTGAATGGAGTTCGGCTTGGAACCCCCGAGAAATCCTGCCCGGAAGTTTCGTCTCCCCCAGGCTCGCCTCTAAATTTTTTACGAGCCCGAAATGTCGCCTGGAAGCAAACGACACATTAATCGCCTCCTCCCTGAGGTGACGTTGATCCCAATAATTCGTAGATCGATAAATCAGCGACGATCGTGAATGTCAGGACGCATTTATCCATCGCGTCGATCTGTAACATAAAAATCGTAGGTCGAGTCCTGCGAGGTGATTCACTCCACCCGCGAAACATCCCATAATCTCGTAAGAGCTTGTAAATTACATCCTCCACGTTCGTAAGGATCCTCCGAACAGGTACGTACCCCAGGAGATGATTCGCGTCTTGATCTGCAGTTTTTCAGTTTTAATTAATCCGCCCCTGAAGAGAGGCTCGAGAGACGCCTACGCTCTCGACGCGGACTCCACTTTCGGCATTTTCCCTGAAAAGATTCGAGTGGTTATTAATTTTTGGCCCAGAAATATTCCTAAAATATGGCAACTCGAGGATCTTCGATCGGCAGGTGTTTCCACTTTTTCTTTTTCCCTCTTTCTTTTCTTTCAAGATCGAAGACCTCCCGTTCGCCGCGGTTTTTTTCCTCGGATCTATTTGAATCCCGCCGTTCGGTTTCAGAGCGGAAAGTTCCGCGCGCAATTCGCCGGCGAGCAGGACACCTCGACATCCACGAAGGAGGGCACCGTCGTCGAGGGTAACCCTCGGTACAGCGGTTTAAGAGGAGGCCACCCTTCGCCCTTCGCCCCCGTCAGCAGCCTGATCTCGGCGAAACGGATGCTGAACAATCACCTCTTCGGGACGTACAGCGCATCCAGACAGTACACGGGTAATTGCACTTAGGATTTGCCGGGCTAAACGGAGAAGAGAAATAAAAACAGAAAATCAACGAAAGAAAAAAAGAAAAATATAACGAGCGATGGCGACCCTCGCGAAAGGGGTGCGGCTCGAATCTCGAGATTCTTTCCAAGGAGTGCGGTTACTTGCAAGTTATTCATTTTCTAGGGAGGAACGTAGCACTCCCTATCGCGCGAGCGACTAGATATTCCAAACTTATAGTGCACCGGGCCGGCAGACAGGTAATAATTGCACATTACTCCATGCGACTCGGCGACGCGGATTTTTCCTTTCCACCCCTCGATGTTAAAAACCGCCAGGGATAACGATCCTGGGTGTAGATTTCATTTCCTCCGGGGTGTATCTCGAGGAACGGGGAATTTTCTTCGGCACCTGGACACACCTGGAGTCACCTGGAATGTCAAAAACGTTTCCAATAAACGAGGATGTCCTCGGTACACATTTCAAAATTATATTAAACATTGAAGTTCCCTTTTCGCTGAGACGACGGGCGCGGTACAAGGACCTCCTCCAATCCTCTCGGATCGCCACGTGGAGACGGTGGAGACCTTGAAGAGGTGCATGAATCAGGGGTCTCCACTCGCTCCGAGATGGTTGGACCGAAGCCCTTGCTCGATTAATTATATAAACGAGGATGAGCTTTTAGTCTCGATCTGGATCTCGAACCCTGTCCCTGGTGGTGCGACCGCGTGTGCAACGCACCGTCAGCGGGGGCTCGTACTTTGCTTCCAGGAGGATCCGTGGGCAGCAAGCTGTCGATCTCCGCGGACTCCATAGACAGCAACACGGCCCCCTTCACCGAGCGACACCGGATCTCAAAGTCGATTCTGAAGAAATCCGAGAGCGGTAACAACTATTACGCCAACGACCGGGACTCGGACACGGAGAAGCTCATCTCGGACAACGCGTCCGCGACGAGCGCCTGCGACGAGGACTCGACCTGCCAGGGTCTCTCAGACCCCTCGAAACGAACCATATCACCGCTATTTCCGAGCCAGGGCCTGGAGGCGATGCTGAGAACGAACGACAGCGTCAACGCGGAGCTGCGCTGTGCAGGGCGTCAGGTCGAGAGCAGAAACTGCGTCGTCAAGGCGCCCAAGTTGCTCTTCAACGACTTCCTGGAAGGTAAGATGAAGAATGAGATTTCACTGGAAGATATTAATACGCGACCTTACCCGGGTACCAGAAGAGAAGCACGCGAGGGACGAGACTTTGACGGAGAAGAGCAAGGAGCGCGAGGACTCCCTGGCGACCCGCTCGAAGGAGTCGGAGACGGAGAAAGAGAGCGACTCGGCGCTGATATGCGCCCTCCACCCGTACAAGATGCTGAAGAGGTCCTCGGCGGAGGGCAAGAAGAGAGGCTTGTCCACCCAGAGGACTCAGAACCGCAGGAATCCCGAACTGAATCGTCTTCCCCCGGACTATCGATTCCCGTCGTAGCGCGTAATCCGTTAATGCTGATCGCTGATTAGACCTAGGGAGAGCTTAGAGCCGGCGTGATAAGGCTAATCGTTTTAAAGGGCCTACGAGTAGCTTCGGGCGTGGACCCGCGGCTCCTCTTCAGGGTTCTCTTCGACCGGGCCCCCAAGGTCGCCGCGGTCCGCCGCCGTTAGCTAGATCCGCGAGCGAGTAGCTGTCGATATTTCTCGGTGTACGCCGTGCAGAAATGTGGAGATCACGCATACGTACTTGAGGAAAACGAAAACGCAAAAAAAAAAATGATGGAGAGATAAGAAAGCCGTAGCTCTTCGAGAGGCGCGTACACTCTGGGGGTAATGTGTTTTTGCGCGTCATAAACGGGGGGAACAAATGTTTCCACGAGTCCACAAGGCGCTCTTCAGGGTCCGGCTTGGTTGGTTATCTTCTGCCAGGTCCTCGAATATCCTTGCGGAAGTCGAGGCTTAATCGGCTGGGAACGTCGATCAGCTGCCGTGGCGGTCTTTTTTGCGACTTTTGCGACTTTTGCGACCTTTGTGGGGACTTTTGCGATGCAACAATGACAGCGTACTTTCGTTGGCAGCTACCGAGCCAGGCGCTCTTTCGTCAGGGTCGGGACGACCCTGGAGCGGAATTCCGTTTCCGGAGAGCGTGAAACGCCATGTCGGGGTGGCGGCCCTCCTCGCACTCGCTCAAACTCTCGCTATGGGACTCCTCTTGGGGATGTCGAAGGCGAATCGCTTTTAGAGGCCGCGCCTAAGACAGGACATGGTCGCCACCGCTTCCGCTGAAGAACGCCAACCCGAGCTTTCGACCAGCCGCGATATGCCTGCCACCGAATTCGGTAGAACTTGTGATTCCCAGTCGGGCAAAGTATTTTTTTTTTTTTCGATTCCGCTCGCCCGCCCGGGGAGGAACGTACCTCGTGTTTTCAACGAACGGAGAAAATTCATTACGAAACTGGACGGTACCCTCTTTTCGGGGAGATTAGCCTTTTAACTGCTTCGATGGTTTCGGTGTGCCTCCGATGAATGTATCCTACGGTGCACCTGAAACTAAAAAACGTGTTCTCATGGCGACTGTTAAGCGATATCAGAGTCTAGAGTTATTCAATCAAACATGGTTAAGGGAAGGACGGAGGGAAAGAAGAAATTGCCCCTAGCGAGTACATTACTTAATTGCATTCGCTGTAAGTGAAGTCTTGTGTTAGATGACTCAGCCAGGGTGGACGCGCCGGTTCGTCCCTCCTCCTTGGGGATGATCTGGAGACGTTTATTTGAAGAGGAGTTCTTGGCCATCCTTGGAAAGAAATCCCAGGGGAGGAACGACGTGCTCTTCGAGGAACTTCGACGGTTGGGAAGAGTATCGTCCTACTCTATTTCGGAGGATGCTGTTACGGAGATACATATCATGAGGAGGTCGCTCTTGTGCTTGGGATTAATCTGTATACTCAGAGGAAATTAATTTTGTTGGCGTGTCTCTCGTTTATTGTGCGTATTGCGTAAACGGGGACTGGGAATCTCCTTGATGCGGGACCGATTCGGGCCTAATGTTCTACTCGGCTGTGAACACGCGTACTTTAATGTAATCTCCTCGTTCGTTGAATGCTCTTGTCGGTCGACATGAAATCTAGGATCCTGGGAGACGACTCGATCTGTCCACCTTGGCTGGGCAACCCGGTACGAGTCTCTATACCGGTGAGCCAATTTTATCAGAGATATTAAATGAATGTTAAGGAAAAAGTGTTTACCTCACGCACTTCCGTTATCACTTGTAAGTCATCGGGAAATCATTGAGTTTCGAGGAAACTTGTTTCGCCATTCGACTTGTCATCGTTCGTCAATGCAAATAGGAAGGATCTGACTGATGCAATAATAAATATATTACTGGTCTACACCGTACTTGCCGTGGTACTCTCATTATCAAACGTCACGTCTTTCGGAATCGCTTTGTTTCGTAGTATCAATTATTTTATTTTATTGTCGATGTCGGATTTGATTCAAAAATTAATAGCGAATTATCCATTGGGGATTTAATTCCATGAAATTTCGCGGGATGGCGCCACGAGTGTTGTTCCCTGGATAGAATATATTTAGTTTCAACATTTTCGCAAGAGGACATTAGTGCGTCGGCCAGGACTAGTTATTTCACTCACTCCAACGAAACTTATATCGCTTTGTTTCTTTCTAATGCAAGTAATGGTCGAATCATACACACATTTCTTTAGAGAATGTCGCATGCTTTCTAACCTAACATTTTCTTTACGGCAGGACAGATCAAGCGTACGGCGTACCGTGAGTGGATTTTGATATTTAAATTTACCGAAGGAAACGTATAAATTCGTGTGGTCTAATATTATTCGAATATTCTTCGTAGTTTCTCGGATATCAGGAATTCATTCACGTGTTTCGTTTCATCCTTCGTGACATCTGTGATCGTTTTTTCAGAAATCATGGCACTTAACCTAACAGTCAAGGTACACCCGGTGGTTTTGTTTCAAATAGTGGACGCTTACGAACGACGAAATGCAGATTCTCATCGTGTCATCGGAACTTTACTCGGTAAGTTTTCAAGTTGCGTATTTTATACGCTGCAAAAATATAGAGTTCCAGAATACTTTCCGCCCTACATTTACAAGTAACAGTACGGTCCTATGTGGTTAATTTGTTTGATTATTCTAACATCAATAATTTTTAAATATAGGGACGGCTGAAAAAGGTGTGGTTGAAGTAACAAATTGCTTCTGCGTACCGCATAAAGAATACGATGACCAGGTGGAAGCAGAACTGAATTATGCCATGGATTTGTACGATCTTAATCACCGAGTTAATGCCCAGGAAAATATTGTTGGCTGGTGGGCCACTGGAACTGAGGTTAATTAATATCTACTCATATTTATGAGTGTTTTAAGAAGCTGTTATTTTACTCAACATTTTTATAGGTGACCACACATTCATCCGTTATACATGAATATTATGCTCGAGAATGCAATAATCCAGTTCATTTAACGCTTGATACTACCTTGGCGGATTCTACGAGAATGGGAATTAAAGCATATGTCTGCGTTCAACTAGGTGTGCCTAATGGAAAGCAAGGATGTATGTTTACTCCCACAAAAGTACAGGTATGCGACTCTACTTTAAATATCATGATTATTGCACTACTTTCAGGAAAGTAAATCATTGCCTTTTGTAGATAACATGCTATGAACCCGAAGTTGTTGGTCTTCAATTATGTGCCAAGACGCAACTACAACCCCAAGTCCCAGTAACTGGAGTAGGTAAACCAGGCGGAGGAGTGGAACCAATGATGGATCTCGCACAAATTGCAGAAGCAAGCTCGAAACTTACTTCCATGCTCGATCAAGTGCTTGCGTACGTCGACAACGTTTTGTCCGGGAAACAACCACCTGATAATCAGGTACATTTATTGTCAAGCAGTATAATTTATTGGCTTAAAGAACGAAATTAAAATTTTTTTTCTTTTTACTTATAGGTAGGACGAGCTCTCTTGGATATGGTTCACTCGGTGCCAAAGATGACGAGCGAACAGTTTGACGAAATGTTTAACAGCAATGTAAAAGACCTTCTAATGGTAGTGGCCCTGTCACAATTGATAAAGACACAGCTCCAGCTTAATGAAAAATTGACGCTTTTAACAACCTTGTAAGTGAAAATCATTAATAAGGGATTCGTTAACTGGAAATTGTACATTCAATAAATGACACGGGAAACGCGTAAGGTACATCAGTATTCCTCTACCATTCCATTTTTATACTTATATTATTATTAAGTAAAAATTATTAATTAAATTAGTCTACAAATTGTATATATTTTTATCTTTATTGTGACTTAGAAACTATTCTAAATATAAAGAAAACCTTATACTGTATATCCAGGTAAAATACGAAGACATTAATAACTTTAATAGAGATGAGATTGACGCAATGGTAACATTTCTTACAACTTTCTGCAACGATCGAATGAAATGATCCTCTTTATATTCTTATTGACACTTAAAAATCAAACACCATGACACGCCCGCATGCCTTTCGTGATCGAACTAAGATACGTCGTGTCAATATATTTTCTTACAAATTCATTTATCAGTCCATTAGTTTACACGTATAAATTATTAGTAAAAAATCTCATTTTACTTATGATCCTGTCATAACGATTTTTTTCTTACATAAGAATGAATGAATATAGTTTTCAATAGGCTATTGAACCTAAAGCAGATCTAAAACCATTAAAATTGATGAAGACATAAACCAATGTACTTTGATCTTGGGAACCTCTAAGTAAAAAATGACAGATAAAATTATTAAAACCGCTTCTTTAGAAGCTGCTAAATAAAAACTTTAGGTTTGTGAACCAGTTTGGCAGGAACATGCCTCTTGGATAGTAATATGCAAAGTACATTGGGCCAAATAGAATGAGTAATACGACAAAATGGGACAAGTGCTAGAAATGTGGTAAACAAACTTTGCCTGCAAAGAGTTCGGAAATGACCGTAATCCACAGTGCTAATACAAACAGAATATACGAGATTCCTACTTGATGCGAATTAGGCAAATGGTACGGCTGTCCTCCTATTTCATCGACGTCGAAACCAAGTGGAAATATCACTGCAGCTGAGCAGAATAACACCACTAGAGCATAGAACAATTCTATTAATTTATATACTTACAAAAATTTCCTTAACATCAATGGTTAAGAACAATTATACATACTGGCAGTAAAGCCGACCCAACGAGCATATGGTATTACGTTGCGATCCCAATAAGAGCTGAGTAGGAGGATTATTGTACTTGTTATTAAAATACAGCCTCCTAGTATACAAACTCGGGCCATGAACCATTCTGGTTGTAAATCGGAAGTATAGCACACTTGCGGTCTATTGTAAAGAGTCATACACGACCACACTAAACCTAATCTCGTATCACCTGAAAATTATACCTTCCAAAATTATACAAGAATAATAACTTACGCATAAGAAATCCTATTTTGTAAACAATGTGAGCTGTCACTGTATCATACCACCAACGTCTGTGATAATCCAGTCGGGCATGGCAAGACTCACTAACGCAAACATATCGGCGGCGAGGAACAATGTACTCGAAACTACCGTTAATTTGTCCATAATTATTTATCCTCTCGTAATCATGTGAGCAAATTCGCGACAAAATCTGATAAATGCCCTAAAATGTCATTAACCAGAGCGATATTTTCCCTAACTTTAATGTAATGAATATATACATTTCTAGAACTCCAATCATGACAGTAAAATGAAACTTCGTGATGAACGGTCTGAAGTTAACCTCGAATACGAGAAGATGGCACCACATACTTGTTCTATCTTTCATTCTGCTTTGTTCAAATAAAGGTACATACACAAATAAAGAATTTGACGGTGACAGGTTGTAAATTAATAGACGCTAAAATAAACCCGCAATGCAATAACAGATGGATTAATTTTAATGTTATGTGTAACTTAAATTTTCTATTGAATTCAGTTTCAGCTTTCAAGCTACTGAACCTGCCTCGATACCGTCACCATTTCCAGTGCAGTAATTTTTTCCTGTAATAGTTACTGCAAGCGCAGATCACTGCACCGCTGCAATGCGGTTTTACGTGCGTTGAACTTGTGGGCGTCGTAGCTCGCGGAAACTTTGGTTAAATCGACTCAGTCACATTCCAATTACCTCCGGCAACGAACTGGAATCTTCTAAAAATTAAGGGGAAGAAGAACACGTTTTCGCCCGATACTTCTTTTCGTTCCAGGACACGATCGTTATGAATATTTATACATGTTGGAGTTTTTTGTAATCGGTCTTCGCGTTTACGTTAAAAGCCTCCACTAACCGGTATTGTTATCCCCAAACCTAATTCTATTACCATACAATCCAAAGCTTTTAACTGCGTAGAGAATCTACTAGCAAAGGCAGTTTCTTCGTAGAGCATTCTGGAATGTAACATATAGCTTGAATCGGTAGATGTGTACAGGTACATAGATTGTTACTTCATTTTGACATAGTCGGATTTTCTACAGGTTTGTAGAAATGTTTAATGATGGTAGATTATTATTATATCGTGTTTGGGTTATGGTAATTTATAATTGAGACTGGATTTATTTTCAGGTCCAATTTTGGCAGCTCGTGCAAAGTGTCATGCCACTTGTAGCGTGTAATTAGAAGACTTTAAACATGTGGTTGACAACTGCGGAAGCTGCTAGTCTCGGTGCTGAGGAAGTAGCAGCCCGATTATCCGTTGACACGAGAACGGGACTATGGTGGCAAGAAGCGGAGCAACGTAGGCATCTAGTAGGATATAATGAACTCACTGTTAAAGAAGAAGAGCCAACATGGAAGAAATACATAGAGCAGGTGATTATTCTGGTCCATTTTCCCTTTTGCTTTTCAGGGACGTACATAGAATTTAGCGATACAAACTTATATTTCTTCCTGTTTCAGTTTAAGAACCCATTGATTCTTTTGCTGCTTGGCTCTGCGTTAGTCAGTGTCTGCATGAGACAATTTGATGATGCTGTCAGTATTACAGTGGTAAGTAGATATACCAGCAGGTGTAAAAGTTTTTGTTCCAGTTGATTTTTTTTTTTTGAGTTTTATCTTTCCTTTCTCAGGCTATAATGATAGTGGTAACAGTGGCATTTGTACAAGAATATCGTTCGGAGAAATCCTTAGAGGAACTCACTAAACTAGTTCCACCAGCTTGTCATTGGTAATTATAAATTTCTTTAATTAATACGTGATAAATGTGATCAATACCATTTTTTGAGATTTTCTTTCTCATTCTAGTTTGAGGGAGGGTCACATAGAGACTTTTCTAGCACGAAATTTAGTTCCTGGTGACGTGGTATATTTAAATGTTGGGGACAGAGTTCCAGCAGATATTAGATTATTTGAGGCTATTGATCTGGCAATTGACGAAAGTAGCTTCACGGGGGAGACCGAACCTGCTCAGAAATCTGTGTCTCCTTTGTTAAAAACTAATGGCCATAGTTCTAAGAGAAATATAGCATTTATGGGTACATTGGTGCGTTGCGGCAATGGCAAAGTAAGAATTCTTTACAAGTTAAATAAAATATTCTGCTAAATTATATTTCACTAATGCTTTGCCTCATTAAACTCTAGGGAATCGTGGTAAATACTGGCGAGAAGAGTGAGTTTGGAGAAGTTTTCGTCATGATGCAATCCGAAGAGGCTCCAAAGACACCTCTTCAAAGAAGCATGGACATTTTGGGCACTCAGCTGTCTTTTTACTCTTTTTGCATTATCGGAGTTATAATGCTCTTAGGATGGCTCCAAGGCAAAGCACTGCTCGAGATGTTCACAATCGGAGTCAGTTTAGCCGTAGCAGCAATTCCTGAAGGATTACCTATCGTAGTTACAGTCACCTTGGCTTTGGGTGTCATGAGAATGGCAAAAAGGAATGCCATTGTCAAGAAATTGCCAACTGTCGAGACTCTAGGTTCGTTTGTCTTCTAATTTTATTACAATCTATTCTCATAACATAATTTTGATTCTTGTGGTAATGGTGCATCATGTCTCAGGTTGCGTCAGTGTCATATGCTCGGACAAGACCGGCACCATCACGAAAAATGAGATGACAGTGACAGTAATCGTAACTTCCGAGGGTTATGCAGCTGACGTTACTGGTACCGGATACAACGATAAGGGAGAGATTCGCATTTATAAATGTGACAACGTCGATATTGCTCGTGTTGCCATTACAAACTTATTAGAAGTACGTAGCAATTGCTATACACATTGTTATCGCTAGTACAGCTCTTTCTAACCCTACCTGTAAGAGTTACCTGTAACAAGAGCTAACGTTACAGGCAGGCTGCATTTGCAACAATGCCATCATACAAAATGACACGTTACTGGGTCAACCAACGGAAGGTGCACTGATAGCTGCAGCCATGAAGAATGGCATGTATGGTGTTTCGGAGAAGTACCTCAGGCTTCAAGAATATCCCTTCTCCTCGGAGCAGAAGATGATGGCTGTGAAAAGCATTCCCAAGTACGGTGAGGTGAGTCGTTTATGTGAATTGTCAGATGATATAAATTTTTAGATAAATACAAATACATGTCTTCGTAGAATCGACAAGAGATGTTCTTCGTGAAAGGCGCTCTGGAGAAGATACTACCGCAGTGTACGAAGTACTCGATGAATGGCCAGCTGTACCCCCTGAACCAGAAGAAGGACCAGGAATTCCTAGCGGAGGGCTACGAAGTTGGACAGAAGGGCTTAAGAGGTAGCGAGCCGTGCGATCGTTAGATTCCTTTCTAGTCAAGACGCGTACCTTCAATCTCGCACCTGGTCTTGCAACTGTAAGTGTTCATTTGTTGGTCTTATGCATTCGTCAGTGATCGGCTTGGCTCGGGGTTGTTCGCTCCAGGACCTCGTTTATCTTGGTTTCGTTGGCATTTGCGACCCACCTAGGCCCCACGTCCGCCAAGCGATCACCACCCTCGTCAACAGCGGAGTCAAGGTCAAGATGGTTACCGGAGACGCAAAAGAAACTGCCGCTTCCGTTGGTAGGTATTAATTATCGATATCCAATCCATCACTCTCTTAGCAATTAATTTAACAAAATGAAAGTTACTTCGATAACCTTGCAGGACCAAAGCCCCTTAAAACTAGGTTCGCTGAGAGCCCTTCCATGGCTCTAATTCTACAAGTTCCACATTTCTATAATTTTTTTCTGATATCCTTGCAGCGAACATGATCGGGCTAGATACAATTCACACAGACTTGATGTCCGGGGACGAGATCGATGCCATAACTGAGCACAGACTCGAAGAAGTTGTTGGGAATGTCAGCGTTTTCTACAGAGTCACGCCGAAGCATAAATTGTGCATCGTGAAGGCCTTGCAGAAAAATGGCTACATCGTGGGCATGACCGGCGACGGCGTCAACGACGGCGTGGCCTTGAAAAAGGCGGATATCGGCATAGCGATGGGGAAGAACGGCACGGATGTCTGCAAAGAGGCAGCAGACATGATCCTCGTCGACGACGACTTCCAAACGATCATGTCAGTCACTGAGTCCTCCAGAATCGAGATCCATGAGACGTAAAGTAATTATCAACGAACATTTCCTTTTCAGTGCGGCGATCGAAGAAGGCAAGGGCATCTTCCACAACATCCGTAACTTCGTCAGGTTCCAACTGAGCACGAGTATCGCTGCCCTCTCGCTGATTGCCTTGGCTACCTTGATGGGAATTCCTAATCCACTAAATGCCATGCAGATCCTTTGGATCAACATCATCATGGACGGGCCCCCCGCGCAAAGGTGAACCCTTCTAGTTCACTCGTTAGTTATTTAATCATCTATTTCCATGTTCATTTCGTGGACGCGAGTCACCGAGTCTTTGTCACTTGCTGAGCTACTTGCTTTCTGTGTGCACATAAATGTTCTTCTGGAATTTCGCTACATGTGTTCACGTTTTTCTTCCACTTGTACATTGCAGTTTGGGAGTAGAACCAGTCGATAAGGATGTCTTGAACCAAAAGCCACGCAACGTGAAAGAGCCAATGATCACGGGCCACCTCGTAATAAATGTACTGTTGTCGGCTCTCATTATTATTTTAGGCACATTGTGGGTGTACAATCGTGAGGTATGGGTGTTTCGTAACTTAGGAAAGGTAGTTCTTCTTAAGAAAAAAAAAAAAAAAAAAAAAAAAAAAAAAAAAATCATGTACTATCGAGGAGAAATTTTGTAGTTCTATATTGTCGTTAATTGCTTTTTGCTGAGCTTCATTAACGCCGTTGATCGTTGCTTATTGCAGATGACTTCAGGGGGCATTACCGCAAGGGACACGACAATGACGTTTACTTGCTTCGTCTTCTTCGACATGTTTAATGCACTTAGCTGTCGATCACAGGTGGGTCGACTTAATTACCTCGCTTCTTGTAATTCATGTTTAATAAGCACTAACGAGTTCTTTCCTCACAGACAAAGTCTATATTCACGATCGGGCTGATAAGTAACAAAATGTTTCTAATAGCCGTGACCCTGTCGGTTATCGGTCAAATGTTAGTCATTTATTTTCCCCCGCTACAAAAGGTATTCCAAACGGAAGCGCTGACCATCAAAGGTAAATTAATCCAATGACTAAGTTCTTGAAATTATTTTGCTCGTGTAAAGTGCGCCTCGAGGTTCACCACTGTAAGTTACATCATGGGTTTCTTTCAGATCTTGCCTTTTTGGTGGGCCTGACGTCTAGTGTGTTTATAATAAGTGAAATAAAAAAATGGGTGGAACGGCAAATGGAGAGAAGGCGGAGTAGCGGATTACACTACACAAAGTCCGATTTAAATTTCGTATGATGAATGCACGAACACTCATCCCTCGGTAGTACTATGTGAAAAATCAATTACGGTTCTAAAGTGCTTCATGTATTCCTCGTTTATCTCTTCGGACGACCAAGCTATGAGAGCCGGGGAACAAAAGACTCGATTTCCCGGTTACCGCGAATCGACCATCTTCAAAGTGACTTACGGTGCTCATCTAAGATTTTTAATGAGGACATCCTCGGCGGAATCGTCGCGAGATTCTTCGTCACGTTTTGTGCAGTGCCGTCGTGGGGAGAAGTTCTACTTAACTTGGAAAAAGAGACCCACTTTGCTTGTCGAAAATCAAACCTGACGGCAACCACGTGAGAAAGTGCAGTTTATAAGTATTTATACTTTGTTTTACCTATCTTCTATACGAAGTTTCCTACGTGTTTATAAACACTTTTGACCACTCGATGTCGCAATAAACTAGAACTACGGAAAGTGCGTTTGATTATAATCCTGTTACGCATCGGCAGTTATACTAAATGTTTTGAGGAATCGCGATGATCGTCTTTTTCGACGCGATAATCTATGTATATACACGCGTGCATCCATAAATACACGTACTCGCGTTACAATCTAAGCACCAGCCAAGCCTGGCCTCGAAATCATTCTCCGAAGCGATTCTTCACGTGCGTCCTATTTCGTTGATTCGACCGACGAGTCTAATTGCAGGAAAATAACCGAGGGTAATTAACGTGCCGTTATCGACGATTCTTCATTAGCTAATGAATGCCTTCCAGGGCGCTGTACGTCCGATACTGGTATAATTCAGGTCCTCCGTATCCGTAGAGCAGTCGGCCTTTTCCATTTTCGTCGTAGTATGGGTAGCGATATTTAGGCCTGAAACGATATAATAACGAGTACTTCGAAGAAAGGAGGGTTAAAAAATCCGACATTCAACAACGACGCCCAGTAAATTTCTACGACAAAAATGGAAAGAGAAAGCGAACGGGAAAGTCGAATTCGCGCGAGTAACGGGACGTGCGCCGAGGTTGAAATTGTACCATTACCGAGTATGTTTATCTTTAATTACAAGTATGAATTATTTTCTATGATAAACCAGAGGCCAAAGGCTCACCTTTCGAAATACTGGAAATTCGGTGCCTTGGGCTCTGCCACGGTGGCTAAGACCTCGGAAACCACTGCGAGAATCGACGCCAGGAGTAGGATCATCCACTGAAAGGGAAAGTAGATTTAGAAGAGAATGGAATGGAGATTCGTCGAGGAGAACTCACGATTTTCGACGAGAGGCTGGCCATGCTGGTCGGAGTTCTCTTCGAGGCTCTTCGAGGCTCTTCGAGGCGCTTCGAATGGCTCTTCGAGGTATGTCTCAAGCCTTCCGCCGACTCGATCTTCGGACTGCGACTAAATTCTCCGTCCGGGAGCGACTCGCGTGTCTCCGGAGAAAGTGGAAAGGTGTCTGCGGCGGTCACGGGCGTTCGCGTTTCGCAATCTCCTCGAGCAGGTGAATTGCGACACAGCGATCGCTTAGCCGCTTGCCGTCCCTCAAGGATCACGTAGCGATTTCTGGAATCGTCCTCTGGCTCCGATTCCCCTTGCGAAATTCCTCGAGAAATCAGGAAACGCGAAAACGAGGGAGAACCCTCTCCCTGCCGATGCGGAATGCCCCCTTGCCGTGCACAATTTTCTATCTGGATTAATATGCGTACAACTAAGTGATCTCCTTTTTCCAGAGACAAGTGGAAGATCCAAAGTTCGAGCCGCTCACTGGACCGGCGTTCCCCAAGGTCCTTTGTATCCAATCCCAGAGCCAAGACGCTCGATCTCGTCCTCCCCCATGCGACCGTTCAGACGTTCGTACAGGACCCTCCTCTGCTTCCCAAGGTCGGGATCAAAGTTCCACTGGGTTTTCTAAAAGTATAAAAATGGTCACCCTGATGAACTACCTACTGAGATGGGAAGCGAATACCTCGTGGATCACCGGGGAACCCGCTACGTTGTTTTGCACGAGGTCGTGGACCAGCGACAGGACGGCGGACCCCGAAGTGCCGCTCAACACCGCCAAGATGATCACCTGGAAAATCGGAGAGTCTTATCAGGACAGTCTTTGATCTTCTACACGAAGTCCCGAATAATTTGCATCTAGGATTTAGACCCTAGAATTTTATTAACCCGGGATTACGTGCCCGGAGTCGCGCGCCTCGTTACGTGACTCTCACCGTGAAAAGCTTCAAATCCATGAGCGTTTCTTTTGATACAATGCGGTAGTCACGAACGGGACAACACGAGTGGCGTTTAAAAAGTAGGCAAAGCGATTCGCACGAGGAATGACAACCAACTGTCGGCCAATTGCCACCCAACTGTCGTCTCTCCCGGTCGCGCCGGGAGAAAGGGATCGACCGTTCTCGTCTCCTCCGCGTTACACAAAAAAAGAAACGAGATGCTCATGATTACAGGACGGAGCTGTATCGCGCGAATTGGTCTCGACAAAGAATGCGCCGCTAATTTGTTCCCGTGTCATTAATATCAACGTTGAGGAGCATAATTGCGGGGAAGAATGTATGCGATGCAGCCGAGCAGGTGAAACAATGCACGTAAAGTGGAGGCAGCCGGCACGTTTTCGCTCGCGGCACGTGCTGGCAATGCCGATTGATTTTTCGATCGAACGATCAATCGATTCGCCTCGGGTAGGTATAATAAGGAAGCGGAGAATAAAGCCGCGGTCGCGCTCCCGATGCGGGGATTCGTTTTTGGGCCGCTTCAGGATCGCCTTCGTTTCTTATCCACCGCTTGACTAGCTCGATTAGCTCCTCAAGGTTGACGGTATGAATCGAGAATCGCGTGTCCGGTTGCTTATCGTAAGTTTCCTAATCCGATGTGAGTGTTCTCCAGTGACGTTTGCAGAAAAACATGTGCTGATTCGCAGGTCCTTTCGCTGGTGATTGGACTGGACGTGGTCCAAGGGACCTTCGGCCCTTCCGGTATCGGCGACCTCGTTACTGGACAACAGTGGTTCCGGTGGATCCAGGACTCGAACTTGTCAAAAGGTGTAGCGACGATAAGGCAGCTGGCCTTTGGGCCGAATAGTCCGATCCTCATGTTCAACTTCAGGCCCGATGACGGGCCTCGAGCTGCCGTTCGCTATCAACAGGTGTACGGACCGCGAGGTCAACACCTCATCGAGGTCCTTGGGTCAGGAATCCTTCGCTCTGCGACGCCGAGACCTTTTATCGGAGAATCCGACTGGCAGCCGGTGACTGACAACAGCTACAGGTGGCCGCAGGTACTTAGACATGTACTTAGTATACGAGAGAGAATTAATATACAAAAACCTCATTGAATAAGAATTATTATTCCCGCTTACTCTGAATATGAGACTTTTTTTTTTTACTTTATAGTCATTATTTAAAATATTTTTAGTTATTTTGACTTTACAGTCAATCGACACGAGCGTGTCAGCGCACTTAATGTACAAATGTTAATCTCCACTGTATGCTAACGGAGTTTTCCTCCATCCCTGCAGTCTATCTTGAGGGGCTACCCTGAAGAGCCACCACCGCCGCCGTTCACAAGGCCCAGACCTTAACGTAATCCACCAGCAACGTCGTGGGCCCGTTTTTCCAGGTCGAGATCCACTGGTTGCTCGCCTCGAAGAAGTTGTAGATAGCCTGGAAGAGGAAGACGTTTAGTTGCTCGCTTCAAGATTGTGCTAGGTCTTGAAGAAGGTACCTTAGAGCCTAAGTTTCGCCAGGGCTTGAAATAGGCGGGCCCGCAGCCGTCAGGAAATTCCACGTGGCCTCCAACGGCGACGCCCAGGGTCAGGTAGAACTGTCAGGAAGACCGAGATGAGTTATGGGACAAACTTGTAGAAGTGGGAACCTACCGGTCCATCGAAGGCATCGGCGGTATCGATCCTGCCATACATTTCGCCGTCTACGCGGAGAATGACTCGTTCGGGGGTCCAGTCCAGCTGATAGATGTGGAAGTCTTCGGACCACGGAGTAGAGGACTGCGTCTTCCTCATAGTATTCCATCGCGACTCCGACAACAACGAAGGGCCTCCCGTGAGAACTTGGCTTCCACGTTCTTCCCGATTGCAGGGGAAATTCCTGTTACCGATTGCACCTGCGATGCGGATGAACCGCGACGGGTCGCGACGATATCCACCCTGGTAGGAAGCCTCCGTCAGCGGTTCCAAAGCCAGCACTACGGAAAGATCATGACAATGAGATGGAAAACGAATTAAAAATATTAGAACCTGGATAACTTGGAATTCCTGCTCACCAGGGTATATCCAATCACCACTGGGTAGCTTGGCGCGGATCTCGACCTTGCCGTAGGTGAAGGCGAATGTTCTGGAAGTGTCCAATCGTCCTGAGAGCACCGGGGGCAAGATCGACGAGCCTAGAGCCTGCTTGTTGCATTCCTCCGTTCCCTTCTGACCCGTGCACCTAAATATCGGTCCAAAAGTCATTCGCGCGTTCACCAGAGAATATCTCTCGACCTTCACCGTCGACAATCGCTTGTCCTAATTATCTTGGAAACTTGAAATTAATTTTTAAACTTATACTTACTGTTCCAACGTCAGGTTTCCATAACGAACGAATCGATTCCCATACGTCTTTTCGGTGAGCGTTGGAGTTACCTGCAATTGTCCGTTCACCGCCTTGACGTTTTCGTTGTCGCGTTTGTATATGACGAACTCGTAGTCCTGAAAGGTACCGATGTTAATTCCGTCCCTTGAAGATAACAGGGGAAAGTTAAAGTGTATCGAAAAATTATGTAGAATTACCGGCCCCGTCGAGAATCGCTCGTTGACCAGCCAGGCCGATTCGTTCACGTTATCGAAGTGATCCTCGAAAAGCAGCTCGCCCGTACAAACTTTTCTGCCGCCTGCTTCTGGTACTTTCAATTGAGTTAACGATGCGCTGCAAGGTCGATTTTCTTCCGGATTATAATTAAATTTAACCGGAGTTCCGTCCTCGTTATAATATCCTACAAATTCGGTAATCCATTAGTCGCGTCCCTTGTTTACGGAAACAGGTTTTTCCGTTTTTCCTTGTCATATAAAAATGGTTTATCAACTAACTCGTTACATTGTACTGCTGGTCTACGAGATTATACCCCAATCCTTCATAAACTACGTGCAGCCAGTAATAAATGGTATCACCGGGTTTCAATTTGGTCGTCTTATCTTCGTACGTCCAACGACCGTCGCGTTTTTTAATAATGTCCCTCGCGATGGTGCCAGCTTCTAGTCCATTGAAATCCTCGTTGAACTTTACGTGGAACGCTACCAGACGGATGCCGTCCTCGTCTGCGTCATGAAAGAGTATCTTCATTTAATTAATTCACCCGGATGTATCTTGAAAACCTCCGAATTAATACTCGCCCGGCTGCACTGACGTATGCGATAATTGATTACAGATAATGGACTATACTCGCCTGGGATGAACATCCGCAATCCTTTCGGATACAGCGGCATGACCGTTGCTTCCGGAGGCACGTATTGTCCTCTGCATGAAATCGCCAGGACGAGGAGAAGAAGCGAGACCTCGCAGATCTTCTTCATGGCGAATCTTGAAGAGATTCGCGAGCGAAGAGAACTTGTAAGATGTGGCGGGTCTTCTTGCGTCGTCAGCAATTCTGGACGCCGAAAATCAGAATGAATAATCAAGAAAATATTACCGTACTTGCTACTGACTACTTTTCTTAATTTGCGAGGATGGAGAGCTCCCGTTACCGATGTGGAAGTCGAGTTGACGGCGATTGACTCCTTCGAAGATATGTACTGTCTTTGATGAGGCGGGCTAAATCCGGCAACCATGGATGGGACTGAACTTGCTTGGTAACTATTTGACCTCGAGGCTTCTTGCAGCACAACTTGATGAGGAAAACTGGAATAAGGAGAATGCTGATTGGCCATTTGATTATCAATTCGCAGTTTGCGCCACGTAGACTCCATGATTTATCATTTCGCTACCGCACGACAATATTAACTCACCTGTTCTAACATCATGCGAATACGTAGAAGTAGATTTAGGATGATCTCACCGGTTATTATAATAAATTACTTCGCAATTATTCTTAGCGGTTATTTACCTCGGAAGAGAGAGGACTTAGAAACAAGGCGAGAATAATCCCTACTATCGTTCCGCTTTGAGAGTTTATTTAGCAAAAGTGTAAATCCTTGTATGGAAAATCGATGGTTCCATGCTTGGTGTTTTTGATTAACGGTACGCAATTGTATGTACATACATTGTATGGTAGATCGTAATGAAGAAATTTGAACTCTAGAAAAATTGGCCTAGGGGAGGAAGTACATAAATAAATAAAAGACTTAAAGGTAACTTAAAAAATACCATTTCAGAATTGCGCGTGAAAATCGATGTCTGTACAATGTCTGTTCATACGGCATGGGAAATGTTGAATATGCAATGGTTGTCGACGCTTGTTGTAGTATGATTAGCTATTTGGCGATACACGTACGGAATCGTTGACACGAGAATTATGCATCGATGACCCAAAGAATGTTGACACCTGACATTCCTAAATTCACTCGTCCAAGCATTCCATGATCTCTCGTCTTGATGATGTACAGGAATAGGAGGAGAGTGTGGAACATATTGTTTCTACCCTGAAACGTTGCAGATAAAATTCAATATTATTTGCTATGCGATGGAAAGTGAATTTATGTTTCTATCTAACCCTTGGTATCTCTTCGAAGTCAGTTGGCAATGAATCTCCTGACAGAGCCAAATTGTAATGCGGAGGATTTACAGTTTGGCAAACAATGATCGGTCCCTTGTTTCTTGGTAGCTCGGAATTGGCTCTTGCCATGTATCTTGAAGAAAAATATTATTTAAATGAATAATTGAATAAGAGATGATGGTCAGAAAAAAATATATTCACTTTGACACGTTCGTCCTTACCTGGAACTAAATGGACGAGCATCGGGTTGATCCAGAGGAGCTTCTAACTGAGTGTCCATATAAGACGACACTAGGTGCATTATTATCTGGAAATACATGTTACATAAATAAACTATTTTCAATTTTCTGATATTGGCTCGCGTTGAGAACTTACAGCTGTATCGGTTGGTAAACTACTATCCCATTCTTTTCCGTTGTAAGATCCTCCACTATTCCACTTGAATTCACTCATGGAACCACCTTTGGCAAGGATCTTAATTCTTTTGACCAAATAATCCTGATTGTTTGAGAGTTCCAAGAATGGGACCAAAGCAGGAAGTGTCGGTATACCGCACACCAAGAATGGAGATTGCGCAAGTTTCCTAAGTCTATCGAGACCTACGTGTCCTGGTTGAGAATCGCTTAAACCATGTCGTAATAAGGCACAGCTCACATTTTCTATTTCTTGTGCCACACGCTCGACAACTGTTTTACTTATCCACTGAAACGGAATAAATTTACTTATTTAAATAAATGAACATAATTACTGTCAGTATTCTGCACAATCTTTAAAATTACATATTACCATTCTTAAATTCGCTGTCCATTGATTCACTTTCCCAGGATCGATTCGATACTTCCGCCAAACATCTAGAACACCAAATGCTCCTCTCGGGGAACTACCTTCTTCAGCACCAGGACTAGAAGCTTTAGACTTATCTAAAAAACATGACTTTCTCAAAACCAATGCTGCAGATATTAAGATAAAGATCGAATACAGATATTGCTCACCAACTGTAGGTGCTAACTGGTAAGCACATCTTCTCAACATAGGTGACACTTCCCCAGGACTCCGGATAGCAGGATGAGACCAGAAGGAACTTAGCAAATTTGAAGGTTGATCAATGTTTGTTGAACATGCTGATTTTCTCTCTCGACGAGCTACTTCCTTTAAGTAACTTTGCAATTGCTCTTCATCTTGTATTAAATCTTCTCCTATTAGACTTCCGCTTATAGAAACATTTAAGGATTTGTTGAATGAACCATTAGGGCTCAGTGTTAATTTACGGGGCGATGCTGCACTGCTGTATTTACAAAACGGGCTTGATGATGAATAATCTTCTTCAAAATAAAAATTTTTTTAATTGGTAATTTTTTTAATCTTCCTAGTTTGAAATGTGCCCAAAGTACAACTTACTACTGTCATCTAATCCCGAAGAACCCAGAACACTGGAACGCCTGCTTAGATTCATACATGAGAAATTCAGTGGAGAACAGGGCTCTGCTGCTTTGGGTATTGGTGGCGTTTCATTCTTAAATAGTGGATCGTCATCTGGTATACCTAATAATCTTCTTTGTCCTGAGTTTAATGTTACCGGATGTAAAGTAAAAGTTGCTACTGTATATCTCGCTAAATGGTATATTGCATTTAAAGCAAATACTGATGCCAAGCACCATTCGACCCAACAAAATGGCTTATATGCCACACCACCGTATAAGCTGAAATAAAACCAAACATAACAGAAATATCTTCACCTACACTAACGACAAGTGAAAAGACATTAATTCTCACATATCAAAAATAACAACTCCGAGCAACGTTCCATTGATGAAGAACCATGTAATGCTATTCCTCGCCTTATATTGAATCTGCTTTACATCTAGGGTTTGACGTACTTGTGGTTTCGGAGTAAGAACCCTGCAAACAATTCCCACTTAATAACATAATATTCACACACTTTTTCTCTTATGTTTTATGAACTATTTGCATGAGAATAGTCCTGATATTTGGTCAATCATTTCGCTACCTGGCATTGGGTGATATACAATTCATAGACGAATGAAAATCGCTCATTTTTATTTATACTGTTATTTTGATTCGTATGTACAGTGAATTCTGTTGAGCTGAACACTTTGAATATTAAAACAAAATTAACAAAACTCAAAATATTTAAAGACGACCTTAGAGATGAGCATTCACAGAGATGAGTTGGGAGATTGTTCACGGGCTGAGTCACGTGATCGAGTTCTGTGCTGCCCTCGGTGGAGAATGCGGACGGTTCGTGCACCTGCCATCTGATGAATTTTCAAATGTGGAAATGATCAAAATTTGAAATAACCTGTAATTCCAGCGCGAATTTTTGAAATATTATTAAGGGACCTTAAACAGGATTGACTCTTAAAAAAGTAGACAATAAAACTATCATTTAAAATTTTTACTAGCACTCAGATAATGAACAAATCGAATACGTCTGCTTCATCAATTTGTAAAATCATGATTACTCCATATTTCAATTGAACCTAACATTTGCCTTCTGGATTGTAAACCGGAATTCGTGGGAAATGATTATAAACTATTCCTTAATACATATGAACTTTCAACTTCATAAATTTCAATAATCCTCGCACTGTTTTGTTTATAATTTTTGTTTCTTGGTGAAAAAAATCCATTAGAGGTTAATCGTTATACAAGAATTGGCTAACTCTTGTCAAGAATCTGAATTACCATTCGATTGGTACTGGCAGTGCCATTTTCGTTACAGAAAAGAGGTTGCAGATTCTATATTTAGTTTTCGACTTCTATATCGAATTCCACTTTAAGGACACCTTTATGAAATAGTTTTCACATTCAGTACCATCACATACTTAGAATAAACGTTGCTATTGCTAATCAGACTATATACCACAAAACCTTTTCTACTGATCGGACTTATCTAGAATACTAGTCATGGAATATTAGGACGATCAGTTGAAAAGTCATCCTTTTAGCCATTGCTTTAGAGAAATTGAGTACATTATCATAAATGCGCACGCAGTATGTTGTTATAAATAAATTATAGGATTTACATTAAAGTAGACAAATTTACATACATAATGGATGGAGTCTTTATCTTAGTGTAGTATACTGACCATGTTAGTAACTCGACAGTCAACAGAACGAAGATCAAAAATAAATGAGCAATTAATAGGCTTATACAATGGAAAGCAATTGCTATGCAGAGTATAATTATTATCATAACATAGGACATGGAAACGAAATTGCCAAAGAACGGGTTACAAATCTTTTTATTACATCTGTTACGTAAGAAGGTATGCATTTAGTGTTTGACTATCGAGCTTCCGTTATGTCTAAGTTAAGTTTATGCTTGGAGTTCCTTAATTTAACGACTTCTATATTGTCCTTAATGTTTCTCTAGCGATTCTTAATGCAAAAGTAGGAAAATAGTAGGGTTGTAACGCCGATCGTTCCGATTTCATATTTTCATGCTGGGTCCAAATGTGTTTGTTCGACAGTTATCTTCGACACATGTGGCACAGGACGGATGAACGATTAGCAGATTGGAAAATGCGCGATTAAAGTTTTTTTAGCAGACCTCCAAGACATTTACAAAATTATCTGATTTTAGGAGCGAACCATTTTTGAATTTGATACAATTTTTTTTCGTAAAACGCCTCAATATTATAAACTAAAGACTCGCTGAACTTGACATCATCTTGTGAGTTAATGTTAACCTTTTTACAATCACCGATAAATTTCAATGGTCTCTCTGTACTTCAACGCATCATGGGTGATTTTTACGATCAGTAGAACCAAGGTACCCAAATTTCACATATTAAATTCATATATTAAATCTACACTTTGTTGCTTCACAACCATCCAGTACGTGTTAGTTACGAACTACTTAAGAAAACTTTAAAATACTTTTTGCTTCACCTTTACAGCCATTCTCGATGGTATTAATCTACATCGGCGACTAGAATCCGTTTTCGTTGGAATTGTAAAAGCACAACGTTACAATGGAAATGAGTTGGCCGAACTTACTTGACAGTAGTCGAACACCTTGCAACCTTGTGCAAGATCACATTGTTCTTTGGACACTTAAAGTGAACCCACTTTTATCCAGATCACAATTGTTAATTGAAAACACCATCGATGACTCATTGTTGGTATCCATTAGGATGTGTGTGAATTTCTTGACTGTCTATACTATATCCAGTAATGCTGTCAGGACTTTGCAGCGATGCTGCGTACAGAGGGTTGATCGGTGCAGAGCTGGCATTAAATTGCGTCGAGTCGTAGACACTGTGATTCTGTGAACAAAATAATTTTCGAAGTTCGAACAACGTAATATATATTAATTTGCATCTCCTTTGCAATTTTCATTTAATTTTAAGATACAAATTTTCTGATGCATTCACTCAAGCGTGCTTAAATTATACAGCGACAAGCATATTATCATTTCCAAATAGCTGTTCGACGTCTCATGTTTTGCAAATGAATGCTCATTAAAAACTTATCGTTCGATAAGTTCAAAGGATATTAAGTAGAAGCTTCAATTTGGTACCGATAATAACTTTGAAGATAAAACAGCAGTTACAAGTTATCGATTACACATTCAGCACTACGTAGCAAAAATTCTGCAACGAGTTCTGTTTGTGAATGCAATATAATCGCATTAAGTAATTATCCTCCATATTAAGACTCACTAAATAGGCATAAACATGGTCGATACGAATAATTTTGCAACTTTCTTGATTTCTTAACTCGAACATGTCATAACATTAGAGTGCAAAGAAGATGATAAGAAAATGCTAAGCACTGCTTTTAAATGGTGGATCAAAGTCACAAAAAAGAATAAAGCTTCGGTAGATCATGTCACATTTATCCTGCCTTACGAAGCTGTTATTCTTTAGTATTCGTAAATGCCACGTTAGCATAAATAAATAAAACCATCTGCATGAGCTACAATAATACGTTTAATAAAAAGTTTTCCGACATGCTAATATATACAAAGAAAGAAAACCCTTCTTATCACAATCTACAGAGTGTATGTACGTTTGCCATAAACATATGAGTGTATTCCTGGATAAGAACACTGAGCACTGGGTTTTCTTACTGTTATAACATACACTTAACACCAATGATTGCACCTTTGTTACGTACTGAACATTGTTCGAATAGTTAAAGCGAATTATAGTGAATTCATAAAAACCACTAAAAATGTACACACAAGTAAGACCTAGGAATGCTTGATTGAATGTCCAGAAGATACTGTCATTAATTATTTACAAATCCAGCACGAGGGAAGAAGAAGCGTATGAAGAAAAATTTTAGAGAGCTTCGCTCTCTTACTAGATGAGGAACCTAACGTTTTGGAGAGCTCAAGGATTGCAGGTAATCGCCCAATCCAGCCGATTCCTTGACAGGAGGTTTATTCTTTGAATCTCTGCCTCGATATTCTACGTCTTTGTTCATGGACGAGTGACGGGCAAGACTAGATTCTTCTTCCGAACTTATCCTTGGGGATTCGATATCTGGAGGCTTCGGCAAGCCTTTCATAGATCCTGACTTGCTATGCTTTTTGGAGGGAACCATCTCCGTTGTCGCTTTGAGCTCTAGAGTCCCGCTGTCCAAAATATTCCTCAAGCTACTTTCCAAAGGTGGAGCGGTCATTGAAATTTCAGGAGGCGTACAGCTTCCTCTTGATTCAGATCGAACGTCTAGCCCTGATATCGTCAATGGTAAAATAACGGAATCGGATTCTAATGCAATCGAAGATGCTAAACCTCGAGCTTCACGGTCCGAACTACTTTTGCTGGATAGTAGTAAATTGGCACTATCGTCGTTACCCTTGCCTTCGTATTCAAAATCTCCAGCAGTTTTTGGTAATAGAATCAAATTTGAAATGCTCCCAGGACCGTCGTATTTAGTTCTCGAGATCGTACGGGCATTCCATGCCGGATTGTTGAAATTGATGTTAGGTGTACTCTTTTGCGGGTCGCCCAGGTTTTCGGACTTTGTCAGAGGATTACTCCCAAGATCTGGTGTACTCTTCTGAATACTATGGTGTCTGCCAAGGTTCTTTATCCCCGGTGATGTACCATACAATGTTACATGGGACCCGGACTGGCTGGAACTTCCTGACTTAGGATCTTGTTTAGGAGCCAAGGAATAAAGGGAAGCTTTCTGTTTGTGAGCAGATGATTTTGATGACGTGGAATCGTACAGAGGCATGTGAATAGACGGGGTATGGACCTGATAAATGTAGTCGCTGTCTGTTTTCAACGATGAGAAACTCTGCTGATGTGGTAGCGACACTGTATCTTCATCCATTGCATCATCTACCTGCGCCTTGTATGAAAACATTATCGAAGGTTGTGACACTCTGCAATAAAAAAAATATATATACAGTGACAAAAGGGAAATTTCTAAATTATTGTTAAAAGTTTTTCGATGCATTAATTAGATGATTTACCCAAAGAACTCCGACAGGAATGTGTGGTAAACCAATGGTGTAAAAAGTGTTAAATAAATTGCTGCGGTAAGGTCAACGACACACAATCCAATAGGATTTTGTGTGTAGTTCAAGAGGCCAGCTCCTACTGATTGTACTAAATCCAATGTGGTTAGTATGCCTGCATAAACGTAAAAACTTTTCCGTGCTAAAACAAAAATTATTTAGATGACGACACTTTGTAACTTTTCGCAGATTTTTATAAAAACTTACTGGGAAGGGCTAGTCGATCTCTCAGCCGTGTCCATGGAAGGATAAGTATAAATATGTATATCTAAAAATGTAAACTCGATTATAAGAGATCTCAGGTAGCGACTGCATTCCGTCTTGCACAGAAATTACTTACGGTGGTGAACACGATGCTGCTACAAAACCAAAACATCATGCCGCCATGACCAAATACGTAAAAATCCTTACTGGGTATGCGAAACGTATCATCCGGTAAAACTAGCTCAAGGGTTCCTTGGGTTATAGTGAATGCCAATGCTATAAAGGACGTGGCAAGTAATACCCTGCGAATGCTGGAACGGCTATCCAAATGTCCTAAAATAAAATGCATTATCGCTTAGTAATTAATTTGAAAAGTTTTTTAAAAAAGATATGCTTACCAAATGCTAAGCCAAATATAACCACGCTCATTTCCGTGGCCAGGAGAAAGAATCGGACCGTGACCCACAGAATCTTATCTACATTGCCACCAACGGTCGCCGCTGCATTGACAGTCATTGATACTACACATCGTATAACGGATATAATGACGTTACAAATGACCAATCCATAAAATGCTAAAAATATTGGACTACTGGTAGCTCTCAATTTAAGTCTCGCTCGATTGAACCGTACCGCGACAAACAGGAGAAAGATTAAATTAGGGATCAGTATCACTACATCCCATATGCGTACTCTGAAAAATAAACATAAATATGACGTAACTTCTATCAAATTATCACACTGTCGCAAGACGTACCTAGAGTTCTGAATTTCTTTATACAAAATGAGTTTGCAGAAATGTTCCTCTCCGTCCGCAGCCGAGCCCACATCGGGATCGTTCGTGGGACTCAGTTCCAATAATTGGCCCCAGCCGGCAGACACCGTCTCTAAATCTCCAACCCCGTACATCATTCCCCCGACTTTCTGAACCCTTTTCTTTCAAATCATCTCTTTGAATCCATCAACAAGGAATGGCTGCGGCAATCTCAATCTTCATAGCACTGTCTCGAACACAAAGGGTGACGTATGTACAAACGAAGGTAATCTCGGCACTCAAAATGTTATCTTCGATCTTGCTTTACGATCCAGGCAGACTAAAAGCTCAGAACAAAATTCCATTGACACAATCGTTATGTATAACCTCAAAAAAGAATTTCTCGTCAGAACCCCCCGAATCGCGGTCGCGCTCCAAAAGGAAGGGAAAAAAAATCCTAAATAATGTCAAATCTCTCGTGGCGATGTCAAAATTGACAGTCGGCGAGGCGAAAAATAAAAATCGATAAAACGAGGGCAAAAGACTCTGTCAACTCGGCCGTCAAAAGCTTGCGGACAGCTTGACGGTACCCGTAACTCGTTTAATCTAATCGGATGACTGCTCGAGTACCGATCGATTGTTGCAAATTTTCTGAGTCGACTAGAATTAATTTAAATCAAAAGGACACTCACGAAGTGCGACGCGGAGCCCCCGTCGTCCTTCGGGAGCTCCTCATCTAGTCTCGTCAGGCACTTGTAGCAACTTGCAGAGCGCTCCCTCGAACTTGTCGTTGCGCTGTTTCCGTCGTCTGCTTCCTTTATCGGCTTCCACCTCCACCCTGTTCCGTAATTAAAAACAAACATACAAGAAGAAGTAAAGAGATCTCAAGCGCGGACATTTACGCGCGTTAATTAACTCAATTGGACCTCTCTAATTGGGAGATTCGATTCGGTTTTATCCGCTCGTTTAATTACTTTCTCCATCACATTCACCTGTCGTGACCCGTCGTCTGCACCCACTTGGACCTGTCAATTGTAGCAGTTCGACTGCATCACGTGACCACCCACGCCAACCTCTCGTTTCTCCTGGAGCCGTGCACTAGGTGCACCTCGATTCTCCTCGGCTGAATTTTTACCGCGTATGTCTTTCCGCGCAAAATTCAGCGCAATCGCGAACACTCATCGGCGATGTGTGATTTTATTCCGCGGACGGTTTCGGAGGAGACGGAGACTCGCGATGAAGATAGCGCCACGCCAGGTATATCACCAGGCTGTATTTAACGGTCAGAATCGAGAGTCCGTAGCAAGAGGCACGTGAATGCATTCCCAAGGTGAATTACACGGCGCTCGGTTTTCCTGCGTCTCGCCAATGGATGGAGAAGCGCGTCTCACTGGCAGGTGACGCCACGATTGTTCTACGACCAAGAGGTCACGCGCGACTGCCGAATTTCGCGACGATCTAATCTAATTCGACCTGATTCGACCTCCGCAGCGTGAATCAAATACTGTTCCTTCCGATTTGGCTCGCGGATGAGCTCCGAGACATCCTAGGGACTGCGCTGCTTCTTGATTTGGGAAGATGGTAGCCTAACCTAACCTCTACAACTTGTAGAGCATTACAGAGGAGGTTATGGACGTCAGGGAATTGCAGTTGTTGACCGGTGACGTCACGACTTTCTCCTGCACTCAGTTTTGCTACAGGTGCTCGCAATATGTCATTGATAAATAGAGAGCAATACGTAAGAGTTGCATTGATGACGGAGGTTGAATGATCTGACTTATTGTAGGTGACGACAGGTGTTACGGAATGGCTTCGTATGATTTGTTGAAAAATGTCCATGAGAACCTGCCGTTACCTGAAACCGGCAAGACTTTTCTAGTTGGAGGTAGCTGCGAGTACTGGCATTATGGATGCGATAATTTTAACGATAAGGTGATTGTATTAAAGGGGATTTATTTTGGATGATTAATTTATTTATTGTTTCTATAACATTTAGCACGTTATTTTCTTTAGGGCTGGGGATGCGGGTACAGAACGCTGCAGACTATTTGCTCTTGGGTAAGGGAAAATAAAATCTCGGATAAGGTTGTTCCGAGTTTAAGGTGCATTCAGGAGACGTTGGTTGCGATGGAAGATAAAGAGGAATCCTTTGTCGGATCCAGAGAATGGATAGGAAGTGTTGAAGTACGTTAATAAAGTGTTTTTTAAATAGGTATGGGGTGGTTCAGTAAATTAATTAATGCCATCGCATGTGTTGATTTGACCCAATAGGTGAGCCTTGCATTGGATCAGCGGTATAATGTTCTTAGTAAAATTATTCATATACCAAGTGGTAGAGATCTAGCCAAGCATGCAGAGACGATCAAAAAGCATTTCGAAGAATTTGGGAGCCCGATTATGATGGGCGGAGATCGAGACTGTTCCAGTAAAGGAATTATGGGGATTCATTTTGGGTCGAAAGAGATATACTTGCTTATTGTTGATCCACATTTTGTTGGTAAACCAAGAAGTGCCAGGCAACTGCAAGAACAGTTTGTCAAGTGGCAGAAAGTAAAAGATTTTATAGAAAGTTCATTTTATAATTTATGCTTGCCACAAGCTAAGCATAATTGTACTATATCCGAGGAGAAATAAAAACATTTTAAATATCTTCGATATTCTTTGACCTAATGTCACTTCTTGTTATATAAACTCCAATGAAATGTAGAAACAATCTTTATTCACCTATTACTTCGTATATGTAACATTAATCCTTATACTATTATTTACAGCTTTATCAAAGTAATTGTATAATCAAGATATATATTTTAGAAATTAATTCATATAAGTTAGTTGAAGTAGTAGAAGGAAATTAATCGACGTTGAGGACGAGACAAACTCCTTGGAGTACCCAATGAGAAATGTGTTCGGTTGTACCTAGATCAGCTTCGAATACTAATCCAACACCCATCGCGTTTCGACGATTCGATGTTGTGTATACAGGAGTCTTTATGGTATTCTACGGCAATTATTTTAATAATTAATTCTCAAGCTTATCAAGCTATGGGTTCTCAGAATTTTTATTAAGAATATTAAATCATTAAATAATTCCATTCTAGATTTCACCTGCAGTTTCAGTCTGTGAGCCTCGATAGGTGCGATCATAAGTATAGGCAGCTCTTCTATCAATATTTTTGGATGCGATCTCTTGAGACAATGTTCCCTTGTATCCCATCTGGCACCCTCCAGGAATAATCCTTGTACAAAACAGCCCTGGAAATTAATTATTTAAAATTTCTGAATCAAAGCATTAAAAAAATTCTCAGTACCTGGTCCGGTCTTTCTTCGACTTCGTCAGCTTTCGTAAAATAGGTTACTGCAGTGTAAATTAAGGATCGATCCAGTGGCCAGTTATTTTTTCGACAAGCCATTTGTACTAAAGCTGCTAAATATGTTTCAGGAATGTGCAGTCCGGATAACCAGATGACAACGGGTTCATTGCAACCAGCCTACAGAAAGTGAAAAAACATGTCCGATTAAAAAATAAGAGTTGCAGTATTAGGCAGCGATTTACCCAAAGTGTGTACTGCTCTATTCTTCTCTCAAAATGGTCCATCCAGCCTGCAAGATTTTTCCTCGTGGCTGGTGCTAAATTAGCCCATTCTTGGGGTAGTGCTCCGTTGAAAAGGGCTGTGGATACGCTGTCCAGGATATTGTCCATCCCAATCTCACCAGCGATGGCCTTGAATTTTTTTTTTAACGTACCAATGTCTTCACGAAGGAAATGACTAAATTTTTGTTTAGCGAAACAAAATAGGAAACTACTTTTCTGAGTTGGGTCAGAGTAACGGTGATCCTTCTGATCAGTTTGTTAAACCTTTCCAGCTCTTGGAAAAGAACGATGGTCGAAGGAGACACCGTCATCCCGAAGTTCCTCTTGACTCTTGTCATGTCATACTCCGGAGGCATCTTGGACAAGATCTCCTTGGCGACGTTGTCGATGAACTCTTCTCTGCTTATCCCAGTGCCTGTACTAACTACACATGCAATGTTTTTCTCGATAAGTGAAATTTTCATTTTTACATTAATTAGAAAATTAAATATCAATGTTCATCAGTACAGACATTAATTAATATCAGGATCGTCTACTTACTCCTTGACTTCCGGCCGACTAAAATCAGCAAGGGCAAGTCTTTTTACGTTTACTCCGTAATATAAATATTTTTAAAAAATTTCTTTGCGAGGTATTTGTTCATTTTAAGTATTGTTAATTGTTCCTTACTAGTTTGGGGCTGCAGCTCGATCAAGTTTGTCCACATTTCTTTTGTCGCTTGCGTGAAGTAGCCGATTTCGGCATTCGGATGGAGCCCAAATACTTCCGGCGAGTTAACCAGCGGAAGTTTCTCCACGAATTCGATGTAAGAGTCCCTGTCACCCTTCGGAGCGATTACATAGTCCACGTGGTCGTCGTGATAAAAGTGGAAGGGTTGAAAAGCGTCGAACAGAAAGTCCCCGAAGTACTCGTCCATGTACACCTTGACGACTCGTCGATCGAAGTCGTCGATGACTCGACCTCCATACATCACCTAAATTCCGCAAAAAAAATATTAATTCGGCATCGCTTCGTCCCGATACAAGGAAAATACAAAAAGCGTACCTCTCCTACGAGATACTTAAGACTTTTCCAGGGAATTCTGGACTCCTTCGTAATCAAGGCTTTGTTTAAGTACGTGTCTAGGATTGTCGTGCAAACGTTATAGTCGGACTCGTTGAAGTCGTAGCTGATGTTCCAGCCGATTTTGTCGTATTTTCTTCTCTCCTGATAGTTGCAACGTAATTGATAGCGTGCGATATAGTTATTAATATTTTTTATGAATATTCCAATGTCGGTACCTGCACGACTGCGTGGAAAAACGCAAGGACGTATATAAGGTCCTTGTAAATCTCATGCTCGCAACATTCCAAGGTCTGAGGTCGCATTTTGAAATAAGTATTCATCAGGTTCAGCTTCAAGCCGTTCGGAGGCTCGGTGACGACTGTGGATGAAATCAGAAAATATTTTGGAGAATGAAAACTTGCCGGTGGTGAGGAGATTTTCAATAATAAATTTAAATAATTGAATTCGAAACCTTTTAAGGATTGCTGCAGGATTCCGATGGGGAAATTCGGAGTGGGGTCGGTGGTCAACCAGAGGCGGAAATCGGGGTGCGGCTTTGCGATCTGTTCCAAACGCTTTTCGAGCTCCCTGGTGAAGCTGAGGAGCAGATGACAATTCTGCAGCATCAGCCACTGGCCTCTGGCAACCGCGGTTTCCAGCAAGTCTATCGCTGACTATGTCAAAAAATGGATACATAGTCATTTCAGTACGTAAAATAAATGCAGAGAATATTTTTTTTTTTTCCAGGAGCACCTTCTGCTGGCCCTGGCCGAGGGATAGATAACGAAACTTTCCGCCGCCACAGCCGTATCTTTCGGCGAGTTTCATCAGTTCCGAGGTGGGATCGGACCCAGGGCTGAGGATGAACACCACCGGCATCGTGGGGGTACTTTGTTCATAGATCATGTCGAAGCTGACATTCGGGGGAGTGACGTACTCCTCGTTCATGGTTTCGCTTATATAATTGATGATCCCTCTGTAGACCCGGTCCACCCTGAAGCATCGGATCAGCATCAGCTTCTCGAAGGGCTTCAAGGTGTCGGAGTAGCTGCAAGGGAGCTCCTCCGACTCTGGAGTGTCCAAATCGAACCACTAGAAAAGCGTCATTAGAGTCGTCATTTTTTAAACGCGTTATCCCTGAAGAGCCATACCTTCTTCCATTCGTCAGAGCGAAGCTGTAGTTGATCGGCGAGTTGCCCGAATATGGAAGGGAAGTCGTTGCTCAGCTTCAGGATGTCCTCCCAGCCCGTAGCCGGGAGCCACCTGGTGGGATTCGTCCTCTGAGCCTTCTCCAAAGCCACGTTCCCCTTGATGAAGAAGTCCAGCTCCGCCTGGTTCACTCTGCCCTTACTTTGCTCTATTCGCGTGCAGATCTGAAAGGAGTAGAGCAACTTGTGCTTCTCGAAGATCCCGGTGCACCCGTAGTCGTAGACGTTCTTCGTCAGCATGTCGATGACGTTCCTCAGTCTCTGGGCGAGCGTGGACCCCGGGAGGGCTTTCCTCAGGGAATGGATGAACACCTCCAGGTAGCTGTTCAAGGAATACTGGTACATCGCGTTTACTGCCGCCATGTCGGCCAGGACGAAGAACAGAATCGCGCCCCTTTTCGCTGCTGGACGATATCCATCTCGAAGCTCGTTTATGTCGGCTGCTGTCGCTTCGCCTAGACGAAGCTTCTCCATCACGTCATCGGCACTCGACTTCGTGTTCTCCAGGGTCTCTATCAGATCGATGTTGTCCAACATGTTGCCCTGGTTGGAGGCGATCTCCCTCAGCAGGCTGTCCTCCAGCTTCTGGAGCAGAGTCTTGTTCTCGCTGGTCTCCGTAATCAAGGATTCCCTCAGCTCCTCCACGTCGGGTCTCTCCGTCCTCACGACCACCGATAACAACTGGTCTTCAAGGCCCTGCCCAAGAATCGTGGAGCTACTCTCGATTCGATCCACGGAATTTTTCCAGTAATTATTATCTATGGAGGACATTAATCAGCCGCTTACCGCCGTCGTCACCATGTAGTTTATCACCGCTGCCTTGGCATAGACAGCAGGGTTGAATGTTGGATTGGACAGCTTTGTGGTGAGGTACAACCGGAACTTGTTGTCGTAGTCGACCTCTTTGTCACCCAGGACGACGAAGGTTCTTCCTGCCACGGCTGGAGGTTCGAAAGTTCCATATCATTTAACTATCTTTAATTCTTTCTTTCTGGTTAATGAATTAACTCACTCCTTATGTTCTTCATCAACACGTTGTCCAGTATCGGGTCGATGTAGTCGACGTCCTGGAAGAGAACCGGGAAGCCGTATTTCACCGCCATTTCCACCTGCTTGACGAAGTCGGAGTCGTTGAAGGTGACGACTTTCAAGTTCTTCTTCTCTTCCCTCTTCTTGATCCAGTTAATGGCTTGTTGCTGAGGGTCGATGCACAGAGGGAACCTGGACGCTCGCATCGTCAGGATCCCGTTTTGGACGGACAACTCGTCCGGAGGTAGACCCTCGGAATTCCAGCTAATGGATTCGATTTTTCGTTATTATCAATTTTTTTTTCAATTATGCTTTCGAGGGGAATGGAGCGGCACCTGCTGATCTCGACGTCGTCGCTCAGCTGGGTCTCGATCCTGAAGGGCTGAGTCAGGGGGATCTCCTTGCTGAGGACGCTGTTCTGCCAGTCGTTGTAAACCATCTCTATCCTGAATTCGTAGGAAAAGGGGCCGTTGTAGGAGAGGAATCCCGCGGAGAGGAGGCAATTGCCGATGATCTTCTCCATCTCCTCGTGCAGGTTCTCCAGGTCCTTCTCCCAGCGAACGTTTTCAGAGGACAAACCCCCGATTAGCTTGTCGGCGGCGATCAGCCGCCTTTGCAAAATGTCAGTCTCCTCTTGTAACCTTTGTCTCTCGCTCATCGCGACTTCGTATTTCGCGTTCAATTCCGCTAATTGCTTCTCGATGCGACTCAGAGCAAGTTCCTCTTTTTCCAGAGCTTTTCGCGCTCGCTCCGCCTCCAGCTCCAGAGCCCTCACTTTGTCGATTTTTGGTTTCACCTGGATAAAAAAAAGTAGGGAGTGTATCGGGAAATCCTCCTAGAGGAATAATCACCTGGGGGGAATTATTTCAGATTTTTACGTACTTCCCTGAAGACGGCGCAATAATCTAGGACGGCCAGGACGAATCTGTAGAGTCCGTACCCCGCTTTGCTGATGGACTTCATCTGCTCCAGTTTATTCGACTTCTTCAGATGAGCCCTGACCATTTGTTGCTGCTTTAACGTGATCAGGTCGCAGTTCATCTCCTGCAGGGATCTCAGGAAACTCGGGTCGCTCATCATCCCTTTGGCACCCTTCCAGGAGATGTCCTTCACCCCCCGAATAATTGCTACGCATTCGGAGACAATCTGCACGGGTTCTGGTGGCGTTGCGAAGGATCTAAAAAAAATGTCACACGTGTTAGGTGCGTTTAGAAAATCTCACGATGACTGGAAATATACCTTATCTCCGTGATATCGGATTTATCGAGATCTCCGAGAGCTAGTCTCGCAGCTTCCAGGGCAGGCTGCGCCTCGGCTAGAGCTTCCTTAGCCTCGGTTGATTCCTTGGCGATGATTTTATTCTGCACCTCGATCTCCTTCCTCTTTTCCATGCTGATCTCTTTTTTTTCCATAGCAATGTCGGTGCTCTCGCCGATCGACGCCAACAATTCCTCGCAGTTGCCGGTCTGTTCCGCTACTTTGACCTTCTGCACCGCCAAGATCTCGTTCAGCTCCGCCAAGGTGTCCGAAGCTTCGGCTATCTTCTTCAGTCCTGACTCACAAACGAATTTTCATTAATTTTTTAATCTCAGCGTTCTTGCTTTATGATTGATAATTGGAAATACCGCCGGAGAGACGCTCGCACTGCGACTCAATGTATTCTCTCTTCTCGACGAGGAGTCGCAGGTAGATGTCGATGAAGTCCAGGTAATGCTTCGGGGTGACATAATTCTGACGACGGAGCTTCGTCAGGAATTCTGCGGTGTACTCGCCGATCGACATGTGCACGTGCACCACGTGCTGGACGATCGCTTCCCTGTAGGTCTCGGGGACGTTGGGGTTCTGTAAAATATACGTCTATTGTACGTCTCCATTTTTTTTTTTCGGACCTGCAGCAGGGAACATCCTACATCTCTGAGGACCACGTTTGCGACAGCTAGGAGGGCTTGCTCCGGCCAGACGAACATCCAATCGATGGTGGTGCTGTTCACCATCCCTGGGTAACTTCGACAATGCGCTCGCAAAGTATCTCCGGATGGGCTCATCGACAAGGCAATGCGCATATTGGACATGCTCGTCTTGACGAAGTATGCCCAAACGTTCTCTCTAAATCATTAGAAATTATTACGGGGTCGTTAACGAGTTGAATTTTAAGTACCCACTTGGTGATCCCGTATCCGGCCTCCTTGGCGGAGTTCCTGCAGGAGTTCACCACGGCGTCCTTCTCTTCGTCGGTGAACAGAGACGGCACCACTCCTGTCATTAACATGTTATTAACGAGCTCCAAGAAACTCTCGTCGACGATGTGGGCAGCCGTGAAGAGGAAGGTGATTCTCTTGTCCTCCACCCCGACCAGGTTGTAGAGCTTCTTCATGTCCTCGCGAAAGCTCAGGTCGTTGTACCCCCTGGTTGGCGTGATTTCGAAAATCTCGCAAGCAGCTGCGAAGGCTGCCAATCGAATCACGCATTGTTTCCCACTTCCGCCGATGCCGACCACCAGGACGTGGCCTCGGTGCATTCTCAGGGTACGGTGGACCCTTGTCAGGTGCTCCAGAGCGTCGTTGAAAAGCACCATGTTGATCTTCACGTTCCTCTCGTTATACTCTTCGAGGATCTGAAGTCAATCGTTAGTTTTTTTTTTTTTTGAAAAATTAGTTCCTGACGAGGAGGATCGAAGTCACCTCCAGGAAAAGACTGTAAACCGCCTCGTAGTCCAGCAGGTCCTCGTAGAACCTCGGCTCGTCCTCGTTACAGGCATTCCTGTAATCCCCGAAGAGGAGAGGGTCCCTTAAGCTGTACTCCACGAGTTCTTGCTCTTCCTCCCAGACTACCTTGATTTTTTCCTTCAAGTGCTCCCGAACGATCTCCTCGTCCTGCAGGTAGCATTCGTTAATTTTTATTCAACCTTGCTTTGCCGTTGTCCAGCGAAATTTTTTCACCGTTGAGGTGACGAGCCTGTCGCACATCACCCTGACGAATTCGTTCCTCCAGAGTCTGACCAGGTGTTGGGCCTTGGAGAAGTAATTCGGATGGCTCTGCAGCATCCCTGCGACTATTCTAGAGAGATCCCGCATGTTGAAGATGTAGTGGAACTTCGAGGGGGTCGGCGGTAACTCTACGGTGATGTCCTGGAAATGTAGTCACGTTAATTATTTTTTAATAATTATTTAATGCGAATAGTGTACTTTGTAGAGGTCCAGAGTTATTTGTACGAGGTCGGGCGCCACTTCTTGCACCTCTTCGGGAAAGGGCTCCAAATGGCCACTGAGGATACAGGTGTAGATGTATTTCAGGGTCGCTTCGGAAGGGAAGGTGACGTTGTATGTGGAGAACATGGTGACGAATCGAGGATCCACCTCGTTTCTTCCTCCTCCTGCCTTACCCATTGCTGCGAGGTAACCTGGAACCAAAGAGAATATTTGCATAATTCTATTTAATGCGGAAAAAAAAAATTAACGCAGCGTCCACTCACAAATGTCCCTCATTTGCTTCCAATTCAGGGCTTTTCCGCGATCGTAAAACCCGCCTCTCTCGAAGAGTAATTTTAACAAGGCTATGGGCTGTTGGGTTCCGTAAGTGTCGACCAGAGGCATGTTCATGTCGTCTATGAAAATTATTAATTTTTTCCCAGGAGGTGGCCCGTAGATCTCCTTGGTTCGCTTCTCCACGGAAGACTCGATATTCCTCTGGACGTCCATCGAGGTCGTCCTCGAAGAGAAATTTATCAGGAGCTGATTCTGTTTTTAAAAACATATTGTATTAGTTTGGGTATAGTATGAGCGACCGATTAAAGAGTCTTACGAATTTTTCAGGGTTCAAACCCCGAAGAAAGTCGTGGATGACGGCGGTTTTCGAAGTCCCAGTCTCGCCAACCAACAGGACGGGTCTCTTCAAGTCGTTCATCAAAGTGACGAACCAAGTTGTCCTCAGGGTGTCGATCGTCGGTACTAAAATCTCGCTGAAGTTCTTCTCCCGGTCGTGGATGTAGGCTGGTACCAGCGATTTCCAGGGTATCCATATGCGTTTCTCCACGTCCAGCACGTAATCGTAGAGAGAGCGATACGTGATGGGAAGGTACCCTGATGATCGATCATTCTTTCAATTTTTATTCCGACGTAAATACAAGAAATTAAAATTTCCAGCTCACGAGTCGTCGCAGCCTTCTCGGGAGTGTCCTCCACCAACATCAGCCCCGAGGTCTTCTTCATGAACTCGTCGAACGTGGGTCTTGCTTCCGAGACGAGAGTTGCTCCGAAAGAGCAATAGCAAGATTGTATATAGACAGCTTCCAAGAGCTCGTATCTCATTGCTGCCTTTTCTGCCGAATTTCGTCGCTCGTCTTCCCTAGTTGTCTCGTTTAAGTCCGACGCAGGTGGAGCCTCTTCTTCCTGCCGAGCAGGGAGGAGGCCGTCGATCATGTTGCATAATTGCGTTACCTGGAAATTATATCCAGATTGTACATTATGAATTCAAACCGGGGATTGTAAAATCACGCGTAGAAATTATCACCATGTTAAGGTTCGTCTGAGGAATAATCATTTTCAAGGGGACGATCTGCTGCAGGCCCAGCATCCCGTCTAGGATCAGTCTTAAAATCCCGTGCACGTATTTCTCGCAGAGTGCCTTCAGGGTCTCCTGTTCCTGGGGCAATCTCCTGCCGATCCATCGATCCATGTACGGTTGGTACCCCAGATTCTTCGGGTCCACGTAGACCATTCCAGCTCTGGAGACTGTGGCTGGTGACGCGTACTGGAGATCTCCAACCTGGGTAATTTAACAATTAAAAAATTGGACTTGGATTCATCCAGGAGGAGAGATGGACGAATTTTCGGCGTACTTCAAACAGCAGACTGCAGTGGTCCTGCATCTTGATCCTCTCCTGATTGGCCAGGGTGAGGAGCTTATTGTCATCCATCACCGAATTCATGTTCTCGATCCATAGAGCGTCGACATCGCCGTCGAAAAGAATGTACCTTCTTTCGTCTTTTCCGGATTCCAGGGGGCGATTGATCTCCCTGAAGATGTTGCTCAGGAGCCCATCGGTCCAGTCCCGAGTCAAGGGGTCCAGGACACCGTAGAGTTCTATCACCGTGCAGGCCTTTGGGCGTCGTGGAAAATTATTTCATCTCAACTTATAGTCAATAATTCATTTACCTTGTTAATTAATAATTACCTTCGGATTCATGATGTACAATTTCGTAGGTCTGTCCAGGTTCGTCTGAGCCTTGCAGAGGGTCTCGATCACGACGGTCTTCCCACCTCCGGTTGGTCCCACGATCATGGTCGAGTGTCTCGTCATCATCACTTCGTACAATTGAACTACTTTGTCGATCTACATACGAAGTGTCGATTTTCTTCTTCGAATAATTATTATTTAATTTAAAGTCGTTTTTTAAATATGCGTTACCTGGTCGGAGAGGGGAATGTAACTGTCCTGTTTTAGAACATCCTCCACGGCCTTGTTGAAGTCTGGATATCCGACCCTGGGACAGTCCAGTCCTGGAAACAGATCCTTGATGAGTCCCAGGAAGAGGGGCACGTCGTCGAAAATGAATTTCGGTAGATTCATGTCCCTCAGGGCTCTCATCAGGACGACGTTCTCCGGCAAGTCGCCGGAGGTCCTCTTCAGGTGCCCAGCCATGTTGAGGACGGATTTGAGAGCCCTGAGCCCGAAGTCGTAGTGAGTTTGTTTGCTGAGCTGCTCCTCCGCCAATTTGTACAGCACCGTCATTTTCTTGGCAAGTACTTTCGCCGTCAGGAATCCGGCACTGAATAATTTAATCAAGCAGATCATCTCTTTGTCAGGCACTATGCAGACCACGGGTCTGAAGAGGGCCTTGACGGACTCCGGGAGCTCCGTTCGTCCTGCGTATCCTGGGTTCATCGTTATGAAGATCCCCACTTTTGGGTCCAGGACGATGTCCTGATTCTCGAACTGTAATTTTTTTTTTTAATTGGAATCCTGCTATTTTTCGCGAGTTATTTTTTTTTTTCTCGTACCATGAATCTCTTAGCCTTGATCTGCAACGCGGAGCGAATCGTCTGCAACTGCGTCGAGATAACGGAGAGCACCGATATGTCGATTCGATTGAACTCGTCGAAGCATCCCCATGCACCGCATTGGGCAAGACCACCTAAAGTCTTCCCAATTGCAACGTAATCCATGCCCTCGCCGCAATTTGTCACGATGCAGAGCAGACCGAGGGCTTTGGCCAGGTCCTTCGTGGTTTCCGTTTTTCCTGTTCCAGCGGGTCCTAAAGAGGTAATGGAGGGACGGTATCCAGGAGAAATTCATTTTTAAGTCCTTTTTCAGTTTAGTTCTAATTAATTGCCCACCTGCAGGTGCACCACCCAACTGCATCGAAAGTGCTTGAGTGATCGTCAAGTAGATCCTGTCGGTCAATGGCGTCACGACGAGTCTTCCGTTCAACCCCATGTATTCGTACCCGTACTCGAATGCACCAGTGCACTGGTGCATCCAGACATTATCCAAATCGTGCACCCAGTAGAACCTGTTAAAAAAGGATTTATGAAATTCCCGATAATCGGGGATTTTTAGGGAGCTCGAGACAGGTTTTCCACCTTAATTGACTTTCCCACTCGAATTCTATGGCGTCCATGATGCTGTCCCTGACGAAGCAGTCCACTATGTCTCTGATGTGCACGTCGATGGTTAACAGAGTGTCTATTTTTTTCCGGTCATTGTTGGTCAGGGTATCGCCACCCATCAGTGTCACCAACTCGTCCAGTCGCTTGTTTAGCTCTTGCAAATACTGCGGAGGGAGAAAAGGATCCAGCTTCAAGGATTTACAAATTAACTTGGAAAGGAACTCGCACCTCTTTCATCGCTCGTTTCTCGCCTTTGGCTATCTTGTCGAATACGTTTTCCGTTTCGGCAGTCCACCAGATCTGGTTCGCCGCGAGGATCATCATCCCCTGGAAATCCAGGATCCACTCGGATCTGGGTCTTCTGACCTGAGGAAGAGAAATATTTTCACGTCAAAATGTATATGTTTTTTAATTTTTTTTTTTTCGTTGTCAGTAATTCGTACCTTGCCGTAATCGTGGACGGCCTTCTTGGTGAGGTACCTGTTGGACCTCTTCATCTCCGCCAGAGCGAGGACCATCCACTCCTCAATTTTTCCCTCGGCTATTACGGCGTCCCTAAACTCCATGATCTCCCCTTCCGTCGAGATCAAAGCACTGGCCACGGTGCGGTCCTGATTGTCCGGACCGAGTCTGAATCTGTTGAGGTTGTCGAACATCTTGCCGATGTGCTCCTGGATCGCCGAGGGCTCGCTGCTTCCCAGGATCCCCAGCAGCTCCTCGTCGCTGAGGAAGTTGAACCGTGGGAACACCGCTCGCTTGCTGCTCAGATATTCCGTAAGCGATTTCTGACACTTCTCCAACCCGGCACTCAGCAACTCGAACTCCTCTTTTCTACCTTAAGGGAGAGAACAATGTCATATGTAATGATTTATTCCAATAATCCCGATGATCTTCGGGTACCTGCAATCATGCAACACTCCAAGACGTTCAGCCTCTTCGCAGTGTCCAGCATCACCTTGCGGAACGTCTTGTCGATCTCGTCGAATTTTTTCGCCTCTTCGGGGAGCTGCATCCTGATGTCGCCCCCCACGAAGATCCCCTCGAGGTAGAGCCATTTTCTCTGCAGGTCCATCCAAGCCTCCACGACCTCGGAAATGGTCTGCATGGCTTTTTCCCATTTTTGCACTCTGCCCAGAAATGGACCGATGAACTGGGAGGCTGACATGCTCTGCAAGTTCATCATGTTGTCCTCCAGGACCTGATTTAATTCGTCCACTGGTCCCAGGATGTAGCCTCGGTCTTCGGTTCCTACATTTTCACGCGGATCCGGATTTATTTAAGAAACATTTCAAGTTCACCACTCACCTTTGAAATGTTTCGCCACCGTGAACTCTATCGTCTTCCAGACTTCTTCTACTTCCTTGACTCCCTTCTCGATACTCAGCTCTTTTATCGCGTTTGTTACAATGCCTTGGGCGATGTCTCGGTACCTCGCCAAATCCATGGCGAACATGTTCTCCAGGGTGAACCTTTCGATCGGTGAATAGTCTCGGTTACATGGATTCATAAATTATTTCATTGTTTCATTCAAAGTATTTCACGGCTACGGGAATATCTATTTATAAATAGCTCACCCCTCTATGACACTCCTTGCCTGCATTTTAAGTAGCATTAATGTACCACCCACTGAGTCTTATCAAACATTCGTAAATAATCGAAAAGTTCAATAGTCTTTCGCGAAATGTTGCTGAAAAAAATATCGGAGGTGTCAGAGAGTCGATGACGTTGGTTTATCATTCGTCGAAGGGTCATCGAATCCCTGAGGCGAAATATTTTCTAGTCTCTAACTAAATTGTTAATTTTACTTAACTACACATTTTATAGCGCAGGCATACTGTTACGAATATGTTATATCTAGTCTTAATGTATAGAAATTGATAACGCGGAATTAAGACGAAAGCAGAGTTAAATGGTACATTCCAAGTCTCTAGAGAATTTCAATTTTGTAAATTGAAAATTTGGTGGTCCCGGGAATTTTTTAAAAGTCACTGATAGTCAATTATCCCCCAACCTGTCAGGGGTCATGTCAAATCGTTTCCCAGTTCTGTCCATCAGTTCCAGCCAATGGCGTTCTCTCATGGCTTCGTTCTTCAACTCGACAAAGAGGGGTACGGAGTCTCTGAAAGCCTTCATCGTCGCTTCCAAAGCCTTGCCGACGTTTAATTGCCGGTACGCCCTGGGGAGCTTCCGGAACTCCTTCAAGAACTGCTCCATTCCGTCGATCAGCTGTTGGGGGTTCAGGTTCACCCAAAGAGTCTTCGCCCACACGTCGCGAGCGGTTTTTTGGGTTTTGTATAATTTGTACAGAGCTTCCATGCCCTCGTAATTTTTTTTCACTTTCAGGAAGGACGAGTAGTCGGTTGGTACCAGGTCGAAGAGGACCTCTGCGTTCACCAGGTCCACTCGCTTCGCGTCCAGGTCTTGGATCAGGTCGAAGTACTCCTGAAAAGTTGAACAATTGTGTATGAGAATAATTTCAACTAATTATTGGAGAACTTGGGTTTCGGAGTCACAGCTCACGTCCATTTTTCTCGTCCCCAGGTCCAGGTCGTTGCCGACACTTCCTGGGCCGTTTCTCTCGAAGTCCTCGGCAAACTCTGCGAGTTCTCGGATGAAATCGAGGATTTGCTCCTTGGTCATCTCGCAGAATCGGTCCTTTGTACTTTCGAGGGAGGTGGCTCTGTAGAGAGCGCCCAGGTACAAGGACTCCCAGTCGTGCTGCATCCTGTAAGCCAGCTTTTCGTCCTCCTCGGAAAATTCCACCTCGTGGATGTCCAAGGTTCTGAACGTCTCCTGAATCAACGGGATCATTCCCAGAAAGGAAGTATAACGATATAAAAAATAATAAGCAGGGGTCGCACCTGGTACAAGGAATATTGGACCTCCGCCTGGATGGCCATTTTCTTTATGTCGGCGATTGTCTGCATGACGATCTTAAAGCGGTCCAGCCCACTGATGACAAGTTCTATCTCTCCCCTGAATTTTTCTATCTTACTCTTCAAGTCGTACATGGAATCCAGAGTGCTGTCCAGGAGGTAGTTCCCCAGGACTTGCTTCCACTCCCTGGCGTGGTCCTTTATCCCTGAGAGTAGGGGCTCAAGATTTATCCTGTAATTATTTTTGCATGTATAATTGTTATCCTTATATGCATGTATAATTATTTTATATAATACTCTTCCACTCACCGGATGCTGTTGATGTCGAAGTACGGAGTCATCTCCTCGATCTCTTCGATGATCGCCCCGTAGAAGGACAACTTCTCTTCGTACTGCTTTAGGGTCGGATTTGTAGAGGCGAATTTCTCGCAGGTCTGCAGCTTGTCGAAGTGCCACAGGTTGGAGTACTTCTTCCACCTGAGCAGGTATTTCCAACACTCGAAGGCCAATCTGTGCGCCGTGTCTTGGACCATTATTATCAGGTCGTTCACCAGCTGATCACGAAGAGTAATAAATTTTTACTAATTTCTAACAATTTCTGGGGGATCTTCTCAGGTACCTGAACGCTCATCACGTCCTCGAAGAAGCTGAACGTCACGAAGTCGTCGACCTGGCCAACTTTCTGCGGTTGACATTCGCGACAAGCTTTGTACATCCATCTTGGGAAGACCTTCAGCCTCTCCAGCAGGTCCTTTACATCGTGGAGGATGATCGTGTAGATCTCGGCAGCGGAGGGTCGAAGGACCACCTCGGAAGACACCAGGACCACGTCCACGTAGAACATCGCCTTGTTCCCGAGAAGTAGCTTGTTGAGCACTTCAAGGTTCCTCACGATGCACCTGAGGGATTTTCAGAGTTTCAACATTTACCTTTAATTATGGACCTTGCACCCAAACTCACGTTATGAAGGCCGTGAAAATCTTGTGCTCGTATCTTTCGTAGAAAAGCTGCATGGCGTCGCTTCGACCCGAAGAGGTCCCCTCCACCAGACTCTCGAGCTTGATCATCATCGGGCTGGCCGATTGATAGGCCTTCAGCATCGCGCAGATCAGCTCCGTCCTCTTCGTCTCCACATCCAGGAAGAACTCCTTGAGGAACGGAGAGGATTCACGGTGAATTTTTCGGCATCTCGATTATTTCAACCCTGATGAGGTTCCTAACGACCTACCTTGCATCCTAGGACCTGGAAATCCGGACCGTCCGGGTCGACGGAACCGGCGATGAGGTTGTAGCTCTCGATATCTGACTCGATTCTACGATCAAGGTCTCCTTTCATCTGGTTCACTTGTGCGACGATGGACGTGAGGCTCTTCAATAATTTCCCACAGGCTTTGGCGTAGTCGGTGATGCCCAGCGAGTACCAGTTGAACCTGGTCAGTCCGGGCTGAATATGCATCTCGATGTTCTGCAGGGTCCTCTTCAGGAGCGATATCTGAAAGCAAGGAATATTCCTTATCAGAATTCCCTTACTCAGAGTTCACGATTTCTTGACAATTTACGTCAGCACGGTCCAGCTTGTCGACGATCTCGTTGTACTGCTTGATTATCTTCTCGGCGTTCTCCATGTCTTCCTGAAGACGGTCTTTCTGGATCCCCACGTCTCTCGCAATTTTCGGCAGCTCGAATCCGAGCTGCTCCAGCAGCTCCGCCTGGAGATAATTTATTCCTCCAGTTTTTTTTTTATCATGGATTTTGGTTTTTACAGATTCTACCTCGCGGATGATCTCGAAGACGTCGATGTTGAAGTTCACCTCGAACTTCAGCTGCCGTTCCGCAAGGATGACACCGTGCATGTTGTCTCTCCAGAAGAAGGCAGAGGTGGTCCCTTGCAATCTATCGCTGGAAACTGTCGAAGCTCTGTAGTCTCCACCGGGTCCCATTTTTTTAAGCGACTTCCGCTCCGATTTGAACATCGAGTTGGGGGCCAAGGTGATCGCCCTCGAACTCTGCGCCCCGGAACCGGAAGTGTCCGTTCGACGAGTTGAAGAAGCTGAAGAAGAGTTCCATACTTACTCTTTCTAGGATAATCCCTTAATTAAATATCTAGAGGATAAGTAAAAAATACCCGTGCTTTGCTTCGAGGCCAGATTATCTCGATTTTGCAAGGAGCCCAATGGCGTCGTCTGGTAAAGGTCGTGCAGCAAAGGATTTTGGAATTCCTTGCTCCGAGCCCGTTTGATCTGAAGAGTCAGGGGATGCACCTTGGATTCCTGAATCCTCTGGGCCTCCTCGACTGCGATTAAACGCGGAATAATTGATCACTTCTCTCAAGAAGCGTATTAAATATTCCTCACCTTTCTCCCTGTCGTAGTAGACCACCTTCAGGACGTTCCTCTTCATGGCGCTCGGCAGGGTGTTCTGAGCCTTCTCCACCCAGGCGGAGAATTTCGAGTCCTCGAACGACTTCATCTGTTTCGCGATCGCGAAGTACTGGCTAAAAGCCAGGAGCTTCAAGTCGCTGTTCTTCAGCTCCTCGACCTGCTGGAACATCAGCACCGGTCCTTTCAACCTGTGGAAGAGCTGCCTTTCCCAGTAAATCGCGCCCGCTAGGGGTGGGTGGTACACCAAAAGGGGTGGATTTCTCTTGCCTGGAGTAATTAATTTCAGTAATTAATCATGAAAACCATTTTTCGAGCCACCGCCATTTTTTTTTCTTATTCGGATACCTCTGTTGAAGATGTTCTCCACGAGCGTGATCTCTTTACTGAATTGCTGCATGATCACGTCGAACTTCCTCAGCAGCAATTGTTGGATCGCCTCCCTGGTTTTTATGTTTTTAAATTTCAGCAACATTTCCAAGGCATCCGTTGCTCGGATCAAGACTCGAAAGCACTCGTCGATGAAAAACTGGGCCTGATTTTCCAGATACGTCACTTCGGTGTAAAACGAGCTCATTGTTGCATCCCAGTTCTCCTTGTTGAATTCCGTGAAGACGTCGAAATCCGCGTCCTGGATCGGCAGGACCAAAGTATCGACGCGTTTCACGATCGCGTCGATCTGGGCCGGGTCGTCGATGATGGATTTCAACTCTGCCCCGAAGATGTTGTAGAAATCCTCCAGGACGCTCGCTATCTTATTTAAATCCTTGCACACCCCTGCTATGTACTCCGTTTCCTTGAAGAGACGACGCTGATCGAACTCCCAGCGAGTTCCCTTCCCTGAGATTTCGATATTCTGCCTGGTGGTCAAGTAGCTCAGCTTCCAGTTCTTCATCATCCTGTGAGCATCCTCGGTCATCTGCAGGACGTCGTCCAAAGGATTCCTGGGTATGCAAAAATATTCCCAATGCGGTGACAAAATTATATTTGCATGAAATATTATATATATAATCTGGGATTATTTTTAATTGATGCTTTAAAATCATTTTTCGCTGTACTTGAAGAGATCGTTCACGGCGAGATTTCTCATGACGTTCTGGCAGAGCTGCCAGGAAATCCTCTCGAAGAGGGGGACCATTTTCTCCTCTACGCAGTAGTATTTTGAGAGCACCCAGATCATTCTGATTCCCTCGATGAGAGTCGGTATCGAGTCCGCGATCGTCTTGAAGGAGTCCGATTCGGTGATCATCTGGGAGAGGATCAATGAAATTTAATTTCCTGGCTGAGAGAGATTAATATTTATTAATTTTTTCACTACCTTGAAATAGCGGACGACCGTCTGCAGGAACTTGTTGTTGTCTCTTGCCTCGGCGTAGAATCTCCACAACTCTACTCGGAAATTGTCAAAAGCAAAGGCAACCGGAGACTGTGCTTGGTCCAGCAAGGATAGGATCCTGGGGATTGGGTCGGTTTTTAATTGTTCCACCAACAATGACAAGCCTGTCTCCTTTTCGTGCCAATAATGGAATTCCGCCATCGGACCCTTTCCCTGCGGCACTTTGTTCGAGTACGACTCTAGAACCTGAAGAATCGAATTTATTGTATCCCTAAGTATACTTTTCTATGGAATTTTTATCTCTGTTATCATCTACTTTATGGATATGTTTTCCCCAGGACGTGACGACGTCTTCCAGTTGCTGCATTATCTCGAAGTTGGCGATAAACATTTCGTTCGTCATTTTCGGGTCTGCCAATTCCGGCATTTTCGGCAGCGTTAATAATGTGTCGCCCTCGACGTGTTCCAACGTCCTGGTGGGAGGATAATGTGTGGTAAATATTTAAAAATGATAAATTTAAAGAGCGACGAGGAGGTCCTACCATTCTACCGTCGTTGTCAAGTTAGCAAGAAGATCCAATAGATCCCTCTTCGTCGGCTCCATTTCTTCCTCCTCTTCCTTGGCCTTCTTCGTGTCAGTCATCGACTCTGATTTCGTCGACTTGTCCTCGTCTATCGCTTCGCTCTTTTTGCTAAACTGCTCTCTAGAAGTCGCGGATTTGTCCTGCCTCGATTTCGCAACATCGCTCGCGGTCATGTACTCTTCGGATATCTGAGATGCTCTTACGGAATGCCTCCTGTAGTCGGAAGGCTTCATGAACGCGGTCACCTGTTCAAATTCCGCTAATAAATAAATTATTGTAATACATAAATTAATTTTTTTAAGGAATTTTCTGGTGACCTGAGTGCTCGTCAGGCTACTCTTTCCCGAGTTGGACTTTTGTCTGTCCATTTTGTCTTCTTCTTGCTGCTGGACCGCAGATAATCCCCGGAATTGTTTCTCCACCAATGGCTTGAACACCTAGATATTTCGATTTCTTTTTTAATAAAGACCTTAGACGTCTCGGCGAGGTCTTAAATATTTTTAGTAAGGGAGGACTCACCCCTGTTAGCATTTTGTGAAAAGACGATAGGAACTTCCCATTCAACGAGCCCACTATTAAATAATCGACGATGTCTGCGTTGCACTCTTCGTAGGTCTCGTAAGGAGGGACGCCATTTTCGTTCGTCCTCAGGAAATAAATGAGATTCACTCCCTGAAGCTCAGGATCATTCGCGTCGATTTTCCCACAGAACATGTGAAGCACCGGGATACGCAGGACCTTTTCCACCATTTTCTGCGTGGTCGGGAAATTGTTTAAAAAATTGTTCAATGCTCGTTTATGGTGGTTTACCTTCTTCAAGATGTACTTGCCCTCTTCCCCCGCTGGCGGCACGAAGGAGTTCACTGAAATTTAATCTGGAGTTAATGCAAGGAATTGAGGGAAGATAAGTCGGGAAAAATTTTACGTATTACGCGAAGCGGCGCTTTTGGATTGACTTTTCGATTTTTCTGCCGCCTCTTTTTCCCCGGAAACGCTTTCTGCGCTGTCTTGGGTCTTCGATCCCGTTGTTACGGACTCCTGGGTAGACGTCCTTTGGTCCGAAAGGATCGTCATCGTGGAAGCCAAGCCTTCGGTACCGGTGCTCATGCTGCTCACGTCTTTCTCAAAATTGTCCCCCTTTTCTGGCTTAGACTTCCCTTTTTTCAGTTTTTTCGGTTTCTGGACCTTTTTCTCCTCCACCTTTTCCACCTTTCCTATCGAGGTGAACGTGATGATCAAAATTCGATAAAAAATCGGGCTGGATAAAATTCGACAAAGTCGGAGAGAAATTGAGCAGATGGATTGCAGTAATTTTGTTCTCTCGCAAAATGGAAAAGCGTGTGTGCAGATCGTGTTGGAATGTGCATTTCGATTTTTAGGAATTATCTTTTTTACCAGGCGCGCTGTTTGTCAACCTCGGCCGGCCCTTTGATGTGAGTGCCGCCAATTTTGCAAATTTTGCAAAATGGCTGACCGCTTAACCCCCCGAAAACACCACTCGGTTAGTTCGTTGGTAAATTTGTAACGCAATGAATAAGTATTAATTTATTTGACGCTTTGGAAATTTTTCTTAGGGGGCAATGATGTTTACCTGCTGTCGTGATTGAAAAACATTATTTATTAATTTTCATGACTGCCAATCAAACGTGTGGCTTTTATTTTATTTTTTTTTATTTTGGTGACTTACTCTCTTCCCAAACGTCGATTTCCTCTTGAACCACCTGACTTTCGTAAGTTTTGTAAAAAAATACTTGTTTCCTCTCCAGGTCCATGATACCATACGTGTCAAGGACCAAAAAGTTTAGTAACTTGTCCTCATAGTATCGATTATTCGCCTACACGAATTACAACTGTTTAACTATTTAAATAAGGAATTTTATACCGATTATAAAATTTGTCCGTCTAAATTATACTTACATTTATGAGCTCATCGAACAGTGCATTGTGCTCGTGAAGTCCGAGACATTTTAACGCTTTATCTCGAATCCAGATTACCCTGGAATAAAAAATTTAATCGAAGTAAAGTTAAAAAATTACCGAAGAGGTATATCAATTTTAATTTGTCCGATTAAATACCGATAATCGATCGTGCTGGATTCTGTCAGCGAAACGTCACTGATAGGTTGTGGAAATTCGTCTTCGTAATTTTCCTCCTCTTCGTGGATGTTCATCTCGGATTCCGGATCACTCATTTTGCAAAGTTTATTTATTCTTTGGTCAATTATTTATCCCCTAATTGGACTTAATAGATAAATCCTTCAAGAATTCTACACGTCTAGAGCATCACTTTGGATGACTCCATTTTGACAGCAACGTGTCACTGAGAAAAATGACAATGATCATATCAACGAATATCAACGTTAAATGTCATCGGACGTCATGTCATTATAACACTTTCTGCACTTCTGACTTTTCAAGTAAGCAACATTGACAACTCAGGGTAAAATGTAAACGTCTCCATAGCAACGCTCTGGTCGTCATGGAGAATGCACAACATACTCAACGCCCCCAAAAATATTGAAAAGTATTGAATTGTGATACTTCGGAGAGGAAATTAAGTATGGGAAAGGAAAATAATGCTAAAAGGCCAATCAGTCTCTTTTGTAAAAATATATTTGTATCATTGGTTACATGGTGCACGAAATAATCAAGGTACACGATTATTGATCTTCGGGACACTCGACATACATTCTTCACGCTGAACTCCTCTTCAGGTTCCTCTTCAAAACCCCAGAAAAATAGGATTCGATACGATAAGCTACGCTTGAGTTTGTCAAAAGTCGTACGTATTTTTATAAAAAGGAAACACCACTAATAATACATAATTACTCTAAATGTGCGACTTTTGGAAAACTGGAACGCAGCTCAGGCTCACTTCTCACATTTCTGAATTCTCAAATTTTAAGACAAACTAAGTATCGAGTTTGGCGTTTCGATCGACGTTTTTGGAATTTTCTTGGAGGCCAGAATTGTTTCTGGAGGCGTCTGGAGAGTTGTGGAAGGAAAATGGACTCTGAAGAGCGCGTCCTTCGACGGATACCAGACCACGGACCACAGCATCTGCGAATGCCTTCCGATCTTCTTCGGTGTCGAAAGAGAATCCCAAGGAAGGAACGAATTCCGTTTCCACGATGACCTTTTCCACGGGTTTTTCTTTCGCTTTGATATCCGCATTTTTATTTTCACTTTGATTCGGCCCTGGAAAAAATGGCGGCGTCCTTTCGTCGAAACTCAGCTCGCTATTCTCCCCCAAAGAGTCGTTCACCGGCAATCCTGTTCTGAAATCGAAGGCTCTCCTCTGTGCCGGCAATTCGAAACTCGAAATCCCGTCGAAGGAATCTGTCTCATGCTCGTACAAAGGTTCACCCAATGTTTTACTCAGACTTTCCAAAATTTGATCCCTCGACGGTCTCGACACTTTGACCGGTGATTCAAGATGTCGGACCAGCGGGCTCTCGAAAATTTTCTCTCTATTCCTCGCATTTGTAGGTTTTATCACTACTTCCGGGCTGGTGAGATTGGTCGATTTTATTTCCGGTTTCGGGGTGAATTCCCGGAATGAAAACGGCCGTGGGAGACGATCGTCCCTTGGCGAATTGAATTTTTCAGGATTTTCTGAATTTTTCGAATTTTTCGGATTTTCGGCATTTTTTGAGTTTTCCGATTTTTCCGAATTTCCTGGGAATCTCTCGTCTCTTTCGAGGGGACTAGGAGTTCCGAAACTCTGGGATGCTGAGCTGTGGAAAGATTCGCTCGGAGGCGGGATGGATTCTTGCTGGATTTTAATATCTGGATTTTCAGATCTGATGATTTCGAAAGACTCAAATTTCGCCGGGCCTACCGAATCCGTGTTCTCGTGCTGCGCTATCAGCTTCCTTATCAAATCACCTGTGGGGTCGAAATCGTCGCCTTGGTTTACCGCAAAAGTCACTTGATAGGGAGAATCGCTCTTGTCGATCGACTCCTCGATCTCTAGAAAACTCCCTGGAAGGGATGATTTTCCGGAAAACTGCGAACTTCCTCCATCTTTTAACGATACATTTTCCGAAGACTCTCCAGCTGAGTCTGGACTCTCTTCTTTCGAGTCTTCTTCCTCCTGGACGAGTTCTGTTTTTTCAGAACCCACAGGACTTCTTCCGGAAACTTTCGACTCGATTTCGGAGTCTTGTGCTTTTGGAGTGTCTTCCGAAATTTTATCGCCACTTTTCGGCGGCTCTAATACCAAATTCGGCCTTGATAAAGAAGACACCGTCGACGTTCCGAAAACAGATTCCTCTTTTCGTACGATTTCAAAATTTAAATCGACCTCTTCCCGCGATTCAGGCCTTGGAGAAATGGGAAGTAGATTCGCGACCGAGAATTTTGAATCGGAGTCGTTTGGCCTGTAGAAATTATTTTCAAAGTTCTCGACGATGGAATTTTCTGTACTGCTCGAGAGCGGTTCGAAATTCGTAAAATTCGAGGATTCGCTTTCTTCCGTCGAAAATTCATTCTCGAGGTTTTCACTCGTGTTTTTCGCAATTTTTGGATCGGGCTCGTCAAGTATTTCGTCGAGATATGGGGGAAAAATAAACCTCGAAGGAACGTCGATTTCGCGGTCGGTGAAATTTTGAACAGCTTCGGCAATTTCTCCAGATTCCGTGGATCGTTCCTCCGTTTCTTTTATCGTTGTATCTGTATTTTTTTCTTCCGCATAAACCGAACCTTCGGTCGTAGGAAATTCATCGAGGAATTTTGAGAGCGTCTCCTGCTGAATTTCCAAAAACTCGTCCACTTTCGGAGGTACCAAGACTTTCGCGATTTTCCACGACTCTTCGTCGCCATCGTTATTTTCAGGGGGATCGAAATTATAATTTGGAGTCGTGATTTCGGAGATGGCTTCTTCGATTTGATCGATGGATCCTCGATGATAAAAAAATGGAGCAAAGCGAGTCGACTCGAAGATCGATTCCGTGGTTGTGAGGAAGTCCGTTGTTTTGGAGTCTCCGAAATTCCCCAAATTTTCGGTCGATCTCTTATCAGGCTCCGAAATTTCTTCGTAATCATCCCGAGACAAGGCACTCTCTTTATCCAAAATCTCTGTCGAAGAATTCCGATCTTCGGCGGAACTTTTCTCATCGATTTTCGGATCAGCCTCCAGAGTGTCGTTATCCAAAAATTCAGAATCGTTATCAATACTCGCAGGGGTCGTGCTAAAATCCCCAAAAATTCCCTCCGTGCTAGAATTTTGTGCACTTTCGGTGGAAATTTCTTCCCCATCGGAGAACCGATTGCTTTCGAAATTTTCACTTCGGCCATCGTGCTTTTGAACAATCGTCGTGGCACTTCCTTGCAGCACATAATCTCGATCGTTTTTCCCATTCGTACGTTCATCGGAATTTTTCCTCCAGTCTTGCCGTTCAAATCTTCGGTCAAATTTCCCTGGGTCCTCAGCCTCCCCTTTTCGAGTCTCTCCGAGCAATTCTTTCTCCTCTTCTCTGGACCTGACGAAACCGACGCTTTCTCTGATCTCCATATCTTCGTTTCCGCCTCCCTCGTTTTCTCCGTAATAATTCGCCCCGTCTTTGCCGTAATTCCGGCCATAATCCGAAAATTGGAAGACCCGATCGCTCTCTCCTCTCCTCGCAGCGAATTGGCCAGGTCCATTAATGCCCGTTTCGCTTTCGTTTCTCCTACTTCTCCGGATTCCACGATCTTGAAAAATCGTCGGAGGTGTGGGAAGGGGTTGGACACTTTTCCTGCGAGTGTACAAATGATCCGAGCCGTCGACAATTTGGTCGAATCTATTGTAAGCAGGTGTAACGGGTCTGTAGGTTGTAGTAGGTACGGTAGGTGAGTAAAACCTCCTCGTGGTGGTGGTGATGGTGGGCACGGTGGGTGCATAAGAAGGCTGGAATTCATTTTTCGACGCCTCCACCCTGCGGTCCTTCGAATTTTGGAACCCTCCTCCACCTCTTGACTTATCGAAGTACCCTCCTCCGTTGCTAACCTGGTGGACGCGAATTAAGGGCGATTTGGGGAAAACGTTCGCCCCGTTCGATTGATTTTCCTCGTAGAATCGATCACTGGGACTATCCAGGTCTCTATAATCCAGGTTTTCCAGTTGTCCCAGATTTTGATCTCGATTTTGGTACCTGGGGTAAAATCTCTCCCCGGTTTCCGTCCTGAGCCCCGAGTAGGGGTCCGCGATCTGCGCAAATCCATGGGCGATCATGTCGTCTATAATGTCTCCTGGGGAGAATCCATTCACGTCGTTCACTCTCAACTTTTCCGTCTTGTGGTTGATTATCCTCCCTTGGCGATGGTTTCCTGGAGTTTCCTCGGCCGATGGATAGGTCACCATGCTGTACGCCATCCGGATGAGCTCGTCGTCGTCGTTCTCGGAAAAGTCTTTCTCGGTGATCGGATAGTATTTCTGGGTGGACGCGCAGTCCACCTTGTTCCACCAGTCGCAGGTTAATAATTTCTGGCTGAACGTGGATCCCACGGGACACAGGAAGGACGACACCACGATCCTGTCGCACACGTGGAAGACTTGGCACCCCACATCCTCGTCGGCGTAGTATCCTGAAAAGTGCAACGAAAGGGATTTAAGTCCCTCGTGTCACTGTATTTTTTTAATATCACCTGAGTAGGTGCGTTAACATGGAAAGCGTCGTCAAACGACACGAACTGTCCCGCTAATTGGGAATTCTGCTCGTCCTAACATAGGGCGTTGCATAACACGCGTGCATGCACATGCACGCAATTCGAGGCGACACGGGATCTCCATTCGTGGACGACCTAACGACGCGGTCTGCACCCGGAAAGTGCATCGTCCTCGGATTGCAAAATACGAGCCCTAACCACGGCAATGAAAATTTATGGTCACTTATTAAAAGCGGCTTCGCATCCCGAGAATTCACATCGGTTGCTTCGATGAAAGTAGAGAAGGAAAGGGGAAAAAAAAAAAAGTGCAGATTGCAGGTTGAAGAAATCCACCGAATTCTTTCCCACGGGAGCCGATTTTCCAGGTTCGAGGAAAGGGATAGATTATCCAGGGGCGATTTAGTCGGACCGGAGGGTTCCCAGGAAAGCATTTAGCCCGGATATGAACGCTCGAGAATCGCATGGGAAGGATAAGTATTGCCGAAGCATGCAGAAAGTGCATCGTAACGCTGATCGGATTCCAGGATGCAATCACGCCTGCCGATGCACCGGGAAAAGTTACGACTTCGCGTTATTATATATGCGCTTTCACGTGCTAACGAAGGCGTGCCCATTTGAACCAGAGATTTGAAGTTTTGCCTGGGGAAAAATCTGGAAAAATGTCCGAGGAATTTCTCGACTTTTTTTCCCCCTTTCTTTTTTAACGCCGCGTTTGGGATCTTAAGGGAAGAGAGGTAAAGCATCGCCTTGGCACGCGAAATCCGAATCGTGACCGAAGTCGGATTGCAAAATCGAATGCAACTTGTCGATACACGACGACGATGAGTTATGGCCTTCTCGGGCATTGCAATATCTCTGTCGATTCTGACAGAAAGCGACATTTACAGATTCCTCCTGGATTTATGGAGATTACTCCGAGATCCTGGTATGAGGTCACGGAATTAAATTTAAAATGTCCCGAGGGGGGCCATTAATCCTGCTAATTCGCCCGTTTCGCTGAAAAGCGACCTTCGGACGAAGGATCTCTCCAAGGAATGAAATCCTGTAAAACCGACGGGATGTGCATCGCGGTGCAATAAAGTGCACGCATCGAAGCGTGTCATTGAAAATTTACGATCCTCTGGTAGTCACGCATTACTTTCAAGCTCCAGACAATGGAACGATACTATTGCATAAACTGGGGATCTACAGAAACACCGAAGATAATAATAAACATTTAAATTACAAATTTAAGAAGAGGAGGCAGCTTGGAAAAAAAATTCTAAATATAGTACGAAGCTCCAGATTCTTGCCTGGATTATTTTTTTGGGGAAAGGGTAAAGCACCCGCGAGTTAATGAGCACTTAATCCAGGGAGTGGAGTAACAGAGAGGAGTGCAGCGAATTTACTTTTGCGATTGCACAACGTCCATCCGCGCCCAGGCTGTATGCCAAGTGGTTCTGCAAAATGTCAAAACGCGGCAAATGCAAAGCCGTGACTTTCCCTTTACAGTTTAACGTCAGTCGGGAATAATTCCTGGAGGAGTGGTCTACCACCGTAATTTCCGAAAATTATCGAAAAGGGAGGACGGACTCGAAAACGAGCGGGGGCTTAAAGGGAGGGCCGATTTTCCCGTAATTTTCGAAGCTAGTCGTCTCGAGATTTACTCTCGGTGCGGTGACCTATTGCGAGAGCAAAGAAAATGTCTTTCATGGTATGAGGTGCCTTGAATGCCGTTACACCAGCCGGCTTAGCCGGCATCCTTGACATCCGTGGTAAAAGGTGACGAAAGAGTGCCTCCGATATCGGAAGAGCCCCAGGGAAAGAATTCGGAGCGGTCGCCACATTTTCTGAGGCCCAAAGAAATCTCGGATACGTGGACTCGCGTGTCGTCGATTATTTCACCTTCTATTTCGTGCCTCGAGTACTCTGCAATTTCTCTGACGTGCGAAACTCTACCGAGACACTTGACGTCTTAATTAGCCCCCGTTACGAAATGGACTCCTCGCGGAGGGAAATTAATACAAAATTTCTGGCCGACCTAAACGTTGCCGTGCCGGTGTCTCGTCTTCGTTACTATGTCCAGGTGTATTTAAAAAATGCTTCCACGTGGAAATCAATTGCAGGGAATTTTTTAACAATTCTTAGAGATTACCTCTAGGTCGATCCTCGCAGGAGAATCTCGTCTGAGGTAGAATCGTGTAAGCTGGGTAGTCTATACCCGGCTCTCCTGGGACGTTCCTCCTGATGTCCGAGAAATCTGGAAAAAAAATTGATAAAGGACGTAGTTATCTATATATAGAAATTAATAATTATTCATTCATTTTGAGAAGTTTACCTGCATGGTCTTTATACAGTCCGTAATAGCCGGAAGTCTCGAAGGGGTCGAAGGGCCCCTCCTCCGAGTCGAAGAATTTCCTGAAGACACGATTTTATCAGTTTCCGTTTTGGTACATTTAAAAGAAACGTTGATAAAATTAATAGTACCTTCCTCTTGTCCCGTCGATCGCTCTTCGTCTTAGGAAACTGATTTCTGACCCTTCGTTCCCAAAACTCGGCTCCGCGCTCCATAACGTCGCTATCAGGCCTATTATCGGATAATGTGAATTAAAAAGTATTTCTTCATTATTTAGACATCAGGAAATCCAGGGAACCCTTGTTAAGTGCACTCCTTTGGTGTACGTTCATCAAACGAGAGGTGCAGTAATTATTCGATAAATTGCTTGTAATCGCCGCCACTTTCTCGATGACTCGAGTCGGTGTTGTCTGGCACTTTGGACAAATTGTCGGGAGGATTGACAGTAGATGGGATCGAGATGTCGTGGCCGTAAAGTAGAAAGTCATCTCCGACGTCCTTCGGCAAAAATTCCGATTCCAACGTTTGATATTTCTTGTCGATTGATCTTTGCGCGTCTAAAGGCCGCCCGAGAAGGTTTCATATTTAGAGATTACATCTGTCAATTCGACCTCCGATGGAGCCACCACCGAGTCGCCATTAATATAAATTATGATAATTTCAAATTACACGAACGAGCAATTTTTTAACGCGTCGATTTATTTTACGAAATTTGATTGAGAACGATTTACCGCGAAGGAGGTCCGACGACCTGATGCCTGCAATTTTCTGCAGTTAATACCTCTCTCCGCACGGTTATTTACGACTTGTTCCGCATCCGTTAATTGCAGGGCAAAGCAACATCGAAAATGATATCGTTTAACGGCAGACCGATCCGCCCGTGAAAGTCCATTACACAATACCAGGGAGTATTCCGGAACACTCGGATCTCCAGGAAGTACTTAGCATATTCGAGGCTGCACGAGATCTCGATTCCGACGATTAATCTACACATCCATCCACCGTCTTCACCGCCGCGAGGTGTACATCTTCAGAGGATTCCTTTCATTCCAGATCGCGGAACATTCCATTCAAAATCGGACATTTTCATTCATGATTACCGACATTACTCCAAACTCGCACTTCCAACATTTTCATCCACGCGTGACGCGTTTTTTCCTATTTTTTCTCGGACCTTTCCAGAGGCCCGATTCGAGCGAAATAATTTACCGACAGAATTCAATGCAAGACGAAGCTCTGACAATGTTTTTGGAGAACGGAAAAAAATTGGAGGAACCGAAAAAAAAAAATTCGGAAGTGGCGCACTTTCGGGGCGCGCGGAGGTCGTTGCAGGACGACACTTACACAACGAGGGGAAAACGGTCCACATAGTGTCGGATGTCCGCGGAGTGTCCGGAACCGTTGGAGAGGACCATCCAGGACCGTCCAGGACGGGCAGTCTTCGGCGCGATTCGGACTCGAGTGTCCCTCGAGGGGTCCTCCTCGGCCTCCTCGGCTCTCCTCCCTGAGTCGCCTCTCCGGAGAGGAGAGAGAGATGGTACCTTTCTTTCCACCTCTCGTCGGCGGTCCCTCGCGATCTCGTAAAAAGATCGCCGAGTCGGCCGATCGACCGGGTGCCGATTCAGCCCGACGTTTCCCCATTCTTTTGTCGAGTCCGCTTTTGAGGACAGCGAAATGTCAAGAAACCCGACGACCGAGAGATCTCTCGTTCGGGAGGAATCCCTCGCTAAAACATAGCCATAAGACCCGAAGAAACGCCGGAAACGTCGGGCCTCTAACAATGACTTAATTTACTTCCTATTTGTATTGTTCGAATCTATCGATAAGAGGAAAATGCAAGTCGTTTAGTACATTCGAGGTCTTTGGCGCGTCTTCAGGGATGCTGCCTGGATCCGGTGGCGCAGCGGAGTCGATGTTTGCGCGTAAATCCGACGCAGCCGGCATTGCGTAACTCCGATGACATTGCCTCAGTTCTGGACGCGTTCCCTCTCGCATGGTCGTCCCATCGAGAGCCGCTTTCGAGTTGCGCAATTGCCCGAGGAGCGAGTTTCAGGGGGAAGAGGAGCGCTCCTTCGTCTTTGTACTTTTTTCCATCCGGGCCCAGCCCTCTCTCGTATTCTCGAATCGCGGAGAGTTATCGAGCCGCATTTCGCCTAGATTAAAATTCGGTACTTTCGGAGTTACGCCACCCAAAGGTATAAATTTTAATCGAGGACTTCCCCCGTGACCTTGGAGCCTCCAAGACTCCCACGACCCTTCGCGCCTTTCTTCGTACCTCTGAAAATAAAAAGGAATCAACTTAAATAATTAATCAAATTAAAGCAGACCGGTGAACCCATCTCGACGAAAGTCGCAGATCATTACCGGTTACTTCTCACCGGAGTCATCAAGCCGGTCCCTCTCCTCCGGTTATGATGCACTCTCGAGACCCGAAACGCGTGGGAATGGAATTCTCTTCCTCCGCGTATTACCCAATATTACGACGAATTAAACGTCGATCTAGAAAATGGGAAAAAAATTGATTGCCGGAGATACCGTCATCCATTCTTCGAACGTCCTTACTTATATGTGATTTATGCGGTAGTTCACGCCTTTACTCGTCCTTTGCCTTCTCTCGTATGCGGTTTATCGGGTGCCTCCATCGGTCACGATATTTACCCGCGAAATGTTGCCCTCCTAGGCATCCTTGAAACACCAGGAGTCCTTTAATGCCACTCGACGTCGTTTTCGCGAGGTAGCGCGTCCCTTTCCCACATTCATGGGAAGGAGTCACGACGCCTTCTCTCCCTGCGGCTTCAAGGCGATTCCTGGCCACCTCCTTTTCCTCCTTTTCCTCCTTTACCTCCTCCACCTCCGGGAGAAGGTTCGAAGGCGGTCAGTAGGTGCACCATGAGTTGGCGCGCGCATAACGTAACAGCTGCATTTACGATCTGCCAAGTCAACCTTTCGCTTCTGCCTTTTAATTATTCCATCGCCTGCGAAAGAGAAGTAAAAAATGAATCATTTCCAACAATTATCATATATCACTCTTAAAAAGAAACGTCACCCAACCACAGAACTATTTCTTTGAATGGTGCCAATGAAATATTCTGTAAATTCAAAGAATAATTATTCACCTCAAATAAACTCGAATAAATCGGACGCCATGTTTATTCGGAGTTATGACAATTTATTTGAGTAAAATAATTATTCGTGGAACGAATAAAATGGCTCTTTGGTTCGATGGATTTTTTTTTCTCTCAGTGCAGGATTTGCAAACAATGGAGGATTTAATATGTCAGGTATTCGAAGATCCTCGTTGAAAGCGATGATAATTAAATTTCAATTTTTCCCTGGGATTTATGTTGAGCGGTGTTGAAAAACGAGGGCTGGAAGAAGGTGGTCTCCTTTCGAAAAAGAAATCCTTACGATTTACCGAGGCATTCGTCTTCCGCTCCAAAGATCGCGATCCTGATCGAATCGATTTCACTCTCGTCGGGCGCCGATTTTATCGGGCATCCTTCATGGTTCTCCGTTTCTGGAACGACGGGTTCCATTAAACCGGAGAATCGATCGGGAAGATCGAGTTCGCCTCGTCGCGGTTTTCGGCTCGAAATCGGTTCTACTCTGAAAAAGAAGGGAAAAAGTCAAGGAATGTAAATATGCTCATTCGCGCTGCAAGGACGATTTCACGGCCCGCTCACTTTACATGATACAGTGAATCCCCCTCGGGTGATTGAAAAAAATCAATATTCAGATTTTATTTCACCCCGTTCCTTTAAATGTCAAATGTGCTGGTTAAAGGTGGACGACTGTTGCGAGGCCGTTAATCAGTTCCCAATTGCAAAAGTCTCGCGTGACTTACCACTCCTGCAAGAGCGACACGGCGTGAACTAATCGATTCCGGTTGTCGAATCGATTTGAATCAATTTGCCAAATGTGTCGGCGAACTCGGGGCTGCTAATGATTCGAGTTCACGTCTCTATATTCTTTACCCGGCATAAGCAGATTTAAAATCCCCGGAATGAGGGTTACCACGTGGTTAGTGACTCGTGGGACGAAAACCATCGCTGCCACACGTCGATAAACTAAATTATTGACGGACAAATGCGCTCTACGGATAAATGAGCTCGGTGCTGAGTCGCTCGACAACGCGGACGGCACCATCTAGGGGGAACTTGGGGAACTGTATAGTGGATTGAATTTTTTTTCCGTCAGGGCGCGTTCTATGTGAACGAGTACTCATCGACCGAGTGATTCGACGGCGACGGCGTCGCGGATCGAAAGTGACCGAGTTGATCTCGTTTGATCGCGCGCGATCGGAAAGTGGCGAGTCGAAACAAGTGAGCGGCGGCGAGTTTTCGGTGGGCTCGTTGCGCGCGGACATGTCATTTCAATCGTCCGCAAGAACGGAAGGAACAAGTGTCGAACATGGCGGCGCGTCCAGGGCGCATAGAGTGATGCAGCGCGTGCAGGCTGATTCTTAATTTCCTCTCTTTGGAGCTGTAGGGCCTCGTCGACGCACACTAGTCGGGCCAAATGACATGGGAATTTGCAGCAGAAGACACTTCCTACTGACGATATGTACCCTACAACTCGTGAGTTGAGAAACCAGATGAGTTCACCTGTAGCTCGCACCTGCTCGCGTCGTTTTTCTCACCCCGCGGTCACGCTCGAAATCGGAACGCGTTACTCATCCCTGAGTCACATTTTCGAATGCTCTAGGCGATTACGCGTCCCGATTAGGCACTTTCTGAACTCTCAAAAAGATTCCTGAAATTTTTTTAAAGGAGCGGAATCTTGCATTAAAGGGGAATTTTAAAGAATTGCATGCTGTCTCTTTTATCACTAATAGGAAACAAAGCTAAACGCCTCATGTATCATGTAATCGATTGTTACCGAATGTATCGTGGTATCGAGTATGTAGACTGAATGAAGGAAGGGAAATTTTGCAAGTTATCGGACGTGGAATATGTAATCGGGTTAGCCTCTGCTCATGGAGCGGCACAAGTGGATCACTTTCCCGGCGCACTGTACGCTGGATTCCACCTAATCTGATGTATGGATCTGAGGGCACTTTTGCACACAATAGATTATTTCCTGTACATGCAACGTATCGTGCTATCCCATTGTGGGTACTTTAACTCGTCTCGGAGGCAGTGATAATTAATGAAGAATTTAGAACACGGAGCAATTGCTGGAAATTGAGCACGCACTAGAGTGTATATATGTTGGAACGATGACAGCAACCTTCGGACATGATTCACCTATCTTATTGTCAATTTCTTGGAGCATGTCGTCATGATCAAAATGTTTTTGTTTACAGATTACTACTATAGAACGCCAAGTATTCGACTTCCTAGGGTTTATGTGGGCGCCGATATTGGTTAACTTTTTCAACATTATTTTCGTTATCCTTGGATTTTTTGGAGCCTTTCAATGTAGACCTAAATACATCATATCGGTTTGTATATCCGTACTTACTCATTTTCTTTACTACTTTCTTAAGTATTTATTCAGGAATTCAATACGTATATATTAATTTGATATAAAAGTGTGTCTTATCAGTAATTTATATTACAGTATTGCACATGGAATACCCTATGGTTGGGTTGGAATATTTTCCTGATATGTTTTTATCTCAATGTAGGGGTATTGGATAAGGTGGGTAATTTTACCGTTGCTTAATACCTATTAGTTATTTTTTTTTTAATATGTATTTTCGATTTAAAGCATTTATTAACATTTTAGAACAGTGACATATTGAATTTGGGTACTGGCAGCTTCTCTTGGTGGCAAGTGAACGGGCCAGGGTGCAAAGCTGTTTACGATGTCACAGAACCAGAACTATTTAGACCTGCGAGGCCTACAAACGTGACGGATTGTGTTCTAGATTACGAAGTAGTAGAGGTATTACATGCGGCAACACAATGTCTTTTAGCAGTGAGTATTCTCATCGTACGTCTACCGCTTAAAAGAGACATGCCAATGAAAAAGTTCACGCTAAACCATGTCTTAGATTATGGCAATCGTGGGTGGCATCTGCCTGAGTCGCGTATTCCTCGAAGAAGATGACAGCTGTAAGTATGAATTTTCCTTGATCGAAATTTTTGTTTACATTGCTTGGTCTCATTTTTTTGAAATATCTCACAGGGTTATTGACCGATCGGTTATAGTTTAGAATCAAAAAAATTATTCTATCTGCTTAGATAGTCGGACACAATTTAAAAAGACGTCCACGAACGAACGCTTGTGGACACAGATAAGTAGAAGCAAGTGATTTGACTCGTTACGTCAGTGACAGCCAGTTCTTTGTATTACAGTCATTGCATAAAATCCTGCCCTCTTAACTGGAAGTCTGTATCGAAGGATGTGGTCACTGATTAGGTTTTTACCGTTCTATCAACTAACGCTTTCCTTCATCGACTCACAGCTTTCGGGTATTCTGATAAGATAAAGGGGGCAAGTCACGGCAGTCTAAATCTCTCCCATTCTAGAAATCAAGCAGATAAAACGAGAACGTATACATTCGCTGCATACTCTGACAGAAAATAACTCTTTAAAGACAATTATCATTAACAATTAACTACTCGTTGAACATTCAGACTCTGCTCTGAGACCTTAAATTGCTTCGACAAGGAAAGAGTGCTTACGGTAACGATGGATAGAGAATAATATAAATAACACTCACATTATCACTGCTGTTTGGTCTATGCTGTACTTAAGGCTAGACTCCTATTAAAAATAAAAGTAGTAAATTAAAGAAATTAGCCAGTAATTCCGCTATCCATCGGTAACGAGCCATTGAGCATCCGCTTACGTATTTTGCGTTGTCACTTGAAAAAAGGGTTGTCGGTTGCAGTCGATTTCATTGGTGGATTTGATCCCCCATTTTGGTAAGTGCCGACGCATCCAGTATATCGCCTGCACGCTCTCGTCTTTTCATTTCGGAATGTGTGAATGGGTTACGAGTCGAGACGTAGTGGACATAGAGAAGAAAAAAAAAAACAGTAAAAAAGACCGCCACGTATTGCAACTCTACGAGGCATAGCAGTAGTGTGAGTTTCCAGCATCCAACGCAAGTCTGCATTTTTCTTTCGATTATCTCTTGGCATATATTTTATTCTTATCAGCTGTAGTATTAGGCTTGGAGCCGAAACTCTCTGTTCACATGTTCGATCGTAGAGAACCTTGAACCAGTAAGTTAAGGCTTGGACGATGCGTAGTCGCTCTTCGTATCCCCGGCCTATGAATGGAGTTTTAACGAAACGGACTCTGGGTGACATTTCAGTTGACTTTGTCGGAGGTGGTGACTTTGGGCTGGCAGGCCACACACCGTTGCATCCTATGTACGTTAGCTACTCGGCTCTTCCGCCACCTGCCTATCCCCAGAAAAGTTCCGACCAAAGCTATCCCACGGGCACCGCTAGCTCGCAACGATTGGTATACCGCGAAACGACCATCCCGAGGCATCCCGGTGAAAAGTCCTTTGACAACCTGGCCCGCGCCAGGACTAGACAAGACACCGGGAAAAGTAACAGGAGCAACCTCTCGGGCCGCAGCGTGGAGAACGCCCGGCTTAACGCCGAGTGCAGTAACGATTATTCTAACCCTTTGGACCATTTGCAGAGACCGGTGTCTCCGTACGAGGAGTACGACTCCCTGGACAGCAACGGCAGGTTCATCTGCCAGAGGAACAGGCTCTACCGACCGCAGTCCTCCAAGCTCAGTCCAGTCGTAGCACCCAAGGCGAAGCCTCGACCGGTCCCCGGTAAACCCACGGGGAGCGTCCACAAGCCCAGGGTCTTTACCGACCACGTTAGGGACCAGCCGTTGAGGTCCTTTTACTCGGACCCGAAATTGGCGATCGACCAGGAGCAGACCCTGGGACGGGAGAGGAGCGTCAGGTCCAAAAGAGACAGCAGACCGCTCTCCATGTACACCAATAATGTCTGAACTGGCGTCTCGCCTAAAGATGCCGATTCATTGGCGTCGAACGGGTGCTGGAACTTGGAAAATCCTCCCCAGACTTCAGGGATTTCAATGTTCGAACGGACGCGATGACGGGCTTTGGCGAATTCGCGTGATTAGGTGATTAAGAATCGTTCGTTTCAGCGTCTGGTTGGCGCCAATGAAAAGGTACCTTGAAGAGGGGCGGAGGGTCTGTGGACGATGGAATCGCCTCGAAGGGTCGTTGGGAATCTTTGACCATGGAGTATGTTACGCCTTTTCGGGTACATCTCGCATCGACGGGTGACCCTGGCTTGGAGGACTGACGGTCGGTTCTTTTTCTTTTTTTTTTATTATTATTTCTGTTCTTTTATTTTCTATTTGGTAGATGATAAAAGACTTTTTATCAAGGCTGCAGGAACTTAGACTTAGACCCGAACTGCTGGAGAGAGAAGGTAGAAGCTGAAAAGAGACGTTTATCGTAGACTTATGCCGGGCGACGTTCACTCGGCACGAACACCTTGAAGAGGGTGTTTAGACAATCGGTCCGACTTTTGTCGGCAAGGAGAGCGCTCGTGCAACGAATTAGAGTCTTGACAAGGATTTTTCACCGGCGCGGCGTGGTACCTCTTCTGCACGGACTAGAATACGAGTACGTGCAAATAGGTATCCCGAAAGCAGGGTATGTCGAGCCGAGGATTTTCTAAAAGGGAACTGCGGCGTTTGTTTAAACGATCAGCGAATCGTATCCGGTGGTAATCTTTTCGGTGCGGTTTATCGATACCCTCGTCGACGGTGCACATACCCTGCCCGAAGGTGTTCTAACGTTAATCGATCAATTGGAATTTATTTTTCTACCGCCCTGTACTAGACTAATCGGATTTTCCTATACTTGCCAAATAGTTAGGGTACTTGTTAACGTAGCTAGTTGCGGGTGCCTTATCCCCGATTAACCCGGATCGGCATTTTATGCGAGTTAATCGTTTACAATTTACCGCCTGACCCCCGGTGTCTGTGACAATCGATTTTGTGCAATGTTATCGCGCCCTTTTTTTTTTTATATCAATTAGGGTACCGAGAGATAACGCGAACGATGCGCTCGTTTCCGCACCTTCGACCGGTCGCGTACCCTGACTCGCCTTTGGCTTGACTTTTCTTTACTTCCCTTTTGTTTTATTTTTCTTTTTCGCTAGTTTTCTTTCCATTGCACCCGTTGCTCCCTGGAATGCGCGCTTTTTATATTGTACTAATATACGTACGATGCATACACTGTGATATGTAGAACCGTCGTTGGTGACCGGCCGTGGCCGAATCGCCGTCACCTCGGCGCAATCTCGGAACCGCGGTTCGGTCTAGCTGATAAGAGTACTGCAATTGTAATTATACATTATACTTGCTGCACTTAAAGGTGCACTTTGCACGGCCGAGTCGTCGAGTACGACTGTTGGTCCCCGCGGTGCAAAGTAATCGATGGATCCGAATTTTAATCGATATCGCAAGTACGCTCTTCGTCGGTGTCGTTGACTGTAAAATGACGTTTTCATTTTTCCTTTTTTTTCTCTCTCTCTCTCTCCCCCTCAATTTCGAGATATGCAGCACTTCTACGCTGTCCTTCTCGTCGCAAAGAGACTCAAGCATCACAATTTCGCAAGTAACGAATTCGTCTTACCGGTCCTTATTGTTAATTAATAATAGTAATCACGGATTGCATTTAGCGATTGAGAGTGCGGTCTGTTATCGGTGCTACGGAAGGGATCTTCAATCGATTAGGAACTCGTCTGGTAGTGCATGGTAGTCACGGATTTTCGTTCTTTGCCTCCTCCCCCTTTTTTTTATTTTATTTCTCAATATTCGAGTAGATTATCTATGATTTAGGCAATCGCATCGACTTGATGCGTAGACGAGAAAAATGAAATCGCCAGGGGACCGAAAGCGGCGGCCCCTGTCGCTTCGAGAGACTAAAGTCGGACTTTTTAATGTTAACTTTACGTATTTAATTTATTGTCCCTCCGCGGAGGATCTTTAAGTTTTTTTTCCTTCTTTCTTTACTTTTATAGCATTCCACTCGTTGACCATGGATTTACTTTTCTTTTTATTTTTTCATGATATCGATTAGAGATTCGTCGCTTTTTCTGAAATGGCGCCGTGTCGGATCCGTTTGATACGATTTGTCTGGAGGTTGTATGTTAGATTTCATTTCGCAAGGATTTAATTCGCCGTTGTCGATGATTTATAGAGATGTTCCGTCGCTTGTTGCGTCATTTCAGAAATGATTAATTAGTATTTAGTGTCGTGTAGTACGGCTAGCTTCGTTAGTAGTCTAGACGGTACCGTATTTTCTTTATGTATGTAGAGATTGGCTTTATGTGGGTGCGACTACTGTGTTACACATTTTGGTGCATCCAGTGGTTAACAATAAACGTGCAATGCAGAACACACTATTGCTTGCTTTATTTGATTTATTAACCCCTTCACTTATTTCTGTCTCTTCTCCTCGTCTAACATGGTTCTACGCTTTGGTCTCTGGTGGACTCTCGTATCGTAGTCGGCGAATTTATCCGAATTTCCGTAGTGGATTGCTCTTTGTCTCTATTATTTATTCATTTATTTTTATTTTTATCCCGGAGTTTTCGAATCTTTCGGAATTCACCTTCATCCATAGCGTTCGGCCCTGTGCACTTCGCATGAACCGTAGAATCTCACCGAAATATTTTCATCTCCAAATCGAACGAACAAAAGGGAGGAGAGAGAAATCGAAAGCAGCGGAAAGAATTTTTTTTCGCTTTTTTTTATTAAGGAGAATAAACGTACCTCGAAAAGCACGTTTAGAAGGAATCGAGAAGTAAACGAGAAATCCTTAGAATTTTATTAACGAGTTCACTCTAAGTAGATATTAACGATATCGTGGATTAATATTTTATATAAAAGTCCCGAGTGGATTTCGTGTCTTTTAACGCTGTTGGTAATTAACCGAGATGCAAAGAAATGGCCAAGATATTGGCGGAGCAACTAAACGCGCTCGTTGGCCCTTTGGTAATCGATCTTCTGACGTTTTGTAGCAGTACAAACTAAGAAGAGGAAAAAGCAGCCGAGGCCTCTCTACAGCATCGAGTACTCGCAACCGGAGCTGCCGATCCAGGACGAGGGCGTCTCCCCGAAGCCGATGACACCTCGAAGAGTGAAGAGGAGGTCCGTCATCTCCAGAGACGGGACCAGGAGGTCCAGCAGGAGGAGCTCGGTTCGTCAGTCCCGGAGGAAGAATCCCGTAAACCGTATCATGGAACAGCAGGAGAGCCTCTACGCGAATACTCCTCCCAGCAACCTGACTAACCAGAACGTCAGCACCCTGTCGCAGAGTGCCCTGAATTACGACAGGATCGCCGGTACCTGGGACAGAGACAGGAACTCGAATTGGCAGCCCGAGGCCGTCAACATGACGGTGTCGTCGCCTTCCCTGTGGAACCAGGAGCCTAGCTACTGCAATACCAGCAATTTCACCAGCCCCGATCCTCCGAATTGGGAGTCCAGCAACTCCACCAGGAACTTGACCGACAACTGGCAGAACAATGATCTGAGCCCTATGCAATGGCAGGGACAGAGCAATCCTACTTTCCAGCAGACCAGCACTCAGAGTCTCAATGGAGAGGACTTGGATGAATTGTATGGCAATAGACCCGCTAGTGCCAGGTCGAGCTATAGCAATTACCATGGAGTTAGAGCTACTCCTCAGGTTCCCAGCAGAACCGACGTCGTCAGGCAGAGCCAGAGGCAGTTTGTACTCAGTGGACCTCCTGCTTATCAGGATACGGTTATTTGATGGAGAGCTTGGATTTAGATCCTCTCCTTTATATGTTAGGACTGGAGGAGCACCCTGAGGCTGAATGGAAAGGACTTGGAGTCGTTATGTCGCTACGGGAATTATTACCCGGTCAGGGTCGCTCTTCAGGACCTTCTACGCGTCCTGCGATTTGCTCCTCTCTTCAGGGTCCTTCCTTGGAGGATGGAGAATGAAAGTGTCAGGATTTTCTCTTGCGTTAGTTTAGTACGCGGTGTAGAATTTTTGCTCAATTTGTAAGGTAGAAAGGAGTAGAACTTGAGAAAAGAGACGAAGGGGGTCGCTTTATGTGACTTTTTTTTTTCGAGCGCCGCAGAGAGGACTGCTCGTTCTTCAACGTCTCGAGGAGTAGTTTGTTAATTAATTAGCGGTCGAGAGACTCTTCAAGCACTGCTTGACACGTACAAAATTGTACTTACTTTGCCGTTCGCTTTAGACACTGCCAAGACTTTCAATGCGTCACCCTTGCGATCCATGTACGAGTGTAGGTTTCTCTTCGTGTATTTAAGTATGCCTCGAGTAGTGTTTTATGTACGTCGTGAGGAATCAAAAGAGAGCACCGAACCATCTGTAAATATATTTTCGCATCACTTCGCATTATGTATCTCGGACACTTATTCGGGAACCGATGTACAAAGGAGACAATCAACGCCGTTCTTCGAGTACTCGCCGATAGTCGCGAAGACTTTTCTAAATGGGACTTTTCATGTGATAGTTATTACTTATTTTTTCTTTTGCGACGCGATTTACCGCGATTTTTGCGACGAGCCTTTTCAAATCGATGGACCACGATTTTACACGTTGACGTAATCGATAAGCTCGTCTTCCAATTTTGGATTTCATTTATCGAGATGTACTGTCGATTGCTCATTGCGCCGCCCCGATGGGAACAATTAATGATTATCGTACGGTATTTGCACGATTGTTTAAGCGGAGACCTTTTCTCATCCTGTGCGTGATTTAGTTGTCTTAGGGAGATGTACTGTAAATCAATTTAACTATTCATCGGTTACGTTTTTTTTCTCTCTCCACGACTGTTACTAGTTGCTTCGCACTGGCTGAGTTGATTTAAGGACAGTAGGGTAAACTAAAGTAATTTTATGATAATCTCGTCACCGCTTATTTCTCACCGCGGAGGAAGATGGGAATAATGGACTTTGATTTCGTGACCTCTATCATAGAATTATTTCGGTTAAAGGAACGTCGAAATCGTGTTCGTTTTTTAATCACTGCGCCCTAAGAAGCAGGAGAAATAAGAACCAAAGTATTAAGTACGAGTTTACCTAAGCTAGGAATAATCGCGGTAACCAGTGGTACTATAGTTATTTCGTATATTTCAAAGCGAGGACTCTAACAGGATCCAATCGACAGGACCCTCTTTCTTGCAAGGATTTGTTGCAAACGTTTCCGCCCGTTGTTAGGAATAATTGCGTATTTGTTGTTCTGCAATTAGTGTAATCAATCGTTGTCGATAATTTCGCAGGATGCAAAGGACTCGTGGAGACCACCATTGTCGCTTGAAGGACCTTTTTGCGAAATTGCACAAAGATGTTGGTAATTCCTATTTTCATATTTTCCTTTTCTTTTTCTTGCGATGCACAAAGGCGTTCTGCACAAACTCATGTCCTTTGCCTTTTTTTTTTCCTTTTTTAGAGAGAATTAGAGCTTCGCTTTTAAGTGTTGATTTTCCGGAGTCCGCTCTACGTTGAGAGACTTCAATTGACGATTAATCACGTCTTAGTCCTTACTCTTCTGTTGTAAGTGCGAAAGATGGCGATTTCCCACCGTACACCCTTTCGACCTCGTTTATGGAAATTTTCAAGTGCAATACACAATTTCGCGTCGCCAGCAAACTGGCGATTTGTTGCAAGTGTTACGTTACTTTCGGATGCCTGTAGTACTTATCATCGAGCAATAAGACACGGGACAATAAAATTTCATGAGACATTCTAGGAGACTGTATCATAATTTTTCTTATAGTTATAGATAAATTCCTCCGCGTGAAAATGACATTTTCCTGCCGCGTGCGTCTCATGGCAGGACGTTTGAATGTAGGCAAATCTAAAGCGGGAAAATCATTGCCGAAATCGCGCATGTCCTGATTTAGACCATCCCTGTATAGGGCGAGCCCGACCTCGCGTGCAGTAGTTTCTAGTCATCGGGACGCCGAGCGTCGAGGCGACGTCACTGCGTCGTCAGAGAATTGGCAGAACAGTAATTAAAAATTGAAAGAGGTGTCCGATCGGCCGGCTCGATCGAGGAATTTAAAGATATCCCCGTAAATTTCTCCGGAAAAGGATTGAAAAATGTACAAGGAAGTGGGCAGGTACTGCGCGAGAATCTCGAAGACGAAAGTCGGGAAGAACGGTCTCAGGAATTTCTACACCTGCGGACAGGTGAGTCTTCTTATGGCTTATTTTGAAGGATTATGTAAGAAATCATTATCAAGGGAAGGAACGCATTTCTAAGGGAAGTGCATTACTTTTCGACGACTCTGGGGGAATTAATATGAATTTATTTCATTTATTCGCCGAATGTGACAAGACGTCGAACCCGGGAAAATGACGAATTCGGTTCAGCCAGACCACGTGGGCGATGGCAATGGCCGGGTTTGCCGACAGAAATATCCTGTCAGTGTCTAATGATCGGCTCGAAAATAGGGAAGTGGAGGAGGACCAGGAAGAGCCGACGAAAGTGACGAGAATTTCGTGAAATTGTTTATACAAATTTTCTTAGACCTCGTTCTTCGTCCCTATCTCTCACAGAGGATCTGGTCGGTTTCTGCTCCGCCATATTAATTTAAAAATCAAGGGTGGTGTTTTAAAAAAAAATTAATAACTAGAATGAATGAATTTCTCGCCGAGATACGATATCGCGGGATTTCGAGGGGCGTTAACGTGTCCTTTTCCAAGGGATCATAATTAGGGGCAATTAAGCACGAGCGGATGACGAATTATCCCGCTTAATGCCTTTCTAGGGGCTCAAATAAGATGTTCGGGGGATTAAGGGCGAATTTTACGACAAGGTTTCCCCTTCGAGGATTCCATCGATCAATACGCCCCGCTTGGCAACGGACTCTCCCCTGCGAAATTATTTGAGACCCCTTTTCATGGGTTCGGGGAGCCCTCGATTTTGGAAATGGGCATTATTTTATGAGCCCTGATCTCCCGATTTTATTTTTCCAGAAACGAGCGGCCGTGCCCATGTCGGTGAAACTTGGCACGGCGAGGTACCTGGACGCAGCTTATGGAAGTGCCTTGGAATTAGATCGCTACCATACTCGGTATTCAAATTAATTTCTACCCCCCTAAACCCTCCACACCCCCTGACTAACGAGCAGTTAACCCACCCGACTGACGCTTATATAAGAATTAATAATTAATTCTCAAGGAATGGTCAGACCTGTAGATGGACTTTTGCCCCCGATCGCGTAAGAGTTGAAGGATGATTTTTTTTATTTAAAGGCATTACGTAAATGTATACATTTCTTGGGGTTGATAAATATTTTAACTGTCTCAGAATGATCGACGGGAGGTCGCCTCGGGGGAGATTTTCGATACTGCAGTTCGATGCTTATTATAGACCATTGCGAGAAGTGACGTTCGAAATGGCACCGTGTCAAGTGCAATGTTTTGTCATTGGATGGAGATTGTTGATAAGTCGGGATCTGCAGGAAGGACACGAGCCATAAATAATTTTTATGATCAATTTAAGACGCTTAGGGATCCTCAAGTGGGGCCATTGCAGCGATTAGTTAGGTATAAAAGCTGCATCGCGATGCATCGAGGACGCGCGATGCAGTTTCCCTTCTCGACGGGCGGCGGGAAAAGTAAATTTATTTATCTATAGCGAGTTGAAAATTTATTAATATAAGATACGTAGATTTTCATTATCGTGAACCGATGAAAAACCACAAATTCGTCAGGCTCGTCGAAAGACTTCTCAGGTAAGATGGCTTCGACTAATCTTTCTCAATCGAATTTTGTAATTTTTCTTTCCAGCGAGTACAGCTTCATTCACGACAGCCACTACATGTAGTGAGTACCGTGCACTAATTCTGCATGGAGAGTAGCCCTCAGTTGTAATTATATTTCTGACAAGTCGAAAAATCAGAAACGTCAAATCAGCTGTCAGGGGACGTCGCGAGAATTTTCTTAAAAAAAAAGGATGCATGTGAATTCGATATTGCACCTGATAAAAAAATCGTGCAAACCCACCTGGCGACGTGCTTTCAGGTTTCTCCACGAAGAAAACGAGTGGTTGATTTTCCCGAATTTTCCGCGAGCTCGTTTTCAAGGTTAGCGAACGAATGTGGATGTCTCGAGTGGCTGGAAAAATCAGCCATTTATTTTCTTGGTGGACGAATCGTTCCCTCGAAAGGCTTAATTCGGCGAAGAAGTCTCGTAAAGCCCATAATTTGCATCCCCAATTTAGAATGAAATCTAGAGTGATGAAAAATCAAGAAATCGAGGAAATTGGAAAAGGGAATATTAATGACAGAGGGAAATGCTTATTTCAGTGCCAGGGATCAGGATCAGGCGAGAAATGCCGAAGACGTTTTGTTCGACATGTTCAAGAGCGAGGACACCGGTTTACTTCCAGTTGGAAAATTTCTGGCCGTGAGTGTCTCTTCGGGATCGGAAATATTTTTTTACGCCACGTCTCGATCCATCTTAACACCTTTGTATTTTTTTTACAGGCCTTAAGGACGACTGGGTTGCGAAAAAACGACCCCAGGCTTCAAGAACTGACGGACAACCTGAAACAGGAGCATCTCAAAAGTGGAGGCCATGAAGGGATCTCCCACGAGACCCAAAAATTGGACATGGAGCAATTTCGAAGGTGAGGAACATTCAGAAAAATGTTAAGACTCAACGATGAAGATGAAGAACGACTTAAATAAATTTAGGATCATCAACCCGAATATCGTCCTGATATCGAAGGCCTTCAGACACCAGTTCATCATCCCCGACTGGTCAGGGTTTACGAAGCACATCGAGGACTTCTACTGGAAGTGCAAGACCAACACCGAGGGCAAGGTGGCCGCCTACATCCCCCAGTTGGCCAGGATGAGTCCGGATTATTGGGGTGTGTCAGTTTGCACGATAGATGGTCAGAGATTCAGCATCGGTGACACGAATATTCCGTTTACGCTTCAAAGTTGCAGTAAACCCTTGACTTATGCGATCGCCCTGGAAAGGCTGGGCCAGGAAGTGGTTCACCAATATGTCGGCCAGGAGCCTTCCGGCAGAAACTTCAACGAACTGGTCCTGGACGATAACAGTAATCCTCTCCTTATAATAAAAAACTATACATTTATATTTCATTAATTTATCAGAAGGTATTAACTCAAACATTGTATCTAAACTCCAGTGAAGCCGCACAATCCGATGATCAATGCCGGAGCGATTCTCGTGTGTTCCCTGCTGAAGACCTTGATCAAGCCGGAAATGACCCTTGCCGAGAAGTTCGACTTCACCATGAACTATTTCAAGAGATTAGCCGGAGGCGAAAATCTCGGATTTAACAACGCGGTCTTCCTTTCGGAACGCGAGGCCGCCGATAGGAATTACGCCCTGGGCTTTTACATGAGGGAGCATAAATGCTACCCGGAAAAGACGAATCTGCGAGAGATCATGGATTTCTACTTCCAGGTGGGATATTTAGAGATACAAGATACATTTCCTCGGATGGTTTGTCTCGTAGTATTTTTTTTTCTAATTTTTGAATGTCCAGTGCTGTTCCATGGAGGCCAATTGCGAGACAATGGCCGTTATGGCTGCTACTTTGGCAAACGGTGGTATTTGCCCCATTACCGAGGAAAAGGTCCTGAAACCCGACAGTGTTCGAGATGTTCTTAGTCTTATGCACAGCTGCGGCATGTACGATTACAGCGGGCAGTTTGCTTTCAAGGTAGGACGCGCCTCCATCTTGGATTTCTTGCGCCGAAGAGGTGGATGGAATCGAGGCGTCCCTTTCGGGTTTATTGGGCATGGAAATGGATGTAAACGGACGGTTTTATTCCAGGTCGGTATCCCGGCAAAGTCTGGAGTGTCTGGAAGCCTGCTGGTAGTAATTCCCAACGTGATGGGCATCTGCACTTGGTCGCCACCCCTCGATCATCTTGGAAACTCTTGCAGAGGCGTCCAGTTCTGCCAAGAGCTCGTAACGGAGTTCAACTTTCACAGGTCACTAGACGGAACTATTTTCCAAGTGGGAGGAAAATCGGAAATCGAGGAGTTACGTGGAATCCGTCCCTTCAGGCTTTCCTAGACGCGCAGCATGCAAAGCGCCGCCATTACGGTCCCGGGTGAAGGGAGCCTTACCTTCCGGCATTTTATAATTTCCTTAGAATATTAGCGCAGCTTGTCGAGCCGATTGGGCGAACTACTCAGCGTCTATTTAATCCCGACTAAGTGGAGGGCGTTTCTCAATTCCAGGTACGACAATCTGAAGCATGCGACCAACAAGAAAGACCCCAGAAGACACAGGTACGAGACGAAAGGATTGTCCATCGTCAATTTGTTATTCAGTGCCGCGAGCGGTGATGTCACTGCCATGCGTAGGTGAGACATATAGCATAAATTTAGAGGAGAGTGCAGTCGGATTGCATAAGACCCAAATCGGACATTCGGTTAAATTTTAGGCACGACGCTTTGAAGAACGCTCCCCCGAACAATGGACGTTCACGATGTTCTTATCTTTCCGGTCGAGGGAATTTATTTGGCTTTGTTGTAAAACGCCTGTACTATTTTTAGGCACCGGCTAAGCGGCATGGACATGACCCTGTCGGATTACGATGGGCGTACGGCCTTGCATTTGGCAGCTAGCGAAGGACACCTGGACTGCGTCGAGTTCCTCGTAGAGTACTGTGGGGTCCCCCACGACCCCAAGGACAGGTAGACCCATCGTTCCCTGGGATGCTCATTGTCTTACCGAGCCCCTGGCTTCTAATGGCCGATCGGTGTTCCATGCATATTTATTACCCCTCTCCGAGAAATCCCACAAAAGGGGACAGGTACCCATCGCTTCGTTCTCTTCCCAGGTGGGGCAATACTCCCATCAGCGAGGCAGAGACCTTCGGGCACACTCAGGTGGTCGAGTACCTGAAGAACTTTGCGATGTCCCATAAAACCGAGCAGGAGAACCAAGATAATCAGGACGTCAAGCCGACAGAGCCGAAGACCCGCGACACCCCTGAAGAAGTGCCCAGCGGCCAATCGCCGTTACCTTAAGACACCCTGAAGAGCAATGTTCGATAGCCGATGTAAAAGGAGGAGCCGAGGCGAAGGAACAGCCTGGGGACTGTAGATTTTCGACATTCCATCCAGAGGCTTAGTCCCGTGTTTCTCCTACTTTCTATCCACCGGTTTGGCATGCGATAGTCTTCGGAATAGAGCTTCCAAGTTATTTGAAATTTAGCGACGCCCCAGAAATTCGGTCTCTCTTTGGAAATTTCCACAAAAGAAGATTCCACCGAATTTTGGGCTTGCGCGTTTGACAGCTTGTTTCGTACATGTCCCTCTTCAATGTCACTTTTCGTTTGCTTTGTTCAGGTGTACGGACCGACGTAAGCATTTCCGTTCTTCGATAGTCCTGGTGGTTCCTCCTTCGCCGGCCGACATCGTAAGACGTCGGCGATCCGAGTCTGTTCAAACACCCACCGGGGTTCATGTACATGATGTAAACTAAGTAACAATGTCAATTTTTTTCGGCGATGCGTCGTGACGCGATATCCAAAACGCGTGTATTTACCCGCCGATACGGATACGTCGTTAGGTAGATGTAGACTCGCCGATCCGTGGACGAAAGACAATAATGATGCGCCTAGAAGAAGCATTTTGAGCTGGAGATCTCCGAATGTCCACATTTTTCTACTCGCGGTCGCTCATTTTCCTCCAACAACTGCCGGACTGATTTTCGGTTCCAGCTCGGGTGATACCGAGAACTCCTATTATCTCGGCTGATAATAAATCGCAGCTTCCCGCGGGACGATCGGATTTTCCAGATTTTCTCGGATAATCCGAAAGGGGAATCCTCGAATTTAGGTAGAATTTTAATATCTTTTTCACTCCGTTCGTTGTAAGCGCCGTGCCACGGACTGGAAAATCTATCAGGGAAATATTGCAAATGGATATTCGCACGCAAAGTGGTTAATGGACGCCGTGATAGTACGTATATTGCGTCGGATATTCTAAATTTCTTTGATATCAGTTTTCGACCGACAACTCTGTCTAGATTTTAGCCCGTCCTAAGCAACATTCCTTAAACGACATTATGAGAATTTTAGGTCGCGGTTTGGGATGCCTGAAAATGTTCATCTGCGAATTGAGGTTTTGCAATAGTACTGGTAGACCGGGGCAATTAATTATTACACGCGGTAAGACAGAACCAACTGTGATTCATGAGAATAGTCTGTAAACTGCAGAATTACCTCTCCATGGTTAAATATAAGTATTCGGAAAGGTGAATAATTATATTCAATTTCGAATTCTTCTGTCGTTCCTCTCGTCGGACATTGTGCGTTTTCGCTGGTCAATCTAGAATTTCGTCGTTTCGTAGTTTAAGTCCAGGTCACTGTTGTAGCACACGATAATTAATAAATCGTGTTGTTCAGAAGTTTCGACTGACGTTCTGGAAAATTCAAATTTCGGAGCGCATATCGATTCGACTCCTATCGGCTGATGTCAAAAATTTGGACGATTTCTGGCCGTGGCTTGTGCAAATTTCTTTTGTGTGTCTACATATGTGTTTGCTTTACCGGTAATGTAAGCCTTTGGTAGAAGGCCGCCAGTCAACGGTTAAATTCGACTTCGCAACAAATTAGGCGGAAAAAGAGATGCATCATTTCTTTACCCTCCTTGCACTCCTCGATTTTTATTTCCCTGCAGATTAGAGAGCGCAGATAGTGGGGCATATTAAAAAAGAAAAAAAAAATCGGGGCATCCCCCAAATACTAAATAATATTCATAAATAATTTTCAGAGATCATTCCTACACGTTTAATCCCGTAGACAATGGCGAGTTCAAGATTGAAAATTCAGAAACCGGGAAATTTAGATAAATTATGTTTTGTAATATTTTTTTTTTTTCCGACTTTTACATGAATTTATAATTTGCAGTTTAAGGGCTATCTAATCGCCGGTTAAATTTAGCGATGACGTATCGTTAATCGATGTCCATAAAGTTCGGAAAATTGCACCGACCTTGGCCTTGACACGAGTTAAGACTTATCGATGAATCTCATTGCGAATCGTTTAAAGATACGAAATGTGCGCGAACGATTATCACAAGGACGAAGCTCGGCGCCTGATGACGTGTGATTACTGAACACTCAAAAAAATCGACTAATTTTGAGTCGAGAGGAGGAAAACCGACGACTTGGGTCGAGACGCAATGGCTCGTTACATAGATTGTAATTACGCGCATATCCAGACAAGGTGGCTCGTTACCAATTTACATTTACCTCGCCACGTCGCCAAGCCAAAATTTTCGGTAGTCACTGAACTTCCTCAAAATTGCCCCAAAAAAATCATTTCGCCATTTGAATTACTCAATAAATCGGGTTACAATTTTTCTGCGATAATTTGTATCGTCTTTAATAATTTTCAGGTGACAAGCTCGCATCCCTAAATGGCATATCTTCGAGATGATCCTCTCATCGGTCCAGAAATCATCGATGACTACCGATCCCGAAGTTTCCAACACCTCACGTCCACCTGTACCTGGAGGAATCAGTGTCTGCAAGAATGACGTCAATAATAAAGAGGTGTCGTATCATTAAACGAGCGGAAGACCCGTCTTGTGTCATCTGCCACTCTCGCCTGTACAAACGACGTAATGTATCGTTTACGTACTTAGGAATGCGCGATACTATAATTTAACACCGTACGTACAAGTAGCTTCGAGCGAGATTTGACATTGGGGTTTTCACGTGGTGATAGAATTTTGTCACGCGTGCATTCCCCATTCGATGACTCAGCCGAGAATCGGGACGACCCTCGCATGACAATAAATCGGGGAAAATTCGATTAAGATACGAGTCGCAATTAATTTATAAATCTCTGTTGCAGAATGAGTTTTGTAAATGTTGTGAAATGTCCGGCGTGAAACCCCGGTCTTCAGGGTTCTTCTGGGGGAGCCATGGAGAGAGAACGACCTCGTATGGAGATTTCCATGACTCGGCGAGGATTCCCGTAATAAATAGAAATTTCGCTGGGTATCGCTGAGAAATTCCCAGAGCGGAATTGGCGGATTCTACGATAGTCTCGAGTTAAGGTCATGAAACTGTTGGCCGCGAATTTCTCGCGTGAGACGGAGTCCTCGAGATGAGGCAATCGCTCCGAGCTATCTGTCATGTGTATTGATAACTACTAGAAGAGATAGACACGCTTGCTGTACATACTCATTGGGCCCCAAGACGTTATATATATATACGTAGATATATATATTGATAATATGTATCTAGCCAAGCTGCTTGAATTCCCTCGAGTCGAGAGTACGTCTTCAAGTACGCGTACTCGATCCTCGAGTCCCAATATGTAATTTCTTCGGACGTACCTCGACAGCCTGTCATTACATATCGGTTCATACACTCTTTATCGTTTCCCTGTCATGAAACACGTTCACGTTTATCCTTTTACCGACATGGAGGATTCTTCGTATGATTTTCTCGATTTTCGACATTTTCGGCGCTTCCTCGGAATGGAGGAAACTCGAAGTGGAGAATTTTTCTGCCTCTTCTGTCCACTTCCTCGAATTCTCCGCAAGGTCTGCCGGTTTTGTATCGATGATGGGTCATGAATTAATTCATCCTGGCAACAGGTTATGGCTTTTACGAATCGACATCGCCATGGGATTTCAGGAGAAAACAAAATGATCGAGCCGACACGTGCGCAGTCGACTCTGTCATTTACGCAGATTCCAGAAAAAGGACGTTTTCCTTAAATTCCAGGATCTATATATAACAGAATGACCATTACTGCCTTCGAATAAAGTGAATCAGTTTTTCTTTATCTTTTTCACCAAAAAGAATTCAGTATCGTTTGAAACTTATCGACTTGTTTATTGCTTTTGTTTTAATTTTTTTTAGACCTCACCCCTGGAAGATGGGACAAGGGAGTAAATTTTGGCACGAGTTTGCTGCTCCTCCGAGGATATTCGCCGAAGTCATTGAACCTGGCCTTGAAAAACCGGAAAGTCGAATGTTTGTTTCGTCAAGAAAGAGATGGAATTAATTTAACGCACTCGTCGGATGATTAATGGTCGATTAAGGAAACCTACCGTTTGGCTGTTTTTCGAAAAAGTGACTTCGAACTCCCTTAAAGATGGCGGAAGGTTTAATACGCAGATCTGCAAGTCCCTCTTACAAGAAAGAATCCAGAAATCTGAGCTCAAACTTACCTCCTAATTATTCCGTTATTTTCTTAAATACTAAGTAAAAACGATTGTCAATTTACGAACCGGTATTGAGGGTACGTCGGATTCATTATTCGCGTGCAAATCGAACAAACAGAAAGAAACGAGTTTGCCGCTTTTTTCGTCGAGTCGGCCTCGAGGCTCGAAAATAAAACGCTAAGTCGAAACTGGACCCGAAGAGGAAAATGGAGGACCGTGCATTCCGATGTTTATCAGTCTAATAAGTAGTGGCCAACTGAACCACATTTTCGATGATCAGGATACTCTTCCCCCTGGATCAGAGGAATAAATAAATTAAATCATCGGTTTTTCCTCGTTTCTCATCGCGGCCTGCGCGTCTCTTCGGGTATTCCTCCGTGATTTTATCTCCCATCTCTATTGTTAAATCCTGACTCGTTAGAATCTGCTTATGCAAAGAACCGGGTTGATTGAAATTGAATTCCACGTGTTCGAATACGGTTTCTGGGGTTTCTCCGCGAATAGAATCTGCCCCTTTGTGGGAAAATATTAATTCTTTGTCGATTCTTAAGACGAAGGCGCATCCAAGATGGCGGCCAGAAGGCTTGCCTATAGGACGAGCGTTAAGAGTCACTTGACATTCGAATTATCGCTGAAACAAGTTTCGACGACTTACGCAATGTCGGTATTACACGCAGATTCAATGGGGTTTCTCTGGGCAAAATTTCTTTGGGCCTTTTGACGTCATCTCGATCCCTGGATATTAATTTCGAGTCCTTGATTTCTCGATTTCCGACTCCCATTTCCTGGCAGAACTTCGAACCTCGAGAGAAGCCAACATTTTGGATATACCTTACGATTGAAATCTAACGCGCATTATTAATTCATCTTAGGTTAAATTAAATGTCGTTAAATTTGAGAGAATCTCACGGATTTATTTAGCATGAATTTATGAAATTACTAGGGTATTGCCGAAGTAATTTAGTATCCGTAATCGACGATAATCTTCCACTATCGCAGCTTTATAGCTTTATTACTTCATCGCACTAATGATGGCCTGATGAACCTCGACATCCTCCCAAAAGACGTTGCTATGCCAGTTAAAAATAGATAAACTATTTCACTCGGCCGGATTTCGTAGAGTTTCTCAACGATAACGACCCGTGTCGAAATAGTCAAGGAACGATTCCGAAAAACGGCTTCATGGAAGCCTCCCGAAATCCTTCCCGAAACAAGGCCCGAAAACAGGATCGAAAAGTGTCCGATTGCGATAGATCAATTCGGTGAATCTCGAAGTCATTGCAATCGAATTCAAGGAATACACCGGAGCGCGCAAAGCCAGTCCTTGACACGATTTTTTTTTCCCTTACACGAACCAGGATAGGAAAAAAAAAAATATCTCAACGTTTTCAATTTAAAGTCTAAATTTGAAAGTATGAAATTTTAAGTAGATGACAAATAGAATTGTAAATCAATCGGTAAAAATCCCGGTCGCGAGCTTCTTCGAGATCGAATTTCCCAACCCAAGAGCGGAATATCCGCTCCCCGCGAAGTTCGATCCGCGAATGCGATCATCCGGGGATTACGCGCGGACAGGCCGGGAGTGATTACTAATCGGCGGCCAATCAGAGAGCAGGGATATCCCAGGATCGAAAAATCTTCGAGCCGGCTTCGACGAAGCCTCGTGGCCGTGGAGTGTCGCGGTGCGTGAACGAGGCCGAAAAATTTTGGTCCATCCGCCGTGCGATTCGCGGCTCGGTTTACTCAGTCTGCCGAAGTGTTTCGAAGCGTGAAATCGTCGGCCAATGGGAGACTGATTTCCCTCGGAGCCGAGCCGGTCTATCGGAAAGTCCTGGATCGGGCCGAATCCTAAAAGAGCCGATTTAGAAGACGACGCGTCGTGGGAGCCGGCTGGACAATAGTTCCCCCGCTCGCTCGCCATGCGTGTGTCGTATATAAGATGTCGTCCCGTCGTGGAACTTCAGTCTCTCTTGACTCTCCGGCCACAGGCATCCACTGGACCACAGGGGACGACTTTCAGGGAGGAGATTTACGTATTGAGCAGAAATCATGAAGTGCAAGTGCGCGGTACTCTTGGTACTGTTCCTGGTCGGCGAGTCCCTTGGGACGGGTGAGTTCGCCCCTCAATTTCATTTTTTATACATACAAATTATGGCAATAATGGGTTTGCACGTTGAGAAGCGAAATACCAAAGCGCTCATTTTATTCAGCCATCGTTAAATTTAAACACGCACTGATAGAAATCGATTACATTAATCGATTACATTACCGAGACGATGTAATTTTACTGCAATTCACTGTGACATGAAAATAACCAATGATCGAGTATGCAAATTTACATGAGCATTTTTATCGGTGCGGTTAATTGAAATTGCGCTCTCTCTCGAATTTCAGGGTGGATGCTCAAATTTCACGATTTTAAATTATGATCGATTGTGGGGATCTCGAGTTGGGTGTTGTAGTTAGGTATCGAGAGGGTTCGAGGTTTTGAAGAGGATCCATTTTGATAAAATTTGGAAGTGAATCATACGTGTTATCAGGACTCCTCCTCCCCGGCCATGGACACAGCCTCCTGGACCCGCTGGGCATCTTCAGTCACAGGAAGACCGACGCGCAGGCGTCCAGCAGCGCTAAGAACATCGGAACCAACTTCAAACTCGGCCCATTGTCCATCGGAGGAAGCCTCTCGGCTTCCTCTTCGCAGGCTAACGCGAACGGTGGTTCGGCAAGTGCAAATGCAAATGCTAATGCAAATGCCCAAGCTGGTGGTTATGGTGGATCCAACGCGAACGCGAACGCTCAGGCCAGTGCAAACGCGAATGCTGGTGCTCAAGGTAGGTCCATGTAAAAAAAAATCTCTAAAGTATTTATAAAAGCCAAGAATTCTCTACAATTGTTTAACTGCCCTGAGAAAAAAGGCCGTCAGAAACAAATATATATTTATCGCCCAAATCATACACAAATGCAAGAGCGACTGCTTTGGTCGGGAAGAAAAATTGATGTCGATTGAAAATCATTTTTTTCCTCCTCAATTTGACATTTCTTTGGAGGTATTAGATCGTATGATTTTGTTGTTGGATATTTCTGAGTCAACTAAATTTTTTTTTTAGACTGTAAATATAAAAATATGTGAAATAACGTGAAAATTCCACTGACCCTTCTTCGTTCTCAGGATACCCCCAGGGCGGCTATGGAGGATCGACCGGATTCGGTAATGGTTACGGAAACGGAAACGCAAACGCAAACGCAAATGCTCAAGCTAACGCAAACGCAAACGCCGGGGCGAGCGGGAATTTAAACGTGTACCCCGGGTACCAGCAACCTGTGTACACAGGTGGTAATGGTAATGGTAACGGTTACGGTGGATCGCAGTCGAACGCGAACGCGAACGCGAACGCTAACGCTAACGCAGGAGCGAACAGCCAGGGCACGGTTGGCTATCCCTCGGGATACCCAGCAGGACAAGTCGGAAATTATCCCCAGAATGGAGGATACGGAGGATCCAACGCCGGGGCCAACGCCAACGCTAACGCGAACGCAGGCGCAGGCGCAGGTGCAGGTGCAGGTGCTAACGCCGGCGCCAACGCCAACGCAGGTGCCAACGGGGGAGGATTCCCCACGTTCGGAGGACAGGTTGGCGGATCTCATTCTGGGAACGCAGGTGCGAATGCAGGTGCGAATGCAGGCGCGAATGGAGGAGGCAACGTCGGTCCAGGTCGATACCCCTGGGGCCAGGGAGGATCTTACGGAGGGTCAAACGCCAACGCGAATGCTCAGGCGAACGCAGGTGCGACCCCAGGTCGCATCATCAAGTACCCTGGGACCTCCGGAGGATCCGGGAATTTCAACACAGGAGGATCCGGGTCCTTCAACATGGGTGGCGGGTACGAGATCTCGTGGGGCCATGGTCATGGTCACGGGAATGGGAACGGTTACGGTCATGGTCATGGTCATGGGAATGGAAACGGCTTCGGCCATGGGTTCGGTCACGGCCACGGACAGCAGCAGACCGGTCATCAGGGTCAGTCCAACACGGTCTTGATCCCTGTGGTGGTCGTCGAGGAGACTCCGAACCGGCGACCCAGCTATCCGTACCAGAAGCCGGTTCCTCCGCAACAGAATGTGCACAATCAGAATAGACCCATCGAGGTCATCATTATCGAGGAAACCGTGCCTTCCCGGCCTCAGGGTAAGAGTCTGGATCGACGTCTGTGATTTCGTCTTTGTGGATTGTGGAGTGTGGATTTTGTCGGTTTTCTAATGACGCTGCTTGGAAGAGGAGTTCCCGGACACGGGAGGAAGTCTTCATGGTCGGAGCTGACGGAAGGAGAGGATGGATACGTTAGGGCCGATGTTCAAGATTTTGCTTTTGGATTTGACCATGCTTTATGTTGTGTCGAGGTTGTTGCGTGTTTTTGTGTGGTGTTCAGGGTGTGGTCCAGGGTTGGGGTTAAGAAACCGATCGATGAGTAACTTTTCATGCTTTTTTTTCAGGTGGGACAATCCTAGTGAACACGGGCTACGGTCATGGCCACGGACACGGACATGGAAACGGCCAGGGACAATCCGGATCTTATGGTCAGGGACAGTCTGGATCTTATGGGCAGAGCCAGTCCGGGTCCTATGGTCATGGTCAGAACCAGGGTGGACAGCAGCAAGGCGGGAACCCGTTCTTAACTGGTGGTAGCGGATCTGCCAATGCCAATGCCAATGCTAATGCCCAGGCCAACGTTAACACCCAAGGACAAACCGGGGGTTCCTATCCCTCTGGACCCATCTACGGTTCCCAGACCGGAAGTCAAGCCAACTCTAACTCTAACGCCAACGTCAACGTTCAGGGTCAAACTGCAGGTTCCTATCCCACGGGACCCAACTATGGTTCTCAGACCGGAAGTCAAGCCAACGCAAACGCCAACGCCAACGCCAACGCGAACGTCCAAGGCCAAGTCGGGGGTCAAAACCCTTTCTTGCATGGTCAGAGCCCGAGCAAGGTTCCCTCTGGACCGGTTAACCAGCCGATCTATGGAGGAGTTCAAGGAGGAGGTTCCGCAGGTGCTAACGCCAACGCCAACGCCAATGCCAACGCCGGGGCCAATGCCGGAGGATTCGGAGGTCAGCAAGGTGGATATCAGGGAGGTCAGCAAGGTGGATACCAGGGTGGACACCAAGGCGGTCAGCAGGGTCAAGGCACCGGATCCATCTCCATCAACCATGGGTTCCACGGCTCCAAGGGCGGCATTTCAATCAACGGCGAACAGGGTATCTCCATGACCATTCCTGGTCAAGGTTCCGTCGGCTCCCACTCTGGAGGATACGGAGGCAGCAATGGGAACGGCGGCGTTAACGCTGGAGCCAATGCTGGAGCTAATGCCAACGTGAACGCCGGGGGCTCTTCCAATGGAGGGTACCAGGTGACCGAGGTCCCTGTTCTGGTTCCTTCTGGGGGACAGGGAGGAAATGCCAATGCTGGAGCCAATGCTGGCGCTAATGCCGGTGCCAATGCTGGAGCCAACTCTGGAGCCAATGGCGGCCTCAGTGGTGGGTTCAACGGTGGATTTAACGGCGGTCTCGGCATTGGTGGACACGTTGGCGGACACGGTGGTTCCAATGCTGGAGCCAACTCTGGAGCCAACTCTGGAGCCAATGCTGGAGCCAACTCTGGAGCCAACTCTGGAGCCAATGGCGGCCTTAGTGGTGGATTCAACGGCGGTCTCGGCATTGGTGGACACGGTGGTTCCAATGCCGGAGCCAACTCTGGTGCCAACTCTGGTGCCAATGCTGGAGCCAACTCTGGAGCCAATGGCGGTCACAGTGGTGGATTCAACGGTGGATTTAGCGGCGGTCTCGGCATTGGTGGACACGGTGGCTCCAATGCTGGTGGGAACGCTGGGGCCAACTCTGGAGCCACTGCTGGAGCCAATGCTGGAGCCAATGCTGGAGCCAGCTCTGGAGCCAATGGCGGCCTTAGTGGTGGATTCAACGGTGGATTCAACGGCGGTCTCGGCATTGGTGGACACGGTGGTTCCAATGCTGGAGCCAACTCTGGTGCCAACTCTGGAGCCAATGCTGGTGCCAACTCCGGAGCCAACTCTGGAGCCAACTCTGGACTCGGCGATCTTCTAGGTCTAGGTCAAGCCTCCGGCGGCCACAATGGCCATCTTGGCTTTGGCCAAGGCTCAAGCTCCTCCAACGCCCAGTCTTCGGCATCGGCTTCGGCTTCTGCATCCGCCAGCGCCAACGCCAATGCCGAGTCGGCCGGCACTCTTTCCAACTCCATCGCTGATTCCTCGGCCTCCGGAAATGGCGCCTCCGCCTCCAGCTCCAGCAAGGCTAGCAGCAACAGCTTTGGATTCGGCTCGGCCAACGCCAATGCCCAAGCTTCTAGTCAAGCCTCTAGCAACGGCTACTCCGGAGTCAACCTGGGCTCCAAGAGCTCCGCATCCAGCGAGGCTGCTGCCAGCACTCGCGATATGCTCATCTTCAGCAACTAGACACGCCTCGAAGAGAGACAACCCTCAGACTGCTTCCCATGCTAAGACGCTTCGTAGGGATCTTGCTCTACGGCAGGGCTAAGGATAATACTCGTTACCAGATCACTCGCTGGCGATTGGCCTGGTCGATCGACTATCGATCGGTCATCGATCGCGCCCTCGGTGTACATAGTTACGTGCGCGTCCCCCCAGACCCTCCGCGAACTCCCTTTAATAAATCTGGTGCAGTTGCAATTCGCGTTCGTATTTCCTACGGTTGTACCCTGAAGTTCACGCGATGAGCGAAATCGGTCTTGCTCTTGGTCTTCGATACGTGGAAGGGTTATGCAGGATTGAGATCGATTTTTTGGAGGGAGAGAAACAATGGGGACCATTTCGGGAACCTCTTCAGGATCGTCCTTGTGATCCGGCGCGATCGGTTTCGCACGATCGGCGATTATTGGCTCCGCTGGAAATTTTTTCATTGTTCTTTTTTTTTTTTCTCGGGAACTCCGACTTCTCGCTGTCGCCCATCCGACTCGACTTCGAACAGCCATTATGTAATATACGTTGATGATGTAGAACTCTGGATAGCGTCTACGGTGACGCGGGACAGGAGCGACAGGGCGATGAATAAAGTGGCGCCTATTGACGCGCTTATGCTTTTTTACTTTCGATTCTGTAACTCTAATTCTATCGTATCTCCAAACCATTTTCCTATTCCCAATCTGCGTTGCCAGAAAAAAAATTTGGGGAGCGCTTCCCATTTTTCTTTCTCCGTAGGGAAATATATCGGAAATATGGAATTTTAATCTGAAATAGTATGTGGCAATTGTTAACGCGGTTTTCAGATCTTCTTTGATTTTTTATATCTTTTTTTTATCGCTTGGATTAATAGTCGCGATCGACGGAAACAGTAAAAATGATCTCCCGGGAAAACAACGCGAAGAGGGAATGTAATGACTCGGTCATTATCTCGATTTAATACATCCTTACTGGTACTTGAGGAAATCACCGACATTCTGCGCGCCATTATGTACATGCTAATTTATTTGCGCTGCCGAAGATGAAGATTCATCGACGGATAGACCTTGATCCGTGATCTCGACGATGGAAACCATCGCCACGAATGACGAGTTTGACGGATTTGACAGCCGCGAAGGTCTCCGTAATGGCGTATTATTTATTTCCAAAAATTGCCAAGTGACGTCACGCCATTTCTGCTTTCCGTCAAGGCCCACCCACGTGTGATTTCGAGGCGATCGGGAATCGCCGAATCTGAAACATCTGAACAAATGTTGACGAGGTCACTCCTCGCATCGCAACTTTCCTCGAAGGCGGAAAATTTACCGACCTCGGATTATTCTTGACGTCGGTTCGATTAATTAAGTCGTTCTTAATTTAGAAATCATGCGGAAGAAAGCTTGAAAAATATGCGTCCTCGCGTATAGCTGTGGACGAGTCGCGGAATGTTTGGAAATGAAAAATCCTGGATTTTTACTTGCAGTTAGTGTCAATTTTGGAAATGAACAATCGCCTCCGTATAGATTGCCTGAGTTATGAAAGGGTACCGGTTCCAGTCGAAATATTGGGCCCCTTGTAATTCCCGTTAAGTGCACTTGGGAACCTCAATGTTCCGACAATTGGTAATCCGTTCGGTTTGGGGAAATTAGTAGGGGCCGGAAAAATGACCTGTGGGAGGATTAAACGAATTACCCCTTCGAGTCTAGGCCTATAAATACGAGAACTTCGGGGAGCAGCCCTTATTTGAAAATCCACCTCCGAGGTGTCTCAAAGTGCTCGAAAGTGTCTGCAAGTGTTCCACGCAGCTCTCTTTACCGAATTTAAACTCGATAATTAAATAATTGTTTAATTATTTGAGATGAAGTTCTTGTTCGCTCTGTTTCTCCTCGCTGTCGTGGAATCCGCAGTAATTCTCAGGGAAAATGAAGTGGACGGAGGTCTGTAAATTTTTGTATCAATAATTCTTAAATACGTCGTACAGGGCTCGGATTTTTTTTTAAGCAAGAATATTTCGATCAACGCGTTTTTTTTTCCATTTTTCTAGAACTGCATCCGGAAAACGAGGAGAAGCAAGGAGATACCTCCAGGAAATCCAGGAAACCTCACCACGAGGAAATAAACAGTGCACAGAGCATTAGGTAATTGCGACGTTAATAAACGTATTTTTATTTACGAGAAGTGATAATAGAGGTGACCAAAGAAATTGAGTTCCGTAATAGTGATTTTAAAAGTGCAACATTGTCGTCGAGGAAAAATCACTGTCTCGAGGTGCTCGACAGATGACGTATTCTTTATAAATAAACGGCATTCTTTATAAATAAACGAGGCTCGAACAGGTTTTTCCATTAAACATCTTCAGCATCATCAAAGAGCAACGGAACCAAGCGCATCTCGCGTTTATTAAAAATAGTAATTGATTAAGTGAAGTTCGCGATATCCCGTGTTTCATTAATCAGCTAATATAGCGCAAATTGTGAAAAAAAATTGCCGACGATCGTATAATGTTTACGAAGGCTCATTTTAGACGCAGAGTATTATGCAACGAGGATGCCTCGGATGGATATTAATTTGTTTTTCGAGAATCTCCCGAAGGCAAAATATCACTTGCCAATCACGACATAAATGCGTGGATAAAAAGCCAATTACGAATAAACATAACGAACCCACCTTGAAGGATGAGAATTTCATTTGTTATCCGAAATGATAGGCACCGCGATTTTGAATATTAATTATCTAAACTCATCGACACAAAACGTAGCATTTAATTTTGTACTTATTTCTTATTTTCACAGTTCTTAACATTTTTGTTGTACTACGCGTGAGTTTCTCAGGGAACTAAATATTTCGTAAAGAAAGGGCAATATTAATGTAGAATTTATAGTTGGATAAATACAATCTACGGCCGTAAAAATGGCAATCCGGCATGCAGCGGAGCATAACGGGTCGACTCTCTTCAGGGGGTAAAAACTGAGAAAATGAAGTTATTATTTGTTCTTGCAGTTTTGGAGCGAGCTCGCCATTGGGAAATGTGGGATTCGAGCAATCGGAAGTGTTTGGCCACCGAAAACATCTTGGGCACGGAGGACATCAGCCCTTGAGACTGGGATTGGGCCATGGATTGGGGGGTGGATTGGGAGGTGGATTGGGGGGTCTGGGGGGTCACCTGGGAGGAGGGCTTGGGGGACTCGGTGGGGGATTCGGGGGTGCAGCAGGGGATGGGCTGGGGGGTGGACTGGCAGGTGGATTTGGAGGTCCTCTGGGAGGTGGTTTTGGGGGTGGACTGGGAGGGCCATTGTCAGGTGGCTTGGCAGGTCCTCTGGGGATTGGGCTTTCCGGCGGACTGGGTGGTGGCCTGAGAGGAGGCCTAGGTGGAGTTTCCCAGTCCAGTGCTCAAAGCTTCAGCACCAGCATCAGGGGACCCCATGGGAGCTTCGACCTGAGCACCAATCAAGCCAGTGCGGGCAGCCTCTCGCCTGAATTCCACCTGAACAAAAAATAGAACACTCCACCTCATACCAAAATAATTAATTTTAAGCCTTAGACATATAGTAGAAAAGCCAAAATCGCCATTCGTGCCGAGGCTAGTCGGAGAGAATAAAAGACTGACGTTGATCCTAGTCTTTGATCCGTAAAAGCGATTCCTGCTGGGCCAACGACTAGGAGTAGGTTTAAGTATTGAGGATGTATACTAGTTCTTTGCAATTCAAATTACGTTGAAATAAATATTTGACAAGTTCCTGCCCGTGGTATTTCCTACTAATTATTAGCCGAGTCGGTTTAAGAAACGAGGTCGAGACGTGGAACCTTCAGTTCGACCAGTCATTCCCACGTTATCAGGTCGTATCTATCCTCGGTATTAATGTCTCGAGAGTAATACCTAATTTATAGAGCTTTAGTCACCGGGAATCTGGTTAAAGAGGCGTAACTACCACGGAAGAAGGTTCGCAAAAGTCACCGTCCTTGATAGGAGAGTCGAAGAGAGGTCGCCTTAAAACCCACGCAAACCGCCTTTTCGCCGACCTCCTCGAATTTGCATACCGGCGACAGGTCGCGCGATTTCCGAGAGTCGCTCTCCGTAAATCTCTACGGATACGTGAGATTGAAATGTTATTTGCAAAGCAAAAACCGAAGAACAAGAGCGCCTCCAGGTGTGGTCATTAATTCGGAGCTCACGCGAGATTTTGAACGCCGAACTTCCGGTCGTCCCTGAACCGGAAGGCCACCCGCTTAGCGCCGGCCAGTTCCCAATGGCGAATCGATAATCGGATGACCATCCAATAGGAGACCTCTCTCTTGTCGAGAAAACCCCTGAATGGTCACCGCGAGTCCTCGGTAATCACGGTGAATGGATTTTATATAAAGATTGGGCGCGAGTAAACCGAGTTATTCGAAAAAGTGTCCTCGAAGGGAACGGACTGAAATCCAAGATGGCGGCGGTCCCCTTGTTTCTCGCGTGCGCGGTTCTCTTGAATCTGGCTGATCGGACGTTTTCAAAGCCCGCCGAGGGTCTTGATTTCGGTGTCGCGGCGAGAAATCCTCTTCCTGATATCGGCCCTCTGGAAATTGTCAACGGTTCGTAGACACTTATCAGACAAACTGCCATTTAATACTTCAGAGCGGGTTATTAAACTCGCGAGGGGGAACAAAATGCCCGGGATGGGAACAAGCGTCTCGCGTCGGCCAACAATGGCCGAGTGACAATGAGCGCCCGAACTTGAGGGATTTTGCGGACCCGCAAAACGGGTGTGCAGATTTGGGTATCTCTCGGCGACGAATCCTTTATTCTGGGACTGGATTCCGAGACGGACTCGGTGTTAATTGTCCAAGCGGTGCAGTCGCCCGTGGAAAAGTGCAGCTTGCATCGCTCTGCAGGGGAGATTTTTATAATAATTCGAGATTTGGCCATTTCCTTTTTACAGGTCCACCTAGGAGGCAGCGGTCTCCGCAATTCGGGCTGCTGGATGCCTCCGAAGATTACGATGATGGCGACAGTTATGCCAAGCATGGGTACAAGCACAAATTGAAACCGCATCGCAAACCGCATGGTGGCCTCGGACTTCTTGGGGGTTATGGCTGTCGTGGTATCTCCTGTGGAGGGTAAATTCACTCATGAGTATTTGCGTTTATTTCTTCAACGCGTTCGTAGGAGAACGTAATGACTGCTTGCAATCGGAAATTAATATTCGTAGGAATACGTCATGGCAGTCGCCTGTACGCGATAAATTCGATCACGAGTGCACTGACAAAAATCGAAACTCCCGATAATTTCTAGAAGGTTCTTATGAGAAAACGGGGCTGTAGAAGAAATGTCGGGGACCGAAAAGCGTGCAGGTGCGTTGCGATCGGCGCGGCACTTAGCATGCCTGGTTGATCGTCAAGATGTGCCTTGTAAAACTGTTCCCTGAATTATAGCTCTCTGAACCGGTACAGCCAGCCATTTTTGCCTCCTCCCTTCGCGCGCAACTTCTACCGCAACTGCATTAAATCCCCGGCGAGGGCCGGCCGGTCGAAGAACTTAAAAACGAGCGGTTGAACCGAAAACCCTAAGGATTCAATGGCCCTCGGTTTTGCCTCGCATCTCGAGAACGGTTTAATTACAAGGCTCGGTGGTAACGATAGGTTTGTTTAGCGAGACTCCTCGGTCTCGACTCGGCACTTACGAGCTGTTTTACCTCCTCCATCTGGTGGGACATTTAAAAGGGAACGTCCAGAAGAGTACGGCGATCTTTATTGCAAGGTTTACAAAGTAATGACGCGTAAACGAGGCGTGTATACGGGTTTAAGCTTCGGTTCTCTCTTTTCCAAGATGGCAGCCGTCGTACGAGGTCCACCCGGTGGCGCATCCCGAAGGTGGTCACGGAGGCTCCTTCGCCTCGGCGTCCGCGGGCTCCCTCGGCCAACATGGCGGCTACAATGGCGGACACAGCGAGGCGAACGCCCAGAGCGCCAGCTTCAGCATCGGTCCCTACACGGCCACCTTCAGCGCGGCTCAGTCCTTTTCCAAGAACCACCCGGGATTCGGAGTGTGAGTAAACAGTCTCGAGGGTCACGACCTGCGCGCATCCCGAATGCATTCCAGGGTTCGCCGACCTCGGCAACGATCCTTGATCCTGCGCCCGGATATTTCGGGCCCTCTCCCCACCGCGTTTACCGACATTGGCAGATCCCGGGGGTTAACGGCGACGCCGAGCGCTCTTATCGAGAGGGATCTGCGCGCGCAGGAGAACGCCCTCCGAGCCCCCACGGGTCACGTGACTCGACAGATGGCCGCTCCCGTGTTTACGCCGAGCCCAGTAATTCGCGGTTTTAAATGAAACCTGAGCAAATTCGTAAAGAAAAAAAAACACAAAAATTCGATTAAAATTGGCAATTGGATTTCTAGCGGGAATTTAATTTAAATTCGGTTTCTCTGGAGTCGGGGTTCAGGCGATCCAAGATGGCGGCTGGATGTTCACCTTGGCTCGATTCTCGTTTCGAGAGTCTCAAGGCAAGGGAGATGAGCGCGAATCGTTAAGAATCCTTCATTGCAATTTCGAAGGTCTTTTAACCGGTCGCGTGAAACCACGTCCATCATCTCGAGACGCTTACCTCGCGGGAAACGGACAATTTCGATGATTGCACGGCGCCGCGTCTCGACTCGGGTCGGAGTCCGCCATGTTGGAAACGTTGGCCCCAGAATCGGAGTGCTTCGACCCCGGATCAGGCGGAACCGCGTCCGGCAAGTGAATCCCGGCCTCGACGGCAGCTGGTCGATCTCGTATTTACATACCAAACTACGAATCCACGGTGTCTACACGGTCAATTTACCTCCGTATTTACAGGGGGCATGCGATCGGTGCGCGCGCGAGGTGCCGTAATGGCCGCGGCCATTGTACCATTGACGCGAGCACTCTGCCGTACGTGCGAAAAAAGAGAGGACAAAGGGAAAATGAATCTTCTCGGTTCTCAGGCGATCCCCGCAGACGGCCAGACGGACGGCCGGACCCGTTTTAAAGGGATGTAAGGGAGAGACGGGCCGCCATATTGTTGGCCCCCGGGCTCAAAGAAACGCGACCAGACCCGACATTGTCGGTCGTCTGTTTTGATTTCGCGATGCGACACGACAGCGGAGGTAGACCTCGGGTTCGCGCAGGTCGAGGGGAACTGACGTCACGGGTTTAGAGGTCGTGGACCCCGGCCTGCCATTTTTTTTCGCCCTCTTCATTAAGGCGGTTTAGGGATTCGCAAAATGGCGCCGGTTTAAGGGTCCTCTCGGTCGCTGCGCGCACCTTCCGAGGGCATCGCGAATTAACGTCGCTTTTTTCTTACAGGTCCGACTACTGAAGAACAGCCGAGAGGAAAGGAGTCATCGGGAGTAATTTATTGTCTCGTCGCCGTCATCTCTTCGCCCATTGTGTCGCTGCCATTTAGTTTATAAGCGCCGAAGAATTAAAGTCCGTTTGGAGTTTGACAAAATGGCGGTATACTTTTACACTTTCACCGGTTGAGCTTTCTCTTTTCGGCTCGGGATATTTTAAATATATCTCGCGTTCCTTGGGAACGAGTCGCGGGTATCGGGAAGAGATTCAGCCGGCGTCTTCGATTCCGCAAACCATGGAAAGGGGAGAGGACGTAAAGAACTCAGTCCCGGGTTCCAGAGATTTCCGAAAAGCCTCGGGTTCGCCTTTGTCCGCGGTGCAGTGCGGCAGCCACCAGATGTTCTCGAAAATAAGACCCACAAGATCCACGGGCGCACCGAGAGGGCCGGGATTAACAGTACAAAGAGAAATTACGAGGAGGAGAAAAGATCCGGAGAAAGGGGAAGGCCTTGCGAGGGAGGGAAGCGCCGAGAGTGGAGGAGGAAGGGCCTCTGGGCAAAAAGTAAAAACGCCAAATCGCGATCCGAAAAGGCCGTGCAGTGACCGCGCAATCTGGACACGCGATCGCCCCAGGGCTGGGCCCTTCCACTAGAACCTGTTGGTCCCGAAAGGTCCTCCCTCCTCCATTTAATACTTAAAATATATTCAGCAAACCCCTCTCTACTCGAGAAAAAAATCTAGTCCTGTGGACGTACGAATGCACCCTCTCTCTCTCCCTCTTTATTTCCTCTTCCTATTAATTTCATTCTATCGGTTTCTTGAGTACAAGAACCTCAAGGGGATGCGGAGGAGGAACTGTTTATTTTTTTATGAAAAAATATTCGGTGCATTTTTTTAAGTCTCGTTTAATGGGGTTGTAAAGGTCGGAGGACGTTTTCGGGAGAATTTCGTATTTTTTTTCTAAGCGAATGCCGCGGAACTCTCGGAGTGTTCGAGGGGGCAGCATCCGGGCCTTGTGCCGCCTTAAATCTCGAGGCGTTGAACTCTCCGCAAGAAGATGGCTCTCCGGCTGGTACGATCCTGCCGGCCGGTAAACCAGTCCGCGGGGAAAAAATGAAATAGAAAGTGGTCTGTCCGGTGCAACTCTGACTACAGTTTCTGAGGCTGTGCACCACAGCCATGTACCCCCCTGTTGTCCTGCTCTCCACGAAGTATAGCAAATGCGTGCCCTTTCTTGAAGGCTCCCGCGCCATTGTGGCCGCATTTCTCGTGCGGTTGTCGACTCGGAAAGTATCTTCGGGACAACGTCGGTAAGTACGCTCCTGTCGTGCCCCTTGGTCCTCCTCGATTCCTTTCATTCTGATTTCAAAATTCCCCGCGACCCTGAATCGTTCCCCTTGAAGCTTCCCCGATTTTTGTCAAATAATTTCGTGAATCCATTTTCAAATGTCTTGACGGACGACCGACTGACAGCTGAGGCGAGGACGCCATATGATTTTATCTGACATTTTCCGCGGGCTTTTATTTATAGTCTGTGGTCAGCTTTGGTATTTTTTTTATTCAGTTATTTATGCGGGGATTGTGGTATCGTGTCGTCGGTTAAATAATCTTGGCAGTGATTTTATAGTTTCTGGTTCTATCCTTCCTTCCTCAGGAACAACAAAAACTAATAGAAATTCCATCCGGGTCAAACGACACTTTTGCAATGGCAAAACTTTTGGCACTTCTGGTCATTATTTCGGTCTGCTACGTCACCAACGCGCAGCTACAGGCACCAAATCAGAAACGTGAGTGACAATTGAAATTTATTGCTGATGTAGTACCATTTTTATTATTTTCCTATTTTTTTTTCCCCGATTACGCTGCAGCCATTATCGGATTGACGTTCGATGAGATCGTGGTATCATCGGACTTGAACGTACGAAGGAAATCAAAGGAAAACCGTCAGGGTAAAAAACTGCTGACGAACGTGCCCTCCGGAACCACCGGTCCAGGAAGCCCAACAGCAACAGCCTCGAAGCTCGTTTCCAGCACCGGAAGTTGGGTAATACCGGAAAAGAGAGAGCGACGAGGTACCGGCGAACAGGAGAGGCAAGTATCGGCCACAAGTATGTAATCGCTCATGAATAAAATATCGGAGTCCAATAAAAGTCGGCGCAATAACGGTACACTTTCCATGTAGACCGATTTGTCTAGAGTGATTCGAAGTGCACCGTAAAAGACTCGGAAATTTTTCCAAAAGGGGGATTATTTCCTATTTCCTGATTTTTCTTTGTACGTGATCCGTCATACGAAAATCGTGACGAAGTGTCGGTACCATTAGTGTTTTCGTGAGCAATGGACATGACCAAAGGGAACACATAATTCATTTGTTTATCCTGGGAATTTTTTAGTTAAATTTAATTGTTCGTCTCCGTTAACGTTTCCCTGTTTTCAGACTATTGGAAGACGGAGTGGTGAGACTCTTGCTGAAATCTCGGAAATAATAGAGAAATTCGGACAGGCGCCACGGGGACAACCGCACGATCCTCATATCCTCATCTGTGATCACACGTTTCGACTGAACTTTGGACTTCGGCTCATGTAACAAAAGGTTGAATAAAATTTTTCTGTGTCATAACACTCGCCGCGTTTCGAAAAACTGACGCGACAATCGATTCGAGACCGAATCACGGTTAACCTTACGAGTAACTCTCTGTATTAAAATATTGCTCGATTTTTTCCTTGCCATTTAAATAAAGTCGAAAAACCGGGAGATGAGGAACAGGGGCAAGCCTTGGTGGAAGATTTGCAAAGTAACTTTCAGGTGCAACGTTGAATAACGTCCCTTGCGAAGTGTCCTTATACCTTGCACGTCACGATCTCGTGAGATAACTCTCCTCGTGTGCGCGTTTACGAGGCATCCCACGTTTCCTGAAGGTAAAAAAATCACCGGGATGAAATATGGCAGAACGTCTCAAAAGGCAGCCGCCGGCACGATGCAGATGCAGAGGACGAGGCATCTTGACAGCGCACACCTGCAGCTCCGGCTGGAAGGCGATCGTCAATCATTCCCCATTAAATTAAACTCGACTTTAAGATCTAGCGTTTATTGAATAAGGATGAACGATCGCGCGATTCGAGGCGGCCCAATTTTCAATCGATTGCCGACTAGACCCGCGATCAATCTGGAAGATTGAGCGTTCCGATTCGATGCGAGGACTGTTCGCACTTGTCAAGAGTTATCAGCGGACTTTTAATTTACGGGGTGATAAGACATATAATTTATGCACACATACTTTCCCTGTAATTTACGACCTACGGTGGATTACTCCCGTAAAGTCTGCCTCACTTTGTAATGGCTGGGGTACAACCCGCGAGATATTTCGAGCTAATCATCGACCATCGATTAAAAAATCATCGATCAAAATAATTTCTTCACCTCCCAGCTTGAATTTTTTTTTTCCCCCAGGAAACGTGTATTCCTCGCAATCGATTTATTCCCTTCACTTTTTCCCTGATTTACCATTTTTAATTCGTTAAATTCCTTCCCTTGCAGCGTATGAGCCGTGTCATTTTTATCTATCCTCCTCAAGGTCTTCTGCATATAGGTACTTCAGGTTGACGAGCAGGAAGTGCTTTAGCGATTGCACGTGGCTATCCCGTGGGACTCCGTAATTGAAATTCATCTACCTGCTACGTCACAGGAGGATTAGCATGACTCCTTACCAAAACGGCAAACGGCCGGGATTTTTGAAAAGTACCCGAAGAAGTGCCTCCCTGAATACGGAATCCGCGATATACATAACCGCGTAGAAATCTCGGCACTCCATAGAGAATCGAGAGATATTCCGTATTCCGGGCATTCCGCTCGAGCATAATATATTTAACCACGGCTGCGTGATTAGACTGAATCTCTGTAAAAGGTCCATCCATCAAATTTATCTCCACTATCTACCCTCCTCATATATGTATACCTCTTGACTGCTCAAGATAGCGGCGACATATATCTCCTGCAGGACCTAAAAATTATTTAAAAACACTTCAAGGGTTTACTAGAATTAAAAACCAGGATTGATATCAAAGGAACATTGCAAGAAACAATTATTTTCTGCTGAAGAAAAAATCCATGTCGATTTAAGCGGATTCCTTCACTTGATCTGATATTTTTGGGAAGTATTTCATCGCAGGACTTTATTGTCAATTTTTTTGAGTTAGGGAATTTTTTTCTCGGTTTTTTTTTTATTATTCCAGGATGAAGGACATAGACAGACCCGGAAGTTCGGTAATGGCGATCGATCGAGGATCGCCGCGCACCTGTCGGGTCGATTCTGCCTTATCGATTCAACGATTGTCCCGATACTACAAGATCGTTTATGTCGAGTTACTACACCTGCTCTTGATTTACGTCTTCCTTGGAAAAGCTGGCATTAAATCTGAGTTGTCCGATACGCCCTCGACTACCAATCGTAGCTAGCGGTAACCGGGGGTGTCCAAGATGGCCGCGAGATGTAATGCGGTCCCTAACCCTGCTCCCGGATCTACCGTGGACCTCCGTGACTGTGTTCTCTAAACCGCGATTCCCCTCGACACGTGTACTTGTTCTTTACAGTCCTGAACAATTGCTGGTAAGAATTGAGAAAGAACCTTCAAAGAAGCGAGATCAGACGAGGCTGTCGAGTTCTTCCGGGATGGAGTTCCAACTCCGGAATTAAGGACTCCGAGATATGATTTCTCCATCCTAATAAATCGACGCGGTATAAGATCCCCAGAATTATAAATCAGGAATTGTGAATTAATTATCCCGGGATTTTTATGCAATTAATTGGTCGGAGTGGTTTAAGACCCTGAATTTTAAATCGGGAATTTCCTTTGAGTCCCTCCCTTTGATATTTTAATTTTCAATATTTCTGAGGACTCTTGCGTGTCAATCGTGTCTCGATTTACTTTAACGGGCAATTCCCAGTACTTGCTCGCACCTGACGACATTTCCAATTCACAATTGCACCCGAGGTGGCACGTGTAATTGGACCCGGCCTAATCTTAATTCGATTTACGTAACCCTCGGCATCGAAACCTCGTGTAACAACGGTTAAGGGGAGGTTTAGATTTACAGAGTATTCCTCATCGATATGCGCGACAGTTATTGGGCATCGATTTCAATAAATCGACGCTTCCTGCTCCTTGGCGGTCCCTTCGGAACGAATTTTGGTCGCGCTTCCTACGGGTGGAAATTTCCATGAACTTGCCTTAAAATAACCATTAAAATAAATCGTAAGAAATGCAACGACATTTTTCATACTTGGATTATCTATCGGTACAGGTTTTCCAATTATTGGATAATTTATTTCGGGGTTCCCTTTTTTTTCCAGGGTCTTGCTAGATTCGTTTATGCGACTCCGCCGAGTGTAATGGAGTAGCGAGGAGGAAAAAGAAGGAGTACGAAATATGGAAAGACATGTAAACGATGAAACAAAGGGATTCCTCGGGACGGCCGGACAAACAGTCTGGCGGACGGGCATTGAATTCCATTATTATGGAAGTTGCATAATCAGTTTGCTGTTATTCTGCATGCAAGGTGTAAGGGGGAGAAAAAGAGGGATCTCCTTGTGGGACTGTTAAATCGATCCCATGTTTACGACCAGGAATCCTCACCTTGGGACAGATATTCAGGAAACGTCAGAGATGGGATTTTCAAAAGCTCGTGGCTTATGAAAAATTGAGAAAATAAATTAAGCAGAAAAATGAACCTCGCTCTTAACGGGATCGAACTTATCGAGAGCGACATAGACCCCAAATCCTTGGTAATCAGCTCACGATTGTCACGAGACACAGTTTTGCCAGACAGGCCATGGACGTGTTCGACGAAGAAGTCAGTGTCACGGTCGGTCATCGAATCAACGAGTTCAAGTGCGATTCAGCGGCGAATCGATTGTTTGGAGCTGTAGAAAATATAGAAATTCATGAAACCGAGGGTTTCGTGCATTGGAGAATTTTTTCAGGTTCTGGGTAGATAATCGCCGAAATCCATCGAACGATCGCAGGACTTTTTTCGAAAAATACTGATATCAAATTGAGATGGATTTTTCTCCCCACGTGGAACAATGAACCGAAGACATTTGTCGATGCAACGCCGCCAAATCGGTTAAACAATGGCCGCAATTCGGTGCAAAGAGCAGACGTCCGTCAGGGCCGATTACGGTTAATGACGTTCGTCTGACGTAACTTCCTCGGCGGTCGATCCCTTAATATATTAATAATATGGTCGGTCATACCGCCCGGTTGTCTGGCACGACTGGCCACAAGTGACGATAACTCTTGAGGACGAATCAAAAGTCCACAGGAGTCCAATGGCGGTGGCCGTCGTGTCCTGAATCCGAAATGTCCCAGTCAGATCCGCCTTGACGTGTCACTGTACCTTTTCCACGCACACTCCCCCAATGTCCCGATGTCTGCAAACCCGCCATCCAGAGTCTGCCAAAACTCGAGAAAGCATAATTTCCAAAATGGTCTAAACCATCCTCTGCAAAGCGCGGTGCCAAGAATCCGTACATACGAGGTTTGAAAATTCGTAAAAGCCTTATCAGATCCAAATTTGCAAATTGCGACGCATAAACATTGAACATCTGACGTTTCACGTTGGCAAAGTGCACGGTTTGAATTTTCAAGATTGGAAATATAATTACACGAGTCTTGGATTTACTCGTGGAGTGCGCTGTACATTTTTGATGCTTAATGGGAACATCGCCCTCCAAGATAACGATCGCTATATTCAGGAGCCGAAATTCGTGGGTAGATTTTTTCTGTTGAAAAGACGTCATTAAGTCCCTTATCGCGCGTCATGAATCGATCATGAAGAGAAAAAGAGAGAAGGCGACGACACGTTTGTCCCCGGTGTCAGCCGTCAATGGTAACACATTCTCATTCGCTCCTCGGACGAATTCATTGAGTGGCTTTTCATTATTCACCAAAGGGTCCGATGGTTCGTCGTTCTTTAGGGCCTCGAATGAGTCATTTGTCATCTCCCTGCTGCGAATTCGTGAAAGAACTTTTCCCATCGCTCCCTGACTCCGCCCAAGCATTCGCCCGAGCTGAGTCAGCCTCGATTCTTCACCTCAAAAATTGAGCAGCTTCGTTCCAAAGCTCTTCAAAATCTCGAAGCCCCCCCATAAAAGCTTCCCCTGATATCCCGAAGCACCCTGAATTTTTTCCCGATTTTTTCCGCCGAGAAACCCCCAATTCCATCCTTTTCGTCTACCCGCAAGTAGTAAACTCAGCGCTATGGTCAGACGTCTGCGCGCAATTAGAAAAAGTGAATCCAGACCTTAATATTCAGACCCGAGTTAAAAAACATAATTACGTCTCTTCACGTGTCTTTTCTATGTCTGTGAATAAAATATAATGGACGCGAAAAGATATCAGGATAAATAAATAAAAAATAATAAATCCTTCCCTTGGTCTTTCCGCGTTTCTAGAGTCGAGGCGGTTTTGCGGATCTAAGGGATTCCTGGGTTTTTTACGAACTTTCTTTTGATCGTCGGCTCGCCTGGAATAATTTTCCCGAGTCCCGAAGGATTTCCTTTCAAGTGCAGCGCCTTCGTTCTTGGGTGACTCCTCGAAGCTCGGCTGGCGATCGGATTGACTAAATTCATTAAATTCATCGGATTGATTAAATTCACAGATACTCCATCTTGGATGGCGATCACGTAGCGGTAACCGATGCGCGGTAGCGTTACGAATTCATGTCTTCGTGCGTGTGTCAACCTAATGAAGAAGTGGGGACCAAGATCCCATCCCGTCCTATCGGATACCATCGCATCCCACACCATGTCCAAGCCCGTGTCATCCCATCCCACATGGTTAAAGGACTAGCCAAGGTATATAAGGAATTGCGGAATGAGGGAGCACCACCCGAGCAAAGTTCTTCGTCGAGGATATCTTCGCGCAGTGTCTGTTCCTCTTGGTACCAGCGCTGAGAAGTGGAGAACTCTTCAGGTTCTCCAAGTTCCAGGTTCCCCAGGTTCCCCAGGTTCCCTAGATTGTGTCTGTAAATCCTCCTCGGTTGCCCAAGTCGGGAGAAAACGCGGGTGTAAAGTGAAAGCACAAAAGGAGACCGCAGAAGGAAATCCAAGATGGCGTCGGGCGTCTTCTTCGGGGTCGTCGTGGTCGCGGTTGTCGCGACGCTCTGCGCCGAAGGCAGAGTGGTACCTGCAAAACCCCGTGAGTGAAACCACTGGTTTTACCATATTCTCCTGATAATTACGAATTTTTTACATCCCTTCATCATTTTCAGCTAATCGCGAGATATCCGTAAAACCTCAAAACTACTGGTATTAATTTATATCGGCTTGACTTTGGTTATCACCGGTTAGATATTGGATTTTTTAAATACAGACATTCGGGGTTTAGTGGAATCGAGCGAAACTCGAAAATCTAGTCTGGGAATTGAGTGAAACTCATTAAATCGGAATGTTTTTTTGACAGAGTCCATCATGGTGGATCCGTATGGGAACCCGATGCTGTTCTTAAGGGCGAAGAGGGCCCCGGTTCGTCCTTATCCTCAGAGGGCGATGATGTTCACCGGGTACTACAGGCCGGCTCGTCGCTCTGCAAATGGCGACCAAGCGACCGGGATTTTCGCCGAAGGAAACGCCGTCAGCGGTGGAACGTATCTGGGAGATAAGCCAACATACTTGGACAAAGGACCAGAGCCAATAGACAGCCACGAAGTGTCTAGCGCGGAAGCCGAAGCTGCGCCGGAAAACGACGACGCCTTCTCGGCCGACCCTCAGCCTGAGGATCCTGTAGAGGAACACGAGGACGCGGTGGAACAGGTCGACATTTACAATTAAATTCATTATTGACAATTGTAAATTGAATTTATATTATTTCGACTTATACCGGAGGATTTATTTCATTTTCGACGTAAACGCAGGACCAGCCAGTTGCCGAGCCGAGGCCACTTCCTTACACGACGGAAGCCACTCCTGCACACCCTGAAGAGGCGGTTTACAACACGGAAGCAGCCCCGGTGACCTCGAAGCCCGTGGGCTCGAAAAAGGGGAAGAAGAGACCAGTGGTCGTCGAAGAGGAGGACGAAGAGGACTCTGAAGAGGACGATGACGAGCCTCCTGTACCTTTCGTGCCTTTCAGAGGTGGAAAACGACGTCAGGGTCAGATCCCGAACCTCAACAATTTCTTCCCAATGGTCTTCAGCTTCCCTGGACTCGCCAGGTCGGGTTCTCCAGGGTCTCCCCCAGGAGCTATCACCGCCATTGCCAATAGCTACTCCACGGGGAAAAGTGGGCTCGCCAGTTCTGTCGCTACTGCTTACGGGGGACCTCCTAATGGGTACACGTAGGCTTCGAAATTTCTGCTTTTTTCTCAAATGAATTTGCTAAGATATTAAATAGTGATAACGATGAATATTGTCGTGTTCAATTTGAAACATGTTCCTAGGAAGAAGCTGAGGAGGACACCAGCGATCCAAGAGTAGACCGAAGAGTAACTGACCCAGGTGTTCTCGCGACATCTCTATCGTGACCAGTTCTTCGATTGTAAAATTCGCAAATTTGGAATTGGAACTCGAAATGGCGGATCCAAATTCGGGTCGGTTGACCTTGATCGTCGAGCTTGTTAGCAATGATCGAGAAATAATTTCAAACTGGATCGGCATCGATGAAACGCGAAAGCGAATGGGACGTTCGCTTGGTTATTTGCAATAATTCATTGAAAGGGAATTGAAACATGTCGTTTTTTAGAAAAAGCTAAGGACAGAGGTAGGGATAAGGATAATATGGACTGGCCATGATGTATCATCTAGTTAGCATTATTTATGTAACGATCGCGGTCGGCAACAATTAAAAACTGCCGATCAGTTCCCCATTGTCAAGTTGTTCTAAGTAGTCCTAAATTTAAATTAAATACCGACACCTGGATCTCGAGCGCCCCGTAATCCTTCCTTGCATAATTTACAATAAACACGATTGGAAATAATTAACGCCTAAATTTTTATTTACCCTTTTCTCGTCTAGAAATTTCAAACAGTCTGTAGCCATGGATTCCGCAATAAACAATGTTTTCGAACGCTTATATCTTAGAACCAGAGTCGATTCCTTCCGGAGAAGATCCTAATGACACATAGGCAACGGTGCATCGAATCGATTCGATCTATCGATTACAGATATTCTGCATAAATATCATGTGCAAATGGCGAGGACGATCACGTAATTCCGACTGGGATGGAAGAAGCCTAAAAGGGAAAACTCAGGGCCGACTCCAACTGGGCCCTCTAAATAAACATTATCCACGAGAAATTTCAACGATTTTGTCGACAATAATTATTTCCAGCGACCTGGATTTAATTATAAAAAATTAATCGGCTTCTCCGCCCTGAAGGGCATCATTGTATTAATTTTCTTTAGATTGCAGGGAAGCTGGCAAAATGAATTTAAAGAATTTCCTTGCTCCGCTCCTGGGAAAGGCATTAAAGTTGTTGCAAGAGATGGATACAAGACAGTTGTTGTTTTCTTCATGGGTCTCGAAGGACTTAATCGAATTCGAAATGGATGGATCACCGTGTGAACCATGAAGATCACTTTTTGCAGACACTTGTCGAGGATTACGAGGAGCCTGGATTTTGTATATAAGGTGCAGCATCTTGATGGATGCAGTATCAGTTGAGAAGTTCTCCAGGATCTTCAGAAATCAAAGGAAAAAAATGTTCAAGCTTCTCTGTCTGCTGGTCCTCGTGGCTATGGCCATGGCAGCGCCTGAAGGTACGCACAGAAACGATTAATAATTCAAATAATTACTTTTCACAATCATACACCGTAGAGAAATATTTTTTTCGTGAAGGTAAAAGTGTTTTATTTAATGAGGATTTATTTCCGTTTTAGAATTGGCGAGAACTCAACGCTCGCCTGCTTATGGTGGAGGTTATGGCGGGTATGGAGGATATGGAAGCGGTTATGGAGGATATGGAGGATATGGAGGATACCCGGGATACGGAGGATACGGAGGAGGATACCCAGGGTACGGAGGAAGTTATGGACGGTAAATTCGTCCAAAATGGAACGAAATTGCGAATGGACCATGGACCATTGACGGACATTTCCCATTTGGATGACCTCTCCACGATTTCTAGATAATGGCGCCTTGCAGTGGCGCCTCCACGACACTAGAGCAATAAGAAAAGATATTTTACTGTAAATATCGATAATAAAGTAGCATGCGCAAATAGTTACTCATCTTTCCTACATTCTCCCCTGTCTGGAATGAAAATGTCCCCGCGATTATTCCACCTGCGAGTTTTCCAAAATCTTGCACTTTCTTTTGGCTGTTTTGGAGGGAGTTCGATGACTTTGGTCATTCATGGCCGAAAGAAAAAGGAAAGACGGAGGGGGATCTACGCGATGAAGAATTAGTCATCGAGTCCTCATGGGATACCTATCAGGATTTAAATCGCTTAAGCGACTCTAAATGTCTTCTACGAAAAATGCCCACACCGACGAAAATACTTTTTACGGCTTTCCGATCATTAATGCTGACCAATGTCGGAGCCACCGCTTGCTCCTTATTTTACGCACTTTTCTAACAGTCCGATGTCTTCCTTCCTGAAAATTCGAGTGACGTCAATTGAGATGGAGATGATTCGATGGTGGGAAAACCAATGCTCAATTTATGGTGAAGGAACTCGTGCTTAGCAGTATGTCACAACCATGGACGCGCTAATGAGATTCGAAGAGAGGCTCGAAAACATGCAGTCTTAAGTACATAATATATTATCAGACCCGACCGATATATGCAAAAGCGGTTTGGAATATCCCGAATCATTGGGACCGATTCGTATATAAACTAGGCCCCTCGCTTCCTCTTTTGTCACTAACGAATCGAGTCTCGAGACGAAAACACCTCTTAACCTGAGAGAATTTTACCTGGATCTCGAAAGAGCGAAGATGAAGATCGCCATTCTTCTCATATTCGCCGTTCTCGGGACGAGTTTCGCTTTTCCGGCGAATCCCATAAACGAAGAGGGTATGATTTTTAAAAATTGAAAAATATTTATTCCGGTAGATTTATTATTTTTTGATGCGTGATTAGAGGTAGTTAGATGGTGACAAATGCTTGTGAACTCATTTCAGAGCTGGTGAGGGTTGGAAGAGCTGCCTTGCCCGAGCCGGCCCATTATCAGGGTCAGGGTCAGGATCGTGGTCATGGAGGATACCCACAATTGCAAGGTGGAAGCAGTTCTTTCGCCCAAAGTTCTGCAAAGTCGGGCGCTATTAGCGGACCTCATGGTAGTACGTCTTTTGCAAACTCACAGTCTAGTGCTGGGTAAGGAGAGAAATTAATTATAAAAATTAAGTACCTCTCGATTGTGAATTCTCACCAAATTTTCATGAAATCGTAGATCCGGTGCCTATGGACGATAATCATTGACAAGGCTCGATTGACGAATAAACGACCTAATGAAGGCAAAAAGTATTACATCGTTTGGAAGGAGTTGAGAGAAACTGACAAGAGTAGTTCACATGCATTACATTACTTGAGGTTAATTGTAATTTTGTCTGCACATTGTGCACTTTCCTTTTGCTGAGCGTAATAAAGCGATATACACGAATATTATTTACGAGTTTTTAAAGCGACCTATCCATCAAAATGTTCATTCCTGTTAATCACCCAGGTAATTACATGCATAATTGGCTAAGTAGATGAGCGTTTAAATTATTTCATGAAACGATCCTCGTCTCGTTTGGTCCCGAAATATCTTCCTGCAGATGGTGAATAAAAAAATGACAAGAATACGATGAGTATAAGGAAAAAGATAGTTGTTGACCCTGAAAGTCTAAGCGATGAAATTTATAACACCGGAATGGTCGGATTTTCGCGACATGACTTGGCACCGATTATTTGTATCATTGATGACTTTTATTTGTCACGAATGGTGAACTTAGTAGAGTTCAATAAATCCTATTTTTAGTCCTTGACTGCCTCACCGACTTAAAAATCGGCGTTTCCTTCTCGTTTTTGTCGATTAACCTTAATCTTACCTCTAGACACGAGAGAGAAAAAAGTTAATGCGTGGAAGGAGATATTTTATACTCGGTATAAAAGTAGAATCAGTGGAGCTGACGATAATAGTCTTCTTTTTATTGTCATGGGGTGGTCATTGCCTTAGTCTAATATATTCAACGGAAATTTCTTCCTTGCTTCTCGGATTTTTATTTTACTTACCTGAATATGTTGAAGTACGTTATTCTGTTGGCATTGTTGATTATAATTGCGACCGGGGACAAAGATGGTAAGAAGGTGCATTTTTGTAAAGAGCATTCTGGATTTAGAAATAATTTTCTAAAAATTACCATGGGTATATTTTCATAACCTTTCAACTTTTTCTGCTATCGAGTAGATCGCAATCTCAAAGATGGCCATGACCATGGGAAACATAATAAATCAGATGGCCACAAACCTGGCCAGCATTGCCACGGTGCGTTTATTTTCCCATAAAATTTCGACTGTAATTTTGAAGAAACGAGTAAGTCATTTTTTTTTCATTGCAGTTTTTAGATTGGCTCGTTCCTTGGATGGTCTGATCGAATTTCAAAATCAGCATCTTAAAAGATACGCCAGAAATGTTGGTCTGGACCATGACGACGAGCACCACACGTAACTTTGCAATTTCGTATCTTTTATCCAATCAACTTTGAACGAAACTATTGAATTAAACAATCACGCCATAATTTCGGACTCAGTGCTCAGTCCAATTTAATTAATGTTAAACTACTCATTACAGAACTAGGAAAGCCTGAACAATGCGAGCGACACATTCCGAAGTGGGATAACAAAGGACAACGTTGACACATATCTTCGATTATTTATAAACTCTGTTGAATGTGAGAAAGCCATTAATCTCAGGGGTGGAGATTAAAAATCGCAGGCCAGGAATTATGCGAATAAATGATAAATACAGATCATTGTATCAGGTAGAATAAAAAATAATGCTGAACGGCACGAATTGTCACTTATTTGCTGCAATCCTCTCCTCTTAAATATATAAATATTTTTCAGAGAAGCGTTTTACCTGCAAGTAGATACGTCCCTGTCGTTAGTTTGTAATTCATATTAATGTTTTTAAAACATGACATACCAGAGTGTCTGCTTTCTTGTCTGGGACTCTTATAAAGACGATTGCACCGCAAGAGAAGCCTCATTTCTACAATTAGTCCATGCAGTTGAATTAATCGTCAGTCCCGGAATTTAAAAGAAAAGATGAAGTGTGTGACGTTAATGTTAGTCAGCCTACTGGTCGGAGTAAGTTAATAAATAATTCTCCGAGCGTATAAATTTCCATTACTCCAGTCATTATTATCATAATTTCATAATTTCATTAACTTCAGATAGAATGTCGCCTTCTCGTCCCATCCTCGATGGACGATGCAAGTGAGTTCCAACGCGATTTCTCTCCTTCCTTTTTTTGTTTATCATTAATAAAAATATTTAATCGATGCAGACAGGTACTGGAATCCGAAAATCTTACTGGGAGTGAAGGACATTTTCTCGAGTTTGACGGAATCCAGCGATTCTTTTATCCCGATAAGTCTGGCCGACCCTGAAGTAACCGTTTCTGATAAGAAATCACAGGACGAGCTGAAATCTTTTATTCTGTCTCAAGGCAGAAAATTGGAGAAACTTTTGTTGGAATTTCTCGACAAGACTGACAGCCCAAGAGACTATGTACGTGCGGTAAGCTATATTTACTTGCAATGAAGAAGTGAAAAAAATGATAGTGAATATTAGAATCACTTATTTCAGAGTCAGTGGGTGAATCAACTTTGGGTGATCTTGAAAGAACTGTCCAACACTATCAGGATTAAATCAAAGCGACCTGATTTGAGGATCAATGAAGTCGCCGACATGCACGACAAGTCGGAAACCATGAACTCTTTGGACGATCTTCTGGATTCTGTTGACAAACGCGATATCTACTATCAGGACAACCAAGATGAGAAGCATGTAAAATCGAGTGAGTACTTGAAGTGAAAAATTTCTGAAAGATCCCTGCTGCCTGAAAGCCGCTCAGTAATTTTATTCTTGGCTTCCGAGGATCCGATGACTCTTCGGCATCTACGATTTTATCTCACGGGAAGCATGGCGACGAAGAAGACGCAAAAGCCACGAAAAATGGCGCCGAACATCTCGACGAAATGCTGGTGGAAGTGCAAAATCAACTCGGCCTCATACGGAAATATTATGGAAAACTTTGCAGGTCAGACAGGACCTTCCCCGAAATCGATTATTAATTTTTAATTATTATTTAAACATTTTAATATCTATTTCAGAAGACATCACGCCTTGCTAGCATCTTCCAGCCTATCTTCACGCAGCCAGGACTCCTCTTCCGTGAACCAACCGAAAAAAATATCCATTTTGTAATATCCTTTTAATATCTCTCGAACGTAAATCATCGCGTAAACTTATTCAACTAATTACATAAACGAAAAGAACGCGAATAAGAATTAGCATTTATACCACCGTGAAAATAGGAGAATAAATCGATATTAAAAAATACGAATGTACTTGCCCATTGTTTCGAAAGAAAATATGACAGTTCAACGATCTGCCGAAGGTTGCGGAAATTCCAACGAGCGGAAATTAATATAGCCTTCCGGCATAAAAATAAAAATGGCGCGTCGGTCATGCTCCATCGCTCAAATCGTTCAAGTATTCCCATTTCTGTACTCATATGAAATATTTCCACGGAGTCATTGCCCTTTTTGCCGTCATTTTTACCGGCCTAGCTCTTTGACCTCCGGGTCTTTTTCTATCCAGTATTTATTCCTGCACATTTTTGCACCGCAACCAATTCCACGAGTGCAGGCTCGAAAGTAAACTCATTTCCATCTTCCCCGACATTTATCATTTCCCTGCACTCCGATCACGCGATAATGAACCCCCTGCAACGATACTATCAATCGAAAGTCAAACTCATGTTAGAAACGTGATACCCACTTGTGAGTCATGACGTTTGGTCGATCAAGCCGAGTTTCCATGGGCAACGAGGTGTCGTCCGAAAGCGTCACAAAGGAGGCTCCTGGCATTGTTAAACATTAATAATTTTCCTCGGAGGATTCTCAACATCTACAAGTCAAATCTCCCGATCGCGTCCCTCGACCGAAACGCCGAATTAATTAATCGAACCGATCGGTAAGTGAAATTCTCTTCTCCTTTTCGAGGACGTCTTGCAGGACTGTGTCCTTTCACGAAATTACTAAAAATACTAATCTCGCTTATTGTCACTTTTTAAAGCTATTTAATGTTAGGAAAATTTGCCTCGGGGGATTTTATTTAATTTTATTCCACTTGCTTGAATAAAAATCAGCTGGGTAGGGCATTTTTGTGATCATGCCTCAATAATTGTAATCGATCATCGGCGATTGTATCTCGGTGCTGTTTGGAATTATCGAAATTAGGGAATAATTGGATTCGGAGTTTCCTGCCGATCGTGAGCACGCGATTCGATTCGAAACTTCTCTGTTAGGAGATAATTCGATGGTTATCATCAATCGATCCTACCCCAACCGCGAGGAAGGATTTCAAGCGATTTTCTTGAAGAGGGATTTCTTCACGGTGTGCGTGACCGAGATACGATTTCCTATTAATAGGCCCGATTAAGGCAAGTTAATTAAACGTCGACCGTCTATCCCGTTCCTCGAAGTTCGAAATTGCTCTGCGGAATTTAGAGAATAAAAATTAGCACAGCGCTTGTATCGATGTTTCGGATGGTAGAAGAGATTGTTTAGTAATTTCGGCAACAAACGTACGTGTGTAACGATCATTTAACACCCTGGAAAATCCAGCTATCGAAACGAAACTTTCGGCAAACTTTCAGAGTTCGCGTGACCGAATTCGTTCCACTCGTCCATTCCGCCAGAGAATTCCCGCAATTATCGCCCTCTGAATTGCGGAATTTCGAAATCCTCGTCCTCGATGGATCGAAAATCGAATCCATCTTAGAAGATGAGATGCCGATAAAAAATAAGTTCTGTCGCCCATACTTGATTTTTTGGCGCTGTTAAAGATTTCGTATTAATTTTTTTTTTGTATAACCTTCCCAATGTAAAATCGCCGGTATCAGGTGATTTCCCGTATCACGCACCCTCGCAACGGAAATGCGAGTATCGGGTGATTTTCGGTAATAAGCGATGATAGGAGGGCGAAGCTTCGATCGATCAAACTCGACTTGATAGTTTCGCTGATAATCCGAAAATAAGTTCGCCCCAAGAGGTCGACTTCGAAATGCATTTCGGGGACTCTGAAAATTGTGGGAAAAACCTCCGCGATAAATATCCGCCCACTTTGTCGCGCAAAGGATCTAACTTAATTCTTTATGCGTAGTATCTTTTATGTCTCTGAATTTATGCGCCGCCAGGGCGCATAAATTCCCTCGCGGCGATTTCCGAAATTTCTTTTTTCGAACACGCACGTTCCCCCCAAGAAGTCGTTACGATACTCGACCTCCTGTCGTGTGTAAGGAATGTTAACCTGTCATTGCTAACAATGTTGCACGTGTCGTTCGAGGACGCGTGATCGGACTTACACGCGAGGAATTGTTGCACTCTGGAGAAGCTCCCAAGATTTATGGATTTTCCGGTAATCCAGGATTTCACGTCGATAATTTAAATTTCTAAAACAAAGTAAATTTTGCCGAATAAAAACCCGCAATATATTTTTTTATCATTTTCCCTTGAATAATAATTCTGAAATGTTTAAGGAGAGAAGGGATCGTTTTCAGAGCAATATCAAGAGAGATGTCCGAGCTGAGCAGCTTATCGTCCCTCGGCCTGTATCCTTTGGACGTCGGCGTCGGCGTCGGCGCCGTCGAGCCGATTCCTATGACGGGCCGAGGTGGTGCGATGGTCATGAGAAGTCTCTCCGTCTTCCTGACGTACGGCCGCAAAGCTCGGAGCGGTCTCGAAAAGGATCGAGGAAATTCGGCGGATTCGTATTGCGAGGACCAGATCCTGAAGAGCATGCCCGAAGGACCAAACGGGAGGAACGCCGTGCCAAGCGCGAAGCTTTTCGAGTACTTAAAGCGCAGGACTAAGTTCTCCAGGTGGCGTAAATAATTTTGTACAACCTTTACAAATCTTGTAACAAAAAGAAAGATTGAAGAAAATGGAGCAAGGGAATAATTGCCGCCCAATTCCAGGTCGGAGCTCGAGGCTCTCTGCAAGATTTACAAGAAACTGACAACCGGTCAACAATTCGGAGCATCCTCAACGACGGGCGACATTTCGGCACCTGTGCAGGTGGTAGGAAGATTAATTAAAATTCAAATTGAATTACCATGAATTATTTCATTACTGTAAATGTGTCACGTGGACCAGGGAATCGACAGGGCAATATTTCGCGAATTGTTGCACAACACGTTCGACATCCTGACGGAAGATATGATCGTCGAGAGGATGTTCTGCTGTTGGGATAAGGATAACGATGGATTCGTTAGCCTCGAGTCCTGGATTTTCGGACTGAACGTGTTTCTTCGAGGAACCCTGCGCGAGAAAACGGAATTCTGCTTCAAGGTCTACGACTTGAATAACGACGGATTCATCAGCAAGGACGAGATCTTCCAATTTTTTAAGTGAGTAGGGGAGACAATTTTTCAAAGTCGAAGAAACGAAGAAATCGTCTCGTTGCAGGGATTGTCTGATCAAGCAACCCGGAGATGAAGACCCTGAAGAGGGCGTCAGAGACTTGTCTGAAATGGTTCTAAAAAAATTGGACGTCGATCGCGACGGAAAGGTCTCATTCCGTGATTATGAAACCGCGATAAAAAAAGAGCCCCTTCTTTTGGAAGCTTTCGGGACGTGTCTTCCGACGCAAGAAAACTGCACGGCTTTTCTGACGACCTTGCAGACATAAACCAAATACGTTGCAATATGCACTCTTCGAAATGGGCATATTAAAATCAGTGAACAACGATCTGCTCGTTTTCGAGTCGAAGTTTATTAAGATCGAGCTCGAATTAATTCTCACGTTGCAATGACGTTATCATCAAACAACTTCATCCTATCGCACTTATCAGGAAACTCGTTGAAGTTTTTTAGCACTTGTTTACGCTCCGGCATTTTGATGCAATCGTTTCGCCGACCCCAATGAAAATTCTGAGAGATAATAACTCGATGATTACACCCACACTGATTGTAATGAATTTTACAATAAAATTTGGAGTGGATTTTATTAAGAATAAAAATGAAATATATATTTCTAGGTGTCGGTCGTTTCGGATTTTAATTATATATGCGTTGTTTGACTGCATTTCTTTTTCCTTTTGACTTTCTTCTCGATTTTGGTCAATGATTCCGGTTAGTTTTTTTTTCCTCCAGTGCATTTCGAAGATGCACGAGTGCAACTTGCACTCAAGGACGAGTGGCTCGAGTTAATTGGGAGTGTGGGATTGGTTTGCTATTGTTGTGCACTGAATGGCGATGGTAAATGAATGAAGCGTAGAAACGATAAATCATTATCCATTTTGATGCTGGATGGAAGTCGTGTATAAAAGGAGAGAACCTCGCCTTTCGATTGAATCGGACTTTGGCAGACGTAATGGTCATGACCTCCCTCAAGATTTTGGCCGCCGCTTTGATCGTCTTTATTCCTCAAGTAAGTCATTTTCAAATATCCCTATCAATCCGACACTCTTTTTCTAAACGCTCAAATCGCTCTATTTTCAAATCCACGTCGGAGAAGAATTTTCCTGAGCCGCATAAATAATTGTCAAAAATGTAACCAATGAAACGATTTTATTTCAGATATCCCAGACCGTGGGAAAACACCTGTCGAAGGATTCGTCATCCGGAAAGGTAATAAATTCCCTCGAGGCTGGTACTTTTGGTTTGAGATATTTTTTTAAAAACGCCTAACCTTTCCAGGGAGACACAGTGATCGAAAACAAAAATGTCAACATCATTGTCAACGCCGATCCGAAATTGATCGCGGAGGAACTGTGGAAAGTGATCCTGGCTTATCTGGACGAGAAACCATCCTCCACTCTTTCCGCGGAGACGATAAAAGAACTGATCCGAATCGTCGCTCCTGTCAGGGGGAGAAGATCAGGATTGTCTGCTTTTGAGATGTCTTATGACTTGGAACAAGTCGCGAGAAGAAGTTTGGCTTTGAATTCAAATCTCGACCCGGTCGACCGGGAGATAAAGGCGAAGGATATGGCGGCTGAGATGATGAGTGTTATCAAGGATATCGAGGAATCACCTGAGCAGCAAAAATTGACAGTCACCGGTAGAAGATTGGACTTGACCGAAAATGTTGACAACTACGTGGAGATCAGAGTGAAGATGAACCAACGTGATCTGATGGACGCCGTGAAGGACGAGTCATCATAAACTGACACCGAAAAGACGCAAAATTTTGTTAAAATCCGTGAAAACTGCCATGAGAAGAAAAATGTCATCGAACCAAAGAAATAATTCTTTGAATTTACTAAATATTTTCTTTTGACACTGTTCCAAGAGATATGTCTATCGTTCGGTGACATTTTTTATCTTGGTGTGGAAAATTGTGAAAAATTTTGTATGAATAAAGAGAGTGCTTTATAGCCAGTGAGATTAATTTCCAGAAATTCTGCTTGACGTTTAATTCCCTGTTCGCATGATTTATGCAAATTTTAGATCCGCTTTTATTCTTATTTAAGGTCGATTATCGATAGGCCGTCGAGTTTGGCGCGGATGGAATTCCCGAGAATGGTTATTAATTTGTTATTCTATGATTTATGATTTTAGAGCGCCTTTAGTTCAATGCTTTCTTATCGCTCTCGTTGATAGCGGAAGTTTGCAAGATTAGTTAACACCGTATATTAGACTCAGGAAGCGAGCACGGAGGCGACGACTTGATTTAATGAAATCTGCAGTGGTGGATTTATCGTCTCGACGTTTATTTAGCGACATTGAGCCGTCAAAACCCGCGAACGCGGTCAATCTACGTGTCGCGATTATCGGCTGCGTGAAATCGATCGGATCGATAATTGGCTACGATAATTGCACCGTCCAGAGCGTGTCATTCGATTTTTATCAATTAAGCCCGACTTTCCAGGAATGTCAAAAATCCGAAATTCGGCAAACAGATCTCGATCGACAATCGATCGTGATTTCAATCTAGGCTTTATCGAACGAAAAAAAAAAATCAAAGGTACAATAGAAAAACGCAGAAAATGGAGAAAAATCTAAAAAAAATCGATTTAACGTAATTTGCACTTGAGGAGTTAGATAAAAATTAATATTCTGTGGAATTAATGAGCTCGTGGTGAGATAGAAAATATGGTAATTATTTAGAAAGTTATGTTAAGAAGTTAGAGTTTCTGAATAGACGGCACCCACTTTTGGAGGAAATTTTCGAAGGATGTCTTCTGACGTTTAAGAAGCGCTCCCAGAGTGTCGGCGTAAACTAATTTACATTTCCCCGCTGGTACGCACTTTTTCAACACCTCGGCCTGTATTCGTCAAGGAACAACGACGTGGACTGTTAATTCTCCATGTAAAGCGGCCGAGTTTGATTTACGACTTCGTGCCAATCGCAATTTCACGGATGTCAATGGCACGATTGCGAGATGATTCCGCGCGAAACTCCAATCCCGTTTATACATCTTTCGAGGGGCGGCAATCACGCTATAAAGTAAGTGATACCTCGGAGATTAATTGGTTCATAAAAAACCTAGGAGTATATGAAGACGAGGCGCAAATGTTTCTCACGTCTCAACACCAAGCGGACTCCACACGAAGCTGCCATGTCGCCATTTTCCGGGATTCTCTCAACCCTTTGCGTCCTCGGCGTTTTCGTAAGTCCACCCCACAAGCACGATACAAAACTTTAAAAAAATACCTAACCATTAAATTGTTAATCCTGGGTCTGGGTAATTGACGCGTTATTGCAGGGACTGTTTCTACTCTTTTTCCTCAGGTCGTTATATCAGGGGCAGATCACGAAGAAGCCGTGGATGTTTTGCGAAAAATTCTTATCTCGGTGACGAACATCGAGCAGCGTCTGGCATCGAAGTCTTCGAAATATTCGAAGGGTGGTCGACTTCCATACAACGACCCGTACAACCTGGCTCTGGTAATTTTCTTGACCTTTGAAATGATCTCAAGAATGGACGTACAATAGACTAGAGAATGTTAATTTTTCTAGTATTTTTCTCAGCTGTCCCCGAATTTGCAATCGCCCATCACGACCGTAAGCAACGCGCCCCGAAACGTGAACACTGGTTTTGGAAATCAAGAGAGCTCGAACGTCATCAAAGCCAGAATCGGTTCGTTGACGTCCGACGAGATTGAGGATGACGAATCGGTAAGCAGGGAATACGTTCCCTCGGATTACACGAAGCTCCGGCACGGCATCGATGTCTTTAACAGCAACATCAATACCAATCAGAACTTCGCGCGAAGGCTGCAACCAGGTTTCCAAGAGGTGCAAGTACACAACTCTAACAAGAGGAGAGGAAGAAGGCCTTATCACAGCAATGCAAATAACAACCAAAACGTTGTAATCCACGACGACCCCGAATTCGGCGAGGACGATTAAACCATGATTAATAAATGACCTAAGAGACGGAAGAGTCTCGGTTCGCCGCAAGAAAATGCGAGGACGGAAATTTTCCCGATTTTCCCGATTCGACCGTAACGTCGAATTACGCGCGTTCTTGTAACCAGGAAATTCTGGAGACCTGTATTTATTTGAGATGGAATAAAATTTGCAACATTTAATTCTTACGTGTATATTTCTTTGAGAATTTCCTTGGAATCTGTAATATCGGATATTTCCCCTTGTAATTACCATATTATGCAGATTTGTGTCTGCTTTAAGAAATGTAAAGTCTTTTGGGTTTTTATTTTTTAGAGGGGATCGTTTAGAGAATTTGTTCAGGTCCCCAGAGGAATGACGAAGGCGGTGCATAAGTGCATAGAGTGGTGCATACCGTCTGGTGCTTTTATGGGCGCAGGCATTGAAAAGTAATTGAAAGTCCTTGTCAAATTATTTTTACGCGGCGTTTCCATGTCCTGAGGAGCAATCACTATCGATTACCGCCAGTAAGTGCGATTATTTTCCCCAAGCACTTGTTAAACAATTATGAATATCTCCCTTTTAACCCCGAATGCGTCGTTACGGCCGTTACTGGTCGGTCCGGAAGGCGAGCATGTTTCCTTGATAACAGGCTCATAATCGAGTCTCGTTAAGTGGAAATGTCGATTAATATTGACGGTGAATGATTACCGCAAATGGAGCTATGGGACCGCGCGAATCGGTCACAGCAAGTTGAAACAATCTGTTATGTCAGGTGCAAGTAACGTTAATCGTCCTCGTTCGGAAATTGTCAATAATCAATGATCACGTTTCTAGTGGATACGATCACTTTAAGTCATCGTATCCAGTATGTCGATGGCACCTCGTCAAGTGACATCGACACTGTGCATCCGGTCTTTTTTTTTTTGTAAATCCGATGTATGAAATTTGTATAAATAATGATAATTCCGTTTTTGGTACTTTCTGCATTGACCCTAACTGCCGACGTGAGTCTTGCGATTAATAAAAATTAATTAATCAGATTTTATTTTCTATATCCTTTTTAATACCGATCCTTTTTTTTTTAAGTCCGTATTTTCACCTTGTCCGAATAAAAAGCCGTTCAAAGCTCCTCTGTCCCCTCTCGGAAGACAATCCTGTAAGTGACGTTCGAATTTAACGAAATTATAATAATTAATAAAATGTATCTTGGATTATAAAATTATAGTAAAACCTACAGTTCGCAGGATTCAGCAGCCTGAAAGTACTTCGACCGAATATCCTGTGAAAACCAGGTGGTCCAGGGTGGACTTTCCGAATCTCAGGAGAAAATTGATAAGGCAGCCTAGAAAGGTGAGAGGTTTATATAATTCCAAAAAATTGATAAACGTTGTAAAATTGCAATGAAATTTTCAGGCACTTTCGGAGGAGCTTCGCCGTCATTTCCTGGAGGAAAGGATGCGAAAAGTCGACGAGAGCTTCGTCCACAAAATAGATCCTCACAGCATCCCGGAGGAGACCGAAATCCCCATATTCGAGCACCCTTACGACTTCTCCAATAAATAATTTAATTTGATCCGTGATATAACACCATAGATGACAAAATAAATTCTGAATTAAATGGATATAGTTTAACCTTAAGACAGAAGCAGGAAGCGAAGAACGACGCCGAAGAGTCTGAATTATGGCACTCGCCTTTTATTATATAAACAAATTCATATTCCTTAACTCGTGTAATTACAAACAATGTGTGATGACGATATAATTACAAAATACGCCGGTTTCACCCTTGCGTGCTGCTTGATCAGTCGTAAACCACGGATTACCAGGATGGCGGCTATCGAGGACACGGGCTAGAGGTAAAGAGATGTACAAAGGACACGAAAGGACCTCCCGAAGGATTCCTCCTCAAGGATCGAGATTAAATCGAGTCTATGTACAAAAGGAAAAGTCGCCTCGCAGGACGAGCGGCCTCTCGTCCTTGCACGCGTCTTATGTACAAAAAGGATCCACGAAAAGGACTCTCGAAGAGTCCACCTCGGCCGGTAATCCGTGGGCTAATTAAACTACGAGACGCGAGAGGTACATCAGTGATGTTCATATTTCATGATACCAAGAGGGTCCTGGCGGTCGCCATTTTTCGGGGGTCCTCGCCAGGACCCCTGATAAGGATCGAGCGAGGACCCGAGAAAAGGAGCGCATCTGGTTTGTTCTTTCCATTTCCCCTTTAATTTCCTCCCCTTTCGTCAATCCAGAATATCAGCGACGTGATGTCACCGGAAGTACCGTACGAACGGCGCCGAAAAGGATAATTAGACGCGAAAAATCTATAATTATACCCAAAGGACAACCATTTATCCCCTGTGATGTAAACTTATTTAGACCCTATCGATTTCTCTGGACTGTTCACCGGGAAGATAAAGCCGAGTCCTCGCGGCGAGATAAAGAGACTTCACGAAATGCGGAGAAAGGATTTTACAAGAGTTTTACAAAAAGTCGGGGGGGTGAGAAAAAACGAAAAATCAGAGATCACTTCGGAGACGCGAGGGTAATTCCGCGCACTTCGATCGATTGAGCAATTGGAAGTGCGAACCTTTTATCGGACGTTTGTTCGAATTCTTATGACTTTCGGGACCCTCGTTTTAGTGTACTTATTTACAGATTTTTGTTTAAAAAGATGTCGGAAAATAATGAAATGTCGAGTGTACATACGTACGAGAGATCGGGCATGAAGAGTGAAATACAATTAAAAAGAGAGAATCATCGGAGACCGTACCAAACGATAAGGAGCCGATAAAGAACAACTCGTCGAGAGTGTAAAAACAGTTAAGGTAGATGTAAAGATAAAAAAAAAATTAAAAATCGTCCAAATCCCTCGGCAATTCTCAAAGAACGCGCAATTCGCCCGAAAAGTACATGCCCACAAGTCTTGTTACAAGTTAGGTCTGACTTCGACAGACCTGACACGCGTGTCCGTTCTTTCGTTATATAGTATCTAGAGTATAGTATATATATATATTAATCATATAAAAACATATGTATAAGGTTCAAAATCGTCATCGCGAATGCGCATAGATAAATGTAACGATTACGTCGAAACAAAAAGTTCTCTAGCATTAGTAATAAAATTGTTAATGGTAGCAATAATAATTAGGGTAATAGTGGTCGTAGTGTAATTACGCGTGCACGTAAATGGCAATTATAATCCTCGCATCTCTCTCTCTCAACCTCTCTCTGTATATATATACTCGTATAATTATTTACAATGCGTACGTTAACTTCGTCCGGTGCGTCCGCTCGCGTTAAACCATTAATTGCGCCTTCATATATATACACATATACATATGCGGTACACATATATATGTATAATATACACAGAAATATGTATATTATTTATAGAGACTAGTTATGGGTTCACTTAAAACAACTATGCCGGGTAATTAGGTGAATCTGTATCTCGGAGCCGCGAAGGTACTCTACGGTGTTCGTTAGTGTTAATTCGATAAATCCTTTTACTAAAATATATGTATAGTGTCGTAGTATTTAGCGACCTCCTCTTAGATTCGTCGTTTTCACTCGCAATTGGGAAAGGGAAAAGTATCGTTAACTTTAAACCGAGGGTAAGTGCGCGTGCCTTGTTGCTGCGAAATCACAAAAACGAGCTCGTAGGGGGAAATCGACGGCGTTTTCACATTTTCACAGTTTAGCATCAAACAGAATGGATCCCCTCAAAATGCAAAGTGTCCCCGAAGAAAAGAAGAGAAACGGACTCGACGTGGAGGGACGAAAATGCTAGAACGAGGAATGTGCAAAGTGTACCCTGGAATTGACAATTTGTCGAGACGTCGACCGTGCAAATCGTACAAGTCTTCGTAATTTCACAACGGCGTTGCGCACTGACGGGCTCAACGATTTCCGTTAAATGGACGAGATTTTTGGACCGATCGTCGAAATCACAGTTTGGTCACTCCCGAGTGTCCATTTTTGAGAAATCGTCAGCTACCGAATATGTAAATTAACCGGTATACTGGTAAATAGACGTCCTGTAGATCTGGCGCTCGGAGGAAAATGGCATTAATATTTCTCCATTGTAACGAGCGGAGGAGTAAGGGCGTAATGGTAATCGGAGTAATAAAGATGGATTACTTTTCTCGATTGTCTGGCGATGCGGGAGGAAAATTGACTGACGACAGAAATGAAAATTTAGGGCACGTTCCGGGACGCGGTCCCACGCCATTTTGCCCCCGAGCCTCCTTAATTTGGCAATTATTGTACTCTCTTATTTACATTGTAAACCTTTTCGGAAATAAAGTATTCTCGGTCGCTATGGTAAACGGTTAATTGTGAACTATCTTGGACTCTACGCTCGCAATATAGATTTTGGAGGCGACTCGAAGAATCCCTTCTTCGAGAAGTAAACCGGAAGTGCAGTGAACGGCAGACCGCCTCATCCAGGGCGAATTCGCGGTATTGAGTCAATTTCCCACAGATTGACTGGAGGAGCCAAAACTCGTCCCGAAGAAATCGGCTCTGAATACGCGCGACGTCTTCGTAAAGTCGTTCCCTCCTGTGCCAAAACGTCACGAGAAGAGAGACGAGAAGAGTCACTCGCGAAGCTTCTCCACGCCGACCGTGTGGGTTTAATTACAAGATTTGTAGGAGAAGCCTCGAAGCGACTGCCCTCGGATACAAAACTTAAGCTCGACGATCGCGGCAGCATGGAAAGGCAGTGGCGGGAAAATAATTGCTGTACAGAGCACACGTGGAAATCGACCGAATAACGACGAAGACGATGTCGGCATAGCAGGGACGAGCGAAGCGGTTTCCTCGCTGCGTGGTCGCTCTGTCTCTCTCGCGCCCCACCTACGGGCCGCGAGGGCGACAAGGACAGAGCGAACACTGGGTACAAGCAGAAGCCGCCACTGATCGCCTCCAAGCCATCTTCGCCCGACTCCGCAGAATAGGAACGAGATTGACGTAACTTGGTCGTCTCGCGCGACGATTAAAATACACCTTGCTCTTGCGTTAGAGTTAGATACAAAAATACGAATCTCGAGAGGGCGACGAATATTATTGTTTCTTATATCGTTCCGATTAATACTATTATTACTAGCGCTATACCGTGTAATGTACTATTATTATTTGTTATTTCCTTCCTTTTCCGGTTGCCCTGTCGGAGCTGGAGCGCGGTCACAACCGAATCGAGGAGCGAGATACGACAACTGCCGCGTCCACACACCGGAGCAACACTTGTCGACATTGTTGCCGTAACAATAAAAGAGACACTGTTAGTGACCCGTATTATCAACAGAGACTGTGCAGAAACTATTCTTCCGTATTAACAATAGGAATTTATGTATATATATATATATTTATGTATATAAACTATGATTCGGCCTCGGCAGAGGAGAGTCACAGGGAGGTCCTCGCTCCGCCTCGACTTTTCCTAACGATCGAAAACTCCCCTGGAACTGTCCCCGCCTTGGCCGCTAGCGACCCGTATGAGCAACAGAAACTCCTGTAAAAATATCGTTAATTGTTAATGCGCGAGGTCAACCGTGTCAATGAAAAATGTCGCTCCGCTGTCAGCTCGATCTTAGACCACTTCCCTGACTTAAATACGAATTAAATAGTTCGCTCGATTAACATTTTACGTACGATGCCTAAACAAAGGTGCGCGGCCTATGTGTAGAATATAAGTGCGTCGCGTGTTTCTACGCTTAGGTGAGGCGGTAAAAAAAATAGTGTCGTCATTTACCAACCGGAACCGCCGCGGCGGCCATTTCTCGGCTCGGCGTGGCGTCCTCGAAAAGCCGGGAATTCGCTCTACGTAGTGCCTTCCCGTACTCTCTGCATTTAACTTCACCCTTTACTTTTATTTTATCGCTACCCCTATTACTAGATTTACTCCTGTCGTCGCGTTTTACTACTATTACTCAGAGACTTTGTCATGCTTCGGTCGTGGTCGCTTACTGTATGGAGCCACTATGCAACTACCGTTTCTCGCTCGTTCCTGGTTAATCGCGTATCGTCGTTAGTCGGTACTTGGCCTCGAGTTTCGACCTCCCGGTCGACATGGATTCCCGTGACACTTTATTCGTCATCTTATGTCGGAGAGAAAAGAGGTCGCATGATCTCCACAACGTAAATCTCTCAAAAAATATGGATATTTCTGCGCCTCCCGCGCTGCTCCTACGGCCCCGAGAAATTGTCCGCCACTTTCAATTTATACAATTCCAGGAATGATGGCAATAAAAATTAGTCAAAGGAGAACCGAATCAGGGGAGATTGTGCATATTCGGAGGTCACATGTCTCAGAGGTTCGTTTTAGGGTGGACAAGACTCGAGACTCATAAAAACAGCCAGGAAACGTCGGTCAAGTACCGATCGACGAAACTTTGTTAGACGTAGCATAATGGTAATGCCCTGAATCGATTACAATTCGCAAGATAGTTTACCGCGACGTTGAACCTGATTTAAATTCCCAACCGGAAACGCGCAGCCATGAGGACAGGTCGAGCATCGATGAGATGCCGCAGAGTTGCCTTAGAGACTGATTTTTTAAATAAAAAAAAAAAATCAGTTAAACATTCCCTTCCCGAGTATCAATTGTTTAAAAAAAAATTATATCGTACAACCGAGCCTCCCAGGTATCGAAAATTTTCTACGGTGCAATAAAATATTACGAGGTATAAAATTGAATGCGAATAAATAATTTTCCATTTCGGTGGCAACCCTGTGCTCGTGTTTCCTCGAAGGTCCTTCAAGAAAGGACCCACTTCCTGTCCGGAACATCTTCGGGATACTCTCTTAAGCACGCGGGCAGACAATGCATACATCGACGAGCATGTGTAAAACGTACGATATTAAAATACTCTTACTATACTTTTTATTAACCCACCTTTGTGTATTATTCATCATTAACCCCCCCTTTTGTCCCCGTCCTCCCCCACGTAACATTATAATTATTACTTTTGTTTTGCGTCAAATCATCTAAAAATATGTTGTATGTATCTCGCAATTACTCTTCCATCCTTGCGCCGTCGAAATTTATGAAAATCGGCCCTGTCGTTCTAATTAAAGACCCGCGGTGAACATCTACGATTACGTGCACCACTCGAAACGAACCGTACACAGGTACTTGCGTACACGAGCAAGTACACCTCCGCAAACGAGACGGACGGTAGTGCCTAAGAGGACGACACTGGAGATTCGACGTTACCTCGAATTTTCCGAGTGCCGTGGAAACAGCGAAATTCCTTCCCCTATTGTTCTCGAATTTCTCCCCCTAATCCCACCGTTTCCCATTCCCTCGAATCCGCAATACACGCAGCCACTCTTTAACAGACTACTTGACGATGAAATACGTAATTCTCATGTGTGTGGTAAAGTACTATTTTACAGGAAATGCGTTTCGGATGTCCCTAATTTCCCGATCCGTTTATACGTTGACTAATGCTGCGCTCGTTTCGCGTTTCCACGAATGGGACGACACCCACCAGCTCTAGGGGATGATTCAACGAGGTCGATCCGGGCACAGAGACTGATCGGCGATGCTTAATTATTTAAACTAACGTACCTAACGCGAGTATACACCATTACATGCGCGGCATTTTTTTTTTATTTCCACTCTCAACCACGAGGAGGAAATAGGAGAAACCGTAACGACTGTTCGAATGGAATGACCGACGGCTCTCTGAATCGAGTTTCCTGTGTCCGTGTATATATCATATATAATCTATGCGTAGATAAATATATATATATATGTATATATGCATATGCATGGTAAGGTATAACGATAGTGTTGCGTTAGGATTATAATCATCGTATACTATTTTTTTCACGCCGGCGATCATACCCGCGACTCCTCTCGTCGTCAAAGATCGCTCGGGGACTCTGGGATGCACCGGGGTCGTTATTAAATTCGATCGCTCGACTACTTCGATCTCTCGAGAGATATAAATGCACGGGCTCGCCGTTTCACCCGGGGATGTGCGATAGCGCCGTTGCACTTAGGCACGAAAATCAAATTTATTGCGTGGTTTTGCTTCCCTGGCGTTTTTTCTTTCCCTTTTTCCTACTAAAACCGTTCCGCGGGACGAGTCCCAAACGAGCCACCGCAAATGCGTTCTCCACCGTTCAAGACCCTGCCATTTATAACATCGTTTTCAAATAACGTATCAGCGTATCTTAAAAAGCAATTAACAATGATATTCGCACAAAAAGAGAAGTAGCAACCGCTGTAAGCGGTGGAGAGTGCAGCCGCAGTGGTACGTCCTGACGCACTGAATCGACCCAACTCCCTTGCGAGATGGAAATACGATTTCGAATTTTCGAAATTCGAACCAGAAGGAGGAACAGCCCCAAGGGCGCTTCCAAGGGTAATCCGTAAAAGCGGATCCCGAAGAAGTCCTACGGGTCCAAGAGCTGTTACCGTCCTTCAGGGTCTTAGAGGGCAGGAAAGGAGTCGGATGTTTCTCTTCCGAGGTCGCAGCGAGCAGAGTCGCCCCTCTATGTACAGATCACAAACGCCCCTCTTCAGGGTAAGCGTTCACACTATAGGCATAGCGACTACACCTACACGTAAGATAAACCTAACCTATGGCAACGCTTAATCGTGTAATTACGCTCTAAGGTGTCCCGACTGGTCGACGCGGCTCTTCAGGGTCCAACCGAAGGAGGAGCTCTTCGGGTTCCCCCGAGGGTCTCCTCCGGGGACGGAAGAGCCTCGTTCTCGTCCTCGTGCCACGGAAGAGCGGAAAGTTTTGAGCAAACGGAGTCAAGGACGAGCTCGTCGAAGACTCGCACGGCCGGAATGACCAGCACGAGGCCGTCACCGAGGTCAAGTCCGTCGATGACGAAACTCCACGCCGACGAAAGGCCTCTTGGACGCACTTCCGGAGGGAACATAGCTCCCAAATTGTCGATCGAACTAGCACCTGGCTCCGACGATTCTACCGGGTCAGCGAACGAGGCCCCTGAGACCTGCTCCATGGGAGGCGTCGATTCTTCCACCATGGTCCTGAGATACCTAATAGTCTTTCGCTGCGGCCAGGCCTAAACAGGTATTCCCAGAAAAATAAAACTAGCCTTCATAGATAGTCGTTCTCCACGGCCTGGGCGTCCTGAGACTTCAGAGTGGCCATCTCCTCGGCGGAGCCCTGTTCGCCGTCCTGCTCCTCCACGAAGTTTATGCTCCCCGCCTTGTACCAGACGACGAGGTCTACCACGAAGGCCAGCGCCAGGATCCCACCCGTGGTGCCTGCAAAACCAGATTTCCCTAAATTACCTCCCCTATTTCCCTTTACCTTTGACCACTCGTTCTTTCCATAAGTCCCAAATTCGCCAGGAAACCGAAGACGCCTACCATGATAGAACATCCTGAAGACGTTGGAGTCGTACAGCCAGCAAGCTCCGCGTTCTCCACAAGCGTACTCCCACACAAGACACGCCGAGTCGACCACAGCTCCGTAAACGATAGGGCAAGGAACGTTCCCTGAAAAAATCAAACGGAAATCTTAGCCTCTCCCCGCCATAGAATCATAGCTGAGTATGTTGCATAGTTTACCGAACAGTCCGATGGCAAATTGTATCAACCCCAGGGCCATTGCCTTGTCCCTGGGGTCCACGCATCGCAAGATCAGCAACATGGAGCCGACCTCGCTGGTAGAGTGGATGAAGACGAACACCGAGAACAAGATCATGTACACCCAAAAGTTGCTGCATTCGAGGGGGCAGTATCCAGTCTTGGCAGTGCTCGTGATCTCCTGCGTCGTCTGGTTCTGTCCGATGCACTGGCAGTTGAAGAACTGCAACAATCCCAAATGCGGTAATTAATAATTTATTCGGGAGACCCACTCTGACGGCACCCTCTCCTTTCCTCACCTTCTCTCTAAAATCAATACAAAAACTATGATAAAACTCCTGGAGATAATTATTACCGTGGCCACTTTGCCATCGACGACGGTGTAATTGGAGCACCCTGCATGACACGCAGAGAAGTACGTCTTGCCATCGGCCCCGCAAATCGGGCTGAACTTGTTCCTGTCGCAGTCGCAGGGAACCTCGCAGGTGGGCTCGAAGCTGGACACTCTGAAAGCAAGGTCAAGGCCGCTGGTGAAGTCGAGGGACCGCGTTCGAGCGCGAACAAGGAAACTCACCCGTCGGAGTGCGAGATGAGGCCTGCAAAGTCGTCCATGGGGCACCCTATGAACATCAGCACTCCCATGCCCACCGCGTACACCACTGCCGTGAAGGATATCCATGCCGCTACGAACCTGGCGTTGGGTTTCGCCCTCAAAATGAAGACGCCGCTAATTATGATCCCTAATCCCATCACTAAAATACCCCCGACACCTGGAACAAGAGGATCAAGGTTAGCATTGGCTAGGTCAGTGTCCCAGAGGCCAGCGGGAACAGTTATCACCGACGGTGGGCGAATCGTCGCCTCGTGATAAGACCGCTGATAGCGCGCGACAGGAATCCACGAGCTGGAAAAACGCGGCTCAATAATTCAGGGAAATTCGTAGCAACTCAAATCCGAATCCCACGAGATATGTAAATCACGGGTGGTTAGTAAAATGTAAATTAACGTCATATATGATTCTCGTATCTTGGCAAAAATGAAAATAAGAAGTATAGTTAATGCGTCGGGAATTTTCGTTGAGGGTTCGTCGTGAAATCCCACGGGAAATGGCACGAGGCGAGCGATGTCGAAGGTCAGGGTCTGCATGTCTCATTGACGCGTCTCGTGATTGAATTGAGGACTAATATATGTCATTTGGCTGATAATGGCGAATATGGCGATGATCGTCCAATCGTTGGATCGTAACCCCATGGTGAGACTCGATTCGTATCGATTGAAAGCTCGGCCGTCCTCTTGCAGTTCACTCGAGCTTCATTTGCAGTCCGTGGTCGAGTGCAAGAGCCAATTGCAAAGCTGCCCACATACGAGGAAGTGAAATTAATCATTTCTCGTACAAGCCTCGGCGACTCGCCGAGACCTCTGGTCGCATTTCGACGGATTCGCGTTTTTATTCCTGGCGCGCCTATTTATGGCCACATTTTTTTAGAGCTTCCTGGTTCTCCGACTTATTAATTTTCCAGAATTTTTCAGAATTTCCGAAAATTTCCGTCGTCCTCTCTCCGTGCCTGGGTCTCGATCCTCGAATTATGTCGCATAGGAATAAATTCGCATGAAAAATTTCGCATTGTCGCGTCATTGGTCAAGATTTGAAAGTCGTATACGGAATTGTCAATTTCGTATGCGTAAGTATTAAATTTCGTACGAGTCCCTGGACTGTTTTAGTGTGATACCATTTTGACAATTTCACTCCCGCCCTTTATCAGAAATTTATCCCGCGTTTTTCAGGGTCAGACCTGGAGATCGAAAGTGGAAGCTGGAGAGCTCGCTCGAGGATTCGAGCCACGGCGTGGCTCGTTCTCCATTTACGTAAAGCAAAGATTTACGGAGTAAGCCCTCCGGGTCATTGCGGATTACCGTAAGCATACGCATCAGGACACACCTCGGGTCTAAGGATACTCGGGCCCGGGTCCTTAGGCGCGTCTCGAGAGGAATCGCAAGTACCTGAGATCATGTTCGCGTGATGTGCTGGCAAGCGAAATTGGCTCTCGAGGTACTTTGGCAGGAAAGTGTATAATCCCGCGATTGGCAGGATGTGCAGCACGCTACTGGCTGTACGGAACATCAGTATGTCATTCTTCAGCAGTCTCTTCACCGCTTTCGGGAAGTCTGGAACGAGAGAACATTCGGTTGAAAATCAGACTCCCGAGGGAATCAAAAGCATCGATCGACCCGAGGAAACTGCCCCAATTATCCGGAATAATTTATGGGATTTTCGGTAAACCGACCAGATTAGACCCTGGGTGGAGGTGCGAACTCTTATCCCCGATGGCCCATTACGTTTCTACGAATGCAGCTCAGCGATACCCTTACGCCTATCGCGTCGATATGGATAAGACCGATAAACTATTAATATATTCAATGAAACGAATCCGCGAGATTATTCAGATCGCCCGGAGAGGGGGCGAAATGAAAGGCAGGGTCGTTGCTCCGGCATATTTCATTAGGAAAAAAAATTCCCAGCCATCGCAATGACATTTTTATGCGAATGGTGTAATTCCCTCCTGCACAACTGATCCGTCGAATAAAAATTCGCTGTACGGTCTGACGGGTCTGATTTTATTTTTAACTACCGTACCTCTTGGTACTTCTGCATTTTTATTTCGCTCAATAATTGAATTATCGAAGATCATAATTTCTGCTCAACGGTCTCGGCGATGCAGAGGGCAAGTGCATAGCTCAGCGGACGGAGTCTCCGTTGGGATAGGTTAAGATAGGCTCGGATAGGTTCGGATAGGTTCGGATAGACTCGGATAGACTCTCACACAGGTGCGCGGCAATTCGCTGGTTCATTGGTCCTGCAGCAGCCAGCGGGTTTACACCGTGGATTTCAAGGTTGCCAGATCTACCGATTCCCCTGTGCGCACCTGTTTCCCACCTAGAGTGCACCTGCGACGTCGCGGCCGTCGATCGTCGATCGATCGATCGGCGCCAAAGCCCGACCACTCCCCGTTTCTCCGGGAAACATCGCCAAAAAAAATCCCCATCAAGCCCGAATGAAGAGGAAATAAATAGAATATCTGAAATTATCAGCACGAGTTCGAGATGGAAAGGGAAAACGACAAGGCGCAGGTATTCCGTACAGATCCTTTAATTTCATTTCCTTCATCCTATTGACCATGTCGAACGATCGATCGATCCCAATGTCTCCGACAATCGTCGACAAATTTTCCCATGAAACCCCAAAGAGAATTAAAAGAAAATACGTTTCCCTAATTAAGAATCTGGAAAGAATTTTATCTCTCCTCCGAGGGACGCGAAAACAAGATGGAGGGGATCGGTTCGCGCTGCGGCAACGTCGCATAGATGTTCCCATAGACCATGAGTAGACAAACGTGACCGACGTCACGCTCTACGCATTACCGGGTGCAACCCCGCGAACCGTGGGGGAAATCCCGGGCAGTCGCGAGCGGGGATCCGCGTAATCGACATCGGGGACCGTGCGTGCGGAACTAACGAACTACGCAATCATCCAGGTCCCTTCGTTTCTTCATCGGCTTTATTATCCTCGGAACTGCCGCGCCTCGGCGCACGTAGCGGCGATCGCCGGTACAAATCTCCGCGCCCATTACCTGGAGCGAAAAACCAACCCTAACCTTTCCCTGCCCCTTGCCCTCCGTTCCGCATTCTGCATACATCCCTCAAGATTCATCAACCACGTGCATATAAATACAGGGCTGAAGAAAATCCATACCCCTCGCCTTTTGTAATGACAATTAATTGAAGAAATTACCCCGTGGAGTATAAAAACCGCGGCGAGTCCTTCCGCCCTGTACATCTATGAATATTGTATTATATAATAGTGCGTAAGATCTTGAATTAAATTTGATAACGGAATGATACTTATTATTTTCGCGGAGGTTACGTTGCGTTTTTTTTCCTCGAAGGAGGGGCCCATTTCGGGTGTCGGGGTCCGGCCCTGCTCGTATCGGGCGGAGCGTATCAGCACGCAGCACTTTGGTGGCGTCTCGGGCACCGTGCACTATGTCGGCCTTACGAGGTGTACGAGACAGCCGAGATAGGTCTCTCTCGGCGGCGTCCCCGCCCCGCGACGCCCCGCGACGCCCCGCGCCGTCACGTGTCCCCCGCTTCCAGGCATGATATGACCGTGAACTTGCCCCACCTCGTGCGCGAGTCGGTCAGTCATTATTATTAACACACACTGTGGCTGCCACGCGGGCACACGTGGGCCCTAAGTGAGGCCGCGTGTGGGTGTGGGCGAGCAGTGTGGGTTCGCCACCGACTCGATCAAACGAGGACCGGCGAGGGTAAATGGATTCGGGAATTTTCGACGAGTCCTTATAAAAAGGCCGAGGAACCCGAAGAGTGGGATCGGGGTAAGAGAATCGAGACAAGGGAACCGAAAACGAACCACCCCCACTTGAGCCCATGAATCCTTCGGTACCATTATGAACCTGACACGTGGAGGACCTCCGCTTTTTGGCCAATCCTCCGGGCCATTTTAAACGAAATTCCCGCAGGAAATCATTGACCTTGACCCTTGAAATCACGTGGAAGTCGTTGAACATCCCCAAAAACTGTTAGATTTTGAAGGTTCCGTTTCGGTAATTGATCGGAAGGCAAATGTGGATTTACGCGTTACAGGGATGCCCCGGAGCGAGGTAGAGGAGAGGGAGACGGTCGTTGGATCCGATCAAGGTTTGGGTAATTTCCAGCGACTTTAAGGCGCGACCATAGGAGAGGGGTTAATTTATTCCGTCGGTAGGGATTACGCGAGTCGGGAGTGGGCCTTAAAAAAATCATTAACCGGGAGAGGAGGAGGGTACCGGGGAGGACCGGCACTTCGGGCTCCTCTTCGAGGTCCTCGTCAGGGTGGGGAGGCGCGACTTTTCGAGCCGTTCCGCTCGCTTTACGATTTCGCCTCCGAACGGGGACACGGAGTCCACTTTTAACGGCGGACTTTCCAGTATTTTACGTACGCACATAGGTCGACTCGCGTTTAACGCGTCGAAAATGGCGACGTTGGCCAATGGCTGCGCATATCCGGCGCTAAAATGCGCGATGAGAAATACGGGCCATAATCCTCGTTACATCTTCGAGTCTCCTGGCAGTTAAACGGTGTTGCTTCGGTGTCGCTCAGTTCGAGGAACTTCGGGGGCCCTTCCATACCCTTCTCGGTATCCCGAGAAGGCTTCGCGCGAAATCTACGGCCAACCGATCGCGACCGACGAAATTCGCTTCCAAGAATCCCCGAATCGTCCTTGGAGGAGGTCCTTCGCCATTTTACACGCGCATCACGCATAAGGTGGTCCTAAAGCCGACCCGATGTTATCCCGACTTCCTGAGGAGGGACAGCTTCCGGCTGTCGGGACGTCGCCGGGGAAAAGTATCCTCGGAAATTGCGGGAAGTGAAAATAAAATCACTCACCCCTAAGACTAGGTTTCTTCGAGTCCGACCTTTCCGGGGGCGACCTACTGGAGGGCAGCCTCGAAGGGAAGGCGAACATCCCTATGCTGACCAGCATCAGCATCGCTGAGATCAGGACTAGACCTGGAAGAAGCAGTTCGGTCATTATAAAATGTATATAAAAAAAAATTACGAAGAAGTATATTAAAATACGGTGAATATTAAAATACAAATGACGAGGTCCCCAGGAATCGACGTCAGCGGAGGAGCAAAGCAGCCTGCCAAAAATAGTGGGCATTGATCGGAATCGGAGGCAGGCGCGAGCCGCGGGCCTAAATCGGAAGCGTCGTTAATATTCATGCGATTTCGAGGCACGCATCGGAGGGAAGGTCCGAGAGGCCGGCACTCGAAATCGGCGGTAAAAAAGCTCGGGAGGATATACCTCCCCCTGGGACCCCGAAGGGCGCCCCGAGGAGCCGAAATATGCCCCGGGTTCCGCTATGATTCACCGGCTTAGCCGCGGGAGGAGCGCGGGTATTTTCGGAAACCACTTCGAGAAAAGAAGGCATCGAGGCCCGAAGAGGGGATGCTCCTCTTGAATTATGATCCCGCGGCCCCGGTAGGGGCGAGCCCCTAAAAAACCGAACGGCCGCTCGTAAAAGCGAGACTCGCAGGGGGAGTCGCCAAAGTATATTTTCGCTGCCAGCCTGCTGGGGGCACGTCGCGGAATATTTTTAATTCGCCAGACACTTTCGCCACCGTGAGAACCGAGGATCCCGAGATGGTTCTACGGCGGAGGCTGAAGGGGCCCCGATGATGGGACCCCGAAGAGTAAACGGCACCCGGGGGAATAAAACCCCAGAAACCTAAAAACGAGCCCACGTCGTGAAATTACATCCCTTGAAATTTGCATCTCTGGTGGGCTTAGAAATTTCATCTCTGGGGGGCTTGGAAATTTCATCTCTGGACTTGGAACTTACCTGGGATCTGGACCTACCCCAGGGCCTTGCGACTAAAACCTTAGAAACCTAAAAACGAACCCGCTGAAATTACATCCTTGGAAATTCTATCGCTGGAGATTCATCTCTAGAATTTCTGGAAATTTCATCTCTGGTGGGCCTGGAAATTTTATCTCTGGGCTTGGAGCCGACCGAGGATCTGGACCTACCCCAAAGCTTTGACATTTTCCTGGGGCACTCTGGATCGACAGAGAGGTCGGAAAGGACGTGGACGGGGATTTCTCCGGAATATCTGGAAGTCGAGTAAAGGGAGAAAAATGAAATGGTCCATACCCAGCCACCAGGCTCCGACCCATCTCGGGTCGGTCGGCGTGATCTGTGGGTCTGCTGAGAGATCCGCGTACAGCATCGTACAGAGGGACCCCAGGATGAACCCCAGCGCTGGTCCCAGGATCCTGACACCGATGGTGATCGCTGAAGGAGAACTGTGGTTAATAACTGGCGATGGATGCGTACGGAGAGGAGCATACGTTATCCCTGAAGATGGTCCCCGTTAAGGCGTAACGAGACCCTGTAATTTCGGGGTCGACTCACCGAAGTAGAGGGGACTCTCCCTGCTGGCGACGTTGTCGTCGATGTAGGGGATCCCGAGAGTATAGACCGCCGTCTGGCCCATGCCTACCCCTAGCAGAGAGACGAAGAAGATGGCCAGCACCACCGTCGTGATCTTGCTCTGGATCCTCTGCTCCTTCAGGAACTCGCCCTCGCAGTAGGCCGTCGAGTCGCCCTGGGCATGAGAGGATGTCGTCGCCAGGAGCCACCTAAAATCGAAAGCGTCCAGGTTCACCATCGAATTAAAATCCACGTGCCCCGGGACCCCGAAGAAGCCGGTCGACCCTGAAAAGACCCGCGACGACTCTCGGACGAAAAGCCTCTTCCTCTCTCCTTCTTTCTCCTTTTTTTTTATCAGCAGATTTATAGCGTCTGGCATGATAAATAACGAGCCGGGCTCGGTTATTGTAATCCGGGCAGGTTTTATAAATCAGGATTGCCACTAGATTAGAGATACTCCACGTGGAGTCGGGTTCACCCCTGGCAGAACTTGAAGTCGCGAAGTTGCTCTTCAAGCGGCTCTTAAAGTTCCCCTTCGAGTTCCCGGTCCCCAGGAGTTTGAGCGTCTCCAGGCTCATTCCGAATCCTGAGAACCCTCTATGGTTCCGAGTATTTCTTTTTTCCCTTACCCGTTGGGGTCCGACGTCATGTTCTCCGGGCGATCCTGGTACTTGCAGAGATTCGCCGGGACGGGGTCGGTGGTGTTGCGGCCGTTCTCGTCCACCCCGGGCCCCACGCCGCTGAAGAGCAGCTCGTTCTGGTGGATCAGCTGCTCGCCGAAAATGAAGTGCGGCATGGAGCAGGTGAAGGAGCTCACGGCGAAGAGGATCATCCCCCAGGCGATCCACTTCGGCCGGTGGCCTTGACCCCCGTAGTACGTTAGCAAAAGGGAAGACCCTATCTGGCCTATCTCCGTGGCCGACATGATGATCCCCGTGGTCTTCGACTGGATTTGGAACAGCTTCTCGATCGTCGTAATCACAGAGACGAAGTACGTGTAATACATGCCCTGAAGCACCTGCAACCCCAGAATTCATCCTTAATTCTCTCATAAAAAAAAAATGACAAAATTATTCCTACACTCCTGTCGTTCCTTAAATTTGCGAAATGGGCATCGATATCGAGAATCGGGGGGAGGAAATGTCCGGAAACCAACCCAAGTGACGCAGAAGATGACCAGGAACGCCTGCTTCGTGGCGAAATACTGCAACCAGTGGGGTCTGCAGGGTCCCCATCCACAGGAGACGTCGGCCTCGTCGAACTCGGTGTGGAGGCTGCCGGACTTCTCATCCAGCCCGATCAGCTTCCCGTTCTCCGCGGTGATCTCGAGGATCTTCCCATTCGGGATGGAGCCGTTGTTGTTGTGCTTGGTGCAGAGCACCGCGTCCCCGTTCGCCATCTTGGTCCCCGGAGGGATGATCGCGAGCGTCTCCGCCGCGCCGTTTCCCAACATCTGCGTGTCCTCGCCCGCCATTTTGGTCCCGCGGGAAACCTAGGTCCTCGAAGAAGTCCTCCTGGATTTCAGCAACCTCCTCCCGGACGCGCGAGGTCGATCAACCTTCAACAAAAACCCGACCAAAATTACGGTTAGCCTGAATTTCCTTTATTTAAATTTTAGTCACCGAACGGAACTCCATTCATACATTCTCATTTAGATCTCAAAAAGATAAATCGAAGTATCTAAAGGATTGCGGCAGCTCCTGATTTTTTTTTTCTCACGTAGTATCATTTGTAAAACATTTCTCTCGACTGTTGGGAGATTAGACCTCGCGGTGTCACTTTGCACGGCTCGGAATCCGAGATGCAGCTTCGAGGCGCGATTACAGGTGCGCACCTGTCGCGCACGCGTCGGTGTCATCTCGCTTTCGTCGGCGCACGACTTTCCTCATTTCCCCGGCAGTGCTCGCCGACGATGCAGCCCGCGGTGCAGCTGCAATGCACCGGGTGTCGAGCAAGTAGGGCCGGCCTCTCACTCTCGCTCTCTCGAAAGTGAGAGTCTCGAAACGCGATCCCGCGAGGCGAAGCGCTCACCTGTCGGCGATCCATTTCACGGACAGGGAGTCGCTCCGAGCGAGTTCCACGGAATCGACTTTCCCCGCCGAGGGAAGATGGAAAAGAAAAAAGAAAACGGCAAAAATTCACTAATCCATTTTCCTCGCGAATAGAAAAATAAAACGCCACCCTGAAAACCGACGAGTCGCCAATGATACGTTATCATTGGCAATGTGACGGGTTTGTAGGTCGAGTCCGGCATATTAGGTCCGATTTAGAGGGGATTTAATCCTTCGTCTCTGCGTCCATGTAGGAGCACTCGGGGCCGTGCAAGTGCAGTGCAGGACACTCTCCGCGATTGCGCATTACCGGCACATGGATGGAAGCGCATGCCCCGGTGTGCGCGCTCGTTGCTCTTAGCTGGTGGTGGAGAACGGAGACTTGGTCTAGGTCGCCTTTCACTGTCCTACTGACGTCTCGTGGTTAGTTGGTTAGTTAGCCTATTCTGCCAGCTACACCTCAATGCCAGCGTATAGCATGTTGTCATACAGAGCGGTCCAAAAGAGGTGCGCACGTCGGCTGGCTCCCTTCTCCAGGATATCTAAAATTCGAATCTCCGTCCGAAAATGGAAGCAACGAGGATAAATCTCGAGAAACGAGCCGAGATCCAAATTACCGGATAAATCCCAAAGAAAAGTCTCGAGAGTCGATTTTCCCTCTCTTCGAGGTTCTCCAAAAAAATTCTGGAATTTTCTTTTTCGGATATCTCTGAGAAAGGTGGATTCGGAGTTAAATGATTTTCTGAGATATTTCTTGAAAATCGTCGGGAGGAGTCGGCGAGTCGGCTCGCCGGTGCATCGGAAAGAGTGCATTACGGCCTCGCGGGGGGGCAGGGGGCGGCATGAAAATTAATCGGGACTCGACCTAAAAACCGAAGCGGAGCCAATAACGAGAGAGGGGGCCTTTTTGTCGCCGGTCGACTCTCCGCTCGGAAAGTCGGCGGCGTTAATTACCGTGCGATGTGCCCGGTCGAAAAACCGAGCCGGGGCGAAAAAGTCAAATTGGCCGTGAAGGACCAGCTAAAATCGGCCGGAATCGGCGCCCGACGTCGGTCATGCACGTACGATCGGTCTCGGATCGGCCATCTCATTGCTCGTTGCGCAGCCGACCTTGCCCCGAAGTGAATTGAGCCTTCACAGGGACCCTCTTTTTAGGTGTCGCTCGAGTCCTTTTTTTTTACCTTCCCTCTTATCACTCCCAACGATTCATCTCGGAAAGGGTGATTTTTAGAAACAAAGAAATTACGTCTGAAATATGGTACTCCATTTTTTTTTTTTTTTTTTCTTAATCCGATTCGAGGAGTTCATAAGTCTCAGTCAGGCCGAGTGCATCGGCGAGATGCACCGCGTCGCTCGGGAATGCCGACTGCGTCGACACACTTAGCCGGGCACAATAAATATTTCTTTATTTCCCTCGGATCCTTTCTAATGGTATTGTGCGTCCAAGGATTTTACGGACAAAAAGTGGCCAGTCGGTCTTGCGAGTGCACCATTTTTCGACGTGCACAGGGCTGCCGAGCTGAGATTCCTGGCTGCAGGGCAGGAAATTCGAGGTTGACGGGATAAGTCTTTTTCTAGGTTAGGATCGACTCGAGTCTTACAACGATTTGGAAATATCCCGGGATTTTGGAAAGGACTGTAAAACGAGACGTAACGATTAGATCTTTCCGCCGACCTCGGAAATGTACGCCCTATCGTGCGCTCGAGCGATTAACGATTAAATGATCAACACCCAGTGCTCCTCGAGTTTCGATAATGCCAGGTTTTATTCGAAATTAATTCCCGCTCGCCAAGATGTCGGCGAGCAAACGCGGGTAGAAATATTACCGCAACGCTCTCGCGCGCGGATGGTAATTAGGAGCATAAAGAGCGAGTGATCGCTGTACCGTAAAATAAAAACCGACACTAAAGACAGAGCTTTATTAACATATGGCGCATTATGGAGACCGTAAACCTTGCGACTAAATGCTCGGTAAATAAAGCCCCGCGAGAGTTCTCTCGCGGCGGAACTTTTAACCGCGGAACGTGGTGAAAATTCGAAAACTACTCGTCAAAGGTAATTCCCTCGGCACTTTGCAAGATGGAGAACGTTTTTCAAATCCCTGAGTTTCGTTCATTAAATTCATTCGGATTAACTACTCTTTGACCGACTTTCTTCAGGGACAATTCCTAGGTCCTCCGAAATTACGAGTCTTAAAAAAATCCACGCACTGGGAAAAAATATTAGACGACCGAAACAAACGTATATCGTCACCTTAATCATGTATATATAATTGCAAGAAACAATTATTTTGCAGCGAAGAAAAATTATATCGTCGATTTAAACGAATTTCGTTTACTCCTACATTTCTTTCTACGCACTTGATCGCAGAATTTTGTTGTAGCAATGGAGGCCAATAAATAAATTCGAAAGAACAATTCGGAGTTCGATTTTCTCTGATCCAGGAAATTTGACAAAGGACACCCAGCGTCCCGACGTCGACGTCCCTGGACGCGGCGGTCCTTCGAGGCCAAGGAGCGCGCTCGGTTTATTCGTTTAGATCGCCGGTTCTTTTTGCTCGGTTTTTCGAAATTCCTTTTATTTCTCACGTCGCGTCGCATCGGCGCGTCCCCGCGTCCCTCGTCTTGGATCCTGCGTCCTCGGCAGGGGCAAACCTGACCGAGGTGCGACACCAAAGAACGAGGCTGAGCCGAGCCGAGCCGAGCCGAGCGGCGCGACCGGGCCGCAATGTCTGCCGGTCGTGGGACTGGAATGACTAGTTTCGCATTGAATTAATCTCGGATGGCTCAGTTTAGAGACCGGCCCTGGGGTTTAGGGAGGAAGGGTTTAGGCCGAGCCCGGCTCCTAAGCGGCCGCCGCGACCGGTTTTTGGCACCGCTCCTATAATGCATGGTTCCCCCCATAATGCAGCTATAGTGCACCGCCCCGTAATGCAGCTATAGTGCTCAAGGGAGGTCCGAGGAAAAAAAAGACGACCTCGCGGTGGGAACCTTAAACCGAAATTCGGAATAATAAATAAAAATAATAAATCCCGCCTATCGAAGCCCTCGATCGACGAGACGTTCTCCTTAAGGTGATGCGAAAGTGGTCCCGTTTATGAAGATTTTCTCCAAACTGAGGGTTTACCGAATCGCTTTAAACTTGACAAACGTGAATATAGGAGATACAAAGAAATTCATATAAGGAAATTTCAATTTATTTTTTTAATTTGTTTCTAGGTATTTGTAAAATTTCTTATTAAAAAAATGAAATTTCATGAGGGTCAGGATCTTCCTTATAGCCTCCATATCCTCCTCGAGGGCGATGTAATAATAGATTGTATTCACGGCTAGGCCCCCACCGCAAATTACGGATAATCACGGCCGCTATCGGCGTTATCTTTTTGCCGAATACCACGCTACGAAGTGTATCCATGTATGCATCGATACGCAGGTACGGATGGGTGCATGGACAGGTGCATAGACGGGGACATGGCTCACGGGGGGATTTTTCGAGCTCCTCCATTCCACGCGATCGGACAATTTTTTAATTAATTTTCCCGAATTGATAAGGACGAGGTCGAGTGGCGCAACGGTACAAAAGTAATGCTCGGGAGGGAAAAGGGCGCCGAAGGGTGTTCTTCGTGGTCCCTTTTCTCCTTTTTTCCTCCACAATGGGTGAGAATTAACGCGCCACGTGGCAGGTGTGGCTCGATCGTTTCGATCCGGCTGTCAGCCGGGCCCCCGAAAAAGCGATGCACCCATCAGCGTCTCGCCCCCGGTGCATCGGAAGGGGCCAACGCGCTGCACTTCACTTTTGACGCGCGGCAGATTTACGAGGAGTTCCCGGAGGTTTAAAAATACGGCTTAATAAGTCGACCGTATTTATAGTGCCAGTATTCCCGGTCTCCCCCTCGCCTCCATGCTCTCGTTTTCCTCGTCAGCTGGGATTTTCGCGCCAAAGGAGGGGATTTTCGTCCACGGAAAATCCCCCGTAAAAATACGCCACCGACCCCCCCCCTTCGGCGGGGATGGAAAATATTTTTCCAACCCGGAGGATGGAGATATCTCGCGTTTGGGGAAATTAGAAGAGGAGAAAATCCCGAAAATTCCTACCTCTCGGGGAGATCAAAACCCCCCGTTTATGTCCTCGACTCGGAGGAATCGGTAGGGAAATGGGGAAAAATCGGAATACGAGGCAATTGGCACGTCGTTATGGCCTCTCCCACGGGAAAAGTGGCGATCCGCGGCGCAGCATCCCTGGTCCAGCGCGCTTGCCGTTTCTCTCGTCTCCTCCTATCGCGTGTCCGCCGGTCGCGGCCAGCGCGTCAGATGCAAGGATTATCTTTTTCCTGGAAGTTCAATGAGCAACCTACTTAGCCGAAGAATCTTTTTTTCTCAATTCCCCCACCTCCCGCCGCTCTTTATCCCGGTGTCGCGACCCGCGTCATCGCTCATCGCGGCCTCGAGATTTATCCCGTTCTTCGACCGAGGCTCGTTCGCCGTCTCTCCGTTTCTCCGATTTACC